CACCGTGAAAAGAAGATCCCCCTGCACACCGTGTTTTTTGATCTGGAGAAGGCGTTCGACCGCGTGCCGCACGATCTGATATGGTCATCGCTGAGAGTCCACGATGTTCCCGAATCGCTGATCGACGTCGTTAGAACTCTGGACACCGGCGCCCACAGTCAAGTACAAACAACAGTAGGAAGATCGAAGCCATTTCCAATACGAGTCGGAGTTCACCAAGGCTCAGCCCTCTCCCCGCTTATCTTCATCCTCGTCATGGATACCATCACTAGAGACCTGCATACAGAACCGCCTTGGACCCTCCTGTACGCCGATGATGTCATGCTGACTACCAAAACGAAAGCCGAACTCCAGGATCTTCTGACCATTTGGCATGACCGCCTCGCTAGCTTTGGCCTGAGGATCAACTTGAAGAAGACAGAATACATGACGACGGACGCTGACGAAGACGGAACCATCACTGTCGCCAACACGGATCTCCCCAGAGCGAAGTCGTTCAAATACCTTGGCTCGACGATTGCCGAAGACGGCTCAATCGCAAACGACGTCACCGCACGTATACAAAGTGCCTGGATGAAGTGGAGATCTACAACGGGCGTGATGTGCGACCGAAAGATGAGCGACCGACTTAAATCGAAGATCTACCGCACCGTGATCCGCCCAGTGGCAATGTACGGTACCGAATGTTGGCCAGCGAAGGCGAAGGACGAAGCAAAATTGGCGGTCATGGAAACTACGATGCTCCGTTGGACCGCCGGTGTCACGAGGCTCGACCATGTGAAGAACGAGGACATCAGGAAGAGATTCGGAGTGGCGCCGATCCGAGAGAAGCTGCGCGAAAATCGCCTGAGATGGTTCGGCCACGTCCTACGAGCCGACCCCACGTCCATAGCGAAAACAAGCCACACGCTGGAAGTCGATGGAAAACGGCCAAGAGGCCGACCCAAAAGAAGATGGATGGACACGCTGAACGAAGACCTTAAAGCGACAAAACTACATCCAGACCAAGCAGCCGACAGAACAAAATGGCGACAACGTTCCAGAAAAGCGGACCCCGCGACCGAGCGGGACAGACGCTGAAGAAGAAGAATTTGACTACTATAGTGGCCACTAAAAAGTCAAAACCCTATAGTGCCCACTAAAAAATTTCCCAGTTCACAGTTTTTTGTTCATTCAATTTTATCTTATACTCAAAAAAATTACACCTTCTTTATTTTAAAGGAGCAGCCCCGAAAACAGTGTCCTGCCTGAATTTCGACGAAAACAACCACATCACGGATATTTGCGAGTCTTCCTACGACTATAAACGACCTCCAAATTGCACTATTCAGCCAAATTATGAGTTTCGGTCTATTAATGTTGAGGTAAAGAATTTATATTTTATGAAATTAATAAAGTCCAAAGTTTAGTTTGAATATCTTTGCGGCGATGGCGGCTGGGTGAAATCGAGTATTTCGGTTCAAATGGCCGGAGTTTTGATCGGAACTTTGTTTGCTGGATGGCTTTCTGATTCATATGGTCGGTTATGGGTGAGTTTCGAAGTTAAATTGCAAAAAAGCGTAATGAATTATATCCTCAGTTTATTTTTAGTAAAAAAAATCCATAGATCTGCTTCTTATACACTTGTCAGATGTTCGAAAACTTGAATCATGATTAAAATCGTCATTCTGGAATCGTCACTATTACTTTGACCATAGCATCAGATCTAGAGAAAAATTTTTTTTTTACGAATTTACATCTAAAATTCACATAAATCCCACATCGGAAGTACAAGACTACCTCTACAAAATCGCAAAAATTTGAAAAATACAATCTGTCCAAAATTTAAATGTCAAGCAGCAAACTCCGCCCCCAAAAACGCTCTGTGAATGGCTCGCTCTCTGATTGGTTTAATCTACGCATAAGGGGCGGAGTTTGAGCGATGATTTGACATTCAAAATCTGAGCAGACTATATTTTTGGACGTCCTTGAATGAAACTAAAATTCAAAAATGAACTTTTAAGGTTCTTTCTGTTTCATTCTTCATGGTGTCGGTCACCAGCATCGCCTCAACATTTACCAACGATTTGGTCGCTTTTACAGTGATCCGAACCCTTTTGGGAGTTTTCAAAGGCGGATTATTGAGGTCATTTTTCTTTCATTATCTCTTCTCGATCATTCATGATGTTCAAAACCATCTCGGAGTTTTTCAAAGCTCAAAAACACTCCAAACGGCTCTTCCCTTCGGGAATTTTTTTGAAAATAGCCCATGCGCCTTTAAAAATTCCAGAAAGGATGCAAAAGAATCATTTTCAGCACATACAGTGTGTATAAAATGGAGCACGTACCGAAACACCATCGATTTTGGATCGCCACCATGATCAGCTGGGCTCCGAATTACATGCTTCTCAGTGGGGTAGCCTATTTGTCGCACGATTGGAGGACATATCAATGGGCCATTTTCGGCCTTTCAGCGCCTGGAGCCGTCCTGTTCTTGTTGGTTTTTTACCTAAAATATTAAAAATGGTTGGAAAATTTTTCTTTGAAACATAAATAGAAAAAAAAAATGAAAAAATGAACTGTAAGCGAACTCCAAAAAATTGGTCCTTTAGGGTGGAAAACGCTCCTTTTTTGCTGCCTTTTTGCACCATTTCATCGGCTCTTATGCATCATTTTTGCTGCCTCTCTCTTTTTTCTCGAGCCTTCAAAGTCCCAGAAAAAAGGAAGGCTCGAAAAAGGGACTATTTTTTGCTGCCTTCCTGCAACCTTTTTTCAGCCTTTTTCTCGCATTTCTGTGGCCTTTTTGCGGCTTTTTTTGAGCCTCTCCCTTTCAGCGGTCATTATCCACCATTCTGAAGTTCCCCTCGTTCTCTTCTCAATTTTTTAGAACAAAAAATCCGTTTTGATCAATATTATTACAGTTTTGTTCACGAATCACCACGATGGCTGATCCAACGAGGACGTTTGGACGACGCTCGGAAGATTCTGAGGAAGATTCAGGAAATTGACGGCGCCGAACAGACTTCAATGGACGATTTGGAGGAAATGCTTGATAATGAGCACAAGGTAACTTGGCAAGAACCACAAGAAAGGCCCATTAAAAATTATTCTTCTTACAGAAACAACTGAAACGGCTGCAGAAGGTGAAGAACTACCACATGGGCCATTTGTTCTGGAATCGGGAAATGTCGATTGTGACGATAATTCTGTGCATCGGAATGTTCTCAACCTCGTTCACGAATTATGGCCTCGTTTTCAATATTGAAAAGTTGTCTGGTTCACTTTTCGTCAACGCTTTGTTGATGGGTTCGCTGCGTTGGGCGACCAACATCACGATGGGACTGTTGGATTTGAAGTTGGTATTGGAACTTATAGAAATAATGATAAGTAAGGTTCAGAGATTCATTTCAATTTTCATTTTCAATTCAAGTGTTTATTCGCCATTCCGCAATCTGCACGACAAATACAAAAAATAAAACATCAAAACAATCAAATACATCTAACAGCTGATCTGTGAATCTGTGGATCTGTGAAAAGATGTTTATATTTTGATTTTACTAGGAAACGTCTTCTACCCCCCGATTGAACTATTGATGAAACTTTGCTAAAGTGTACTTCAGGACCTCCTGATTGCAAAAAAAAAGAAAATTCTTGCAATAGATCTTATTTCCGAGTTATGAGGCTTTTAAAGCTTGAAATAGCACTTTTTTGTTATATTTTGCGTATTTTGCGTATTTTGCGTACTTCGAAGCTTCATAACTCGAAAAAAAGATCTATTGTGAGAATTTTTTTTCGTTCTGCAATCTAGAGGTTCTAAAGTACACCTGGTCAGCACAGTTTCATCACAAGTTAAAATGGGGGTGGGTAAAAGACGTTACCTAGTTAAGGCATTTTTTTAATTACCTCGCGCGGTGTGTTCTGACTTGCTTGATAGTGAAAAATTCAGAGAAATACAGATAGTTCAAAGCTTCAAAGTTTCAAAACGCTATTTCTGCGTTTAAATTTTTTTAAAAAAATTTCTTCGAAAAAGTCTCTTCTCTACCTCCTTTGTAGGATAGGTTTAAAAAGAATCAAAGGAATCATTTATCATTTTTCTCTTTTTGAAGTTTTTGTAAATATTATCCAGATAGGATCTTCTAAAACCCCGAATCAATACAAATATACATTTTTAAGATGCAAGAAAGTTGGCCGTAAATTGATCCACTTCGCATCGAAATTCACCATCGCCCTGTGCCTTCTAGCGATTTTCATGGTTTACATTCTGGGTACCATTTCTAATTAGACAAAACTCCCCCTTCTTTTTTCAAGATTATCAAGACGAATATCACTGGGTGATAAGATCGGCGACGCTTGTTGCCGCTGCGACGGCTTCTCAGGTTCAAATATCAAAAAAGTCAAAAAAGAGGAGAGAAATTGAAGGTGTTCATCACGAAGAACATCGTTTTGATGGAATATTATCCAACTGTGGTCCGAAATTCGGCAGTTTCATTCAAATCGGTCACTAGTCGATTTGGAACTATTTTGGCGCCTCAACTCTTTATTTTGGTGAGTTAGATCGTATCCTCTTGAAACTTGAAATTGATTTTTTCTTTTTGAAAATATTACATTTCAATAATTAGAAGACCATTTATCTCGATTTTCCATGGAAAAAGCTTCAGAGTTACTTGAGAAAAAAAGTATCGAGAAAAAAATTTAGCGTCAGAAAATCTAAAAATTCCAGTGCCCCTACCGTAGCCTACCGTACGCCATCCTGGCCGCCTTCTGCTTTTTCGACGCCGCCGCCTTCCAAATCGTTCTTCCCGAAACGAAAGGCCGAAGTTTGCCCGAAACAATGCCGGAAAGGAACAAGAAGCCAATTGAACCACTAGTCGCAAAGTTGTAATTGCACCCTTCTTGTATATATTTATGTGTCGATAGCTGAAGATACGAAAAGTTTTTGAGCTGGTAAAAAAGGTGCCTTGAAAGTTTATTGCAGAGAAAGGAAATTTTTTTACAATTTGTGAGAAATTTACAATTAAAATTTACTTCTTGGACATCGATTGCATGCTGCTGAAGCCAGGGAATCCGGACATTCCGTTCATTCCGGAGAATCCTCCCATTCCAGGGAAGCTGTTGGCTCCAGAGAATCCATTCATGCCTTGGAGGCCGTTCATTCCTTGGAGACCGTTCATTCCTTGGAGACCGTTCATTCCTTGGAGACCGTTCATGCCTTGGAATCCATTCATTCCCGGGAAGAATCCAGAGTTGCCGCCCATTCCTTGGAATCCTCCAAGACCGGAGAAACCGTTGTTGGAGCCTCCAAGTCCCTGAAGTCCTCCCATGTTCTGCGACTGGCTGAGAATCTCAGCCAAGAGAGTTCTGGCCGAGGTCTGCTGCAGAGCCGACAGAATGTACTGCAGGACTGAAATCTTCTCATTCAGTACCAGAAAAAGACTTGGGTCCTACCGGCAGGGTTCTGGGAGATCATCGAAGCGATTTCGTAGCTGGACAGGCCGTAGGGACTGTTTCCTGGGAAGCGGTTCTGCTGTTGGCCCCAGAAGTTTCCGTTGAGACTTCCGGGAAGTCCAAGACTAGATCCGAACATTCCAGATTGTCCTGATAGTCCGTTCTGACCGGACATGCCGTTCAGACTCATCGGTCCTGAAATCGGAAGCGCTGTGGCAACAGCGAGAGTGCACAGGAAGATTGAAGCCTGGAATCGTGAAAGTTCTTGATTAAAATTAGGAAAAAAAAGGGATGCTTACGGTAGAAGCCATTGTTGAAAGCGAGAAGCTGTTGGAATTCCTTTTTCCGGGGCCACTTTTATACAGTTTCAGCTAACCAATGATCCACCACAATTGTTGCAAACAAGGCTAATGCACACAGTTTTAAAAAAGATGTTGTTTATTTGGTTAAGCAGAACTGTGCGAAGGTTTTTGAAAGTTTATAATTTCGAAGTATAGATCTGTAGGATAAATCTAGAAGAGATTGAAAATATAATATGTTCGAAAATGCATAAAAATTCTCCTTTGAAATTCCCATCAGGGAGACTTCAAGTTAAAAATTTTTTTAAACGTTATTTTTTTATTTTTTCGATCAGTTGAAATGTGATAACGAAAATTTTCCTTCTTTTAAGTCCGTAAGAGTGTCCAAAAATACATTTAAAAAAAAATTAAGGTAGATTACCGTTCAGAGAGCACAAAGTTCTATTATTTGCTCTGATCTTGTTTGCAACAAACTTCAAAGGATCATTGGACAATTGAAACCGTATAAAAGGAGATCTTACTCGATTAAAATCAGCAACTTCGTCTCCAGCGATGGTTTCTACCGTAAGCATCCTCTTTTCCAAACTAAAACAAAACATTTCACGATTCTAGGCTTCAATCTTTCTGTGCACCCTCGCTGTTGCCACAGCGCTTCCGATTTCAGGACCGATGGGTTTGAACGGCATGTCCGGCCTGAACGGACTACCAGGACAATCTGGAATGTTCGGATCTGGCTCCGACTACAGACTTCCAGGAAGTCTTAACGGAAACTTCTTGGGCCAACAGCAGAACCGCTACCCAGGAAACAGTCCCTACGGGCTGTCCAGCTACGAAATCGCTTCGATCATCTCTCAGAACCCTGCCGGTAGGACCAAAGTATTTTTCTGGTACTGAATTAGAAGATTTCAGTCCTGCAGTACATTCTGTCGGCTCTGCAACAATCAGGAATCTCGGCCAGAACTCTCCTCGTCGCCATCCTCAGCGAGTCGCAGAGCAACCTTGGAGGCTTCAATGGATTCTCCGGCAGTGGCGATTTTTTCGGCGCCACTGAAATTGGAAGCTTCCCTGGCTTCCCCGGCATGAATGGACAATCCGGCTACAACGGATTCCCTGGAATGAACGGTTTCCCTGGCTTCAACGAACTCCAAGGAATGAACGGCCTTTCGGGATTCAACGGAATCTCTGGAAGCAGCAGACTTCCAGGAATCGGAGGACCTTCTGGCTACAACGGCATTCCCTCGATCCGCATGAAATAACTCGCAATATCTCACCCTTCTTGTAGAATTTGTATAGTGAAAAGCTTCAATAAACTGTCAGGCATATCATTTTGAGTATGGCTTACGGCACATGGAAATAAAAAAGCAAGCTATTGAAGTTTAACATCAGAAGCGCTGCTGCAATGCTTCTAGCTGTCAAGAAAGAAAATACACGATGGAAAAGCCGCGATTCACAAGTAAATTGAATAAATGAAAATAAAAAGAGCAGTCTATCGAAAACATACTATTATCTAGCCTAAGACCTATTTTTCAACTTTAACACAATAACTTTATTGTCACCGTAGCCTGGTTTTTGATCATTTAAATAGTCCGTATGAATAGGTAAATTAATAAGTACGTAGGCGCGCCGTAGTGCAACAGGTTTTGTGCCTGACTACGGTCCACAGGGTCACAATTTCGACCCCGCCTCGACCCACCCAAGGGGTTTAAAAAATGTTGGTAGCGGGAAACCACGATTTCAAAATCCCCAGCCGTCACACACAAGGACGGATAGGTCACTCGAGCCAGTCCACTGATTATCACTGATATCAGGATAGGACCTCGGCTAATCGACGTGAGGCGTCGACGCTGCTCAAGCCGTACAAAGGCGTAAGAAGAAGAAGAAGAACTAAGCAAACCTTTGAAGAGCTTCCCTTGAAGACCTCGCTTTTTCCAGACTTCTTCTGAGTTTTCATCGAGGTCTGGAGCTGAAAATGTTAAAATTTTTTTTTATCAAAAAAAAAATGCATGCTCCTATTTTCAAAGTAAAAAAAACTGCTAACTGTTTATTGAACTTGTTAAATCGTTAGGGTTAACTTTATCACGTGTTATTCTTCTGCCCATCTCTACCCTCTGTCTTAAAATCCGTATTCATTTTTTTAAAACTCGCTGAGATACTCTGAACTATCATGAAATCATGAAAGCAACAAAAAAAATCGTTTTTTTGTTGGCATTTCTCTTTTGAGCCGAGTTGTTGTGTCTCAAAGGTGCTGGGAACATGACATTCCCCTAGAGGGATTAGCGGGAAAAAGCTTCTATAGGGGACAAAATAATGTCTTTAAAGAAGATCTTTGGAGCGCCCTCAAAGTTGTCCCTCTAGGGATCAACTTGGCGTTCCTAAGTATAATTTCAAAAAATGTTCTCTGTTGAAATCCGGATACTTCAGAGTACATCTGGCCGAAAATTGATATTGAGATTTCAATGCTGGGATTGTTTGTTAGTTCATCAAAATCCCTACTTTCCAAAACTGATGACACATAACTGGCCTTATTTCCTGTTTAGCTTCCCATTTCGCTTCATCAACTTTGAAGGAAGGACATTGTTTCATTTGAATCTTTGACTTCAAGAAAGATGAGCCTACAATTTTCAAGGAATCTCTATTCCATCAACACAACTGCTGTCTTTCAAAAAACTCCAAGGGGAAAACCATCATTTCAATAAAAAAAAATGGAACTCATCCTGACTTTAACTATAAACCTAACTAAAAAGCCGGAAAAATTTCTTTCGTTAACTTTGCTCCGAAAGCCAGCGGAGAACCGAAATTTTTCAACAACGACAGCTATTTATTCAGAAAACATGATACAGAGTAGCAACCTGATCAAACACAACCTTCGACATCATTCATTTTGTTTTGAATCAGTTTTTTGGGACGTTGAAAAAGGGATCCAATGAAACAAGGGGATCAGTATTTGCAGTAGTCATGTTTATTTGAAATTAACAGATCAATGCCCAGGAAATCTCCCATAAAAGGGAATTTTTCGACAAAATTAGTCGTAAGCTTCAGCTTCTTCTCCTTCTTTAAGCAATGGTTTCAGCGGTTGGTTTTTTTATTATTTTGATATTATACATTTTTTTGGTTCTAACACTGCTTTCTGTTTTTCAAAAACTTGGGACACTAGTTTTTTAGCGCTCTCCTGATTGACTACTATTATTCCGTTTCTCTAACCATTTTGCTGAGAGAAAAGAGCACACAAACAGGCTAGACTTCCTCAAATCATGCCGATTTGACTTTTTTTGCATTCTCAAGTTCCAGACCTCAATTCTTTTCCTCACACTCGCCGCACTAGTTGCTGCGGCTCCCACTCCGCCGACTTCAACTATTTCCAATCAGCTGGGTCCGAACCGAAATGGCTTGAACAATGGGCAACAGCGTGAGTCACTTTTTTGACTTTTGGGAAATGATAATTGATTTTCAGCAAGTTCTGGTAACCAAGGCTTTGGAAATCAGGCAGGCCAAAATAATCAAGGCTTCGGAAATCAGCCAGGCCAAAACGGACAGAACTACGAACTGTACAACCTCGGAGGCCAGCCTGACATAAATGGAAACTATGGATCGAGCCAGAATGGTTTCTCTGGTCTTGGACAAACAGGATCGAATGGATTTCCTGGACAGAATGGCTACAACGGAAACTTCGGATCAAGCCAAAATGGTCAGAACAGTCAAAACGGCTTGTCTGGTCTTGGACAGAACGGAATGAATGGACCTTCAGGGCTCTCCGGTCAGAATGGGTTCAACGGAAACTTCGGAGCAAACCAGAATGGCTTCTCCGGTCTCGGACAGAACCAAGGCTTGAACGGCTTCTCCGGTATTGGACAGACTGGATTCAACGGACCTTCCGGGCAGAATGGACTCAATGGAATCTTTGGCTCCAGCCAAAACGGTCAGAATAGCTTCCCTGGCATGTCTGGACTCGGACAAAATGGATTCAACGGAATCTATGGAATAAACCAGAATGGCTTCTCCGGTCTCGGCCAGAACGGCTACAACGGAATTTTCGGTTCCAACGGCATCTCGGGCCTCGGACAGAACCAATACAACGGAATTTCTGGCTTGAATGGCTTGTCTGGCCTTGGTCAGAACGGTTTCGATGGAAACTTTGGATCGAACGACTTCTCCGGCTTGTCTGGTCTTGGCCAAAACGGATTCAACGGCATTTATGGCCTGTCTGGACTTGGCCAGAACGGCTATAACCAAAACTTCGGCTCTAACAGCCTTTACAGTTCCAGACTCTCCGGTCTCCGTGGCTTCAACGGTCTCTCTGAATACGGTGAGTCTTTTTCGGAGATGATTATTGAATTTTTTAAATGTCCTTCACGGAGAAGTATTTTTCTATGATCAACCATTTTTCATAAAACGAGAAGATTTGATTTCTCGAGACCTGGTTTCTATTCAAGTCAGCTTTTCAGGAAACTCCGGCCTCTCCGGACTCGGTCAGAACTACGGATCCAACAGCTATCCAGGATCTAGCCTGAGAAAGTTCCTGGAGCTCATCGGTCTCAGTTCTTCCGGTTTCCACGGCCTTTCCGGCCTCAACCAGTACGGAAGCAGCGGTCTCAATGGTCTCTATGGCCAGTCGGGACTTTCCGGCCTTAACTACAACCGCGGCTTTTCCAACTACGGCCAGAATGGATTGAACAGCCTCTACGGATCCGGCTACGGTCAGGAGTCGGTCTTCGGCAAGAAATAAATTACTTCTTTTATGAATGGATGTATAAATGCATTGTCTGTGAAATAAATCTATTGGCGTAGTTTTGAAAAATTCAATGAAAAAATTAGATCAAATCGGAAAACAGAAAAATAAACTGTTTTTGTACCAAGGAAACTTATTGAACTTTCAGAAATCATTCAAGGTTCCATAAGAAAAAAAACGCCACGAACGCGGAATTTAATGATATGCCAGAGGTCTAAAAAATCACAGCTTGCAGGTTAATATTCCAAATTCCTCCAAAAGTCTTCTTTTTGACTTTTAACTGACGTGAGAAACAAAAAAAAATTTATTTTAATGCGAAAAAGTATTCCTTGGCGCCAAAGTTGCTCCAAACGATAACATTTGTTTTTCGAGATATTTATTGCGTTTTTGGAGCAAGCTTTTCTTCCTTCTAGTTATTATTCCATTGAAAAAAATACTTTTCTTACAACTTAACGCAAAAAAATTAAAATAATTTGACACTGTTGAAGTCAGAAAAAAATAGTGACAAAATGAAAGTAAATTCTTACGTATGTAAACTAAATATTTAAGAATTTACCCAAATTCTTTTTTTGAAACAATTTTTCAGCATAATTTTTTTCCATTTTCAATTTTAAATTTTTTTCCTGCTTGAAATGCCAAATGCGGTACAGAATAATATTGCTATAGAATATTTCCTTTTTTTATTAAAAAAATTCCGTATTTGGAAAAAAAGTTATTTCATAACTGAAGCTTCATTATTTTACATTCCAGCTTTTTGAAAATCCAAAAAAAATATATATAAAAGAAAAAAAGTCTAATTCTCATTTTTAAAAAAAACTTTTTTTGTTCATCATCATTTTTTTCAACCATGAGAGTATCAATCCATCGTTTTTTTCGTCTATTTATAACATAAAGTTGTCGAAAATAAACTGATTACATTCTTTTCATAACCCATTGCATTGTTTCTTTTAAGGCAGAAAATTAAAACCGATCATAAGTTCCAATGAAAAAGTCTATTCGTAACCAGACCAATATAAACTTCTCTTGCTTTTTCAATACCTCCGAAAAACTTTTCAAACAAGCTACACTTCTTGTGCACTTTTCAAATTGATATCCAACAAGTATTCACCCTTTTTCCAGCCATATTTCAAACCACAAAAGCCTGAGAAATTTATTGAAGTGCTTCAAATCACAATTTACAAATTACAAGGAGAAGGATCCAGAATTACTTCTTGGACTGGAAGTTGCCAAAGCGGGGGAAGATGCCGTATCCAAAGACGCCGCCAAATCCAGGAAGTCCTTGAATTCCTCGGAAGCCGCTGGACTCGGAAAGGCTGTTGAGACCAGAAGCGCCGTTGTAGCCTGAGCGACCATTGATTCCAGAACCCATTCCTGGGAAGTTGTTGGCTCCAGAGAATCCATTCATGCCTTGGAGACCGTTCATTCCTTGGAGACCGTTCATTCCTTGGAGACCGTTCATTCCTTGGAATCCATTCATTCCCGGGAAGAATCCAGAGTTGCCGCCCATTCCTTGGAATCCTCCAAGACCGGAGAAACCGTTGTTGGAGCCTCCCATGTTCTGCGACTGGCTGAGAATCTCAGCCAAGAGAGTTCTGGCCGAGGTCTGCTGCAGAGCCGACAGAATGTACTGCAGGACTGAAATCTTATCATTCAGTACCAGAAAAAGACTCGGCTCCTACCGGCAGGGTTCTGGGAGATCATCGAAGCGATTTCGTAGCTGGACAGGCCGTACGGACCCATTCCTTGGAGCCGGTTCATTGGGAGCTGCTGTTGGCCCAAGAAGTTTCCGTTGAGACTTCCTGGAAGTCTGTAGTCGGAACCAGATCCGAACAGTCCAGACTGTCCTGATAGTCCGTTCTGGCCGGACATGCCGTTCAGACCCATCGGTCCTGAAATCGGAAGCGCTGTGGCAACAGCGAGGGTGCACAGGAAGATCAAAACCTAGATAGGTTTAAATTATTGATCTGATTTAAGGAAAAATGATGCTTACAGTAGAAGCCATTGTTGAAAGCGAGAAGCTGTTGAAATTAATAATTAAAAACCGCCTTTTATACAGTTCCATCCAACCAATGATCCGAAAAATTTTGTCGCAAACAAGGCCAATGCACACAAATGTCATTTCAACACTTGGAGAAGGATGTTTATTTGCTTAATCAGATCTGTTCAAAGATTTTTGAAAATGTATGGCCTCGAAGTGTGGATTTGGAGAAGTAACCATGAGAAACATGAAGGAGAAGCTCAATTTCTTCTGATTTACGGAAATATGAATTTTAGAATCGTTTTGTAATCAGTTGACTAGTGAGAATAGATTTCTGAAGCTTAAGGAAATCAAAAAAATGCAATGAAAAATTAATAATTTGTTTTTAAGGTTTTTTTTTCTGAAGTCAGTTTGTAACGGACTTTTTTGAAGCTTCATTCAACAAAAATTCCCCTACATAATGGATTTTAATCAAAGTTGCGTTTGTTTAAAAAAAACACAATATCATTTTGCGTCTTTTAATTCATTTTCCTGCTCTTCTCCATCATCAATTTCATAGTTACTTTCCAAAGTTTCCATAAGAACACCGTAACAAATTAAAGCTCAAAGGACAGAAAGTTCTAATATTTGCCTCGGCCTTGTTTGCAACAGAAATCCGACGGATCATTGGACAGTTGAAACCGTATAAAAAGAAATACTGAACGGCGAAAAAAACCAGAAGCTTCGTTTCCAGCAATGTTTTCTACCGTAAGCATTCTTTTCCGACTTCGAATCAAAATTTCGGTTTTTCCAGGCTTCGATCGTCTTGTGCTTATTTGCTGTTGCGACAGCGTTTCCAATGCCTGGTCCGAATGGCTTGGCAGGCATGAACGGACTGGATGGGTCAACCGGTGTGATCGGAAACGGACAAAGTCTTCCTGAAGGCCTCAGTGGACTTTCTGGACAATCTGGAATGTTCGGATCTGGTCTGGGACTTCCAGGCAGTCTGAATGGGAACTTCTTGGGACAACAGCAGTTTCCAATGAACCAGTTCCAAGGAAACAGTCCTTCGAGCTACGAATTTGCTTCGATAATCTCTCAAAACCCTGCTGGTAAGATTTCAAAACTTCTCAATCCTTCATTTTGCAAGAACGCGTGCGTTCGCGAAGCGGGTTTTCGAAAATAATAAGAAGTTTCCTTGACCTAGGCGCTGAATAGTTTCCTTCACGATATTCGAAACCGCAAGATTTAAAAAGTCAAAAATCTAGCTTTCCGAACTACAGAAACTCGAGTTTCGTACTGAATAGCCATGTTTCAGCTCTGCAGTACATTCTGGCGACTCTGCAACAATCTGGAGCCTCGCCCAGTTCCTTGTTCGATAAAATCCGAGGCCAGCAGCAGAACAGCTTCTCTGGATCCAACAACTTCCCGGGAGCTCCTTCCCGCGACTTGTTCGGACCTGAGAACTTCCCAGGAATGAACTCTGGCTTCGGAAGTCCGTCTGGATCCAACGGCTTCTTCGGGCCTGAGAACTTCTCCGGATTCCGTCGTCTTCCAGCTATGAATGGACGTTACAGCGATGATTCTGGAGCCAATGCCTTTCCAGGAATGAACGGCCCAAGTGGAAACAACGGACTCCCCGGTTTCAATGGTCTTTCTGGGGACAGCTATCCTAGCTTTCCTGGAATGAACAGATTCTCCGGACTCAGTGGAAACAACGGATTCTCTGGAACCAACAACTATCCTGGAAACAACGGATTCTCCGGCCCCAGCCTTGCCCGAGACAGCTTCCCTGCCTTTTCCAGCTTCGGAGGTCTTTCTGGCCAGAACGGCCTCTCAGTAATCGGCAACTATCCTAGTCAAAACGGAATTTCCGGACTCGGCGGTTCCAACAGCTTTCCTGGCCTCGGATACCCTTCCCCTCTTTCCAGATTTCAAAACTTCCCAGGATTCGGCTCTCAACAAGACATGAACCAAGGATCGAGCGGTCTTACTGGCTACGGTGGAATCTCCGGAATGACTGGACAGCTCACCCTCAACTTTAGCAAGAAATAGAAAGAGAAACCTCGTTTTATTGTATAATTTTGTTTATGTAGTATAAAGCGTCTATATTTCTGGTGATTCTTGGGGAAAGGAAGGAACAATGATGCCTCTTTAGCTTTTTGGTATTTCAAATCGAAATAAGTGTAAATTTTGACATTGGAAGATTTTTCAAAAATTCGAGTTTTTTCGACAACTTTGAGCAAAGTTACCGGGAAAAATTCCATTTTTACCCCAAAAATCCCATTTTTTCCCAAGGAGCTCAATTCACTGAAAAATCCAGAAATGTTTCCAAATATGCTCATCTACTTCCTAAACCTCATATTTGTACAAGATCAGGTCCGAAACTGTTCTGTGCCAGTGGAAAACCTCAAACACAACAGTTTTGGGCGAAGCAAGCAGTTTCCGCTTTACATTGACAAGGACGCCGTGAAGTCAATGAAAAAGACGGCCGAAAAAACTACACACACACAACGGACTCCCCCCATTAAATGTTGTGAGAATGAGAAAGAATAGTAGGAAAAAAGCGCTTCAAACACTGACAAGCCTCGATAGAGACACCAGAGACACTGAATGAGAGCGGAAAAGGAGAAGCGGAACTTGACTGTAACAAACGCCTGAAACCTCTTAAGGGCATCGTATATAAAGCCAAGGGGGAACGTCAATTGGCAACATCTTCGGCGCCTCTTCTCCTCTTCCGACTTCCCTCTTGACTTTCAATGCATTTCAAATTGAACTGGTTTTACTTTAGGATTTTGAAGCTTCTGGAGTCTTTTTGATCAAGAATTTTTCAAAAGTTCAAAGCCTCCAGATAAAACGAACTTTTTTTTCCAATTGTAATCTCATCCCTGAAAGCTTAACTAAAACATCATTCGATCATGATTTTCTTAAAAATTCCGAGACTTACTTCTAAGGTTCCACCAGAATTATTCCGAAACTATTTCCTTTGATGAATTGAAAATTCCCCTTCAAAACCCTACTATAATTCGGGAAGAAAAGCTTCATAATACAAAAAAACCTCTAAAACTCGAACTTTCAAACATTAATCTGGAAAATTCTTTCGGAAACTCATACCGAGAACATCTTCCTTTGAAATTTGAAAATTCAAAATTTTCCTGGACCTCACGAAAGTTAAAAAAAAATCTTGTTTTTCATCTTCTACTTCGCATTATATTTTCTCACACCAAAGCTCTATCCAAAGTTCAAGTTCTGAAAATTCAGGCCATGTCGTTCGACGATCCAAAGAAGCTCCAGCAAGAGACGGAAAACTTCCGCAAGCTTGCCTTCACCGGTCAGTCCTTTGAATCTCTCTTAAAGAACCTCTTGAATTGAATATTTTCGGATAAATCGTCTTAGAAACCTCTTACAGCTCAAACCAAGCTGAATAGTAAAAAAAGCTTCAATAAAAAAAATACTCTCAGGAATCGTCATTTCGACAATCGCCACGCTGACGGCAATCATCGCCGTGCCCATGTTGTACAACTACATGCAGCACGTTCAGTCCTCGCTTCAATCTGAGGTTCGTCTCAGTTCAAAATATGCATATCAAGAAATCCTCCTTTACAGGTCGATTTCTGCCGTCACCGTACCGACAGCTTGTGGCAAGAATACCAAAGCGTGAGTAGTCCACATTTTCCACCAAAAATCTTCAAAGGAAGTTCTTTTAATTTCCAGATCCATTGAGCCACTGAGAAATAATCCTTCGATGAGATAAATTACACCAGATCATGTTCACAATCTAACTTCTCGAACCTGATACTAACCTATGCAAACTCCTCATTTCCAGTACCAAACCGTGACCGGAGTCACCGGCCGCATCAAGCGCTCCACTCAACACCGTGCCGCCGGCGTCGCCTCTCACCACCGTAGCCCGATCCGTCGTCAAGCCTACGGTGACGCCGCCGTCGGAGGCTCTTCCTCCAGCGCCGGAGGCAGCTGCTGCTCGTGCGGAGTCGGAGCCGCTGGACCAGCTGGTGCTCCAGGAGCCGACGGAAACCCAGGACGCGACGGTGAGGCTGGAGCTCCAGGAGCCCCTGGATCTGACGCCAGCGACGACGGATCCTCTTCTGCCCCAGAGTTCTGCTTCGACTGCCCACCAGGTTTGATATTCTTACGAACCCAAACCAAAAAACTGCTTTTCCAAGTCACCAAACCGTAGAAATTACACTTTTGATCTATTAGGTCAAAAGAACTATACTTAAAGTCCTCTTAAACATGATAAAAAACGAAATATTCTCAGGACCAGCCGGACCAGCTGGACGACCAGGACCAAAGGGAGCTCCAGGAGCCCCAGGAGCGCCAGGAAGCGGCGGCGGCGCTGCTCGTCCAGGACCACCAGGACCAGCCGGACCCGCCGGAGCCCCAGGAAACGACGGACAGCCAGGAGCCCCAGGAGCCCCAGGAGCTCCAGGACAGGTCGTCGATGTTCCCGGCACTCCAGGACCAGCCGGACCACCAGGACCACCAGGACCGGCCGGAGCTCCAGGACAGCCAGGAGCCCCAGGACAATCCTCGCCAGGAGCCCCAGGACCAGCCGGAGACGCCGGAGCACCAGGAGCGCCAGGACAGCCAGGAGCGCCTGGTGAGAACGGCCCCGACGGAGATTCTGGCAACGGCGGCAGCTGCGACCACTGCCCACCACCTCGCACCGCCCCAGGATATTAAAATGTCCTTCCTGTCTAGTCTTTTTCAATTTCGTACAACGACATTGCCAAAAGGGTATCACCGCATGTCACAGTCTTTCTATCCTTTTTTCCCAAGGAATAAAAATTTCTTACAAGCTTTGTTGTCAACCGATTGAAGAGCAGAGAAAAAAGAACTTCAAGAGACCATCCCATCTAGGATAAAGTCCAATAGGCTTCTCGAAAAAATCAAAAAGAAGAACCACAACTTCTTGATATTTTCTTTAAAAATGGTGCCGCGTATATTCCTCCTTCCTTCCTTCCTTCCTTCTCTTTTCTAAACTTTCCTTTTCCCCGAAAAACTAATAAAATGAGCTAAAAGTAAGGAAGTTTTTTAATGGTCTCGAATCGAACATTTTTACATTATTCTATGTGGCAAGGGGGTTTTGAAAATAATAGAAATGGTCCGTTTTAAATCATAAACATTTTCTTTCTCACCCGAATGTTTCGTTCGTTCAAATTCATTAAAATGAAGTCTCCTCGAGATAAGAACTGAAATTTTCCTTTCAGTGTAGTTGAAAATAACGAGATAGCAACAGTCTCTGAAACAGGGCGTTTTTTCGACGATGCCCCGCCCATTTTATCTCCGTAAAGCTTCATGTGTCTTGTGCATGCACTGCGCCGTAATCGCGCAGAAAATTGTTTTTATGTTGTGAGAATTTTTATTTTTATTTTATTTTATCATGTTTTTTTATGTTGTGAGAATTTCATTCGTCTCAAAGACCTTTGGCATTGTGGTTGCCTGCGCTTTTAATAAGCCTTGTTATTTACGCTTTTCGAGCCGAAATCTCTGCCGCTTCCATGACGTCATATAAGAACAGCAGTGGTTTCGGCTCCGCTTACTTTATTTTTCAAATCGCGTTTTCTTCCACTAACACAAAAGCCGTGTGAAATAAACTGTTTAATGCTCTTAGGCATTCCATAGTGTTCCCTATAGGGGGGAAAGGGGGGAAAAACCACTATAGACACCGAAAAAGTGGTCACTGTAGGGGCAAAATTAAGGTGGTCCCTTAAAAAATAAAGAGTCTCAGATCCCTTAGCCCCTAAAGCTCAAGTGGACCTTTTAGGGGTTTTTCAATTTCGTTCAAAAATGCTTACTCAGCTTTTCCCATAGATTTTTTGAATGTATCGATTAGCATGTCCTCTATAGTGGCCACTAACTGAAAGGGTTGCCCCTATAAGGGCCCCTTTGAAGTTCCTAAGAGAAAATTAGAAAAAAGCCGTGAACTCACTTTTGGAAGTAGACAGTTGCTTTCCGATTTCCTCGAGCCAAAACTCGGTGAACTTGTAATTTCTGAATCATAACCTAAAGAAAGATTAAATTCTTGAAAAAAATCCTTATGAAAAATCTCGTAAGTACATCACCGCATGTTACAGGAAAAAAAAGAACTCATATCACAATCAAAATAATTTATTTATCTTTCTCAATCAAAACCAAAAACAGATGAACGAGCAAAAAGAACAGCTCGATGAAGGAAATGATACAAATGCCCATGAGGACGCCGAGAAGGCCGCCGAGGTACGAGATGAACTTGTTCAACTGAAAGTATGTTTATTTTTTTGATTTGATTTGGAAGGCTGAAGGCTGACATCCATCGACTTGGTCTCCTGGTAGATTTGGTAGTCCAACTTGGGTAGATTTACGGTGATCAACGTCTCATCGGTATACCTTTCCATGCAGATAGAAACATTGCTAGCCTCGCGGCATTCGACTGGCTGAAAATTAGGGAAAAATGTGATTTGTCGAGTGAAATCCTCTCACATAATCAACAAATCGGTTGCTACTCCAGGTAACCGAATAGGCGATATTTTCGCAGGGCAACGGACAAACGCAGCTTTTCCACGTGGAAGGGTCGCCAGCGTTGTCCGACGCGTCGATCACACAGTTTCCTGGGAAAAAAGTGAAAGTTTTCTTATAATTTTCACAGTTAATTTGTCTTGACTCGGAAGGCGATTAAAGCATGATCATCGTAAAAACGCGGATATAGCCGATTAACGGTTAACTTGGAACTCTGAATGGGCGTGGCCTGTCTGCACTCTCCACCAGCCAGACACTGTCTCTTTTTCTATCGTGTCAGGGCCCTTTTTTCGATGGCTCAAGTCAACCGTGAGTCCGCTATGTTGGCCGGAAAAAAAAATTCAAAAGTAGTTTTTTTCTGCGAAAACCTTTAGTGGCCACTTCAGGGTTTTGACGTTTTAGTGGCCACTATAGTAGTCAAATTAATTGCCACTTCAATGTCTTCTTCTCGAGGGACTTCTCACCACTATGAAAAATGCTCGCAGTTTTTAATACTTTTCTACTATGGTTTACTGGTTAGTATGAGTGAATAAGATTTTTGCCTTCCAAGTCTGCAAAGATTTTTATAATCTATATCGATTTTTACTTTGTTCCAGTTGACAAGTAGTCGTTCCGTTTGGCATCGGGTACCTGGGATCCATGCATTCGCACTTTTGTTCGAGCATATCTTGATAGCAGGTTCTGAGACACCCCTGAAAGTTCAAAAAAATATAGATTCTAATAAAGTTTATAAGTAACGAAAAAGTTTGTAAACTGAGACGAACGGGAAGATAACTTTTTGAAACTTTTTAACGAGAACTTTAATAATCAAAAGTTTTTTTCAAAAAAAATATAAGTGATTTTTCATATTGAGTTTCAAAAAAAGTTCGAATTTTTCCCAGTACAATGAGTCAATTTTCCAATGCTTCTGAAGTTTTGAGTAAAATCAGCCACCCTTCCTTTTCAAAAAGAGAATATCATTAAAAACATATCTTGAAAAAATATCTGCAAAAACAGAAACAAAACTAAGAGGGGATAGAAATTTGTAATTTCTGAAATGCATCCTTCAATTTTTTTTTTTACAAAAGAGCCTCACATCTGTAGTGTAGGCTCCAGGATAATAATACGCCGCGACTTCGGAAATATTCCTGACGCAAACTCCGTAACTGCCGCCGAGACGTGTATATCTGTCCTGAAGACATATTCATTTTTTTGTTTCAGTCAATTCAGATTTCAAACTTGAAAAAGAGCTAAAATTTTCTTTTTTTTGACAAAACCTAACTTTTCTCTGCTTTTATCAAACTTTTTGGCGTTTTTGGACTTAAACCGCCTCTGTAAGTCATTATTTTGCTTCTGAATGACAACTAAAGTACTTTTTTTTCGATCTAGTATAATCTTTCAGACTTTAAAAACTCCTCTTAATTCTAATTCTTCAAGTGTCCGCTAATTTAACTGCTACAGTGGTCACTAAAAACTTCCTGATTAGATTTTAAAATACGCTAAAAAGTTCTCTCGAGGCTTTTATTCAGAAGTTTCTTCTAGACTTTGCCTATTAGTTTCCTCTTTAGAAAAAAACTTAAAATTTCACATTTTCATCTGAAAGTGCTAAAATGTTTGCAAATTCGCATTTTTCTATTTTTTTCTCTTGGAAATTTCCCACTTTTTCCAACTCACATCGTAAACATTTAACATGGTTCCAGTGCTCGGCTGAGCATTATACCGAACAGATTCCGAAAATACGTAGTCATCTTTGTCGTGAATAAAGACCAAAATCGCGGAAACATCGGTCCACGGCGCGTATTCATCCTGCCGGACTCTCATCAGAGCTTGTAAACCTCAAATCAACCCTTTCTACATTTTTTTGATTGCAAACATTTTTGTCTTCACTTTATAAATAGTTCTGCCATTTTATTATTATTTATTTCTGTTCTAGTTTCAAACCATTTTTTCCACACTTTGTCAAAAAATCAGTATAATTTTAAAAAGATTGCCAAAAAAAACGTTCAAAAAAAGCACAAAAAAACTTATCGGTCTGATATTTTTTTACAGTCGTGACTAAAAAAAAATTTGAGAAAACAAAAGTTGTGATCATGAAATGATAACGATCAATAACACAAAAAAAATTCCGAATCGAGAAAACCGAGTTTGAACATTAAGATCGGTGAACTTAAAGCTAGATACTTTATGAATTATATTTAAAAAGCAAGGGAAAAAAATCTGAAAAATTATATTTTTTTGGAAAAAAACGAAAAAGACAGTGCAACTATGAGTGATGTAAAAATCAAAGGATCAAAATTGAAAAAAATTTAAGAATCAGAAAAAAACCGAGTTTAAATATTCAAATAGTTGGGTTCAGTACGATTACTACACGCAAAAAGATGCAATTGGACGTTTTTTTTCCAGTTTTCTCGGGTAAATTCGAATTGGTGGATAATGGCCGCTAAAAAGGAGAGGCTCAGAGAAGGCCGCAAAAAGCAACAAAAAGAATCCCTTTATCGAGCCTTCAAATTTTTTTCTGGGATTTTTAAAGGCTCGAGAGATAGTGGAAAAAGGGGAGAGGCAGCGAAAATAGTGTATAAGAGCCGATGAAACAACGCAAAAAGTTAAATTTTTAAAAAAATGAACTATGAAGAAGCTTAAAAAAATCCATTACTTTTTTTCTTCCCAGAGAAAGTTTTATTGAAACTCACCGCCAGGAGCTCCCAACATCCTTCTCTCGAACGTCTCATTGCTGTCCCTATAATTGAACGTGAAACAATTTCCCAGCACTACGTCGTTCCATTTCACAATGTCTTTTCTGTAAAAAAGGCCTTGAAAAGTTAATTTTTCTGTGAAATTACTCATAATTAAGCCGCTTTTGTTCAAAAGCGATCCATTCGAACAAATCCTCGGCGGTCCAACTCAACGAGGTTCGATTGCTCTCGTCAAGCATCCCGACGATGAAAGGCACCAGATCTTTGATCATCGACGGATTGTTCATCAACTCGTTCAGCAACTGAACGAGGTCCAAAACTAGACTTGTTCTGCGCCATTTGGGTTTAGGCTAAGTCAAAAAAATGGCGTTTCGTTAAATTTATCTCAGAATCAAATATGTTGTTGAACCCAACTTTCAGGATTTTTTGAAAATATACTCACTCGACAAGTTTTCAAGATACGGTAACTCGAAGGATTACGGTAAAAAACTTCGAAAATCTCGACAAAAGATCAACTCAATCAATGTTTGTCACAAGGTGTAAAATAATTTTTATTCAGTTTTTTTAAAAAAATCTAACATCTCACACTTGCTCATTATTGCTCGTACTATCTATTCAAAAACCTTTTTTGGACCATTTTGAAACACAGGAAATTTTTAATTTTGTCAACGCTCGTCCAATACTTAAAATGATTTTTGGACTAACCATGAAAAAAATTTTTTTTTCTTTCAAAACTCACCGCCACCATCGTATCGTCGATCTTTCCGTAGACCGCCGTCAGCACGTCGTAAATAATGATGCCTACACCACTTATCTTACAACTTTTCCCGGGCAAGAGCCAAACTCAGATCACAATTGGCCATGATCCACATCTCCGTACAGTTACAAGTGTATCCTTTCAGGACGTTTGTACAAACGGCGCCGTCGTCCTTTGAATTACAGGGCGTTTTGATCGACCGGCCTTTTTTGTCGGTATAGGGGATACAGTAATCGACAACTAACAAATTGGGTGATGAGGAATCGACAAGGAGCGGAATATGTTAACGTTCTGAGCAGTTGACGCCGCTGGAGCCGTCGGGACAGTCGCAGTCGTAGCCGAGGAACTTCGGAGTGCAGACGCCGCCGTAGAGACACGGATTCGGCTCGCAGAAGTTGGTCACTTGAAAGCTTCTCTTTCACATCATATATTATAATCCGAAATGCTACCAGGAAAATTTTTGAAGGCCACTTTTTAGTTTTGACGTTTTAGTGGCCTCTAGTAGTCAAGTAAGTGGCTTCTTCATAAGTCTTAGTGGTACTACTTCACCACTAAAAACTACTATAGTGGTCACTAAGACAAAATAATAATAGGTTCTAAAAAAGTGGTTTCAGTGGTCACTTTAGTGCCTTCTTCAAAAGCCCGTGAGGTACCTCTTTTGTGGCCCCTAGAATTTTTCCCGAAACTGTCCATTTTTGGAGACTTGAAAAGTCGGGACTACTCTGCGCCCTCTCATATTTTCATGCTATTTCTATGTTAATCTGCCGGTGAGGGAACGGAGCCCCTCAAGTTCTGAGAAACTCTAGTATCACTTAAGACGCCGCTAAAGAGATCACTAGAAATGCTCATACGGGACGCGTCTGGTTAGCTTTACTAACTTAAGATTATCTAGGAATATGAAAATTTGAAGAAGTACAAAAATTTTTCGCGCTATTTTTGAAAAAAAAATCTTCTCGAGAAACTATAAATTTTCAACAAAAAGGCTCCTAGAAAACGACTCAACTCCTTGTTTCTAAGTGGATTTTTCAAAAAACCTATGGTTTATTAAACTTTTATATAATGATAAATCACAAAAAAAAATAAACAAACTTTCAGCGCAAGTAGGACCAGTCCATCCGTTGTCACAGGTACAACTGAAATCCATCGGATCGACGCCCGGAACTGCCTCACATTTTCCGTGAACGCATGGATTATTGTAGTTACATCGGTTCACGACTTGAACCATTCAAAAAGTAATCAGTGCCAAAATGAAAAACAAACATTCACATCGATTTCCATAGTAATACTGAAGACAAGCGCATTGGAAATCGCCAGAATCAAGAGTCGTACAAGTTCCTCCGAAAAAACAAGTTGTCGAGTTGCAAATTTCAACTTCTGAAACAAATTTTGATCACGCAAAATCGAAAAAAACTAAGAAGAAAAAAAATATGAAACGAGTTTCTTTTTAAAATTCAATGTAGAAAAAAATAAGAAGCAAAAGATTTTTTTCTGGGGAATGTTGAGAAAATTGGACGATCTTTTCCTTTTCGAAAACTGTTTCTCCAAATGTAGTGTATTAAAAAAATCCTTCTAAAACGTTCAAAAATTATATTCAATACAGTTAAAAAAATGTGAAAAAGTCGAAAAAAATTCGATTTGACGAGAATGCGCGTCGAGTTTCAGTTGAAACGCGTTTGATCCACAATGCGTATATTTGAAATATAGTATCCCCGAAAGGTGAGAAATTCATTTTGCCTTTCTTTTGTTTTCTATGATTTTTTTCATTCAATAATCATTATAAAAATTGAAAAAGAGAGTAGCTCTAATAGGAATTTTTGAGAATAAGAAAACTTGAGGATTTTTCCATTTTTTTTTTTCTTTCTTCTACATTTTTTTCACCTACTTTCACATGTTTTGCCGGAGAATCCGTCGGGACAGACGCAAAGATAATTATTATTAGGTTTTTCGAGGCAAGTTGCATTGTTCTGACACGGGTTCCGAGTCGCAAGCGAACACGACCGCTGAAATAATTCGAAAGTTTTTTTTTCTTGGTATAATCCCACGCGTTTCACAGTTGTGACCGGAGAATCTGGGATTGCAAACGCAACTGTAGCCATCCAAGTTGTTCACGCAAATTCCTTGATCCCAGTCAGCATTGCAGAGGGTTGGGTCATTCTCGCAGCGGTTTTCTTCGTATTCTGAGAACTTTTCAGAATTGGCTTGAAATTGAAAAGCTCGAGTTTTTTAGTCATTTTCGAAGAAAAAACGCTGAACAACACAGAAAAAAGTTCACCTTTATCCGTATTATCATAGACCCAACATCGGTTCTCCACTTTTCCACATTGCTCGGTATCATTACCGGGACACGAAGTATCGCAATCCCCGTCGTTGTGAAATTCTTCGGTCATTGGATTTTCTTCGCCGTGATAACAATCAGTTCCACAAACGGCTGAAAATAGATGAATTTTGATATATGCGATCATGTTCGATCGAAGTAGAACCAAAAAAGTCGCTTTTCGCATTTCGAGCCGCATCTCGACAAAGTTCGATGGTCATAGAAGGGTCGGAAAGCATGTCATACGAAGTGCTGGTCAGATTTTCGTTGTACTCGTAGCATCCTTCTTTGATCGGGTTCCCTGGTGAAGTCGTTGATTGGGAGGTTATTTTGAGTGAGAAGGAAATAGTTTTAGAGGAAAAAAAGCCTAAAATACAAACAACCAAAACACAAACACTTGAAAATTCCTAATGTACATTTAAAGTTTGAGTTTTAGACAAATATGAAGTTTTACTTCCGAAAGAAAAAAGAGTGGAGCTATTCAGAAAATTGAAAGACTTTTTCTTTTTCCCAGGGTTCGCAGCGGATTTTGAAACCTTTCGAATCTTCCTGATAAATTTTTGGCTTTGGTAATTTCGAAGTTGATTTTCCTGCTCTTTGAAAATTCAAGAAAATCTCACAAGATAGAATATTAGACTTGTAACAGTTGCGGTTTTGCCAGTCCTCCGTGCAATTACAATAATAATCCGTCCCATTATAGACAGCTTCGCAGGTAGCGCCGTTTCCACATAGGTTTTTGTTGGCACACCAATCCGTCACTAAAAAAGACCGTTCAAAATTGATTTGTTCTTACAGGGGATTTTTTTAAAAAAGCCCTCGGTTGAACTTTTAATGAAACTTGGCTGAGGTGTATCTCCCATTTTAGAGACTGCAACAAGTTTTCAAGATTTTTCGATCTCTGGAATTACTATGGGTTGATAGCTGCTTCAATTTCCTACTCAGAACAGTTCGTTTTTCCGGACCTTCTCTCTAGAACAAAAACTCTCGCAATGGTACTCATTTTTTCAAGTTATGGAGCTTCAAAACCGTCAAATAATGCCTTTTTTCCATTATTTATGAAGTTCACCGTCTTATTGAAGTTAAAACTCGAAAACAAGACCTATTGCAAAACTTTTTCTTGTCTTGAAGCACTGATAACCTAATTTTCATCAAAATTTCGACCGTGGGTTAAAAAATCCCCTTGCTGGAAAAAAAATTACTTTCACAGTCGTCGCCGTAATAGTTGTCTTTACAGGTGCAGCTGTAAGTGTCTCCATTTCCCAAGGGAGTACAAGTTCCGCCGTTTTGACACGGCTTAACCGTACAAGCGTCTCCGATTTCTAGGGAAAACGTTATGTAAAAAGTTTGTAAAAATAAAAAAAACTAGGAAAAGCTTTATGAGTTCAGTACAGAACTAGGAAACCTTAATAAAGTTTTGAAAAAAGTCAAAAAAAATTCCACGAAACTGGTTTTTAAATGTATTAAATGTGTACACTACCAGTAATAGAACCTCAAATTCAGCTTTGAAAATTGGAAATATATATAACTTCTCGGACCTTGGTGACGCGAAAAAAAACCTGCCCGGAATCGGAACATTTCTATTGAGCACTTTAGAAGCGTCAGCGCTCTTAAGTGATCCCTAAGACTTCTCAGAAATATTTGGAGCCCCTCTGGTTTTCATCACCGAGGTCCAAGGTATACCCCCCTTTCTCTCCGATTTATCAATGGAGCGCACAAGCTCTGACATTTTGAGATTTTTTTCCTCTTTTTACAATATTTTCCATTTACCTTTTTCAATTACCTACCTGTATTACAGTCGTCGCCACCGTATCCAATTTCACAAACACATTGGGTAGTACCTATCCCGTTGATGCATCGATAATGGCCATTTTTGTTTTTGCAACTATCCGCGTTGCAGTTTTCATTTACTGAAACTTGTTTTTGAAAAAAAAAACATTTACAATATTATCAGGCTACGATACTTCATGTGAATTTTGAAAAAAAGAAGACGAAATTTTAGGGTAACACTTCCTTCTTTATGTGACGAGATAACGGATCGAATTCTCGGTTTATCAAAATGTCAATGGGAAATTGCATTGGTCAGCATTCCCATTATGAAGATCAAGGAATAGTTGATATGGAAGAATGGAAATTTCTGTAGAACTTCCTTGTTTGAAATTCCTTTCATTTTGAGCAGTGAAACATTCTTACTAAAATTATCTTTATAAAAAAGTGAAACTTTCTTTTTTGAAACCCCTCACAAAAATTTCAGTTACGGAAGTTCAAAGTTTGCATTTTTCGCAAATTTATGAATAATTCGAGACTTACTTTGCAACTTTGAAAATTAAAAACTTTAAAAATAATCTAAACAATAACGACAAAGTTTTTCCTAGTGACTTTAAGAGAGTGACCGACAAGGGAACTTTTTTAGTCTCCCCGTTGACTTTCGATAAACTTTGCTGAAATGTAATCTAGGACCTTTCGATTTTAAAACGAGAGAAAGACTTGCGGTGCACTTGTTTTCGAATTATCACTTTAAAATTCGCAAAGTTCAGAAAGTGGAGGTTAGTATACTTCGCGGTTGGGATTTCCTGAAAATTGACCGGAACGATCCTCGATGTACCAAAAGTAGATTCTGAGCGTTTTAACCTGCGAAACTTTCTAGTTTTTGAGAAAAGACACCTTAAAGAAAACCATCAAAATCTATAAAAATAGGTCGTTTCGAGGCTTTAGGCCCTTATTTCTCGAAAACGAAGAAATTGTGAAAACTTGCAGGATCCTCATCTGGTACAGGAAATTCCCACCCGCAAAGTGTGACATCCCTTGTGAGTTAAGTCAAATCAAGGCTCAAAAATCTACCTTGTTGGTAAACGAGAATTCGAACCTTAACCCTAAAATAACCGCCGTTGTCAATGAAAACCGGCAAAATTCCATAAATTGAATGGAACCTGTATCACAGGTGGCAGGTTTGCTGCTGACACCGTTGACACAAACACAATCATCGATGGAACTACAGCCGAGTTGACAAGTTTCAGTAGAATCTTTGTCGGCGATCATAGTTTGGGTCGGCGACTTGCAGAGGCCGAAGTTCCGACAGCCGTGTGGGGGATTCGAGTTGGCCGGTTGGCATTTCTTCGGAGCAGCGCTTGATAAGAGAAATAAATGGAGAGGAAGAAGAAATAACAGTTGAAAACCCATTTTCCATTCGCTCAGCTCTTTGGTCGAGAGCTTCTGAGCCGTTTTTTTCACGCTTTTCGTCTCGTCGCGCCGCGAACAATGGTTGCCATGGACCGTTTCATTCATTATTACAAAGTTTAGCAACTTTTTCTGAGTCAAGTGGAAAAAAGACGTCAGAGAAAAAAAAAGGATTTAAAAATATAAGCAAAAAGTTTTGCAAAAATGATAAGCTTGTGGTGCTCTTCTTCCAAGCGAGCTTATTGAAAATTTCAAAAAAATAAAAAAAAGGAAAAAAAATATTTTTTAAAAAGGCTTCATAATTTGAAAAAAAGTGAAATTGGAAATTTCTCCTAGTCAAAATAATTTATATTCAAAAACTTTGGTTCACTCAAAATATTACCCAATGTTTCTTTTTTTGAAGGCATAGGGGCAGTAAAAAACGGTGTTTCAGTTCGAAGCTGTATCTTGTAGTTCTTTTCATTGCGAATCGAACGGAATACTTGAAAATGTACAGAAGTTCCTTTTTTCGGAGAGAAATTAATTCAAAGTCGGAGAGAGAAACATTTGAGTTTCCGACAAAAGGGCGTTTTGCAGTAAAGTTGCTCTATGGATAACAGGCATCGCAATTTTTTTAGTTTTCCCTTTTTTATTCGTTTCTTCCAATCTTCAATTTTTCATGATGTCACCAAAGTTCTTTTTGTCACATTTTCGTCTTTGGGTGCCCCTGTGCCTTTAAACTTTAAAGCTACTTGAAAGCCCTGCTTTCTTGGTCCTCGAACACTACCAAGATCGGAAAGTGAAACTAAAAGGTATCCCTTTCTTTTAGAGGTTGTCAGTGTATTTGAAGAACCTGTGGACCCAGTAAAGGTCCGGAGGTGATTTATTAAAGTTTCTCTACAAACTGGTTACCTAAATCGATTGTAATGACAGTGAGTCATGGAAGACCGTTGGTCAAGGGGCGAACACACTACAAATGATTGTCCTTGGTGTTTTCGAAGTTCTCTCACGCGACCTTCCAATTTTTCTTCTCAAAACTGCAGATAAGCCGGAAGGAAAGATAACCGTACATACACACCAAACAAGGCGAGGTGGTTGGGACATTTCGAAATGTCACCGAGAATCGTGGCAAACACAAACTGTTTTCCTTTCCCGACTACGGTTTCTATTCGTTCTTTGATCGAACTTCATCGACTGTCTATTGCGATCGCTTGCTGATATTAGCCCCACCCCGGCCAATATATAAATTGTTTTTATCAGTGGGAAACTCCCTTCTTTTCTATCCGTTTTTAGTAGTTTTTTCCGCTTATTCACTTTCATGTACGTTGAAAGCTTCTCACCCTCTATCAATTTTGGAAAATGAAAAAGTTCTCGTGGAACTCACAAAAGTACAATTCGAAGTGACTATCAACACGACGCGCCCGACCTAAAGTGGTTTGCGCGGTTGGCCATCCTTCAAGTACAATATTTCAAATGCAAAACATACCGAAACGTGAAACCAGACTACATACGAATTCAAAGTTTTATGTATGAAAAAAAAATTCTGCTGATATTTGAAAATGTTTTTTTTCTACAAAATTCAAATCAATTAATCAACCAGGTTTCGATTCTTAAAGTCATGACTGAATAGCGGAAAAAGTTTAAAACCAATGAAATTGTTCTGAAAAAAACCTTCTCAAAACTCCGTTCATGAATTTCGAATAACTATCAACTTCATTTCCATCGGCGTTTCTCAGAAAAATCGCATTTTGAAACTTTAGCCGTCGGCGTTCTCGCTATTTCTCACCGGCCGCTGCTCCAAGCTGATGCTCACATTTTTTTCCTTTTCAGATGTCCGACTTCAAGCAGGAGATCGAAAGGCTTCAGGATGAAGTGAAGACGATAGAAGGTCAAATTAGATCAATCAAAGAGAGTTTTGGACAAAAGACGGAAGAAGACCTGAGAAAGCTCGAGGAAGAAGCTGAAGCGCGACGGATTCTCATGAATCAGGAGTTTCAGCAAAAGCTCCGGGAAATCGCTGAAAACATTAATAATAATGTCGCGCAAGCCAAAATTGTATTGCAACAACGTGAGGTTGAACAAGAGGTGATGAAAATCAGGAAACGACAGGAGATCGACAAGTTGGTCGAAGAGAGGAAGAAGAACGAGCTGAAGGACTTGAGTCGGCAGGTCGAAGAAACTTCAGAGGATTGTCAATTGGACTTCCAACACGACCAGGACAAGAAGCTGATCAACCGGGAGACCGAGGAGAAGACAGTTCAGATCAGGGAGAAAAAAGACCAAATCGAGAAAGCCACCCATCAGCTCATCGCCAACGTCCAGCACAACAACAGGGTGCAAACTCTTGAGGCGAATATTCATCAGAAGTTGGATGACGTCAAAGGCAGACGGAACGACGTCATGCAGGAAAGTTTCGACGTGACGGAAACGGTTGGTTCTATTTTTTCTCTCGAACGTTTTACGGGTTCTTGCGAAAGGCAATTCTTGATGAGTTTTTGATTTTTGAAAGATACGATTTATGAAAGATTGCAGAATGAGGCTTGCGAAATTCTTATATTACTAGTACTGGCTTTATCTAGACTTTCGGGAAACGCTTGCTCAAATTTAAAGAAAAGGAAAATTTTTGAATTTCTGAAAACAATATTCCAGTTTTTCAAGCGCAGCCAATCCTGTTCCCAATCGTTTTTTTCCACTAGAAAGGAACGATTATGAGAATGAAAACGAAAAAATGAAGAATTGCTTCTAGTCAAGAGTTACTAGCAAAATACAGCCTATCAAGAAAATAGTACCCCATATTAAATAAGGATTTGCTTTGAGCCAGAAATCGATCCAAAAACAATATTCATGAAATCCGCATCGAATTTCCCTCTTATTCTGGATGCTTCAAACTATAAGTCCTTGACGAAAGGGGGGCAGAGAAGCAACTTCATACAGCAAAAGATCGATTTAACCTATCTTTTTTCTTTTGGTTTCTGTCATGTGATGAGAGAAAATTTCTCACGAAAAAAAGACATCGATTAAATTGCGAAAAATCTAATTGTTTTTGGATCAAATGATGAATTCTTCTGTGCTTTTTGAAAAATGGAGGTTTTTTTCAGATAGAAGAGTACACATTGCTGCAGTCGGAAAAGGACAAAGAAATGGAAAAAACTGTAAGTATTTTTCCTTTGTTCTTGATTCTACAAGATGACCCATGGAATGGCTCGGAGCGTTTCAGAGCGTTCGGGCTTTTTAAACAGACTGGCATTTGAGACTTATCCTATAGCCACGCCCGACCTTCAAAAGACGCCGCAGCGCGAAAGTAGTTCCAAGTCGGGTGCATTGGAAACTCGAACCATTCTTGACATTACCACGCAAAATAATTCCAGTAAACGATCGAATTCGAGATCTTTCAGGCTAAAAAATGTGAGCTGCAACTGACAAGCCTCAAGAACTCATTGAACAGTTTCATCGAGGCAACTACAAAAATGGCCAAGAGCCAACTGAACCTTCCTCCTGTAGTTCATGATAAGTTGCAGGTGATCAAGTTTATTTCACGAATAATTTTCTCTTTGAAAAAAAGGAAATTTTTTTTGACGACGAGAGAAAAGAGAGCGCAGACCAATCAAAATGTTTCAAGTCGTGCTGAACGAATTATATACAGTTTAGCGTCACAGAAAAGCCAAATTGAATTTTTTTAACTCAATAATTACCCGCTTTTTCGGTGTCAGAAGACGAAAAAAAAAAATCAAGCTGTATTAATTTTCCTGATTTTCAAAATTTGGAGATCGTTGTCAAAAACTTGGAAGGGACCGCACAGGATGCTCTACAGACAACGGTTCCATTGATTGCGACAGCTAAGGTAGCTTTATCGCTTTTTTCCAAGCCTTTTTGCATCTTGAAGTGGAAGGAAGAAATGGTTAAAGAGCCGCTCGAAATCAAAATATTCTTTCCAAAGTTTTCTGAAAAATCGGTAAGAATATGGGTAAAAACTTTAGTAGCATCTAAAGTAGTCGAATTAGTTGTTCACTTGAGTGGCTAGGTGTCCTTTTTAGATGTCTGATAGTGGCTTCTGTAGAGGTGGTTTCAGCGTCCTCTAGGAGTAGTTCTCGAGGAACCTCTTAAGTGGGCACTAGAGTATCTCTGGATGCACCAAAGTGAAATCCTGAAAGTCTCCACCTGCAAATATCTTAATTTTCATGAAAGGGTATCTCAAAGTCAAAGATAGCTAGATGAAAATCTGCTTCTTGCTAGAAAATAGGAAGTCATGAAGGTTCAAGACTTCCAGGGCACTCCTATGACAAACGTTTTAGCGAATTTCAGAGCTTGAAGTGAAACTATCTTCCTTGTCAGTGATGGCTGTCAAGTGAAATTCCTGCTAGATTATCCCACTTTTATAAACTTTCTTAGGTTCAAACAGACTATTAACATAGCGTTAGATAAAAAACCGAGAAAGAAGTTTTTGACATAGAAAAACTGGCCCTTGATTGATTATAAAAGATTAAATTTTTCTCTCGAATGAAATTTATTCGAAAGTTAAGTTATTTTGCAGTTGACAAAAGACATCAAGCCGGAGCAGATTGAGAAATTCAAAAAAGCTTTCGCAAAGTTGCGCCAGACCGAAACGGACATCGGAACTCGTCAAAACTATATCCGAGAAGGAATGAATAGGGACAAAGCTGCCACTTTGCCCGATCCATCTTTGGAAAATTGAGCTCTCTTTTTATAGTTGTGTCCATCAAAATCCAAAACAATAAACTTTCGGTCGACTTAATTTTTAATATCATTCGAAGGTGTAGAACTTTGAAATACCGTTCACAAAAAACAAAATTTTCTCTCCGTTGGAAGCTAAGTATGAACCATTTGGATTTACACTCAGCCGCGATGAGCTTTGCAACGAGATATTTTCAGTCGCCGGAAGAATGGGTGAGCAAAATTCATTTTTAGAAATGTTTGTACATTCTATTTTTCAGGCTAACAAACCGGTCAGAGAAGATATCGAGAAAAACGAAACTCACACCTCGCTGATATCAACTGGACCTGTAAGTTTTAAAGCACTACTGACAGGAGTGAAATTTTTTTCTCGTCTTTTTGGTTTTGGTTTATTTTTAATAGAACTCACATCAACTAAAAATTTCAAAATTCTAAAATCAAGGTTTCAGGAACCCTCTCCTGAATTATGTACAGCAAAAGAGCTTGGAAAAATGATCCCGGCGCAAGAAAAACTTAAGGTCAAGGTTTCGTTTGAAAAAAATCGAATATCTACATAATTCCCAAAAACGAGTCAATAAAAATAATGAAATATATATTCTGTTTGCTGCGACTTTTCGAGCGTCTGCGTCTCTCTCTTCCCTCACCGGTAAGGTCAGAGAAACATAAAAACAGCACGGAAACATGAGAGGGTCGCCGAGAGGCGAGGAGGGCGTAGAGAAAATTCAGCAGTTTTTATTCGCGAAAAAACAGTGTATATTATCTCTGAAAAACTTAGGATTAAAGATTTTCTAAAGGACAGAAAAAATATGAAACCAAGACCAGAAATTTTGAAACAAACTTATCACCCCTAATAAACAATCCATTCAGGTGTCCTTCCCACGACTTCCAGAAGTATGGAAAGCACCGCAGCTTCTGAACAGATTAACTGCAGAGCCAGGACAATCAAGACAAAATGAAGTCAGTTTCTCATATTTTTTAGAAGCTGATGGTCTTGTAAGATAAAAAATTCTATGAAAAATAAGAAAGAATAGTCTGTGTGCCACGACTTGAAATTTCACGGAACGACATTCCGCTTTGCCGCTGCGCGCCTTTGCGAACCTTGGTCGCTTTTTTCATTTTTTTTTTCTTTTTATAAGGAACTCTACTTTCATGTGCTCCCAGAGCAACAAAAATCAATTGAAAGCGAGTTCTAGATTCGAAAAACGCTTCGCGAACGCACGCAGCGGAACAGCGGAATGTCGTTCGGTGATATTTCAAGTCGTGGCACACAGACTATAATAAAATTGTCTTCCGGAAATAAGACCGAACATTATTCTTTCTTTCTTTTCTTGCTTGTTGTCAGATAATCGAGACAGATTCTTATTCCAGATAATAGAACAAACTTGGAAAGCCATCAGAGAAATCGAAGAGGAAACTCAGAAAAAAATTGATGAAGATGAACACAAGAGGATTTTCAAACAGGAAATCTTGTCGAAGCCCGAAACAGATATTGAAATAATCACGAAAGAAGAAATAGAAGAAGTTTCTGTCGTTGAAAGTTCCAGTCAGGGAACGTATGAACCACAAAGGGAAGGACTCAAGGAACAGCAAGAAAAAACGAAGGAATCCAGTGGGAATGTCGACGGCGCACGGAAACTTCCGACTACTGTAAGTGACTTGAAAGAAGCTACCAATCCAAGAAAAATATATATGATAGTATAAATTATATATACTGTATAATGAAGGGAACTGGGAAAAGAGAACTGAAAGAATCGGAATGTTTCAACCAAAAACTCGAGAAAGAATTGCAATTTCTAAGGTAAAAAAATGATGATAAGAACATGAGATTAGAAAAAAAGAAAGTATACATTATTAAAAATCTGAATAAATATATATCACATCATTTTTTCCAACCATCATATTAATCTTTCAACTCAGGCACCTTCAAAAAGGTTCCTAAAATGGCCTTTTAAATCAGCCAAATCAGCCCAAGATAGTATCGCAGAGGCTGAAGAAGCGACAGAGCAGGAGGTTAAATTTTTTTTTTGCATTTCCTTTCGTGTAATGTCATATTCAGAATTTTTTTCAGGATGTCTCCGGAGGACTTACGATGTGTACTAATTCACAACCAACGTTCGACAGTTCCGCTTCTGAAAATGAAGAAGTAGTAGAGCAAACAGTGAGTTTCACTTTTCACTAACGGATTTTTGCAATATGTATCCATTAAAAACTTTCCTTTTTCTGACTTGAATCTTGGTTTTTCAGGTGGAAGATGTCCAAGAAAACAATGAACCGGAAGTTTCGGTCGAAGAAATGTGGAAAGCCATCCAAGACGAAACGCGGAAAAAGTTAGATGAAGACAAGCATCGAAGGAGTTTGAAGTTTCAAGCGGAGAACAAAGAAAAACTGAAGACTGAAGAACCGAAGCCGAATCAAGTCAATGACTTGAAAATAGATTTAGAGAAGACCGGTTTGAAGCTGCAAACGGACCTGAATGATCGGAAAGAAAGACATTTCTGAAGCTGAAGGCAAGGAAATCGAAAAAGAGAAGAAGAAGAACAAGAGGAGCTCGAGGAACTTCGAAGAAAGGCCGAAGAAATCGAAAATGATTGTGAGGAGATTCGAAGGAAGCGGAAGGAGAAATCCGAGAATTGGAAAAATGAGCTCGATGAAATGATGGCGGAATCAGAACGAGATCTTCAAGAATTCCTTCGGGTGAATATTGATCGAAAAAATTACAAACTATCGTGTTTTTAAAGATCTATGAAGACCCAAAATTCAGATGGCCACCGAATTCTTGAGAAGACGACAATGGAACCGGCAAGTCGAGGAGAATTGGAACAGGCGGTTGAACGCCCAGAGAACGAGTTTCACACCGGCTCTCGACATTTTTAAGAGTTTCGAGAGGGAGGTTTGGTAATTTTTTCAGAGAAATAACTTTGAAAATCCTTTAATCTTTATTGATTTTTTTTTTGGAGCGTATAGTCTGTGTGTCACGACTTAAAATTTCCCCAAACGACATTCCGCTGTTCCCGCTGCGTGCGTTCGCGAAGCGTCTTTCGAATCTTGGTCACGCTTTCAATTGATTTTTGTTGCTGTGGGAGCACATGAAAGTAGAGTACCTTATAAAAAGAAAAAAATAATAATAAGCGCGACCAAGGTTCGCAAAGGCGCGCAGCGGAACAGCGGAATGTCGTTTGGTGAAATTCCAAGTCGTGGGACACAGGCTATACTTTCAAGGTAACAATTATTAAGAAAGAACAGTTTTTCTTTTGAAAATTTTCAGACAATCTCTATAGTCTGTTCAGATTTTGAATGTCAAGTGCAATGACGTCATTCATAAACACTCTGTGGATGGCTCGCTCTCTGATTGGTTTGTCGCACCATTAGGGGCGGGGCTTGAGCGACGACTTGACATTCAAAATCCGAACAGACTATATAAGGTCTCAAAAGAGCCACTGAGCATTTTTGTTTAGCAAAAAAAATCACCCATTATACAAACTTACACAAAATATCAAAGCAAATAACTAAATTTTTTTCTTTCATGATAACATACGATGAAAATTACAGTTAACACGACGCAATTACATTCTCCAAAGTTCGCCCTCAATCCCAACAGAAAAATCTTCCCTTCTGATCGAGGTAAGGCTTTTTTTTCAATTTGAATATCATTATTTCATCTTTCAGTTCGCTTTCGAGAAATTCCTGCACGCTCTTGAAGCATTATTTTTCTTATCTTCGACGGGAGCAGTACATAATGTCCAACCTTTACGATAATCATCAAAAGGCGTTCCTCTGCGACATTATTGCAAGTTTTACTTTTGATTTCAAAAATTTTTGTTCAAAATTGTTTTCAATTCAATTCAATTTGTTTATATTTCGCAACGTCGGGATGGTATGGTGATTTTGCAGGGAGGGAAAAAGACCACTAGGTGGATTAACTAACCCCACTTTTGTCAGTAAAAAAAGTGCAGAAAGTTGTATAGTCCGTTTTTCGCGACTTGGGTGGGATTTCTCTGCGCCCTCCTCATCTCTCGACGTCTCTCTCATGTTCACATGCTATTTCCATTTTTCTCTGACCTCGACGGCGAGGGAGCAGAGAGACGCAGACGTTCGAAAACTCTCAAGTCGCGGCGGATGGACTATAACACATACTAAATCCTGAAGTGAAGCGAAAAATGATGGGTGATTCAATTTCCCCATAGAGCGACATTGTCTATTTAACAGAAGAACATTTTTTTCAATCAGCTTCCAAAATCAATGGAATTTTAACTATTTTTAACGCCACATTATGATTATTTGAAATTATAGGAAGTTTTGGAAAACTCAATGGACAAACTAGAAGAAGTTCAAAGAGTTGCCAATTCCTTGTGGGAAGAGTCGTTATTGGTAGGTTCGCATTTCTAAGTCTTTATTGATGAACAAGAACTGCAGACGAGCCACACAATGATGGAAAGCGACGTCTGGAAGTTACTGGTTGAAAAAATGGCGGCTCTGAATGAAGTTTTGAGAAATACGCCAACTGTAGAAAGTCTCAATGAGAAATATCGCGATAGACATTGAAGGAAATAGAATAAATATTTTTTTCGGAGCGGTTTTTAAATTTATCGAATGTCTTTCACATTCCAATACTTGATATTAGGTATATTTTGAAATCAGAACTCTTATTTTGAAGATTTGTTTGAGTTGTGTAAGAAATTAAAACCTCGTAACAATTTAGGAACTCTTTTTGAAGACCTATACAACGGTTGCTGTTCTTTACTTGCTTTGAAGTAATATTTTCTTACAGAGCCTCTGAAATTAATATGATGGGCCTCTTCAATTCAACCAATCAAATGGATCCGGCCGAAGTGATCAGAACTCTCAGGGACCTTTCTGAAAGGAAGATTAATCTCACGAAGGAGTTGAGAGACATAACTGAAGCTCTCAAAAACGAACACGAAAGGAGAATTCGAGAGAAAAAAGAAGAGATAAAGAAAAGAGAGGACGAAGAGAAGAGCAGAATGCAGGAGGAGCTGGACAAACGAGTTAAAGAGGCGGAGCAAGAGATCCAGAAGTTCAAGAAAGAGCTGGAAGATGACAAGGACGTCAAAGACAAGGAGATCGAGAAGCTGGACCAGGAGAGAGAAAGAATGGAGAAAGAGCGGCACGATGTGGCAAAGAAAGGCTTGGCGGATACGATCACCCGGAAGAAGGAGGGCTGCCAGCAGGAAAAGTCGCGAAACGACGAGCTGGACGAGTCGAGAAGGGCTGGAAGACGTCAACTGGAGGAGCATGTGGGGGAGATCCGACGAGGAGGTCTGCAGATGATCGGAGTGATGTCGGCGATCGAGAATGCGGCGGATCAGAACGAGAGGGACATTTCCTTGGAGGGATGCAGTCGTCGCATTCGATCGACCTGTGCAAGTCTTGCCGAGGATAGCAACGCTCTTCTGACCAAGGTTTGTGTTTGTTCTTTCGAGACTTCGTTTTCAGTTCATCTGATAGTATTTTCAAACGACGTGTCGTAGTGAAACAGGTTGTCCTTCTGTTTACGGTCTAGAAATGAGGGGGGAGGAGCTATTCTAGAATGTGGGGGGCTGATCCGTACAAGGCTTTTTAATGCTTATTACAAAGTTGGGGGGCGATCCTTTGAAGATTGCCTAGGCATTTTAGAATCACCCCCACTTAGCACTGTGAGGGGGTGATTCTATAATAAGGTATATACAAGTTCGCTGCTGATCGCAATCTAACCGAGGGGTTAAAAAAATGCTGATAGTGGGAAACCGCGACTAGGAGACTCAGCACACCCTAGAACGAATATGTGACTAGAGCGAGTTTATTAATTATCACTGATATCACGATAGGAACTTTTTTTCATTTATTTATTGAACATACATTTTCCGTTCAAATCCTAATTTTTAAGGTGAACGTTTGGTTGGGAGACAAAACGAAGGCGACTAACTTGTCTGTGAGTTCAAGATTCCATTTTATTATTTTTTCCAAAACTCCAATTTCAGATTCTCTACGAACGTTACGCCGAAAGCGAGAAAAAGTTGGAAAAAGGCGTTCAGGAGGCCATAGATCAACTCGGCCAGATATCTCAACCAGACGCCTCGATCATAGCGTATTCGGTGAGCTTTTTTGAGAAAGGGAAGAAGGAATTTCTATTGCTGGAGTTGATAAAGAAGCATGTACCGATTCAAAAAAAGGTTTCGAGAAGAAGATCCGTTTTTCGAGTGGTGTATGATTTTTTTTTCTAATTAATTTTTTCTCAAACTTCTTAAAGATCCCTGCATCATTGAAATTTCAGGACTCAATATGAGACCGTAACTCCAAAATTTCGAGTACAAGAATGATTAACACAAGAAAAAAAAGATTTTAAGTAACTTTGGAATTTTTAAGGCTCACATCAACGAAATCAAATCTCTTCTCGATTGTTTTGAAAACCCTCAACATCACACTATCAGCCCATATCGAGGTGAGTTGATTATCCGTGGAGCGCGATTCGAACTAAACCGTTTTTTTAAGCGACACTGTGAGTCGATTAAAAGAGTTTCTAACTCAAAATATATCATTTTCTAATTGGGCCAAAAAATCGAAATTCTTCTGACAGACTGCAGAAATTTAAGAACTTCCAGCTGCGAAATGTCAATTGCAGCTGAATTCTGGGAATAAGGGGCTTTAATTCTAATTCACCGGTTATTACGTCATAATCTCATCGGAAAACTGTATCGCACGTGGAATGGTTCGGCAGCCGACTTAAAACGACTTTCGCTTTGATTCATCTTGAATATTTTGAACGCAGCTTCTCATCCCACGTGCGACCAGAATGAATGACAAGTTTTTGCCCAAAACTCGAATTATTCTGAATTCTCTCATCTTTTTGCTTTTATGAATGAAAGAAAGGGGTGCGCAGATGGGTCAAAATGTTTAAAGTTATTGAACGCGGGCTATAAAAACAGATAAGTTATATTTTGAAGCTGGAGAACCTCGATACTACTTGCGTGAGTGAGCTGAAGAAGACGTTGGACAACCTGACGAAGAAGGTCGGCGAGATTCCGCACGTCGTTCAGGAGAACCATGTCGACGCACTTATCAGGAGAGTCCAGTCTTCTGGCCTGGCTGCTATCAATCAAGAATAATCATTTATTTCAGAGCCTCACCGAATTCCATTCTTGAATTTTTAATATCTTTATTTCTCCTTCACCCCCTTATCCACAAGTATCTATTAAATTTATCTTTTTGTGAATAAAACTTATATTTTCATTCCGTTATAAACTTTTTTTGAACGAATTTGTATGATTCAAATGTCACTTAAATTAAACTTGGTTGGAAACCATGTCCTATTTATTTCCTTCTTCCTCCAATCAATTATTCAACTGCTGTTCTAAGCCTTCAACCAGAGGAAAATACTTCGAAAATGGTAACTTTTAAATAAATTATCTTTCAAAATGTTTCGTTTTTTAGTGTGCGGTGTTCTTGATTCCTGCAGTTGTCATCATACCGGGAGCCGCCACTTCGGCCTTCATTTACTTCAAAAAAACGAGTGAGGACGTCTGATGAATTGAATATCTTTACAATCAGAAAAAAACGGCATAAAAATGATAGATCGGTGGCGGTCAGAAGAGACGGCAAAGTAGTCAGAATTTCTGTTTTTCTCTAGCGTCTCTTCAGGTTCTGTTCACTATTTTGGGAAAGGGTCTCTATCTCGTTAAGAGACTCCAGAGAAGTCAGAGCTTTACTTTTTCTCTGTCGTCTCTTTTTACTTTTTACGCTTTTTCAAACCCCCCGCCCTACCTGCTTTCTCGCCACCACCATTCTGCAAATTTTTTTCCAAACTTCTGAGACCTCGTTTTGGAAGGAAAAAAAGGAAGGGGGGTTTGAAAAGCGGTCTGAGAAAGACTCTAAAGGCAAGGTTTCCGTTTTTTTCTCTAACCTCTTTTCTCCCTCACCTTATTTCCAATCATTTTCAGTTTTTGATTTTCTAGAGTTTTTCATGTATCACTCGGAAAAATTTTTTATTCGTTTTCGTTTTCAAATTCAAATCGATTCCAGAGAAACAGAAGAAGAGAGTCTCGAAGACTTTTGAACGAAATTCTTCGTTCGGAAAATATTAGTTCTCTGCACGAACCAGCTCCGGACATCAGAAAAGAGATTGAAAATCCTCAAAGAAGCAGTCCTGAAAACGAGGTCTCCTCCCCATTCTTCAAAGATGTGTCTCTACCGGTTCTCATCGATACTTCTGAAGAAGAGAACAATGGACGCGAAAATCGGGAAAGGAGATTTGAAAAGGATGTCAAGCTTCACAAAGAAGAGGAGGAACTTTTGAGAGAGGAAGTTCGACTTTTGGAAAGTCAACCGGTGCCAAATACTTTTGCAAGGACTACCAGCCATTGATTTATGCATGAATAAATTATTATCTTTCCAATCTGTGATAATTTACTTTTTTTTTTTCGAAGGAATCGAATCCCTATTGACTTTTTTTTCATCTATAATCTCAAATTCTAATCATCTTTGCTATTTAATTTTTTCGAAAAATGAGAAAGGTTCATCGTCCCGGGACCTTTATGAGCCTCGTCTATGCTCCTTTTAAGGCGCTGGTAAGCTTTCTCTATTCATAGTTTTGAATCGTCAATATCTTACAGAAATCTTATGCTTCAGCGATTTTTACGTCGAGTTGCAAGGAATGCGGCGCAATGCTTCGAAAATTAGAATTGGTATGTTTTTTTAGACTTTTAGTGGTAGAAAAGAGATTTTCAGACCAGAAAACTCATAATTTATTCACTTATGCTATCTGGAGCCGCTATCTACATCTATAGAGAAGTAAAAAAGGTGGGTTGGTTTGGGAAATAAAAAGAATTTCAAAGAAACTTATGTGATTTAAATTCCCCAACATGAAAATTCATTTCAAAATTGAAGTTCATAGTGGCGAAATGGAGGAAGAGCGGTTGCTTTGGAGCCGACCAGAAACGACTTGCGAGCTGTGACATGAGAGAGTATTTGAAAGTACCCTTTTCGAGTCACTTGCCACCATGATAATTAACATCTGTTTCTTCCAGGAAAAAAATATTCAAAAAAAAGTTTCAAGAATTCAAATCTAATTCTCTTGTCATCCGTTTAACCCCGTATATTGCAAGCCTATGATCATCCGCAAAAGCGCCCGACTGAATCCGACTTGCGCGTAGAGTCCCAGGGAACTTATAAAAAGATTCCCCGAATGTCCAATCACCCGAAGCGCGACGCTTTCAGTCATTCCAAATGCGGCCACGGCGTTTCAGTTAATGAAATAATTTTTCAGAGGAAAGACAGGAGGATTATCGAAGAAGAACTCGAGAGGATCCACCAATTAGAAAAAAAGAATGAGAGCTCTCGATCAACGGAAGAAAATATTGGAGAGATAGCAAAGGATGGAAATGATACTCAACCCTTTTTTTCGATTCCGATCTTCGAAAACATCAAGAATATTAGCGATGATGAGAAAAAGAGACGCGAAGACCGAGAGAAAGATTTTGAAGAAACCAAAAAACTCAATAAAATTGAAGAACAACGATTGGAAGCGGAAAGCGAGGCGCGAGAAATAATAATTGAACAGAATCGGAAGGCTATGAACTTTGTCTTGTAACTACAATACCGTTCTTTTTTCAGTGATCGGCTTTTTCCTTGTACTTCCTTCGACATGTCTTGAGATTGTCTGACCTGTCTGTGCCCTCTTTTCCTTCATCACTTAACGGTATCTGTTCACTTTTCAATGGGACTAAGTTCACTAGGAGCAGTTTTTCACTCTAAATCCGAATCTGAACTCGAAAAGAACTGAATTTGTCGATGAAAAAAAGTTATGAGCGCTCAAAATTTCCATTAAAAGAAGTTTTTTTTGAGCTTCGAAAACCCAACTCTTTCTTCAATTTTCAAAACTTTGAATGGAAATGTGTTCCTTCAATTGGCTCCGGTGAGAGAAAAGAGGGCACAGACGTAACAGACGAAGTGATTTTTTCCTTCCTGAGAGCTTCTTCGGATTCCTATTTTTCTATCATAACTTTCTTCTTTTTACTTCGTGAAAAGAATAATTATATTCTTCAACATCCGTTTACAGAAATCGAAAAATTAAATTTTGTTTCGATGATCTTTTTTCATTTTACAAGCTGTTTCTTTCGCCGGTTATCCTACCTACCTTGGTTTGTCAAGATATCCAAATTTCACTCAATAAACTGTTCGTTTCACTGAATGAACAATTGATTATTTTAAAGGGTTATGAACCCTCAAAATTTATTTTCAAAAACGTCGATCTGAAGGTTAAAAAAAGAAACTTTTCAATAAAGTAGATATTTTTTTCAGTAGGTTGATCCTTTTCGAACGAGTTCGTCATACATGCTTCTCCAACTTGAAATTGTGAGTTCTCCAAATTTATATTCGAAAAATACGATTCTTTTAGAGTGGACTTCTCGTAAAGCTTTTTGTCATTTTCGGATCGGCTGCAATTATTTTCTCTGCTGTGTACCTAAGCTATCGAGCCTGGAAAAAGGTAATAATTGCTGGAATGTTCCCTTTTTGATCCCACTTCACTGAGAAAGTATTGCCGAATTCGTTAACTACAGCTTGAAGATCTATGAAATGGCTCATAGGCGTTTTCATCCCATGGCCGCTTCCCTCTATGCTCAATGCCATCGCGCGCGAGTAGTTTTCAGTCGGGTGCATGACCCTTTTTCCTGATATAACTTTCGATATTCCAGAAAAAGGAAGAACAAGAAGGGACGAACTACCTTTGCGATGCCCAAGAAAGCCCACCAAACTACGAATCGACAATAACAGAAGACAATGGAGAAGAAATGATTGAAATTAGAACTAGTACGAAAAAATCGAAAAGTTCTCCATTTTTCGGGGGCGTAAATCTACCAACTATCGAAGATACGACTGAGGAAGACAAGAGGAAGCTTGAGGAACGAGAAAGACGTTTCGAAGAACTGAGAAAAATTCATGAAGACGAGGAGAGAAGGCTTAGAGCTGAAATCGAAGAACTTCATGTGAAAATTGAGCGAAACCGAAGAGAAAAAAGACGTGATTTTTAACTTATTCTCTTTTTTTCTTAGTTAAAATGACCTCGGAAAACGTGTTATAGAATTACCATGCTCCTAGATGATTAGGCTGAGAGAAAGAGATCATAGATAAAATGAAGAGACGCCAGACGGAGGAGGATTCTCACTTTCTCTAACGTCTCTTTAGTTAACTATACTCTCTCGCTTCAGCTATTTTTCGCTTTTTATCGATTGTCTCTACGTGCCTTCTTTTCATGAATTAAATTTCAAGCTTTATGAATTTATTTTTTTTATTCTGAATATTCTTTAGAAATAATTTTTGATCGAAATTTGAATCTATATTTTGATCTTTTCTATTATCTAAAAATTTGTCTGAAGTCGCAGATTTTTATAGTTTTTAGAATCCGTATTTCATTTATCAATAAAGTTTGCCTCTCTTCAAATCTTCCTATCTTTTTCAATCAACTCGTTTAGACGGGAAATATCTAATTTTTTTAAATCCATATCCCATAAAGTTTTCAAGACATGGACGGAGATGATCCGGACGATTTCTCGAATTTGACGGATTTATTCGAGGTATAAACTATTCGAAAAGCTTAGAGCGCACGTGAAATGGCTATCTATATGCGACCGACCCAAAGCGACTTGCGCGAAAGGGCATAGAAAACCGTTTATGCGAACCGCAACGCTGTGAGCCGTTCCACGTGCGACCAAGACTTGTTTTGGAGCCAATAACTTTTTCAGAACTCGACATTAGATGAACAGGATTTGAGTTCTGGTTTATCTTCTAATGACTATCGGGTGAGACTTGTTTTCTTTTGAAAAACAAAGAACATGATCCCTATAGGGGACATGCTAGTCGATCATTTTTATGAATTCTATTCGAGAAAATAAAGAAAAATAACCCTTTTTGAATAAAATTGAAAGACCCCTGTAGGGAACATTCAAATTTTACCCCTATAGGGACCATTAAAGTTTTGGGGGTTGGTCAGAACCTAAACCCTATAAAGACCACTTTTTCGGCCCCTTTAAAAGCTGTTTTTCCGCCCTAACTCCTATAGGGACCACTATAAAACTCTTAAAAAGTGTATTTCAAGGTTTGAAAACGGGATTTCAGCGCATTTCAATACATGATCAACAAAACTTGACATTTCCAACCACGAACCCTCCTCCTACAACAACCATAGCGCCTTATTCTCCATTTCTCATTTGGGTTGAAGTTCTGAGACATCAAAAGTAAATAATTGGCATCATTTTCAGATAATTATTGGTTCATCCGTCCTTATTTTGGCATTCATCACAGTTGTGGCTTCAGTTATATTCGGGCGAATGTTGAGGAAGAAAAAGAAGAATGGATCGAATCGAGCGGTAGGAGTTCGAACTTACAGAGAAGGGCAAATAGAACTCTTTGACGCGTGGAATCTGAAAAAGCGTTTCACTACGCACCCGACTCAAAACTACTTGCGCCAAAAAGTAGCTTCAACGTTCAACCGCGACCCATCGAATCATTCTACATGTGACCGAGAAATTTCAAAAGAAATTGAAATTCAAAATTTACACAACTAAAATTTGCTCCACTTGTTCCGAATAAATACATTTTTTAAACTCAAAATGGTGATTTTTCAGGAAAACAGGACAACGAACGAAGGATTTAGAAACTTGGGAAAGAACGCTGAAATATCTGGATCTTGCCTATCTCCTTTGTTGAACAAGCCAACCTCGGAACCTGACTACGAATCAACGACGACGACACAATTTTCGGACACATTCAACATTCCTCAGCTTAGGTAATTGCATTGATCCGAAATTTTTGAACGAAAGGCGCTGGTATTGTGGAAAAATGGCACGAAGACAAGTCAATAGCGCTCCAAAGCTAAAACTATCCAAATGGTTGAGAAATGAAACATCCCAAGATAATTTGTCGAAAAATTTCCGAAAAAAAATTCTTTATTTCACATTTCCTCAAAAACTTCGAAACTCTGAGTCGCATTTGAAATGACTCAAGACGCAACCGACCCTAAACTACTTACGCCAGGGCGCCTTGAAAAAAAATTAAAGTAATTTTTTATGAGTAGACGACTCTTCGAGCCGAAATGCGACCAAAAGAGTTAAGAAAAAAGTCTCAAATTCAAAAATTTCTGTTTTTGGGTTCTTTCTGAAGAAGATATTTTGCTTCTTGAGACGATAACCAGGGAAACCGCCAAATGATGTTTTTTGAACTTATTCAAACCGAAACCAACTTTTGCAGTAGCCTGTCATTCTCGGAACTCGCCAGGGAACCAAAAAAAGACGAAAATGCAGAAAAGTTTCAAAGTCTCTCCTATCGCAACAAAATGGCCGAGGAAGAGCTCGAAAAAGAAATTGAACAGGAGCAGGGAAAGCTGGAGAATGAGCGGAGAAAGCGAGAAGAAAATCGGCAAAAAACCGAAGATTTTCAACAATTTTATGAAGAGCTTATGGCTCGCGTGGAGCTGGAAATGAAGGAAATGTACCGGATTTTGGAGTTGGTTCGAGTTCAAACAGCTCGAAACAAAATCGTGGAAAACGAGTGGCACCAGTTCTTCTCGATGATGAGCCGAATGCAAAAACCGATCGATGAGGTTTTTGAGGCGCTCAGAAAAGATGTGAGATTCAGACTTACTTCCAAAAATGAATAAATATATAACATAATTCTTCAGATCACGGTTTTTTTCAAAGTTCTGGAGGCTCTACAGAGGATCGAAAAATGAAAAATTGAGGTATTTAATATGAAAAATGGAATCGAAACTCAATTTCTTTTTTTCTTTTTGAACTTCAGAATATCTAGACTAGAACAACAGAAAATTATTAAGCACCCGGCTTTTTATTTTGAAAAATCACGTTTTCTGGAAATTAAAGAGAATAAAATTTAAATACGCGATAATTTTTGGATTAATTAAAGACTTACACACACTGTAAACACCGTTAACTTCAAAATACACCGAAACATAAATTATTCCAACTCTTGGGGTAATTTCTTCTTCCAAAATGCAATTATATAAAAAACAATTTTTCAGATACAACTTGAAAAGCTCGCAAATTGCCTCGAGAAACAAATCAACGCAATGAAAAAAATTGATACGAAAATGGGGAACCTTTTCAACACCCACCAAAAACATTTCTTGGTTGATATCCAGGTTTTGATTGAATAGAAAAACAGTAAAAGGAAAACCTCTTCCAGATCTCCGCGAATGAAGTGAAACAACCAGCTGATGAATTTTTGACGGCTGTGCATGCTGCTGAAAAAGCGATAGTAAGGAAAACGAACTGATAAAAAACGAATAAATAAATTATTTCAGAGAGAAAGCAACATCATACAGCAGGACCAACTTCAAGAAGCTCATAAAAAATTGAGAAAAGCCTCTTTGCACATTCCTACTGTCATGAAACTCAAAGAAAAGTACAAAGATTGGAAACCTGAATAAAAAAACCCTTCACAATAAACTTATTTTTATGCACAAAATTTACTGAATAAATACATTGTGAACTTTACTCGCAACTTTGCTTGGAAAGCAACCAAAAATTGTCTTTAGTTTGATGAGAACGAATTATAAACTCGAAAAGCGCTTATTTTCGCTCTCCTTCCTACTGTAGATCACGAAGATCATGCACTAACGGACCAAACAAATGCTCACGCGCAAAATCGTTTTTGAAATTTTTTGCAACCTTTTTTTTTCTCATTTCTTTTTTCTAGAATCATATGAGCTCATTTCTCATTCAGAATAGATGTTCACCGATGGTGTAAATCCGGCGAGGGAAGAAGATTTAACCTTATCGGTTGTTTTGAAGTGGGAACAGCCGTTATCCGCAGAATCGGTTCGAAGGTTCCTTTTGAATCGCAACGGACAAAATGAGGTTATTTTTTGCGCGTTTTGCAAGTTGAGTAATTTTCGTAATGTTCAGCTTTTGATAACCTTGAACCCTGCAGTGTCTTCTGCATTATGGAAGATGAAGTCAGCACAGGAACTTGCAATGTACACAAATCAAGGCAAGTTTCAGATCGATGGCGTGAGTTTTGAAAACTTTCGAAAGAAATCGGAATTGGAAAGTTACAGCATAACGTCACTGTGGAACCATTGGTGAGAGAATACGGCCCAAAACCCGATACGGTCGGTTTTTCTTCTTTTTTTGTAGGAATAATTTGTTTTTTTTTTGTCAAGCTTAAGTTTTTGGCATTATTTGGGTTAGAATTTCACGAGAAAATTGAGATTCAGGCTTGGTTCTGGCTACAAAAAAAGAATCAAGAACTTGAAAAACTTGATTTTTTTAGCTTATAAATACTTTTTTTGAAACTTGTTCAAAATCATGGGATTTTTTTCCTCAGGACTTTGGAAATTTCTGAAAATTAAGAAAGAAGTTTCACCCTCAGTAATTAATTTTTTTCCAAAGATTTTCACAGTTTCAATAATTATTGTATCACCATAACACTGAAAGCTCTTGAAAGGAAGACGTTAGAATTTTCAAAAAAAATCATCAGTTTGTTTTGATTTTCTCTGATTAACTCTGAAAATTTTGTAGTTGATCAACGCGTTGAACGTTTTCCCGGGCGAAGAGGATCAAATGCATCTTTTGGCTGCAGTTCTCGGAACAATCGTCGAACGAAGGGTTTCAAGTTTGCCCCGGGGCGAATTTGACCTCGAAATGTCCTGCTTTGTTCAGAGGAAACAGTTCATGTTGCTCTACGAGGCGATCGATCGGGAGCTTCAGGATTTCATGTTGGCGCCGAGAATCGAATGTTTCGGCTCTATGAAAAGCCGGTTTCGCAGGACCGCCTCTTCTGATGCTGTTCGTTAACTGAAAAATGAAATTTTTAAAGATCTTTAGAAAGTTTTTGATGTGTTTTTTTCGTTATTTTTTTAACAGTTTTTCTGAGATTATTGATGTCTCCTGTAGTCCAATTTAATACAGGATTCGGCTGTTCTTTCTGAAACCTTCTTGAAATTTTGCCTCTGTGCCTTTAAAAATCGTGTAAACACCAACAAAAAAATTACTAAATGTTTTTCTTCTTGAAATTTTGTATTTTCGAAAGCCAGTAAAACTTTCTTATTAAAATTATCATGTAGAGCTTTTTATTCCTTTCTTCAAAATATCAGTTGAATTTGCACCAAGGTCTGTATTTTTCAAACTTCGCGCCAAGATGAAAAATTCACCTACCGTAATCTGATAATGAGGAGAAAGACATTACGCGGCAAACTTTTTTTAAAGCTTTGATGACGAAAAAATTTTTCGAGAATGACTGAATGACTTTTTAACCGGTCAAAAAGAGGAATTTTTTTGATTTTCAATAGTTTTTGAGGTGATTTTTGTGAATCTTTAGGACCTCAACGTCTGGTACGACACTGTATTATCCTCGCCCAGGAACATTCGAAGCCGCGAGGAACTCTTGAAACCTACAGTATACCTTTTTTTCATGAAAACATACTTTTCTAGCAATTTTATTCGTCTAGAGACCGCTTGCAAATGTGAGCAAAGCTGAGATGGAGAAGTTGAAACCGAAAGGTTTGTTCATTTTTCGAAGGTCCAAAAAAATATTTTTTTGATAAGTTTTAAAAAAATTTTTTTGCTTGTTGGAAAGACCAATTTTTTTCTCGAGTTCTCAGCTTCTAAGAAAGGATTTTTCACAATGAAGCCTCGAAAAGCCAATTTCGAAAATCTCTATAAAATACTTATTTTTTTGTGAACTTCATGTTTCTAACACGAATTTTTTTATTCAAAAAAATATTAATCTCAATTTTTCGAAAATGACCTATCCAAGAATAAAAAAATTGAGAAAAAGCGCAAAAAAACTGTTGAAAAGTTTTCGTGTGAGAAATGAGCAATTTTCGAAAAGCACAAAATTGGCAAAAAAAGCACCATTTTTGGTGTTTGAAAAGGACCTTTCTATCAATTTTAGAAAAAAAAGGCGTTTCTCATTATTCCAGAAATCTCTTTCCTGCGTAGGAACATCAATTTTCTAGCTTGTTCTTGCGAAAATTGAATGAAAAGAGGTTGAAAGTAGATTTTTGCTGATATTTAGAACGAATCCAACTTCTCGGGGCTCATTTCCGTCGGTCGGAGAGCCGATTGGTCCAATTCGGATGTTCGATAACGACCATCGAAGCGAAATGTCCCATCGTAATGGTCGAATTGGGATCTAACGTCGATTTTTTGGTGAGAAACTGAGAAAAAAATTGTTTTCTTTCAAGTTGACAAAAGAAGTTTTGTGTTAAAAAAAGTTTGAATTTTAATTGAATATGTGATTTTCCTTTACAGATTCGTTAATATTTGTTTTTAGGCAAAAATTCAAATTGAAAATTGAAAATTAATTTTTCTTCAATATGATGTACGTTCACGAGTTCGAAGTCAAAACAAGCATTTTTTTCAACAAAAAGTTTTTCCTCAAAAAAATTAGGTGAATATACTGATGCCTTCGGAAAAATTCTGGGATTCTGAAAATGAAATTATTTTTATGTTAATTTTCTTTATGTTCAAATTTACATCTCAAATTTTGAAACCTATTTTTATGTCAAAAAGCTAGTGGGAATTTTTGAGAATTTCAGTGTGGAAAATTTCCTCATCTAGTTGTAGAATTTTTCGGTTCAGATAAAAGCCGAGATTTTTTTCCGTCGATTTAAAAAATCACTGAAAAGTCATTTTTTTGATTGCCAATTCAACGTGAAAGAATGAGCAAAATTTCGAAAAAAATTTATTTTTATTTTTTCCGCTCCAAAAATTTTTCTAAAAGAAAAAAACCTTAGTTTTTAATCCATATATTCGGGATGTCAGTAACTCCAGAAAATTATAGGAATACATTTGAAATTCTCATTAAAAAATATTTCTAGGCGGCCATCGATGTTTCGATCGATAATGAAGCCGGAGTCAAAAAAAGCGATTTATTGGATTTATTCATCGAACGGGATCAGAGCGAAATGGCAGAGTTTGTTGGAAATCCACCAAACTTTTAAGAATCCAGGAAATTTTAGAAAAATCACCCGATTTTTCCACTTTTGGGCCAAGACCAATAACATAATCTGCAAAAGGGACGAGGTTTTGAAAAAAAAGTTGGAAATTAGTTTGATTTTCCGGGATTTAGCACGGCAATTGGGTCAATCGGCAGTTCAATTCGTACATTTTGCACCATTTGGTCATACATTTCGTACAGACTGCGCTGGGTGTCCAACTTGTTCGGGAGCATCCGGTTGGTTTTCGGGAAGATTTTACGAAAATTCTCATTTTCTTACTGTAGTTCTGAGCGTGAAATTGCTGAGTTTTTTCAGTGTTAAGAAGGTTTTTTTTTTCATTCAAAATGCTTCAAAATACTGATATCTGTGTTTGAAGAAAAGTTAGAGTCGATCCGTCAACTAGGAAATAAATTGGAAAATTCCACTAAAAGACCTACCGTAACCCAGTGAGGGGGCGGAGCTTCACAGTAACTAGCCTAAAAGTTTACACATTATGTCTAGTAACTTTGATAATATTTTCAACTCTCAAAACAAAACTTGAAATTCTTGTACCAACCGTTCATCGACTTCCTCAGAGAACGTGTGTTAGAGAAAAAAATAGATTGAAAAAAATATATTTTTGAAGATTTTTTTAGCGAAAAAAACCGAGAAAAAAATTTTTTTGTGTTCCAAAAATATGAAGGAAAACTAAATATAGATTTTTATAAGTATTTCTGAGAATTTTCAGTCGCAAAAAAATTCGAGGTGAATACATTTTGCGTTTTTAAGCAGTAAACTAGGTCCATGTAATCAAATTTTTCAACGATTTGCCTGTAAGAATAGCATGAAAAAAATATTCTAGTGGATTTTTTAAAAAGACCCTTTTTTTATTGAATGATTTTCGATGCAAAAGTGGATCGTAAAAGAAATTTTTGATCGTTTTTCGTGGAAAATATTGGTCTGGGAAGGTTTTTAAAAGATTTTTCAAGACGTTGGTTTTTTTTTTTGAAAGTATGAGTTCTAATTTTGTTATTTTTATTTATCTCAGAAAATCGGAGAAAGAGATACCGTAGTTTTCGCTAGCTTTTCTAGAGTTTGAAGTGATATTTCGAAAAAAGTTTTTTAGAGTTTAGAGTTTATTCACGGGCAAAGTCCGAAAGATCTCTAAAAGGCCTCAAAGGCGCCCGACTTTTTTCTAAAGGGCCTTTTGAAAAGGTAAGAAAGAATAAGGCGAAAAAAGGAGATTCCGAGAATTTTTGACACCTTTTAGGGAACTCAAAAAGGAGCTTTAGGCACTTTTTAATGCCTTTTTTAGGCCGTTTGGACTTTGCCTATTTTGGAGAAAAGAAAAGAAACTCAGTTTTTATCGGAGATTAGTGACATAATCCTTCAAGTTATTGCTAGAAATTAGTAAAGATTCTGTGGTTTTTGATAGAAATTTGAATTTTTCAAGTCACTTTCGGAATGAAGATTTCGAGCATCAAATCAAGAAATTTTCAACTTTTCTTGAAAAAATGAAAATTCGCAAATTATTTTTCATAGGACCGCGAAAGACGTTGTGACCCCTACAGCATTCGGAATCGCTGGAAAACTTACCGCTCTTTTTTCAAGAAGTTTTTCATTTACCTCGCCAACCTGGACTATAATAAATTCGCGATTTTCAATGCAACCACGGTGCTAAAGTTTGTGACATTGCGGGAATTTCCACGTGAACAATGGTCTGAATTGAAGGGGAACCATCATGAGTTATCAGAGCACTACGTCCGCCGCTTTGGTTGTTGCGGTAATTTCAAAATTGAGTCTTTTAAATGGAAATCGAAGTTTTAGGATCCCTTGGAAACGATGCACAACATTGCGCAGGCCGTTAGTACCAAGGCCTTGGCTTATTTCAAAAAAATGATCCGGTATTCTTTGCATTTGGTTGGTCCGTTTGAGAATTTCGTTGAAGGGGCGGACCTTTAAAACTTGAAAAAAAATTTTTAGGGTTGATGGTGCTCTCTTAGCTTTACTGAATTGGTTATTGTTCAAGATCAGGAAATTTTGAGAGAATTTGGTTTAAAGGCGCAGGGCGAAGCTTCTAGTCCTGAAAAATAGATTTTTCTTGGTATTTTCCTCTTAATAGCTCTATCATTTGATTTTTACTCAATAACAAAATTTTATGAGAGGATTTTTGAAGGCGCGGGGCGGAGCTTCGGGAGTTTCAAGACCAGAAAGTTAGATTTTTTTTTTTTGGAAGTCCTCTCGCCGCTTAATTATTGCTTAATAGCAAAATAGTATGAGAACATTTCTTAAAGGCGCAGGGCGGAGCTTCGAGAGATTCAGGACCTGTAAAATATAGTTCTCCTGGTCTAGTCTCCTCTCGTAGCTTTACTAAATTAGGTATTTCTCAAGAACAAGAGGTTATGAGAAAAAATTTGGTTTAAAGGCGCAGGGTGGAGCTTCGGGAGTTTCAAGACCAATAAATGAATATTCAACTAGGCACTGCAGAATACTGACAGATTAGAAAAATTTCGAATGGCTCCAAAAAAAAACTTCAAAGCCTAAAAAATTATTTGACTATTTGAAGACCCAAGGCGGAGCTCAAGAAAATTCGTAAAATACTTTCACGGTATTTTTTGAGCACAGATTCAGAATCAGCGCGAAAAACGACATTTAATTAACTAAGCTTCACTGAAGTTTTCACTGTACGCTCCGGTTTTTTATAGTTTATAAGACCCCTCTTTTTTTTGAAATTTTTCCTAACTAAAACCAAGACAAAAGAACTTATTTTGCAGCTCAAATGCAGAGAGTTTTCACTGAATGCGATTTTGAATGTCGAGGAAAACTTCCAGAAACAAGTGGCTATGAAATTGGCGGCCCCAGCGGCTCATTTCGCGGATATTGGTGATTTCTCCAAATAACAAATGAGGAATTTATTTTTTATTTAAAGATGGTTCATTGGTTTTCCTGTTACCGGAAGTCATCCACGACAAGCTCGAAGTTCTGCATTTATTGATCCGGATTATGGGCTGGATCGTGTCTGCGACACATAGGATGGGATCGATTGACGATATCGAGACCCCTAAGGTTCTTGGAAGTTTTTGGGATTTTGGAAAAGCTTGAAATTTTGATAAATCAAAGCGATTTTAAGCTTGAAAACGTGTATTTTTTCAAGATATCCTTGTAGAATTCTAGAATTCATTGATTAATCCATACGTCGGCTGGATCTTACCCCGGGGTGCGGCTTAAACGAACGCCGCCCCCCCCCCTCTCAAACTTCGGCCTATCCCCCTCTCTCAAAATGCGACCTACCCCCTCTCAAAATGCGGCCTACCCCACCCCCCTTCAAAAAGAGGCCTACCCCCGCAAAAAGCCGCCTATTTCAATATATTTTCAAATCTTTTTTGCGCGCAGAAGGGTTGGATCTAACCTATGTATGGGTTAATCTTACCGTAAATCTTGAAATCTTGACGCAGCCTTTTTTGGTCATTCTAAAGTTGTATGGACGGTTAAGAACTTTTTTCTGGCTTTTTTACAACTTTATAAAATTAATAGAAAGAGAACCTTGAAAAGAAGGAAAAAGTTTCAACTTCGGGGACGAAAGTTCAAAAAAAAAAAGCGGAATAATGGAAATTGTCTCAAGAAACTTCTTTTTTGTCAAGTTTAACTCGAAAACAGGTTTTTTTGGGGGTTCATTATTTTTGGTTATAATTTCACTATTTTTTTCATTTTCGACTTTTTTTAGAAAAATTTGTCGTATAAGTAAAAAAATGTTCTGGTTGTTCCTGATGATCTTATTCTCTCAATTTTTTTCCCGACAGAAAGTTTTGTTCAGGGAATCATTTTCCTGATCTTCAAGAAGGCGTGGGTCGGCCGTCGACACCACAGATCTCAAGTTAAAGCTCTTTACAACATTGACAAAGGCCTCGAATCGGAATTGTTGGTGGGTTTTCAATGGTGAAATAAAAAATGAGCCGTTTTTTTGAAGATTTCGAAAATATACCAGAAAAACCCGCCGATTCGTCCATCATGCATCGTCAACGTCCGTTTGCAGTGGAGGCATCGGGATGGAGTTGAATGGAAATTGTTGGTTTTTCTTCATTTTTTTTCAGAAAGTCTTTTAGAGCCGATTTTTCGTTCTCGAAAAACTGAATAATTTTTAAAAAAAACAGAGTATTTCACATTTTTGCCACTATTTATTTTACCATTATTCTACAAGTTTTCATCTCTTAGAAATTTTCTAGAACCCTCATAGGCAAAGTCGAAAAGGTTCCGTGAAAATGATCCGTTTTGCTGCTCTTTTGGGCCATTTCATGGGCTCCTATGCACCATTTTTGCTGCCTCTCCCTTTTTCCACCATTTCTTGAGCCTTAAAAAGGCCAGAAAAAATGGAAGGCCCAATGAGGAGACTCTTTTTGCGGCTTTTGAGCCTCTCCCTTTTATCGGCCATTATCCACCATTCCGACTTTGGGCCCGAGCCATACAGGGGCAGACCATTCTTAAAGGCCGCCGACCCCTCCTCCCAAGTTTTTTGCCAACTTTAAGCTAATACTACCTCCCTGAGGCTAAAACTTAAATGGTTGCGGGCGAAACTACCTCCTGGAAGTTAAAAACTGATTTTTTCCCCATTTTCATAAATTTTTTGTGAGCCATCCCTCCTCCTGGGCTGAATGATTTCTGTACTTGTTCATATATGGTCCGACCCGAAAGATTCAAAGCAATCCAATAACCTGAAAATATATGGTTCTTTGTATTTTTCCTTTACTTCAGAGCGTTTTCTTTTCAAAATGGTTTTGAATATCAACTTTTTTGTTTGAACGACTTGAGGGGAAAAAATGAGCATTTTTCTCGACTTGAGAAGAGAATAAAAAAGGTTTTTTTTTATTCGGAGAATCCGCTCAAACAACATTTTATGCACTAGGTAAAGGATCTGATAGTGGAAACTTGCAGAATTTCCTAATTTTTTCAAGTGGAGATTCTTGAGAAAGTACGGAGAGATCTTTGTACATCAAAAAGTATCCTAGTTTTTTTTTTTAGAAAATCTCACAGTTCAACGTAAAATGAACACCCTTATCAAAACTTTAGAAAAAGCTATATGAATATTTCGCTTTATCTTGCAGTTTGGTGGCAAAAGTCCTGAATGGGGCGGTCGCGGACATGCGGGACGCCCTCCACTTCATCATCCATCAGTTTGTCCCCAACTATACCCAAGAACTCGTCGCCAGAAATGGAATGAACAATCTGGAGGTGGAAAATCCGGACAGTAGTCCCGAGCAATCCCAGTAATGCCTTCCCCGATTTTTGTGTACATTGTGTATTTTTAGACGTTTTTTGTGTGTTATCCCACTCTATTTGTTATTGTTGACACGTTGTTATGTTGATTATTGTTTTTGTTATATTTGAGTTTGATTGACCGAAAAACGAAAAAAATCAGTATGGAAAAAATAGCCTCAAAAGGTGGCAAGTGCGCTCCAATGCTAAATTTCTCCAAGAGAATTTTTTTCTAGGTTCTTTGGATTTTTTTCCGAGTTGAATAGTTGAAAATAACTTTAGGCAGCACCTGAATTAATTAGCATTTGAAAAAGATTTTTTTATATGAAAAAAATATTCTGAAAAGGAGGCATTTTTCGCTACAAGGTCAATACGACTTTGGAAGGCATTTTTAAAAATTAGATCTACGGCTCAATATTTATAATATTTTTGCGTTATTTAATTTTATTTAACCATATTATCAATATATCATGTCTGGACCTTCTCCCCATGACCATATTTTAACATGTCATTCTTGCTATTTTTTTTCTTGATTTTATATTTTCTGTTAAAATTGCCATATCATCCGGTTTTTGGATCTCACTTTTGGAAACCGATACCTGTTATGTTATCGCTATCATAATCTCGTTCTTTTTGAGATGTTATCACTTATTTTATTATTTTCATCTAACTGCCGGTTCTTGTCTATTATGTGTACTTGATTCGAGTTTTAAACGTCTTTTCTCGATTTGTTGTGAATGAATTTGAGATCCGATTTCAAACGTGCGGTTTTTCTTTTGGTTTGATCGGTTTTGGGACCGGTTTTTAGTATTTTTTTGAAGAAATTGAGGGTTTTGTGCGGTTTTTGGGATTTGCCTTGATAGAGTCTGACAAATTCTGCTGAAAATTAAGCAAAAAAAAATTAATAAATTTCAAATTTTCTGTAGAAGATTCTCATTGAAAAGCGCTTTAGTTAGGTCGTTTAAGAACTTATTTTTATCAATTTTTCAACAATCAGTTGATTAAGCGCCTAATTGACAGGTAGCTGATTCACGGCTGGCTTGAGCCATCAAAAAGGGTCCTGACACGATAATGCACAGTTCGTGGAGAGCCCAGACAGGCCACGCCCCCTTAGTTAGCCGTGAATCAGCTTCATAGTCAGTTCAGATTTTGAATGTCAAGTCCAATGACGTCATTGAAAAACACTCTGTGGATGGCTCGCTCTCTGATTGGTTTATCGCGCCATTAGGGGGCGGAGCTCCAGCGAGAACTTGACATTTACAATCTGAACAGACTATAAAAGGAAATTTCGGACTCGTCACTACTTTTTTTTTGCCTTTTTCTCAGTATTTCAAAGTTTTCATAACTTTCCAATAGTTCCCAGATGGACGATCGCCGTTCACAACGGACCTTACTGGCCCAGACAGTCAATGAAATCGTCAAACTATTAATCGAGGCCCATAATGAGAAGAAAACGGTCAATTTGAATCGACTCAAGTGCTTGGTAAGAAAGAAAATTTGCGAAAAGATACCAATTTTCCTCCTTAGGTTGCCCAGAAAAATGGGCTGAATTGCCAGCCAAAGCTAGTCGATATCATTGCCGGCGTTCCGGCCGACTACAAAGACGCTCTTTTGCCAAAACTGAAGGCGAAACCGGTTCGAACGGCTTCCGGTGAGTTGGTGGAGCCGAAAAATGTTCGATTCAGTGATTTTTTTGTTGAAGAAAATAAATGATGGAACACAAATAATCCGAAAAATGTGGAAAAATGGAAGAAATTTGTCTTAATTTCTTTAGATTTTTTAATTTTTTTGTCCTCTTTTTGAGTTTTAGGAGCCAAAGCCCCCATTTTCTCGTTTTTTTAGTAACTCCCCCCGTTCCAACCCAATGCCAAGCCTATTTTTTTATAAGATCGGACTAGCGCTCCCTGGATTTTTTTTTACGGTTTTTGCTATCCCCCCCATTTTTTTCGTTTTTCTGCCAACTACCCCCCTTTACATTCCAGGTCCCATCGAGACTATCCCTTGTATGATTTTGTTGAAGTATAAAATTGTGAGATTAGCTTCTTAGGTGCCAAAAAAACTTGAATTTTCTCGAGAATTCCAGGATTTTGTGCAGTTTTAAGCAAAATCCTATTTCAAAATTTTGCAGAGAGGCTTAAAAACTCAGAAAATTCAGGTCATTTTCCCCCTAAATAGGTATTTTTCTAGGAATCGCCGTCGTGGCCGTGATGAGCAAGCCGCATCGGTGTCCTCACATCAATTTCACCGGAAATATTTGTGTTTATTGCCCCGGAGGCCCGGATTCCGACTTTGAATATTCCACCCAAAGTTATACGGGCTATGAACCGACCAGTATGCGGGCCATCAGAGCTAGGTTTCTGAAGAATATCCCAGAAGAAATTGAAAAATTGGGTTTTAGATACAATCCATACCTGCAAACACGCGGCCGATTGAACCAGTTGGTACAACTTGGACATTCGGTTGATAAGGTGATTTGGGTAGATTGATTGGAAATTAGAAGATAATAATGATAATTAAAGCTAGTTTAACTGTTGATAGAGAGGTTAGGTTAGATTGAATTTTTTTGAAAGGTAAATTGGAATATTTTTGGTCCTAAACAACCTGAAAAAGGAGATTTTCAAAAAAGGCCCTCAAAAACTTTCTAACCCCTTTTCATGGCTTTAATTAGGTAAGATCTTTTTCAAGGAGATTTTTTTGAAGATGAGGGATCTAGAAATTGATGATAAAGAAGGTCTTTCTTCGAGGGTTAGGAACCCTAAAAAGAGTTTTTCGAGGTTCATTAAAGATGTCTTGAACTTATTCTTTGCAGGCTACTTTTGAAAAATGTTTTTTAAAATGTTATATTAGTTCATTCAACAATTTATGCTCCCAAAGAGGTTAGATATTTGTGAATTTTTTATTGCTCTAGAGGTGTTTTTATCTCGATATTTCGGACTCAAATAAAGACCTAGATTTTTTAGTTGAACCAAATTTTTGTCCTAACTAGAGATTTTTGGACATGAAAAATGTATTTTTTTGTAAAATTCTGTATGATTTCTAGGTGGGAAAAATGGTTGAAATTTTTTGTTAATTCAAGCGACATATGTTTTTTTCAAGTCTTCTGAGTCATGCTCCTTTCAATAAGGAGCTTTAAACATTTTTTGATCAATTGTCTCGATTGAATAAATAAATAAATAAATGGGTAAACAAGTTTTTTTCTCAATGCTACTCAGAAAAAAAGAAAAATGAACTTTCAGACTTGAAAAATTTTTGCCCTGTTTTTTAATTGACAAAAATTCTGTTAGAGTTACCCCATCTATTCGAATTATGCGCCCCCCATGAAAAATTATTTTAATCAGAAAATGTTGGCGTCGAGCATATTCTTTCAAGTGTTCACAGATTTGTGCCATAATCAACTTGGTTTTAAATATCTACTTATTATGGTTCTATGTTTCTTTTCTTACACAAAAACTCTTCACAGGTGTTAGTTAATCCACCTAGTGGTCTTTTTCCCTCCCTGCAACATCACCATACCATCCCTGATGTTGCGAAAAATAAACAAATTGAAATTGAATTGAATCGAATTCCGATTTTTCGCTGAACACTTGCCATTTTAGGTTGAATTCATCGTGATGGGCGGCACATTCATGTCTTTGCCGGACGATTATCGCGATTTTTTCATCCGAAACCTTCATGATGCCCTCAGTGGACACACTTCGGCTAGTGTTGAAGAGGTGAAAAAATTCATTAAACGAAAAAATTAGTGAATTTTTTTTTGAAAAGGACTTTTTATGCTGTTCTTGAATTTTTGTGGTTTTTAGCTGCTCAAAAATCAAATTTCTAAGTTTTTTTACGGGAGTGAGGTCTATTTCTCTATATTTTTCACTTTTTCGAGACCGAGTTTTTCTTAAATATTCTTACAATTATTTTTTCTGTTAATCACAAATTAGTTGTGTCTTGCAGCTCACTATGAAAGTTAATCAGATTTTTCTATCATGTTCTATTTTTTTGGCATCTTTTTTTCCGAGCCTAACTTCGAAATTCGCTCCATCCGGCTCTATTGTCACAGCTTCAAATTGAAGCCAAAACAAGAATTCAAAAATCTCCAGGCGGTGGCCTACTCGGAACGGAGCAAGATGAAGTGTATCGGGATCACGATCGAAACTCGGCCCGATTATTGCCTCCCACGACATCTCAACGACATGTTGTTGTATGGATGTACGAGGCTGGAAATCGGAGTCCAGTCGACTTATGAAGACGTCGCCAGGGACACGAATCGGGGTCATACGGTAAGACTGAAGGGAAAAAGGTCAAATCAGTGAGCTGTGTTTAAAAAAAATACACGGTTTAACCAATGGTTATCATATGACGTCAGGATTGCGGACATGATTTTTCGAGCCTCCAACCGTAACCGGGTTACGGTAGGCAGGTCGTTACCTGCGTATCTAAGAATTGACGATTATTCACTAGGCAAATTGTGCACCAATCGATAGGTACAATTTTAGGAATGTTTCAGTACATAACATCTTGGTTTACTGTAGAAATTTTCGAGATACGGTATTTTTTGTGTTCGCGATTTCGGTTTTTAAAAACCAACCAAAAGGCCAAGAGTCTTCCTTTTAGAAATGTATCTCGATAACTCGAGTGTCCTGGCCAACTTTTTAAATAAAAATGAAATGAACCGCTCCAAGTTTACAAATCGAAAAATGGTTACATTCAAAAACGTATTTTTGGCGAGTTTTTAAATGTAAAAACGTCAAAATTTTAATTTAAAAACTTCAAAAGCAAAAAATTCACCTGACAGGAGGTCATTTTACTTTTTGGTTGTGAATCAGAACACTCCTTGATGTACCAGAAGAACATGCTGAAACTCTCAACCTCCACAACTTCCTAGTTTTCCAGAAATAAAGGTCCAGAGCCTCAAAATAGCCTATTTTTCATATATTTTGAGCGTTTTCTTCTGTTCTCGAAAACTAGGAACTTTTTCCGGTTTATGCTTTCAGAATCTCCTTCTGGTACATCAAGGAGCTTTCTAGCCAACTTTCAGGGAAATTCCAAAAAGATCCCTCTTGTGAGGAAATTTGTCCTCAAAACTTTTTTTTTAACGAAATTCCCAAATTTTAACGACCACTTTCATGAGAAGTAGATCATAAGAAGTCTGAACTTTTGATAGACAAGATTTTTCCAGGTAAAATCAGTCTGCGAGACGTTCCACATGGCCAAGGACACCGGATACAAAGTCGTGATTCACATGATGCCTGATTTGCCGAATGTCGGCTGGGAAAGGGATCAGGAACAGTTCCTGGAACTATTCAATGTTAGAAAAAATCCTGAAAAAGCAATAATGAGAAAGATGATGATTAAAGTGCCCCGATTTCCGTCCGGACGGCTTGAAGCTTTATCCAACGTTGGTGATTCGTGGAACTGGATTGTATGAACTTTGGAAGACTGGCCGGTATAAGGTACAATGGACAAATTGGTGGGAAGTTAAATGCGAAAAAATAGCTTAAAAAAAACACAGAGAAAATGTGCTCCATGGGTAAAACTGGTGAGATTCGAAATTTAAGGAATTAGGCTTCAATTTTTATATGGCTCCTTAGGTTTGTTGAGAATAATTTCGTTGGTTTTTATTCTATTAGAATAGAAAAAGAAATTTTTTTATTCCATCCGTGGTCGCATTTAGAATGGCTCTGAGACGTTAAGCATCTACTTTTTGTGCTTGCGGATAGCATTGCGCGAAAGTTGTTTTGAGTCGGACGCGTCGCAGCCACTTTGTAGTTGAAGCAAACCATGTGCGACAGAGAGCTTTAATCTTAGTTACGAAATTGATTTTAAGGGGAAAGTGTGCTCTATGGATAAAATCTTCAGAAAAAAAGTTATCGATTCGGAACTCGGTAATGAAAACCGGACACGCTCCGGACATTTCTAAGCAAATCTAGGGATCACTCAAGCGCTAACTGACGTTTTTAAAGTACGACAAGTCCGACTCGCGTCACCAAAAGTCCGAGAAATTCAATAATTTATAACCCATTTTTTTTTTTCGGTTCTATGGAGCAGATTTTCTCGACCAGCTGAATCTCATCTGATTAACTTTTTCTCTTAAGAGCTACCCGCCCTCGAACCTTGTCGATCTGATTGCAACCATCCTTTCTTTGGTCCCTCCTTGGACCCGTGTCTACCGAGTTCAGCGTGATATTCCCATGCCGCTGGTTTCTTCTGGTGCCTTTTTCTGATTTTTGAAAATTATTTTGGATCTTTAAAAGATAGCAAAGTTTCAATTTGAAAGGGAGTTTTTATCAAGTTTTTGAGTTTTTGTACGGCGGATTTTTCTGAAAAATTGATTGAAAATAATCGCTCAATAAACTTTTCAGATTCTTAAATAGCTTGAAGTCAGAGAGTTCTTGTCTTGAAATGTTTTGAGTCAGCATTTTTTTGTTTGAATACAGTATTCTCACTTTAATTTTCAACTCAGAAATGACATTTTTGGAGTCTTCACGTATCAAAAAAATATCATGAAAAATGAGTGCAATAATTGATTTATCCAATGGAAAGTGGGCAATCGAAACCTCTTGATTTTTGTTGATTTTTTTTTTATCCTCGTAACTCTTTCGTTCAGGCGTTGAACACGGAAATTTGCGTGAACACGCCTTGGCCAGAATGAAAGAGCTTGGACTGAAGTGTAGAGATGTCAGGACGAGAGAAGTCGGGATCCAGGTTCGACAAAGCCTTTTTGGCTGAGAAAGATCAGTTTTTTCAGGAAATCCACAACAAAATTCGCCCAGATGATGTCGAGTTGATAAGAAGGGATTACGTTGCAAACGGCGGCTGGGAAACTTTCATTTCTTATGAAGATCCTCAGCAGGTACTGGGAAACATAGGAAACAGGAATCTACTGAAAAAAAAAATTCAAATAATGTCAAGTAAATATTGGGGAACATACATCGGCTGGATCCTATCCCAGCCTTTTGCGCGCGAAAAATCGGAAATGTACTGAAATAGACAGCACTTTTTTTGGGAGGGGCTAGGCCGCACGGGTAGGGCCGTTTTTTGGGGGGGAGGGGTTGGTCGTTTTTTTGCACCACGGGGTGGGATCCAGCCGACGTATGTTGGAGAGTTCATATTTTTCAGAAAGAATGATATTTTCAGGATATCCTGATTGGACTCCTTCGGTTGAGGAAGATTTCCGATAAAGCGCATCGGCCTGAACTTCTTGGTTTTCATCCCTTTTAAAACCAGAAAAAATGAGAAAATTTAAGGGCGATGTCTCAGTTGTGAGAGAACTGCACGTTTACGGAGCCGTTGTTTCGGTGTCCGACAGGGATCCGAGGAAATTCCAGCATCAGGTAGAATATTCGAATAGCTTGGGAACTCTATATGAAAAGACTCGAAAAAATTGGAAATATCCCTTTTTTATTGTAAAAATTGAAATTTTGAGTTTCAGCAGCTTTGATGCCTCTAGCGAAGTTAAAAACCTGATAATGGATTTGATATTTTTTTCAAAACTTTGGCAGAGAATAATTTCAAAAAAATAATTTATTCATCCGCGAAGGAGTTGATTAATAGTCCCTTTACTAGTCACTTAAAAAAATTTTGAGGTTTTTTATCTGGACTTATTATTCTTGTCCCGAAGCTTGTCTAAACGCCTATGTGATGTATGAATTTTTTTGATTCGAGAAAATGCGCTCCAGTTTACAAGGTCTCTGATTTGCGGACCGCGGTTGTAGTTTCAGCCTTTTTAGCCAATCGCGAATATTAAATTAAAAGCTCAAATCTATACACGAATAGTCCATTCATGGATCTCGTACTTTGAAAAGGGAAATGGGTTTTATTGGTTGGCCACGCCCACTTTTGACTTTTTAAGCTTTAACTTGCATATATGGATTATTCATTACGCAATTTTGAAATTCGAGAAGAAGTCTTCCTTTTGTCCCTTTTAAGGCGAAAATAAAAGTTTTTTTCTTTTTCATCCGCTTTAAGCTGAAGAGAGTTAAGAGCTGGATACAAGTCTCCAAAACAGACTTTAGGGTTACGGACAGCTTTTGATGGAAGAAGCTGAGCGGATAGCCAGGGAGGAACACGGTTCCAGCAAGATTGCAGTCATTTCCGGCGTCGGAACGAGGGATTATTATAGGTTTTGGGGATCTTCAGATCTAAATATATTTTGGAAACTTCTGTAGGAAACTGGGATACGAGCTCGACGGCCCATACATGAGCAAGTCGTTGATATCTACCGAAGCTTGATCTAATAAATCTTTTTCTGAGAGAACTATTCTTGAAAACGTGTCAAATTGTTCTTGTTCTTGTTGGTGTTGTTAATTTTTCCCCAATTTTTGTTGCTAATAAAGTTTTCTACATTTTATAATCTCAGTTTTCAGTTCTCTAACTCGGAGATTTGAAAAAAAAGGAATGTTCGAAAACGCCGCTAATCCCGCTGTTGGACTGTTTGGAATCGTCGGAATTATTGGTTTTTCGTGTTGAAAATCGCCATGATTTGGCGGTTTTTCGTCGTTGCTTCGATATTCGGATTGTTCAATAATGGCGTCACGTTGAATCTATCGAATATCAGTGGGGTTTTTTTTTAAATTTTATCCTAAAATTTCTTGATATTTCAGTCTTTTTGAAGAGTTGTAAGTTCCAAAATAAGGAGTACAAGTCGAAGTTGTGTTGACTTTTGATGATCTCAATTTCAAAGGCCCCAAGTCAATCAAATCGAAAATTCCTAATAACTACAGAGCTCAGTGAGAATTTCGCATCCGAATTAAGTGAAATTGATTTTTTTCTTTGGCTTACCCCACCCCCCTTTATTTAGATTAATCTGGTTTTTTTGACTAATGCAAGTTTTTTTAGAAATCCCAAAATTAATTTTTAGTGAGTAGAATATTTAATACGAACATCGGTGGAACATCTGTACAGCCCGTCCGGTTTGGCATACTGTAGGTTGAAATTCTGCATACACCAATTGCGGTCTTTTGGCCTAATTCTACCCAAAAAAATGTATTGGTTTCTAACGAAAAACAGACAAATTTAAAGGAAAACATTTCTGCTTTTGGGCGTTCATGGCTTGGCAGGCAGAGCGGCCAGTGGGCAGCCATCCTTAACCTCTGATCGAGTTTTTTGCAAACGCCAGCAATTCTTAGAAAATGGCCTAACTTTAGAAACCCGTTTTAAATGAGTGATAACCTGTATTTTCTGTAAGTGTTCATTTTTATTAAATGTCGAAAACGATCAGGTATGGACAGCAGATACGGTGCAATGCAAACCTGACGGGTCTCTGTAGGTCGGAACTGGTGTGATTCCTAGTTCCAGCTCTAACTTAAAATTTTTCATGAATAAGCTTAAATATGTCAATCAAGAGCTTTCCAGAGCAACAAGCGACAAATCCTCCAACCACTTCAACATCAACTTCGACTTCAACCTCGACAAAGACCTCTACAACGACCCCTACCACTACCTCTACAACGACTCCCACTACGACCCCTACAACAACCCCTACAACGACCCCTACAACAACTCCTACAACAACCCCTACCACTACCCCTACCACTACCCCTACAACAACCCCTACCACAACCCCTACAACGACCCCTACCACAACTCCAACCACCACTACGATCCCAACAACGACGACTCCAACGACCACTTCAACGCCCACAACTACTTCCACTAGACGTGAGTTCGTGAAAGCTTCTTTGAATATCTCTTTTGACGAAAAACTTAAAATTTTCAAGTTCTCGAAAAGGAAGTGCACTTTTTCATACTAGTTACGTATGAAACTTCTAGTTTTAGGTTTTTTTAAGCCAATATGTCTAATTTTTGGTTTGAAGTTTGCTATAGTCCGTTTTTCGCGACTTGAAAGGGCGGACTTCTCTGCGCCCTCCACGTCTCTCGACGACCCTCTCTTGTTGGCGCGCTATTTTCGCGTTTCTCTTCGGTGAGGGAACAGAGAGACGCAGACACTCGAAAACTGTCACTATATGAAGGCTTTTTTGCGGACTTTTCACAAGTCGGAAGCTCAAAAATCTGTTCGTTGCTGCTTTCCTTCGGGATTTCTTGCTCTATTGGTACATGGAATTTTCAGCCTTCTGCAACTTTGGATGTCCCAACGGATGGATGCCGTACGATCACGATTGTTTCAGGGTTTCTTTTATAATTTTCCGGACCAATCGATCAATTTTTGTTCAGTCAGTGGTAGAAACTGTGACCTTCAATCAAGCCGAAGCGAACTGTCGTTCCATTGGCGGTCATCTCGCCACGTTTTCCTCAGCCATGCAGCAGATTTCGATGAAAGGTTTAAAGATTTGAAACAGTCTGGCCTGTCTGTGCCCTCTTTTCTCTTGTCATCCAGGTCATATGAACAGTAAAACAAAACTTGAACGTCAGAGATTTGCGGAGGAATGAGACTAGGAGTTGTGGCGAATGGGATAAAATAGCTGTAACTGGAAACTAAATTACTTTCCGTATTTCAAGGCCTTCTTTTTGACGTACCCGATGATAGACAAGTCGTGTTGCCGGAGGTTCAGACGATTTGGATCGGATTGTGGATTTCGGTCAGCTTTTTCGTTTTTCGAGATTGATTTTTAGAGTAATATGGGCAGTAAAAGTGGTGTTAGAGATGAATATACCATTTTTAAGCTTTACTTGTGAAAATTTGAAAATTTTCCTCGTTTTGAAGAAAAAGTCATTCAAAATCGGAAAGTTTGAATTCCCGCCAAAAGCCCGTACTGCAGTAAAGTCGCTCTATGGACAACTAATTGCATTTTTTTGGTTTTTCGCTTTGTTTCTATTAATAAACCGGAGAGGACATGAATCGGACGTGTCAGGGCGTTTCTAGTGACCACTTTAGTAGCGCCAGCCCTCTTAAGTGATCCCTAGAATTGCTCAGAAACGTCCGGTGTTCGATGCCGAGTTTCTTTCAAACTTCATTTTTTTTAGTTTCAACAAAGTTTTTTTGTGACATATTTGTACATAAATTGCAAATTTCGACCGGAAAGTTCAAAAGTTCTTCTTGAAGGGTCCGCATTTCACAGAAATTATTTAGGAAAGCCAATGGAAGTGGATGGACGACAGTCCATTGACCTATTCGTATTTCTCCTCCACGGCGGCGACTACCATCGGAAGCTGTGGAATGGTTATTTTCCTTCTCTTAAAACAATTTTTTTATTTTTGCTGGTCATTTAAAATCAGAAAAAAATAAGACGAAAATGAGCCCATTCTCAAAAAGATCGCCTTCATTTTCAATCATTTCTCTGAACCCCGAAGACCTTCCTTCAATTTTTCTTTCGATTTCAAAATTCTAAGCTTTAGAGAAGATCAGGAAAGGCGGATTCTGACGGAATTTTGTTCTTAGGCTTATTTCAAGCCATATCTCTTGCTGACGTAGGGATTTGACTGTCCCAGAACTGGAAAATCTTCTTTGGATCGTATAATTTCTGAACAAAGATCGTTTTTTGTGTTTGGCAAGAATTTTGGAGCCTTCACTAAATTTTTAAAAAATTTTTTGATCATTTATCACTGTGAATTTTTAAGAAATAAGATTTGAAGCTCCAGAGATTTTAAATTTTAAAAAAGGTTCCAATTATTATTGGCCGTCCACTGAGCAGCTTCAAGTAGTTTTTCCAGCACTTTTTAAAAATTCCAGGCATATTTTCTTGTAAATGAGTTATATATTAACAAAATATAACGTTATTTTTTGATTTTAGAGCTAATTTTTAAACTTCATCTCAACAAGAAAGCTTTAGAAGATCTATTATTTCTCAACACTGAAAAAAAAAGCTTCTAGAACACTTTGAAAAATCCAGAAATCTTGTGAGACCGTCCTTCTTTTATAACAGACAGCTTGTTAAATTTTTTGGAAGAACAGAGTTTTTTCTTGGACCGAAAGAACTTTCACAAACTTTCTTTCTCTTCAGGAAACTAAATTCTTCTTATTTTTCACCAAGGACTTCTGACGTTGACTAATCAGAGGTTCATTCTAAGTCCCCTCTTTACAAAAAATGCCTAAATTTTTCTCAGAACATCCGAAGCTTGATTGAATTTTTCAGGAATCTGCTAAGGTCCCAAAAAAACAAAAAAGATATTTAATTCTCCTTTTTGTGGTTTTTAGACTTTTGAACAGTTTTTTTGTAGTGAAAATTTTTTTCGAGTTTATTGGAGCGTCTCAAAATTGAACCGAAAAGATCAGGTTTTCATGAAATAACGTCGCAAAATGCCCATTTTGAAGCTCGGTCCTACGCCTTTAAATTGAAGATTTTTTCGAGCTTTTTTGAATCATAAAATGGGCGAGATCTTTTACAGTAACCCCACAATGCAACCCCCTTCAGGTCAAAAATAATTTTTCCGGGTTTTCTGAAATTTTTGCAAGTTTTTCTTTTGGCCAAGAATGTTCTAAAAACACGAAATATATTGGCAAATTTTCTCATTTGTTTTCTGTTCCCTTGATCCCCGAAGAGGATTTGCAGATAGTCAACTCGCTGTCGGCGAAGACGGACCGCGGGAAATGGACGCCGGCGGACTGCGCGACGAACGCCACCGCCTATCTCTGCGAGACTCCCACCATCTTCTAATTCGAATTCTCGCCGCAAAGCTTCTTCTCTCGAGCAATTTGCTCGTTGACACTCGGAAACGAGGATACGGGGAATGAATGAATGATGTTGCGCCCCGTGTTGCATAGCTTGAAGACAGAATCGAGGTTGAAAGTTCATGCAGGAATTATGAGCCCTGTGAGGTTTGCGTGTACAAACAGCGTCATTTAGAAGTCTTTTTTGGACTAATTTATTTTGGGAGGCTTACATGTCCAATATGAGATCATAGTTTTAGTAGTATAGTCTGTGATATTTACGAGAAGAGTGCAGGAAATTAGAGAAATTGAAACGATTGCACTCCGGGATTTTCTGGGAAGTTCATTCAATTTATGTACCCCCCCCCCCCTTCCCCCTCTGAAGATATTTCTTAACTGTCTCTTTTCTGGTCACTATGTTACGAGTTGGAAATTCCAGACGTTCTCAAAAGATATTTGTGCATTCCTCCCCTGGTATAGTCTGTGTGCCACGACTTGAAATTTCACGGAACGACATTCCGCTGTTCTGCTGCGTGTAATCGCGAAGCATCTTTCGAATCAAGGTCCCGCTTTTAATTGATTGTTATTGCTCTGGGAGCACATTAAAGTAGAGTTCCTTATAAAAAGAAAAAAAAAAATCAAAAACGCGACCAAGGTTCGCAAAGGCGCGCAGCGGCACAGCGGAATGTCGTTTGGTGAAATTTCAAGTCGTGGCACACAGACTATACATCGCAAAATGTTCGAAGCTCAATTTTAGTCAATTTTTTACTTTTTTTTGCAGCTCTAGGAAATTTGAAAGGGCTTTTGATGTAGCTGAGGATATAAGTGACTCAATTAATTTTCGAGATTTGCAGTGAAAAAAGTTTTATTGAGAAAAAAAGCTGCAGGAAAAGTTTGCAAGCATGCTCCATCGAGAAAGATTTTGGAAAACAATTTTCGGTTGATCGTTTTTTGAAAAATTATTTTGTAAACCTTTGAATTTTCTCAGGAATTTAACTAAATCATTTCGAAACTGGAATTCTCTACGGATGAATTTAATGAGTTCGTTCCGTTCGAATTTCCCGTAAAGTTAAATATTTTTTTGTTAAAAAAAGTTAGATATTCAGATTTTTAATGGAGAAGAGCATCACGAATCGCTTGCATGTGCGCTCCATGGATGGATTCACTAAATCAATTAAATTCAAAGCTTTTTGAACGGAAGTTTTGGATTCAATTTTTTTAAAAATCATATTCCAGAAATTTAAAAAAATATAAATTGAGTTTTTCAGACTTTTTAAAAAAATATTCATTTATCAACTTTTTGATAATGCAATTAATTTCTGAACTCTAGAGCTTCAAGCGCACTTTGTGATCAGTAGATCGGAAAAAAATATTAAAAAGATCGGCAAAAAAATTGGCATCATAATTGAAAATCAACAGAAAGAATGTTTATTTAACCGATTTTTGAAGTTTGCACTTGATTCTCAAAATTGAATATTCAAAAAAAAAATGGGCGAGTTTCCAAAGATCATTTGATAAGATAAAAAGCTGTTATTTGCATGCCCATTCATTCTTAACTCAATTTTTCATAAAGAAAAAAGGCGAAAAAGCCCCGACGTCAGTAAAAGTAAGAGGAATTGACCCCGACGTCACGGATATCCGAAAAAATGGCTTTTCCTCGTGTCAGCCCTCAAAGAAGTCTAATTATGCTTCCCAGAAGCCCATAAAAATTGACAATTGCGAATCCAAAAGTTAATAACTTTGCTCCCAGAGTTCAGTTCGAGTTTTATACGAATTTAGGAAAATATTTTCAACCAAAACCTACAATTTGAGCCAAAAATTCCTAGACAACATGAGCGGCTATACGAGGAAGAAAAAAAATGAGAAAAAATGATTTCTCCTCCCAGTAAAACCAGTCATTATCTATGTAGAGAATAACTTTGTACTTGCCGGAACTTTTCTTATTTTCCCATTATTTTTGTCTTTCTCGTTTTTTTCTTCAAGCGAAAATAACAAAGGTAATTGACACATGTCCACAATTTCCGTTGATTCGAATCAACCACGCTGCTCAAAGCTCGTAACAGTTGTGGTCACTTTCTCCACTAGAAAACTTTTATTTTTTATTTTTTTATTTTATGTTCATTCATGCTTTTTCAGAAGGAGAAAACTCGAAATTTCTTTCAAAAAACAAGAAAATTTGTATATGACGTCGATTAAAATTTGATCTTTTCATTTTTTGTGATTTACGTACTATATTTATTTCGTAAATGGATTTGTGTTTGGCTGAGAAAAGTTTTAGTGTCCACAAGATTTTGCGAAGGTGAAAAATAATTTTGCGCCTTGTAGAACCACAGGAAGTAATTTTGAACGATTATAACAACTTTTCCGAAAACAAAAAGAAAGTTTTCTTTTTTAGAACTTTCCTCTATAAATGTTCTGTACAAAGAAACGACTTCATCTCTGAAAAACCTTAAAATACGTGTTTTTCTAAACTTGATTCCCTCAGGATTAACTCCATCTTTATTTTTATTTTCAAACGAAGCCACTTCAAAAACAAATAGGTTCACTTATATATAAACTCGAGTTTTGTTTTCCTTTGGAAGATTCTCATCTTTGAACCCGTCCATTCCTAAAACGGATCACTGATTTTGTTTCCCCATTCAGAATCGGTGCTGACAAAATCCAACAAGCGGTGGCTAATGATACCTGGAAAAGTGTAACCCAATTGATAAAACGGCGTCTGCACCTGAGTATTTGGAAAATAATCAAGAAAATTGTTTCAAGAGGGGGAAAATGGAAGTTATTGAAGTTTTACCAACATCAGAGGAAATTGCAGAGAAAGGTGTGGGAATAGCTTCTCGAACTGAGGTCTGTGTATATTTTTGTCTTTCTGCGACCTCACCTAATGAATTTTCACAGCAAGCCTTTTTAAATGGAAAAATCGGCTACTATAGAGCGTTTTTTTGAATAATTTTTTTATTAAATTGATATCTCTCATTTTTTTCTCCGGACGTATTTTCTCAAAGATCTCTTTTTCCAAGCTCATTCAATTTGAAAAACGCTTTTTTTAAGTTCATTCAGAATTTTTTCAATGCGGCTCTTTTTATTATCACATTTTTGAACTGGAAAACTTCCAAAATGTCCAAGAATATTTTATTTTTCAACTGAATACTCAATTATTTGAGTATTTTCCGTCGTTTTCTTAGAAGTTTGGCATTATTCATGCTGTCTAGGGTATTCTCAAAACTTCTGAATTTCGGGTAAAAAGCAAAAAAATCGAACTTTTGAATGAAAATATTGAAAAATTTGATAAAACGAATTTTTGAACTTCTCATCGCTCTTTTTCATTACCAGGCCGGAAGGATTCAAATCGATTTTTTTATTTAACGAAAAAAATTCGGAAAAATCCTAAAAAAATTATCTTTGAAAAAAAGTAATAAATTCCTCCATTTTGGCTCGCTTTTGCCACTAAATTACGTTTCCCCCATTTTTTTCCCAATAAACTTCAATTATAAAAAAATCAAATCCGAAAGGCTCGCCACATAATAGAGTTTCGTGCAAACGAACGTGTCGGGGTGCAATTTTTTCAATCGAGGGGACAAAAGCTGAAAGCTCCGCCTACTTTCCTCCTAGGACACGCCCACAATTTCTTCCTTTTTCGAAATATTTTCCGCCGTTTTCGGGTTCAACTTGGTTTTTTCGTGAAATTCGATGCATTATTCGAAGAATAATTATGCTGTTTTGAATTTTTCGCTTTATTGAATTTTTTCAAGCTTGCTGTACTTGTTTTAGAACTTTTTTTTCCATTATCTATTATTTTTTTTTCTCAATGAGAAGAACACTGATTTTTTGATCGAAGTCAACAATTTGAAACATTTCTGGATTTTCCTGAAACTTTCACTTTTTTTCTCCGAATGAAAGTAGCTTTTCTAAGAAACATAGAACCATAGACATACGATTTTGATAATATTTTACAAAAATATATATTTCCAGCCAAGTTGTATAATAGACTGGGAAAAATTTTCAGTGGCCACTATAGAGGTTCTCTATTTAGTGGCCACTTTAGTAAATTCCAGTATTCCTCCCAGTAACTCTGATAATTTAAAAACAAACAGATTGGACCAGTTCTGTTGATTCATTGACCCCTAAAGTGGCCCCTAAGAATTTTAATGGTCTAGTAGTAGCACTAAGACCTCTATAGGGGCCACTAATTTTTAACCCCTCAAGTGACCACTAATTTGACATTTGATAGTGACCACTAAAATGTCAAAACCCTTTAGTGGCCACCAAACATTTTCACAAGATTGGGTCAAAATGAACATTATCAGACCTATAGTTTTTTTTGTACCGACCTTCAGATTTCCCATACTCGCTCGAACTTATATGACACTGAGGAACTTTTTATAAAATCAAAAGTTTGAAATTATAGATGAATCATAGAAAATAGCCCCCAGGAAGATTATCAAATTTTTTTAGAAAAGCTTTCGAATTTTTTTTTTCGTGAAAAACAAAAAAACGAACTCTGAACTTTGACTAACACGTGAAAAATATTGGATTAGTATTTGTGACGGCCTAAGGCTTATCTCCATGAAGATCTTCTCAAATATCACATAAATCAACGGATTATCAAATCAGTTGCAGAAAGGTTCTGAAAAGACTACATACAGGTTACTTTTATATTTTGCAGCTTTTAAAGATTGGTTAAAAAAGGTCACACGGATTACCGAATCTACTTCAAGAAAAGAATTAAGATCAAACTACATATCTACAGTTTCCTTTTCCTAATTTTTGCTTTTATTGATAAGGAAGCTTTTTTCCTTATAGGGCGATAAAAGGTTGGACGGAAGTAACCTTAACCTCTTAAGAAAAGTTTCGGTAATCTTTTCATCATAAGAGCGAAGATAAGAGCATTTTCGAGCTGGTGAAAGAAATAAATTTAAGAAAGAAAAACTTTTTTTTGCTCGAAAAAGGCTTATAAAAGCACTTAAAATTCAAATTTGATGGATAGTAGCTGTAAGTTTCTGATAAAAAAATTTGAAAAAAATCAAAATCATCACTGCTTCAGAACTTTCGACCGTAATGATGGCCATATATTGAAAAAAATCGAAAATATATTTTTTTCATCGATCCTTCAAATCTTGAAAAAAATTCTGTTTTGCGACAATAATTTTATAAAACGATTGTTTGACCTTAAAAATGCTTCTTCCGACGATTTTATCTTAAAGGATTAAGTATGCAACTTTTCCCATGAGATTAAGGTAACTTCCGTCAAATCCACCTTTTATCGTCATGAAACTTGATGAAAAGAACTTCCTTTTTCGCTAAAAGCCAAGAAAAGGATAAGGAAACTGTAGATATGTAGTTTGATCTTAACCCTTTTTACATATGATTCGGTAATCCGAATTATTCATTTAATCTTAAGGAAGATTATTTTTGTTAGAAGATCTATTCACATTGGAAAACGACCCATGAGTTTTATTTTCTTTAAAAGCCATGCAAAAGTGATTTTTGTATGTAGTTTATTCACCTGCAACTTATTGGATAATCCGTATGATTTTCTTGATGTTCCAAAAAATCCTTTCAAAGATAAGCCTTTACGTAGGCTAATCCACTTTCCACGATTCAGAGTTCCTCTTCTTATTTCATTTATAGTAGAAAAGTTCATCATATGCTTACAAAATATCAGTCTTTGGACCATATCCGGATATGTGTCTATATTTTGCAACTTTCTGAAGAAACTACCTTTATAAAAAAATTTCCTGATTCTCATATGACGTTTTAAGAAACTCCAAGACAGGTACAAAAAAGGCTATACGTCTTATAAAGTACATTTTGAACCAATCTATCATACAACTTGTAGTTTTGAAGAAAAAAAGGTTATTTTTTTAAAAAAAGTGTGTCTGACTTAAATGACTTCAAGGATTTTTGAAATTCAATAAGAAGGAAAAATTTGACTTCTTTGAAGGTCTTTCCGATGGAATTAGGCATGAAGAATTTTCGTCGTGTCCTTTTTTTCTTTTTATATCGATTTAATTTTTCGCGACTTGAAGCTTGAGAACTCAAAAATGTGATAAATTTTTTTAGAAACTTATAAAAAAAGTTTTTCTTGGCAGTTATTTAGAATATTAAAGAATCAAATTGGATTGTTTATTAAACTTTTTTTGATAAAATTAGAATCTAGTTTTGCTCGAATTAAGGTTTTTTTAAAACGTGGCCCGACTGAAAACGGTTTGCGCCTGTTCACGTAGAAATCACCATTTCCAGTTTCCATTCCGTCTGAGTTTTGTTATTCTCTGTCTGTCTACCTTGAACTGGACTTTTTATTATTATTTAAATTCTTGAATTTTTAATTTCTTTTTTTCCTATTTGGTTTCAATCTTCTAAATTCATTCTCTAACCGTTCAGCCCAATTTTTCCGTGTTCTTGCAAATTTTTGAATTTTTGTTAGCGATTTTAGAAATAATTAGAGATTTCTGGGTTTTTTTCCACTATAAAAAAACATGATAAAATAGATCCGAAAAGTAAATACGATTTATCCAACGTTCATGCCGAAAATCCTCTTAAAATCCTATCTTCATAATTGAAAATGTATCGCAAAACCAAAGGCTCATTTTAACCGGCTGGGTTTTTTTTTCTTACACCCCGTTTTTTTTCATGATTTTTCCCATGCATTGAGGAACTTCTTTGCAGTTCTTTTCCCAAGTGATATATGGACGACGCGGAGCTTCTCCTCCGGGAATGGGCGATGAGCTCGCGGCTCCTGTACTTCTCGGTACTCGGAGTCTCGTCCTTCACACTTCCGGCCCTCGTTTTCTCGTTGGCTTCGATGAAACGCTTGAGGAAATCCAACACAAAACCGTTTTTGTGCGTCATCATGGTGGCCAACATTGTTCTGCTCACGGCGGTCCTCACCAACGTCCTTTCCGAGCAGTTCAACCTCTTCGTTGGTCAGTTTTTAGGAAAAACGAGAGTTATTACAATACAAAATTGGTTTAAAATGAGCGCCAATACTAAAGAGACCTCTTAAAGTCATTCAGAACTAAATCATTTTATTGTCTCTTCTAGTGGCCATTTGAAAATGCGCCAAGTGGTCACTTAAGGCGTTCATGAGAAGATGTTGAAAATGTAAGCAGAACAGAGAATCAAAAATAAACCCAATTTTATCGGCTCAAATGTAAGAAATGAAGATGCATGACTTTTGGGACGTCACTATAGTGGGCACTTCAGTGAGCCATATTTCTAGGCTTCAAAAATTCAATGAAAAGTGAAAAATTTCCTGTGACTCTCCTATAGAAAAAATAGCTTATCTTTGAATTTAGCCAATTAACTAGAGTTCGTGGGAAAATCAGAGACAGGCAGACACTTTAAAATCTCTGCTCGTCTGGTGTCTCCATTATTTCTAGGAAATTTCGCAAATTAGAATTTTCAATTTTTTACATTCTAATCAATTAATTTTTAACATTTGAAATTTAAGTTTTCAGATAAATATTCCAAATCCCAACTCAAATTTTTTTCCCTTTTTGTTTTCAAATTGAAATCCGAAGCTATTTTTAGACTCAACAGAACGTAAGATTTTTTAATTATAAAACGAGAATTTTTTTGTTTTTTTGCGCACATCAATTTCAGCGGGAGGATCCGTGTCGAAGGAAATTTGTTTGATGAAAATTTTTCGGGGTGAGGGTTTTTTTGCTTCAAGTGATGAAAACTACTTCAATTTTTCAAATCAAGGTACTTTCATTTAAGAAGAGTTTTACAACTTTGAAATGAAACTAGACTTTAGGAGGCTTAAAACACGAGGAGAACTTGAGAAATCGTTTTCTCAAGTACTTTTCCTCACTTCAAACTTGTGCCTCACACCCGGAACGAGCTTTTTCTTTGATCTCGATAGCTTATTTTGCAAACTTTACGTCAAAAAAGGGAAGTTCCGATTCTTCAAATGGTTTTTATTTTTTCTCAGCTTTTCCTCTAGCTCATAGGTCACGAGGAAAATAATTATATAGGTTGAAAAGTTGAATTTTTGACGCATTTGGTAATTATAGCAGTCTCGGAGGATGATTTTGTCTATTGTAAAGGAAGATTGGATTTCTTGAACATAGGCTCGAAAATATAATCTTTTTCGAACACGTGATCTATGAGAGATTAAACAAACTTGAAAAAAGATTTTCTTGGGTTCAAAATTCAGTAATTGAGCTAATCGCGCTCTAGGGATAATCATTAAGAATATTTTTCTGGGACTTTGAAATGGACAGGCTTTTAGAAACAACTACGAAAAAAAAAAGGATTTTTTTAAAATTCAGCCCGGAAAATAAAAAAATACCTCATCACAGTTTTCTTCTCAATAAGAAATGAACAAAAAAACTATTTTTCAAGATCAAAAAACTTTTCAGGCGTCGTTCCTGGCGTGATCGTCTGTAAATTGAGCACATTTCTGGTCAACACTTCGTCCAGTACGATCCACTGGACTTGGGTCGCGATGTACCTTCAGGTAAAATAGAAATTGTTTTCGTAAATTTGAATAAAATTAGATTTTTTCAAGCCTATTTGCTATTTTTAAAAGTGTTTTTACTCATGACAAAGTTCAAAAAGTTCACACTCGATTCTCAAAAATATCCGGTACTGCTCAGTCAACCGTAGCTTTTCGTTCTTTGAGGCCAAAAATTGGGTGGACTTTAAAAGTCAACAAGTCCTTTGCCTTTGGGAGGGCCACGAGAAACTAAAAAGTTCCGAATCGTTCATTTTCTACTCGACATTTCAAACTTAAAAAAAAAATTTCCACCAAACAACATGCTTCTGGTTATTGCTCAGGTTACGGTTAAGTTGCTCATGTTAGATTAAACAGAGAAGCTCAAACGTGTAGTTTTCGAATCATTGAGAAAAATTTTCAAATTCGTAAAATTTGGACTAGTTTTGCTGAAAAATAATCTCATCCTTGCTTATTTCAAAAAACGAAAATAAAGTTCATTTTCCGTTTTTTCCTGTTTTATTTTTCCATTTTCCCCAAAAATTGAGCTTTTCTCTGGCTCATTCGTTACAGCTCCTGTCAAAACCTCCTGGGAAACCTCTTGTTTTTGAGATCATCCCAAAAAATCTGCTTTTGTTTTGACTGTGACGGGAAAAAATGTGTCAGTGTGGGAAAATTTTAGAGTTTTTGCGGGGAAAAAGTTTTTTTATGCATCAGCGGATGCTCTTTTTGGAATTCAAAGTGCTTTGGTCATTAGGCGAAACATTTCAAAAGGATTTTCATGAAAAAGAATTAGAAGGGAGAATAGTTAAATTGTTTTTTTCTATTACTTCTACCGGATTTTTTTCAAAAATTTGAGCTTGGAAAACGAATTTCGAATCAATTATAGCCTCAGAAAGTTATAAAAAAACCTCATACGTTTAAAAAAATGTCACTGACGCAAAATTTCGAGTTGGGTTCGTGTCGGAATCCACAAAACTCGAATCCTCTAATTTAAAATTAATGAAACCCAAAAGATGGCTTTTTTTCTTTCTTTAGTATATTCAACACCAGACATCCTTGGTGTATGTTCTGACCAAACTAAAACCGAAATTTCTCTCTTTTTTCACTTCCTAAAAAGAAGAAGAGAGGACGTTCTCAGACTTCTTTTCATTAAGATCCATTTATTAAAGAAAGGGGAACGGAAATGAGAATTTTTGGAGACAGCTGGTCATAGTCCAACAGGAAATCCTACTAATAACTAAACATTAATTGTGAACTTTGAAACAACTTTGATTTGAAATAAATATTCGGAAAAAGTACTGTAAAGTTCAAAATATGATCTTGAAGCTTTATTGTGATTGAAATTTTTGTGAGGTAGTTTTTATGGATCATGAATAGAAAAAAATGGCCGAAAAAAATTATCAAATAATTTTATTAAAAAAATGTTTTTTTGTGAGATATACTATATTGTGGCGTTTACGGCCTATTTCACCCGCAAATCCTTTTCGGTAAACCTTTAAAAACTTTTTTTGAGAAACGAGAAAAAAACAATATTAAAGCGATTGACGAAGATATCAAATTTTTCAAACTTTTTTTATCGCTTTTTTTCGAGAAAGATCATGAAATTTACTGTGTTCTTTCGTTTACATTTTTTAAAAACGCAATCCTTTTCATAATAATACATTTTTAAAGAATTAAATCAATAAAAAAACGATCAAAATTAGAATGAAAACCAAAAAAAAAAATTATCGTGGCCGAGGTTGGCAAATTCGCAAGATGCGCGCTACCGCACAAATCGAAACAGCGGAGTGTCGTTCCATGAAATTTCAACTTGTGGCACATCGACTATAAACTGACTTAATTTTTGAATCCAAAAAAATCATTTTTTTCAGTTTTTTTAACATTTGACACAAAGCTTGACTGTTCATTTTATTTTTTTCAATAAAATTTTTAAATTTTTCCTTTTTTTAATAATAATAGGTTTATTTTTTTAATCAAGTCTTAAAAGAGATCAGAAGCGCAAACACCTTTTTTTAAAAATCTATTTTCGAAAAAAACAAAGAACTAAACGACTAATTAGCGTAGTCCTTGAATAACACACCCATTTTCCAATTATCCTTCTCCTTTTTTTCCCCAAAATTGGCTTTTCTTGATGTTTTTCAGGGGAAGTTGTCCAGAAGAGGACCACAAATTAATTAAATATATTTAATTTCCAGAGGTTCCTGCACGTCTTCTTTCCCATGCGAGCTCGTCGTTCGCTGTCTGGCAAGTCCAAAAATATCATTTTCGCGTGAGTTTTTGAGAAGGGGAGGACATCTCGAAAGTGCGTACACTTGGTTGGAGGGAAAAATATTTTTTGGAGTTTAGGGAAAAGTTTGGAAGTATTATTACAGCTCTTCAATAAACACAAGGAATAATTTCACTCCAAGGTCCCGAAAAAAAATGATCCTTTTTTTTGTTTAGGGACGTTTTTTAAGATGAAGACTTTCATTATCAATATTTCAAAAACCTCCGAGTTTTTCGAAAAAAATATTGAAAAAAATTTGGCGTACAGGTCCAATTTTGAGTTTATTTTTCATAAAGAATTTCCTTAGCTGTCCTGAGAAGGTCAAAAACTGTACCGCGCGGATGTTTTTAAAGTGCGGACGTTTCTTAAAAAGGAAAAAAAAATTGAAAAAAAAAATCTTTCAAAAAATTTTCAATGTTCTGGTAATCCTAATAATGAGGAAACATACAAATCTATCCTCTAATCTCTTTCGAAAATCACGAAAATTTTGTGGAGGGAAGAAAATTTCAGAAATCCATCCGCAAATTCAATTCTCCGTTTGTCTTCTTACGCATTTTTCAAATATTCTTTTCGCCGCACTTTTAAGGAACTGGGATTCCTGGAACACTTCCGAGAGAAAATTCTGAATAAACACTCCAAAAATTCAAAATTGAAAATTAAAGTTTTTCAGAAGACTTCAAAAAAATTTTTTTCCTAGATTTTTTTGGAGGTAAAAATATATTAGTAATAAATTAGAAGACACAGTTGAAAATAGTTCGTAAATACTCAAAATTTTTCACTTGTAAAAAAGGAAGCGGATAGTTCAAGATGCGACCGACCTAAAACTACTTACGCTTTGCGTTATCCTTTTCACGTAACTTTTAAAAAAGGCAATAAAATTGAAATAGTCAATCAGAAAAGAAAATTTTAACTCCAATAACCTCATTTCTGACGTCCTTTCTTCATTATTTGGATTTTTTCAGAACTGGGAATTTCACCTTTTTTTCAAGAACTTTTTCAGTTGTGCTTCTTTTTTTATTGGGGAAAAAAACAAAACTGAATAATTTTTCCAGTCTGTTGGTTTCAATTAGTAAGAAAAGGAAGAAAAAAAATAAGAAAAATTAATTTCTTCAGGATCACCTTGTTTTCTTCACTCGCCGAAGTGTGGACCTTGATTTTGATGACCGAGATTCGGGTACCCGGGGAGGACGACGGCCAGAGTGGATCTTACTGTGCTGAGAATCCGAGGATCATCGGGTTCGTTGAGGAAAAACCAAAGAAAAAAATCTAGAAGAAGTCTTTAAATCCACTAGAACCATTTTTTTAGAGGTTTCAAATCCAAGAATTTTTTTAAATCAAAAGAAAAAAATACCTTCTTGCTTTTTTCCGAGTACTTTTTTTCGTACTTCAGACTTCGTTCTTTTTCTCATTCAGCTAATTAGATTTCCTGAGTAAAGATCAGAAATAGAGGAGCAGCTGAATAATTGAAAAGCTGAAACGCTTGAAAAATTCCCAGAAAAGCCAAGATGTTTGCTTCTGATATTGGAAGAGCGTGAACTAGGTTATTAGAAACTGAAAAGTTTTTTTTTTTGGCAAAGAGAACAAAAATCGGGGCTCTAGGTACTTTTAAAAGGGGGAAACGATCTCAGAAAAATTCCAACTTTTTTTTTTTGCAGACTCCCAGAAAATTTGTTGAGCTGACGGGGAAAATTTTTTAATGGCTACTATAGGGGTTCCTCGAAGACTGTTTGTAGAGGACTCTTAGTTCTCAGGAGCCACTTTTTTGTCTCTTAGTGGCCACTATAGTAGTTTTAGTGGTCCAGTAATGCCACTTCGACTTCCAGAGTGGCCAATAATTTTTAACCTCTTATGTGGTCATTAATTTGACTACTTTCTCAGGAAAAACTTAGGGATAAAGATTTTTAATGACTTCACTTGAACTGGAAAGAAAAATCAACTAAACTTTCCAGAAAAGAAACCGTAAAATGGGTGGCTTCGGTGGACTGTTTCCTGACCTTCTTCCTGCCCCTTTTACTGACCGTTCTGACTGATATGACGGTTCTGGTTCTTCGGAACCCGTGCCAGAAAAATCAGTTCAAATTGGTCTCCAGCAAGGAGTTGGGAGGGTGTGAGAAGCACGAGTGTACCATGAAAATCGTCTCGGAGAGCAATCGAAAGGTTTTTTTCTTTGCTTTTCTCTGAAACTATCAAGCTTGATTTTTTTCAGAGCGCCGCGAAACGGAGAAGTCTTGCCATTCGCCGTTGTTTCATCGCGGCAACGATAACTTTGTTGTTGAATTTACCGAATTACGTTCTTCAGGTACTTTTTCTCCAAATGAGATTTTTTGATAGACCCTAATTTCAAAGAGTAATTCGAGATGAAATTTTGAAAGTCGGTGTGATTTTAATATTGATATAGTCCGTTTTTCGCAATTTGAAAGGACGCGATTTCTCTGCACCCACCCCGGCTCTCGGTGACCCTCTCATGTTTGCATGCTATTTTCATGTTTCTCTGACCGCGCCGATGAGAGAACAGAGAGACGCAGACACTCGAAAACTGTCAAGTCGCGGCAAACGGACTACAACTAGAATATAACTAGAAAACTAAAGATCAAATTTTCAGCTTGTTGACGAGTTTTACGAGCTGCGAGAGAGCGAACATTTATCCACGAGGAGGACTTTTCTGAGGGTAATTTTTTGAATTTTTCCATTGTTCGAAAAAAAACTTTTTTTCAAACTTACTGTTCCGGAAGGGCTGTTTAAAATAAAAAATAATGGAAAAAAGTTGGTATTTTCACAATTGAAATTCTTTAAAGTTGCCAGAACTCCTTTGAAAAACTAAAAAGTTTAGTGATAAAATGTCTCAAAAAAATGAATTTTTCGTGCTGTTTAAAGTATAACTGATAACTTCTTTTTCTTTCATTTTGGCTTGTTTTCGCTTTTTTCTGAGTTTTCGCTATTTTTGTCTGTTGAAACTTCTTTCTTTGAAAATAAAATATTGCGTGACTGATAAAATTAAAATCAAATAATGGTCCTTCCAACATAGGCAAAGTCGGAAAGGGGGAAAAAATAGAAATGTTTCTTTTAATGTGACAAAGGTTCCTTTTTTATTGCCCTTTTGCGCCATTTTATTGGCTCTTGTGCACCATTTTTGCTGCCTCTCTCTTTTTGCACCATTCCTTGAGCCTTTAAAATCCTAGAAAAAGTTGGAGGCTCGATAAAGGAACTCTTTTTCCTGCCTTTCTGCAGCCTTTTTCGAGCCTTTTGGCGGCCATTTATCCACCTTTGCCCAAAAATGGATCAGCAGGTTACTAAAGACTATCAAACCATTTTTGCTCAATTTTTATTCAAGTCCATATTTTCAGATCGACGCGGCCGTATATGTCCTTTACTTACTTCAATTCCCGACAGTTCCCATTCACATGTTGTTTTTGAGGGAAGATATCAGCCGCGCTTCCAGGTACCGATTCCATTCCGAACAGGTTCATCTGCAGTTTTCAGACTACTACGTCCATCAATTCGAGAGCCGACAAGATCCCCCATAACTTCAAAAACGTGCTCCAATGTTTGAAATCAATATTAATAACAGTTATAGCATTTCTTGTACCTCTTTCCAACGGGTTGTTCACCTTATTCCATATCATATTGACACTGTTCTTTCTTGAAACCTGTAATAAATTGAGATTGTATTTGGTTGTAGGCAATTATCAAAACAAACAAAACATTGAAACCACAATCATAAAACGTTTGTAGAATTCACTGTCTAGTTAATTATCGTGTCAGGACCCTTTTTTTCGATGGCTCAAGCCAACTAGGAATCAGCTATGAGTTACACACGTCGATAACGAATTTTGGGCGATTTTCAAACTAAAACGTGAGACAACCTTATAAAACCCGATTTTTTACAGTCTTTTCACCGCTTTTATCAACTTTTTGTCATTTTCCTCTCAAAATGAAATCCAGCCGCCATTTGGTCTTTCTTTCCTCCTGATTATTCGGAATAAGAAAGTTAACTCATTGATCAATTTTACACATTTCATTTGGATCATTTTTTCAAACATTTTTTAAAGATCTGATCCATTTCAAAGATTGGGTGGCAATTTCAGTATCAATTGCAAAAAAAGAAGAGAAAAATCAATTTGAAATCATTTTTATTGTTAGAATGAGATGACATCCATAAAAGCGGACAAATACGATAAAAAGGCAGAAAAATATTAAAAGAAGATTTTTTTACGAATGTGTCGCCGATGTAAATTTTTAGAATCGGCTATAAATTCGCATCTCGACGTGTTTCGAACACAATTTTTTTCAGCTTACAATTTTTTTTTGAGAGTTTTTCTTTTTCAGAATCGGTTGGAAACGAAACCAGAACGATGCTGATTCGGTACTTGGTGATTTTTTTCCCAAGTTCTAGAAGAGATTCTTCTTTTTTCCAGGTTACCGTGATACTGTTTGGCGCAGCCTCGTCCATAGATCTCGGTTCGATTGGAAACTTTATTTTTGGAAATTTCAATTGTTCAGATAGTATCACTTGTGATATGATACAATGCCGAAAAGGCTTCAAATGTGTTATGGTTAGAGAAGTACCGGAATGCCACCAAGGTTCGGGATTTCGAAAAAGTTAAAAAGTATACATTTTTAGAAGGATCTTCCGAAGAGACAGGCTCTTCAGGTTTGTTAGAAAGGCTCTGTTGGGAGAAGAAAGGCAGAAAAACGCTAAAGAGAACATTTTCGAAAAGAATTTCCGCCCGTCTCTGCTCTTGACTGAACGGATAAATCACCGATAATTTCGTTCCTGTAGGCCCAAAGCTGACTTGCGCCTCAGTTCGCTGTCCAGGAGGATTCAAATGCGTGAATACCGCTCAAGGACCGATATGCTCCAGTATGAAACTCCAGAAAGACAATTTCAAAAAAAAAAAAAAATTTTCAAGAGCCAGAAAAGCATACGAAGCAGACGTGTGTCAACTTGGACTGTCCCAGAGGATACAAGTGCAAGATAGTTCAAGATTCTTGGGATAGAAGGTTTCGACGAGTCCCTACTTGCGTCAGAAGCCGTGCTGGTGATGTTTTTCAGACTTTGGAAGTATTTCTAAGCCATATCTCTATTAGAATACTATTCAGACTCCCAATTCCCAATATCTCATTGTTTCGAATTACCTTTCTCTTTATTTAATTTCAAATTTCGAAAAATTCTTCTTTTTCGTTTCACAGAATATTCTGAACAGGTAAAACTCAAACTGGGTAACATTCTTTACACGAAAGCACTTTTGATAGGAATTACAACATTTTTCATCATTTCGAAGTAATTTCTCCAAAAGTAGTATTGTCAATGTTTCCCGACTTGAAAGGCGAGGAAGGCGGGGCAGGAGGCGGAACGCGTAGCGTGTGCGTTCGCGGTTCTTGGCACGTGTTCAATTCAACCGCCATCTACTCTTTGAAAAGCCCGTTTTTCGCTTTTTTCCTTTCTTTTTCAATTATTTAATGATTATGTTCATGTGTGCATCAAAAAATAGTAGACAAGATTGAAAAAGAGCGGTTGCCGAGCTTTTTAAATAGTCCGCGACAATTGAATTGAACTCGTGCCAAGGACCGCGTACGCACACGCTACGCGTCCCGTCCCTTGCCCCGCCTCCTTCACCTTTCGAGTCGGGAAACATTGACTATAAGTGCTGTACAATTTTTCCGTTTGTAACAAACTGAAAAGCTTTGAAAGACGACATCGACACCTAAATTTTGACTTTTTACTGGCCATATGCCTTTAATGTTCAAAGTGAACAACTTTTTGAGTTTTTCAGCGCCGCCAGCAGAATCTGACGTTCAAACAAGGCCAGAACCAAGAGGTGAGAATAATTAATGGATCCCTGCACCCAAGATCCTTGTCGAAGTGGTTTCAAGTGCAAAGTCATCAATGCGTCCTCTAGTTGTACTAAAGGTTCTTCAATAGCTAAAGCCTTTTGGTTACTGTTATCATTCGAACCCAAAATAAAGAAGTATTTGAAAATTTTGGTTTCAGTAGTTAAGTATAGTCGCAAACAGTATTAGAAGTTAAATTAATAATTTTACATAGTAATGAGGCGTTCTCAAAGCAAACTTCAGCAAAAATCTAGGAAAAATCCAACAAGGTACGATTATAAAAAAGTTCCATAGTGTGCTATGAATGAACTAATCGAAAAAATGTTCAAGTTTTCAGCCCCTGCGGACGAGCCTGGAAACACACATGAACCGATAACAGGTGAGAGTGAAAGAAAAAGCGACAATTTTTTCACATTGAAAATAATTGTTTTAAAAGTCTTGATCCCTTAAAACTATTCAGGGGACCCTTGTGCCGATCACAAATGTCATGCACCGGAATATTACACTTGCAAAGTCATCGACGGTACGCCTCAATGCTTAGCGAGTTAGTCTTGGGACCATTGGAAAAGAAAATAATGATGAACATTGAGTCAATCCTTGTTCCCCGAACCGATGTCCGGAGAAAACCTACTGTCATGCGAGAGAGTCTGGAGAAGGAGCGCGTTGTCTACCAGGTTTTGGAAGTTTTTGTCCATAAAAAAAAAACTACAAAACGCATAGAAATATAGTCTGTGTGCCACGACTTGAAATTTCACGGAACGAAATTCCACTGTGCCGCTGCGCCCCTTTGCGAACATTGGTCGCTCTTTTAATTTTTTTTTCTTTTATTAAGGTACTCTACTTTCATGGGCTCCCACAGAAATAACAATCAATTTTAAGCGTGACCTAGATTTGAAAGACGCTTCGCGAACGCACGCAGCGGAACAGCGGAATGTAGTTCCGTGAAATTTCAAATCGTGGCACACAGACTTTACACGAATGTAAAAACGTTTCCTTTGCAGGATTTTTTTTTTTACTGTATCGTTCTGTCCAAAGCTCTGAATTTTAGAGGGGTGTAATTATCAGAGAGCACGCTTTCCTACCATCATAGTCCAGAGCGTGTCAATTTTTCGAGTGTCTGGGTCCCTCGTTCCTCTCTCCGGCAAAGTCTGAAAAATGATTTTTTTTCCTCATTAAGGCGAACATTTACCAGGCTAAAAAATGACATGAAATGTCAAAAAAAAATTTTTCGTTTTTGAAAAATGTCTTTCTTTTTTTAAAAATTTAAAAATTGATCATTATGAGAACTCTAGAACGGACTATAACTCTCAACCATCAAAAGGAATTCAGTGAACCCATGCGGAAACAGAACGTGTCCAGCGAATTCGCAATGCTACAACTACAACAGTGTTGCTTGGTGTACAACAGGTGAATCTATTAACTTCGAAGATGAAATCAAGGAAATCTGAAACATTTAGCCTGCGATTGCGATCCCAGTAATCCCAAGTTTTTGTCCAGCAGGACAACATTGCCAAAAAGATGGACGAAGGAGCGTACAAGTGTATTGGAGGTAGAAAAAATCCGGTCATGGGTGAATGTGAAATCCACTTCGCAACGCGCTTGGTGCTTGAAAGATGAGTAACTGGCAATTAACAGAAATCCCTCCTGATTTTAAAGATATGGAGCTTCAAAAGTTCAAGAAACTGATCTTGATTCTGTGTTTAATGAAATCTTCGAAATTTCCTGGAATGCGTAAACTAAAAGTGTTCGTAGGCCACTATGAGCGAACTGGACCTTCAGAGAAATTTTTTGAGCAAATTTCACATCAAAAATTACTTTCCTCATCGAGAAAAAAAATCAAGAATTGAGAAAAAAATGTCGTTCAGAAAAACCCTTGCGACAAGGCCCCATGCGGAGCTGGTTTCGATTGCTCAGTCGTTGACGGAAAAAGCCAGCTGCATAAAAAAAGTTTATCCAGTACTGATAAAATATAAAGTTTAACTATTCAGTCGATCCATGCTTCCCGGGCCCTTGCATAAGTCATCGTTGCGAAACAACTTCGAGCGGGTCACCTAAGTGTATAGAAGGTAGAACACAAACAGCAGTCTTTTTGTTTCTGCTTTTTTTCTGCTTTCCATACATCAGATCGAAACCCCCGAACGCGTTCAGATCCACCTTGTGTCGGCGGCGACACCTGCATTGAAATTGAAGGGGCCGATTATCATTGTGAAAACATCAATGGTACGTCGCAGTGCGTGCTTGGTGAGTAGTGAACCACTTCCTTCAATAAAGAAATCACGGACATTCAGATCCAAAATGCACTGTACATGCTTGTGATCCTGAAACTGGCCACTGTGTCGAGGGTGACGGAAAATCACTTTTCGAATTTGGGTATTGCGATGAAGGTATATATTTGGTGGTATGAAAAAAACACCAGCGAAAATTCAAACGGCGACTTTTCCGATTTTTTCATATCGCTAGGGAACTTTCCGACGGCCACCTTTCCGACGAAACTTTTTCCGACTTTTTCCCTTATGCTTTTCGGTTTATAAAACGTCTATGAACATTTTTTTTTCCTATTTCTATGTGTTTTAATTATGAACAAACTACCTACTTTATATAGGAAGATGTAAAACGAAGAGTTTATCGAGAAAAAAAAGTCGGAAAAAGTTTCGTCGGAAAGGTGGACGTCGGAAAGTTCCCTAGCGATATGAAAAAATCGGAAAAGTCGCCGTTTGAATTTTCGCTGGTGTTTTTTTCATACCACCATACATTTGAGAGAAAATTCGCTCTTAAAGGCATAGGGGCAGTAAAAAACCGTGTTTCAGTTCAAAGCAGTACTTTGTAGAGCTTTTCATTGCGAATCGAACGGTAAACTTGGAAATGTACCAAAATTCCTAGTTTTGGAGAAAAAATAATTCAAAGTCGGAGAAAGGAAGCTTGAGTTCCCGCGAAAAGGGCGCTTTGCAGTAAAGTTGCTCTATGGACAACAGGCTTCGCCATCTTCCGGATTTTCGCTTTTTTCTTCGTTTTTTCAATTTTCAATTTTTTCTGTTGTCACCAAAGTTCTTTTCGTCACAAAAACTTTCTATTCATGTATAATTTACAAGCTTTGATCGCAAAAAAGCTTTTTCGGTGCAAAATGATGATTTTACACAGGTTTCGATTGGGGTTGCGATTTTTTGTGTTTTTTGTTTTACTAAACGTTTTTTCAGAAAAGAAACCCTTAATTTGAAGCAGATATCCGGTTATTTCTCACAAAATGCGAGTCTAATGAGACGTCCGCAACATCGCGTGCACGGCTACTGTAAACAGTTGTCTGCATACCGATTCAAAGCTTTTTCAAAATTAAAGGCGGGAAAGTAAATTCGCGTTTTTCTTCAAAAGTTGTCAAATCTGTAATTTTTTTGAGTACACCATTCGATTCGCAAAGAAAAACTATATAAGATACTGCTTTCACCTGAAGTCCCGTTTTTACTGCCCCTATGCCTTCAACAGTAAAAATGGAGGAATGGGCATCAGGCCAGGCCGGGAGTCTTTCGACCCAGATTTTACTTCAGAATTGCGAAAATCGCGGAAATTTCAGTGTAAGCCCTCAGCTTGGCTACTTTACCTCAGAGATTCGTGATTTATGATTTCAAAAAATGTACTGAAAACAAGCAACGGTAAACGGAAAATATCTCTCTACCATTTTTCTAAAGACAATTTGGCTTTTTGGGGCAGTTATTCCGAGGCCTTGCATGAGAATATCTAACTTGAATCTGATTCTAGTGAATCCTTGCGCCAAAAAGAAATGCGAAAATGGAACTGAAACTGAATGTCACAACTACATAAGTAAGGCATATTGCACGACAGGTCAGTATTCAACTTCCGACTTCCGAAAAATCTCGGACTTTTAGCCAACGTTTGCGATCCGAGCAAGAATAACTCCTGTCCAGCTGACAGAGTCTGCAAAAAGATCGATTCAGGATCTTACAGGTGTCTCAAAGGTGAGGATATTCGACAACTGGAAAAGTTGTAGACAAATATCAAAAGAAGTCATCAAAATATTGCATAGCTCATGAAAGTCAAAAAGAAATATCCCTATACCTTTTGGTCTCGATTTTTCGATCATTTATTAGAATTTCATTGAACGGAAGCTATTCGGAAAAATATAAAAGTCCGGTGCTACGACAAGAGCGAGTTTTCCATTTGCGAGCAGTACTGTATGCGGCAAAGCGCATTGCGTGCATGCACTCTGCGTGTTTACACTTTTGTGGCGTGACGTCATCGCGCCGTACATCTGCGGGTTTTTTTGCTTGCGGGTTTTTCAATGTTTTTTTCGGAATTTTTTGGATTTTTGGATTTTTTTGGTTTTTGATTGTGCGAATATTTTCGAAACAAAAAAAGAAAACTTCTTTTTACCTTATAAGAAGGCTCCTTTTTGTCCTCAAAAAAATCTTCGTGTTCTTCTTCTTCTCATATTTTTTTCTCTCGTTCAGATTTTTGAAATGAAAAAAAGTGGTGCTATGAATGAAATTCAGGATGGAAAGTGACGATTATGTTAACGCCATTGTTTTCGACTCAATTTTTAAAGCAACAAGAAATCACAAAGGAAGTTTTTGGCGAAAAAAAGATGTCCCTGCTCCTCCACCTTCAACACCGGCATTGTACAAGAAACCAATTTTTCGTAAAAATTTCTGACAAGTCCCTTCAAATCTCTCAATGTACATTCAAAAATATCTTGAAGATTTTTCTGGGAAAATGACTTTTGTTTGATATGATGGTTCTGTAAAATTTGTTATTTTTCTTATTTTTCTTATTTTTTTGATATAACTTATTTCAATTACTGGTATTTGTTATGATGCAATTTTTTTGATATTTTCCTCTTTGAAATATCAATATTAGCTTACTTCTTTTTCCATATTTGTGGAGTTGACCTAATAGCTATCTATAAAGAAACATTTTTCCTAAGCTGCCCCCTTGACAAACAGAGTTTTTCATCAATTAAAAAGTTTTTCTTTTTGTTTCGAAAAAAATAAATAAGCCGGAAAAAAATTCAAAAAAATCCGAAAAACCCGCAAGCAAAAAAACCCGCAGATGTACGGCGCGATGACGTCACGCCACAAAAAGTGTAAACACGCAGAGTGCATGCACGCAATGCGCTTTGCCGCATACAGTACTGCTCGCAAATGGAAAACTCGCTCTTGTCGTAGCACCAAAAGTCCAGTTTTTTGTAATGCACCTGCCGAAGAGGACCTGTCAAAAATTTCGGACAGTTACTTTTTCATAGCTAATTTTTTTGGTTTCCATTTTTGAAATATTATTCGTTTGCCGCCACTTGAAAGTTTTCGACTGTCTGCGTCTCTCTGTTCCCTAATCGGCGAGGTCAGAAAAATACGAAAATAGCAGGTCAAAAGGAGAGGCGGAGAGAGGTGCGTAAAAATCTTGCCCCTTTCATGCCGCGAAAAACAGATTGTACCGTTTCGGGGAAAAGACGTTCTGAATTCTCAACCTTTTTTTATATCTTTTTCAGTGGACGCTTGCTCCGAAAAACATTGCGATTACTCTCGTGTATGCAAAGTCGTCGACAACAACGCCGTATGCGCTCAAAGTTGGTCCTGGGATTATTTGACATCGATTTATTCCAATTGTACAGAAACTCCTTGCGACGATGATCCATGCCCAGCTGGTCAGATTTGTCAATTGACGAGTTCTGGAAGTGAATTCGACTGTATTGCAGGTAAAATAAGAGACAGATACTGGAAAAAGTGCAAAAATCGTTGCTCACAAGGGCCTATTGAATAGGCCTTTTGGTTACTACTGTTAACATTCGAACCCAAAATAAAAAAGAATTTTGAAATTTGGTTTTAGTAAATTAGTATAGTCTCAAACAGTATTAGACGTTTAAATCAATAATTTTACTCAAATTGCAAGATTCGAGGGAATTCTCTTCTATCCCGCAGTTTGCAGACTCGTTCATGGAACCAATATTCCTTGCGCAATTTGTTTTTTATCCGCCGATTCCTGCTATTTCATCATTGAAAACGCTCAACACACACTTTTGAGAAATATGGTAGATAAATACGACTTATATTTTGAGATGGGAGTAACTTCGAAAAACAGGGGTTCGGAGTGAACTCTTAGAAAAATTAGCGTCCGAATGGTAACAGTGGTGACCATAATGGTTCGCATGGGCAGGGTTGGTGTGACTGTATGCCCGAAAATTGATCTGATACTGATAGAAATCCAAAAACAGAAAGAAAATCATTCTCAAATTTTTCAAATCTGTTCCGGAAATGCTCAGTTATAGAAAGTCTCACAACAACTTTTTTCCAGGGAGCTTTTTTTAGCCTTTGATGAAACTTTATCGAAGTAATCTTTGAGACCTTCCCACTCCAGAAGGAAAAGAAAATCTTTCCTCCCTTGGATCTTGTTTTCGAGCTAAAAGCACAAACAATGAAAACAGGCTTTTTTGGGGGATTTGAAGATTCATAGTAATGAGGCGCTCTCAAAGCAGACTTCAGCAAAAATCCAGGAAAAATCCAACGGTTCTATTATAGAAAAGTTCCACAGTGTGCTAGGAATGAAATAATCGGAAAAATGTTCAAGTTTTCAGCCCCTGCGGACGAGCCTGGAAACACACATGGACCGATAACAGGTGAGAGTGAAAGAAAAAGCGACAATTTTTTCACATTGAAAATAATTGTTTTAAAAGTCTTGATCTCTTAAAACTATTCAGTGGACCCTTGTGCCGATCACAAATGTCATGCACCGGAATATTACACTTGCAAAGTCATCGACGGTACGCCTCAATGCTTAGCGAGTTAGTCTTGGGACCATTGGAAAAGAAAATAATGATGAACATTGAGTCAATCCTTGTTCCCCGAACCGATGTCCGGAGAAAACCTACTGTCATGCGAGAGAGTCTGGAGAAGGAGCGCGTTGTCTACCAGGTTTTGGAAGTTTTTGTCCATAAAAAAAAACGACAAAACTCATAAATGTGGAATAAAAAAACGTTTCCTTTGCGTGACTTTTTTCAATACTTCATTGTTCTGGCAATAATGTTCATTTCCTGGAATGTAATTATCAGATAGCACGCTTTCCTACCATCATAGTCCAGGGCGTGTCAATTTTTCGAGTGTCTGTGTCCCTCGTTTCTCTCTCCGGCGAGCCCAGATAAAAATGAGAATAAAAAATGAACACGAGAGTGCCGCCGAGAGACAAAAAGGTGCAAAGAAGCCCCCGCCCTTTTGAATCGTATCGAGCTATAACTCTCAACCATCAAAAGGAATTCAGTGAACCCATGCGGAAACAGAACGTGTCCAGCGAATTCGCAATGCTACAACTACAACAGTGTTGCTTGGTGTACAACAGGTGAATCTATTAACTTCGAAGATGAAATCAAGGAAATCTGAAACATTTAGCCTGCGATTGCGATCCCAGTAATCCCAAGTTTTGTCCAGCAGGACAACATTGCCAAAAGATGGACGAAGGAGCGTACAAGTGTATTGGAGGTAGAAAAAAAAATCCGGTCATGGGTGAATGTGAAATCCACTTCGCAACGCGCTTGGTGCTTGAAAGATGAGTAACTGGCAATTAACAGAAATCCCTCCTGATTTTAAAGATATGGAGCTTCAAAAGTTCAAGAAACTGATCTTGATTCTGTGTTTAATGAAATCTTCGAAATTTCCTGGAATGCGTAAACTAAAAGTGTTCGTAGGCCACTATGAGCGAACTGGACCTTCAGAGAAATTTTGAGCAAATTTCACATCAAAATTACTTTCCTCATCGAGAAAAAATCAAGAATTGAGAAAAAAAATGTCGTTCAGAAAACCCTTGCGACAAGGCCCCATGCGGAGCTGGTTTCGATTGCTCAGTCGTTGACGGAAAAGCCAGCTGCATAAAAAGTTTATCCAGTACTGATAAAATATAAAGTTTAACTATTCAGTCGATCCATGCTTCCCGGGCCCTTGCATAAGTCATCGTTGCGAAACAACTTCGAGCGGGTCACCTAAGTGTATAGAAGGTAGAACACAAACAGCAGTCTTTTGTTTCTGCTTTTTCTGCTTTCCATACATCAGATCGAAACCCCGAACGCGTTCAGATCCACCTTGTGTCGGCGGCGACACCTGCATTGAAATTGAAGGGGCCGATTATCATTGTGAAAACATCAATGGTACGTCGCAGTGCGTGCTTGGTGAGTAGTGAACCACTTCCTTCAATAAAGAAATCACGAACATTCAGATCCAAAATGCACTGTACATGCTTGTGATCCTGAAACTGGCCACTGTGTCGAGGGTGACGGAAAATCACTTTTCGAATTTGGATACTGCGATGAAGGTATATGTTTGAGAAAAAAAATCGCTCATAACTTTTTCTTTTCGTGTAGAGTTTTCATAATGTCTGAAACGAGTTTACTCCAGAACTGCGATTACGCGAAAATTTCAGTGTAAGCCCTCAGCTTGGCTATGCCGGGACTCCATTGATTGCTCCGATGTGGTCGAATAAATATACTATATTGATATAGATCCATTATTCTCAAATGAAAATCATAATGTAGTCAACAGTAGAAATGGAGGAATGGGCATCAGGCCAGGCCGGGAGTCTTTCGACCCAGCTGAAAATCGTAGGTAGGAGGCGGTCTTTCTCTGCGTCTGTGGCTACTACTTTATTTTACTTCAGCTAGGGGGCGCAAAGCCCCGCCCCTTCACGCCACCAAAATGACGATTTTTTGTTGCAAAAACGGTTTTGAGGCGTTTATACTAGCTAAAGTCCCATTTTAAAAATAAACTGTTTCTGTTGATCTCGGTAATCGACAACGCTCTACAAGACTGAAAAACTTTTAAACTATGTATTTTTCAAAAATAAGCGAAAAAGTAAGATTTAACACGAAAAAAACTGACAAGTTTCACAAAATCGTCGCGTTTCTGAAAACCAAGTGAGGAACGCTTCCGAAATTTGAGTATGTTATACATTAACACTTTCTTTATTTTTTGAGTAAAAATTTAAAAAAATCTACCGACGCGAAAAAAATATTAAAGCTTGTAAAGTGACACCAAACTTTGAAGTTAAAATGCGAAAAAAATTTCAGCGACATGGCATACTTTTTTTATTTGATTTAAAAAAACTCACAATGTGTTCAAAAATAAACATTCAGAATGACATTATTTATTGGGACAGTGAATCAAATTAAATTTGGATTTTACCAAAACCTCCTTTTTTCGCCTGCCTCGTTGACGCATGAGAGAATAGGATCGCGTCTATACTTTTGATCAGGTTATTAAGCGTTCAAAACTCTATCAATGAAAAAATTATGAAAAAAATCGATCGACGCGAAAAAAATAACGGCTTTGAAAACCTCGAAAAAATGGCAATTTTTTTTTTGAAATTTTGGAAGAATTCGTGCAAGTGTCCGCGGCTGTGTTTGCGTCAAACACACCGATGCACACTTTTAAATGTTGCAGGAGCCGTTTTTTGGAGTCAAATTGCACATTTTCCTGTTTTATTTCGAAATAAAATTATTTTTCATTTTTTCTTTTTTCCAAACCAAATGATAATAATTTTTCTGATTAGAAAAAAGAAAAATAAGCTGAAAATTCCTTCTGACCATTTTTCTACGTAGTTTTTCGATATTTTATCAAACATTCTTCTGAGGATTGTACGAAAGATTCATACCAAAACATTAAGCCCCGTTATGACAACCTATCAAAACAGAAAACCGATTCGAAAACGGTTCAGAAACGCGCAAAAACATTTAAAAAGAAAGCGTGCGGCAGCGGGTAAACCGTGAAATTTTGCTTCCAGTTGTACGCCGCGCGCGCTCGTTTTTTGGCCATAACTTTTTTCTTAGTGGAGCTTTTTTCTAAAACTGAACGGATTATGAAAATGGACAGTCTCCTCTATCGAACAGTTTGAAAAACATATTTTTTGGATCGTTTTGAAGAAATGGCTTACGGACCCTAACTTCAGCCCAAAGATTCGTGATTTATGATTTCAAAAAAATGTACTGAAAACAAGCAACGGTAAACGGAAAATATCTCTCTACCATTTTTCTAAAGACAATTTGGCTTTTTGGGGCAGTTATTCCGAGGCCTTGCATGAGAATATCTAACTTGAATCTGATTCTAGTGAATCCTTGCGCCAAAAAGAAATGCGAAAATGGAACTGAAACTGAATGTCACAACTACATAAGTAAGGCATATTGCACGACAGGTCAGTATTCAACTTCCGACTTCCGAAAAATCTCGGACTTTTAGCCAACGTTTGCGATCCGAGCAAGAATAACTCCTGTCCAGCTGACAGAGTCTGCAAAAAGATCGATTCAGGATCTTACAGGTGTCTCAAAGGTGAGGATATTCGACAAGTGGGAAAGTTGTAGACAAATATCAAACGAAGTCATCAAAATTTGGGAAGTTCATAAAAATCAAAAGGAAGTATCCCTATACCTTTTGGTCTCGATTTTTCGACCATTTATTAGAACTTCACTGAACGGAAGCCAATCGGAAAAATACAAAAGTCCAGTTTTTCGTAATGCTCCTGCCCAAGAGGCCTTCAAAAAATTTACTGGTCAATCTACCATTGCACGAGATCTTCTTGTCTATTCCTTGAAGACTCAAATAATGTATAACTGTGTAATGTATTCTCTCAAAATCTACATCCAAATGAACTCGTTAGGGTTCACCAGAGCTGCTGACCAGACCGGGGCGCCCCGATTTTCTCATTTTTACTTATCTACCTAACGGGGCGGGGCGCCCCGTCAGCAGCACTGGGGTTCACGCTGATCTGTCAATAAATTATTATTATTGAAGTCCCACCCCTGTCAGGCGCGAAAAAGAGACTATAACGCTTTTTCAAAAAGTTCTGGATTCCCAACCTTTTTTTATATCTTTTTCAGTGGACGCTTGCTCCGAAAAACATTGCGATTACTCTCGTGTATGCAAAGTCGTCGACAACAACGCCGTATGCGCTCAAAGTTGGTCCTGGGATTATTTGACATCGATTTATTCCAACTGTACAGAAACTCCTTGCGACGATGATCCATGCCCAGCTGGTCAGACTTGTCAATTGACGAGTTCTGGAAGTGAATTCGACTGTATTGCAGGTAAAATGAAAGACGGATACTGAAAAATTACAAAAAAAAACGTTACTCGCAAGGGAGTGATTTTCGAAGTTTCGATGAAACTTGGCTGAAATCTAGTTGAAGATTTCCTGATTCCAAACGATAAAAAGTTTCTCGTAATAGATATAAATCCATCAGAGAACGAGCCATCCACTGAGCGTTTTTAAATGACTCCTCTATACTTAGAAATCAAAATATTAGGTTGTTCAGAAAGTTCTTGCGGTTTTTGATACTCCCCCTTGCAAGAGGTTTTTTGAGCTTGATTTTAGACTGGCCTGTCGAAGTTATATATCATTTTGAAGCGCGTGGCATGTTTTATTTTCTAAGTGTAATCGTATCATTTAAAGCAAAATTGTGTAAGTTTAATGTAATTTTGAGAAAAGGGTTGAAAACAGCGATTAAAGTAGTTTTTTTCTTTCCTCTCTCAACTAAACTTATAAACGTTGAAATCATCCGATATTTTCACTATTTCTTTGACACAGTAACTACTTTCAAACATGCAATGTGATTGCTATTGGAAAACATTTTGGCCAAGACTATGAGCTCGGCAACTGAGGACAGTAATTTTTGAGTTATTTTTCTACTGGGCGGTAACAAAACGTCCTGGTAGCTGCAACTTTGCAAAAAAACTTTTTTTTTGCTTCTTGAAATGATGTATAGAGTACGCTAGAAAAAGTTGCTGAATAGAGAACTTTTTCAGTACCTCACGAATCTCACTAAAACCATAACGCCGTGTCTTTCTTTTCGTCTAATTAAAAGGCAAATGTGACCTAAATTTTCGAATAGATTAGAATTTTTCGAATTGCGATAATAAGAAAGACGCCTACAACAATTTTTAAGCCTATTATCACTATATAGTCCGAGGCGCCGCTTTGGATAGTTCTTCGAACGCAACCTATCAAATAATGACGATAGAGCACGTTCTGGGCTTTCTACAGCTGTTATAACTTATTATAACTATTCTCAACTTTTTGCTCTACAACATTAAAGCGACGTTGTTCACTAATCAAAAAAAGTTTCCACGAATTAGTGTATAAAAATTTTGAAACATCGAAAATAAAAAGTCACGCTATGTCCTGTATCGCGCTTTGCGGAAGTTGTGAGTAAAAAAATTAACGATACTTACTTTGATACTTTGATGGTCCATCTTCGCTGATGTTCTCAGCGTGGACCACACGTTCTCCAGGCGGCTCGGTCTTGCGCGACGGTCATCCAGTGGCGGCCTGGCTGACTGATGTTCTTGCGGAAGTAGTCCGTCCATCTGGTCGGTGGGCGCCCGAGTGGGCGCTTGATGTTTCTCGGAATCCAGTGTGTTAATCTCGTGGACCAGCGGTCGTCTTGTCTGCGTATGACGTGGCCGCCCCAACGATGCTTCCCGCGTTGTATGTGCTCTTCTAGATCCCGCATTTGGGATAGTTGACGGAGGTCTGTGCTTCTCTGTTCTTTTTTCCACTGCTCGAAGCGAGTGGTGCCGATGAGAGCACGTTCCAGTGCGCGGTAGGAAGTTCGTAGGGCGGTTGCATTTTTCTTCGTGTCAGGCCAAACTTCGGTACCGTAGGAGATGGCAGGGATCATCGACGCTTCGAAGATGTGAGCTCGCAGTTTCGGGTCTTTCAGCTGACTGGTGACTTCTTTGATGGAGTTGAAGGCGGCCCATTCAGCGCGTTTGCGTCTGCCGATCTCTGCTTGCAGGTCGTTCACCATGTTTACTTCCCGGCCAAGGTAGATGTAGGATGTGACCTCCTGAAGGTCGCGGCCCTCAAGGGTGACTTTGCCTTGGTCGCAGAAGCGGTTCTTCATCCACTGCGTCTTCTTGACGTTCATCTTAAGGCCGATCTTCTTGCCGACTTCGTCCAGATCGTTCAGCATGGAGGACAGTTCGGTGGTGGAGCTTGAGAAGAGTACGATGTCGTCGGCGAAGCGGAGGTTTGTGAGGACCTTGCCGTCGATGTTGATGCCTCTGATGTCTGTACTGTCTTCCCAGTCGTGCTCTTCGTCCCATCCAAGTTGGCGCATCGCGTCTTCTAGTGCCGTGGAGAACAACTTGGGGGAGATGGTATCTCCCTGGCGAACACCTTTCCTGATGGGGATCGAAAGCTTCTTGTCGAACAGCTGGATGGTCGTGGACGTTCCCTCGTTGCTGTTGGCGATCAGCTCGACGTACTTCGTGGCGACTCCGGCGGAGGCAAGAGCATTCAAGACGGCGTTGATCTCCACGCTGTCGAAGGCCTTGTAGTAGTCGACGAAGGCCAACGCAAGTGGCATCTGGTGCTCCCGGTGCCGTTCCACCACCTGGGTCAAGGCGTGGATGTGGTCGAGGCAAGAGTAGTTGCGTCGGAAGCCAGCCTGCGAAGGCGGTTGGAAGTTGTCGAGTTGCTTCTCTAGTCTGTTGACGATGACCTTGGTGAACAACTTGTAGACGACCGATAAGAGGGAGATCGGTCTGAAGTTGTTGAGGTCGGTGAGGTCGCCCTTCTTCGGAATGAGGATCGTCTTGGACGTTTTCCATTGTTCAGGAATAGAGGCTTCGCTCAGGTACTTGGAGAAGTGCCGGGCAAGTAGTCGGTACAGCGAGTCTCCTCCAGCCTTCAGCAGTTCGGATGAGATGTTGTCGGGTCCTGCGGCCGTTCCGACCTTCAGCTTCCTGATGGCGTACTTGACTTCTTCGGGGAGGATCGGGGGTTCATCTTCTGGTGGCGGCGTTGGTGTTCTGGGGACGGGAACGTCGCTTCGGAAGAGTTTCGTGTAGAAGTCGACCGTCAGGCGCTCCATCTCGTTCCTTGACGTCTTCAGTTGGCCGTTCTCGTCCTTCAGTGCTGTCATCACCGTTCGCTCGTCGACGAGCTCGAACTTCTTCTTCTTGAGGCTTTGACGTTTCTCAGCTGTCTGAAGAAGTGCACTCCTGCGTCGGTTGGCTAGAGACTCTTGCTAAACGGACATCAACTCTTTCTCTAACATTTTCCATTGTTTTTCCAAATACACTATTATTCATAAGTTTGAAAAAATCTTTCTCAAAATCATTTTTAGCTGTTTTTCGAAGATTAGTATTCATTTCAATATAAGATTCAAGCCATTTACTCTCTTTAAAAGTAAGGATTCTATGTATCTTTTTAATTTTTAGGCCTAATTGCAGACACTGTAAGAGATTTTTATAGTGGATCACATACTTCTCTTTATCAAATAAGGTATTGCATAACTTTTTAATACCTTGATTATCAATTTTTACATCTGGACACAAAGGAAAATCATTATGCTTTGAGTGTAATTCCTTTGGATATTCCAAATCTACTTCAAAAATACATCCTTTATCTAAACTTTTTAAATAATCAATAAAGTCATCTATTTTTAAACTTTTATCTTTTGTATCACCATTGAGAACATCAATTAAAGACTGAGTAACAAACTGGAAATCTCCTGTAGGCAGTTACACATTGCCCAACCATATAAATTATTTGCATCTAAATACATCAGATAATTTGAAGGAATTGAAGGGTCAAAAGTATGGATATATTTATTATTAGCCTTAGAGTATCTTTTGACAGCATTAACTATTCCACCTTTAATTCCTTTTTTAATCATTAAGTATTTCTCAACATCTTGAAGTACTTCTAATTCTACTTTAGTCTTTTTTAACATAGCATCCCAAGCTAATCCTGGAGAAGTAAATTACCAACAAGGATCAAGCTCATAAACCCTGAGACTTAAGTAGTATAGGGATACCCTCGCTTAGAAAAAAGGGGCGGAGCTTAGGCGCGCACGCGCATTGATTGATGGGAGGGGAGGCTCCCTCCCTCGAGGGGGTCCTCGGGGGGTATCTTCTTTTAAAAAAATATGTATTTTTACAATTTATTTATTAACAATTTTACATAACAACAATTTTTTTACAGATTAATCGATGGACCGCTCGAGCATCACCGTCTCTGAAAAACTTTTTATTGAATAAAATATATAAATTATTTACCGTTTAAATGTGAAACTCCACAATTACGAGACATTGTGGTATCGGTGTGCCGCTGCAGAAAACAGTCGGTTCGTGCGAACCAATGTTGACTTGATGTACCGTCTTGTAGTATTCGTCGAGGAAGACGTTATCGATAGAAATACCACATACTGGTATATCCGTCGGAATCAGACGTGACTTGTCGAGAACCGCGCCTGTTAAGGCATGCCAAACGCGCTTAGAAGACCGAATGAAAGCATCAAAACTAAAATATTGATTTTTTCGTAAAAAAAATATGAATCATACCATGGGCCTCAATAGAGAAGACGCCAGATGGAGTAGGGCAGAACGAATCCCATTTCCGAAATTTCAGAACTTGTGCCAGGACGCGCAATTAAATGAGTCATACTAACAAAAAAAATGTTAATACCATATGACGGAGCGACAAAAGGGTTTGAATGATCCGACAAAGGAGGGACAACCGTCTACGCAATCATACTCTTTTGACCAAACCGCATAACCAATCAATCATGCCTTGTCAGTCGAACAAGGCCCGATAAATCTTGCAGGTGTTCCAATCTTATCCTTTTTGTGTAAAACAGGGAGACTGATTTTAATGAGAAAAAAAATTTACTTCAACAAAAAAAATTACCCATCAAACAACAAAAACAACAACAGAAAAAAATGTACAACAAAAAAAAAAATATTATCGAGGATCCATAGGATTTTCTGGAGGCATATCGTCAACTCCGTCGTGAAAATTATCATAATGATCCCAGTAGGGTGGATCTAGAATGGTTGGTCGGTACCCTCTGGGTACGGCTATAAGAAAATCGTTTATAGCATGAGCGTTTCCAACCGCCGTGAAGACCACGGCGCTAGCAGGAAATCTGGGCTGCATTTCTGCTGGTAGCCGTCTCTGCATCTCTTGTAAGATGGTAATGCCGCCGTAGAGCCTCCCCAACGGAATCACAAAATTTGTCGACGAGAAATGGTAGCTGTTGACGGCGAGCGGTGTTTCATAGGAACGGAGCTCTCGACCAGATGACCTGAAAATTGTGTTTTTAAAGGAAAAAAAACTTTTTTTGTTTCTTACCGATCGTATATTCTTTCAATCGGTACACGGTTTATCACTGCACTGAGAAACGCGTGCGCATCCACGCTTAGTACCCGCTCAAAATGCTCGGCACTGTCCACATGCGCTAGTACGACATCAATTAAAAGTCTGACCACACAGCCTGCGGGCACTTTGTCGGCGTCCGGGAATCGGGTCATTTTCGATGCAACGAGGGTCGTCTACTGAAAAACTTTTTTTTTTTTGCGGTGGGGGAAAAAATGGAGAATCGTTGGTTGCCGAGAAAAAGAAATCAATCTGAATCGAAAAAATAGGCCCAGGCTGAGACACGACCTAATATGGTCCGGTTGAGGCATAAAAAAAAAAAAAAAACTCGGTCACAGACCTACAGCTTGTCTCAAACCCGAGGTGCGTCATATACATGATTTTTGTGACCCTTTTATATAGATTCGATGTGCTAATGACCCCACCGAATAAGGGGCGGAGTCTGGCATAACGCGCGGGGGGAGTGAGGGTGCGAAGTTGATCAAAACAAAGGTATAAAAAAAGCAAAATTTTTCAATAAAAGTTCATTTTTTGCGTCATGTTTCAGTTTAAACATCCGTCTCAAACCACAGTCATCGGTGCTACTCAATCGGGTAAAACCACATTAATTCGAGAAATTATCGGAAATCTCAAAAAATTCTTTGCCGAACCCATAGACAATGTCTTTTGGTTTTACGGAGTCGACAATCCGGGGATTCCTCGACACGTTCCACAGCTACAAGCGTTTGAAGGGCTACCCGATCTGGAACTACTCAAAGAACACAGGCATCAAAATAATATTGTCGTCTGTGATGATCTAATGAACTTTTTCGCTCGAGATAAATAGGCTATGCAGCTTCTCGCCGACTTATTCTGTGTTTACGCACATCATTACAATTGTGCAATTTTTAACTTGGTGCAATCGGCATTCGCACTGCCTCCAACGACCCGCAACAATAGTACCTACATTATCCTGATGCGAAATCTGTCAGATGCGGCCCAAGTCAAACACCTCATTGCTCAGCAGTTTGCCGACTCGTGGAGACATGCATTCAACGCATACCGTGAGATAATGTCAGTGCCATACAATGCCATGCTCATCAATAATAATCCTATCGATGGTGGCCAAATGCGAATTATGAGCGACTTCACCAAAGACTTTCCGATAGTTTACACAATTTGAAAAAAAAAAGAGTTTTTGTGCATATAAATAAATTTGAATCTTGTTTTAAAATCATTTCTTCATGTATCTTTTTCAATGAGTGGTCGTATCAAACCGCATCTCTCATTTCTACGTTCTGCAATCCAATCTTCAGCAGCAATTCTCCAGGCTAACCCTCGTGAAATCAACGTCATTGTGGAAATTGTCCATAATTTGCTAAACTCTCAAAATATTCCGTTGTCGCGAGCCGAAAAAGCGATTCTAGCCACCGTTCGGGCGCTTCTTTCCGACATTTCCGTGTCGAGGGATCCGGAGATTGCCCGTCAGCTAATCCTACGCTTGTCCAAATGTCAGCGTGCCGCGATCATATATCCAGCCCTGTCAGCGGTGGGGATGGCTTCAAAGTAGTCAAAAAATATCGAATGATCCCGTTTGACCCTCGACAGCCTCTGCAGTCGGTACGGCTATACATGGAGAGCATCCTCAACGATCCGACTCTGAACGATACAGCCCGAGCCCGTTTCTATCAGGACATCCTTTATCGCTATTTGAATTCGAAAAATCCACCAAAGTTCGACGCGCAAATGTTTGAAATGCTTCAAAATGCTCGACCAATCGAAGAAAAGATGGAAGAAGTAGGAGAAGAAGACGCTGTAAAAAGGGACCCTTTGGGTGAAGAAGAAGAAGAAAAAGTCTTGCGACAGCCGCTCAAAGATGAAGAACCAGTAGTGGATGACGAACCACCGAGAAGATTCTTACCAAAATCTGTGTTCAAAAAATCCGTACCAAAAACCGTACATGAACGACGTCCGCAAATCAATTTTACGATGCGAAAAGATTCGGAAAAACGAGTTGATGAAACGTTGAGCGAAAAAGAACCGTTGAAAAAGTCGAGCATCAAAAGAGAAGCGGATTTTGAAAAAAATCCAGCAAAACGAGTAAAGGTTGAACCCGACGAGTTTATCGAGACGAAACCGTTGAAAAAGTCGAGCATCAAAAGAGAAGCGGATTTTGAAAAAAATCCAGCAAAACGAGTAAAGGTTGAACCCGACGAGTTTATCGAGACGAAACCGTTGAAAAAGTCGAGCATCAAAAGAGAAGCGGATTTTGAAAAAAAAATCCAGCAAAACGAGTAAAGGTTGAACCACTGGAAGACGTGGATGAAAAACCTTTAAAACTCGAATCTACGAGTCGTATCAAAGGAGAAGCGGATTTTGAGAAAAAACCGAAAAAACGGATAAAGACCGAGTCGAAAGAAAAGAAGGAGAAAAAGGAGAAGAAGAAGAAGAAGAAGAAGAAGAAGAAGAAGAAGAAGAAGAAGAAGAAGAAGAAGAAGAAGAAGAAGAAAAGATTGAAAAAGTCTGAAAAAGGAATCGAGGAGGCGCTGCACGATGAAGTCTTGCGACAGCGGCACCAGCTGGACGAGATTGATACCGTACCCCTGCCCGAGGACAACGAGAGGCTACGAGGAACGAAAAGACGGCTACCCGCACCACACCACACCGACTTGAAAAGAACCATACGAACCGGGTTCAAACGTCGCGCGGACGGTTCAATTTTTTCGGATGGGCTCAAAAAGCAGCGCGGCAGCGGATGCAAACGTTTATATTGTAAAATTTGGAAATTGTGAAATCAATAAAGTGTATTTAACAACTGTTTTTCGTTTTAAAATTCATTTTTTCGACATGGATGCTGCGTTGAAGGATGCATTTCTCAACCCAAAATCTGCGATGGCTTTTTCTTCGGCCCGGAATGTCATTGAGACTGATTGAATGGTAAATAATATCCGTCGGGATTTTCATAATAGCTGTTGCTCACTTTTTCATTCAATACAGTGCAGTAAAGCTGAACATATTCTTCAAGGTTGTAGAAGGAAAATAATCAAAACGCTCTCCACCAAAAAAACGCTCTCCACGAAACAAACGTTGTCTTTTTTTCTTATCGTGCCAGGATCAATTTACTCAGACACCCACGGGTTATAACCGGGGCGCGCTAAATATATTTACAATGTCTCAAGCCAGCCGTGAATCAGCTACAGGCGTATTTTTTCGGCGTAGGCGATATCGTAGACTTGTATAATTATATTATTCCGAAGATTTCAAACATATTTCATTACATCATCATGTTTGGAAATTCCTGTTTTTGTAGTTCTAGCGATATTTTTTTGAGAAAAAAATAAATATACCTTTGTTTCTCCCTGAAAAAAATTGCAATGAAACAATGTGTTGCGCCATTATCAAGTATTTCAATACATTCCATATAACATAGCCCCAAATTGTCTCCATCGAGAGGCAACTCAACCGCTGAGATTTTTCGTGTGTTTAAAAAATTCGTAGTGACGTTCGCTTGCATAATCGTGTATGAAAACGAATCCATCTGTTAAAAAAAAGTTCAAATAAGGAATTTGAAAACTTGAAAGCTATGTGACGTGCGCATAGCAGTTCTGGCCCAAATTTCAATGGTAAGTAGTCCTAGGGGAGATGGATCGGAAACGAAATCTTTCACTTGCCGAGAAAAGTAATTTCGATTTCAGGAGCTCTCCCATTCTCGCTATTGGAAATTATCCATTTTCTCCAGAAATTTGGATAGATTTTTAGGTTTGTAGGAGGTTTTTTTTTACCACTTTTCCTAGGAATACCCACCTCAAAAGTTTAGACATTTGAATCTAAATTCATACAATAGATCGAAAATCCGATTTTACCATACTCCTTCGTAATGGTGATCTTCATAGTTGCGAATTTGAACAAAGTTGGAAATTCATTGATTCATCAACTAGTTTTTCCTTCCCACTAGGACTCGCGATGCAATGCGAAACTTCATGGACATCCATGATCAGAGACGATGGAACCTATTGGTGTTTTTACGTTTGTTATGACACAAATAAAAGTTTTTCTAAATTTAAACTTGAGGTGCCGATGGCCCTTATGCCTTGGGACGAAGCCCAATCATATTGCAAAGAACTGGGAGCGCACCTAACCGGCTTCGAAACTGCCGAGGAATTCGAAAAACTTAAAGGTGTGTTCATTATCTGCAATTTGCCCTGTACTTCACTCTCTATAAGTAGAAAGGAAGTTTGAGTTTTTAATGATAAGTTGTTGAGATTTCGTCGCATTTACAAATATGTCTTTGAACTTGCTCAAAAGTCTGTGTTTTTTTTTATAACTAGATTTTAACTTTGCGCCAAGATCTCGGCTTTCGACAGCAGAGGGTCAGTGTACGGAAAGTTGCTTGCCGTAAACTAAATACACAGAGAAAACACTTTGTAGCCAGACAATACAGAAATCTTCCTTAATCGAAAGATTTCAAGTGTATTAGTTTTTAAGGAAAGAACTGAAAAAATTCAAATCAGCTCACAACTATCTTATTAATTTTTCTTAACATATAGGAAATTCTGCAAAATTTGAAGCTGAATGTTTGAAACGAAATAAAAAGTTCTGGAAGATGAAATTTTCATCTGAAGCTTCTCATTTTCCTGTGTACATCTATTTTTCAAATCTATAAAAGATCCTTTGAGGTTTCAATTGAATGTGGGCGACAGAAATAGACGGAATTCAACTTTTATCGATACGATTTCCAATCATATGTGACCCAAAAATTTTTTGAAAAAAAAAATTGTACTGAGGAGTTTGTCAGTGCTTTCGCTTTGTGTATTCCGCGCACCGCAAAAAAGGTTATGAATCCGCGAAAAGAAATTTCATTCCAAACTTTTAAAGTTCAATTATCTCTCCTCTGGTGGACTAGTACATCCTCTTTTGTTCAGAAAGAGGGGGTTAGTTATAAGAATTTCGATGGAGGAGACGATTTTTCGCTTTGCTTTTTTAGTTCCGCGTGAGAACGGGAAATTTTAGTTCATTGGACTCAGACACTACTTGAGTGTGCAAAAAAAGGGGCAAAAAAAAGTTGTTAATACATCTCGGAAGTTTTTTCTTTCAAGCATCGTAATATAATCACTTTCAGAAAAAATTTCGAACGATGTTGTTGTTCCGGAATCGCAATTGTATATTGGAGCGGAAGTTTTTTCGTCATGTTCGAGCGAAAATCCTGACGAAAAGTGCAGTCCAGAAATCGTATGCAAGGCCAAGGTGGCATTCGCACCTTTTTTTCTAATTCAGCATTGGTTCGGCAATGTTTCCTCTACCAATATCATACACGAATATTGGGCAAAAAATTGGACGCCTTCAGTCGGCTGCGTTGTTTACAACAATCGCCAAGCAGACACCATTGAAAAAGCTGAGAAAGGATCCCTGAGCGACGTGAAGTAGTCATTTCTCATCATTTTTATGGCACTACAGAAACAAATAAACTCAATTTTTTTGTTTGACTAAAATTTATTTTTTAGCTGTACACTCGAGCTGCCATTCATCTGTGGCAAATACGCCTGACTGACTATTCGCGTCTCAAAGACCTACAAATGGCGATGTTCCAGTTCCGTTAAGCTCTTAACAGTTTCAAATTGCTGTGACTGTGACCTTTTATAAAGAAATTATGTTGCTTTTCGTTAATTCATAATTCACGACGATTTTGTAAGTGTAAATGCGAAACCAAAAACAAGGTGGGCGGAGTCAAAACCTCCGCCGTTCCGATGTGACGTCATGGGAACGGCAGAGCTCTAAGAGCGTAAATGTATAACAGTGCATATTAAAGGCGCAGGTGGCCGTATTGCCAAAGGTTTTGGAACGGATTGAATCCTCTCTACTTAAACAATAGTAGGACAAAAAATTCTGCTCACGTGTTAGCTGGATAAACTGATCGTCGTTGTTTTGTAGTACACACTTATTTTTTTAACGTTTAAAGGATGAATTTGCAGAAACAAGAAAAAACATCACAGAAAACAATCTGTATGACTTTTTATTTACGAAATCAGCAGTGACGTTCTTCTTTCTCTTGGCTGAAGGGTGAAAAAAAAAATGAGCATCAGTTTACAAAAAATATACTGGGTAGAGAATTATCTCTAACATTTGATCCTTTTCTTTTTCTCTTCAGAATCTGGCTAACAGCAGTTCGATAGGGCGTTATTAACGTTAAGTACATGGCGCACATCATCGGACACAGCATTTGTCCCGGCGCCCACATAAGCGAGAATGTTGGCCAACTGAGAACGGATATTGTATAATTTTTTTGATCTGAAGAAAATTTACACTTCTCGGAAAAAAAAAAACCCTCTAAAACTTTCCCGCACATGGATTTTTTTTTTTGGAAAGTACATCATAAAATGCATTGAAAAAAAGAGCTTCAAAAAAATAATTTTGTTTTTTTGATTCCTCGAACGAATTCAGTTAATCCATCCGGCAATAAGACCTGCCCAGCTGTTACTCAATTTTATAACTACGATAATGCTGCCTGGTGTACAACAGGTAAATCTAGTGATTCTTGAGGTAAATTTTCGGAATCTCAAATATTCAGCCGCTAATTGTGATCCCGGCGATGCCAACTCTTGCACAGCTGGACAGCACTGTCAACTGATGGACGAAGGGGCGTACAAGTGCATTGGAGGTAAAAAAAATGACTGGAAATGATAAAAGTGAGAGTTGAGGGGATGAGATTTCCTGACACTCGTAAATTCATAAGAAGAGCCGGACAGGTTGTGGGAGCTTTTCCAAACTTGTTCCTTTCAAGGTAGAAAAAGTTTCTCTCTGCTGACTTCTTGCGTCATTTCTTGAGCTTTCAATTACTCTTTCATCTGGTAGAAATATAGTCAATGTTTCCCTACTTGAAAGGCGAGGGAGGCGTGGCGAGGGGCGGGACGCGTAGCGTGTGCGTACGCGGTTCTTGGCGCCAGTTCAATTCAATTGCCACCGGCAAATTAAAAAGCTCGGCAACCGCTCTTTTTTTTTGTGTTTTCTACTATTTTTGATGCACACTTGAACATAATCCATAAACAATTAAAAAAGGAGTTGAAAGAACGATTAATAAGCTCTCTGAATGCTCGCTGGCGTTTGAATTGAACATGTGTCAAGAACCGCGTACGCACACGCTACGCGTCCCGCCCCTTGGCCCGCCTCCCTCGCCTTTCAAGTCGGGAAACATTGACTATAAGAGGCTTGTAAAATGAGATTAAAAAAAAACTTTTTCAGCTTCTCTCTTTTTACTACCATTATCTGGTCTTTCGAACTTTGCCCGAGTTTTTTTTTAACCGAATCTCAAAAAAAGAAAAACTCAAATTTAAAGAGCATCTTCAGAAAGCCTTTGCGTGAAGACTCCTTGCGAGCCTGGCTTCGATTGCTTGGTCGTCGAAGATGAAGCTGTTTGTACAAAAAGTTGATTTATCATTTATCCCGATGCAAATTGCGATTATTCAGTCGATCCATGCTTCCCGAACCCTTGCCAAGATCATATTTGCGAAACGACTTCCAGCGGTTCCTTTAGGTGTATTGGAGGTAAAAAGAAAAGACTTCAAAGAAAAAATTCAGAAAATGCCTTAGACCTTGCTTTCAAAAAACCTATTCTGAACATTTAAAAACAAAAAAAAATAAACGGAAAAGCTTTCGCCTAAAAATTTATAATTCGAAATTCAAATTTCATGGAAGTATTTTGGAAAAAAAAACAGCCGAAAATACTTCAAATACTTGTGAGGCACCTCAAACACATATAAAAAAACAATTATAGAACATAAAATGATTAAAAAAATGAGGAATACTCTGAAAGAAAGCAAGAAAAGGAGAAAAAATAACTTTTAATGAATGAAATTTCGGGAGAGACGGTAACGAGAACACGCGACGCACCGGGGTTAACCGCGTTGCGTTAGAAGGAACTCGCGTGGGCGCGATTTTTTAACGTCCATTTTTTCCCCTGTTTTCACCTGTTTTGAAACACTGTGACGCGGATCTTGGCACGAATTCAATTCAATCCCCAGCGACTACTTGGAGTGCGCTTTATCACTCTTTTTATTTTTTTTTTAAATTTTTTTTTGTTTTTTCTTGCATCTGAAATAGTAGAACATATTCAAAAATTACTGGTGACCAAGCTTTTTGAATAGTCGGTGACGCTTGAATTGAACTCGTGCCAAGAAAGTACGCACACGCTACGCGTCCCGCCCATTTCTCTGCCTCCCTCGCCTTTCAAGCCGGGATGAATTAACTATATAAAATGCACAAAAATCGATTTATTTTTTCGTGAAGAGAAAAAAATTCCAAACCACGTTCAACACAAGAAATGTTTATTTTGTCAATATCAATTCATATCAATCAATTTATTCAGTCTTCAGAGTAAGATGAAGAAAATCCCTGCTGAATCATGGTATAATCGAAGAGTTAGTCGTCGGCACGGACTACGGTCCACAATCGTTGTCCAATACGTCCCAGAGTGACAGCTAGCGTTGGGAAATAATGTGGGCCCGTTGGTAGTACCAGCGAATAAACTGCTTCACCATGGAAATTTTGGCAATACCTTTCATCAAATTTTATTCGATTTTGGCTACCGAAAAAAAATGTTCGGTTTATATTTTGCACTTTGGGCTACCGTATTTTTAGTAGCCTGTAAAAAGCTAAACTAAAAGTTTCAGAGACTTGTTTATAGTCAGTCCATCCCGAATTGAAATGCGAGGAAGGCAGAGAAGTGGGTGGGACGCATAGCTTGTGCGTGCGCGGTTCTTGGCACGAGTTCCATTCAATCGCCACCGACTATGTAACAAGCTCGGTCGCCGCTTTTTTTGTATCTACTCAACTATTTTTTTGGTGGCGGTTGAATTGAACTTATGCCAAGAACCGCGTAGACACACGCTACGCGTCCCGCCTCTTTCTCTGGCTCCCTTGCCTCTCAAGTCGGGAAAAATTGACTATGGCGGTTATGGCTCAAAAAAAAGCATCATTAAGTTTGAATGCCAAAGGTTTATGGCATCTCCCAGAGGACGTGTGTTAATTGAAGAGTTGACCGTCACTATTCATCCCAAACCCTGTGCTTCATTTCAAAACCTTTAAACTTGTTCAGAACCGCCCTGTGGCGACGCAGGCAAGTGTGAAGGTATTTATCGCAGCAAAGTCGTCAATAATACATCAACCTGCGTCAAAGGTAAGTGTTGTTCGACTTTAAGACTTTTTTCTAGGAATTCCGTGAAATTAGGACCGAAAATTTCTTTATGCATCCGGAAAAGTTCCTGAAATTCTCAACCTGCGCGACTTTTTAGTTTTCGAGAAGAACACTTGAAAGTCCGAGGAAACGATCAAGCCAAGTTCAAATGAGCCATTTCGAGACCTTGTTTTTTTCAAGAACTATGAAGTTTCGCAAAACGGGACTTTCAGGATCTTCATCTGGTTATCGAAATCAGACTTCTGGTACACGAACTTAAAGACGAAATAAAAAGTTTCACCGAAAGTTCAACCGGGAGCTGAAAAAATGCATCTGTAGGGAGAGAAAACAATGAATATTCAGAACCGCCGTGTACCATCAGCTCATGTCCCTATGGCTTTTGTTCCCTGAAACCAGACAGCACAAAGGGCTATGTTTGCCTTTTCGGTAAGCTGATAGCAATAAGAAGGAAAGAAATTATTCATAATTTGAACCGAACCTTTGATGACGTACAATGGACCACATAATATCAAGATCATTCTCAAACTTTGAAAAATAACTTTTCAGACGGGATAATAAATTTTTTCTACTGTTTATTTGTTTTCCAGGAAATTTTCTGCAAAAATGAGAAACTCGAAGAGAAAAATCACGACAATTAAAGCACGGATTTTTCAAATCTTCGATCAAGTCATGACTAAAACAAGTTTTAAAGGCATGGGGCAGTAAAAACGGGGTTTCATGTGAAAGCAGTACCTTGTAAAGCTTTTCATTGCGAATCTAACGGATCACTCATAAAAAAACACAGATATGTCTATTTTTTAAAGAAAAAAACGCGTATTCAATATACCGCTTTTTTTAATTATGAAAAAAATGCATTAGAACGGTGTACAGAAAAATATTTAAAATAGCCTTGCACACGATGTTGCGGAGCTGTTATCAGACTCGCATTCCGTGAGAAATAAGCGGATTTCTGCTGCAAAACAAGAGTTACTTTTCTGAAAAATAATTTCGACGAACAAAAAACACACACCGATGATAAAGGAAACGCAAAAATATCGATTTCCCAGTCGATATCTGTGTCAAATCATCATTTTTTGCCAGATTTTTTAACTTTTAATCAAAGTTTTTAATTTGCAAATGAATGGAAAGTTTGTGTAACAAAAAGAGCTCTGGTGACGACAAAAAAAAAGAATTGAAACCGAATAGTGGGAAAAAAAAAAATGCTCAAAAACACTTTTAAGCCCGGCCCAACAAGGTAGCTAAGAGAAATGCGTAGAAGATGCTACTCTCCTACGTTCCAGACAGCCCAATGAACCGACAAAAATGTTCCCGAACACCATTTCTTATGCCATTTCGCATTTTTCAAGTTGGCTCGCTTCAAAGCGGACGTGTTATTGATCGTTGAATCTGATGTTTCTGAAATTTTTTCCTGAATAATCAAGGTTGTTCCTTCTGAAATAGTAAAAAATGCGTAGGGTCCACGGGTATATTTACTGCAGAAAACGTTGAAAAAATGAAAAAATTGCCGATTTTCGTAAAGGCTTACGAAAAAGTGTTTAGCACAAGTAATAAAAATTTGTGCGTTCTTCAAGTTTCACTACTTTCTGAACTCCTAGCAACACGAAAAAAAAAATTAACTTGTTACGGTAACTTTTCCACTGTACACAGAAAAAGGGGCGGAGCTTCATCAAAGTTCTATCAAAAGTTTTATAATTTTATAAAGCGTCCATGCTAAAATTTGGAGCAATCAGAAAATGAAATTTTTTTGTACGAAGGGTTCGGCGGCTTTCTCAGAAAATTTGTCTCAAATAATTTTGGGATATTTGCAGCTTCCGTATCAAAAACCAATTTTCAAAAAACTTTTGAATCTTCTTTGGTCATCCTCAAAACCTATAACTCTGTTTCAGTCGTTTTCATGATATTATGCAATAAAACGGTTTGGACAGTTTTCAGGGTTTTAGGAAAAAGTGAAAATTTTAAGCTTTCCAAGACATTATGTTATTTTTTCTTACACCTTTGTACGGCCTAAGCGGCGTCGTCGCCCCAAGTCGATTAGTCGAGGTATCTGACATCAGTAGACTGGCGCGAGTGAAATATCCGTTTTTGTGTGTGATGGCTGGGGATTTTCGAAGTCGTGGTTTCCCACTATCAACATGAGTCCCTCGGTTCGGTCGCGGCGAGGATCGAACTCGAGACCCTGTGGACCGTAGACAGGCACACAACCTGTTGCGTTACAATACGCCGCTTCCATAAAACTGTCTATAGTCCGTTTTTCGCGACTTGAAACTTCTCTGCACCCTCCTCGTCTCTCGACGACTCTCTCTTGTTAACGCGCTATTTTCGCGTTTCCGTGACCTCGCCAGTGAGGGAACAGAGAGTTCCAGACACTCGAAAACTGTCAAGTTGCGGAAAACACTGAAAATCTTAAATTTTTCCTTATTCTACCATTGATTCGACTTCCGCGCCAAAAGCTTCCCAATAGTGCCCATATTGCCTTTCATTTTGGGAAAACTCCACTATACATTAAACTAAAAACAAAAGATCAAAAAAGCAACAAAACATGCGACGTTTTTTGATCAGAAAGGGTTCCTGGCTTTGCGGTCACAATTCTTGTCATAGAGGAAATCATCCGAACCACAATTTTCTTCGAGAATTAAAGGCTTCATTCTTGAAAGTTAGGCCTTTAGTTCAACTTCAAAAAAATAGAATCGCGAAAAAGACTTACGTTTTCTATCTCATTTTTTTGCAGGCGAAGGAATTTTAAAAAGTTGAAAGGAGGAAAGAAACAGGATCCACCATAAAACGATTTTGATGGGAAAGAAAGCTGTTATTCTTGAAAAATTACAAAAACGATAAAAGCGCAAATAAAAATTGCAGGAAAAGATTACAAGAAGATTTTTTATGAGTGTGCCGCCCATGTAAACTTTAGAGTCGCCTATAAATTCCCATCTCGGCGCGTTTCAAACACAGTTTTTCAGCTTACAAACTTCCTTGTTATTTTTTCTTCAGTTTTTTGTAAGATTTTTTGCTTTTAGGATCGGCTGGCAGCTAAACCAGAAAGATGCTGATTCGGTACTTGGTAAGTTTTATTTGGAATTTTACGTGAAATCCTTCTTCTTTCTAGGTTACCGCGATACTGTTTGGCGCAGCCTCGTCCATAGATCTGGGTAAAATTCAAAAAAAGTGATGAATTTTTCAAATATTCAAAAATTTTCAGATTGTATCACTTGTGATATGATCGAATGCGGAAAGGGTTTCAAATGCGTCACAGTCAAAGGAGCTCCAGAATGTCATGCGGGTACGAATTGCAAGAAAAAATCTGAAAAAAGTCAAATTTATTCAGTGGAAGGCGGCTCCCCTGGAGGTCATCATCCTGGAAATCCAGGTTTGCTGATGAAACATTTTCAATGCCTGTCTCATTTTTCTTGATATGAAACTCAAGATTCTTATACGGAATCAAGACGTTGTCTTCTCCTATTTTCCTAAAAAAAAAGGTATTTGATGTATGTTCTTGCAGGAGGAGGAAAACCACACGATGGCCACCATCCAGGCTCACATGGTTTGTCTCAGAACGAAAATTATAGTCTGTTCAGATTTCGAATGAAAAGTCATCGCTCAAGCTCCACCCCTAATGGTGCGATAAACCAATCAGAGAGCGAGCCATCCACAGAGTGTTTTCGAATGACGTCATTGCACTTCACATTGAAAATCTGAACAGACTATAGTGATATGTTCCAAAGTAAGATAAGAGCAAATGGGTAATTTTGCCACGATATTTAAGGAAAAAAGGTTTTTACGAGAGCCCAAAACGCTCGTATTATTACTGATTGGGAGACTATGTCTCTTTGGCATGTTTCCAACATTATTCTTTTTCAAAAAAAACTTTCTAACCAAGGGTGCCAACCAATTTGAGCGGCATATCTCATTGGTTGTTTTGAACCAGAAAATCAGTGAAAACAGGAAAGGAAACATCTTTTTAAGAAGTTATAGAACTTTCTGAAAAATAACAACTATACTTCTCATAGTTTTTTCTGAGGAAAAGTATTTGATTAATTTTTTTGCAGGAGGAGGAAAAACCTCACCATGGAAAAACCTCACCATCCACATGGTTTGTCGTCAAATATTCTTTATATTTTCTTCTAAACCAACCTTAATTTAGTTTTTATGCATCTCGAAATCTTAAAACTTCAAAACCCATAAACTTTGGATGATTCAATAGATTGTGGAAGTTCACTATAATACAAGCAAAAATTCAACAAGAATCTCTTTTTTTCAGGCCCACGCTTGACCTGCGCCAAAATTCGCTGTCCTAAAAAATTCAAATGCGTGAATACCCCTCAAGGACCCCGATGCAGCAGTATGAGATCAAAAAGAAAGTTCAAAATAACAATGAAAGTTTTGAAGAGCCGCAAAAGACTTCGAAACCGACGTGTCGTAACTTGGAATGTCCCAAAGGATACAAGTGCAAAATGGTCCAAGATTTTTGCCATAAAGGCCTCGGAAAAATTGCGACTTGTGTCAAAGGCAATGATGGTAAGTTTTCAGACGATGGAGGAAATATTGAAAGCATATCGAGAAGAAACTCTTCGGGAAATTAAGAATTTCAGCCTGTCGGAAGAAAAAATGTTGGAAGGGAAGCGTCTGCACTCTCGTGAAGACTCCATGTTACAAAGATCCTTGGTAATTGTCTTTTTTTGAGAAAAATTGAAAGGTTTCGAACAGAAAATAGTCGAACTGGTATCTTTGGAAAAGCAAAACCACTTTCAAGATTTATGAATTTCCCAAGGTTTCTAGAGTCTTTAAAAACGTGGAAGCTTCCGGACCTTCGAAAATAAATCATTTAACTTTAGTCCGCTCGTCGCTCAGTGCATTGGAGCTCCACCAAAGTGTCCGAAGAATGAGGTTTCACAAGAAAAATTACAATATAAAAGAATAATAATCCCAGGTTCACACGAACTGCCTCAACAAGTGTTCTGAACCAAGATGCACGCCTCTCAACGCGGTTTCACACTTTTAGTGAAAAAAAGATCCTTCAATTGTCAGGCCTGCCCACGAAACTGCCGAAGCGGCTGCACTTGCGCCAAAGGATTCTTCAGAAACAACGCTGGCGCTTGTGTCAAAAAGTCTCAATGTGGCACAACTGGAGGTAATTTAATCAAAGCAAGTATGCTCTGAAGAGAAGAGTCTCTGATTGGTTGGTAACGCCTACTTTGAAAAGTTTGGGGGTTTTTTTTTTGGCGAACTAACCAGATACGTTTTTTGGCAGAGCGAATAATAAAAAAACACCAAAATTTAAATGAACAAGATTAAAATTTAAAAAAATTTAATTTAGGCATCAAGTGCAAAAATATCCAGTGCAAGGCTGGATGGGAATGCAAAGACACTCCCAAAGGACCAATTTGCATTAAAGGTAATAATAATCATAAAAAAAACAGAAAAAAATTTGGTCAGTTGCAAAGCACCTAGGCTTTCCAATAAACTTTGAATATTCGAAGTCTTTCAAAACAAACTGATCTTTCCTGATAGTAGATTGAAAAACATTCAAATTCCATGTTTAGGAGACCCATGCAGCCAAGATCCATGCGGACCTGGATACAAATGCACTGTCGTCAAGGGTAAAGCTTGCTGCACTCAAGGTTCTTGACTAATTTGATATATACGTATCCCGATTTTTCAGTGGATCCATGTGACCCAAGCCCTTGCAAAGCTGGTGAGACCTGCAAAGCGACGACAAACGGAACATTTACGTGTAATCCAGGTAAGTAATGTTAAAGAATAATTTTCTCAAAAATATAAGGTTTCAAAAGTCCCTAGAGCTCTCGAAATTTCAGTTGACCCTTGCAATCCAAACCCTTGTCAAGCCGGTGAGACCTGCCAAGTGACGGCTGATGGACATAACTGCACTACAGGTTGGAAACGAAAGAAAATTTAAAAAAAATCAAGAACTTAAGATCGAGGTTGTTACTTGAAAACATTACTAGAGAGACTCACTGATTTTAGAGGGTAGTTTCTTGAAAATTTATAAAAGAAGTCTTTTGGGGTTACCGAAGCTAGACTTAGAATCAAGAAACGTTCTTTCATCAATTTCGAAAGTTTCAAACACGTGGAAGAGGTTTCGACTTGCCTTAAAAAAAATTCTTGGACCATCCTTTATTCCATGGCACCCTTGATTCTCAACATTCTTAATCATAAGTTTTTCAGTCAACCCGTGCGATCCAAATCCATGCCAATCCAATGAGACCTGTCAAGCGTCGGCTGATGGACACACCTGCACTCCAGGTAGAAGCGAAATGATCGAGAAATGATCAAAAAATTTTAAACAGATGGAATTTGAAATTGAGATTAGAAGCACTGATTTCGAGAGGCTTAAATTATTCATATTATCACTTCCTTTCAATATTTTTTCAGTAAATCCCTGCGAACCAAATCCTTGCCAAGCTGGTGAGACCTGTCAAGTGACGGCTGATGGACATAACTGCACTACAGGTTGGAAACATAAATATCAGAGAATGAAAGAACGAAAAAAAGAAAACGTTTCATAAAGTAAAAGAGAGTGAAAAGAAAAAGAAAAGAAACATAAAATCTTCAAACTCTTCCGTATATTGAATGTTCTTCCAAATGTCCCAGCATACTCATCGTTTTCCAGGCAATCCCTGCGAACCAAATCCTTGCCAAGCCGGCGAAACATGTCAAGTGACGGCTGATGGACACAACTGCACTACAGGTAGAAGCCAAATGATCAAAAAAAAATAATCAGAAAAAAACAACAAAGAGTCAAAGAGTCAACAAAGTCAAACGCAAGGAGTTTCAAATTGACAACAATGTTTTAGAGAGGCTTATAATAATTATATTATCACTATAGTCTGTGGGCCACGACTTGAAATTTCACCGAACGACGTTCCGCTGCGTACGGCCGCGAAGCGTCTTTGCCTTTGCGGGTCTAGGTCACCCTTTCAGACTATTTTTATCGCTGATATATGGATCGTTCCACTGCGAGTTTCTAAATGAAAGAAAAAATTAAAAGCGCGACCGAGATTCGCAAAGGCCCCCGGCGGAACAGCGGAATGACGTTCAGTGAAATTCCGAGCCGTGGTAAACAGACTATATACATCCAAATTTTTGCAGTAAATCCCTGCGAACCAAATCCTTGCCAAGCCGGCGAAACATGTCAAGTGACGGCTGATGGACACAACTGCACTACAGGTAGAAGCCAAATGATCAAAAAAAATAATCAGAAAAAAACAACAAAGAGTCAAAGAGTCAACAAAGTCAAACGCAAGGAGTTTCAAATTGACAACAATGTTTTAGAGAGGCTTATAATAATTATATTATCACTATAGTCTGTGGGCCACGACTTGAAATTTCACCGAACGACGTTCCGCTGCGTACGGCCGCGAAGCGTCTTTGCCTTTGCGGGTCTAGGTCACCCTTTCAGACTATTTTTATCGCTGATAGATGGATCGTTCCACTGCGAGTTTCTAAATGAAAGAAAAAATTAAAAGCGCAACCGAGATTCGCAAAGGCCCCCGGCGGAACAGCGGAATGACGTTCAGTGAAATTCCGAGCCGTGGTAAACAGACTATATACATCCAAATTTTTGCAGTAAATCCCTGCGAACCAAATCCTTGCCAAGCCGGCGAAACATGTCAAGTGACGGCTGATGGACACAACTGCACTACAGGTAGAAGCCAAATGATCAAGAAATGATCAAAAAAATTTTAAACAGACGGAATTTGAATTTGACACTAGAAACATTGATTTAGAGAGGCTCATAATAATTATATCATCACTATGAATGAAGGATTCTTTTTTTAGTAAATCCCTGCGAACCAAACCCTTGTCAAGCCGGTGAAACATGTCAAGTGACGGCTGATGGACATAACTGCACTACAGGTTGGAAACGAAAGAAAATTTCAAAAAAATCAAGAACTTAAGATCGAGGTTGTTACTTGAAAACATTACTAGAGAGACTCACTGATTTTAGAGGGTAGTTTCTTGAAAATTTATAAAAGAAGTCTTTTGGGGTTACCGAAGCTAGACTTAGAATCAAGAAACGTTCTTTCATCAATTTCGAAAGTTTCAAACACGTGGAAGAGGTTTCGACTTGCCTTAAAAAAAATTCTTGGACCATCCTTTATTCCATGGCACCCTTGATTCTCAACATTCTTAATCATAAGTTTTTCAGTCAACCCGTGCGATCCAAATCCATGCCAATCCAATGAGACCTGTCAAGCGTCGGCTGATGGACACACCTGCACTCCAGGTAGAAGCGAAATGATCGAGAAATGATCAAAAAATTTTAAACAGATGGAATTTGAATTTGAGATTAGAAGCACTGATTTCGAGAGGCTTATATTATTCATATTATCACTTCCTTTCAATATTTTTTCAGTAAATCCCTGCGAACCAAATCCTTGCCAAGCTGGTGAGACCTGTCAAGTGACGGCTGATGGACATAACTGCACTACAGGTTGGAAACATAAATATCAGAGAATGAAAGAACGAAAAAGAAAACGTTTCATAAAGTAAAAGAGAGTGAAAAGAAGAAGAAAAGAAACATAAAATCTTCAAACTCTTCCGTATATTGAATGTTCTTCCAAATGTCCCAGCATACTCATCGTTTTCCAGGCAATCCCTGCGAACCAAATCCTTGCCAGGCCGGTGAGACCTGTCAAGTGACGGCTGATGGACACAACTGCACTACAGGTAGAAGCAAAATGATCAAAGTAATCAGGGAAAAAAAGAGTGTCCAACGCAAAGAGTTTAAAATAGACAATATTGATTCAGAGAGGCTTATATTATTTATATTATCACTATAAATCAATATTTTTGCAGTTAACCCATGCGATCCAAATCCTTGCCAAGCTGGTGAGACCTGTCAAGTGACGGCTGATGGACACAACTGCACTACAGGTAGAAGCCAAATGATTAAAAAGTAATCAGGAAAAAAAGAGTGTCCAACGCAAGGAGTTTAAAATAGACAATATTGATTCAGAGAGGCTTATATTATTTATATTATCACTATAAATCAATATTTTTGCAGTTAACCCATGCGATCCAAATCCTTGCCAAGCCGGTGAGACCTGTCAAGTGACGACTGATGGACACAACTGCACTACAGGTAACAAAATAAAATGAAAACTAAAGCCGTTTATATTTTTTTTAAACTGGTTAATGATGAAATGTAGACAAAGATCGGCCGATTATCATCCGAACTGTGATCTTTTCGGTTCAGATGTCAGAATAGAAAAAGGCTTCAGTTCCGATGATCAAAAATGACTTGAAAGCGGATCAGTTTGTATGATAATCTGCTATCAAGATTGTATTCCAGGAAAACTATTCAAGAATATTGTATTCAAGGGCAGATTTTCATTGCTTATCAGTATCGACAACTTTTTCAGTTGACCCTTGCAATCCGAACCCTTGCCAAGCTGGAGAAACTTGTCAAGCGACGGCTGATGGACACAACTGCACTAAAGGTAAATTGATTAAGGCCAACAATAATTTGGTTTTTGATTTTTGATCGGTTTCTAGTGTGCGTATCCTAGCTCTATTGCATTCAAACTCTAGCCGCTTTGTAACTTTAAGGGATTAAAATTTGTGGTAAAGTTGAAGTATACGCTGTAGAGTAACAACAATGATTGAACTTTCATGAAAACCTCTTAGTGCTCACATCATTTGATCAATCATTATTTTCAGTTGACCCATGCGATCCAAATCCTTGCCAAGCTGGTGAGACTTGCCAAGCGTCGGCTGATGGACACACCTGCACTCCAGGTATGGTCTGTGTGCCATGACTTGAAATTTCACGAAACAACATTCCGCTGTTCCACTGCGTGCGTTCGCAAAGCATCTTTCGAATATAGGCTTTCCATTGATTGTTATTGCTCTAGGAGCACATTAAAGTAGAGCACCTTAATGAAAGAAAAAAAAATTAAAAGCGCGACCAAGATTCGCAAAGGCACAGCGGAATGTCGTTCGGTGAAATTCAAAGTCGTGGTACACAGGCTATGGAAGCAAATTTATAAATAACCGATCAGGAAAAAAAAACGAAGAATGTCAAACGCAAGGAATTTGAATCTGAGACTCATTTTTTAGGACTCATTTTTTTCTGCGCCTTACCGGAACCCTAATTCTATGTATTCCCCATGATCATTTCAAACAAATAACGCGTAGATTTTGAAATCGCCAACTTTACTTTGAACACGGCATCAAGTTTTTTTTTTCCAGTAAATCCCTGCGAACCGAATCCTTGCGAAGCTGGAGAAACTTGCGAAGCGTCGGCTGATGGACACACCTGTACTCCAGGTAGAAGCACAATGAAAAAGAAAAGACCAAAAAAAAAAATTAAAGAAGGAATTTGAACTAAAAAATAGAAAATCATTGTTTTCGAGCTTATAATATTTATATTACTACTATACTATGAACCAAGGTTTTTTTTTCAGTACTATGAACCAAGGTTTTTTTTTCAGTAAATCCCTGCGAACCAAATCCTTGCCAAGCCAATGAAACTTGCAAAGCGTTCCCTGACGGATCACACAGCTGTGTTGCAGGTAAGAACAAAAAAAGAAAAGCTTGATTTCAGAGAATTATGTTGAAAAAAGGCTATAGACCTCGGTGGTAAAAGACCGGGTATTTCCCAAAAGTACTGTATGTAAAAGTCCGCATTCTGAGTTGTTCATTAAGCGTTTTTGCACTTTGGTTGCAGGGCGTTTTTCAAGATTAAAGATCTCAGCCGCTCGGAAAAAGCAACAAAAGTGGAAAATGTAAAACTCAGAATGCGAACTTTCTCATATAGTACTCTTCTTGAAGGAAATGTTACTTTTGTCGTAGCACCAATGATTCTCATGACAACTTCCCAGAATAGTTAAATCGGAATAGTAATGCTTCGTTCCATCATATACAAGTGAGGGGAAGGAAAAAGTTTGCTGGGATAGTCCGTTCGCCGCTACGCGACGGTTGTTGAGTGTCTGCGTTTCTCTGCACCTTCATCGGCGATTTCAGAGAAAATGGAAACAGCACGGCAAAATGAGAGCGTTTCCAAAAGACGAGAAAGGCTCAGAGAAGTTTGTGAGACAAAAACAAACTATAAACCCGGGAAACCCTCTGATTTTGACGAATCAATTTTGAAATATTTAATTTTCTTAAGTGGACGCTTGCACCGACTACTACTGTGAAAAAAGTCTACTTTACGCTTGCAAAGTCATCGATGGTACACCACAATGCTTAGCGAGTTAGTCTTGTGACCATTGGAAAAGAAAATAATGATGAACATTAAGTCAATCCTTGTTTCCCGAACCGATGCCCGGAGAAAACCTACTGTCATGCGAGAGAATCTGGAGGAGCACAATGTCTACCAGGTTTGATTCACATTTCTTTTTAATGCAAGAAGTTGGAACTTCAGTCTAGAGTAAACTTCTCTAGAAAGTATGTAACTATGATCTACAAAAAATTAGGAAGATTTCTCGTAAACATGCTGTTTCTATTCAAAAAGCTTGTCATAATTTTGAAGGACATACAGTCAAAAATGAATTCTTAAATATGGAATCATATTTTAGAACTTCTCGTTTTGTACGATAAAAAAATTGAAAAAAATTATAAAAAGTTAATGCCGTCGGAGTTGACAAGATCAAGTTTTATTTATCTTTGTTTAAATCTTTCTTCATTTTCTCTCGAGCTCAGAAAATAATTCAAAATTTTTCGATAGAAAAAAAATCGGCACACTGTTGACCAGTGCACACCTTGAAGGTCTCAACATTCGAAATAAGCACTTTTTAAATACAAAATCAACAGTGTATTGAAAAAAATAAATCATCTGCCCTTTGATCGGTGAAATGAATTCAGTGAACCCTTGCGGAAATAAAACGTGTCCAACGAATTCGCAATGCTACAACTACGACAACGTTGCTTGGTGTACAACAGGTGAATCTAATGCCTGCGAAGGTAAAAGCATGGAAATCTGGAATATTCAGCCTGCGATTGTGATCCTGCTGACTCCAAGTTTTGCCCAGCGGGACAACATTGCCAATTGATGGACGAAGGAGCGTACAAGTGTATTGGAGGTAAAAAATTCCGCGCAAAAGCCCCGCCTCTTCTTGAAATCGACGATTTTTTGCTTGAAAAACGGTTTTAACTATCACCCTAAACCTGCATTCAAGCTCTAGCCGCTTCGTAACTATCCCTCTAGACCTACGTGATCGACCTCGCTCTATAAATCTGAAAAACTTTTAATTCTAGTTTTTCTCAAAAATAAACTTTAAAAAACGAAACGATTAACAAAAACAATTTATTTTTAAGGAGAAACTTTAGCTAGTATAAACGCCTCAAAACCGTTTTCGCGACAAAAAAATCGTCAAAGTAATTTCGCGAAATGCAAAATAGTCGTCAGAGAAAGAAAAACATAACTAAACTTTGGAGAGTCAGAGATCATTTTGCATTTTGCGAAACTACTTTGAACACGGCAAAAACAAGAGGAACGACAAGTTATGACTTTAACAATGAGAAAGGATTGTTTTGCGTCTTATCTTTTGATCTCTTTCTGACACTTAGGGGTACTACACCCAAACTGCTTTGCAAGATGACCCCTTGGATGGCTACATCATTTTTACTCCTTCCAGTGGTCATTTTCGTTCTCCGTCTAGGGGCCAATAAGTACGCGTCTCCCTGCAAAGATTTTCGATTCATAGCTTTTTGAAGTTGACGTTCAATAGATTCTGGCCTAAACCTCATAGCGCGCAACAGTAAAAGTTTCGATCGGTGAAACTAAAAATTTTGACGGTTAATAATTATTTGGAATCTTGTTACAGACTTTTAAAAACTCAAAGTTTGGCAAGCCAATATCAAAGGTCAATCGAGGTGTGTACATCGTCAGTCAATAAATAGGATACGCGGTAAGAGTGCTATCGGAGTGCACTTCGGCAACATACTTCTAAAGCTTCGTCAGCACTCTCAAATGCAGAGAGCATAGGAATAGTATCGGAGTGCACACAAATGGTATCGAAAGAGCAGAAAGTTAGCCTCTGTAAGCTATTTATTGATTGACCGAATGCAAATCTCGACTGAACTTGAAACTGCACTCCGTTAGCTATTTTTGAGGATACGTCGATTGACCAGTGATGAGAGAGCTAAAAAAAAACTATTTCGACAAAATTCCAGAAAAATTCAAAATTCATATTTAAAGGACTTCCCTCGTCAACCATAAATCGAGAATGAAACAGTAAAGAATGGGTTTCGTTTAGAAAGTCCTTGCGTCAAGACCCCATGCGAAGCTGGATTTGATTGCTCAGTCGTCGACGGAAAAGCTAGCTGCACAAAAAGTTTATCAAGTACTGACAAAAATATAAAGTTTAACTATTCAGTCGATCCATGCTTCCCGAACCCTTGCTATAAAGGTTGCGAAACGACTACTAACGGATCGATCAGGTGTCTTCAAGGTTTTAGCTAACATCTCGCCTTGCTTTTAAAACGTATTCAGATCGACCTTGCGGAAATACAACATGTTCAGGTGGTAGTCACTGCGAAGTTATCAATGGCACATCCATTTGCGTGGCAGGTAATTTTGATGGAATAAAAAAAATTACTGGTAGTGTACTTTTTGGACAAAAACAATGGAGTTTAGGGGTTTTTCGAGTTTTTTTCGAAAAAAATTCTTTATCTCATAAAGTTCATAACAATGAACGAATAGAATGCTCACCGAGAGTGGACACTTTTTGTGAGCTTCAGTTCGCCCATAGGAGGAGTTAGCGGTGTTTAAAGAGAAACGTACAAGAGTCCACAAGGTTGCGATTCTAGGGACCAGTCTAGCGATTTTAAATTTTCTTAATTCAGATACGTTTTGCTCTTCCAATGGTTGTGCAGCAGACACGTATTACTGTGGCATACGCGAAAATGGATATCCATATTGCGCACCTGGTATGGTGATTGCTTTTCAATTTAAAAAAATTTTTAAGGCTTGAAAAATAGAAAAACAGCAAAAACTTCAACTCTATTTTTCCGTGAACAAAATTCTGCACTCGAAACAAAAATAAATTAACACAATGGCTCCAAGCAAGAAAAAAGTCTGTGATGCTTTTCCGTAGGGTAAAAAATGTCAAATGATGTCATCCCCCTGTAAAAGAAGTTGGTATATTGTTCGCACGCAATATCAAGAGGTTTGTGATTGAAGAACGGACAGGGATTTTCAAAAGCCGGCTTGAGATATCAATCAAATAATGTTGCACTCACATGTACTCAAAAATGAATTCTTTTTAAAGTGAACCCTTGCGCCGATCATAAGTGTGATAGTGGACCTGAAAAGGAATGCCACAACTACCAATTGGACGCATACTGTACGACAGGTTTGTAGATGTGTGTTTTTTTTTTCAGAAAAGATAAATCGATAATTCAGCTTTTGTGTGCGATCCTAGCAAGGCTGACTCTTGCCCAGATGACAGAGTTTGTGTAAAGATCAATTCAGGATCTTTCAGGTGTCTTGACGGTGAGAATGTTCAAATGATTCACAAAAACTCGTCCAAAATAGAAGTTCTTCAAAGCTTTTTCAAAAAAGGGATGTTGAAAGCCGGAAAAATTGTGTAAAAATCAAGAAATCTTATGCTTCTTTCAACTTTCCAGCAAGATTTTTCGAACAGTTATTAAATAGCAGAGAACCACCAAGTCTCAGTTTTTCGAGGAAAATATTTTTAGTTAAAACTTTCAGTATTTATCATCGAAAATTACGTCAAAGTTTTTCTTCTGCAATTCGAATGTAATGAGTTTATCAAAACGACAAGAAGAAATGAGAAAAAGGAACTTCAGTTTCTTTTTTTTTTCAACTTTATGTGGAAAGATTCTTCGATTCTTCAAATGAATTTAATGTGGTATACTTTCAGTGGATCTTTGCGCTGATAAAAATTGCGACGTTGGTTTTGAATGCAAGGTCGTCGGCAATGTAGCCAATTGCACACAAATTCCTGGTAACCTGTTGATGAGAGGAACTAAAAAATCTCGAAAAACATTCAGCTAATCCTTGCAATTCGAATCCGTGCCAAGATGATGAGACCTGCCAATCCGCTAATGGTACATTCACCTGCACTAAAGGTTGAATCAAGTTAGGCACCGCAAAGCCACGCCCCTTCTCGCGATAGAAAAAAAATGCTTTTTTTTGGTTTTCAACTTTCATTTTGTTGTTTAAAATAAATTTCACGCTTTTTTGATGCGTTCTCGTGGAATGTCGTACAAAAACGTGAATGGAACTAAAAAATTTTGTCGTTTTTTGCTTTTTCATGTGTTTCCAGGTCGTGCGCACTCTTTTTTTAAATAATGTTTTTTTGATTCAAGTAACGATATTTATAAAACAATAAAAATAAAAACCTCGTCTTTGCCAAAAAAATTTTTAGGGAGTGCCGAAAGTCGTAATTCAAAAATATCCTTAATAAGCGAAGATAATCGAGTTTTTTTATTTTTTTCTAAATTTAGACCCTGGGCTTACTTAAATTTTTTTCTCCACAGCATATGTGCTTGAAAAAGTTGTTTAATACGCAAAAATGCTCTTGAAACTAGAGAATAAAACTAGCGGCGTTTATCACACAGAAAGCGGTCGAACGCAGGTTTTTCAAACGATTATAAACGTTTATTAGTAAAAAAATCTTTCAATTAAAAAAATAAAATAAAAAAATTCGTCTTTGCCGAAAATATACGGGGCCGTTTTTTTATGCAGCGATCGTTAAACGAGGCAAAAGGCCCAAAAACAAATTTTTCGAAGTGAATTTCCACGGAAAGTTTGAGTAAAGATTTGCGAACACATTCTGATAAAAATAGCAAAATTTTCATTTTGAGGTCGCGAGTTCGATACCCGCAAGCGTCTATTTTTTGTTTTCTGGAAAATACCGACTTTTTCGGCAAACTAGCAAATTTTATCATTTTAGCACTCTATTATGATTTCTTACATCATAATAGACTAGTATCAAAACTTTTTCTTGAAGAAAATCGAGAAAAATGTCAAAAATAGATAACAATAAAATTTCAGTACTTTTTTCATCCTCATCTTTTTTGAAAAACTAAACGGTTCTGAGTTTTTGAATCGAAACAGCTATCAAACCATCTAATGTCAATGCTGATTTTTTTGAAAAATTTTTTTCTGCGGTCCCTCGAAAGAAGTCAAAAAGTTCGAAAAAGGAGTTCACGATATCTTGAATCTAAAAAAAGTCATTTCATCTAAAAAACAAAAGTGGGAAAAATCCTAAAATTCATTTTCTCATTAATCTTTCTGAATGAAGATAACCCAGCATTTATAAAAAAAATTGAAAAATGATTTCAGAGATGCTGGCTGACGAGTGGAATGAAGTGGAGCAAGTTAGAAAATGAACTTTTTCGAAAAAAATTCGAAAATTTGTAGTAAATTGGAAAACATATATTCAAATAGGAACAGTTTTGTCCCTAAATGGGCCGCGGAGATATTCCTTTTTTTGATTCTAACAAATTCCTTTTTGAAACTTTCAATAAAACCCTTAAACTACGATTATTTACTGAGAAAACTTTCAGTGGACCCTTGCGCATCGCTTGTCTGTTATGAAGAGGAAACTTGCAGAATCGTCGACAATACAGCCTTCTGTTTCCAAAGTCAGTTCAATACTAAAATTTGTGTTTCTTGCTTTTTATTTCAATTCCACTTTGAACAAAAATATCTTTAGAAATCGTTTTTTTCTATCATGAAGAACGTGATTTTTGGGCTAATTTTTTTTCTGAACAAGAAAAAGATCATTGAAGAAAGTTCCGTATTAGCATAGAGCTCGGCGCTTTGAAAGCTAAAAAACGTCAAGTCATCGACAGAAAAGTTTTAAAAGGATCCATTGAGTTGAAATCGCCCCATACCATCTAAAGCTGGTCCAACTGTTGGGAAATGAGAATAAGTTCCAGATTATCCAGTTTTCACAAAAAAAAACTGAAATCGAAAATTCCCTGGTGAAGCCCATTTCGCGCCAGCTTGCCCCTTTAGTCGTACAAAAAACACCGTATACCAAATTGGACCAACTTCACTACAAGATCATCGTTTTTTGTTGTCCGATATATGATGTTCGAAAAGCATAACCAGTTTTGAATATTCAGCCGATCCGTGTTACCCGAATCGTTGCGTGAACAACACGTATTGTCATCGGAGAGAAAGTGGAGGAGCGCAATGCATTCCAGGTTTGAAATCAAAGATTTTTTCCTCAAAGATTACATTGAAAATCAAAGTTCTGAACTTTTATTGTACTCATTCTGAACAAGGCTAAAGTTATTTGTGAAAGCAATCACGATTATATCTTCATGTGAGTGTTTAGTAAACCCTTGCGGCAGCAGGAGCTGCCCGAGTGGAACCGAATGCGAGAATTACAAGGATGTAGCCTGGTGTACAACAGGTAAATTTATTCAGCGCATCGGAAAACGATGAATCTTGATAATTCAGTAGAGGCATGTGATCCCGCTAATGCCACCGCTTGCCCGCCCGGTCAACATTGCGAATTGGCGGATCAGGGCCAATACAAGTGTATTGGAGGTAAGATAAACGACAAAGAACAAGGAAAAAAGCCACGCAAGTAATTCCGCCCTTCTGTTGAAAATTTCAAAAAAATATTTGGCCAGAACACTCCTCGATGTACCGGGTGAAGATCCCCCTGCGTACCTTTTTTTTTTCAGAAAAAGAGAGCTCAACGTCTTAGAACAACCTATTCTGACAGTTTCGATTATTTTCCCCGATTTTAAGATGTCCTCTCTCATAATTCTAGATGAAAATTGAGACTTTCAGGATCTAATTCTGATAAATCAAAGAACATTTTTCTGGGAATCCTTAGTCGCATGGTGAATTGACCCTACTGTTCAGAACTGCCTAAGCGAAACCGAACGTCTGAAGGATCCCCACTCTGCATTGTTTTATTGAAAAAAAAAAGAAAAGAAACAATGAAATTTTTTTTACAGATAATCCTTGCCTCATGAACCCATGCCCAGCTGGTAACGACTGTTCAGTCGTCGACGAAAAAGCCGTCTGCACACCAAGTTCGCCAAAAACTTTTATGAAAGAGAATTTATTCCGATCTTTTAGTCGACCTATGCTACCCTAATCTTTGCTCGTGGGGCTACGATTGCATAGTAACGCCATCCAAAGAAGTCAAATGTGTCATAGGTATGAATTTGCCGAATGGACTTTAAAATTGTTTACTTGTTGGAAAAAAAATTGAGAGAGATGCAAAAAAAAAAAACTATGAAAGAAACTTAGAAAAAAGATTCTCCATACAAGCCTATAGAAATTTATGCTTCTGAATGCTTTTGTTGTGGTTTTTGATGACTTCTGTAGATCTCTGAAAGGAACTTTGCTCTGAAACCATTTGATTATCTGCGCTCTCTTCGTCGCTCATGCTGTCTTAACGTTTTGATGCCTCTTCGAAGAAGGAAAAGAGAGTGCAGACAGATAAGACTACTTCAAGTAGCGGCCAATGAAGTATACCCTTACTCTGCTCAAATTGGACAGTTTTTTGTTTTCAAAAACAAACATAACAAATCTTGAGACCTGTTCAGGTAAACCTTGTGGCGCAACGCAATGCGAATTTCCTACAGTATGCGGCGAAGTCAACGGTGTCCCTACATGCGTTGATAGTAAGTATCGTTCTCAATAAAAAGTGATCATAGTTGAACTTTCAGAAGACGTATGCGCGCTCACTGGTTGCAGTGGAGAAACAACATATTGTCATGTGTCTGTAAACGCTACTGCTGTTGGTAGCCCCTTTTATTGCGCCAAAGGTTCGAATTTTGAACTGATTTTTTCTCTTCTTAAGAAACGGAAGCTACATATTGGCCTGTTAATAAGAATCAGTTTTTTTAGAGTTCATTTTATATAAAAGTTATGAAAACTGCTAGATTCAAAACGTATATTTTTCCAGCTGGGGAATGAAATACGGATCGCTCAGCCTAACGCTCGTTTCTAACATGCCATCCTTATAATGGATCCAAACCTCATACCATTTTTTCTTTCTTGTGTACGGGAAATTCTTCGAATAATCAAAATTGACGAGATTCCAGAGCCCTTTACTTTATAATGAATAAAGTTGAAAACAAATTTCTAACATGGATAGGGCCGCCAATAGGTTAGATCAAGAGTGAATTAAACTTTGATGAGATGTGCATATTGACCAAAAACTGGAAATCTAATTTTTTACGCTCTTTTAACCTTTTGCCTAGGTTTTTCTTGCAATCGCAGCGACAAATACTTTGTTGTGTTATAGTCTGAGTACCATGACTTGGTATTTCACCGAACGACATTCCGCTGTTCCACCGGGCGCCTTTGCGAATCTCGGTCGCGCTTTCAATTTTTTCTTTCATTCAAAACTCGCAGTGGAACGATCAATCTACCAGCAAAAAAAAATAGTTTGGAAAGTGGATCTAGATCCGCAAAGGCAGAGGCGCTTCGCGACCGTACGCAGCGGAACGTCGTTCGGTGAAATTTCAAGTCGTGGCACGCGGCCTACACAACTCGACAAAAATAAAAAAAAGTTTAATTGAAGTTTTGTGATCCTGATAGGACATCTTCTAGAAGACATCTCACTAAGGTTATTCGAATTCTTGCCCTCTGTGTTTCGCCCTTTTCAGTCCGAACACAAAAAATGAATTGAACACAAAAAAAACACCATTCTCTTTAATTTTTTTTTAAGTGAACGCTTGTGCCGATAATCCCTGTACTGAAGGCTCACACTGTTATCAGTACCTGTGGTCGCGCCTTTGTTTATCAAGTGAAAGTAACAACAAAAATTAAAAAGAATTAAAAAAAAAAATTTCATTTTCAGACCCTCCGTGTGATCCCAATTCTGCCAATTCCTGCGCAGAAGGTCTTAGTTGCCGAAAGTTCAATTCTGGAGTTTATCGGTGCATTTCGGGTTTGAAATTTTGAATAATAGATGCAAAGAGAAAATGAAAGTTACAGCTGGTTATCCGACAGAGTATTTGTAAGCGGAAGTCGACTACGCGTCTGTTCCTATTCTTCAAACTGTCATCACTTGAATAATAAATATTTTGGGCTCCTAGTACGCCTACATTACTCCACAGAAAATGAATGTTCATAATTTCTAGTTTAGAAACTGTCCACACGAAAAGCACTGAAAGATCTGATTATTCATCTTTCAACAAGACAACTCTTTTTTTTTTAGCAACTTTTAATGTCGGTTTATTAGTCTTTAACTAAGTTTCTCTTTTGAAGATCTCGAAAAAATTTTCAACCAAAAAGAGATTGTTACAGTTTTGCTTTTCCTAGTGTTTACTAGCACACATTCTAATTTGAAATGAAAAATTAATTTTATTTCCCCAACAGAAAGAGTAAAAGAGACAGAATTATGTTTGCACTCGAAAAATATCGAGTTTGGAAAGTTTGATTTTCCCCAAAAAAAGTTTTTTGTCTTGCTTGTTAGGTTAGGGTTTCTAGGAAAGTTTATAGCGTAACATCCCAAACGGGCAGCTGCCGTAAAACTCGAGGAATTAATTTACAACCCTTTTTTGTCGAAGAATTTTTAAAGCACCAGGGCATTGGGTTTGGCGACGATCGTTGTTTTCAAAAATTGACGTCGATTCTATTCAAAAAATCCTTTCAGTCCCTGTCGAGTTTCTCAAGACGGCGTTTTCATCACCCTTACAAAAAATATGTGGGTTCCTAGAACACAGAACCGAGAAATATTCAAAAGGCGGAAACGAAATCTATATATTGAAAGATGTTTTTTACGCCCTTTTGAAGTAAAATTGGGAAAGTTAACGTTTTCATTCATTTTCTGAGTTCAGGACTTTTAAACGCTACCCACATCTTCAAACGTTCTTCAGCGCGGCACAAGTCTCACTTATATTTACTTTTTTCTACTTATGTCATATTCAAGTGAAAAAAAACCCGCAAATTTGATTACTTGATGAAATACCCTAAATCTTACTCATTGCTCCATTTTTTGCTAGACACCAATTATTATTTTTTTTCAATCAAATTGCAGCTTTCAATTTCTAACCGAACTCAAGGACAGGTGACTTCGTGACAGAAACATGTCTTTTGGAACTTCTTGAGAGAAATGCTTTCGGAAGATTCTGACGATTATATTGTACGTTTTAACGTTGTTTCGATTATCGACGGATTTTATGAAGCCTATTCTTACCATCAAAGGTTGGCTGTTAAACTTTTGTTTTTTTTTTCCTCCAGACCAAATTTTCGAGTCTCCAAACTCAAAGTTCAAACGCCTTATTGGCGGAGACGGCTCCAAAATATGATTTTTGGAGAAAATAATCGTTACAATTTTTAGAAAAAAAAATAATTAAAAAAAGAGGAGGCACTGTACCCTTTCAAAAAAAACTTCCTCTAATAGCGTAAAATCCACGAAAATCTGTCTTTTCAGCTACATCCCATTGACACAATGCTGGGCGTCCGTCGGCGCGATAATCGTAGTCTTTTTAGCGACTTTGACCCTATCAATAGTTCTGAAGAACTCTTCCAGAATGATCAAAGCCTTCCAAGTCTTCCTGGCACTTCAAATTATCGTCTCCTGTGCGTTGTCCGTCTACCTGGCCTTCTGTGGCCTTTATGGTGTCCTACCGTACCCCATATTGTTCAATCGTCTCACATCCGCCAGCCACTACCGTATAACCGGAGCTTCACTTCTTTTTCTTCTATACTTATTGATGTTGGAAGTCGCTTTCTGTACATTCACCATGACCCGAAACGCCTTGACCGCCTCTCAAATCACTATATTCGGCCTCACTCATTCTCAAGTCATGATGATAACGGAAAGAGTCGTTTGGCTGGTTGCAGCTTCGATTATCCTTTTTAGCCTTTATCCAATCATCAACTGCCTCGAATGGGACCAAGATGAAGCTCATAACATTGCGGCATCGGTTGACGTCCGGTTGACCGCGTTTTTCAAAAACAGTGCTGTTTTTTTCTTGGTTTACACCAAGGTTGCGTATTATGTCCTTATTGAATTTGTTATTATTATTATTGTTTTGTTTTTATTTCTGACGACTCTCATTTTTATGTGAGTTTTTATCGCGATTTTTTAAAGCCGTGTACGTACTTTGCACGGCTTATATGTATAACAGTGTTCTTTTTTTTTATTAAAGCGACATAAAATTTGAACAATCAAAATTAATAATTACCGGCTTTTTAAATTTTCAAATGTGCTCAAATTATCTTTATATGCAGAACCCTCTGGTCAAGAAGAATCCAATCAACAACTCTAAAACGGCTTCAAAAAAGAATATTAATTATTGAGCTAGTGACACTGTTTACATTCAACATTTCCGTTGTTATACCAATGATTGGGAGCTTCGCATTGACATTATCCGACTTCAGAAGCATTGCCAAGTGAGTGCGTTTTTGCTTTCATTTTTTAAATTCTTTGATGGTTTGTAATAAAACAATTTGAGAAAATTCCTCAAAAATGACTTTTCGGAGCCCTCAATCGTTATTTCAAATTTCCACTCCCCGTCATTGGTAATTTTGAGTTTGAAGCAGATTTGTACTTTTTCAGCCTTCCAATGGTTCTTCTTCTATGGGCGCCTGGACAAACCTTATGTCCAACAATGTGTGTCATGTACTTGACTCTTATAACTCCATATCGGAGAGCGTTTTCAAGAATTTTGCCCAGAGGGAAGAAAAAATCGAACATTTCGGATAGCTCACATCATGTCTGCCCTATTATATTTACTTAATAAACTTTTTTTCGCGTAGAATACAATTTTTCTCAGAGAAATCTCTCCGAGATTACTTAATTTGTCATTTTGTAAATTTAAAGTGACCACTTAAGTAAAGCCTTTCACAATCGCCAACCCTACTGTTGAAGACAAAATTTAGAAGTTTGACCACTCAACTAGAACCAACCAGATTTGATTTTCCTCCATTCGGAACTTTTTTTCCTTATCATAATTTATGGAATTATAAGAAATCAAAGACGAGAAAAAAGGCAGCTGCCTCAGAGTATTCATTGTGCATTCAAGCGCGAATCTACGCCGAGCTCACTATTTTCATATTTTCAATTTTGAAAAACATGCTTTCTGAATATTCAGAGGATTTGATTTTCCCATTCAACTTGTCCGAAATTTTGGATGGTTTATACGACTCCTATGTTCTTCATGAAAGGTTGGAAAAAAACTTTTTATTACGGGAAAAATTAATTAATAAAGAATCGATATAAATTATCCAAAAAGTCATCAAGTAAATAACTATCAAGTATTTGATAAAATCAGCAAAATTAAATAACTGAAGATAGGAAATGTATGCTTAGATATTTTTTTTCTGAAAATACTGGCAAACTTGCAAAACTTTCATTTACATTGGAAAATACCCTTCAGACTGATTAAATCTCAAACTATTTGAAGATTTACAAGAAAAAAAATAAACAAAGTAGAATCATTTTTTTATAACTTTTTATTCAATTTATAAACCCACTTTTTCGTAAATCCAATTCATGCAACAAAAAAAACTGCTGAAAAAAAAGAATGAACAACTTATTCATTTATGGGTTTTTTTACAAAGTTCTTTGAAGCTTGATCGATTTTGAGAATTCTTAAACCCAATTGACTGACCGTGAAAAAATATTTATAAACCAATTTTTCGCTTTTTTGAATATTGAAAATAAACGTACTTGAACAATTCCAACGACGAGAACGATTCCTTTGCTGATTCTTAGCTGCATGTTGCCGATTAGAAATAAATAAACGAATAGAAGAAGATAAAATAAACAGAAAAGAGAAAAAAATCTCGAAAATGTCCTAAAAATTTCCGGAAAAAGATCTGTTTTGACACGGCGACGCATTACTGCGGGAGAAACGCAAAAAGAAAACGTCACTTAAATTTTTTTCTTTATAATTAGCGTATAAATTTTTAAAAAAACCTTTGCAGTTATATTTTTTTATACGCAAAATGTGATGAGAGTAGCTGCCGTTTTGGTACTGATGATCGCAATTTCAACAATTGTGATAGTTCTTCGCCAGTCCGCCAAAATGATGAAAGCTTTCAAGTACCTCATCGTCGCCCAAATCCTGGTTTCTTGTCTATTATCAATTTATATTGGCAACAGCGGTCTTTACTGCATTTTGCCATATCCCATCGCTTTCAATTTTTTAATTACTACTGATTACCGCGGAATTTCTGCAATCTGCTGTATTGTACTCCTTTATTTGATGCTTCTTGAAGTAACCTTATTCACTTTCACCTTTTTTCGCAACGCTCTGATTTCCGCAAGATTCAAAGCGAAGACAGTGATTATATCGGAAAGATTGCTTTCGATGGCTTTTTTGTTTCTTGGAGCCATTAATTTGTACCCGATTATCAATTGTGTCGAGTGGGAACAGGAAGAAGCTATTGGAAAAGCTGTTCTGATGGATCCAAGACTTGTCGACTTGATGCTGAAAAACGCTGGATTTTTCCTAGCCTACAGGAAGACAACGTATTTTGTTATTCCTGAGTTTTCGGTGTTTTTCCTGATTTACGCCGTCTTCTGCGCTTATCTCCTGAAGTTGCAAGTTATTTATTCAAACTTGGAAAAATTCAAGACCTGTAGGAATAAGTCCGTGTATTTTCACAGCTTTTCAAAACTTTATGGAATAAATTTAAAAGTCAAGCAGCTGTTATGTGGAACGTTTGACATTTAACTAGACTCTTTTTTCAGTTTTCCCTAACATTTTCCTGCCCAAAGAACGTGGGTTGTTGAACTGGGACAGGAAATAAGCACTCGAAAAAACTAAGAATGCAGAAACAGAACGTGTGAAAATAGAAATCTTGAGTAAAATGTTTCAAACCATCTTTCATGTTTTCAGAACCTTGAAGGTAACCTCGCAAACTTCGGCGACGCTGAAGAAGCTGCAAAAAAGGATATTATTCATTGAAATTTGGATCTTTTGTGCTTTCATATTCACAATTATTCTACCTATCTCTGGAGCCTTGGGACTTTCCGTTTTCGGCCCGAAATCGTTCGCGCAGTAAGTCCAATGAACGTTCTCTTGTTAGTAAAAGGCTTCTTTATCAGAACGCCATAAAAAAACGCTAGAAAGGTGTTTCTGTTGAATATGTGAATTGATAGTGATCAAATAATAGATCACGTGAGAGATATCCCAACTAAGAGTATAAAAGAAGTCGGGAACTCAGATCATCATCACTCGTACCGCCCCGTTTCGCCTCCAGCCTCGCCGTCGCTTCTGATAACGCACAAGACTACATCCTGATCGCCACTTCTGATGTATCTTGTGCGTTATCAGATAAAGAAGAGTACTCTCACAATAGTTTTTATTAATCTAGGTGTGGTAAAAAGATGAAGTTGAGGAGAGTGCGAGAAGTCGTCAGTCCGAGGCTTGAAGCGACGGCGAGGCTGGAGGCGAAACGGGGCGGTACGAGTGATGATGATCTGAGTTCCCGACTTCTTTTATACTCTTAGTTGGGATATCTCTCACGTGATCTATTATTTGATCACTATCAATTCACATATTCAACAGTTTCGAAAGCTGCTTTCTGGGTAATTTAGAATAATGTTTGTGAATATTTTTATCAAGTTAGAAATGATTGTTTAAAATTGAGAAGTTTTCAGATGGCCAACATTTTCGCTGATGTGGGCTCCGGGACAAATGCTGTGTCCAATGATGTGCGCCATGTACTTAACGTTAATAACACCTTATCGGACGGCTGTCAGTCAAATTCTGAAGAGAAAAAGAAAAGGATCGAATGTTAGGGATAACTCTTTACCGAGTATATTTTTCGTAAACTGATCCACATTTTTCGCCGAATTTCTCAGGTTTATCTCGCAGTAAACTACCTTCAAATGCTCAAATTGTTTGACAACTTTCAAAGTACATGTTTTTGGTCGAGTATCACTAATGATCGTCGAATAAAAAGTGCTGAAAAGAGATGGAAACAGCCGTAAACTTCAAAAAAAAAAGAAAGAAAAGTTCATTAAGATTGGCTTTTTCGATGAAATCGGGCAGCCAAGTGGAAGAAGGACGTCACAGCTGGTTTTGTGAATAATAAGCCGTATTTTGAAGATTCAATGGTGATAAAGGGACACGGATCTTTGGATAGCTTTTGAGAAATGGATTTATTTCTCAAACTTGATGCAAAAAATAGAAATTTCAAGGTTGAAGTTTGATGAATTTGAAAAACTGTTTTTTTAAAATAGATATCAACAGTGGCCCTCCCATTGCACTTGAAAAGGTGAGTTTAATATTTTCCAGTTACAAAAATTTAAAACAGTTTTGAAGATCTAGGACCAAACCAAAATTTTTTTTTATACAAAAAATTTTATTTCGGAATGAGGTTTCCAATTTTAAACCCATAGTTAGTTTGAGTTCATTCATTCCTTGATGAAGAGAAGGTTTCTTTCAGGCTTCAATAACTGCAGACCAAAATCTTCATTTAAAAAAAAATGAAAAAAAAAATTTGCAAAGTTACAAATTTCGTTCAGAAAGGACTTCATATTTGACACCGAAAGATTCTAGGAATTCGTAAATCTTGGAGTCTCCAAAGGCAGCTGTCGGTGTGTAGAAACCTCCTCTGAAAGGAAATCATGAATAAAAAAATAAATTCGAAAAACAAACTTTCAATCATTGAGTAATACATACAATGAATAGTCTGATTGCTTCTTCTCTTGAGTTCACATGCTCTTTTGGGGTTTCTATGAGCTTTGCGGTGAGAGAAGAGAGAAGAGAGAGCGCAGACACGTCAGACAATTCCGATTGAATGGGATTATAGAGGGTACAAAGAAATGAACAACCAACTCTTCAGGCATATTCTGAACGTCTTTCAGGATAGTCAAAGCCGAGGAAATGATGCAGCCGGATGTGGCCATGTAGCCTGGATCTGGTCCGGTGCAACGGGCGACGACCTGAAAATGACTTTTTTTTCATCATTTTGACTTCAAAAACGACCTTTCGATCCGGTCTTCCCAAGTGGACTTCTCCATTCGGCTTCTGTTCCTGATAGCCATACCCGAAGAAGGTGTAGGTGAAACCAGATCCATTGATTTGAGCCTCAGTGGGACCGTCCCTCTGTAAATTTTCAGGACTCATTTTGTTGAAATACTTCGCCAAGAGATTTTTCGAAAAGAAAAACAGACGAAAAGAGAAAATCGATAGATCAACGGCGGCATGTAGAGCCGCCAGAGAAGCGGAGATTCTCTCTTTCTCTGACGTCTCTTCAATCACCAAACTCTCTCAGAACCTATGGCCTGTTCAAAAACGGCGGCAAGAGTTTCAAAACACTTTTGTGGCCCAAAAAATGCAGAAAAAAGTTTTTCGTCTCATGACCTTTTATCAAACTTGTGCCTGCTCCTTTAAACTTCCCACTGAGGGTTTTCGAACAGACAATGCTTTTCTTATCATTATTACCTTGAACAAGTTGAAGCTGACTTCGTCCGGATACTTCTGGAGTAGCCTTTTGGTGCAAGGAATCACGGCAAGAACGGAGATTGCCGAAGACCAGAGGCCTAATCCAACGGCTAAACTTACGGACGGCACTCGGATGTAGGTCTTGATGTGGATCTTCAAATAGTTCTGGTTTTTTTTTCAACAAAACTAGTTTGTGAAAAGGCTGTCAAGTAACTGCACAAGGTAGGTATTCTTACTTTTTTTATAAATTGAAAAATTTGCCGTAGGGTTTGTTGTGTATAATGAAACATTCTTGTGAAAAAAGTCCTGTCAATTTGTGCTTTACTAGTCCTTCGAGAAGGGGCACTACCTTTTTTTGAATTTTCGATAATTGGCCGATTTTCGATGTCTCAAAATCAGATCCTAAAAGTCTCAATTGTGGAAAATTAGGTTCAAAGCAAGAAAAAACCCTTTTAAGATTTTGAAGGATTCCAAAAATCAAATAAGTGAAAATGACCGGTCTTCTGTCCTTGACAGTGGCGTCGTTATACTGACTCCAATCAACAATTGTCTGATCAGTAGTGGGAAAAGGTAATGCGTATCCATCCAGTTCAGCTTCATCGATTTTGGAAATCGGCATTCTGAACAAGTCTGGACCTTTTTGAAATGACTATTTGAAAAAACTAGGAAAATCCTTTTATTAAACTCTCTCAGTTTACCAATCATTTTACGTGTTTCGACTTTTTTATTCAACTCACCTAAAAGGTGGCTTAACCGAGCCCTTGACGATCCTCCTGGGCATCAATTTCGATCCACTACTCAGCATTTTCGTCGCATATTCGCCCATAGACCCGACAATGGTCTGGTAAGTTCCATCATTCAGAGCGTACCCCTTGAATGATCACATTTCTATCAAGATAAGAAGATTTTTAATGATACATCGGGCCCTGGAATGATCTGCATGAAAGCCTCGACATGGTTCAGATCACCTCCGAAATTTTTCTTCAGAAAGTTGACTCCCAAATCGGCGGGGATCGAGTCGAAAGCACAGCAACTGACGATATAAACTCCATTTTCTTTGGCCTGATGCTCATATTTCAGCTTCATCTTCTCGACCCACTATAAATATTCATTTTTGGGGACTTTTTGAAGGAACGTTTACCGGGTACTCGCCGGTAATATCCACGTGATGGGCTCTGTTTTCAATCGCAGCTCTAAGCACAGCTTCTCCATAGAGAGTGAACTGAAAATCGTTGCTTGAAGTTATCTGGCCGGACTTAGAATGGTTCGACGCGTTGCGGGTCAAGATTAAGCTTTTAAATTTCGAACTTGATCATATTGTCTTTCGCAAGTAGTTTTATAGTCGGGTGCGAATCTCATTGGAAATTGGAACTCTCTGACTTGTCTGCGCTCTATTACTCTCTTAGCTTCGCTTGCCGTCGGAAGAAAAAGATCCTGGACAGTTTCAAGAGAGATTTTTTTCATTTTTACCACTATCTGACCTGTCTGCGCCCTCTTGTTCTCTAACCATCTAACTGGTAAGAGAACTAGAGGATCTGAAAAGTTTCAAGTTTTGGTAGACTCATTTAGAACAGCATATCCTGTCTCTTTTTCATCTCTAAATTAAACTATTTTAAGAGAAAAGAGAGCGCAGACAGTCAGACTGTTTGATGAATGACCTATCGATGACTCACCGGTCCAACAGTATTTATGATGACTTTGGCTTGTTGGGCCATTCGGGCCAGAGAATCCGGATCAGAGGAATCGGCAATAATCATCGGGGTTCCGTAAATATCGATTCCTAAAAAATATTCATTTGCTATTTTTGGATGAGCTTTGCAATAAATTTGCTTTTTGGACTTTTTGAAAGCTCAAAGGGATGCTTTCGGAGCTAGCTTGTAACAAAAGTTAAAGAGAAAAATTCTGACAGGACGGCAAAAAATAGCATCTTGAAAATTTTAGACGAACTGCTGATGAGTCTAATAAAATCATCTTGTCAAGATTCTACCCTCAATATTCATTATGCTTCTTCAAACCTTCCAACAAGCTTTTTTTACAAATTTTCTCACCGGTTTTCCCAGAAACTTTCTCCAAAACCTGTCGTAATTTCCCTTCATTACGTCCGGCGATAGCGAAATTGACCTCCTGAAGATTTTCGATAAGGTATATATGTAGTTATGTAATAAACGTGGTAATATTTGGAAGCGACAAGCCTTTCGACCACATAATGACCGGTGAAGCCGGTCGCGCCGTAGATCACCACGTCAAACTGCTTTTTTCCATTTTCTGGAATTTCATATTTTAAAAAATACTGATTTTTCCAACTTTTTAAAGCGATACGACAAGTCTATATAGTTTTTTTAAAAAAATCCGGTCTTTTACAGTTAACTTTAACTTTGAGGAAAGAAATGATGTAGTGAAGTTTGACCGATCCGTTTTTTTCGGAATATTCACAGAGATTGAAAAAAAACTGTTTATTATTTTTCAGAAGCGCTCTGTTCTTCAATTGAACCGAATTAATTCTTTGTAAAATTAACAAAAGTTAGATAAAAAAATGATGAAACTCTGGTACTTCAAATCAAAATGTTTTATTTCTCACACACAAGTACTAAATTTCACGAAATAGATGTAGGTAGAGTTTGGGAACAAATATACTCCAAATAAAAATAAGCTGAACTTCGATATTTCTTTTTTTGAAAAAAATTATTTCTCCGGTTTTTTTGTATTCATATAACTTCTGCTTGGTTCATAGAAATGAAAAATTCCAGTAAAGACAAAAAACAGGTAAAAAAATGAGCCAAAACAATGAAAAATTCCTTTTGATCTATATAAATAACTTTCCTCATTTTTTTGATGTATTTGAAGCTTTTTAAATATTAAAAAAATCCAGGATAGGGTACTGAAAAAGCAAAAAAAAGTCTTGCAGAGCCAAAAAAAATGCTCTTCGATTTGATCCTTGAGGAAATTGATCTGTGATCTCATTTTGAAAAAGGCCGGCAAAGATTTTTTTGATCTTTGGTTAAATAGCTCGAAAAAGTTATTAACTGTAAACAAATTGCTATTATCGTTTTTCAAGGCTTTTGCATTAAAAAAGGTGAACAGAAAAAATAGTTAAAGATATTCGGAAAAAGACTTGGTTTCTGAACAATCTTCAAGAAGTTTTCCTGGAATGATAACTCAAAAAAAAGGAGAGAAGGAGAGAAATTTCGAGGCAGGTGGTTCAGAAAATAGTGGCCTGCAGGCGTTATCAATTAAATAGGCGAGCAAAGTTTATCGAGAAATGTGTCGACTAGAGTCGAGCCTATTCTGCTGATTATTTTTCGCAATCGTGACAATTTTGTCGGAAAATTGGATGAATCAGAGGTTTTTCTTGTTCTGGAATGATCGGGGAACAGCTGGAAACTCGCGAAAATGTGAAAAATTTCGGGATTTTCGAAGTTTTTCAATGTAAAAACCACAGGAAGAATCAAGATTAATATCAAAAAATCTTCTTTTTGCTGAACAGCCGTACTAAATCCGCTGAGATTGGAAACTAGTGACATTTGGAAAGACTGAAGGCTCTGAAGCTTTTTTCGGAATTCGCGCCCGACTAAAGACGACTTGCGCGAGTTACTATCGGGATTTATTGAATATTGCGGCCACGAGTTACGGGGTGAACAAACATGCAAATCGATAATTTTTTATCCAAGTAAGCAAGAGAAAATCAGTTTTTTCTCTATATTCAAGAAAACTATTACAAAATGTCAAAAATGACGAAAAATCTCAGAGTTCAAAGAAATCAATATTAGAAAAGTGTTTTCTTGACCTTTGATTCTTTTCGGTTGGAAAAAATTGCGTAATGTTTGGGAGAGAGAAGGTCAGTTTCTCTTATAAACAAGAGGTTCCCCGAAGATTTTGAACGTTTTTTTGAGGTTTTTTCAGATTTTCATACACTTCTTCAAACATGCTACTTTAATTTTTCATGATTTCTAAAGTTAGAAAATGAAAATAAAAAAAATTCATGGTTGTTCAGATTCACTTTCAAATCGATTTTTATGATAATTTCTTGAGCCATTCTACGTGCGGCCACAGGGGATCGATCTCTAGGGAAAATGAGACACTCTATTTTTACATTATTTCAAAACGTTTATAGTGACACCCTCATTTTTCATAAACCTTAAGTTTTGGAAAAAAGAAAGCGAAAAAAAGAACTGGTTTTTTTCAGTCGAATTTATTCTTTAAACATCAAAAATAAACAACTTTCTCTTGAGAAAATATATTTTTTTAAAACTTCTTAAACTTTTTTTTACCCATATCTGAATAAATGAATGAGTTTCAGACATGTTCCTTCTAATAATTATCACTTTTTTATTCGCCTATATCATCACCAAGCAATGGAAAAGCCGTATGAACCTACCAAAAGGTTGGAAAATCATTCATAACTTGTTTCCAAAGTTTAAAGGACACGAAAAACAGTTTTTCGCGTCGAGAACTGTATAAAAGTTGACCGTGCTCCTTTAAACACTGATTTTCAAATAGACCATCATGTAAGTTTCAGGACCTATTCCATTTCCTCTCATCGGAAATATTCCTCAAGTTTTGCTGGCCTTGAGAGAAACTGGAAGTGTCGTTGGAACTTTGAGAAAGTTTCAAAAGGTATATCAAAATCGTCAAAACTTGAAACTGTCTGATTTCTCTACGCTCTCGTTTCTCCATGCATTTTAATTGATCTGTGATCTTATTGACAAGAGAAAAGAGAGCACAGACACGTCAGACTGTTCCAAGCTTCGATAGGAATATCGAATTAAATATTATCCAACTCAGGACCACGGTAAAATCTACACTTTATGGTTTGGACCAATGAAAACTGTACACATTTGCGATTATGACTTGGCCTATGAAGTTATGGTGAAAAATGGGTCCAAGTACGCGGAAAGATTCGTTCCGGGCTCTATGCGAGATTTGACAGGTTGGTCGAATGGCTAGAGCGGTAGGACATGGGTAGAAGGACCAGGGTTCTACTTTTTTGAATTTTTGCGGTTTTTCTAATTTTCGCAAAATATTATGCTTCGTTTCAAAAACTTTGAAAATTGGTTTTGAAGGCCTAGAAAGCTTAATAATCTGGTGAATACTCCTTCAGGAGCTCGTATTATTTTTTTTTAATTTACAGAAGGATGCGGGGTAATTTGGTCAAACGGGGAGTTTTGGCAACGACATCGTCGGTTTGCCCTCCATACTCTTCGGAATTTCGGTCTTGGGAAGAATCTCATGGAAGAGAGGATAATGGAGGAGATCAATGCCAGGTACAGTTCTTCACTTTTTTGTCACGAAATCTCGAAAAAACGGACTGTGTTGAAAATCTGCTCGCTCCTTTAGTGCCATTTTCATAAGAGGCTTTTCAAAGTTTCGAATTATAGTCCATTTCATTTTGTACTGTTCTATTAACATTGAAAAACCTTTTTCATGCTAATAATTATATTCGAAGGTTCGCCGAACTCGACAGAAAGCAGGAAAATGTCCGAGACGCTGGCCGATTTTTCGACATTCTTGTCGGAAGTATCATTAACAATTTGATCTTCTCGGAGCGATTTTCAGAGGTTTCTTTATTACAAGCTATTTACAAAATTGATATTATACTCTTATTTGAAAAACAATCACGATTTCAGGGAGATGAAGAATACGAGAAGCTGAAAGGGCTTTTGGACAAAAGTTTCGAAGGCGCTTCTTTTTTGGATACTTTTATCCCGTCAGCTCTCATGAATTCTCCCCTTCTGAAGTTCAGGTTTAGCTCATCAAGCTTGAAACTTTGTTTTAACGTTTACAATATTCAGAAAAGAAAGCCAGATGGGACCGATGAATAAGATCCTGGCCTATTTGCGGGAGAAAATTGATAGGAGGTGAAGAATTTTTATCAACTTCTTCATTAAACCTTGTAGGTTTGATGCGATCGAGAATGGAAAACACGTGATTCCTGAAGAGCCTCAGGACTACGTCGACGCGTTTTTGAAGCAAATGGAGAAGGAAAAGAAGGAAAATGGAGAAGATTCGACTTTCAAGTGAACTTTTTTGATAATTTGTGTAACTTCGACTTTTCTGAAACCTTAGTAGATCATTCAACTAGTTTGACTTTGTCTGAAGCCCGTGATTTTATTAGAAATAATGTTCGAACTCATGGATTTTTTGAAATTTTTCTACTTCTTTGAGTCAAATTTTTGAATCTTGGGTTAAAAAATTCAGCCGTTTTTGGCATCTACTATTCAAACTTGACTATTCGAAATTTGACATTTTGCCTATCTCTTCTCCTTTTTTTTGTAGACATTAAAAAAAAGTTGTAAAAATAGAATGCTAAAAAATCTCCTTTTTTCAGCTTCCACAGCCTCTCGATGGAAATTATCGACTTATGGCTAGCCGGACAGGAAACAAGCTCCACGACCCTCGTTTGGGCAGTCCTTTTACTGCTGAACAACCCAGAAGAAATTGTCAAAACTCGGGAAGAGATCATAAAAGTTACTGACAACGGAACTAGCCACGTTTCTCTCGCTGATCGCACCAATACGCCTTATTTGAATGCTGTGATCAATGTGAGATTCGCCATTTTTTTATTTTTAAAAAAATAAATCACATTTTTGTGAAAAAAACAGCATTTTTTTCGAAAATGATACGTTTTTCCAGGAAATTCAGCGACACGCCTCGATTCTGAACATCAACTTGGGACGAATCAATCCAGAGGTTATTTTTCGATATATATTTTTCCGTTAAGAGACTTTTTTTGACAATTTTTCCTGCCATATAAACTTTGAAAAAAATACAGGACACTACAATAGATGGCCAACCAGTTGAAAAAGGCGCGATGATAACGGCTCAACTGAGTTTAATCCTCTCCGATGAGAAAGATTACCCAAACAGTGAACAGGTAGAAAGTATAACAAAAACTTCAAGCAAAACTCGAAATATTTCCAGTTCCTACCGTCTCGTTTCATTGAAAATGAATCGCTGCAGCAGAGACTATGCGTTTTTGGGCTAGGAAAACGGGCTTGTTTGGGTGAATCCTTGGCTCGCGCTGAGCTTTATTTGGTAATATCTATTTCAGTGTATATTTTGGACCGGAAAGTTGATCTTCAGATACTCGGAAACCTCTTACTTCGTTATGATCTTCAGCCAGACGGTGATCTTCCACCGGCAGCGTCTTTCAATCCCATTGGTGCAATGAACAAACCACACAAATGCTCGCTGAAATTTATCAAATTGTGAATAAGTGAAAGTTCAAAAAATATACCTGATAGCTTTTTCGAGATAAATTATGTCCATTGAAGAAAAAAAACGGAATAAACACATGATTAAAAATTTTATGAAAAGGCGAAAACAAGGAAAGTGCGCCCCAAAACGAACTTTCGGCTCCTTCTGTCGATATAATTTTTTGCTGTCTTTTTTTTGTTTATTTCTTTTGTTAAATTTTTTTTCTCATTGTCGTTCTAAACCTTCTGATTGGAATCTCGATGTAGTTAAAAATGTTGAAGAACGTTTTGTCCTATAGGAAACAATAAATTATTTTTTAGCATCAATTTTGTTGAATTTTCATATCTTGTCAAATTCAATGCGTTTTCTCCATGTTTTTTTGTGTTCATACAGTGTTTGCATTCCCAGGTTTTTTTTTAACGAAACCGTTCAATTTGAAAATTTTTTTTTGCCTTGCTTTCGTTTCTGTTTTGCTCAGCAGTTTCAGAACCCAACCAATTTCAGAAAGGAATTTCGGAGCAAGAAAAAAAAAGAGACGACGGGTTAGAAAGCGAATAATGGAAAGGCTCTTCCGCGTTCCATTCGAGAGCCTTTCTCCCACCCATCTTGCGAGAAGGCCGTCGTCGTCTTCGGATGAGTTTTTCGGGCTATTGGGTGTCGTTTTTGGCCGCTTTTCTTGGGCTGTCGCCGCGGGGATCCGTCAATGTTTTCCAACAACTTCTACGCCGTCCCGTCCGTCGAGTCAGTTCTTCTCCTATCAAACCCATTGACACGGCGTGCCGTTTATTGGCCATCTCTTCCCTTTTGCCATCCATTCTACTTGACCTTTCAGGAGTCTCTAGTTTGTTTTTTCGGAGTTTGGCTGGGCAGAAGTGTTACTGAGAAGGGTAGATCAAACAGTTTGAAGTAGGAGTTTATGAAAAGGATTTTCGAACTCTTCCAATTTTCATTAGCTTCATTTTTCAACTTTCGAGCTTAGACCGCAGAAAGGCTTCTCAATAAGAACAGATTTGTTAATAACTGTTTTTCACGCTGATTCCAAATCTGTAGTCGAAAACTTACGGAGAGGGCTGTGAAAAAAGTTACGAGCGCTGAAATTTCAAAAAAAAAACCATCAACGACTCACTCGCTGTAAAACCTTGAGCACGTGAGGAACTTGAAAAAAATTAGCTAAATTAAAGAAAATTTTGACTTTAAGCAGGAAAAGAGCATTTTTATAAAAATTTGATTTTTCAAGCAATGAGCTCGAGTAATCGGAAAAAAAGTATATTTTCCAATAATTTGACATCGAAAACTTTTTTTCAATGTCATTAGGTTGCTAGGATTCTTACAAGTACCTTTAAAACCACTAATTTTCCTCAAAAAGACCTATTTTTCAAAAATTTCCCTCCAAATTTATTAAGGATTTTTTTCCGATTTTCCAGAGCTGCTAGAACTTTTTCAGTAACTTCAAAATGCTAATTTTTTTTTTCAGAAAAAGACTTTTTCCTCAATTTTTCAAACTCTCCAATTTGCATTGAAACCACCAAAAAAGTGCATTTTTTCCGAGAAATTTTCGAAAAAAGGGGATGAGACAATTAGGCTCGAGCCCGTCCTTGTGTGACGTCAGTGACGTCGGGAGTCAAGTCAAGAGAATATGAATGAAATTGAACTTCACGCCCGATTTTCCAAGGCCTTTTTGATATATATTCTCATGTTTTGTTAGATTATTTGATGTTTCAGATACAGATTTTGGAGTTTAGAGCTGAAAAATCATATTTCATTTCGATTATACCAAATTCTTTTTAATTTTTACAGGAACATCAGCCGAGTCAACATGTCCTACTACAACGCCATCGACAATTATGCTCATGAAGGTGAATAAAAAAATGGAAAATTAGAAGAAAATTCAAGTCTTTTTTTGTATTGAATAAGCCTTTTTCTGAGAATTTTTCTTAATGAATTTTTTGGCTTTTTGAATCCTCCTGTGCCGAGAAAAAGGCGAAAAAGATTTTTTTTTAAGCTTCATAACTTTTAAAAATCTTCAATTTTTTCATATTTAAGTTCTTTGAATTGATAAAAGCTCTCGAAATTCAAATTCAAGGTATAACCAAAGTAAAAATTTACAAAAAAATTTGAAAGTAATCAAATAAAAGCCCTTCTGAAACTATTCGAAAAAATAAAATATAAAATTCACTATCAATAAAATCTTTTTAAACTAGTTTAATAAGCAAAAATCAAGGAAAAAGATTCGAAGTTTTTAAAATCGTGAGCCCATGTTTTGACTACATTATCAGCTACTTTTTCTCATTTTCTTCAAGATTTTCAAACTGAAATTATTCCATTTTTTGTTCGAGCCATACCATTCGCCAGGTAAACTTAATTTTCAAAAGTTTCCCGACTTTATAACACAAAAAATAAAATTGATTTCACCCTTTGACTTTTTTTGACCAACTTATACCAAAAATCTCCAAATCCGATCAGGAAGCGAGGTTTCTTCCGATGCTCTCCGTTCTTCCCGACTTTTTCCTCCTCTTGAGAAAAGGACATTTTCTGATTTCCCATTCATATTTCCCCGCTGTACCCTATGCATTCAACCAATTGTTTCGCGAAAGATGGCTTCACCAGTGAGGAAGAGAGAAAACTTGCGATCCATTCGATTATTGGTAAACTTTTCGTTTTGATTGATTTAAAAACAAAGTTTCGTTTTACCGTTTTATATATCGGAATTTCAAGGAATTTAAGACTTTTTGAAACTTCCATTAAGTCAGCATGTATTGGGTCTTGCAGAGTTTTGAGCATTTTCAAACTGAAATTTTCGAATAATACCGAACCGAGATCGATTTTTGAAGCTTTGCGATCTCATCAATATAGATTGACTTCTTTTAAAAATAAAAAGGATAATTTAAATGTACTACGTAGCACTCTTTAGATTCACTGGACTCTGAATAGTTTCTCGAAAACAATGAACTACCGCGTAACCAAAATAGGATCGATTTTTCAATTTAAAAAAATTCGGTTTTTTGTACATCCTTATATATATTTTTTTGATTGAAACTCCTTTTTTTGCTACTTCACACAAAGTTCGATTAAAAAAAGAATAACGACAAAGCTCAGATCTTGAAAAAAATACATGATAAAGTTATCTGGATACTTTTTTTAGATACGTATAGCCCATTCACGGCTGGCTCGGGACAGCGAACGGGTGGTTTAACTTGCGCGGCGATGGTAGATCATGGCGGTCATACATGCGCCTTTAATAAGAGCTTCATTTGATGAATTGTTTCTGTTTCTATCGAATTTAGTTTTTGTTTACATTCATCTCATTGATTTTTAGATTTTCTTTAAATCAATGAATTACAAAATAAAAACAAATAAGTCATAAATTGGGCTTTTATGAAAGACGCATGGATAGTCGCTATGATATACCTTCGCCGCGAAAATTAAACCGCCCGTTCGCTGTCCCAAGTCAGCCGTGAACGGGTTATACTTACGAGATTTCCAGTCCATAATATGAATATTCCAAAATTTTTGCACAAACATTCAGACGAAATTCCCTAAAAATTGACATTCAATATAAGTTTCACTAAACTCAAAAGTTGAAGTGAAGCGGCTCGGATTGAATTTGGCCTGGAGGGGAGGTCAAAAAGAAAAGTAAAATTGAGGCGAAATTCGATCTTTGAGGAATAAGAAAGGCGGGAACACGGGGCGAGGGTGCCGCCTCCCACACGGCCGAGACTTTTTGGCAACCTCCATTTTATCTTCTTTTTCCTTTCTTTTTTTTTGATTCTTTCGGTTGATTTTTGTTGGATGATAGGTTTTATCTGTGAATATCTGTTCAAGAAGTTTTTTCAAAGAAAAGATACTGAAAACCGTTTTCAGATAACTTTTTCGGTTATAACAGATCTCGCGAACCTGAAGAAGAACTTAAACATATCTCATTCTCAAAAGTGAAGCATCTAGCAAAGTTTGACGAGCTCAAAGTTGAATTTTCTAAGAAACTATGGAGCGAAAAGCTTGTAGCAAGGTCATTTTCAGTCATGTAAGATCTCCAAAATCTCAAAAAATCATAGGAGAAGAAAAAAATATGTTGCCTTTCTAAAAAAAGAAGAATAAGATGGAAGAAAACCGGAAGTTCAGGAGTTTTTGGGCCTTTAATTGATAAAATTCTGGTTTTTTTGATTTTTTTCGGCCAAAAAAAAGTAAAAAAATAATTTTTTTAGAAAAGTTCGTAATGCCGTATATGATTAAAATTCAAGAAAAAGAACCTATCGAGATTTTTTTCAATAAATAAAAAAATGTTAATAGAATTAAGCTTGAAGTAGTTTTTCACTGTTTTTTGGGATAAAAGAATGATTTTCTTTTTTTTTTCGTTCCGAAGAAGTTTTTTTTTCCCGGAAGGGTTTTGAAAAAAACGAAGCGCCCGATTGAAGAAAGTTAATTAAAAGCAACCTTAGAATTTTCGAAAAATTAAATCTTTAATTTTCTCGACTTTCCTTCGAAAAAAACTTCCACAAATATGATGATTTTTCTTATATTTTTCATATTTCGAAGCTTTTTTTCTTAAAAAAATGGCTAAGAATGGGTGAAGTTGAAACTTTTACAGATTGAAATCGGATGTTTACAGGCAAAAAAATGTGTTCGCGACGATGGGCAGCGATAAAATTCGTCGACGACCGAGTCAGGTGAGATTTTTTTGGAAGGTTCCAGAAGAACATCGTGTATTTCAAAAAAAATTGAGCAAAAAAAAAATTTTTTAAGCTTTTTGAAGTCAAAAATTGAGCAAAAATCGCTCCAGAAAAAAATTTTTCTAATGAATTTTTGCCATTTTTAATTTATTCAAAAGCAATTTTCCAAGATATCCAGTTAAAATGTAGATTAGTCCTGGAAAAGGTGAGAAAAGGGGTAAAAATGCAAATTCCAAATAATTGCCTTTTTTCACGGCTCCATCCCGAAAAAGGCCTCAAATTTCAGTCGCCTCAAATTTTCGAACCAACTATCTTCTCAATGAAAATGGAGTACTGAAAAGGCTTCCCGAAACGAAAAAAAGAAGGTTTTTTTGGTCAAAGAAAAACAAATTATTTTCTCTATGTGTGTAAATTTTTTTCGAGGAACAAGAATCACGAAATTTGGTTTGAATGGGGAAATTCTGGGATTTCAGAATCGGAAATTTAAAGATAAATGAAAGAAAAAAAGTGGAAAAAAAGTGTGAAAAAAATGAAGATCGTAATGGGAAAATCTCTCTTAAAAATTTTTTTACTTTTAAAAAAATAATTTTTCTCGCTCTGCCGATGAAAAATTCGACCAGAAATTGAAATGGCTAAAAAAATCAAACTTTTTTTGATTCTTAAGCTCAAAAAGTAGAAAGTCTTAATTTGACAAGGTATAGCAAATTTTTTTGTCGTGTTTTTCAACAAGAAAAAATCATCTATGTATTAAAATGACAATTCCGATTCAACAAAAATGATGAAAATGAAGCTGCGGAGAAAATCCTGGTCAAAAAACTTGTAAATTGATTTATTAAAGGCGAACTATACTTTATCTCCCCCTAAGAGTTCAAATCTCAAACTTTTGTCTTTGAAAATGCAAAGTAACATGATATCTTGTAGTGTTTCCCACACAGATAGGGCTTCTCTTGTTGTTTCTCCTGCTGAAAACATATGATTTGGGAAAAGTAAAAGGAAAAGAACATTTTCAGGGGTTATTGTAAGGAGAAATGCAATTTCATACGCTAAATTTTTCAACCTAAAAAAATCAATAATATTTGAAAAATTAAAAAAATCTTCAACCAAAAAGAGCCCGATTTTTTTCCTTCCTTTTCATTTTTTTGAAAAAAACGGTTTTTATTCACTTTTTTTCCTCAACAGAATGAAGAATTAGCTTCAATTTTTCTAGATTATCGCCCTCATTTATCAAAAAAATTAGTCTTTATTATCAGTAGAGCGCATTAGTTTGCCTCAAAGCGGCTATTTTTCACCATCTTTTTTTGAGAATTTTCCTGGACATTTTATATCTGGGATCATTTTTCAAGATGATTTCCAGTCAAACTATTCTTCCAATCTCATTTTTTCCCCCCAAAATTCATTAAAAACCACCAAATCGAAAAAAAGGACTGTATTACAAAAAAAATTCAGTTATATTTTACATGTGTTTTTACCTTTTTAAACCAAAAACGCTTCTAAAAAAACAAGATAAGCACCAATTTCGTGCAAACAAATAAAGAAAACCGACAAAATTTGTTATTCGCGAGAGCTTGGGAATGGCTCGAAGGGAATGTACCCGAAATTTCAGATGCATATACTTTCGGCATCGCCTTTTCGTTCCCTCAATTCACTTTTCCCGTTTCAGTTCCGCTTCTTTTTGCATTTTCCCTCTTTTTTTCGTTTCTCTGTGCAAAAGAGATATTGTAAAATTTAGCAAAAAGTTTTTTGATTAGACAAATATTAGAAATTGCAATTTTCCTATAAATAACGTCAATTCATTGAGTTTTTCGCAACGGAATGCTTTTCCTACTTGAGTTCATAACAATATTCGATTAACATGTTCCTTATAGTGACCCTTAACTAAGATCCCTTTAAGGGCCACTTTTGAAAGCTGTAGTGCCTTCTATAAGGATAGGTAAACTGATGTCAAGAGGCAGCCTGTCAAGGGCCCCTATAGGGACCACTCTGACATTCTTAAGATCTGTCTTTTTTGCAGCTTCAGAGTCGGAAGGATTTTCAAAGTTCGTTTTTGAACAAATGTGCTTAATTGGGAGTCAAGTCATTCTTTTGGAAAAAAAGACTATAGTTTTCAATTTCCTTCACTTCCTACTAAATTTCTATGCATTTTTAATTCAAATTAGAGAGGATGTTACTTTCAGAGAAATATAGCGATTCTTCCGTTTTTTTTTTCTCCTTAATTGACTCTTTTCACGACACAAATCTATCAATTTGATTAATTGTGATTAATTAATTAATCTTTCTGGCTCATCAAAATTTCATGGAATTAACGTTAGTGCTGCTGTTTTTTTCAAATAAGTTGTTTCAATCCGCCTCGAAGTTTCTTTCAAACTTACCAGGAAGCTTTCAAAATTTTTATTGGGGAAGTTTGAAAATATAGCAATTTTCGTTTAATTTGATTTTTTTGTACAAGTGATTTATCGGGGCGAAATAAAGTAATTTGGAATAATTATTTAAAATTTGAAAATAGCACGTTCCGAAGTTTGGAAATTCATAAAAAAATTCATATCAATTTTTCAAAATGTTTCTCAAAAAAAACTCTGATAAGAATGAGGAAAAATTATTTTTTTGGGAAGAAAAAAAATTAATTCGGTTTTCAGTTTATCTTCGAGTTCCTAATAGATTAGGCTCAAAAAGAATACTTTATGTCTACTTTTTTCGGCTCTAAAAAAATTGAATTTTAATAATTATTAATAAGTTTCATTTCTTCAACTTTCAAAAAAATTCTTATGAACATTTCTATCGATTTAAACTTCCAAAAAAATGATTCGAAAAAAATCGTCAGATCTTTTTTTCTTCCTCCGTAATCTATTAAACACTGTTCGGCTTACCATGAAGCTTTTTTTCACCCCCCACCCTCTGAAAGTTAAATCCTTTTCAGCTATCCAGAAAGAAGCTTTTCTTTTTCCCCTTTTTTTTATTTGCCGCTTCCGGGGGCAACAAATGGGGGCGTCGAATTAGACAGAAATCCAATTCTTCCAGCGGCGTTCTTTTCCTTTTTTTTCAATGCCCTTTGTGCAGATTTTTCTCTTCTTCTTTTTCCATTTATTTATAATCCTGTTTCTATACACGTCATTTCTTGGTGTTTACTGTAGCTTGTAAAAAAATGGATTTGTTCTTCCAAAAAGCTTCAATAAAAAAATCATCATTTTTCTCAGCTCTATTTAGAAAACGAAAAAAACTTATAAGTCTTGAAAAAAATTCCGAAAAAATACTTTATTTTTAAAAAAATTTCTCGGTGGATGAAATTGAGGTTCTGAAAACTTTCTTACCAGGGAATGGTCTCCGGTCGCAGTGGGACCCCCGAATGAGACCAAGTTTTCTAGATGTAGTTTTTCACGCTGAGCTCAAATCTGGTCTCAAAAACTGCCGAGGAGATCTGTGAAAAAAGTTATGGACCCTCAAAAGTCGAAAATTTCAGTGTTTCCGATTGAGCTCATTTTTTTGAAGGGTCTATAGATCTTGCCCCTCTGGTCACGAAAAACTATCAATTTTTTTTCAAAAAAATTTCGGACCCAAGATATGACCTTTCAAAGCCTCCCCCCACTCAAAAGAATGCGCGCGCGGTGTCCTATTGCGATCCGGCGGCCGTCGAAGCAACGGCAGCGAGGAGCAGTGGAAAGGCGGCGGACTGGGGAGCACGAGGTCATAGGTTCGGCGCCCACTCTGTGCAAACTTTTTTTGCAGTTTTTTCTCTTTTCTATGATTTTGTGTAAGTGCTCCTTTTGTGAGTTTTGAGGCGTATAAACATGAAAATTCTTCGTTCTTAGCCTATTCGAACATCTAGAATTATTTTCTTCGAAAATTTTTTCATCGAATTTTTCGAGATTTTTCATGTGTATGAGCATGGGCTGGAGGGAGAAAAATTTTTCAGAAAAAAATTTTTTTGTTTTTCATTTTTTTCAGTTTCTAAAAAGATTTATAAGTTTAAATAGTCATAATTACGCCGACATATCCCACAGAAAAAAATTTTTTTCCTCGCTTTTTTTAGAGCTCACCGTTCAACTACGGCTTCATGAGAAAAAAAAATAAATCCGCATTTTTTCAACTTTTTGCTGAAAATTTCAAAGGAATCTCTTCTGATTGATATATAACACAATTGGGACCGAAATCCCCAAAATAATTCGTTCTAATGGAATTTGTGAAAGTTCACAGTCCAGACAGACTTTTTCGAGAGAAACTTTCGAAGAAAGAAGAGAAACTTTTATTCAACATTTTTTCTACTTCGGAAAAATCGCGCAAAAAAAATTTTTTCAGGCATAAGGTGATGATCATAGGTTAAATCACTGCAACTCTCAAAGAAGTTTTTGGAAGAGAAAAACTTCTGTGGTGTTTTATCGGTGTATCAATGTCTAATTGGACTAAAAACACTTTTAAAAAAAGTTTAAAAAAAAAAAGAACCAAAAAAATTTTTTTGAAAATTTTCCTCACTTGAGCCTATGCTCATGTACATGGAGAATAACGAAAAATTCTATGAAAAACTTTTTGAGAAAAAAAAGTCCAGGTGTTTGAATAGGTTCAAAACGGAGAACTTTCACAATGTTACGCTTCAAAACTCGAAAAAGAGCACTTACGCAAAAATTTTCCGAAACTTCCATCAGTCGTAGTTGAACGGTGAGCTCTAAAAAAAGTGAGGAAAAAAATTTTTTCTGTGGGATATGTCGGCGTATCTATGACTATTTAAACTTATAAATCTTTTAGAAACTGAAAAAAATGAAAAACAAAAAAATTTTTTTCTGAAAATTTTTCTCCCTCCAGCCCATGCTCATACACATGAAAAAAATCTCGAAAAAAATTCGATGAAAAAAATTTTTCGACGAAAAATAATTCTAGATGTTCGAATAGGCTAAAAAAACGAAGAATTTTTCATGTTTATACGCCTCAAAAACTCACAAAAGGAGCACTTACACAAAATCATAGAAAAGAGAAAAAAACTGCAAAAAAAAGTTTGCACAGAGTGGGCGCCGAACCTATGACCTCGTGCTCCCCAGTCCGCCGCCTTTCCACTGCTCCTCGCTGCCGTTGCTTCGACGGCCGCCGGATCGCAATAGGAGACCGCGCGCGCATTCTTTTGAGTGGGGGGAGGCTTTGAAAGGTCATATCTTGGGTCCGAAATTTTTTTGAAAAAAAATTGATAGTTTTTCGTGACCAGAGGGGCAAGATCTATAGACCCTTCAAAAATGAGCTCAATCGGAAACACTGAAATTTTCGACTTTTGAGGGTCCATAACTTTTTTCACAGATCTCCTCGGCAGTTTTTGAGACCAGATTTGAGCTCACCGTGAAAAACTACATCTAGAAAACTTGGTCTCATTCGGGGGTCCCACTGCGACCGGAGACCATTCCCTGGTTAGTTGATTTTTCGACTTCACTTCTATTATCATGAACCAGAGGCCATCATGATTTTAACATAAACCTTCCGTCAATCTTTGCTCCTCCGAGTGACCGGATCCCGGTGAGATGAGATGAGTGACAACGCTGTGGACATTTGTTCTACGCCACTACGACCTCAGAAATCACATTTCTTTGAAGAACTTTTAGTGACTGGAAAAGCTCGACAGGGACCCCCGGGGAGAGAAAACTAAAAAACATTTTCAGAGAAAATTGAAAATTAGTGTTTAGTTGGAAATATTGAAATAAAAATGCTATCTGGGAAACATTTTCAGGGGCCACTGTAGGGTTTTGACGTTTTACTGGCCACTATAGTAGTCAAATTAGTGGCCACTTAAGGGGTTAAAAATTAGTGGCCATTATAGAAGTCTAAGTGCTACTACTAGACCACTAAAATTTTTAGTGGCCACTTTAGGGGTCAATGGATCAACATAACTGGTCCAATCTGTTTGTTTTGAAATTATCAGAGTTAATGGAAGGAGTACTGGATGAAAAACTACTGAAGTGGGCACTAAAACGGAAAATAGTGTCCACTATAGAGGTGGGTTTAGTGGTCACTTTAGTGTCCTCTCCAAGTAGTCTTTGGCGACCCTCTTTAGTGGCCACTTAAAATTTTCCCAGTAGTTCAATTTTGTTTTCTTTTAGACCAGTTTAGAAAACTTATGTAATTTGAAACAATCATATCAGTTTTTTTTTAATTCTCGTAGTTTTCTATACGTTTTTCCTCCCTCTAGAAGCCATTCAAATCCAAAAAATCATCCCTTGAAGCCAACTTTTCGGCGTTTTATTACATTGAGTCGGCTCCAACACACGTGCACGCAAAAAAACCACAAATATTGCACTTGAAAACATTGGAATGCAGCTGTCTTTCCAAAGTTTCCCAAGAAAAATTCGAAGAAAATGACGATTTCTGCGCCGCCAAAGTCGTTAAGCTTCCCTTTTCATTCGGTTTTGTTGGTGTGAAGAAGAAGAAAAACAACGCTTTTTTCATTTCCATTCCGTTTTTTTACACTCCTCCTCCTCCTCCTCTATATGAAACTCGACCGTGCGAAAGATGAGCTCGTGAAATATTCAATCCGATCCTCCGCGAGCTCTGTTTTGTTATATATATTTTTTCGAATTTTGTGAAAGCTGCCCACTTTTTGAGCTGCATTTTCAAAGTTTTGTTCTGTTTGATTAAAACTTGAAACTCCATTTTTTTGATCTCTGAAAAGACCGCATTCGGAATGGCTTTATCGGTTTGAAAAATTTTTTGTTTTTCAGTTTTTTTTTAAAAGGACGTCTTTTTCTTATTTTTAAGTCTCCTGGTACCTATTTTCAAGCTGAATTTCCAAAATTCGTTCTTTTTCATTAAAAAAAAAATTTTCGGGTTTTCGAACTCTATTTTTCGATTCCTGAAAAGACCGCATTTGGAATGGCTCCATCAGTTAGGAAAAGCTCGACTTTTCCGTTACTTTTTGAAAAATTGACTTCTCTTTTTATTTTTATCAAATCTATTTTTGAGCTGAATTTTTGGATAATAATCCCATTCGCAGCTTTTTAACTCGATTTTTGGTTCTATTTGAGTAAAAATAAAAAATAACTGCTTTTTTGATTGTTTTTTGACTTTTTTTTTGTTGTCAAAAGACCGCATTTAGAAGGGCTTTTTTTCTGTACCTTGAATGAGTGGCTCTGGAACTGTACATAGTAAAAAAAGAGCGGTTTTATTTCAACGTTTTTTTAAAACAAGAAAAAAAATTTATAGCAAACTTATTTTTTTCTCAAACTTTGAGCATTATAGATCTACTTCTTAAAAAAATTAGCAGTGTGTGTGAACTATTTGCATTTTAAAAATAAATTATCATAATCAAAAAAACCCTCCTAAACCATATTAAAAAGGGCGAAAAACCGAACTTTATAAAAGTTCGTTTTTCGCGACTTGAAAAGGCGAGACTTCTCTGCGCATTCCTTATCTCTCGACGTCTTTCTCATGTTCACGTGCTATTTCCATGTTCCTCTGACCTCGCCGGTGAGGAAACAGAGAGACGCAGACTTGCCAAAACTGTCAAGTCGCGGCGGACGGACTATAACAAAACCCACGAAAATTTAAGTTATAGAGAGCTTTATTTTTGTGAAATTCAAACATTGCAGCAAGAAAAATATCCTCCTTCGAAAACTACCCTAGAACTTTTTGGTACATAAGTCAGGTTCCATGAAAATCGGTCACAAAATCTTAGTGTCTGAAGGTCTTTTTCGTTTTGCTCTTAGTTTTATTTCTAGTTGGAAAACTAGATTTTGTACCTTCGCCTTTTCAGAAATCATGTTTCAAAATATATTCATATAATCATGAACTTCTCCAGTTCGACCGCGCCCTACATCGAACCTACTCCCAACCGCCCCAATTTTTCCGCAACCCGTTGGCCGATCGACTTTTCAACCGTTTTTATTGGATCATCCGAGCCGTTCAGTACAGGATTTTTCTACAAGAATGAAGGTAGAAAGAACAAATTTTTGGAAGAAAAATTTATTTTTTTCCCTTTAGAAATGGACATTGACGATGGATCGGACCGATGGGAGGTAGGAGTTCAGCCGCCGCCTTTGAAGCAACTCGCCAGTAGAACTCATTTTAGTCCCAGATGGATCAAATATATGTATGCCAAGTTTAAAAATGTGAGTTTCCTTTTAAAAATGAACGATTTTTGTTATGAGAAAGCGAAAGTGAGAGACCAATGCAACCTGAAGAGACGTCAGAGAAATCAGAGTTTCTCTCTTTCTCTGGCGTCTCTTCAGGCTATTATGATCTCTCTTTCTTCGTTTTGGAAAGTTTATGTTCATTGAAGACAAATCAGTGAACAATTCAAGGTGTAGAGCTGAAAAATCAGCGGTAGGAGGGATCACCAAAATTGAGAGACGTCAGAGAGGTCAAAGTTTCTCTCTTTCTCTGGCGTCTCTTCGAGCAGCTTTAATCTCTCGCTTCTCGATTTAGAGACTTTACATTCATTGAAGTCGAACCAGGGAGGAAATTAGAACGTAGAAAAAATAGCGGTAGCAGAGATCACCATAATTAAGAGGAGCCAGAGAAGTCAAAGTTTCTTTCTTTATCTGGCGCATCCTAAAAGGCACTGATCTCTCGCTTCTTGTTGGATCAACTTGCGAGGTTTCTTCATCCATAGGAATGCCCAACGGGAAGGATGCGAGAAGCCGAATTCCGGAAGCTTCTCGCCTCGATAATCGCCGCAGAAAAAGCGACCGATCAGTATATTTCCCGACTTTTCCTTGCCTTTTCCGGTGATGATCGGCAATCGATAACTTTTGAGGTTAGGAACTCAATAAATACTTTTGTAAATTTTTAAATGTTTAGAACTTGGTCGAATGTTTGGCGCATCTGAATCCGCAGACGGCCGAGGCCAACGCAAGGTGGACGATGAGGATAATTACCGGAGGAAATGAGGAATCTTTTGGTTTTCCGGTTGGTTTTTTTTGGATCACTGCTTGTCACACTGCTACTAAAAAAAGGAAGATTTCAATTCTTTGGAATCCAACTAGAAATTAACCAATTCCAGGCTTTCCTCGCGTTCACCGAGTCAGTTTTTGCCCTGAACGAAGGAAAAACAACAGACTCCGAGATGAACCTCGAATCGGTCCAACAAAGAGCCGCCACCGTTTTTTCAGTAATTTTTAAAATTTATTTTCGAAAAAATTTATGAAAATTTGACCAGGAACTCGACTCGGACCACGATGGTTTGGTCACCTCCGATGATATGATCCGATTTTTCAAGGTATTTCAGAAAATATCATCCAGAATAAAATGCATTTTGCAGACCTGCCATCAAGAGAATTTGGTCTTTGGCGACACCTCTTCCGAAAAATCAATACCAAATTTATGAAATACCTGGTGGTTCAAAAGCACTTCAAACGGACGGATACATGAAGAAAAAGTACAATAAAATCTCTCGATTTTGATGAAAAACATAGAAATTTGCAATCTATTCGGGGAGAAAGTGGGGAAAAGCTCGAAATCCGCTCCAGTGGACTTTTTTTGCAATCGAAAAATCAGTGCTAAAAACAGCTTTTTTTGAAAAATCCATTTAAAATGGCTCATTTCTAGAATAAAAGCGTGCTTGAAGGTCTTTTAGCCATTAGGCGCAAAAAAATAGGTTTTTATTTTTGGCTATTTTTGCAAATTCAAGTTCGCTCTACCGCTAAAAATTGCTGTTTTAGACTATACGCTTAAGAGGTCACTAAAAAGGCCACTTTGGCCTTCGAAACCCTCTAAAAATTATTTCATATCAGCATGGTTAGATGAGGATGAAAAAAAAGAAAGTGCACTCCATGGATGGATATAAAAAAAGCTTCTGAAAAACTGTTTTTAGAGGTTAAATTTTGAGGTGTTGAATATCTGAAGAACTTCGGACATTGGTAACGCGAAACGGACGAGCTCCGGACGTTTCTGGGCGATTCTAGGGATCACTTAAGAATGCTGAGGCTACTAAAGTAGTCACTAAAAATGCCCCGACATGTTCGATTCGCGTCCCTTCCCCGTTACCAAGGTCCGAGGCTCTAAAACTTTTTTTTTCCAATTCTCTATAGAGCGAGCTTTCTCTAAAAGTTCTACAGCTATCCTTTAATGCCAAAATGATGAATTTGGATACTGAAAAGGTACGCATAAATATATCTCGATTTTTCTTAGAGGTTAATTTTGGCCCCTTCTACCTCATAATTTGGTTTCCTAAAGAATAATCCAGTGCTATACTTATGCGCACTTGTAAAAAAGTATAAAAAGGCACATAAAATCTCGATAATCACAGAGAAAAAAAAACGATTGAAAGTCCAGGATAAAGCTCATAAAGTCATGGAATCCAAAGTTTTGAGCAATCGATGAAGAGAATGACATCTATTGAGAAGGTGGTAATGATATGAGGACATGATTAATTATATAAATGTTTCGGTGATTTATGGGGAAGGACAAGCTTGGGCCGATCTGAAAAGCCCGAAAACGTTGACCAGCGGGAACATCACTGCTGAGCCGATGAATGAGCCGATCTGGATTTGAGAATTTAAAAAAAACTTGCTTCTTCGTTTTTGGAAAAAGTTTCCTGACTTTATTTTCAATGAAGTTTTCCATAGTCAATCCTTAGCGACTTGAAAGCCGAGACGGGTATATAGTTGATCCAAGCCTGGTTTAAGCAAAAAAAAAAAAGGGTCCTGACACGATAATGAGAGATAGTGACTGGCTGGTGGAGAGCGCAGACAGGCCACGCCCCTTAACGCTAGCCGTGAATCGGTTATAGCCCATTCTGCACCATATTGTCACGTTTTTTTTCGGCCGAAAAATACCGTATACAAATTAGGTCAAAATTAATTATCTTCGCTTCAAGACCTTCGCTTTTCGCAGTCTTTTTTTGAAGTAGATTGGCGAGGATGAAGCATTGCATGTGCGACGCGGCTTTTGGCGAGGGTTTCAAGGTCGAAGACGAGCCACCTTTTTTTCTCCTTTTTTGACAATTTCTTTCAAGCTGCTATTTTTTATAGGTACAATTGAACGAATAAGAGATTAAAAAAATGAAAAACTTTTTTTTTCTACATTTTTGATGCTTGCATTTGACCTCAGAACTCCCGCCAAAAGCCGCGTCGCTCACGCAACGCTTCTCCCTCGCCTCGCCTTTCAATTGGGGGAAAAAATGACTATAATTTCACAGCTGCGATTTATGTTAACAGATTTATAGTAAGAAAAGAACAAGCCATCAAATTTCTTTTTAATGAAAAGTTTGGAAATTCGTAGATCTGATCTGATCTTTTCAAAAGCTTACTTTGATTTGCATCAAAAATCAATAAATAGAACCTTAGCAAAAACTTTTTGGAACATTTTGATTCGAAATCAATCAAAAAATTGGAACTATTGCTTTTTAGTACAGTTGTAAAGCCTAAAAAACACCAAAACCCCTGTTTTTTTCATTAAAATTGTTGAAATTTCTACTTTGAACATGAAACTCGAGCCTTTTTATTTATTGCATCTGCATAAATTCATCAAATTTTCATGTTGCACTTCCAGCAAAATTGGATCAAATGGAAATTGTTGGGTTTAACTAAATTGTCTGAAACTTATTCCTAACAAGTTTTTCTTTCCGTACTTTTTTTTTTGTTGTTAAATTTAGTTTTTTTTTTCTTCACTTCTTTTTTCCGATAAATACCAACCTGAATGAAAACTCCACACCAGAACAAGCGCGATTCGCTCTGGTTGCCTTCCCTTAGAAGGGAGGCAAAAACGACCCGAAGGTAGGAATGAAGGCCGGCCGCCACTACCGCACTGGTTATCTTGAAGAAAAGAAATTATCAATTATTTTAGTTTTTTTACTATCAAAAAAATAATCGAGTTTTTTTGGCGGCTTTACATACACTTTCACAGACGGAGTCCAAAAGGTCTCAAAAAATATTTTCGGAAAAAAGCCTTTAAAAGGCCTTAAAGGCGCCTTTTTTCTACCAATTTCTGAAAAGGACTTTTCAAGGAGGCGTGAAAGAAGGTTTAAAAAAAGAGATTCCATAGAAACTTTTGACACCTTTTTAAGGACTCAAAAAGGAGCTTTCGACTCTTCTTTTTAAGGTCGTTTGGACTTTTTCTGCGTGGTTAAACTTTTTAAGGAAAACTTAACTAGATCCTTATTTCAAGCTTCACATGGCTGAACCATTTTTTTTCTATTTATTCTTTCAATCTTTGATAAAAAAATCCGATTTTTTTGGATACTTATTTTCGAAAAAAATGCTAAATATAAGTTTCAAAAAAAGTTCACCGACTTTTGATACAAAAAAAGATCTATAAAACTATAACGATCTTGAGAAACGTCAAAATCCAATAATCGCTTGGAATTTCCCTTATGGAAGCTTTTTCAAAGAGATTTGTTCTTTAAAAACTTAAAATAGGCATTCAAAAAAAGACCAAAAAAACTTTCTTGATTTTTTTGCGATTTTTCTAGGAAATTTTTTTCCGATTTTTTTCTAGGATATCATTCTTTCAATCATGAAAATTAGAAAAAAATAGAATAGAATTTAAAAAACTCTCAAGTCAAGCCTTTGAAAAAAAAACCCACCGACAAAACGCTGCCCCATCCTTGAGAATTGAATATCAAATTCGGCGAAAGGGCGGCCAAATAAATAATGAATGAAGTGACAAGGGATGAAGTCGCCGTCATTGTCCCCAAAATTGGTAAACTTCTGAAAATTGTTATGTCTTGTGGAATCAAAATCAAAGAAAAAACCTGATGCTCAGGAAAAAGGGAGCAAATGAAGCTAGTGGCGAAACGACGTTGGAAAATGTGATCCCATAGTGATAAGTGTCCTGGAATGGAAGAATATTATCAATATATTTTGATTTTGTGAAAACAAAAATTGATAATCAAATTCTTTTTTCTAATTCAACTTTTGGTATGAAAAAGGAATAACAAAAGTTGAAAACAAGGGATAAAAATTCGAATATTATTGAAAAAAATGAATTTAAAACTTGCTAGACATCTGAAAACAGGGGAAAAAAAGGCAAAGCCTTTTTTTCATTTCAGAAAATCTGGAACTATTTTAAATTAAATTCGATCAAAAGGTGAGATGATTCAATTCAAAAAAATTCCGGTTCTAAAAAAACGAAAAAAAGTGTTTAATTTGATAATAAGGAGAAGAAAAGCCAAATATGATAACCAGGACGATTTTATGCCCGAAAAAGGCGCATGGAACAAGAAAAAAATTGAAAAAAAAAACAGTAAAATGAACGTTCTCAATCTAGAAACTTGAATTTCACTTTACATATTTCGTCTTCATATTTTTTTACCTGTGAATAAGGTAACGCCGCGTAGCTCTGAATACTCGGAATGATCCCATTCATTTGCGCGTTGACCAACGCCGTCAGAAACAGCAAAAAGACGTATTCGAACCCGGTGATCATCGAACTTTCGACCGTTTTCGACTGCAAAAACGACTATTTCTCAGTTGAAAGTCGAAATTTTCGTGTTGAAACCTCCTCGGCGTTCGTCGTGATTGTATCGACAGCCGGGGAGCCGGTTTCGTTCAACTCCGGGGATGAACAAGGAGAAGAACGGTTGGAATTCGAGCTGAGATTCTCGTTCAACGGCGTTCCTTCATGGACTTTTTTCGAGTGTCTGAAGACGGTAATTTGAGGAAAAATGGGAATTTTGAACGGAAGAAGATATGTTAATTGTCCGAAATTCATCTTACAAGACAAGGAGAACTATATATATTCTATAGAAGTTATACTCTGGCAAATCCTGGGAAGGTGTTGGGAAGGTAACCAACAGGGAGTTGGAAGGTGTATGGAAGCTGAAAAGCCTTGAAAGGTGTTCGGAAGGTACTTGGAAGGTGAAATTAGAAAATGCCTGCCAGAAGCCTGCTGGAAAGCTTCTGGAAGACTTTTAGCAGACTTTTTTTCTGAGTAGAAGGTGTTGGGAAGCTATATGGAAGGCGATCGACCACTTGCTGGAAAGCTTCCAAACGCCTTCCGAAGAACCGGAAGCAGAAGCTTCCTAACTTTTGCCTTCCTTTTTTGGAACCTTTTATTTTTCTGGGATTTCAAAGGCTCGAGAAAAGAAAGAGGCGGCAAAATGGGGCAGACCAGCTTATGAAATGGCGCAAAAAGGCAGCAAAAAGGATAATTTCTACGGACCCTTTTTCCAGCCTTTCCGACTTTGTCTATATATAAAACTAATATGAAAAACACCTCATTTCCAACATTTTTTGTCTCCTAAAAGAATTTCCAAGAAAAACGCCTCGAAATTTTTTTTTTCAATCTCTTTCTGAAAATTGGCACCCACTCATGAGTATGAGCCCCGGAGATGTAGAGAGCTCCGAAGGACGCCGTCGCCAAACAGGTCCACAGGAAAATGACCAGGAAGAAGATCGAAACAGAAAATCGTGGCGGGAAATAGTGAGGAATCGAGCCGATACACTCGTAATTCGAAGTTCCTGGACGAATTTGGGATTTTCACGGTTTTTCTGATGATAAAGTTTGTTAAATTCTTCATTTTCTCAGGTTTCAAGCCGTAATTCGCCCCAAAAAGGGAGAAAAATTCTAAAAATTTTGATTTTTAACTCATGGAAAATTGCTTTGGGTAATTATTTTTGGGATAGAACGAAAAGTTATGATTTTTTTCAAAAAAACAGTAGAGAAATTAAATTGTCCTCAACTTTCGAATTTCGAGCCGAAAAACAGCCTTCCGTATTTAAAAAAATCATTTTTCTTCTAGAATCTGCATAAAAATTGATAAAAAAAGGAGCCTAAAATATTTTTTTAAGTGAAACTTTTTCTGTATCTTCAAATCTTCAGTACTTCATCCAGGAAATTCCAAAAAGAAATTCTTTTTTTAGTAAAATAATTTTTTTAAATATTTCCGAAACCTTGGATCAACGACAGGACGCTGGGGATCAGGGCACTGAGGCCCATTCCATGGAAGTAGGCATTGAGATAGGCCGGATGGAACTGGGCCATGAAGGGCAGAAACAAGACGCTGGACATGGCGTTGACGATGGCGAGGCCGAAGAGGAGAAGGTACAGGGGAAGGGACCTTTCCGTCCCGAAAACCACCGCCGTGTTCTGCCAGAGGAACACCAGGCCTGAACTGCAGATTACAGAGATATATCTTAATTTCGGCTAGCTGTCTGCGCTCTCCACTAACCAGGAACTATCTCGTTTATTATCGTGTCAGGACCCTTTTTTAGATGGCTCAAGTCAGTCGTGAATCAGCTTTTCCTATAATCCATCAAGAAGTCTAGAAATTTTCAATACGTTTCTGAAAAAAACTAGGGATCACTTAAGGGCACTGACGCTACTAAAGTGGTCCCTAGAACTGCCCCAACATGTTCTTTTCGCGTTACCAATATCCAATTTTTTTCAGGAGTCTTTTAAGATGATTTATTAGCATCTTCAGAAAAGTTACCCAATTGACAAGCGCAAGCAAGCAACAAGAAGGCGACGATCAGAGGCGGCGTGGGCAGGGTGAACGACTTGACACCCTTGTGCAGCACCGTGTAAATTAGTGGGGCAATGCAAGCTATCTAAACCTTCTACTTGACTATATGACGTTAGTTATAGCACTACTCAATGGAAAGGTTAGTTTTAAACAAAATAAATTGCGAAAAAAAAATTTTTTTTTTATTCAGTTTTTTTCCTGAAAACTCTTGTTAACTTACGCTAACGCCAAAATTGAACAATATTAAAAATTATAAAAAACCGTCACCTGCACAACAGCCGCCAAATAACTGGGCAAATTCCAATGTTCTGGCAATTCTGCTGTTAATAATGGCAACTGCATCCAAACGGAATTCGTTCCCATCCAGGAACTCGATCCAAATATCGCTACTAATAAAAATGTCTTTATAGATACTTCTGTCATCTGAAAACAAATTTTATGAAGGAAAATTTGGAAAATGATGAAAACGGACGGAACTTATCGAGGCACAGAACAGAGAGCACAAAAAACTGTGCCTGAAACCGGTCACCTAACAGGATCACTTATTTCAGCAAAACTTTATCTTATCAATATTTGAGAAAACGTTCAGAGAAATGAAAGATACGAAGAAAAAAATTTTGCTTTTGCAAAACCTTGTTCGTAAATAGGATAGCGGTAAGTGCGCTCCATTGGAATTTTTGAAAATTTTATTTATTTTTCTTATTTATTTTTCTTGGAAGTTTTAAACGCTCTCATCACATATAATACAATTAAATGGTCACTAAAGGGTCATTGATAGAATATTGAGGGATGAAAAACTCGATCACATGATGTTTAGCTAATCTATCCTTGAAATGTTTTTTTCCTCGTTTAATTTTCTTTTCCATCTATAAATTTTCTTTCCTAGTTTTTCAGTAGCCCATTTTTTACAAATTTTTTTTGTAAAATATCCACGATTACAATGTGAAAGCAGCAAGTGAACAATTAAAAAAATTCATTTTTAGACTGAAATAGCTTTTTCGAAAAAGTATCATTAGAAGTTGAGTAATTTTTACTGACGCTTCGTAACTAGCACTGATTAAGTACGGAGCCAACTGTTAAATGAAAAAAAAAAATGAAGAAAAAAAAATTTTTAAATAAAAATCGTGCGTAATACAGTGCGTTTTGGACGAGCCCCACAGTGCACAACCTGAAAGTATAGTACTGAAAAAAAAACAAGATTTTTCGAGTCATCATTTTCGATTGCCAAATTTTATCGAGGTACGTTTTTATCGTAATGCGCTTAAAAACTCTTAGGAACACCGTCGAATGTATATTTCTCTGTACTGGAAAAAAAGAGCACTATGAACTTTTTTGTCTTCTGTATTTGCTGTTTTGAACTTGCTTCTCAAAAACTCTTCGATATACTTTTATTTCTCTGTTGTAGTAGGTGGTAATCAACTACGAAATTTCGAAATAACACTTAGCGATGACAAGGGAGAGAGTCTGCAAACGTTGAACAAAAAAAAAAACGAAGATTGATATTGAGGAGAGCGACACAATCTGTCAACAACTTTGCCTTCGCTCCCCGTTCAACTGTTTTCAACTGCAATCTTAGTACTGAGAGATGTTGTGGCAGGTTGTCGGCCTCGTTGTCGTGGCAATCGCTGTTAATTTCTACGTGAATACCTTGTAAGTCCTGGGCTTTTTGGGCTTTTTTTTTATTTTTCTTTTGTTTTATTCCTTGCTGTATTTTAAAAAGACATGCCGTTTGCAAAAAAATTATTATATCAAACTCTAATGTCGCTTTTCGAGTAATTTCAGACAATATTTCTTTTTTTATGATGTTTCTCGTTCGTTACAGGATTTTTAACGGGATAAACAAGACTTGTTTCAGAAGGGAAAAAATATTTTTAAAAATGTTTTGGAGCAATTGTGTGGTGCTATTTTTTCTCCGTATTTCAATTGAACAGACCATTGAAAATTTGAAAACGTTGCAGATTTTTTCTCGATTATAACAAACGGGTTTTCAACCATCGGCCGGGTCCCTGTCGCAGAATCGAAGGAATCGGTTTCATTTCTCATTTTTCGACAAGAAAAATATCTGTTTTCAGAAAATGGGTCCGAAGACATTGAATTCGTGGAGAGCAAGAAATTGGCTTTCATCACATCTGGACTCGTCTATTTCCCAAATCCGCATGCAAAATATGACGGAAAAATCTTTTTGTACGATTTCAAGCAAGGAGACGGGAAATATCAAGCGAAAGATTTGAAATTTGTCGGAATGGAGAATGAGGTTTCTGAAAAATTGACTTCTTTTTGAAGATGGAAAAATTCAGGATTTCCACCCGCACGGACTTTCTCACTTCATCCTGAAAGACGGGACCATCCGGCTTTTCGTAACTTCTCACTCAAAACAGTTCAAACATTCCGTGTACCTGTTCGACTTTGATGAGAGCAAACAACAGCTCAAACTCGTGCAGATTATTAGAGATGAGAAGTTTGTGAGGTGAGGGAAAATCAGTAAAAAAGTATTTCTTCGACTTGAAATTTGTGTATTTTTTTATTCAATCACGTGAGATCTTTTTTCATCATTTTTCAAAAGGGTCACTTAAGGGAAAAATTACTTGGTTTTTCTTCAAGATATTTCAAATTTAAAGGATCATCGTCGAGAAAGTGTATGTCATTTTCGAAGAATTTTAGAATTATCTCTGACCCTCCAAAAATTCAGTTGTCTTTTTTTCACTCTCTGACAGCTGTTCGTTATGAACAATTTCGAGTATTTTTAGCAAGTTTTTTTCCGTGATTTTTTTGAAAAAAATTCGTTTATTCCTCTTTTAAAAAAACAAATAGAAAGGATATAAAAAAAAATTATTTTTTTTAAAAATAAGATTTCAGACCCAATGACATTGCGGCTTTTCGGGGAAGAATCGTTCCTTCTCAGTAACGATGGATGTGGCCAAAATCGCATCTGGAATGTTCTCGAGATCCTTTTCAGTTATCAGTGCGGAAGCGTTGTCAAGTACGACGGAAAGGTTCTTGGATTTATTTTCAAAGAAAAAGACGCAGTTTAAGTTTCAAAATATAGGCTTTTTAAAGGTTTTTTGCTTCTATGTATGGTTATCTCTGAGAAAGGGAAAAGCATTAAGATACTTCAAAACTATTAAAAACCTTCCAGTTTCAGAAAAAGGCTTCTATGAACTTTTGAATAAGCTCCCAAGTTTTTCAAAAAACCATTTTTTTCAGAAAGTCGAAGTCGTCGCAGCGCCAGAAGCGTCAAACGGCATAATTTTCTCCCGAGACTTTAAAAAATTCTTCGTTTCTCATATCAATCACAGAACTGTCGCTATTTATGATTGGGATCAGGTTAATTATCATTATGAGTTTTGAAAACTCATTTTTTTCAGAAAAAGAAAACACTTATCCTTCAAACCAAGGTTCCATTGTTGACAGCTATCGACAACTTTTATATCGACAAAAATAATGTTCTTTGGATTGTAAGATCCCAGCAAAATGCAGTATAGATGAATAAGTGGCTACTTTAGGGATCCCATCCGATTCTCAAAGACGCCGTCGCTCATTTGGACGCACCTGATGACTTGAAGTTCAAAGCTCCCTCGCAGGTTTGATTTTTAAAAAAGTCTCGATTTTTCGCCTTTTTATTTCGAAATCGTTAAGCTTCTCTAAAAAGGAAGTGATACTTAAATATAAATTTATAAAAAGGTTGGTTTGACGATAGCTCGGGCAATTTTTAAAAATAGGGGTCTTAAAACCATTAGCGAGAGAGTAGGTTAAAAGAAGAGGTTCAGACTTTATCGTTTGGAAGTTTTTTTTCAATGAAGAAGTGTACAAAAAAAATTTTCTCCTATCGCGTTCGAATCTGTCTTTCGTGCCAAAAATGCGACCGTAGACTACTTAGAAACTACAGAATGGTCCCTCTAGGGGCAACCTTAGGGTCCCCTTTAGGGATCACTTTGCCAGCCTCATAGAGGCCACTAAAGCTTGCAAAAGGGGTCACTATTGGGGACATGCTAGTCGATAATTTTTATGAACTTTAGACGAAGAAGCATTTCCATGAGAAAAACTGACTAAATAAGCTTTTTTGAATGAAGTTGAGACACTCCTATAGGGACCACTTTTTCGGCCCCTATGGGGTTTTCTCCTCCCCCCTAATCCCTATAGGGACTACTCTGGAATTCCTAAGTACGGGACACATTTCTTCATAAAATGGACTATCAGATAGCACTACGCGCAAGTAGTTTCTAGTCGGGTGCTGAAACGGCGTTGATGATCTTTTCATAACCATTGTTGAGCTGTTTTCAAACACTAGGAATCAGAGAACATAGTCTGTGGGCCACGACTAGAATTTCCACGGAACGACATTCCGCCGTTCCGCTGCGTGCGTTCTCGAAGCGTCTTTCGAATCTAGGTCACGCTTTCAATTGATTGTTATTGCTGTGAGAGCACGTTAAAGTAGAAAAAAAAATCAAAAGCGCGACCAAGGTTTGCAAAGGCGCGCAGCGGCACAGCGGAATGTCGTTTGCTGAAAGTCGTGGTTATAAAGAATCTAAACCACTGGGAAAAAGAGAATAAACAATCTCCACTAATCTTTTTTCCCGCAGGTTCTCCGCATCCAATTCTCCTCTGACTTCAAATCTCACGACATCACGGAAGTCTTTGTCGACGACGGGAACTTCATCGCCGCCAGTTCGGTCGCCGTCGAACATAACAACCAACTCCTCATCGGAAGCGTCGGACGACAACTTGTCCATTGCGATATCGCGCATCCGGCTGTCGCTAACAGCAAATTGTGATTCTCCCTGTATATTTGTCCATTTTGGTTGTGAAAAATTGCATTTCTCATGTTCAAATGTAGGTAAAATTTCCCGGTTTTTTTTCTGTAAAATTGCGAGTTTTCAATGATTGATTGATTAATGGCAGCTAGTTTCATGATAAATTTTTTATCTGAACCTTATTTTCATTTAACATTGTTGATTCTCCGCTGGGTAGAGATTTTTAGGGATTTTCATGATAAAAATAGATCTTTTAAACATCCCAACAAGGGAGTTCGGAAGGACTTTACCAGAAATTGTCTTCATTTTTCTCTCCCCGAGACGTTTTTCAATGGAAATCGCTCGAAACTCTCAACACTGATCAAAGTAGAACGTAGTTCTCAATTCTAGACGTGTTATCAATGTACCAAGGAGCTGTGTTTTCGTGCCTGCAAGACGGACATGGAAATAGATAACGAAGTTTGATTGTTCCTTTTCCTTATCAGTTTGTTTGGGATGTTTGGTTCTACTCATTCGTGTCTTGGAAGGGCACCGAAGAGACCTGTCTGAACTTTTCAATTCAAAGTAAAGTTTATCCAAGAAAAGTATCAAAATCGAGATTTCAAAGCGGCTCTTGCTGAAATTCTTGTTTTTTAGGAGCTCTGTTCTCCGATCTTAATTTTTTTCTTAAATCGGTATATTTTTTGCTTATTTGAGGTATAATCTTTTCCAAGGTGTTTATATGCGAAACATTAAACAGATACTTACAATGACACTGAAAACGGCTTTTCGCTTCGAGACCATCTAGCGATATTTGCCTATGCTCCTTTAAAACTCGAAGGCGGGTATAGCTGATTCACGGCTGGCTTTAGCCATCGAAAAAATAAGCTTGACACGATAACTCACGAGATAGCGCCTGGCTCGTGGAGAGCGCAGACAGGCCACGCCCCCTTAGCGTCCCAAGCTAGCCGTGAATCGGCTATATCAAAGCACCCAAACCCCAAATTTATTCATGAATGATAAAAAATCACAGTTCGAACTCGAAAAAATATTCTTAAACATTGAAACTAAAAATTTCTGAACTCAAATGGAGTGGCCACTCTAGTAGCCCGTCAGTAATCACTCATTTAATATAGTCTTGAAATTCCACCGAACAACATTCCGCTGTTCCGCTGCGTGCGAGTACCTCAATAAAAGAAAAAAAAAATTAAAAGCGCGACCAAGGTTCGCAATGGCTCGCAGCGGCACACCGGAATGTTGTTCGGTGAAATTTCAAGTCGTGGTACACAGGCTATACCTGGAATAATTAAAAAAAAACCAGCCAACCAGTAAAAAAAAATACTAACTTGAATTTTTTGGTTCTTATTGTCTGTAAACAGATAACCCTTTTTAAAAGGGCTCTGGCCCTGTTTTAATCAAAAAAAAAAACTTATCAAAAGTCCGCCAATCAACATCAAATGATGTAAGCCAAGTAAAACGTGTTATTGAGGGTTGTATAAACGTCGTTTCCAATGCCCCTAATCAAAAAGCCGGACCTTTATCGAGTGCATTTGCTGCTTGTCGATACGGTGAGCAAAAGAAGCTATAAAATGGGAACATCGACGGCAAAACTTTTGCTTTATCGCCATGCTTCGTTACGTTATCGCTATCGCCATCTTTGCTCTCGGCGGTGAGGAAAATTTCCTTTTTTCCAGCTTTTTTCATTCAGAAAAAACTTTAGTTCAATCATAGTTTTTGATCAGGTATTTAAGGGCATAGAAAAACTTTAAAAACTTATTTTATATGTCTGATTTGAACAGAAAATGACCGGTTGTAAAATTAAAAATGCGGTTCACAAGGGTATACTTCTTTCATGAATATTTTAATTTTTTTGTGCTTAAATGCAGAAAAAAACGGTTTTTCTGAGGGTACTGTTAACCTGAAGCTTCCATAACTTTTTTTATATTTCATTCCATCAAAAACTTTTTCCAGTTTCCGCCCAGCAGACCCGCCCGCCGCCCCACAACTGCACTGCGGCGGAAAGCGCTGTAAATTAATTTTTTTGAAGATTTATTGAAAAAAATTTCCAATTTAGCAAGAGAAACAATGCTTCCAACAGTACTACAACAACTTCGGACCCCCCAACCCGTTCACTTTTATGAACTGGGCTTTGGCCTACCAAGGAAGAATCAACGCCACCGGACGTAACGCCTTTGATCAAAATTGCCTGTGGGCTTTTTTTTTGCTGACTTGATAACTTTATAACGGCTCCTATAGTTTGATTGAAGAAAATTCGAAACTTAGGGGGGTTTATTATGAATTTTGAGGAAAGTAGCAAATTGAAAAAGAAAAAAGGCTAAATTAAAAAAGATAACTGGGTTCAATATTCCATTAAAAGCATAAGGGCGGTAAAAAACGTATGTTTCAGGTGAAAGTCCCCCTTTTTTACTGCCCCTATGCCTTCAAATGAACTGACTGTTTCGAGTATTTGAGGTTTTTTTTTTTGGAAAACCTCTCAAATTTTGACGGAGTTTTTTTTATAGCCGATAGAGCTGTCTTATGTCGAAAAAAAATACCTTTTCTCCCAAGTTTTTGTAAAAAGGTACAATGCCAGAAGCTTGAAATATGTGTCTTTCAAAAATCAATTAGAAACATTTTTTAGCGGCTCGCTTTTTGTTTTGGGAGAGCTATAAACATATATTTTTTTGTAGTATATTCTATATTTGATTTTCATATTCTCCAGTTAATCGTCCCTTTGACAGTTGGCAACACAACCTCGACGACTGCTCCCGAGGCGGAAACACCAGGAGATGTCTGACCAACGACAACTTCGCTCAGTGGTTCGGAGTCAGTGGAAACGACTCGATCAGCTTCCGCACCGAATTCTACATCACCCAGTACGAGTGTGGACCTGGAAAACGAGGTCTCTTTTTATATTTCAGGAAAAAGTAAAAAATTTTCTCAAATTCATTTTGCACAGATTTCGAATGTCAATTATCTGGTTTCGTCCACAAAGATCAAAAAATAGAGCGCTATTATATTATAGTCTTTGTGCCACGACTTGGAATTTCCCCGAACGACATTCCGCTGTTCCGCTGCGTGCGTTCGCGAAGCGTCTTTCGAATCTAGGTCACGCTTTCAATTGATTGTTAATGCTGTGGGAGCACATGAAAGTAGAGTACCTTGATAAAAAAAAAAATTGAAAGCGCGACCAAGGTTCGCAAAGGCGCGCGGCGGCACAGCGGAATGTCGTTTGGTGAAATTCCCAGTAGTGGTACACAGACTATAAAATTGACCTTTTTTCCCGTCTCGATTTTCAAAAGCAAGTGTTTCATTCGTTTGCAGTCATGGACCAGAACTTTGACTGCATCAACAAGGTCTGGCTTTACGAGAACAACGACCTGAACTCTTGCTACAACACCTTCCTCAAGAACCAGGGACAGAATTTCTGCAAGTAAACTGCTGATATTTTCGGAATTTAATAATTTTTGTTATCTTTAGAGCGTACAATCAGTACATCTACTGCGTTGACAACATCTACAATATTATGTGTGGACCGGCCGTCCGGGGACTCGTCTGCCAGATTGAAGAAATCGGCTTGGAGGTTTTATATTTGAAGACTCAACTGTAGTTCATTCACCGCTGACTTGATCGAAAATCTAGTTATTAGAAGAAATAGGGGGGTAAAATAAGAGATTTAGAGATTTCCGCAGTGTTTACCACAAGCCAGCTGTGAATGAAGTATATTTAAAAATTGATAGGAAAATTCGAAAAAAAAAACTTTCAGGTCAACACACATCAATGCGACCGGGTTCTACAGCACTGTAACAACAGAAATTGATTATTTTTTTATCTTAACTATAAATAAATTTTCCTATTTTTTATTGTCACGATTTTCGAAGAATTAATGACAGCTCGGAAAACTTCAAGTGGTCCTTGTAGGGGCATTTAGTAGTGTGTCAATTTTCCAGCCAAGAATCAAAATTCTCTTTTCTTGAGAACGCCGGAGTGGTCTCTAGAGGGTTTAGGGGAGTAAAAGCCTCTATAAAGAACAAATTAGGGCTACCTACAAAGGTAAGATTTAAGGGACGCCTAGAGAGAGCCCTCGAGTGCCCTGAGGTCGCCCCTCTAGGGACCACTCTGGCGTTCTTAATCCTAGAATTTGCAAAAAGGGCGTGACCGGCCAGTTACAAGAGTAGTTCGTTGGAGCAAACTTTCAAAGCTTCATGAACTAGAAAGTCAGTTTTGTGAATAATTAACATAAACTGTAATTTTCAGTTCATAGAAGTTTGAGTTTGACCTCGAAGTTCAGTATTCAAGAGGAAGTTTTCCCTTTTCGAAAAAAATCCTATTAAAGTACGGACGAATTTCGAGGATCATTCATCAAATCCAGTTTCTCTAACTGTCTGCGCTTTCTTACTTGTGGATGATATTTTTATATTCCGTCCGCCGCGACTGGAAAGTTTTCGAGTGTCTGCGTCTCTCTGTTCTCTCCCCGGCAAGGCCACAGAAACGACAAAATAGCGTGTCAACAAGATAGGGTCGCCGAGAGACGAGGAGGGTGCAGAGAAGTACCGCCCTTTTAAGTCGCGAGAAACGGACTAAACAGAAAAACCGCTTTTTTTCAAATCGCGGCGACGAGAGTATATTGAAACTTTTGAAACTTTTGAAACTTTTATTCAGTCTTCAGAGAAGGTTTCTCTGCTGAATCATGGAATCATTGAAGAGCTGTTTGTCGGTTCGCGAAACTGTTGTTGATCAAGCGTAGACGGCGCGTAGAGCCTCTCGTCTCTCTTTTGATAGTAGTAGACGACTTTCGAGCGCTCCGGCGATCACTGCTTCTCCATGTAGGAACAGTACGGCGCCCAGCTTGTCCAGGGCTGGCGGGCGTCGGATTATATCTCAGGCGAGAGCGGAAATGAAGAGCGACCACTCGGAAGGTAGAAATGAGATAATAATTGAGTATATTACGGAAAAGAAAATTATCTCGACTTCCGAGCGTCAAGTGATGTAAGCCAAGGGAAATGGGTGATGTCTGTTTCCACAAATCATAATCAAGAACCGGATCTTATCAGGAGCATATTTGGTGCTTGGAAAAAAGAACTATAAAATGGGAACTTTGAGGACGGAAGTTTTCGCTTTTTCGCCATGCTTCGTTATCTTATTGCTGTCGCCATCTTTGCTCTCGGCGGTGAGGAAATTTGAATTTTTTTTTTTTTCATTAAACCTTTTATTAGGAGTTCTTTATTAGGATTTATTAAGAGGATCTAGAAAAAGAAAAAGGGAAACCTGCTATCTTCGTTGAAATCCAATCAATTTTTCGAACGGAAAAAAATTCAGGAAGTAGCCAAAAAAAGTCAGCAAATACTTTACGAAGGAAAAATTAAGGTCTTTTTACAATTATAGTTCATTTGAGTGCTGAAAAGGTTCATAGCAATCTGTAAAACGAGCTTTCCAAGACATAGACTCGACTAGGACTTTACAACTTACAAGAATTTTCCTAAAAATATTTCCAGTTTCCGCCCAGCAGACCCGCCCGCCGCCCCACAACTGCACTGCTGCGGAAAGCGCTGTAATTCAATTTTTGAAGATTTTATAAAAAATTCTGAATTAAGCAAGAGAAACAATGCTTCCAACAGTACTACAACAACTTCGGACCCCCGAACCCGTTCACTTTCATGAACTGGGCTTTGGCCTACCAGGGAAGAATCAACGCCACCGGACGAGTCGCTTTTGATCAGAACTGCCTGTTAGTTTTTTTTATATTGAGAAGCCTCTTTCAACTTCATTGTTTCAAATCCTCAGTGATTGTTCTTAAGAAACCTTCTCGGTTATTTTCTGTTTGTGGCAATTTTTTTTGGTCTTCCTCGGTTATTAACAAAGTTCTTTCCAACTAAACGGCTTCAAAAAGCGAGAGGAAGGTCTATTATAAGCCTACCTGATATTATCAATTAATTTCATTCTTGTTGACTTCTCTCCGGTTGAAAATCATTTCAAGCTATTTCAAAATCTTGCAATTAAATTTTCCTCCTGGATTAACTGTGTTTTTCACTCACTAACTTTCAAAAGACCACTTTTTTTTCTTCTAATTTCCCTCTTTTATCAGGTGGCAACAAACCTTGGACCAGTGCTCCCGTGGCGGAAACACCAGGAGATGTCTGACCAACGACAACTTCGCTCAGTGGTTCGGAGTCAGTGGAAACGACTCGATCAGCTTCCGCACCGAGTTCTACATCTCCCAGTACGAGTGTGGACCTGGAAAGAGAGGTCAGTTAATAGTAAAAAAAAACTAGAAAGTAGGTAATTTTGCTGAGGGTTTTCTGTAAAATGGAGCACATAGACCTGGTCCCTCTCCATCTCAAAACAACTAAAGGAATAGAGAGTCCCTTTTTCAAAGCTTTTTTTTCGACTAATGACCCCACCAAGAGAAAAAAGTTCCTTGAAAATTTCAAAAATTGGGAGTGAGTCTTAATAAAAAATCTCAATAAGACTCTAAAATGTTCTTTTAGAATACTTTTCCAGAAGTCTTTTTTATAGGTTTCCTCGTTTTTTTGATCATTTATATCATATTCTCTACTTTCCAGTCATGGATCAGAACTTTGACTGCATCAACAAGGTCTGGATTTACGAGAACAACGACATCAACTCCTGCATCAACACCTTCAATGCCAACATTGCCAAGGGTCAAGACCCCTGCAAGTAAATTATCGATTGATTTTCGAAATAATCAATGATTATTATCATTAGAGCGTACAATCAGTACATCACTTGCATTGACAACATCTACAACATTATCTGTGGTCCGGCCGTTCGGGGACTCGTCTGCCAGATCGAGGAAATCACTCTGGAGGTTTATTTAAAATATTATTTGAATGTTAGAAGAAAAAAAGTTCTAGTATTTATCCTGAGCAAGCTCAAATCAAAAAAATTTTTGAAGAAATTTAAAAAAAAATTTTTCAGGTCAACACGCACCAATGTGACAGGGTTCTACAGCACTGCAACAACAGAAATTGATGCAGAATTCGATTTTTTTGAGATTATGAATAAAATTTTTATATTTTTATTTTTTTTCCGTATTTTTCTTAGAACTCTACGATCCAACGCAAGTTTTTTTCTTCCGTGAAGGTCTGATTTAAAAAAATTTCTTAATCAGTACCCAATATTCTGATAAAAAGTTCGAGCTTTTCGTCATCACCGCCCCCTGTTTGACGTCTTTTCGTGAGTTTTTCAAAAATGATAATGATTCATTGAATAATTAAGTTCAAATAATCGAATTTTTTAAAACTATTGAATTTGAACTTTTTGATTTTCGAGAGAAGAAGGCACTGCAAAAGCTGGATCTAGCCGGGTTTTCGATTATTTTGATGCATTTTTTCTCAAAAACTAGAAAATTCAACAGGTAAAGTTTTCGGGATTTGGATTAGGTAAATTAATAAGTTCTAAATATTGTCGGAAAACTCCCAGTCGAAAGAAAAATTGTCTCTCTTTTAATTTGAACGAATTTCGTCAACAAATTGATTGAAAAGCTGCCCAATCTCCAGGAAGACCTTTTTGGTTTTTAAAGTGTTGTTTTTGACACGTTTTTTGATAAGTTTCTGATTAGTTGGTGGCGATTCTGCAACTCTCAAGGGGACACTAGAGAGACGATATGGCCACTGGAGTGATCACTAGTTGGCTGCAAAATGTGTAACCAGCAAATTAACTTATTTCGTTAGAGCAAACTTTCACATGATTAAAAAGCTTCAAAGTTTTTAAAAGCGGTATATTGTAATGAACAATCTATATATCGAAAAAACTCGGTTTTTATCTCCAAACTTCACCCCAAATTTAGCGATTAATCTTGAGAATGCTCTGAAATTCCTTTATATAAAGACGTTCTAGGGTTTTAGGCCAAGTTCTGCGCCTTTAAAAATAGCTATTTGAAGGGGTTATTTTTCGAATAAATCAAAGCTTCCCACCATGAAGTTGTGAAAATGATAAAATAATGAAACTTGGACATTGAAGCGAATTATTTCCCTCGAAGCTCCCAATTTTATAGATTTTTGCAATCAGAATCAAATGATCTTTCTGATAAAAAATCCGGGGTTTTCGTCATCACTACCACATGTTAGTCTTAACTCACGCGTTGTTGATTAGAGTTTTCGTGAATTTTTCAAAAATGTTATTGGCTCATCGAGCAATCACAGGGAAGTTCAGTGATCAAACCAGATCATCGGAAAAAAAAACTCTCTTGTGAAAAAATAATTTTAGAGTGGTCCCTATAGGGGTTAGAAAGAAAAGCAGCCCCTATGGAGGCCGAAAAAATGGTCTCTATTAGATTAAAATCAAGGTGGTCCATATAGGGTTTTTCAAGTCTGACCCCTTAGCCCCTAAAGTTTAAGTGGTCCCTATAGGGGTCTTTCAACTTTATTCAAAAGCTTATTTATTTAGTTTTTCTCATGGAAATGCTTCTTCGCTTAGAGTTCATAGCAGTTATCGACTAGCATGCCCCTATAGGGACCACTTTTTCAAGCTTTAGTGGCCCCTATAGGGGTCGATAAAGTGGTCACTAGAGAGGACCCTCCAAGGGCCCTATAGGAACCACTCTGAAGGTCCTAGGTAGGTCACTAATTTTATTTTCCTTTATGTGATTGCTCAATGAGCATTATCAGCTTTGCGAAAATCACAACTTTTCGGATCGATATCTAATGAATTAAGTCAAGTGATGTGGGTCCCGACGAATTGTAATCAAAAAAGCCCGGATCTGTTATCAGAAGAGCAATGAGTGGGAGAAACCTATATGTATAAAATGGAAGCTTCAAGGTGTCTTATCACTATGCTTCGATACCTTATCGCTATCGCCATCTGTGCTCTGTGCGGTGAGAAATATTGATTTTTTTATTTAGAAAAAAATAGTTCATTCATGAAAGTTTGATTAGATTTTTGAAGGCTTCAAGCAGTTATTCTTGGTTTTCTGACCACAGAAATGCAGAAAAAGACCTTAGAAACTTTAAAAAAAAAGCTTTAAAGAGAAAAAAATAAGGGGTTTAAGATGTATAGTTCATTCATATTGGACACAAATTTACTTTATCGTACCGCTTCGTACAGTTATCTCGATCATCAGTTTCGCTACCGGCGCAGAGAAAAATAAATTTTCTTGAATTTCTTTTTTTGTTCTGAATAATATAATTAATACTCTAATACTCAGGACCTAGAAAAAAAGCGTGAAAAAAATGGTTATTTTTCGTTTTTTTAAAAACTATTCTGTGAACAAAATGAAGCAGTTGATGACGTAAAATAACAGGAATAAAAAAAGTTAGTTCGTACAGTTTATTCATACCAACCTTACTAGGATTCTCTCATCTACGTGAATTTTCCTCAAGAATATTTTTTTTTTCTCAGTTTCTGCCCAGCAGACCCGCCCGCCGCCCCACAACTGCACTGCTGCGGAAAGCGCTGTAAATTAATTTTTGAAGATTTTATGGAAAATTCTGAATTCAGCAAGAGAAACAATGCTTCCAACAGTACTACAACAATTTCGGACCCCCCAACCCGTTCACTTTCTACAACTGGGCGATGGCCTACCAGGGAAGAATCAACGCCACCGGACGAGTCGCTTTTGATCAGAACTGCCTGTTAGTTTTCTCCTGTTTTTTTATTTTTATATTTTTTTAAAGTTAGCAGAAAGGTACATTAAAAGTTAAAAAAATCAATTATTAACGTTCTAATTTTCTATAAAATCACTGCTAGTTTCTAGCTTCACCAAATAATTCAGCATAAGTCAATTGTCCGATTTTCTCAAAATATCCATTTTCAAAGAGCTGATGATTTTTCTCTATTTGATTTCCTTTTTTTCTCAAAAAAAGATTGGCTATTTGAACACCTGTTTTCGAGGATTAACACGAATCTAGTCATCCGCATGTTTATTTTTGAACAATTTCAAAAAAGAAGAATTTTTTGAAGAGAGGAAAAATGATTTTTGAAGAAGGAGATAGTGGTTTGAGTACTTTGAGAAAACGATCAGAACGTTCCAAGTCGAGTCGAAACAGCTATTCAAACAGTTAAAAAAACGTCAAAGCTCTGTTTGGTGATCATCGAAACTGCTAGTTTTTTTCATGTTTTTTTAATTTTTTTAATTTTTTTAAAGTTAATAGAAAGGTACAATTAAGGTTAAAAAGCGAATCATTAAAATTCTAATTTTTCTATAAAAATTACGGCTAGTTTTCAAGCTTCACCAAATAATTCAGCATAAGTCGATTATCCGATTTTTCTAATAATTATTTTTTTCAAATATTGCAAAAAAATTAGGAAGAGAAAACTTACCAGTCATGATTCCGTGTTCAAAATTTATTCCGTTAAATTAGAATAAGCAGTCAGGGAATTTAAAACATTAATTAGTTTTTGGAAACTCGGAATGGTATATGATGGTCGCTAAAAGGGAGAGGTTCAAAAAAGGCTGCAAAAAGGGTCCAAAAAGAGTCCCTTTATTGAGCCTTCCATTTTTTCTGGAATTTCAAAGGGTCCAGAAAGGGTGGTAAAAGGGAGAGGCAGCAAAAATGGTGCATAATAGTGGCGCGAAAAGGCAGCAAAAATGGAAAATTTCTATGGAGCCTTTTTCCATCCTTACCGACTTTGCCTATGGTTTTATAAAACCCAAACTTTCTCTAGACCCTTTGCTTATTCAATTTGTTTCCTTTGAAGCTGGCAACAAACCTTGGACCAATGCTCCCGCGGTGGAAATACCCGCCAGTGTCTGACAAATGACAACTTCGTCCAGTGGTTCAACGTGAATCTCACTGATGCGATCAACTTCCGTACTGAGTTCTACGTCACCCAGTACGAGTGTGGACCTGGAAAGCGAGGTTGGTTAGATGGAGAAATAAACTTCAATCAGTTCATCATCGGCTTGTATCAAATCAAAAGAACTTCTTTTTTCTGAGCCCTATTTGTGGGAAGTCGTTGAAAATACTTTGTAGTCCGGATCTTCGAAATTTTCTCAATAAACTGCAGATTTCAAGCATCCAGATATCTTCTGAAGCTTGACCAATGCTCCTTTGATTTTCAAAAAAATTCTAGAAGATCTGAAAAAAATAAAAAAATAAATTGCTATTAATTTCCAGTGATGGACCAGAACTGGAACTGCATCAACCAGGTCTCGATTTACGAGGCCAACGACATCAACTCCTGCGTCAACACTTTCAACAGCAACATCGCCAAGGGACAAGATTTTTGCAAGTAATCTATTGATTTGTTCCGAAATCGATTGACTATCAACATCAGATCTTATAATCAGTACATCACTTGCATCGACAACATCTACCAGATCATTTGTGGTCCGGCCGTTCGAGGACTCGTCTGCCAGATCGAGGAAATCACTCTGGAGGTCTTACTTAAATATTTTCAAAAATTACAAAAATTTCAGGTCAACACGAACCAATGCAACAGGGTTCTGCAGCATTGCAACAATAGAAACTGATTTCTTTTCAATTTTTTTGCAATTTGGCAAGATAAAAGTTTCCATTCTGGTCAATCAAGATCATTCAAATATATCCCAGTAGATCATTCGAATTTGTTAAAAAATACAGGTTTTAATTGAACGACATTCAAAAAAAAGTTCAGCTTTTCCTAGTTCTGAGAAAGGTGAAGTGGTCCCTTGAGAAAGGGATTTATTAATTTTCTAAGACTCTCCTTAAGTGACCACTTCGACTTTTTCAAGAATTTAAAGAAGCCATGAAAACCGGAAAAGCGATTCAGTTTTCCCGTTCAAAATCATTCGAAGTGGTCCCTTAAGAAGCTCATTTGACTCTTGAAAATGTGGTCACTTAAGAGGCTGAATAGTTTCTTGAAAAAGTGGTTACTTAAGAGGCTCATTTGGCTTTTGAAGAAATGGTCACTTAAGAGGCCACTTCTTCTTTTTCAAGAGTCCTTTTCGGAATAAAAACTTTAATTATCTCAGAATTTGAGATTATCCTGATAATCGTCACTTTTTTTTCAAGTGGTCACTTGAGAGCATTCCATAATTTTTCAGTGAACATAATCAGTTAAGGAATTGAAAGAAAAGTTCACCACACTGATTCCCTCAAGTACTCACTTGAAGTTTTCAAGCCTTTTTTTAGAAGTAACAAATCGCTCCAACGCATTTCAATGCAAACGACGAACCAATCTTCAGCTTCAAAACCTTTATTCGGCGTTTTTTTCATCGGGTTGGTCAGACCCCTCACCAGAAAAAAAGCTTTGCGAAGCTCATTATGAAGCCACCCGTAAAGCCAACATCAATATTTTCAATTATATATATGTCGTCGTCGAGTTTGGGGATTTCTCGGGATGATTTAGCAGATTCTGCAGGTCGTGGCACAGTAGGCCTTGCGCTGAGCGGTCGTGTAGAACGTGTTGGAGCAGAATCCGTTGCCCGACCAGGCTTTGCAGCTGGAAAATGGGATTTTTGAAGATTTCTGTTAATTGTTTATTCACTATTGTCTTAAGTAAATCATTATTGAAAAATTAGGGTCAGATTCAGACTTTCAGGTTTCCTCTGTAGAACTTGGAACCCCAGAGTGGCCCCTATAGGGGCAACCTTAGAAGCCCTTTAAGCGCCCGAACTAGGACGACTTTACCAACCCCTATAGGGGCCACTAAGACTTGCGAAAGCGCTCCCTATATGGGTTTCAGTTAGTGGCCCCTATAGGGGGCATAATTGGGGAAAAAAAAGCTTCATACTTAGGAGCTCCAGTGTTTCCTAAATAGGCAACCTTAGGGGCTTTTGAAGGGTTCTCTCTAGGGACCACTTTACCAAACTCTAGAGGGGCCACTGAGGCTTGCAAAAGCGGCCCCTATCGGAGACATGCTAGTCGATAACTGTTATGAACTTTAAGCTAAGATGCATTTCCATGAGAAAATTGAATACATAAGCTTTTTGAATTAATTTCAGAGGCCCTCTAGGGTCCACTTGAACTTCAGAGGCTAAAGGGTCAGACTCTAAACCCTATAGGGACCAACTTAGTTCTACCCCTATAGGGACCACTTCCTTTTCTTCCCACTCACTTGGCGCTGGAGTCAGTGATGAATCTGGAGCACGATCCGCCGGTGCCGCCAGAGTTGGCAGCGGTGGTGGACGGGCAGCGGCCGCAAGTTCTTTGGCAGTACTTCTGAAATCAACAACTTCTTCACTATCCTTCCCGGAGAGAACGAACGTTGACAAAGTCCTGCATGCCGACCGAGTTGCAGATGGTGACGTCATTGGCGCAGTCGACGACGGCGTCAACACATCCACCTTCATAGTTTCCAATTATAAAGTGTTCGTATTTCAAAGAAAGTACCGGTGTTGCAGAGTCCGCAAGCGGCCGGGCAGTTGGCGGCGATGACGGTTCTCCAGTTGGGGTCAAGGCACTGGGAGTTGGTGATCGAGGCGCAGTTCATGCTCGGGTCTGAAGCACCGACTTGTAGGAACTTCTTTGGAAGCTGAAGCCTATAGTACCTCCCCCTTTTCTTTGTTCTTTTTCTCAATGTTTTTCCTCGCAGGTTTGTTAGAAGCCCACCAAAACTCACACTGAGCGTTGGGACAGCTGTAGGGAGCCGATTGGCAGCAATATCCACAGGTCTTGGCGCACTGGTTGATGGCGGCCGTCTTCATGTCCTTGTCGACCGGGGCCGGCGTCGTCGTCTTGGACGTGTAGCAGTTGGTCGGACGAGCGGCGTCGGTTCCTGGAGCTGGGAGAGGTCCTCCAGCTGGCGCCGTTGGGTAGAGGGCGTTGCAGGCCGTGTCGGACAGCGCGTTCGAGCAGATCGTCGCCGTGTTGGCGTAGACGAACTGGAGAAAGGGAGTATTGGGAAAATAAGTCAGAATAATGAAGGCTTTTCAAAAAATATAGAATTTTTTTTCTTTTTCTTTTCGAGTAGGTACAGACGTCATGTGGAAAGTTATCACCCCACTGAGCTGCTACTGACAAAATTAGCTGAAACTTACCTAGGGAAACCCAAAGATTTTTTTACCATGATCTAGAGTCGGACTAATCGCGATAACAGAACTTGCAACTGAATCAGGTTGAACAAGGCATTATCGAAACTTGGCTCAACTGAGCTCCAAAGAACAGATAGAGCTTCTCCCAATTTATACTGGTTATAGCCGAAATTTGACATGATTAAACTCAGAAAGGTACTCAGACTCTCAAAAGACACTGTCTATAAAAAGTGATGTTTAGGGACCATTTGAGTTATGTCTAGAGACTCCATTACATTTCTTCTTTTCAATAAGTAGGTCATTAGAAAAAACAAGCGTGACAGTACACCGAAGCTAAGGTATCACTTGAGTGATCACCGAAACGCTGAGCAAACTTTAAACAGCTGTATCTAGTGGTCACTATTTTATTCTTTCTTTTTTTCTGCAAAACTAACAAGAAGAGAGTTTCGAAATCTTCATCTGGTAGATCAAGTGATCTGGCCACGTTTTCGAAAGGTTCAGAGTACAAAGTGACATGACCTTTCTACAGTTAGTAAGTTAGGAAGAGCTAGATCTCATCGAAAAAGACCAAGCTTTCTAAAAAAGGACTGAAGCTTACAACAGTCACTAATGTAATTTTAGCTTTTCTTGAAGAACAGTAGCTTAGGAGTGACCTAACTCCGAACACCGCCAATTTCCCCCTTTTTTCAACTTATAAGAAGAAAATCGTACGGCGGTTCCGTTGTAGGTGGTGCAGTTGAGGTCACCGACGATGGCGGCCGAGGTGCTGGGCACGCTGAACAAGAAAGCCAGAAGGAACAGCATTCTGCGCGGTGGTTGGGCCTTTGGGTGGTGCCGAACAAGTGAAGATCCCAAGCCGCTTCCCCATTTTATATCAAACCGTTCGGCAGCTCTTCAAACATTCGAAACCATCGAAAACGATATAAAAAATTATGTTAAAGTTTGATTTCTTGTTGGCAACAGTTTTTTTTTTTGGACATCTGTTCCAACAAATCGCGCGCCAACGCAACGATTTTGAAAGTCTTCTGGCCAAACATGAGTTCAAACGCGTTTTTTTGCTCCTTTTTCGGGATTCATGTAGGATTGGTTTATGTTGCCATAGCTTATGAAATCAAAAGTCAACTTTGAGATGAGAAATCGGATCTTTTTTTTCTAATTTGAAAGTCAATTATCCGTGAAACTTTTTAGTGGCCCCTATAGGGTTTTCACGTTTTAGTGGCCACTATAGTGATCAAATTAGTGGCCTCTTGAGGGGTTAAAATTAGTGGCCACTATAGAGGAGGTTTTAGTGGCCACCTTAGTGTGTAAAAAAATCGAAATGTTCGAACACGGTTCACAAAAAAAATTTGCTTAATTTTTTTGACAAACTTTTTCGACTTTTTTACCTAAAAAAATTAAAAGAATTTTTTTACAAACTCTTTCTTCCTCATAACAAAAAAACTTTGGAACCCTGAAAAGTTTATGACGAGCATACGGAAAGCCGTCAAACGACGATAAAACCGGTGGCAGACTTAAATTTTTCTCTGTTTCCTCCTTGTAAATCGAATTTTTATTTTTTTATTCCTCCTTGCCGCCCATTTGAACTATCCTCTCGTCTTCGATGAGGATTTCCCACCTCCTTTTGGTTTGTTATAACTATTTTTAACGAATCTTTTAATTAATTATGAACTTTTCAGCCGCTTTTTGTGGCGGTCCTGACGGTGGCTCAGGAAAATCGCGCAAGAACATTCGAAGTTCATATCGAACTTCCAGATCGAGACAAGATAGGAAGAGGTTTTGTGAACTTAATATTCAGAGTTCAAAAACAGAATAAATCCTTTTTGAAGAGTTTGAAAAAATCAATGCTTCTGACCTGATAATGTAATCATTCTGCTGACAAGCCCAACAAATTAGAAAAGATATGTGAATTTTCAGAGCTACTTCGGATTAAAATTTAAACTATATGACCGCATTTGGAATGTCTAGAACAAGAATTCCAGAGTGGTCCCTATAGGGGTTAGGGGAAGAGAATCCCCATAGGGTCCGAAAAAGTGGTCCCTATAAGGGTAAAGTTAAGGTGGTTTCTATAGGGGTTTAGGGTCAGACCACTTAGCCCCTAAAGCTCAAGTGGACCCTATAGGGGTCTCTCAAATTAATTTAAAACGCTTATTTATTCATTTTTTTCCCATGGAAATTCTTTTTCGTTTAGAATTCATAACAGTTATCGACTAGCATGTACCCTATAGAGGCCACTTTTCCAAGCTTAGTGGCCCCTATAGGGATGGTAGAGTCGTCCTAGATCGGGCCCTTAAAGGGCTTTTAAGGTTGCCCCTATAGGGGCCACTTTGGAGCTCCTAAGAAGCGGTTTAAAGATTTACGTGTGTAAGCACTTTTCAAAAATTTCAAATTAAAAAAAACCATTATTTTTCAACGTTTAGGATGGACGGATTGGGATGAATGGTCAGATTGCTCAGCAAAATGCGGATACTGTGGAATTCGTAAGAGGACTCGTTTCTGTCGCGATCAAGTTTATAATAAGTTTTGGTGAGCGAAAAGCAAAAAAAAATTCACAAACAAACTACGATTCCTCCTTCTTTATCTTACAGAACTTAAGTAAGCATTTTCCTAGAAACAATGGTCGCAGGTAGAAGGGTTTGAAAAATAAAATTTGTGATGCAACCGCCCCGAAACGGCTCGCGCACGAAGATATCAAAAAGTTCGAGCTCAGAGATATCGTCGGCTTTCAATCAAAAATCGATTTTTAAGTTAAAAATTATCGAAATTTGGTAAAGTAGTGAAACGGTGACTGTTAAAAGAATATTATTATTAAAATAAAAAAAGCATTATTCTAAAACTTTTTTTAACAAAAATTTTTCTCCCTTTTTTTCCCTCTTTTATTTGCAAAAAAATCAATCTCTTTCAGGTCGTAATTATCATCTCTGTAGAGAGCATTTGCTTCAGTGGTCCTTCTCCCCCTTTTTCATTTTTTTTTTCTGAAGATTATTTTCACTTTCCCTTCATAAAATCATCTTTCCTTAGCCTAAATAACTTTGATCTAATTCCTTTTTAAGCTTATTTTATTAATTCTGTTTTGTTTCTAACCTCTAATTTTTCAAAAATCAACTAAAAACCGGTTTCTTATAGAGCAAACTCTAATAGCTATTCAAACTCCAATAACTATTTTCAGCATAATTCTAACAACTTTCTCATTCTCAGCTTCTATTCCCTATTTTCGGATAAATCATTCCCCTACAGTTGAATAACTTTAGCAAAGGACCAGCGACTCATCGAGAATATTGCCCCGGGATCGCTTGTCCTAAAGGGAACCCTTGCTGCAAAGGAAAGCTCGTGAAAAAAGACGGCGAAAACGTTTGCAAAGTCAACTTTGTGAGTGAAACCTGAATTTTTAATGATTTTCTCATTTTTCAGGTATGCAAAAGTCGCAAGGGACGCAAAGGAAAGAAACCTCAAAAAACCCTCGAACTTTAGAAATTATTATGATTTCTATTCATTTTTAATAAACCTGAATATTTGTTTTTTTTTTCAACACACCTAAAAATCCTTCTTCTTCAAAGTTCAATGGCAAAAATGGTAAAATTCAAAAATTTTAACTATCAGAACTTTTTCAACGTTTTTTCAGTTGAAAATAGTTACAGAAATAACGAAAAACGGAAAAAAAACCCTATCAAAAAGTCAATAAAAAACATAATTTTCTCGAAAAAATCGATTTTTTACGCGTTTTCCGATCATATAATCCAAAAAAAGAAGTTCTGTCTGCTCATTCCTGACGAAAATTCGGACTTTCACCCTTGATTTTATCACGAGGACAAAGTTTCCCAAGCCCCAATCGTCTCATATTTTTTTTCAATGAAAGCCTTTGCAGAGAGAACATTGTACCGCGTTTTACTCACCAAAGACTTGGAAAAATAGCCAATTCTTATCAGAGTCCAAAAAGCGCGTGCTTAAAAGCTGATAAAAATGACCCGAGTTTCGGGAAAAACCTCATTTTCGCCGCTTCCATCAACCAAAAATGCTGCCATCATCGATTTTTGTCGTATTTTTGACATTTTTCAATGTTATTTTCGCGAAAGACTTGGATGCGGAGATCAACATGACTACGGTAGTTTGATTATTATTGATTATGATTAAAAAAGGAGTCTGTTTAGCCAGAAATAATTCAACATTGGGGATATCCGGCCCAGATTTTCACAGCGACCACAACGGACGGCTACATCCTTGAAATGCATCGGATTCCTAACGGGAAAAGTGAGAAATATTCATTATTTTAGTTTCAAAATGGTTTTTTGGAAAGCTAAACGAAAAAGTCTTGTTATAATGTATGAAAACAAGCTCGTTGAATTTTCAAAAAAAGTTCGAAAGAATACAGTGTTCTGTTCATGTTATAGAAGCTTTAAATAGTTCTTTTATTCGTTAAAAGTTTATCAACCCGGAATTGATCTCTGGTCAAAGGTGTTATCTTCATCTTATCAGTAATATTTCCTATTCTATCAAAATTTCCTAACTAAACTAGAGAATTGGGAAAAACAAGCTCGATTTAAAGAGGACACTAAATTTTTAACTTGGAATTTAAAACTGCGCAAGATTCGATGTTGAACCATGGAGAAAGAGAAATGATTTTTCAGAAAGGTAGACATTTTAACTCCTCATAGAAGTGTAGGCCTAGAAGAGCCGTTTTCAGTTTTATTTCAATTTGTGATTTTTTTTTTCAAAAACTCCCTCAAGCATTTTCTTGAACATATTATACCTGAGAAAACTCAATATTTCAGCAAATGTTACCTGGCCGAAAGGAAAACGTCCGGTCGTCTTCATGCAGCATGGTTTGATGGGAGAGAGCAGCAATTGGGTCGACAATTTGCCCGATGAGAGCGCTGGTAACCTGAATTTATTTAATTTTCTACAGTAGAAAAAATTAATAGGATTCCTCTTCGCGGACGCTGGTTTCGACGTCTGGCTAGGAAATATGCGAGGCGAGACATATAGTACTAAACATGTGACATTGGACCCGTCGCAGGAAGCTTTTTGGAAGTTTAGGTAAAATTTTTCAGTTTAAAAATCGAGTCGAAATGGACACCTTGTTCGTTTTCCGCTTATATTAAATGAAAAAACTGGATAATCTGGTGAAACGTTGGCACGAAATAGCTGAAATAAAAAAATTCTGTAATCCAAATATTGCAAAAAAAAAATTGGACAAGTCACATGGGTTATCATAAGAAGGATTTTGAACGTTTTATTTCAAAAGAATTTCGGTGGATGTTCAAAATAACACAAATAGAATCCTGATAAATTTCAAGACGAATATAATTCATTATTTAAAACTATGGAAAACTTTTGCATCTTCCGAACTCTGACAGGGTTAAATGAATAGTATATTAGCTAAGAAAACGTTCAAAAAAGAAAAAATTATAATAAAACGAATTGAGAAAAGAAAACATAAACAATTTTCGTATTTCCACGTCACACACAGACAAAGTACACTAGGGCGCACTTGCTTCTTTACAGCTTATGAACCAATTTTTTTAACTGAAAACTAATTTTTAAAAAAAATTATATTCTCCTTGAAAATACCTCAAAAACTTCATGATCTGAGAAGAGTGAGCTGATAAAAGTAATTAAAGAAAACCGAGCATTTTCAGTTGGGACGAGATGGCCAAGTACGACCTGGAGGCGCAAATAAATAAAGTTCTTGAAGTAACTGGCGAGGAATCGATTTATTACATTGGTCATTCACAAGGGACTTTAACTATGTTCGCTCATTTGTCTCAAGACCAAGGAGGCGATTTTTCGAAGAAAGTGAGCGGAAAATTCATGAAAAGTCTAACGAGAATAACATTCAGATCAAGAAATTTTTCGCCTTGGCGCCGATCGGTTCGGTGAAAAACATCAAAGGAGCACTTCAGTACTTGGCCACTCACTATGGAACCGATCTCGAGGTACCTTTTTAGTGAGATAAATTAAAATATTGATGTGTTCAGCTCTACTACGATTTATTCGGAACCAAAGACGTCAAGCCCAGCTCCTGGGTCCTAAACTGGCTGTCGGACAAGGTCTGCAGTGGAATTAAGTTGGAACAGGACCTCTGCGACGACTTTTTCTTCCAAATTATGGGTCCCGAGAGCAACCAGTGGAATGAGGTGAATTTATACAGGTTGAAACTCATTGGAGACGTATTTTCAAGCACTGCGATTTTACAGTCTGTTCAGATTTTGAACTCAAATTAAAATGACGTCATTCGAAATCACTCTGAAGAGGACTCGCTCTCTGACTGGCTTACCGCGCCATTAGGGGCGGAGCTTGAGCGATGACCTGGCTTTCAAAATCTGAACATATTTTCAAGTAGAATGACGTCATTTTAAAACGCTCTGTAGATGGCTCCCTCTCTGATTGGCTTATCGCGCCATCAGGGGCGGAGCTTGAACGACGGCTTAGCTTTCAAAATACCAGCAGACAGTTCAAAACAAACTTTTCACGACACTTGCTTCAGTCAAGTTTTAACGCCTCGTAATTGAACTTACAACGTGAAAAAGGTTTTCTTGACTTGAAAACTCTGATAACGTAGAAAAAGGAAAGGCTCGACATATATTTTTATTAATTGAAATCAGCCCGCTTTAAAGTACTTCCAAGCTGAGTTATAGGGAGTTCTCGGAATTTATGTATGTGATTGAACTTGCCCAACGAGAATTTTTTTAATCGTCAAACTTTTGAAGACCCGTCTACCCGTCTATACGTCTCACATCGCCGGAACTTCCACAATGAACCTGGTTCATTGGCTCCAAATGGTTCAACATGGAGGCGTTCCGATGATGGACTATGGAAAGAAGCAAAATATCAAGCATTATGGACAAGTTAGTTGGAAAATTTATGGTCCGAACTGCCCAAAAACACTTGTTTTCTCGCGATTTAGCGCTTCGAGACAATTTTTCGAAGGCTATCGCTTCTATTTTTCGAATTTTCTTTCGTTTATCATTTTTCTCAGGATACCCCACCAGTCTACGACTTCACAAAGATCAAAAACGTACCGGTTTATTTGTACTGGAGTGAGGCCGATTGGCTTGGCGACGCCACCGACGTGACCAACTACCTAATTCCTAAACTTACGACGGCTAACGTCATTGCCGTAAGTTTTGAAAGTACCAACTATCAAATGTCTCAAGAAAATGGTTTGACGCGATGCGGTGCAAAGCCTTTTTTGTTTTTTGGATTTCGGTGGAGATACATTGACGATCTCGTTTTTTCGTCGCGTCGGACTCGCACTTTTCTCGGTCTGACTTCGCTTTAACAAATTTGGTCACGCCGAAAAAAATGCGCGCCGAGGAAACTTTTGCGAAATCGTCAATGTACCGATCTGGCAAAAGAAAAGGAGGAGGTCCCTATAGGGTTTTAGGGCCTGACCCCAGCCCTCTAAAGCTTAAGTGATCCTTATAGGGTTTTCAGATTTTTTTTTTGTGGAAAAATTGTGAGAAGTGAAATGTGAAAATTAGAAGACAAGCCACCCCCTCTAGGGGCTAATAACTAAAACCCCTGCAGGGGACACTTTTGGGAGCTTAAGAGGGAAGCCTCAAGGGCTCTTTTGGCTGCCTCTTAAGGGACCACTTTTAAGCTCCCCCTTTTACCAAAATGCGACACCGTGCTGTTTGAAGACGCAAATACTATGAGATAATCGAAAAAAAAAAACTCGAAAACTTCCAGGCCAACAACCACTTGCCCGAGTTCAACCACGTCGATTTCATTTGGGGCCTTCGAGCGCCGAAATCCATTTATCAGCCTATCATAGACATTTCCAAGGCGGATTTCCTTCAATCTTAATGTGCAAAATTTGTCAATACCCAAGAAAATGTGGATAAATTCAATGAACTTTAATGGAAATTCTGAAAACCTGAATCACGAATAATATTTTTTAGACATCGAAATTTCAGAGAAACAGGTTCCCAGCCCTGACTTTCAAGCTTTTAACAAGGCTTTCAACTTACAATTTACAATTTATTAAATCTTCAGAGTGAGATGAAGAAAATCTCTGCTGAATCATGGTATAATCGAAGAATTAGTCGTCGGCACGGGTTACGGTCCACAATCGTTGTCCAATAAGTCCCGGCGTGACAGCTGGAGTTTGTAAATAATGTTGGCCCGTTGGTAGTACCAGCGAATAAATTTCTTCACCATGTTGGAACAGTACGGCGCTCAGCTTGTCCAGGGCGGACGGGCGTCGGAATATTATCCCATGAGAGAGCAGCAATGAGACCGACTAGTGGACGTGATGAAATGAGATAATAATGAGATTATAAGGCTTTCAATACAAAAACTTTATTCTCAAGCTCGAAAAATAAAACTTCAAAACAATCATATGAAAATATTGCGGAGAAAGACAAGAATCAAGGCGGTGAGGCCGAATTTGCTGAACGCTGACTTGCACTGTTGCAGGACCGTGTTGCAGCCGCTGAAGTTGGCCTGCAAACCGAATTTTTTTCATTGATTCATCTTTTTTTTTCCTCACCTCGAACCCGATTTCGGCCAAATTGCAGACATATTGGCGGATGCCCTCACCACACACAGACACGTAGGCGTCGTCGATGCACGAGACGAACATGTCGTAGGATCTAAAAACCGATATTTCCTACTTGTCTAAGGTTATTGGTGTATCTAAGAATGCCAATGGCCACTATGGGGATGGGTGTCCCATACTGCGGAAAAAAAGTGTCCCCTATGGGAGAATTTGGGTGGTTTCTATAGCGATTCATCATTCAAGGTGTGTCTTCTAAGCCTTAAAATTCAAATAATGATAATTTATCAATTTTTTCTGATGGCTCTGCTTCTAATAGAGTTCATAACAATAAGCGACAATCATGTCCCCTACAGGGGCCACTTTTGAAAGGTTCAGTGGCTTTTACATGAGGTTCCTAGAGGGAGAACCGTCGAGGGCCCCTAAAGTTACCCTATAAAGTAGTTCCTAAGAATGGAATGAATTTTCGACTCACTTGCAAACGTCAACGCCGGTAGTGCCGCGGTTGCTGTAGCTGGTCCAACAGTTCGTCATATTTGCCGCGTTTTTCGTTTCAGCCTCACGGATACAATCAAAGTTGTTCTCGATGGCTGAAAATAAGCATTGTATTAAATATTTAATAACGGTAAGGTTGACTGATCTACGTTAACAAATCCCTTAAAGTATATTCAAAAGGCAAATCCTCACAAGGTAAGTTTAGTTTTAATGAATCGAAAATTTAAAACCCATGTGAGTCCTTCGTTGAAATCCCTTTTGTTGGGGCGTCTAGTTGATAACTTTCAAAGTTCTATGACTAGCGTAAAAAAAAGATAAATTTATTTAATTGTGGTTTATTCCAAAATTTAGGTAAGCTTTCAAAGTTATTAATCGACCAAAAATCCTTTTCTCACCGCCTTCAGCATCTCCGCACTCGTATTTGGTCATGAAGAAGAAGGAATGGAAGGAGTAGGAGTCGTCGAGGGTCGTGCCGAACCAGTTGGAGTAGCTTTGGGTCGTGAAGCAAAGGTCCAGGTTGATGTTGCTCAGGCATTGGTTCAGGGCGGTTTGCCATCTGCGAACAATGATTAGGACAATTTCATGTTAAGTTGTCGCTATCATTTCGAGGCTTCTACCTAGAGCACAGTCTCCGGGGTCCAGCACAAAATTCGCTGTACTCAGAGCTTGTCAAGATGCAACTGGATGGACTACGCGCAGAAGAACGAGGCCATGCTTTCAACTTGATAAACTACACGTTTGGACTTCTAGTTCGCCAAATTAGTTATAGCTTTAAAAGTTCTTTTTTACCGCCTAATTTATGACTAAAACAATAAAACGAATGAAGAGTACATATAGTCGATTCACTGCTAACTTGAGACGTAAAGGGGCGTGGCCTATCTGCGCTCTCCATTAGACGAGAACCGTCTTTTCAGATCGTGTCGTCACCCTTTTTTTTGATGGCTCAAACCAGCCGTGAATCAGCTATATTATAGTCTTGCGAAAGAAAGAAAAAAAAGGGACAAAGTTAAAAAAGACGAAATTCAAAAGGAAATATTTATCGAGAAGCCGTTCCGAGTCTATGACGGCTCTCCAGGTCAGTTCGAAATTTGAAATAATCCAGATAAAAAAATTGGAAGTAAGAGTCGAGAAAGGACGTTCTCTCAGAAACCCCGTTTAGCTACTTTCTGATTTTTCGCGTCTCTAATTTTACTACCAAAAATTTTCTTCAATTCGAGTCTCAAATCCAAATTTTAAAACCATTCTAACCTTTTTTCAAGATCCCCAAAACTACAAATTCATCAAGATGTTTCTTTTTTTCTGGAAACATACGTGCAACTCTTCCGGAAGCCATCCTTTCCGGTTCTGCCAAAGTAATCGACCCTAGCGTTGATGAAATTTTGAAAGGTGATGCTCGGCAAATTGTAGTTGTTCAGGTAGTTTTGGAAGCAGATTTTGGCTTGCTGTAATTTTTTTTCAAATCAATACAAGAAGACCTTGAAAACTTCAGAAATTGATCAAAACCATGAGAATCGTATAATAAAAAAAGGTTGAAATTGTACTTACAGCGTTTTGAGCGTCTGAACAAACTTGTTGTGCATGAATTGAGCTTCCTAAAATAGTATGAAATAATTTTTAGAAGGTGGAATTTTTCAGATTTAAAATTTTTAAAATTAATATAGTTGCAAATTGATCTATGAATAAAAAAAGCCATTTTTTTGAAATTCAAGCGTTCTCGCATGTTGAACCCCAAATAGAATTCGTAAATCTTGATTACTAGCCTTTCTCTGAATTGCTTTTGGCCGCATTTGGAATGGCTTAAAGCGCGCAGGACTTGGTACACTTCTGAAAATACTTCATTTTTGAGCCGTGACGCTTTTAGCCATTCCAAATGCGACCGTGACTTTCGAAATACGAGAACATTAATTGATAGGATTAGATTAAATGCAAAGTGATCTTAGGTACGTACAACGAAAAAAAAATGTTTTGGACCTCTTTTTAAAATCAAAATGTTGAAAAAAAAAGAATGTATAAAAAAAGAGTGTAATTACCTGCCAGAGCCAAGACCAACAGAAAAGTTGCCAAAAATCGTTGCATTTTCAGTTAGGAAATAGAAAAAATGGGGGGAAACACGTTCTATCAATGGCATTGTATGTTTATATAACCCAAAAAGCCGTTAAAACTAGGTTATTGTCAGAGATAAGCGGTCTCACCTCCTGAATATCGTCATTTATTTGAGTTTTGATGTGATTTTTTATCAGAGTTAGTCACCGAGCAGTTCAAAAAGTGATCGATAAAGGTCGTGATTCGTGTCAAAATAAAAATTATCTGAGCTTATATGACCTTCATTATTAGATCACGTCATGTTTTAGTGATTCACTGATGAAAAAAACGCTAAAAAAACAATAAAGTACTGCAGAAACGTTTCAACACATTAATTTTTGCTCTCTTTCCTCAATTGAATGTTTACCGAGGTCATAATGAAAATTATCTGAGATTTTTGTGGACTAAACTGATGAATCAAAATAAATATACTCTAGTAGTTCACCGACAAATTAGCGCTAAAAAAATAATAGAGTACTGTAGAAAAAGCCACCCCCTCTAAATACAGAAAAAGATCGCTTTGCTGTTTCTACTCATCTTTTTGTTTGTCTTGATTTTCTTTTGAACTGTTAATGAGTAGGAACATTCTCTTACGTCCAACGATATGAAAAACGCTTGACGGAATTTCGAACCGAACTCAAAGTATAAAGTTATTAAAAAGTCCAAAAAAATTACAACAGGACTTCGAAATTGTTTTATCTCAGAAACATATTTTTAGAACAATTTTTTTCGTCTGGGCATCCAAGAAAATATCACTCTATACTGAACAAAAAAATAAGCGAAAAAGAATTTTTCGAAGTTAGAAAAATATTAACCTGCACATTGACGCAATTTTACACGAAGACGCGCAAAAAAATAAAATTTTTTTGCGTTTTTTTCATGGAAATGCAGTTCTAAAACAAAGTTTTTCATATTTTTTTATAATGTTTCCCAGTTCTCCTGCTCACTTTTTTTAAAGCGGCTTTCGAGGACTTTCGAAAAATAATCAAGTCTCAATATTTTCTAATTTTTTTCGGTTTTTTTGAAATTTTTTTGGCATATCTGGATGAAGTACCCAATAAAGTTGATTTCTATATTTTTATTGCGTGATTCATTCTCTCTTCTCAATGGTCACAAATTCTCAAATTTAAGAAAATAAAAGCGTGTATGACTGTACTCACCACTCACAATTCAATATTTTTGATACATTTCGCAGCTATTTTTAGACGTCAGTAAACAGCCGTAAACGTAGAAAGATGTGAAATTGAATATTTCAAAGTCTAAAGTTGATTTTGAAAAGGAGAAATGGGATTCAAGGAAACCACTGTCATTGTTTTATTTAGGATTTTAACCGACAGGAAGCTTTCAAAAACGCCTTGATACTTACTTTGATACTTTGATGGTCCATCTTCGCTGATGTTCTCAGCGTGGACCACACGTTCTCCAGGCGGCTCGGTCTTGCGCGACGGTCATCCAGTGGCGGCCTGGCTGACTGATGTTCTTGCGGAAGAAGTCCGTCCATCTGGTCGGTGGGCGCCCGAGTGGGCGCTTGATGTTTCTCGGAATCCAGAGTGTTAATCTCGTGGACCAGCGGTCGTCTTGTCTGCGGATGACGTGGCCGCCCCAACGATGTTTCCCGCGTTGTATGTGCTCTTCTAGATCCCGGATTTGGGATAGTTGACGGAGGTCTGTGCTCCTCTGTTCTTTTTTTCCACTGCTCGAAAGCGAGTGGTGCCGATGAGAGCACGTTCCAGTGCGCGGTAGGAAGTTCGTAGGGCGGTTGCATTTTTTTCTTCGTGTCAGGCCAAACTTCGGTACCGTAGGAGATGGCAGGGATTATCGACGCTTCGAAGATGTGAGCTCGCAGTTTCGGGTCTTTCAGCTGACTGGTGACTTCTTTGATGGAGTTGAAGGCGGCCCATCCAGCGCGTTTGCGTCTGCCGATCTCTGCTTGCAGGTCGTTCACCATGTTTACTTCCCGGCCAAGGTAGATGTAGGATGTGACCTCCTGAAGGTCGCGGCCCTCAAGGGTGACTTTGCCTTGGTCGCAGAAGCGGTTCTTCATCCACTGCGTCTTCTTGACGTTCATCTTAAGGCCGATCTTCTTGCCGACTTCGTCCAGATCGTTCAGCATGGAGGACAGTTCGGTGGTGGAGCTTGAGAAGAGTACGATGTCGTCGGCGAAGCGGAGGTTTGTGAGGACCTTGCCGTCGATGTTGATGCCTCTGATGTCTGTACTGTCTTCCCAGTCGTGCTCTTCGTCCCATCCAAGTTGGCGCATCGCGTCTTCTAGTGCCGTGGAGAACAACTTGGGGGAGATGGTATCTCCCTGGCGAACACCTTTCCTGATGGGGATCGAAAGCTTCTTGTCGAACAGCTGGATGGTCGTGGACGTTCCCTCGTTGCTGTTGGCGATCAGCTCGACGTACTTCGTGGCGACTCCGGCGGAGGCAAGAGCATTCAAGACGGCGTTGATCTCCACGCTGTCGAAGGCCTTGTAGTAGTCGACGAAGGCCATCGCAAGTGGCATCTGGTGCTCCCGGTGCCGTTCCACCACCTGGGTCAAGGCGTGGATGTGGTCGAGGCAAGAGTAGTTGCGTCGGAAGAGCGATTGACGAGGAAACCGACGCCGCCGACGTTCTTCCCAGGGACTTTGTGGCCGAGGATGAGAAGTTCACCGTTTGGCCAAGTCTTACAGCTGGTGTCTTGAGATTTTGTTTCCTGGAGCGCCACTATGTCGATGAGTGCGTTTCGGTTTGCCGCGAGCAATTGCTCTTTTGCTGCATCGGAAGCGAGCGAGCGGCAGTTGAGGGTTCCGAAACGTAGACAGTCACCGTGGCGCGTCCGTAGTCCGTTTCTATGGTATCCTGTTGCTCCGAGATTTGATCGCCCCTCGTCGGCAGAGGCAGCCCCCGATACCGGAGAGGCGCGTGACCGACGGGCGGAGGACTGGGGCCGTCTTGTTGAACGTGTTTTTAGCTTTTTTTGGGGTCTGGTTATCCTCGTTGCCTTGCCAGGGCTAGGAGGACCGCCCATTCTATTAGCATAAAGCAAGGCGAACTGCGTGACCGGTGTACCGTTAGCCGCCATTTATGACGTTGCCGCCATAAATGGTCGTTGATCCCCATCACCGCGGAGAGGTGGTACATGAAGGAGAAAAACGCCTTACAAGGCTAAATTAACTTGGAAAACGTTTTTAGAGAATTTCAATAGTTATATAGAAATGTTCTAAACTTTTTATATCTTATGAGGTTTTGAGAATCGGTAAAACAGAAGAACTTTATTTTTTCTGATTATTATTCAAGTGAGCTGTTTTCCAAGAATAAACTGCAACTTTTCATGATTTCTTCACTCCTACGTGCTTTTCAGATAAAACTGCAACTTCTTTTAACAACCCAATGCATTAACTATTATTTATTCCTCACAAGATGGTCAAAGGTTTCACAATAACCAAGAAAAACGAAGTTGCTCAATCAGAAGCAGTGCTGGAGGGTCTTGTTGCAGCCGCCGTAGTTGACCTGAAAATTCGTCTTTTCTTATTTTCACTTTGAGAAGGCGTTGGTTTTTATGAAAATCGTTTTTCAGCGCTCAATAAGCCCTATCTTCTGTAAAAAGACTGCGTCTTGATTTTGCGCCCGACTAGAAACTACTTGCGCTTGGTGGCATTAAGTAGCATAAGAGAAGCGATAGGAACAGTATTAACGTTGGAGCTCATTTTTGATAGTCAAAAACAGGGCGGGTAAATGCGCTCAGTAGATAATTATCATGGTCTAACTGTCTGCGCTCTCTCGTTCTCTTGATGATTTTTTTCTGTAGGCGAGAGAAAGAGAGAGCGCAGACGGTTAGAGAGGTGCTCACCTCGAAGCCGATCTCATCCATTTGGCACATGTAGGGGCGAACGGCCGGTCCGCAAATAATTGCATACAAGCTGTCCATGCAGTTGATGTACTGGTTGTAGGCCCTGCAAATATTGATTTAATCTTTTCAATTTGATCTCTATAGCTTGAAATTGTTCAAATTTTTGCGCTCTTGGTATTTTCTCATGACCTCGCCGGTGAAGGAGAGGAGGGCGCAGACAGGCAAGCCTGTTTAAAGTCGTAACGAACTCACTTGCAGACGTCGGTTCCGTTGTTGACCGAGGCGATGTAGGTATTGTAGCAGGATTGCAAGTCGCTGGACTCGTAGGTGTCCACCTTCAGGATGCAGTTCCAGTTCTTGGAGAGGACTGCAACATAGTCGATTGGTTAAAGATAAATTCGACATTTCAGAGGTCGCAGGGTCCGTCCCGCTCGTGATTTTTGCAAGTTTCAATAGTTTTCACCTTGACGTCCGTCAGTGCATTGGTAGTCTCCAACGTAGTAGAAGGTACGGAATTCAAAGGAATCGTTGGGAGGAGAGTTGAACCAGTTGGCGAAGCTGGCAGGGGTCAGGCAGGAGTTGAGGTCGACTCCTTGGAGGCAGGTGTCCAGGGCCAATTGCCACCTGAAAATAGCTTTCTAGAGGCCAGATTCAAATTTCAATGGATGTAGAACAAGACCAGCACAAATTAAAAAACATTAGATACTCTAAAAACGAACGTGCAGGACTGGTCGAATCCAGCTGGGCCTGACGCGTTGAAAAGAGCCAACCGAGCGGCGAAAAAGTTCTGGAAAGTGACTTGCGACGACGAGACGTTGTAGCTGTTCAGCCAGGTTGAGAAACAGCCCTTGGCTTGCTGAAAAAGGGAAAGTTAGCTGAAAAAAATCTTTTGAAAGGTGGTTAAAAGTCTTGAATGACCTCGTAAAAAAAATTTTTTTCTTGAAATTTGGTCCATCTTCTTCAGGCCCCTCAGCTGGACTATACAAGAAAAAATGATTGAAAGTTTAATATTCGAAAGAAAAATTAACTTACATCATTTTGATCCGAGGAGCAGCTCTGCTGAGCAATGAGGTTGTGTGCTGAAAAATTTCGAATAATTACAATTTTTTATCTACAAAAGATGAACAAAATGCTAGGAATCATCTTTTCTTGTAAAGAAGTTATCCTTGTGAAAATCTTGAATGCTTATAAATTTTCAATTTTTTGTGACAAAAAAAATTGAACGAACCGAAAACGCCGACGAGAAGGAGGACGAGAGCAGTTTTCATGGCTGGTTGTTGCACTGATGCTACGAATTCAGCAGCCTGTTCAACTGTTTATATATCAATTTATCGATAAGAAACGTGGCTGATAAGCTTCCAAGACATGGATCCATTTTTCAGGCTCCGACGTCACGATCACATCATTTTTCCAAGATCCAAGATCGAAATGACCTAAAATTTGTCCTGATAACATGACACGTAATCAAGAACAACAGACACTGAGTCGGTTTTTCTGATATGACGAATATTATCCGTCGTTAGTTTGTTGTACGATACGATTTTGTTATCAAATTCTAGTTTTAGTTATCAAAAAATTATCAGTTTAGCTGATTTTGATTTCTTGATAGGTATGAGACGGATCTGTACTCTTCGTCATATCTTTTGTGATTATTCATTCCAAGAGATTAAAAAGAGAAATTGCTCATTTTTCAAGCGCACGGAAGTAGAACCACTAGAAAGTGGTAAATTTTGTTTCGAAAAAATCACATTGAGCGTGATAAATAATTGAGAAAAAATTTGAAGTTTAACATTCATTCAGTCTCCAGGAAAATGTTGAATCTGCTGAATAATGGAATATTTGAAGGGATCTTTGTCGGTTCGCGCAACGCAACCAATCTTTGACCAAAAACGGCTCGTAGGTGATCTCGCCAATGGGGTCCTGGTCGTGCAACTCCACGCGTTTCAGCCCATGGACGCCATTCCCCAATTTTCTTCGCCCAAGGTCTTCTCCTACAGCGATCTTCTTTGTGAAAAGCCATTTTCTCTTCACAGCTTCCAACCGAACTTCGCGTAGCTTCAGCTTTTTATAGAGCCAGGAGTTTCTTCTTCTGTTGAGTAACGTTACTCCGAGCATTCATAGCTTCATTTTGCGCTGTGCCGTTTGCAGGAGGTCCCTCTGTTTCTTTTTTAGAGTCCATGTTTCCGAGCCATAAAGAGAGGCTGGTTCGGCGAATCCTGCGAAGGTGTTGGAAAGGTAACCTAAATGCCTGCCAGAAGGCTTTCAGAAGCCTGCTGGAATGCTTATGGGAAGCCTTCGGCAGGCTTTTTTTCTAAGTAGAAGGTGTTTTGTCTGTTCCGACCAAGACAGTCACATTTTGAAAACACAGCAGAAAAAAAGCTACCCTAAGCAGCCTTCCTTGCACTTTTGCTCTACAAAATTTCAAAGTTGGCAGGAAAAAAAGGCCCTTCAAATTTAGTCCATGAAATATAGATTTTTTTAAACTAAAAAAAGAAAGAAACTGACGCAAAATTTTTTTTCTAGCTTTAAGATGAATTGCTTATAAATTTCAATTTGACTTTCAATTTTTTTGTTCCACCGTATAATCTAAGGTTTGCATGGAAAAAAAAGTAAGAATAAAAGTTCGAAAAGATTTTTTTAGTTGACCTTATATGTCTTCGGATGATTTTTAAATTTGTAATTCCTTCGCATAGGAAAAAAAGTTTACGCTCCAAAAGCCGGATTTTACGCTCTTCCATCGTTAATTGTTTGCAGACAACCTTTTGCTTAATGCTTTCGATGAATGATTTAAAAAAAATTATCAACCAATATTTATTCATGAATAGGGTACAAGATGTTCAAAGGCTACATAAATTTGACAGAAGGTTCGAAGTTGCTCAGCTAGAAGCAGTGCTGGAGGGTCTTGTTGCAGCCGCCGTAGTTGACCTGAAAATTATTTTTTCTTCTTATCTTTTGAAAAGGCTTTTGGCTTTCATGAACACCGTTTTCATTGCTCAAAAAGGCGAAAGAAAGGCGAGGGAAAGAGAGAGCGCAGACGGTTGAAGTTATGCTCACCTCGAAGCCGATCTCGTCCATCTGGCACATGTAGGGTCGGACGGCGGGACCGCAAAGAATCGAATACAAGCTGTCCATGCAGTTGATGTACTGGTTGTAGGCCCTGCAAATATTCATATTTTCAGTTTGATCTCTACAGCTCGTAAAAGTTCAAATCTTTGCGCTCTTGGTATTTTCGAGTTCTCATGACCTCGCCGTTGAGGGAAAAGAGAGCGCAGACAGGCTAGACTGTTTCAAGTCGTGGCGAACTCACTTGCAGACGTCGGCTCCGCTGTTGGTCGCTGCAATGTAGGTGTTCCAGCAAGATTGCAAATCGGTGGCCTCATAGGTGTCGACCTTCATGATGCAGTTCCAGTTTTGGGAGAGGACTGGAAATGTTCCAATTTTCAAGTTTTTTAAGACCGTTCTGTAGAAAAAGTCTTACCTTTACGTCCGTCAGTGCATTGGTAGTCTCCAACGTAGTAGAAAGTGCGGAATTCGTAGGAGTCATTGGGAGTTGAGCCGAACCAGTTGGCGAAACTGGCCTGGGTCAAGCAGGAGTTAAGGTCGACTCCTTGGAGGCAAGTGTCAAGAGCGAGTTGCCAGCTGAAATATTTTTTGAAAGCTATAATCGAAAGCTTTTCAAAATTTCTTCATACAAAAGCTGAACTCGATCTATAAATAGTTCAATCATCTATTGAATTTTGTTGTCCTTCTACAGTTCCGGGAAAAAAATTGTGAAACGTAGAAAGTGTGCTCCAAGGACAATTGACTATTTTTGAAGGTTAAAATGATTTCAAGGGGAATTTCAACAACTCCTTGTCAAAGAACATATCCCGATGAATTTCAAAGCTCAAAAGGAAGAAAAACCAACACGCAGGACTGATCGAAGCCAGATTGTCCAGTCGCATTGAAAAAGGCCAGGCGAGCGGAAATGAAGTTTTGGAAGGTGACTTGGGAGCTAATGTTATAGTTGCCCAGCCAGGTTTGGAAGCAGCCCTTGGCTTGCTGAAATTCAAATAAATGTTTTAGTTTTATTTTTTATTCTTCCTTACATTGCTTTGATCGGAAGAACAGGTCTGCTGTGCGATGAGGTTGTGGGCTGAAAAGTGTGAATAAATTGATTTAACTTAATTTTTTCGATCAAGATTTAATTGTTCTCTTCTTATGAAGTTAGAATGTATATCTCGAAAGAAAGTACAGGCAAATTTTTAAATTCGGTGAAAAAGAGAAGAAAACAGAAGAAGACTAATCTCAAAAGTACGGGTTGAAATCGATGGAAAAGGCCCTTTATTCTTAAGAAGGTGTAACAATTTTTAAATTTTTTTCTTTTCCGCGGTGTGAAGAGCTTAGTTCTCAACAAAGCTATAGAAAATCTTATCAAGTTGACAAACAACTAAATAAAATTGATCGAACCGAAAACGCCGACGAGAAGGAGGACGAGAGCAGTTTTCATGGCTGGTTGTTGCACTGATGCTACGAATTCAGCAGCCTGTTCAACTGTTTATATATCAATTTATCGATAAGAAACGTGGCTGATAAGCTTCCAAGACATGGATCCATTTTCAGGCTCCGACGTCACGATCACATCATTTTCCAAGATCCAAGATCGAAATGACCTAAAATTTGTCCTGATAACATGACACGTAATCAAGAACAACAGACACTGAGTCGGTTTTTTTCTGATATGACGAATATTATCCGTCGTTAGTTTGTTGTACGATACGATTTTGTTATCAAGTTCTAGTTTTAGTTATCAGAAAATTATCAGTTCAGTTTCAGGTTTTGATTTCTTGATAGTTATGAGACGGATCTGAAATTTCTGTTGGAAGTTGTGATGACTCATTTGAAAAAAATAAAAAAATATAAAAATTTACAATTATTTTAAAAGTAAGAAGTCGGTTTTGATGCACTTGTTCGCTGCTCGATGTCTTCGCGCGCAAGTAGTTTGTGGTCGGATGCATTCTAAAGCAAGCTCAGGGATCTTCTTATGACTAGTATAGCTTACTTCATACATATGTTTGGATTTCACAAAAAAAAATTGGGTTCATCCGGAAAAATCACGTTTTACCCCTTTTTACAAAAAAAACAAATCTTTTTTCCTCCCTGCTCACAAAACTCCATCCACCAGTGATAATGCCTTCAATATGAAAGTTCACAGAATCTTTAAAATCTCCAAATTATAATACTGTTTATTTCACTATTATCTATATGTCGCTCTCACGAGAGAAAGAGAGAAAAAGATAAAATGGTCTACTTTACACTTTTTATTGACTGATAAAACATGGCAATTCCTTTTTTGCTTTCCACTTTTCCGTGGAAAATCGTTGATTTTCACTATATTCATGAAGATTTTGGCGTTTTCAGCGGATTTCTAGTGAACTTTGAGTTTCACGGGTCAATTCCTATTAACTTAAAGATTTTTTTGACTTTTTTTCATTCAAAAAAATACTTAAAAACAACTTGAAATGGTCGGAAAAATTTTTTTCGAAATGAATAAAAAAACTCACGATCAAAATCTCATTTCAAATGCTCAGAATGTCATTTCTCGCCCCAAAAAAATAGCGATAATTGGTGAAGGGGTCATTGGATGTTCTACAGCCCTACAAATCGCGGAATCTCTACCAAAAGCTCAGGTTTTTTTCTGATTTTTTAAAGTTTGGACCGAAATTCTAATGAAAAAGCTATTCAGATCACGATATTCCACGATAATCCTTTCGAAAAATCGTGCAGCGCTGGCCCTGCCGGCCTTTTCCGGATCGATGATGAGAAATACAGGTTTTTGTCCTTTTTATAATATTTAAGGTATAATTTTTCAAGGGAGTACGGTAGAGAAACATTCTCCTGGTTAGCCAAACTTCATCGAGAGAAAAAAGGAAGCGAAACTGGGGTCAAACTTCTTTCCGGTCATATTCAATCGGACTCTAGAGAAAGGTTGGAGCAACAGGTTTGAAAAAAATTTTTCAAGCGTCCTGGTCGCATTTGGAATGGCTCAGAATGCTTTAAAGTATTCCGATACCTTTTTTCTCCAGAAGTTTCAGACTGGAAGCACTTTAAAGCTACCGCTTCACATAATTCTTGCTTTGAGCCTTCCCAAATGCGGCAAGGCAATTTTGAAATGAACGAAAAATCCAAATTCTGTTCAGGAAAGAGCATACGGCGATATCGTGTACAATTTTCGTTGGCTGACTGATCGAGAACGTACAGATTTGTTCCAGAATTCTTCGAAGTAAGTTCATTAAATTTGCAAGAAAAATCTAAAAATAAAATATAAAAAAATTTGGAAAACTGAAGGAATTCAATCAAAAGTTTTCAAAAAAGATTAAAAATCAAAGCTTTATCTTGGAATTTCAAGGTTTTAAGATTTTTTCCAAAAAAGAGCTATTCAATGTGATTTCCAAGCACAAGATTTTATCCAATCAAGTGGTCACTAAAGGACACTCTTCACCATTTAAGAGGCCACTTAACTTGTTAATTTTTAATACCTTGAGTAAGCCATAAAAGGGGATTATTTGATCATTTTTATATAAATTTTTCTTCAAGAAAAAATCCAGCTCCATTCAGATACTGCATTCACTATACGGCCTACGCATCTGAAGGAAATTTGTACGTCCCTTATTTGAAGAAGCTGCTGATCAATCTTGGCGTCAAGTTTGAACAGAGGAAGATTGAAAGCCTCGAACAGGTTTTTTTCAGAAGTTGATACATTTATCGCAGGATTATGATTCAGTTAGGTGAAGAGAGTTTCGATGCGGTTGTCAATTGCGCTGGTTTGGTGGCCGGAAAACTGGCCGGCGATGATGATTCAGTTTTCCCCATTCGAGGCGTTGTTTTTTTGAGGTATTTTTGTTATTTTTTTATATTTTTATTCCTTATCAAGAACTTTCTGGATAGCTGAAGCTTCTCAACTTTCAGGAAGCTTTTTGACGAGAAAACTTCGATTTTAAAAAAATTTGAAGATGGGATCAAATTTGAAAAAAAGAGGTTCTTTGGACCCTAAAAATTCATTGAAAAAGTGAATTTTTTCCAGTTTACTATTTTTTGCTTCATTTTGAGACATGTTTCTTTTTTCTAGTTGAATCAGTTGATCATGAAAAATCTTAAAAGTTTGAAAAGTCTGGGATTTTTCAGGTCGACGCTCCTTGGCACAAGCACTTCCTCTACCGCGACTTTTCAACCTTTTCAATTCCAAAGTTGGTATTCTTATAGTCCGTTTTCCGCGACTTGAAAGGGCAGGACTTCTCTGCGCCCTCCTTATCTCTCGACGTCTCTCTCATGTTTACTTGCTGCTTCACTATTTCTCTGTCCTCGCCGGTGAGGGAGCAGAGAGACGCAGACAAGCGAAAAGTCTCGAGTCGCGGTGGACAGACTATACGAAATTCTGGAAATATTTCATTCCTTTCCGGTTTGAAAGAAAATCTGACTATCTGCACTCTCTTCCTTCCAGTGGTTCTCTCGCTTTTGAGAGAAAGAGAGAGCGCAGACAGTCAGAAAGCTTCAAGTCGCAGCAAATAAATAAAGTATCGAAAAATAGTTCATTTTCCAGAACTGATTGTGTAGTCCTGGGGTCAGTGAAACAGGAAGGTCGTTACGAGACTGAAATAACGGACGAAGATCGTCAGGACATTTTAAAGCGATATATTGAGCTTCACCCAGCTATGAAGGTTGGAAATAGTTTTTTTTTTCCGTGATTTCATTTTTAGGAGCCAAAAATCCTACGCGAATGGCTTGGATTGAGGCCTTTTCGAAAGGAGATTAGAATTGAAGCTGTTGAGAAGACAACGAAAAGTGGAAAACCATACACGGTAGGCTTTCTTTTCAGAGGTTTATGATAAAGAAAGATAAAATTTTTGGATGGAAAAGTCATGAAATGAGATTTCTTTCAAAAAATCGAAAAACAAACTTGCTTTTGAAAAGTTCTTTGAAAAAAGTTACCCCCTATAGGAACCACTCTGAAGCTCCTAAGTAGTACCTTTCTTTTGAAAAATCATTAAATGTTTGATTTTGTATTGAAAACTTGTTTATCACACGGTTTTCCTTATTATCTTTGAATAAGGCCCTTTGTTTTTTCCTTTTCTTTTTACTCTGAGAAGGTTTTTTTCAGATTATTCATCACTATGGCCACGGCGGCAACGGCTTCACCCTCGGCTGGGGTACGGCGAAAAAAGCCACGAAACTCTTACTTGATTCCCTTGACCGATCATCAACCGTAAATCGTATCAAACTTCCTTCAAAGCTATGAGACTAATAAAAAGCTTCTTTTTTTTTCAAACTCTTACACATGACTTACCGCACTGAATATCATAAGCTTTAAAAAAACGTCACTTTTTTGATAGTTATAAGCAGGTGATTTTTGTTCCGAATGGAAAAAAGCTAGTCTTATTCTTCCTGAGTTACATAACTTTGAATATAATTCCTATCTTTTTGTCTTGTTGAAATTTGAGTCATTGGAACTTTTTTTGGGTACATTTTCGATTCGCCGATAGCTACTGACATAAACTGTGGGTTACCATAGGCAAAGTCGGAAGGACCCTCCGAGGGTCATGAAGACTGCTGGAAGGCTCCATAGAAATGTTACTTTCAAGGTGATGAAGGGTTCCTTTTTTGTGCCTTTTTGCTCCATTTTCTCAACCCTTATGCACCATTTTTGCTGCCTTTCCCTTTCTTCACCATTTCTCGAGCCTTCAAAATCCCAGAAAAATGGTCGATAAACGCTCCAAAACGGTAACAGTAACCTTTTTTGAGCCTTCCTATTTTAGCGGCCACTATCCACTATTCCGACTGTAATATTCGTCTCAGGATTTTCCAAACCCCCGATTTTTCCAGTTTTGTGAAGCATTGCAAATGAAATGTGTATGCATGAAAGTATATTTGGAAAGATACGTTTCAAAAAATTATTAAACCTCATTTTATCCCTATTTTGCTACTTCAATTATGATCTTGACATTTTCCGCTTTTAAAATTTTTTTTGACTTGTTGGGGTTCTCTTCTAATTTAAAAAAAATCATTTTTTTTTGAAGTTCTGTATCGCGCACAAACTGAACTTCAAAATGTAACCTTTCGAGCATTGAATCGCAATTTATTTGATGGAAAAACCCTTAAAAACTTGTTCTTTTTCAGATTCAAGTTCAATCAGGTCATCTTCGTTTCCGAGTAGATGGCAGCTCCCGAGAAAAAATTGATTGATTTGTACGATTCTCTTCAAGGTTATTTGTAATACTCTTTCTCTGTTCTTTGGTTTAAAAACGTTTTAAAAAAATCAGGTCTGAAATCAGAATTATTTATTGGTCTAAAAAGGTGTTGTTTGAAATAACGAAAGGAAAAAAACGCCGTCATTTTTACATTTGAATGGAATTTTTTTAAACGAAGTTGAAATGGAAAAAAATTGAGTTTTTTCATTTAAAATGTCTAAACTTATCATCGAACAAATTAATAATAAAAGGCGGAAATAATATTTCTTAGGAGTCGGTATTTATTAAGAAAAAGTTCTTGTAAATTAAAGAATTAACTTTTTCCAAATAAGAATTTTTCAGTAAAAAAATTAGCCAATTTTTGCATGAATATTTCTGTTTTTCCTCAAATATTTTATTGTAAATTTAACTTTTTTTATACAATTTCATTCTTTTTTTCTGGAGGTAAAAAAAGTAGAAATAAGAAATTTGTAAGTTCTGAAATCTTTTTTTTTAGTAACCTGCCGAAATATGATTATTCCGAAAAGTGACTTCTTGAAAGGTTTACAGCTCAAAAATTATTTTTAATCTTCAAAAAAATGTTTTTCTTTCACCTGCAATCGATCTGTACTTGGGCCAGGTGTAAAACAGCTAATAGGAGATTAAAATCAGAGTAAGAAAAATCTTCAATTCAGTTAGAAAGTCAATGGACGCCTTGTCGCTGTTCGTCTTACATGCTGACCAAGGAACGACAAATTTTCATTTCGCTCTCAGCTTATTTTTTTTGTTATTTTGTGCCTTCATTTCCGTCATCGCTATTGCTACTGTTCTCGAAACGAGGTGAGAATCTAGTCAACCCGAGAAAGCTGTGAAAAAAAAGACGTTTCCTCCAATTGAATAAAATGTTCCTATGTAAAATGTTTGATTAGAAAAAAAAGAACTCACATCAGAGATTCTGACGAGAAAGGAGATAAAGGGAAAATGAAATAGATGCTCCGAATTTCTTGCAAAGACACTGAACTTATGTGATTTTGCTCAGAAAAAAAAAAATTGAAAGCTCACCAATCACTTATCAATCGAAGATTTTTGCTCCACCAGGCTGTAAAAATAAACAAACTTGAACAAGATGAGGAAATAGGAAATTTAAAATAAAAAAGATTAGCCAAAAGGAAAAAAAAACGAAAAAAAAAATTAAAAAATTGAACTCTCCGCGAATGCATCGGTGTGTCTGCAGAACTCACCACTACCGAGGATGGTACGACAAAATCTCAAGTCCGCAAATCTCGAGGACCGTAATCTTGTGTACGCAGATCTAAAAGTCCCATAATCTTGAAACCAAAATCTTGGAGACCGAAATCTTGGAAACCACAATCTTGGAAAGCAAAAAAATCTTCCTTTTTTAGTCTTCTTTATTGCACTTTATCTACTTATATTCTCTCGTTTGGATCACCGAATACAATTTCTGATAAAATCTATTCGCAAAAGCGTTGATTTTTTTACTTTCCAAGATTGTGGTTTCAAGATTTTTGGTCTCCAAGATTTTGGTTTCCAAGATTTTGGGACTTTAGATCTGCGTACACAAGATTACGGTCCTCGAGATTTGCGGACTTGAGATTTTGTCGTACCATCCTACCGAGTATATCCACTTCTTTTCCACTTTTAAGGTCTTTGAGCGTTTATATTTCTAAGTATTTCAATAATATTGAGCCAATTATGTCAGCTATCAATGTGTGTAGTAGTTTCCTGCACTATGCCGCTAACTTTTTTTGCCACTAACCTAGATTTTTTACAGCGTCTACCATTGGAACATCCGTCGCTTGTATATTTTCACAACATTTAGTTGGATTGAAATGGCCTCAGCAAGATTATTCATATTCATTCATCAGAAAAACTGTTGCGAAGGTTAGATTTATTTCCTGATCAAAAATATTGATAGTTTTTCCAGAAGCTGATCATGTAGCAAATGAAAACCACATAAATTATTCCAGTCATAAATATCTTTATATTGCGGCCTGTTTGAGATATTTTTACGTGTACAGCATCACTTCTGTGCCCTTGTGTGTGATGATCGAGAGAGGCCTTTCAACAGTATTAATACAGTTGGTTTTTCATGATGTGAAAAAAATGAATTGGAAAGCTGCATTTTAACAGAAAAGGCTTTGATTGAAGAAGAGTATCTTGATAATACTTGTAGAAATTTAATCAATAAATTACTTGAAAAAGATTCACTCGATTTCAGAGACTATGAACGTAAAAAGCGACTTTGGATTTTTGTAATGCTTGTGGTCCTTAACAATTTATATTCTCTTATTTTTTGCCATTTAACCTTGGCGCGATTGATGACTCTACGCGATGTTCTACTGGTTATCGCTGTTCCAAACGTCTTCACTGGAATTGTAAGTCTGAAACTTTGAAAAAACGTGATATTATATATCTGTTGAATTTTAGCTTTATGCCTTTCTCTACCGTTACAATTATGAACGATTAAAAGTTTTGGAGAAAAACGCAAGGGAAAAACGTTATTCGTTGTCTATTAGATATCAACTTGAGGAAAACGTGAAGGTCTTCTCGGTGAGTATTTTAATATGTATTAGAATTTGGTCGCATTTGGAATGGCTAATGCTGTCTAGCGTAACTCGTTTTAGGTCTGGCGCGCTTTGAAGCTTTTTCTGAACTATTTCAATTGCTTGGGGAAAATATTGAAACAAATAAATATTTTATCTATAAAGAGGTGATTCACCATTTATTATTTTTCCAGGCACTCGTCACATTTTTCTTTTTTTGTCTTATTCTAATCGTCATTTTGGTTTTTATAAAAGCGACACCTGTTATTTTTGCCATTGACGAGTATTTTGAACGGTTGGCCGATGGGATTGTTGATTTTTTCTCATACTTGTCAGTTCATTTTTTTTTAACTTTTGACTGGTTTTTTTTTTCATTTGGAAGTTGGAGAATCTCAAAATCAAGTTAGTGTGGGGGAAGGCTTCAATCACACTCAAGTTGATATTGTACAAGAAAATCAATAATTTTTACCCACCGAAGCTTTTTTTTTTCAGGAACCCATTATTTCTTGTTCCGATTGGTATCGGTACAATACCTGCTTTTAGGAAAACTTTTATCCGAGAAATTCGTCGTTTATTTCTCTCAAAACGTCGTCAAGCTCCTTCTGTTCCTTTCCCTGCGGTTTCTCAAACCGTAGCAACGGAGTTATATTTTGAAATGTTCAACAAAAGTGTCTTACCGGCGACAAAATATTGATTTTTCGTCATTGTTTGTAAATAAATTATACAAAATTGAGTCTTCACATGACAAGTTTATGAAAGTTCAGATTTGTTTGGACCGCTCCTTCTTTTATTTATACTATCGTCAGATCGAAATAAGGTATAGAGAAATTGCAAATTACCGTAAAATCAGGTTTCTTCCCCCTCAGAATTGTCCTAAATCAATATTTCAAACTGTCAAAATGTCTAATTTCGAAAATTCGCTGCCATAATGAAGCTCTCTTTCTATAATCTAAGGAAATTTCATCAAAACCGAAAGATCGGAAACCAAAAAGATCAACCAAAGATCGACAGGCTACGTACATTCCACCGTGTATCTTATTTGAACAGCCCGGCTAGCGAATTCAAAAAATCAACGTCGTCATGGATTGCATGGAAAAATGGCTATCCTACTTATTTCTCTCCAAAAAATCAAAATCTTGTTCGTTGCTGTATTTTGTGTGGCGATCTGTTCGTTGATCTATTTCCGGCAAGGGGATTGGATCAAGTTGGATGGGAATAGGGGTGAGTTCTGAACATCCAAAAACCTTTTTAAGATCTAGGAATCTGAAAATAGATACGTGAATTTTGTCGATGGAGCGCACAAAACTCGTTTTTTAAGGCTATTTTTCCATGTCATCATTCTTGAAAAAAAAAATCATATTTATTTTGAAAAAACTCAAAAATTCTCATGTTATGTAGGTTTCTCTTTGGAGCGCGTTTCACTATCGTAAACGGTTGTTCTTCTTCTTCTTCTTACACCTTTGTACCGCTTGAGCGGCGTCGGCGCCCCAAGTCGATTCGCCGAGGTCCTATCCTGATATCAGTGGACTGGCTCCAGTGACATATCCGTCCTTGTGTGCGACGGCTGGGGATTATGAAGCCGTGGTTTTCTTACGACCAACATTTCTTAAACCCCTTGGTTGGGTCGGGGCGGGGATCGAACTTGTGAACCTGTGGACCGTAGACAGGCACACAACCTGTTGCGCTACGGCGCGCCCCATCGTAAACGGTTATTTTTTAATTTTTTTTCCAGTCAGAGCTCCACCACAACTTTCCCCGTATCGAATATTCATTTCGGAAGCTCACAAATTCCCAAAGAACTTCAATATATTCGAAACTTGCCCCAAAATAAAGGTTTTCAGACATATTTATAAAAAAAAATCAAAACAATTTTCAGAAATTTTGTGAAGTATCAACTGATTTTTTTATCATTCTGACGCGGTTGTATATCATAAAGATGACATAAAAAAAATGAAAAATATCGAGTCGGACCTATTGGATTCTTCTGTTATCCAAGTTTTTATGGTTCGATGAAGCTCAAGATGCTTGAGTTTCGATGAAAACGTCAGTGGTACGTATGTTTTCCGTTTTTTTTTTCTCGACGATACATTTTTAGTATCAATTCATTGGATTATGTCATATAAAGTTGGCTCTGAAGTTTATTTTCCGAGGGGATTCTTTCATCAAGAAAATTCTGTGAGTTTTCTCAATTTTTCCCAACAAAAATATTAGTTTTAGAACCTTACTTTGGACAATATTTGGTCCAAAAAAGACGCCAAAAAGTCGATTTTATTCCTTAAAGGTTGTGGAGAAGAGCCTCAGGAGAAATACGTCGAGTTTCTCGGAAAAATGGGCCTCAAAGTTTGATTCTTATAATGTTCTAGTTTAAATTGATTCAGATTGATCATGTAGACGCCTGCCACGTCAATAGCAACATCAATTACGATGAATTTGGGTGAGTTTGGCGCCACGGCCACTCGAAGATCTCGTGGTGTAGTGGTTATCACATCTGTCTAACACACAGAAGGCCGGCGGTTCGAGCCCGCCCGAGATCAAATTTTTTTTGCCTTTTATTCCAAAGACATTTTCAGGGAATATATGCTCATCTTCGCGTTGGAATCTAGTCAGTGTGTGTCTTTCATAACGGAGAAGGTCTTTGACATAATGTCGAAGGCGAAAGCTGTGCCAATAGTTCCTAAGTCAACAGTTTTTGCTGGACACCAGGTATTCCCCGTTTTCGCATCAAAAAGAAAGATTTTAGACACCAAAAAGCTCGTATATTTCGATAGAGGAAGGTGGTTTCAAGCAAAATATCGAGTTAGCAATTTGGAACAAGACTGAGTACTTGAAGTATCACGAGTGGAGAAGAACCATGAGGTGAGAAACACCGTGGTCGCATTTGGAATGGTTTTTGAAGCGTTGCGGCTGAAGAAACTTTATTTCAAAGTTTTGAGACGCTCTGAGCCATTCCAAATGCGACCAAAAACTTCCTAAAAAATCAAAAACTTTGAGGCTCCTGCCGAAATGGAACGAGTTCACTGGATTCTGTTCTTTGTGCAATAAATTGATAGAAAATCAACGAAAACCTCTTTGGAACTATTATAATATTTATGATCTGAAAAAGTTCTTTACTTCATTCCCGTGTGAAAAGGATGTATATAAATCTTGATTTCGATATTTTTTATTGTCAGAAAAAACCCTGAATGAAAATCGAAAGTTTCCATCTCGGAAAATGACTCAAAATGACAAGGGATGAAAAAATTATTCGAAATTATCGACTCTTTATTCTATCGATCAAATATATCAGTTAATCGTAGTAGAATTTGTCAGTTTGGTCATTCTTCTCTTGGAGAAAATTAGTGTAGACTCTTCCTTAGGCCTCCGAACAAACTCAAAAAATATGAAAGACACAAAAATCTTTCGCTTCTGAGAGTTTCCAATGATCAAAGATAAAGGTACGATAAAACCTGAAAATCGGCGTTTTGAGAGGAAAACGAAAGAAATTCGAACCTGAAATCAAAAGATTCGAAACAAAAAGCGTGCAGCTCATACACAAAACTAACATATTGTCGAAAGAGGCGACCACAAAAAACTTGTCAAATGACGAAAACTGTAAATTGGCGACGTTTCGCAACCTTTTTTGCGTTTTTCAAACTAACGAATGAATAAATGGAGATCGGTAGAGCTTGTAGAACGACTGTTTTATGGTTTCGATTGGTAGAAACGGAAACCATGGAGATTTGTTTCTTGATATTTCTCAAAATGAGTAGATAACCAGAGATTGTGAGCACAGCCAGTGTGATTTTGACAGTGAAAGCGACCTAAAATGAGATCTAATCTCGGGTTTGAAGTTTCCTTTCTTGTGTAGGATTTTAAACTTAGTTTCTCACATTTTTCTCACATTCATCACATTCCCCCTCATAACCATATAGGAACCACTCTAGCCTTCCTAAATAACGTAAACTTACATAATAAGGAGTTGCTAGTATATCGACTATGAGCTCGAATTCTACAATTGCAACGACTTGCGAGCAAATGTACATTAACACGTACGCAAACAGGAAAAACGCAATAGGCACCGACAAAAAAGTTGCGGTAGCCAAGGCCCTGAAAAAATTAATCATTTCATTCGAAAGAAGCTGAAAAGTAACTTCTTTCTCGGGAAGCCCCCTCATAAAAAAATCATTAAGAATTAAGAATTGGGTCTGCAATATAGTTTCGAAAATGGACTGTTCGACCGACCGTTCGACCAAAATTTTTTAACATGTCATAATAAACGGTCATTGGTCGAACGGTTGGAGTTTCAACATTTCAACATGTCACTTCAGAGTGACATGTTGGTTTTCGACCGTTCGAAATGTCACTTCGAAATTAGTCGGTCAGGTTTCGACCGTTCGAAATGTCACTCTTAAAATGGTCGGTCGGTTTCGTAAATTCAGGAAACTGGTTGGTCAAACGAAAGTTCAGAAGAATGACATGTTATAACCGTTCGAAAAACTGAACGGTCCAATCAGTTGAACGGTCTAATAGGTCGAACGGTCAAATTTTAGAACACTAGTCTGCAAGACTGAGAGATTCTTAAAGTTATCTGAAAGTTGCAGATCTTACAATGAGAATTTGGAACTTTTTAATTTTCTTGATCTCACGGATCTTAAAAATAGTACCATTCGAGATATGAGAAAAATAGTACCATTTGAGGTTCCTACAAAACCCTTTCGCAATACTGAAGAAACTGAAAACTCGATGCAGGCACAGAGCGGCGTCGAGAAAGACTAAGGTCGTAGGGGTCGTCATGAGCAAGAGAGGTTCAAAGAAGGTAGAAGGCGTTTTCGTAGGATCATAGAAGTTTGGAATCAGTCGGAGGAAAAATATAAAACCAGATGCGAAGCCAACAAGGCTCACAAATTCCATCCAAACGACGGCCGGATAGTAATCGAACTGTAGAAAATTCTCATTTTGATAACCCATTATATATATTTTTTTTTTGAAGGCACGTTAGCAGTAAGACAACGGATGTGTGTTGGAAAAATTATTATATTTGGGCTTCTTCTCAAAACTTCAACTTCAGTAGAAAAAAGCCAGGTTAACCTAAAAAAAAAAGGAAGAGAAAAGATCTAACCTTCTTGTCTTCCGGATAGCACTTTATTAGGATCCCAGTGAAGATAATGTGCAAAACGGCGAGGATCAAAAATTGAATGGACAAAATCGCGATAATATAGTTTGCATAAAAGCTGATATTTTTGATCCATTCGGTTTTTTTCAGAATATCAGCAACAACTTCTGGAGGTAATTTCTCCATTTGAGTTAAATTCGATGGTTTCAAGCTGAGAGTGGGGCCACTTGGGCAGGTGAAAGTTCATTTTTATTAAGACGGAGGTGCCTGAAAAATGGAGGAATAGTAAAGAAGTTGCTGCTCTCGTCATTGAAGCGAAAAGATCGACGAGGTTTTTTTTTCATTTTTTTTTTTTTTAACTATTGAAACAATTCAGATTTGAATCTTTCGCTTGCGAATGATATGTTCCTTTTTTAAAGCTTTATTTACACGGCTTTTTATTGAAGAAAGTTGCTCAGAAAGACAAATCGACGACGCATCGGCTGTTGATCTTGCCGTCGAGCATCCTTTGGTAGACCTCGGCGACTTCTTCCAACTTCACTTTCTCGAGGGGCACCTTGACGATGCCTCGTGCCACGAAGTCCATCGCCTCGTCGACGTCGGCTCGGTTTCCGACGATGCTTCCTTTCAGGGTCAGGCCTCGGAAGATGAACGGCGACGTGTCCAAGGTGATCTGGGAAAATGAAGAAAATTCAGGGAAAAACACTATTCTTTAAGGAATTTAGCCCAATTCAATAGAACGAGTTGCAAAGAAAATGGGATGACGTTAATGAGTCATATATTTTTAAACTTGAAAGTTGTGCCATTCAAAAAAGAATTTCTCCAAAACCGCTCCCGAAACTAGTGAGTTACAGTTGCCAGAAATATCTTACCCTTGAGTCCTTCGGAAGACCAACAAAGACAATAGTTCCGTTCTCACGAACATATTCAAAAGTTTGCTCCATCGGCTGTTTAGCTGCGGCCAAGTTGACCACACCGTGAGCACCTCCGTCGGTCAACTGAATTTTTATTCTCACCTTCATGTCATTTTAAAAAAATAACCTCAATAACGGTTTTGATCACATTTTTCGTGTCGAATCCGTCTACAAACCACTCGGCTCCCAACTCCAAACAATGGTCCTTTTTGATTTTGTTGTCGATGGCCACGACCCTCATGCCCATCGCCTTGGCGAATTGGATTCCCAGGGAGCCGAGACCTCCTCCAGCTCCCGTCAGAACTACAGTTTGGCCTGGCTTGACTTCCGATTGCTTCAGGGCCTTGTAGACGGTGACTCCCTGCAAATTTGGATCTGCTCGATCAGTTTTAAACAGATATTCTGAATCCTCGAAAAAAAGTTGAATAAACTCACGGCGCACATAATCGGAGCAGCTTGGGCCAAATTGGTGTGTGATGGGATTTTGGCGGCGTCGATCGCCCGAATGACGAGATACTCTTGGAAAGTTCCGGATCGATTGAACCCATAGTTTTGGGTCACTTTGCAATGTTGCTCATTTCCATTTTTGCAGGATTCACAGCTCAGACAGTGGTTGTTGAACAGCTAAAACTGTAAAATTTCTTGAATGTTAATCGATATTTTGAATCTTCAAACCGCAACGCTAATTGCATAAACCACAAAAAAAGCCGACCGGAAAAGAAATTGAGTTCCCTCCCTTTTTTTTTAAAAATAAGCCGAAGCAATACCTTCAATTCTCACCTTGATGCCAGCCTTATCACCAACTTTCCAGTCTTTGACTTTGGCTCCAACTTGAACAACTTCTCCAGCTCCTTCATGGCCGCCGATCAGAGGAAGTTCGGTGAAGAATTCCAAGTCGCCGAGCCAGGCATGAAGATCAGAATGACAGATTCCAGAGTACAATATCCTGACGAGGATTTCGTCGTCTTTCGGCTCAGGAATCGGGATTTTTTGAATATCCAGAGGTCCATTGAAGTGATCAAAGACCAGGGCGCGTTGCGTTTCGGGGAGACGAACCATTTCTGAGAGAATCGAGAAACTTTGCGAGAAACTGACGTCTTATATAGGGGGAGAGTTCTCGGTAAAAGAAATAAATGATAACAATTGGATGATGGATGACGGTTCTGAATTGGTTCCTACAGTGTAGGTTAGAAAAAAACATTGGAAAGACCTCGAATTCACTTCCTTTCTACCTTTTCGTTTGAGAAAAATATTTTCAAACAGAGTCGTTTGCACTATAGGTTAAAAGGAATCTTTAGGAATATTGCCCGTTTTCACAATTTTTAAATCACTTCGTTTGCTTGATGGTACAATCCCAACGCTTAGAGCCATTCCAAGTGCGACCATAAGCTGATGAGGCTTCAAACTATTTCCTATTTGAAAACTTTATTTTTTTAATTATTCTAACGTTGAAAAAAATCAAAAGGCCGTTGGTCTTTTTTTCACAACTTCGGATCAAAAGAAGTTCTTCACTTCATTTCTTTATGAATATAAACTTTTATTTCAGTCTCATTTAAAGCTTTATTTACACGGCAGCCTATAAATGTACACTTATTTTTTGAGAAAGTTGCTCAGAAAGACAAATCGACGACGCATCGGCTGTTGATCTTGCCGTCGAGCATCCTTTGGTAGACCTCGGCGACTTCTTCCAACTTCACTTTCTCGAGGGGCACCTTGACGATGCCTCGTGCCACGAAGTCCATCGCCTCGTCGACGTCGGCTCGGTTTCCGACGATGCTTCCTTTCAGGGTCAGGCCGCGGAAGATGAACGGCGACGTGTCCAAGGTGATCTAAAAAAAGGCTCTTTGGATTTGGCCGGATTTCAGGAAAAGAACGCGTGGGTTCTTAGAAGTTTTCTCGGTGAAAATTTAAGTCTACTTGAAAAGTTCTGAGATTTCATATGGAACGAGAGAGCGCAGACTGTATGAATGTCAAGCTTTCCAGAATAAAGATTTGATAAATTTGAGATTGAACCGTATGAACTCTTTTATGAGGAATAAAGAGAGCGCAGAACCTTAAAAGTTTCAGAGTATATCCTTCAGTTGCACCGACTTTCAACTGTCTGACTATCTGTCCTCTCTCTTTCTCTCATTTCAAAAGTATCGTACCACATGGAGGAATTTTTTCCCATCTCAATAATTTTTCAAAAGTTCCGTTTCTAGGATAAGAGCGATGCAATCATCTTATCATTGATTCTCTTTCTATTAAAAGAAATTGGAGAGTTTTTGCAGAGAAAGGAAGGGTCCAGACGGTTAGACGATATTCTGAGTTATGTGGTAGAGACTATACAAAACGAATAAAAAGTCCCTCATCTATTTTTTCTTAATTTTTTTTAGTAATGGTTTACCTTCGAGTCCTTGGGTAGACCCACAAAGACAATTACTCCATTTTCTCGGACATATTCAAAAGTTTGTTCCATTGGCTTCTTTGCTGAGGCCAAGTTGACGACACCGTGAGCTCCTCCGTCAGTCAACTGAATTTTTATTCTCACTTTCGTGTCTCTTCAATAAATGAAATACCTCAATAACGGTTTTGATCACATTTTCCGTGTCGAACCCGTCGACAAACCACTCGGCTCCCAACTCCAAACAATGGTCCTTTTTGATTTTGTTGTCGATGGCTACGACTCTCATGCCCATCGCTTTGGCGAATTGGATTCCCAGGGAGCCGAGACCTCCTCCAGCTCCCGTCAGAACTACAGTTTGGCCTGGCTTGACCTCTGATTGCTTCAGGGCCTTGTAGACGGTGACACCCTGCAAATTTTGACCTGCTTGATCAGTTTTTAACCGATTTCTCATTCTGAGTCCTCAAAAAGTTTGATAAACTCACGGCGCACATGATAGGAGCGGCTTCGGCCAAATTGGTATGAGATGGGATTTTGGCGGCGTCAATCGCCCGAATGACGAGATACTCTTGGAAAGTGCCTCCTCGGGTGAACCCGTAGTTCTGGCTTGCTTTGCAGTTCTGTTCGTAGCCGTTTTTGCAAGGTTCGCAGCTCAGACAGTGGTTGTTGAACAGCTGAAATTGACTTTTTATATCAAAAAATATTCGAGATTTCTTTTTTATTAGTTGCCTTAAGTGAATTTATCATTTCTCGCTTGAGAAAAAAGGTCTCTTAACGTTCATAAACCCCACCTCTGCTCTTTCAAACACCCCACGCAGTTTAAAAGATCATCTCGCGCTCTCATTGATAAAAAAAAAACTTCAACTCTCACCTTGATACCAGCTCGGTCTCCGACCTTCCAGTCCCTGACCTTGGCCCCGACTTCGATAACTTCTCCAGCTCCTTCATGACCTCCGACCAACGGGGCCGTGGTCATCGACTCCATTTCACCGAGCCAAACATGAAGATCAGTGTGGCAGATTCCAGAATACAGGATCCTGACGAGGATCTCGTCGTCTTTCGGCTCAGGAATCGGGATGTTGCGGATTTCCAGCGGGCCATTGTACTGATCGAAAATCAGGGCGCGTTGTGTTTCGGGAAGACGAACCATTTCTGAAAAAGACATTATGCGAGAAAGGACGTCTTATATAGCAGAAAAGGTTCTCAGGAAGAGAAACGATAACAATTGAATGATGAATGATGATTCTGAATCGCTCCCTATAGTATACGTTGGAAAGGTCCTGGACTCATTTTTTCTCTACCCTTTTCCATAAAAAGGAAAAAGTAATTCACCTACACTATAGGTAAGAAAGAACTGTGGTTTTTATAGAAACACTTTTTTTTTAGCCTACTCCGCCAAAAAATCCTTCAGGTATTGGACATTGAAATTTTGTACAACCTAGAAACTTTCGAAAGGTACCAGCTACCTTTGCAAAAAAAAAGTTAAGGAAGTTCATCCCGTTGATCTCAGGGCCCTCTTTTATAGGAGTTCCTGCAAGAGAATCACATGAGGGGTACTATTGACTCCGAGGCGTGGCTTCTTCTTTGGCACGTTCGCTACAACTGTTATTTCGCCCGAAACCCAGAAAACGATCATAAGATCAAGAATTGGTCGACCTTCACTCTCGTTTTCCTGCAAGGAAAGAGTGTAGTTTCATATATTTTTTTGGATTAGATATCACTTATTCCTGTTTCAGAGAGACAATGTCGCACATGGAATGGCTCAACGTGTAACGGCTTCCGCACGGTTACGTTAAAAACAGAAAACGCCTCCGGAAAGGAAAATGGGTATGCGACTGAAAATGAAGCAGCTTTAATATCATCACAATATGATCTAACGCGCAAGCCGTTTCAGGTCGGACGCGGTTTTCTCAGAGTTTTAGTTAACTTTTTTCTTCATGTTCAAATCTCAGGTTGAGGTCAAAAGGCTTTCTTCAATGTTTTCCAAGAAGCGCGAGCCGTTTCAAGTCGGGCGCGTCTTGTTATTTCTAAATTGAGGTTTAAAAAGCGTCTCATTGCGCTTCGATTTACTGTAAAGTGAACAAAAATCAGTACTTTCAAGGAAATTTGGAATCAAAGTTCTTGTGAAACAAGTTTTCCTAGAGAGAAACGAAACGTGACAATTAAGGGAACGGTCATTTCTCCAAGTTTTTTAAAATCACTCCTCTCATTTTTGACTTCTCTCTTTCTTTACTCATATTTAAACCTTTCATGTTGTTATTACATATTTTGGAAATTAAAAATTGATAAAAATTATTTAGTGAAGCTATGAGGACCTGTATAACAAGAAACTTTTTGGATTTTTTGAAAAAAATTGAGTGTGCATTTAAAAAAACAACACCGTCTTTTTTTCAATTTTTTTGCTTTTTTTCTTTGAAGTTGCCTTTTTTTCACTTTTTCCCATTTGTCGAATAATGCCATTATTATATTTATTATAATGGTCACAAAAAAACTCTCTTACTGATAACCAATGGTTTTCTAAATTCCTGATCTCAAAATTGCTGATTTCGCGTTTTCTTCAACGTGTTTATCATCCATAGAATGTTCATGGGCAGTAAAAAAGGCGGTTTCGAGATAAAAGTAATAGTTTGTTGAGCTTTTCATTGCGCTCCTTATGGTAGTTAGAACAAAAAAAGATCAATCCGTTCGAAAGATATCTAATTTTTTTATCCGCTCATGATTGCGCTTTTAATCAAATTATTTTTTTAAGGGTAAACCTCGAGAAGCTGTTTTTTTAGAAAATAAAAAAATGTCGATTGACTTTCGAATTTTTATTTGAAATTGTCAATTATCAGTAAAGTTTACAAGCTTATTTCACAAGTTTATATCATAATTGAGAGTCTTTAAGACGGAGAAATAGAGAAAAAGCATAAAAAAATCGTAAGTTGAACTCCGTCTAATTTATTTAACGTTAAAACTTTCATACTTACTCATTGGAAAAAAAAGATTAAAATAAGAAAAACGGTGTCAAACTGCAGAAAGTCTTATTTTTCGAGAAATTAGAACTCTAAGTTCAAATATGACCTTTTCAACAGTATTTTATTTTTTTTCAGGCGACTTCTCTCAAAAATCAGAAAGTAGAGCAGATTGAAACCGCCAGGATCTCCAACTGGTATCTTCAATCACTCTCTTTTTTCGTTCTAGTCGTGGATGTAATCGACTAGGCGGTGAACAATAGACAAAGCTATAACGCACAACCGCCTTTGGCGAGCTAGAAGTCCAAACGTGTAGTTGATCATGTTGGAAGCATGGTCTTGGTGCCTCGTTCTTCTGCGCGTAGTTCATCCAGTTGCACCTTGACGAGCTCAGAATGTGCGAATGTTGTACTGGAGCCCGGAGACCGTGCTCTAGATGGAAGCTTCGAAAGAAGACTAGTCTTAATAAGTATTCGGACCGAAACAAAAACTAAACTGACCCTCACTGTTAATATTTTCTAAAGTAAACTTTTTGAAATAGTACATTCGAGTTTTTGCTCGCTCTGTGTGTAGCTTGTTTTCTAGAGAGAGTGATCGTAATGGTTTCTCGAGTGCAGCTTACACTCGACACGTGCCCGCTCGAATTGTTTTGTTTTGCAAAGAGACCATCGAAACGGCCCAAAGATCAACAACTGATTGGCCTCTGTTGATCTCTCGTAAATAGGAAGCAGTACTTTGTGTCCTCTTTTGGAGCCAAATCGTGCAAAATTAAGTATGAAAATAAGAGAAAAGGCTTTTTCGACGGATCAAACCCAGTTCCTCCTCATAAGGAAGGTCCTTTACTTTTTTACGTGGCCAGGGCACTTCTTGAAGTACCAGAAAAAGGTTCTGAAAATCTTGCCCCGCACATTTTTTGGTTTTTTTGAAAAAACACAAAGTCGATGAAATCACTCAAAATTTGTTAAATTTTGGTATCTTTGGGCTTCGAGCCTATATTTCTTGTAAACAAAAAACTTTTGCAGGTTGAAAACTTCAGAATCTCTTTGTAGTACATCAAGAAGCGTTCTGCCGATTTTCAGGGAATTCTTAGACTTAAAGTCAAAAGTCACTGACCTTCCTTGTCAGAGCAAAAAAAGTTAACCAAAAAAAAAAAATTTTTTTCTGATTTTTTAAGAATCATTTCTCAAAGAAAAACCTAATAAGACTTTTCTGAAAATTTTTCAAAACCCAATGAACGAAAAATAGCATCGAAACCGTACATTTTCAGAATAAACGTTTTTTTTCTACCTTTCCCTTGAAAATGTGTACAAATACTCCTCAATCACCTTTCTTGTTAGTTGTAGATCTCTTTTCACAGCATCGAATATTTCACTCACGATTTTATGACCACGAACTCGTCTTATCGAAATCTCATTTTGCCAAAGTATTTTTCTATCTGACGCGAAACGTAACAAATGATGCTATTCTGTTTTTGCTTGAAATTCAACCTATCACAAAACTTTCAAAAAACTTTATTCAATAAAAAATTTACAAGTTTGTTCAGTCTTCAGAGAAGATTATCTGCTGAACCAGAGTGTAGTATTAAATAACAATATATACAAAATATGTACAGTTGAAAACAAATTTACAGGGAAAAGTCGATGACACACCGGCTATTCACCTTCCCATCTTTCATTCTCTTGTAGACGTCGCCAACGTCTTCGAGTCTCACCTTTTCCAGCGGCACTTTGATTGCTCCTCGAGCCAGGAAGTCCATCGCGGAGTCGACATCGGCACGATTTCCAGTCAAACTTCCTTTTAGGGTCAGAGCTTTGAAGACGAATTGGGTGGCGTCGAAGGTCATCTGAAGTGGAAAACTTTTAAAAAAATCTAGTTAAGATTTCATTTTCTGATAATCCGGACAAATACACACTTCATTAGAGCATTCTGGAGTGAGCCTCATGTAAGGAACTTCATGTTAACAACAGGAAAAATTGAAAAAATAAAAAAATGTTTTTTCTGAGCACTTCAAATCTGTCAGATTTTGAAATTTTAGTAGTCATTCAAGCTCCGCCCCTAATGGCGCGATGAACCAATCAGAGAGCTAGCCATCCACAGAGCGTTTTCTAATAACGTCCTTGCACTTGACGTTCAAAATCCGGACCTACTATATACCATCACAACTTCATATATACCTCTAGAAACGAGGTTTGCTTATCAAAAAAAAGATTTTGATATTTTTTCGAACCCAGAAACCTTGGCATCCTTGGGAAGACCAACAAGAACGACAGTTCCGTTCGCCTTGACGTATTCCATGGACTGTTCCATTGGTTTCATGGCGACTGCGAGGTTGACGACGCCGTGGGCGCCTCCACCGGTTAGCTGAAGTCGTCCTTTTAATTTTCTAAGTCCACTTCACATAGGGGTGTAGGGGTTATGGGAAAAACGACCCCTCTAGGGGCCAAAAAACTTCCTCCTATAGGTGTAAGATTTAAGTGGCCCCTATAGGGGTTAAAGGTCTGACCCTTGAGTCACTAAAGCTCGCGTAATTTTTAAATTTTTTTTCAGACTTTAAAATTTTTCAATACTATTTAGATTGCTAGAAAAGTAAGGAAAAGCTATAAAATGCCACTTTCATCTCAAATATGCAGAACACATTGAAGAAAACTGGAGAAAAACCACTTTTTAAGAAACCATCAAGACCATTGGACTTGAAAAAAAGCTTTTTCACATTCATACAGACTTCATTTGATTATTACTTTATGAAAAACTCCACCTCCTTGACCTTCTCGACCACTTTCTCCTCTTCAAAGCCATCGACGAACCATTCGGCTCCCAGTTCCTCACACAGTTTTTTCTTATCTGTGCTATCAATGGCCAGGACTCTCATGCCCATCGCCTTGGCGTACTGGATTCCCAGGGAGCCGAGACCTCCTCCAGCTCCAGTCAGAACTACGATTTGGCCCTGCTCCACCGAAGACTCTTTCAGAGCTCTGTACACAGTCACTCCCTGAAAAAAACTTTATTTCAGTTTTTTTCTTTAGTTTTTTTGTTCAGAAAAAGCTTACTGACTTTTTTCCAAACGCTTTAAAGTTTGTTTTGGACTTTTAGAAGAAAAACCTTTAGTTTCTGGTCTCTCTTGCAAGCTGCTGATAAAAAAATGATAAAATTGATAAGTTTCTTTTTTTAAGCAGATGAAATTCTCAAAAAAATTAATTTCTTTTGAAATTTTTGTCAGCGGAATTTGGAAAGGTTTAATTTTTCTTTACTTTAAATTGAAATAACCGAGAAAAAAAGTTTTTTTATCATGCTTTTTCGGAAAGTGTTCCGTATGGAAAATCTTCTAATTTGTTTTCAAAATATTCAAGAAAAAGACAAAATCCTTTCTTAATATGTTTATTCGGACTTTCTCTATATAATCAAAGTCCCAATCTTCTAGATGTAGCTTTTTTTAAAGCTAAAATATGAGCTTTAAACTTTAAAAAGTCTCAAAAAAAAAAAAAAAGTATAATTTCAACTCACCGCACACATGATCGGAGCAGCTTGGGCCAAATCAGTATCTTTTGGGATTTTCGCGGCATCAACTGCTCGGACAACGACAAACTCTTCGAAAGTTCCCGGGTACTTGAACCCGTAGCCTTTTTTCGCCTCGCAACTCGTCTCGTGCCCATTTTTGCAGTATTCACAGAACAAACAGTTGTTGTTGAACAACTGAAAAAAAATTTTTTTTTTCTCAAAACAGACTTTTTTTTTTTTTGTTTCTTTCGTGTGTTTATTCTCAAACTTAAGTTAGAAACAAGCGTAAAAAAAGGAATATTAAAGGCGCATGTTCAATATGTCCTGAGACGAATCATTAAAAAAAAAAACAATTTTTCTGCTGACGTGTTTGAATTGATTCCGCTGAATCCAAAATAGCCGCCAGAAAGTGAAAACTGAATTTTGAAAATTCAGAGATGATTTTGAATTTCGCAAAAATTAAATTTGAACGCGGCGTGTGCGAGAGCGCCGCAGTGCATGCACACTATACACTACACTTCACGGAAAAAAAGGCGGGGCGTCGTCAAAATAACGCCGCGTGTAGGATCTTCCTCATGCATGAAAAACATTGTTAACAGAAGAACGATGTTGATAAAAACTCTAAATAATTTTTTTGTGGTGCCGATAAAAAAACAAGAGACCATTTTCTAATATAAGAAAGTCAAAATGGTGAAAAAGGGATGATTTTCCAAGCAAAAAAGTCCATCAATTTGTCATTAAATTCAAGTTCAAAATATCATTCCATGATTCCAAAAAGATAAAAACAGCAGAAAATCCAACTCTGACCTTGATACCAGCCTTATCGCCAACTTTCCAGTCCTTGACCTTGGCTCCAACTCCAATAACTTCTCCAGCTCCTTCATGCCCTCCCACCAACGGAGCCGTGGTCATTGATTCCATGTCGCCGAGCCAAACATGAAGATCCGTGTGGCAGATTCCAGAATACTTGAGCTGGACCAACAGTTCGTCATCATTGGCTTCAGGAATCGGAATATTCCGCACTTCTAGCGGTCCTTCGTACTCGTCGAAGAATAGAGCGCGTTGAGATTCAGCCATTTTCCAGTTAAAATCGAAAAGAAAAAAGGGAGGATGCCAGAGTTGTTTGTTGTTTATTTCTAGGCGTTTAGGTTTTTGAGGCCCACGTGCGTTTGTTTCATCGAACTACAACTCAATTTTTAAGATGGGAAGGTAAAACATATGAATTATTGAAGCTGAAAAATGAACATTCGGGCTAAAAGATGGGTTTTCTGGTTATTCAATGACCGAGGAACAGTTAATTAGTGGAATTTTAGCTTTTTACTCAAAAATATAAGAAAAAAATTGTTATAATCCACAGAAAACTGCAATTTTTTTGAATATTCTGTTCGAAATTATAGCTGATTTGAAAGTTTTTCTGCTGTTTCAAATTCTTTCTCATATTCTTAAAAAAATACTCCATGCGAAGAATTCGTTATACGGTTTTTTTCATTTTGCTTCATGTAATCAAATTTCAAGTCTAAGTTTCAATTTTTTCTAATTTTCAAATTAACTTTGATGTAAATCTTTTTTTCTTTTGAAAAAAATAAGTCCAAAGACGAAAAAAAATCAAACATTTTTCTTCCGAGTTTTTTTCATTTTTTTATAAAATTCGGTTTAGTATAGAATTTTTTTAAAAAGTAATTTCCTTTTTTCTACCGTGTTCCTCAATTTTTTTGTAAAATTTCAACACTAGTTTAATTATTAAGAAACGATTTATTTATTATTGTGGCGCCTTTTCGGCGCAAAAAAGGCCTTTTTTTTGGTTTCCCTGGTTTTCCCCCAATCGATGCGTTCCTCTTTCGCCATTTTGTTTGTTTGCATTTTTGTGGGAATGGTCTTTTTTTGGTTTCACAACTCTTTGCCCACCTCGAAGATTGTTTTCTTTGCATAAAATTGAATATTTCGAAACCTTCCTCTTGCATAAAAATGATAAATACTTGCGAGACTCACGCAACAAAGAAATTGAATCACACTTTGAAATCTCATTTCTATTTTCACTGACTCACAAAGGTCTCGATCTGACATTTTCAATCAAATCAATCAAAGAAACCTTTTTTTCTTCTTTTTTTTCAAACCTCGCTCTTATCGTTGAACTTCGGTCCTTTTAAGGGGCAGAACGGCAGTTTTCCCTTCTTTTCAGTCGACAAAACCGTTCTTTTGTGGTTTCCTTCTTTTCAAACATGTCCGACGCCGGTGAAGAGTGAGTTTTGGTTTTTTTTTTCAAGGTTTCCATCAAATGAAATAAACTTTCATGAAAATACCCCACAAACTACTAAATGATAAACAAAGATGATTCCGTAATGAAAGATAATTAAATTTGAAAAGTCAGAGATAATTTTGCATTTCGCGGAAATTACTTTGAACACGGCATAAGAGCACGGTTTGACGATAATGCGCTCTATCGCTCTTTTTTTCATTTTGTCATTTTTTTACTCTTAATTTTTTTCTTTCTTTTTTTAACGTTATTTTTTTCATTCCTTTTTATAATTTTTGTCCGAATTTTAACTTTTTGATAATGTGAAAATTGCAAGAATTCATAGCACTAGGTAACTTTTTATTCAAAAAAAGTTTCAACGGGAATTATTTTTTTCAATTTAAAATAGTTTCATTTGCTATATTTCTCTATATAAAATGCACTCTGTCTTTTTCAGTTATAAATAAAGCATGAGACAGCGAAACAATTTCAAAGCTTCACATGACGTTTTACCAATAATTTGTTGTTGTGAATCACATCTCTCATTTTCCTCTTTTCTCATAAATCACAACACATTTTTGTCTTTTTTAAACTGAATTTAAGGATGACTCAACGAAACTCCGACATTCGTTGCTAGAATGCGCTTTTTCATTTTAGTTTTCCGTGAAAAGATAGTTTATTTTCCTCCCGAAACGTTTGACCTTGAAGTTTTTCGGTCGTTGCGACGGCAGAAATAAAAAACGAACGGCAGGAAAAGTGTAATGTTTTTCCGTCCAACCGCCCCGTTTCGTATTAATTTTCGGTTCTGTTTAAAGGTTCTTTCTCCTATGAAAAGAGCACAAATAACTTCTTTCCTTTTGAATATGTTTGTATCGAGACTTTTCACTTAAAAATGTGGCTGTGGTAATGAATCCGATTATTTTTTTTGTCGTTGAATTTGCTTTTAGAAGGTTATAAACTATCCAGAATTTTTCTAGCGAGAGTCGCTCTTCGGCTTTATGTTTATAGAATTTCACATTTCAAGTTCACCATATTTTTCATTTATTCGCATTCGGTTTTTAAAAATTCTCTCAAACGAAGCAAATATCTCCTTTTTTATCACCCTTCCAAAATAGTGACTTTTGATAGTTTTTCTGGTTCTTTTTTTGAATCCCTCATTTTTCTGAAAATGAAGCTTTTTCAAAAATAAAGATCCAAAAATTTAGAAAAAAATTAGAAAAAAATTTTTTTAGATGAAATTTTTCCTTCGAATCTTCGTTAGTCAGAGTGCACTGATAATTAAGAAACTCAGAGAAAAAAAACCTCTGTTTTTTTTTTATTTTTGAGCGATCTCTAGCTTTCGAAGATTTTAACGTAGACTCGTACCTCGGTACCGCAAACCGGACGCGCCCCGTGCGTTTCTAAGTTCATTTAGTGACCACTTTAGCGACTTCAGCACTCTTTTGAGATCACTAGAGCTGCTCAGAAACGCCCGGGCGCGTCCATTTTGCGTTGCCGATGTCTCAGGACTCTTAAAAAGAATTTTCTAGCTCCCTTTTCTTCGGCAAGTCGTTGAAAATTTAGTAGGAATCTGTATTTTTTATATCTTTCATTTTCTAACGTTACATCTCTTGCAGAATGTATCTAGAAGCCGAAACGGACTTCGGTCTGAACATCCTGCGGACGCAAGCCTTGAACGACTCGCTCGTCTTCTCGCCGCTGTCGATCGCCTTGGCCTTGTCGCTGCTCCATGCCGGAGCCGGTGGAAATTCACGTTCTCAGATCGCCAGCGCCATCGCAAAGGGTACCAGAAAATGAACATTTTTGAATAAACTATCAAACTCAGGCGCCAATGACGACCAACTCGCCCAGCACTACGCATCTTTGTCTGAATCCCTTTTGAAATCGAAAGAAGGCGTCCAGGCTCTCGTCGCTAACCGGGTTTTCGCAAAGTGAGGGGATGCAAAATCAAGAAAAAAGATGTATTTCGATATATTTTTATCGATATTGGGTTGTTGAAATGCAGTTTAAATCTCCCTTTTCTCATATTTTTGCAAACTTTTTTCTCGAATTTTTCGTTTTTGAGGTTTAATAATCCTCCAAGAAAGGCCCCCTAGAAGCTTCTTGTAGTCTTTGAAGGCGAAAAATTAGACTTGAAAAAAATTTCAAAACTGTTTTTTTTCAAAATTAGAATTTCTCGGATCTCTTTTTTTATTGAAATTTTTCAACAAAAAGGGTCTCAGAAGATTTTTTTCTACATAGGCAAAGTCGGAAAAGGGGGAAAAGGCGTCATAGAAATGTTCCTTTTAGGGTGAAAAAGCTCTCCTTTTTTCTGCCCTTTTGCGCAATTTTCTCAATCCTTATGCACCTTTTCGCTGCCTACTTTTTTTCCACCATTTCTTGAGCCTTCAAAATCCCAGAAAAAAAATGGAAGGCTCGCTAAAGGGACTCTTATTGCTGCCTTTTTGCGGCCTTTTAGCGGCCATTATACACCTGTCCGACTTTGCCCGAGTATACTTTTTTGAATATTCAAAGTTGTTTTAGTAAATGAGTGATTTCCATTAAAATTCTTCATTTCGAACTCTTCAAAAGCTCAAAAAACTTTCAGCAAAGGCTTCAAAATCAAGCAAAGCTACCTGGACACGGTGAAAAAGCAGTACAACGCGGGCGCCGAAGTTCTCGACTTTGATCAGGCCGACCCCTCGGCGGCTGTTCGTTTTTAAACTTTTCTGACCCCGTAAAAACAACAAGTCTTCCTTCAGAAGATGAACAAGTTCGTCGAGGACAACACTGGCGGAAAAATCAAGGAACTCATCAAGCCTGACGCTTTGAAGAGTTTGAAAAAAATGTCAAAAAAAAAGGTGGAGAAAATTTCCAGATGCCGTTGCTTTCATCATCAACGCTCTGTACTTCAAGGGCGACTGGGCTGACCAATTTTACGCCACCCAAACTCACAATTTGGATTTTCACTCGTGCGAGAAGACCAAGCGATCTGTGGGGCTTTTGAAGTGTTTTTCGGGTTAAAAAACAGGAGAAAATTGGGCGCTAAAAGAGAGAGGCTCAAAAAAGGCCGCAGAAAGGCAGCAAAAAGAGTCCCTTAGGCGAGCCTTCCATTTTTCCTGGGATTTCAAAGGCTCGAGAAATGGTCGAAAAAGGGAAAGGCAGCAAAAATAGTGTACAGGGTGACAAGTAAATATTGAAACCGTTTTTTGTTTGATCGCTGCTTTTTGCACAAAGGACTGGCCTTTGAATTTTTTTGTTTATTTCGTTCATTCATGCTCACTTATCATGTGTTTGAAGTCACAGCTCATACTTTTCAGTTTTCAGGTAATGGTGGCCCCATCTCCGTACCGTACCGCAATCATTGATTGTGTCAAAAGCGGAATGACGAATTCAGAGATCGTTAAAAAGCTGAAAGTGTCTCGTGTTCTCGTTTTTCGAACTGCACAACGTTATCGGCGTCTCGGTGCTTCAGATGACATGCAAAGAAGTGGACGTCCAGTCACCGTCACGACTCCAGAAGCAGTCAAAGCCGTTCGAGAGAAAATCAGACGCACTCCGGAAAGAAGCATGAGAAAGATGTCAAAAGAATACGAAATGAATCGAGAATCGATGAGAACTATTGTCAAGGACAAGCTGAAGATGATTCCCTACCGTATGCAGAAAGGAGCCTTCCTCAATCAAAAAAACAAGACATTCCGGATGAAAAAGGCTCGAAAGCTGCTCGCTGGCAGGAAAGATGGCTCGCATCTGACGACGCTATTTACCGACGAGAAAATCTTAACTGTGGAGACGAACAAGAACGGCCAAAACCATCCGATCATCGCTACTGACTATCAGAGTGCCTGTGAAAAAGAAAAAATTCTGAATAAAACTTCGCATCCGGCTTCCGTGATGGTTTTTGCCGGAATTACCGCTGACGGCAAAACTCCGCTGGTTTTTGTGGATCCTGGAGTCAAAGTGAACCAAGTATACTACAGGGAGCAGATTTTTAAAGTTGAGGGTGTTGCCCATGAGCCAATTCTCACTACGGAAAGCCGACCATGGACCTTCCAGCAAGACGGCGCCCCCGCTCATCGTGCCAAAGGGACTCAAGAGTGGTGTCGCGCCAATTTTTCCGAGTTCATCTCGGCTGCTGATTGGCCTGCTTCCTCGCCCGACCTCAACCCGATGGACTATGCCGTGTGGATATATCTGACCGAGAAGGTCTCTTCTAAGAACTACCCAAGTATCAAAGCTCTGAAGACCGCGCTCATCAAGAAATGGGACGAAATCGACGACGACTACCCTCGTGCCGTGATCGATGCGTATCCGAAGAGACTGAAGGCCGTTATCAAAGCTAAAGGAGGACGTTTTGAAAACTATTCTTGAATTTTGTTTCTATATTGTATGAATAAAATTTGTTCCAAGTTTGGTGGTGTTTGGTTGACTTTTGAGAAAGTTATAACGTTTCAAACGCGTTTCAATATTTACTTGTCACCCTGTAAAATAGCCGATAAAATGGCGCAAAAGGGCAGCAAAAAAGGAACCTTTGTCACCCTAAAAGGAACATTTCTATGGAGCCTTTTTCCACCCTTTCCGACCTATTCGAAAAACGTTGAAAAAAATTTTAAAAGTGGAAATTTTTGCCATTTTCGACGGTGTTTTTTTTTCGAAATTGAAGAAAAATGTCTGTCAAAAAAGTTCAAAAATGACGTTTTCAGTGTATTTATTTCATTTTTATCGGATCGGTAAAAACGAAGAAAAAAACCATTCATTTTTCAAAAAAAGTCTTAAATGGGAAGTTAGTATTTTTTTCACAGTTTACAGGGTTTCCGGGATGAAAAAAATTGATTTTTAAATTGTTGGAGAATTTTTTTCGAATTTTTGAGCTTTCTGAAATTTTTTTCTATTCTTAACAGCTGACATTATTCGAGAGAAAAGCTTTTTTTAAATTTTTTTGATTTTCGAAAAAAAAATTTTTTTAATCACTGAACTTCAATTTTTTTGACCGATTTTTGCGTTTTTTTGTAATTGAATTTTGATACTTCTTAAAATGAGGATTTATTTGGTTATAAGTTTTTGAAGGTTCCTTTCCTGAGCGAATCCGAGGTTAACCGAAACTATGCATCGGATGACGTTTTTGAGGTTTTTTTTTTCCAGCAAGAGAAGAAAATGAACTGGTAAATTTTCAAGGTCCTTTCGCTGAACTACAAGGACAGCAGCTACTCGTTTGCTGTTTTTCTGCCAAAACAGAGATTTGGACTCGAAAAGGCTGTCAAGGTGAGAAAAAAAAGATGAAGATGCGGAAATTGGAAAGATTTAAAAAGATAGTTGATAACGCCTGGATTGGACAAAAAAAAATGGAAACTGGTTCCTTGATTTATATTAAAAATATTCACAAAAAAATCGGCGCGATTTTTGGAAAACGTTTTTTTAACCAACTTTGAAAAATTTTTTTATTTATTGGTATGAATTTTTCAAAGTTAATGAATTTCTATGTAGGATTAAATAGAGTGTTTTTGAAACTAAATTGATAAATTAACAGAAAAAAATCGAAAAATTTCAAAATCCACTTTGAAAATATGATGGATAAGAGATTTTTCTTGTCCCAAAGTGATTGAACTTTGTGATTTTTTTATACTTTCTCTGAAGTTTGTGTCTTTTCTTTGGATGATTCGATTTCAAATCTTCAATTTTTTTGACTCGAGAATTTTTTTCCAGTCCCTCGACGCCAAGCGATTCCAGAAGCTCTTGTCCAGCTTGTCGTCTACTTATATCAATGTAGGACCTTGATTTTATAAGAAAAAATTGTGATTCTTTAGATCAACATCCCGAAAATGAAGGTCGAGAAGGAGATTGACCTGAAGCCGGTCTTGGAAAAGTTGGGAATTACGGAAGTTTTCACGGATTCGGCTGACCTCAGCGGAATCGCCGACGACATCAAAGTGTCGGACGGAAAACACAAGGCTCTCATTGAGGTGGGCAAATCTGGCTTTTTCTCTTCGTTCTGTCGGCCTCTGCTTGGGGTATTTTCATGGTTTTTTCTCAGAAAAAAAATAATTAAAATTGAAGGAAAAGACATAAAAAGAACATTATTAGAGAAGTGAAAATGTGTTGAAAAGGTTGGGAACTCCAGAATGGTCCCTATAAAGGCAACCTCAGGAATTCTTAGAGGGTCCGCTCTAGGGACAACTTCACCTACCCCTATAGAGGCCACTAAAGCTCACAAAAGTGATCCCTATAGGAGATAGGCTAATCTATAATTTTCATGTACTCTAGCGATGTCCATGCGAAAAATTTAATGAATAAGCGTTTTTTAATAAAGTTGAAAGACTTCTATAGGAATAACTTAAGCTTCAGGGGCTTTGGGGAGATACCCTAAACCCCTATAGGGACCACCTTGATTTTGCCCGTGTCTGGACCGCTTTTTCGGCCCCTATTGGGGCTGTTTTTCCTCCTGACCCCTATAGGGACCGCTCTGAAATTTCTAAGGATCTTATAAGTCAGAAAAAATGAACTTTGATGCTTCAGAATATTGAAAAAGCTTGAATTGTTCATGAAATTTTGCGCGTAAAATACTATGTTTTTTGTGCATCCTTTGTCATCATTTTTGAGGAGGACAGTTATTTTATATTTTATTAGATTCCAATGTGAAGATTTAAAAAAATCGGCCTTCTTTGTGCTTTATGCGACCTTCTGAATTTTCGGTGATTATTTTTTTGATGGGCTAAGAAAAAACCGATATGATTGATAAGAAAAATACCGTGCTATAGAAAGAAAACTATAAAAAAAATCACTTTTATTGAGCATTTTATTTTTTTTTGCGCGTCATGTCATACGCATTCTGTGAATACACCACTTTTGAACTACAGTAATCGAAAATTTCTCGATTCCCGATCCAGCACAATATATGCTTTGGCACGATTTATTCACCAAAGTGTTTTCCTATTTTTCTACCCATTAGGTCGATGAGAAGGGAACGACGGCCTCTGCGTCGACTTTAATAAAAATGGTCCGAAAGTGTGCAAGGACAACAAAACCGTTGACTTTCTTCGCCGATCATCCATTTTTCTTCGCCTTGCTCAAGAAGAAGCATCCAGTTTTCCTCGGAGTCTATCAATAAAGTGGGAAATATGATGGAATTTGGAGTTGTGTTGATTTTCTTGGGTTTTCGTGGGGATCTCTTCTTCTTGCTGTGCTTTTCTGGGTGGTTTCATTGGTTCGGATGGATGAATTTTGAAATTTGAAGTGGTAGTTATTATGGTTTAAAGTAAGGGCTCTTGTTCCTTTCAGATTCTTTTCCTGCTCTTTTTTTTGTTCTGGGACCACTTTTTTCCCTTTTCCTACGTCACAGCGGACTCCAAGTTCAAGAACTCAGTTAAAAGGAGAAAAAAAAATGAAAAGTTCCAGAGATCTTTCGTTGGTAAAGTTGGCTAAGGCTGGTAGCACATTAGGCAAATGAATCAGTTTGATAAATCTAGAGATTTTCATAAGAGCGCGAAATCTTCAATTTTTCGTATTTTCTATAAAGGTGAGGAACCTTGTACGCATACAAGTCTCTGTTGAAATCTTCACAGAAGTTTTCAATGGAGCATAGACTTATTTTGAAAAGTCTCGTGGCGAAGAGCTGTTATTTTATTTTGGTCGTGCAAGACTTGAACAGAGCTTTACTTGTTCATTCTTCACGACTTGAAACAATCTGACCTGTCTGCGCTCTCTATTCCCTCACCTGAAGGGGTAAAGAAGCCTGAAAATCATCATTTTATTTTGGTTTTGGCAACATCGGGATGGTATGGTGATGTTGCAGGGAGGTAGCCTAAAAACACGCAGAGAAAAGTGAGACTGTTTCAAGTGGTGATGAACATAGGGGCCGCAGACGAATTTTCAAAAAAAATGTTTCAGCGTTGAGCTTTGTATGGTTTGATAGCTGTTTCGATTCAAAACTCAGAACCGTTTAGTTTTTCAAAAAAGATTGAGGATGAAAAAAGTTATGACAAAAAATGTGGCGCGCCGCGCACCATTTTTTTAGTACTGAAATTTTGGTATTATCCATTTTTGACATTTTTCTCGATTTTTCTTCTAGAAAAAGTTTTGATACTGGTCTATTATGATGTAACAAATCATAATAGAGTGCTAAAATGCTGCTAATCAGCTAGTTTGCCGAAAAAGTCGGTATTTTCCAGAAAACAAAAAACTGACGCTTGCGGGCATCGAACTCGCGACCTCAAAATGAAATTTCGCAGCGCATGCGCTGCGCCAAGTTGTTAAGTCTAGCGAGGGGAGCTTCCATCCGCCTTACCCTTGAGCCGTTTGAACAGCACAGATTGCCTATTTCAAAAAGAAAAGTTTGAAGTAATTTAGCTATTCCTATCAGAATATGTTCGCAAATCTTTACTCAAACTTTCCGTGGAAATTCAGTTCGAAAAAAACTGTTTTTTTAGCGGTTTCTGCCTCGTACAACGATCGCTGCTTTAAAACGGCCCCGTAAATTTTTTTGGCAAAGACGAATTTTTTTATTTTTATTTCTTTTTAATTGAAAGATTTTTTTACTAATAAATGTAAATAATCGTTTTAAAAAAACCTGCGTTCGACCGCTTTCGGTGTGATAAACGCCGCTACTTTTTATTCTCTATTTTCAAGAGCATTTTTGCGTATCAAACAACTTTTTTTCAAGTACATTTTTCTGTGTAGAAAAAAATTTAAGTAAGCCCATGATCTAAATTTTGAAAAAAACAAAAAAACTCGATTATATTCGCTTATTAACGATATTTTTGAATTATGGCTTTCGGCACTCCCTAAATTTTTTTGGCAAAGACGAATTTTTTTATTTTATTGTTTTAAAAAAAATACCGTTACTTGAATCAAAAATCATTATATAAAAAAAGAAAGAGTGCGTTCGACCTGAAAAACACATGGAAAAAGCAAAAAAATGACAAAAATTTTTTTAGTTCCATTCACGTTTTTTTGTACGAAATTCCGCGAGAACGCATCAAAAAAGCGTGAAATATTTTTTAAACGAAAGAGGAAGCTTTTCTGTACATGTGTGTCGAATTTTATTAGCCAGTTCCACATATTTTGCAACTACAACAAAATGAAAGTTGAAAACCAAAAAAAGCCACTTTTTCTATCGCGAAAAGGGGCGTGGCTTTGCGGTCCCTAGATGAACGGCTTATACTTGAATGGACTGTCGAAATTTTTTCATTTTCCTTTTTATATTCTCCACTGTTGGGCGGCTAGCTTCTACTATTACTTCTACATGTTTTCTCGAAACTTGATGATATTCTGAAAAATCAAATCGGTCAGGTGGACGAGGAAGGCACGACGGCCTCGGCTTCGACGGCTCTCAAGATTGTGCCGAAAATGGCGCGAATGCAGCGTCCTCTCGATTTCACAGCCGATCATCCGTTTGTCTTTGCCCTCGTCAAGGACAGTCATCCACTCTTCATCGGTGTCCATGCTTAATTAAATTTCGATTTTCCATGCTCTAACCGATTGAAGATTTATTAACGCTTAATCTGGGTTTTTGTTCGTAAATTGCATAATTTCTGAAATAAATTGTATATTTAAGGTTTTCCTGGTAAAAGCATTTTGTAAGGAGTTTGTTCATAAATTTTCCGAGAGAAGGTTTCATTTAAAATATGATCTAAGTAAAAGCTTTAGAGTCCAGTTCTTCGAGGCTACTCGAGAAACGTCGAGTTTTTTTGAATTTTTGAACCATCGCTTTAGACTTTTAGAAGATAAGTTTCTTAAATATAGCATGGAGTAAGTTAAACGGCTCCTTTTCTGGAAGAACTTGATATGAATGAAGACAATTTTAGTGGGGATAACAGTTGAATCGATTTGATTTTGACTGGGTTTCCGAAGTTCTGAAAAATTGATTTTTCGATGTAAACCTACATGGTTTTGTAAAGTTCCTTGCCTTGCGGTCTCTATTTTTTTTATCCGTTTCGTTTTTTGTAACTCTTAGTGGAAACTGGAGGCTAAAAGTGATTTTTTTTTTTCGTTTTTCAAAGGTAGAGTGTATTTAGGTTCATTTTGGAACTTGAAAGTTAGACTCCTTCCCTTTTTGAATTTTCGGTGTTTTTCTGTCTCAAAATCTATAGATTTCCAATTTAAAAAAAGTTCTGATTGAGCTCAGAGGGGGATCTGAAAAATGGAATCACTTTAAAAAACGACTTCAACATTTTTTCTGTTTTCCTGCTAAATTCCTAGTTCTGGTTCATCAAAACTAACAGAGAGAACACTACTTCGACTAACCTAAGAGCTTTAAATTCCCAGCGAGAACCTGAAATTCCTAGGTCGACGAGCAAGGCACCACCGCCGCCGCGGCCACCGCTCTCCGGATGGAACTCGAAAGCATGATTATCCGCGAAGACAAACCCATTAATTTCCTCGCCGATCATCCGTTTTTGTTCGCCCTGTTGAAGGAAAACCATCCCGCCTTTTTGGGAACTTTCCATTGAACAAGTTGTGATTGTTTTGGGATGGTGCTGTAGGGAAATAGTCGCTTGATTCAACTGCTAACTTTGTGAATAAATCTAGTCTTTTTCAGAAAGAAGTTCGGAAAAGTTGAACAAAATTTTCAAACTTTGGAGTTTTTTGAAACTCTGCGCCTTTTTGGCGAAACTTCCATTGACGTTTTCTTAAATTTTAGGATAGTGATGTAGAAAAAAATGTGAAAAAAATCCGGTCTCTGCTCATGGAATAGAAAAAAATAAATTACAAAAAATTAATCTGGGTAGCTCATTAAAAATTGAAAAAGTTTGAAAAAAAAAGGTGATAGTCAGTATTTTTCCCTACAAGCTTAATAAATTTCATCTCTTCATTTATTTTCTAAAAATCTCTCAAACGACATAACTTCTCCAGCTTCATCTCCATCATACATTGCCCTATCCAGTCTCATCGTGATGACACTTTTTTTTAGCCATTCCAATTTAGGTCGATGAAGAGGGAACAACGGCTTCAGCGGCGACATCTATTCGGATGGTTCCGGTGATGTTCAATTCCGAGATTCCCAAGAAATTCCTTGCTGATCATCCCTTTTTATTCGCTTTGCTTTTCGAGAACCACCCGCTCTTTATCGGAGTTTTCCACTGATCAAGTTTGAATTTGGTAAAAATATGAATATTGATCGAAAAAAGGTTAAGAGAATGAGTAACAAAAAAATCGCAATGAAAGCCGGCTTCAAGGAGAAAAATCCCAAGTGCAACCGAAGAAATCAATATTCATGGGAAAAATCGCTTAAAAGAGCAAAATTTTCCTAGCCATACTCAACTGGTCAGAAATGTTGATTATTCATTCATTGTGGTTGATAATTATGACACAAACGTTCAATATTCTTAAGATATGGGGGCAATCGTAGTGTCCCTTTGAGGACTCCCAGTTACCACTTTACGTTCTCCTATAGGGGTCACTTAAGCTTGCGAAAATGGTCCCTATAGTGGAAAGCTAGTCTGCCATTATTGAAGAAAAGCATTTCATCTTATTTTTTCAACCCCATTCGAGTAAGGTTATCAATACGAGTTTCAAACCAACTTTTAAACTTTATTTCCTCACCTTTTCCGAAAATTAAGGTCGACGAAGAAGGCACGACCGCTTCAGCTGCAACTTTCGTCAAAGCCGTCCCCTTCTCAATGAGAATTCAGAAACCAACCAAATTCTTCGCCGATCATCCATTTTTATCCGCCCTGTTAAAGGACAATCATCCTCTGTTTTTGGGAGCTTTCCATTGAGATTTTCAAGTTTTTTTTGGGGTGGCTTTGGAGAAAAGTGGTCCTTTCTCTGCATAATGCTTTTGAAACTGGAAGTTGTATATATTATTTTTTTCTTTGGTTTTTTTCTAGGATTCTCAATAAATCTTGTCTGAAAATGAGAGTGAACCAAAGAAACCTAAAGTGACCACTTGAAAAAACACGAACGGCGCATTTGCTTCTGAAGAGGTCACTTTAGAGGCTTTCCGATGTAAGATTTACCTAATCCATTTGTTAAAATTGTCTTTTTGGAGGATCTATCATGAAAAATGGGACTTTTTTTTTGCTGAAATCGCCATTTTTTTTTTCATTTTTTAAGAAAGATGAGCAAAAAAGAGCTTGAAAAGTTTGATTTTTCTTGATTTTTTCAGGTCGACGAAGAAGGCACAACCGCCTCAGCTTCAACTTTCTTCCGAGGCGTTCCCTTGATGTTGAGAATGGACAAACCAGTGAATTTCCTGGCCGACCATCCGTTTTTGTTCGCCCTTCTTCACAGCAACCATCCAATTTTCATTGGTACCCACTTTTGAAAGGTATTCAAATCTCCATTTTTTTTTTTATTTTCATATTTTTTCTATGCACGGATTCTCATACATATTGAATAAAACGCTTTTTGGTTTTTTTTTTTGTTTTCGCTGAAAAAATTTTCCTGAAAATAGTGTTAAATGAAAACAGAATGAAGCGTTCTGGTAGGGGATGACAGCCTTTGCGATTTCCAAACTTTGTAACGTTCTTTTGGAGAATTTTTAGTGGCCTCTTTAGAGATTTCAGCGACCAATATAAACATCGAATGAGTGTACACTTAAGAGGCTAAAATTTAGTGTCCTCTTAAGAAATCGCAGTGGTACTTTAGTGACCACTATAGAGGCTCGCCAAGGACTATTTGGAGAGGACACTAAAGTGCACACTAAACCCACCTCTATAGTGGCTACTATTTTCCGTTTTAGTGGCCACTGTAGAAGTTTTTTATTTAGTGACCACTTCAGTAGTTTTTCCATCCCTTATCCCTTCCAGTAACTCTGATAATTTTAAAACAAACAGATTGGACCAGTAATGTTGATCCATTGACCCCTGAAGTGGTCACTAAAATTTTTAGTGGACTAGTAGTAGCACTTAGACTTCTATAGTGGCCACTTATTTTTAATCCCTTATGTGGCCACTAAAAGGACAAAACCCCATAGTGGGCACTAAAAATTTTTCCAGTACTGCTAGATTACAAAAAAAAATACTATAGTGGCCTACTGAGACGCAAAATAATGGCTTCTATAGAGACGTTTTAGTGGCCGCTTTAGTGTCCTTTCAAAGCAGTCCTCAAGGAACCTCTTAAGTGCCACTAATTTTTTTCCATTCACACAAAATTTTTTTGGATACAAATTGGAAATAGGAAGTTTACTTCAAGCTTCATTTGTACGTTAAAAAGCTATTAATTTATTTCTTATTCGGAAAAGAAAAATATTTTACAAATTGGGTTTTTTCTACGAAACAAAAAAATTGAAAAATTTTAAGAACACGCCCTTTTTGTAGAATTTTAACAATAGATATCCATTACATTCTTTTTTTAATTCTTTAAACTCAAGAAAAAAATTTCAGTTTTGAAATTGGAAATTTCTTCCGACACTGATTTCTAGTTTCAAAACGAACTTTGTGCTTTCAACTGCCCTTTTTTCTCAGAACAAAAAATAAATACCTGTAATTTCAACTCGAAAGTACCGCGTCATTGACTCATTGCGAGAAAAAAAGTGTAGACTAAGTAACCTGGAATTATTTCCCTTGTTCCTTGTCGAACATATGATTATTTTTTTCGAGAAAACCTTGTTATCCTTAATTGAATCCGAGTTTCGCCCGCCATTCACTTCACTTTTTTCTGCAAGGAATGCACGTTGTTATAGTTATTTTCGTCATTTTTCAAACTGCCCTCTGTATCAGTGGTACTACCTTGAATACCTTGGTTTTGTACTTGGCATTGTTCCAAACCCCGAAAGCTTTGAGACGATATTCGATTCTAATCGTGGCCTCTTCTTTGACCGACTTGACACTGAGTTTGTCGGATATTTTTACCCAGCCCAGGTATTTTATGATTAATTTAAACGCGGTGGCATTTGTAATGACTCACGTCGCGGTCGGTGTACTTTCCGATGCCGATGCGCTCAAGCCGATTTGGGTCGGTCGCATTCTGAAAGATCCCATTCAAAGCAATCCTAGGACTTTATTTAGATTTCAAAACGCCGTGATCGTACTTGGAATAGCTCAAACTTTTTAGTTAGACTTTTTCAATGCCATCTCGCGTAAGCCGTTTCGAGTCGGTCGCAGTCTAGAAAAACCTCCTTAAAGTTCAGTCATAGACTTTCAGTTAATTTCAAAACATCGTGGTCGCACTTGGAATGGCTTAAATATATGTAGTTTGAATCCTTTCCCACGCCTTCTTGCGTAGGTCGTTTCGAGTCAGGCGCAGTTCAATTGAGCCATTCCACATGCGACCATGAGTCTACATGTTGACTCAAAAACCTTTATCATAACATTTTCTCATAGCCAACAGGCGGAAGTTGTTTCAAGTCGGACTAAACTTCAAAAAAGCCATTCCCAATGCGACCGTTTTTTAAATTTCTCATTGAATTTTCCCAATTTTCAGAGTTATTTCAAGCGCCAACACACTAGCTTATGTTTGCTACGGACCTTGTAAATATTTTGGGTCTCATGTTTGTTTTGTCAGGTGATTTTCTTCGTTGATTTTTAGGATATTATCATTTTTTTCATTCCAGTCATAATATTTCAATGCATTTATTGATGCACTCCCTGTACCTCTTGGTCGTATCTTTCCGATATCGATACCAAGTTCTTTACGACGGGTCCACATCGACTTCAAGCGTCTTTCTCATGCTAATTTTGGCATATACTCCGCCCCTTTTTCAATTGGTTAGTTATAAATTTCAGTTCTTCATGAAGAACTTTATTTTTAACGTTGGTAAATGAATGAAATTCTATATTTCAGTGAGGCTTTTATAAAAAATGGAAAATTTAATCTGCATGTTTTAAAAAAACTGTTTATTGCATCTTCAATGTAAGAGTACAGGGTGACAAATAAATATTGAAACCGTTTTTTGTTTGATCGCTGCTTTTTGCACAAAGGACTGGCCTTTGAATTTTTTGTTTATTTCGTTCATTCATGCTCACTTATCATGCGTTTGAAGTTACAGCTCATACTTTTCAGTTTTCAGGTAATGGTGGCCCCATCTCCGTACCGTACCGCAATCATTGATTGTGTCAAAAGCAGAATGACACATTCAGAGATCGTTAAAAAGCTGAAAGTGTCTCGTGTTCTCGTTTTTCGAACTGCACAACGTTATCGGCGTCTCGGTGCTTCAGATGACATGCAAAGAAGTGGACGTCCAGTCACCGTCACGACTCCAGAAGCAGTCAAAGCCGTTCGAGAGAAAATCAGACGCACTCCGGAAAGAAGCGTGAGAAAGATGGCAAAAGAATACGAAATGAGTCGAGAATCGATGAGAACTATTGTCAAGGACAAGCTGAAGATGATTCCCTACCGTATGCAGAAAGGAGCCTTCCTCAATCAAAAAAACAAGACATTCCGGATGAAAAAGGCTCGAAAGCTGCTCGCTGGCACGCAAGATGGCTCGCATCTGACGACGCTATTTACCGACGAGAAAATCTTAACTGTGGAGACGAACAAGAACGGCCAAAACCATCCGATCATCGCTACTGACTATCAGAGTGCCTGTGAAAAAGAAAAAATTCTGAATAAAACTTCGCATCCGGCTTCCGTGATGGTTTTTGCCGCAATTACCGCTGACGGCAAAACTCCGCTGGTTTTTGTGGATCCTGGAGTCAAAGTGAACCAAGTATACTACAGGGAGCAGATTTTAAAGTTGAGGGTGTTGCCATGAGCCAATTCTCACTACGGAAACCGACCATGGACCTTCCAGCAAGACGGCGCCCCCGCTCATCGTGCCAAAGGGACTCAAGAGTGGTGTCGCGCCAATTTTCCGAGTTCATCTCGGCTGCTGATTGGCCTGCTTCCTCGCCCGACCTCAACCCGATGGACTATGCCGTGTGGATATATCTGACCGAGAAGGTCTCTTCTAAGAACTACCCAAGTATCAAAGCTCTGAAGACCGCGCTCATCAAGAAATGGGACGAAATCGACGACGACTACCCTCGTGCCGTGATCGATGCGTATCCGAAGAGACTGAAGGCCGTTATCAAAGCTAAAGGAGGACGTTTTGAAAAAAAAATCTTGAATTTTTTTTCTATATTGTATGAATAAAATTTGTTCCAAGTTTGGTGATGTTTGGTTGACTTTTGAGAAAGTTATAACGTTTCAAACGCGTTTCAATATTTATTTGTCACCCTGTACATGTGCAATCGACTTTCATTGATTTCAACTGTGTTTAAACGGCGGCAGGAGCTGTGGCTTAGGCAGAGAAGTTGTGAATTTCGCTCGTAGAACATCAGGTACAAGAGAGGTCGTAGGAAGAAGTACGGTGCCGGCTTTCCAAAGGCCGATGGCAGAGATTGAGCCCTTTCGCTGCATGCAGCTCCCAATTTTATCTACCCCGGAGGGATGAAAGGCTTGGTCGACCTCGGGGGGACTCGAACCTACGACCTTGCGGACGTTAGAAATGAGTTATGCCAGCTGAGCTATGCCGGTTATTCTGCATGTGAATCTGCATGAAAAAGTTTTATTTCCTCATTGAGAAAGCTACTCGAGAGAACAAAAATTGATAGTTTCAAAGCATTCTGCGCATGATAATTATGAAAACATGTTCCGTTTCCTTATTGAGGATCTCTGAGAATTGAATTACGAATTGGCCGAATAAAAGGGAAGTTTTGCGGTGGCTGCTCCGAAATAAAAAAATTTCATTGAGAGTGAAAAAATTCTGCGGAAATGCTCGGAAAAAAAACAAGTAGAGCCTGTGTACCACGACTTGGAATTTCACGGAACGACATTCCGCTGTTCCGCTGCGTGCCTTTGCAAACCTTGGCCGCGTTATTTTTTTCTTTTATTAAGTTACTCTACTTTCATAAGCTCCCACAGCAATAACAATCAATGAAAAGCATGACCTAGATGCGAAAGACGCTTCGCGAACGCACGCAGCGGAACAGCGGAATGTCGTTCCGTGAAATTTCAAGTCGTGGCACACAGACTATGTCTATTTTCTTTTTGTTTTTTTTTTCAGAGAGGCCCATTTTTTCTTACGAAATCGTTTTTTTTTTCCAGTTTTTGTAATTTCACAGGTCTCCTACTCGTTCTCGGAAAGCCCGCCAGAAGACGTGGAACGGGCCATCATCCAAAGATTCCCCGAGTACAACTTTGACGACGCGGCCGTCAATGGAAACTATGATATGTTCTCGCCTCCCGCCCTGATCATGTTGGCCTGTATGAATTGTCCGCCTTCCCTGATCTATTCTTCCATTTTGTTCTACCGGAGGAGAATCCTTCAAAAGTTGGAGAGTTTATCCGGCCACATGTCCAGGGAGAGCAAGACGATGCATGAACAGCTTTTGAAGGTTTGAGAGGATTTTTTTCGAGCCTATAACAGCTTTTTGGAAATTTTTTCAGCTTCAGAATCCAAATTTTCGAAAAAGAAAGGAAAACCGGCAGTTTTAGTCCTAGAAGCTTATTTAAGAGCTATTGTAGAGCTAACTATGTGAAGAAATGCCTGATCCTTTCTAAACCCTCTCTTTTCTGCACACTTTCTCGTCAATCTTTTCATGACTATCTTAGGCTTTTTTAGAACATGAAGTAGACGAACGGTGATTTTACTTTTAGAAAAAAATTTTTCGCTTTTTTTACGATTTTCGAAACTTATTCAAACTTGCAGGCGCTCACCTGCCAAGCGATCATGCCTACCTTCTTCGTCGTCGGCTCGACGTCGTTCCTCATCGGAAAATTCCAAATAATCAACCATCCCGCATTAGAATACCTAGTAATGACTTCGGGAAGCGTGATTCCATCTTTCTCGCCCCTTGCTTCCTTGATTTGTGTCCGACATTATAGAGTAATTATCGCCGGCTGGTTAGGCTATAAAATTAAGAAATCGGGTAAGAATTCGAAAATGTTCAGCGTGAGTTTGAAGGCGACCGAGGATTGTATGTAAAAAGTTTTTTCGTTAATAGTTCATCCACCAGGTTTATCGGGTCAAGATATCCACTAGATTTCGTTTCTTTGATTTAGAACAACTTGATGATTTTTTCAAATTCAAAAGCTTTCTTGTCAAGCTAATGGTCAAAGCTCGTCTCGAATTTAAAAAAAAAATGAAAAATGAGTCGATATCAAATCCGCCAAAATATGAATAAAATTGGTCGTTTTTCGTCCCAATGTTTGGGGAAAAAGCTATACTTGTATAATTCATAATTTATATTTGAATACTTGAAAATCTCGGGTTTTTTTCTCTGTTTCTTTCCATGATCGCGCTGCCTTTGAATAAATATAACAATCGTAAAACCGACAGAAAACCTCTACTTGTGTAATACTCGTTTGAATTATGAGTTATAAACTATGGAAATCTAACGGTTCTCAATGGAACAAGTGATATATACCATTAGAAAGCTGATAATGAGACGAATCGATTGATACAGTTTGATGAGCATTAGCTGCTCTGCGAGCCGAGATATGAGCCGTCAAAGTTGGTCTCAAATGATAAAATTGCGCGTAAGGTCAAATATTTTGGGTGAAGTTGCGCGTCGGGTCAAGTGTCAGTCTGAAGCTCTCATCGGTGTGGTTTTCTCGCGAAAAAGGAATATCTCAGAAAAAAGTTCGTTTTTTCAAAGTTTTTCCTAGTGTAATCGATAGAGCAGCTTCTATTTAGTACTGTTATCATATCAGGTTGGCAGGAAAAGCTCAAAAATTTGGTGAAATAGAGGTCCAAAAAACTTTAACTTTTTGGACAAGCTTCATAACTCCGTTCTTTTTGAAATTACCGAGAAAATGAATATATCATTCGAACCGGAGGCCAGGTTTGACCTCCGTAGGTCAAATAGGAGCCAAGTTATAGGTGATCAAACTTAGAGATCGAAAAATCTGAAATTGATCAAATCTGGTATCAATCAATAGAGGAAATCAAGGAGATTAAGAAAAATTAGGTCTCTGAGTCCCTAAGTTCTCAGAACTCGAGCTATGATTAATTATAAACTTTGAAAAATCATATCTTCATTTCTAGAAGGCTAGGAACTCTTTAACCTGGTTTTTCGAACTTCTGATGTCATTTCCTATCGATCGATGTAATAATCAGGAAAACTTTGATTTTCGGAAAAATCGAAAAAAGTACAGTCTAACCCCTTCAGTTTTTTTTGAGCTTCTGAGGTCATGGAAGCCGATCCGGACGAAACTTATATCAATCGATAGATCTCGACGAAAAAATAACCGGAGGCCAGGTTTGACCTCCGTAGGTCAAATAGGAACTGAGTTAGAGGCGATCAAACTCCGAGATCGAAAATTTCAAAATTGGTCAAATCTGGTATCAATCGATAGGGGAGGTCACAGAGATTAAGAAAAACTAGGTCTCTGAGTTCCTAACCTTCTAGGAGTGGAGTTAAAGTCTCAAAAATGTCCATCTTTGAGAACCTCTATTTTTACTACCATGTGTTCATGAACTGTGTCACGTGCATGTTGAACACGAGACATGATTCTGCGTCGATTGATATCTTGACGACCGATTTTGAGCTGAATCGATTTGAAGCTTGTGGATGAAGCTTGATCTCGTGATGACCTTCATCATCTGAAAGCTGACGCTGAGACGCATCGACCGATGTAATCAGTTTCTTTGTAACTCGACAAAGAACGGAGTTATGAGTCTTTAAAGTCCAAAAAGTGCGATTTTTTCAGACTTTTTTTGACCCAATCTTCGAGCTTTTGCGTCCAAACGGATATGATAACAATACTATATCGAAGCTTCTCTATCGCATGCTCTAGAAAAAACTTCGCAAAATAAAACTTTTTTTTGAGCTTTTCCTTTTTCGCGAGAAAACCACACCGATGAGAGCCTCAGACAGGCACTTGACCCGACGCCAGACTTCGGACAAGGCAATTTATCTGACGCGCAGTTTTATTATTAAGTATTAACTTTGACGGCTCATATCTCGGCTTCCAGATCAGCTACAGCTTATCTGAATATATCCTTTGGTTCGTCTTGACGTCAGCTTCCATTTTTACACAATTTCAATAGTTCCAGCTCTCATTCCAGCTTTTCCCTCCGGAATCATTCAACCACATTCGAGAGAACATTCAAGGAAAAGTCAATAATTTAAAATTTAATCGCTAGTATTTTTTCAGTTTTGAGCGGGGGCGAATTTGAAGTTCAAGTCTAAAAACGGAGACAGAAGCATATTTACAATACTTCGGCTTGAAGCTTTGAATGAGGCGATTTTCTCCATTTTTGCGACATTTTCGTCAGTTTTTTTGTGTCATAATTATGCTGCCTTGGAGGAATAACAATAGAAAGTTTATTTATGTACATTGATCAAAAATAAATTACTTCATTTCGCCGACACTTCCTCTTAACACGTCGTTAAAGCGTATGTTCACCTTTATTTCTGTTCTTTTGAGAAAAACCTTCTTTTCCAATACTTTATTCATCTATGATGCATCGTCACACACATTTTTACACTATTTAACCCAACTTTGGTTGGAACTATACAAGAAAAAGGCTAGCGAAACTATGCTTATTATTATTATTATTCTCATTATTATTATTATTATTAATGTTAATTGGGATAACCGGTGTTAGTGTTTGAAGTTCTGACATGGACCCTATGTTTCGTGGCATGCTTTATCAGGAAATTAAAGGGTAAATGGGTCTAATAACGGCGTCGGAAACGTTTCTCGATGATGGCGAGCTGATCGGCGGCGGTGCGATCCTTGGTGGCCATGTGGCCGAATCCTTTGAAGATTTTGTGGCCATCGGAATTCGGGATCAGAGAAGTGAGACGGCCCCAGGCCAAGTTATTGTAGAGGATCAGGTCATCGTCTAGAAATTTAGACCATTATTTTGATTGTGAGGGATTTTGAAAAACTGTCCTAAAAACATAAGCAAGACGAGATGAATCTTTCTCATCAGGTCGACTAAAAACTGGAGTTCTTTTGGAGGTTTTTAGACATAGTTCAATCGCCTTGAGAATCAATCGTTTACAAAGCGGCGACCCGAAAATCGCTTCAAAATTGAGCAAAATGAGATATAGTCCATTCGCCACAATCTTAAAAATCTGTCTGTCTGCACCCTCTTTTTCTCTCAGTTGCTGATCGAAGACCAGTGTCGTCACGTCAGCGAACAAAGTAAGGAGGTTGTCTTCTCTACTTTCAAGCAATTTTTTAACTTTTCATCGCCCTCAAAAAAAAAGGCTTTTTTTTCATTCAAAACAGTTTTTTCATGTAGTTCTTAGAGTTCAAAAAATAGGTCCTCCTTTTTTCAAAGTGGCCACTAGAGGGGGTAGAGAAAAGACAGCCCTCATAAAGTACAAAACAGTGCCTCTTAAGGGATCAAAAATTTAGGTGGTCCCTAGAATAAAAGTGTTCCTAAAGCAGCCCCTCTAGGGACCACTGTGGGTCCCCTTAGTTCCCTATATGCTTTTCGATAAGCTGTTATAATCAAACCTCTCTTTTTCATTCAGTTTTTTTAGGCTGATTTGATATCTCAATTAAAAAAACAAACTTTTTTTCCAGAATTTCAAAATATGGAATAAAAATTTCCGAGACCTTTTTTTACTTTATTATTAATTATGCTAAACTATAAACTGATAACATCAAAACGATCCCTCTGATCAGAAACAAGTCATAAGTTTGCTTTTGGTTGCTGAAGACTCTCTTATCAATGGACAGTTCCTGTATTCTGACTCGACTTGTTGAAAGACGTCAGTTTCGATATGTTATCATGACAACTTTTTTTTTTAGGCACACCTTCCTTTTATCAAGCTTTTTATGGTCCTCATGATCTCAGGAGTCACTTTTGAAGAAAGGCAGTGGAAATCGATTCCAAAGGAACTTTTCTTCTTAATTTGAGTCACTGACGTCAGATGATTAACAAACTTTGAAAACTTGGAATTTCGGATTGATGAGAAAAAAATTTCGAAGAGTTTTTTTTGAGATTTGGTTCACTGAAAATCGAAATATTCTAGCCTGTCTGCGCTCTCTCGTTTTCTGAGCCTCTCTTCAAACTTCCAGGTTTGCAATAAGCCTCCAGGATAGATAAAGAAAGCAGAGACAGGCAGATTCTAGAACTTGTCAGTGAATGCAGTATAGAATATAACACGAAGTGAGTTCAGTTCTACCTCCCGAAATTGAATCTTATGTTCATTTCTATCAAAATGGCCTCCCTAGACTGATTATTAAATGAAAAAGAAATCACTCCTGAAAGGATTATTCAAAAAATCAATTTAACCAGGCAAAATTGACCTTGGCTCCAGATGCTGTAGACGAAGTCGGCCTCCTTGGTTTGATCGGCGTTGAGCGCAGTCAGGAATTCAGAGTAGTGCAGTTTGGATTCAGGACAAGGCTCAGTGGAAGGGGTAGAAGAGCAGTTGTAGGCGGTTCCGCATGAGTTCCCGGGGAAGAAACCGCTCTGAAAGGCCGACAAATTTTTGATAAATAGTCCAAAAATCAAGGTGAGGCGATTTTCGGCGCTGAAATTGAATTCAAAATTGCTTCTGAAACTCGCATGCTGAGCAGGTGTCTCAACGGGTGTACCCGTATTAAACCCGTGTTTCTGAGGTTATTTTAGTCTCAGTTGGGCTAAAACGGGGGAACAACGGGTGTAAGAAAAATAGGTAACCCAGCTGGGCTAAAGCGGGGTCTCAGTTGGGCTAAAAAGTGCCAAAAGTTCTATCAGCTGGGCTTATACGGGTTTAATACGGGGGCACCCGCGGAGACTCCGTGTTAGCACGGCGGGGTTACCCTGCTCAGCATGCGAGAATACAGAATTATCAGCGATTACAAGTTAAACATCCGAATTGTGGAAAAAAAAAACTTGAAAAACGACATTTGGATAAAAGTGCTACCTGAGCCCCACAGGTGAGCTTCTCCTCGGCAACTGTTCCACCACACGCGCAGATACCGTAGTGAGCTCCAGAGATGCTCAGGAAGATCTGAAAATTCTCATTTTCTTTAAGTCGAAGGTGATGTTTGCCGTAGCGGGTGCGTTGCGGTCGCGGCGCGGCTTTTGGCGCGAAATTTGATATTTTATCGACTCTTTTTTCAGTTTATTGAAGCATTCCCATTTTAGTTAAATGGATAACAGTATGAAAGCCTGTATTTTTCTCATTATACCACGCTCACGTTTGAATTTCTCATTTCCCACCAAAAACCGCACGTCCATCGCCATTGAAATGCGCAGATTTCGACTACATCAAAAAAAGTTCTACCTTGATCTTGTGATTGAGCGGAGCCCCCAGGTCACACTCGCCATCATCGGAAACCGACTTTCCGCCCTTGATGATTTTCCGGCCCAGGGTCGCTCCCATACTATGAGCAACAATGGAGACTTTGTGCGCCTCCGTGTAGGCCAAGACGGCTTCCAGGAACTTTCGCAGGTAGGTCAGGTAGGCGCATTTGTGGCTTCTACAAGCCGTTCTTTAGTTATTTCAGATTTAAATAAAAAGAACTATCCTTATTCTTTCCAGAATTATATCAGAAGCTGCTCTTTAGACATCAATCAAGAATCATAGTCATAAAATTCATTTCTTTTGATTAAGAATCGAGAAAACTCCTGATAATTACTACAGAAAAGTGAGAAAAAAAACTTGAGCTATGCGTTAAAATTAGAGAGCTATTTTATTGAAATTGAAACAAAATTAGAAAAAAAAAATTTTTTTTTGGCCGAACAAAGGTCATTAAAGAGAGCGATTCAAAAGCTACCACCTTTTTTTGCACCTTATCGTAACTAAAATAAGAAAATTAAAGTTTCGAGGCAATTGTTTTTGGCAAAACTATGTTGATTGTATTGATAAAAACTTCGAAAAGCAACTGTCGCAATGGCCGCTAAAAGGGAGGGGCTCCAAAAGGCAGCAGAAAGGCAGCAAAGAGTGTCCCTTTATCGAGCCTTCCATTTTTATTGGTATTTTAAAGGCTCAAGAAATGGCGGAAAAAGGGAGAGGCAGCAAAAATGGTACATAAGAGCCGATTTAATGGCGCAAAAAGGCAGCAAAAAAGGAAAATTTCTATGGAGCCTTTTTCCGCCCTTTCCAACTTTGCCTATGATTTTCAGGTTTAGAAATTTAGTATCGAAGCTCGGAAAACTTGATTTGTTCCATTAAAAACCTCAAAGGAGCGTGGTTCGGATTGATATCGCCCCAGGAAGTCGAGTAGATCTCCTCCGGACCGTAGCCGTTCTTCAGGAAGTACTTCAAATTATCATTTATATTCCCTTATTTTTCTCAGGAGAAAAAAACCCGGATAGATCTAGAAAATCCGGTCGAGAACTCGTTATTGTGAAGGGCGCTGTCCGTGTTGCCGTGCAGGAAAATTACCGGAGCCTTGGTGATCTGAAAAAAGGTCATTTTTGAAAAGATTCGCAACTAGCTTATGATACGTTTCAAAACAACTACAAAATTCCAACATTTTTCAGCAATTTCATTAAGACGGGCGGAGGTTCACAAGAAATTTTTAAAAATTGAAAAAAAAAACCTTTGTCGAAGAATTTGCTTTACCGCCGAAACTTCCTCGGGAACCGTAATCCGACCTCTCGAAATGGTATTCACCGTAACCGTTTCTTAATTTATAACAGTAAATAAATTAAACGGCCCATAATATAGTTAAAATCAATAAATTTTATTTTTCTCTATTAAGATTCATTCACCGCTACCTCTGGAAAAACCAACTAATATGACGTCTAAACCTCTTCTTTTCGCATACTATTTCGTTGATCTGAAGACTGTCATAGTATCTCAAACCAGCTGTGAAACGACTATAGCTCATTCGTTAAGATTCGAGAAAAATTGGTCGCATTTGGAAGGCTTGACGGCGCCCGACTTGAAACAACTTGCGCCAAATGCCAACCAGACAATAGTGCGACTCTCTGAGCCATTCCAAGTGCGGAAAAATTTCAAAAATCTCGATTTTGAGACCCATATTTCGTCATTCACGGGGTACTGTGACAGTGATTTTCCTTACTCACGTTGTGAGCCAAGTTTGGAAGTGAGGAGTAATTGGACCATGAAGAGGTTCTCCGAAAACAACTGCAGGGGTGCAGAGAACAAGGAGAATGGAGAGGGACATCTGGAAACGGTCAGTAATTTTTCAACCAAGAAAAAAGTCTGGAAATCCAGAAAAAAGCTACGGTAACATATATGAACTTTCACAAGCTAGAATATTTCACTAAGAAAAGAGGTTCAAACGGTTCGTTTTTGAGATTTCGTCGGAAGTTTATCAAGATCGAAACCTTTTGAAGATCAAGATGTAATGCATTTTTTTAGCCATTTGATTTTTAGCCTTATTTTGGAACCTTCAAGTTCGAAAGCCACCATTTCAGTTGAAAATAGGATTTTTGGCGTCCATAACTCGATTGAGATCAAGTTTTTATTTGCTCTTACATCTCAGGAATTTTAAATAAACCCGTAAGTGCTTGGAAGGCTATGAAGATTGCCTAGAAACTTATAATTCTTCACAAAGTCCGATCGAAATTTAAGGGGAAGAAGGAATTTAATCAAGACAATATTCGATCAAATAACCCACATTTATATCCGACCCAAGGAGAGAACGATAATGAAGTATGACTCAAGATTTGATTTTTGTTTTATCGCAAGTTGAAACTTTGATGATAAAATTTAATTTACCATTGACGTGAATATTATGAAATTTGCGATATTCAGACTTATATTTTGATGAGATTTCACAAAAATAAAGCAATTACAAAACAATGAAACTTACTCTTTTTCAAAGGAAAATTGAGAGCCGATAACTTTCAATCAAAACTTTGAGGCAAATAATAAAAAGTCTAAGAATGACACGTGGAATGGTGCCACTGGTTCTTTGCTCACAAAAATTTAAATGACATCTCTTTTTATGATACAGTAGAGTGTACCTTGAACTAGTCCTAAGTGAACAATCGAGATTTTTTTCTGATAAAAAAATTAGATATTTTTAGAAAAGAACAAAAATTGAGATAAAAATAGGTTTTGGGAGGGTTAAAAAAAGCATTGTGCTATAATTTAGATATATTTTCTGATTCGTTTCATTTTTTTTCTTTTAGAAATCACAAAATATCTAAAAAAATTTCATCCGAAGAACATTTTCATACAGTAGCTTTTACACTGAAAAACGCTGAAAAAAATTTTTTTATTTTTTTATTATTTATTTTTTTGAAAAATTTTTCTAAAAAGCAAGTTCAGATCTTCAAGAAGCTAATAATTTTTTTAAATAATTCACAAATACGGCTCTTAGACAGTCCTAACTGAAGCTGCTCCAAAATTATTTTTTTCAAAAAAATTCTCCAAAATTTTTAAAAAAATTTGAAAACTCGTGAAGCTCAATCAGTTCTAGAGGGTCTATAAATATTAAAATCTTGATTTATCGATAAAAAAAGTGCAAGCTAAAAGTTGGATGAAGTACAAAGTCGTATCAATATTTATAGGAAACCGCTCAAGTTTTGATAACACTGCAACCTATCAATTCATTTTCTCGATACACCCACGCTGGTTCGAAATCAAAGGACAGTGATAACTCAACTCGAAATGCTACCAGTTCAGGATTAAGCCGTCTGATAATTTCGGGAAAGGGCAGAAGTTGTTTGGACGAAATTGACAGAAGCGACTTCTCGCCTTGTGACTGAAGTTCGATAACTTGGAACATTTTGATAAGTGGTAAATTCTTTCGAGAAGTTACCAGTAACCAGATTAAGTTCGGAATTTTTTTTTCATCTTTCACTTTCCATCTGAGTAATGCAACTACACCCAGACCTATGATAAGAGACAAAGTTTCTTTTTTTAACAAACAAAGGCTAATCGAAAGTTTTATCAGCAAGTTGGTGTATCAAACGAGAAGCAGGCTCTAATTTCCTCTAGATTGTTTTTATTACGATTTTTTTTGTAGTCATTTGAAAAATCTCTTTTTTCGATTTGAGTTTTCGAATTTCAACAAGCACCCTACACCTTGTTTTAATTTTCATCTTTATCAAGCTTTCTGCGTCGTGGTAAGATTGAAAAACAATTAATGAAGTTCAAAACGATTTTTCTAAAGTCTCTTATAGAAATTTTCGAAAAAGTTTGTAGGGCTCGTCTTCTAGCAAGTTTAGATAAAGTTATCACATTTGAAGATTTCTATCCATTGACTCCTTCCACAGACCAACTTCTCATCTCAAGATTTCCTCTATTTTATGCATCGAAAAAGCAGTTGATGAGGTTATTTGTGTTATCAAAGCTCCGAATGTTATCATAAGAAAAGAACTTGCTTCAATCATTTCTGATCAGGGCACTTTTTTGATGATAAAATGTCAAAAATAGTTTTCCAGCCTGATCCAGGCGATAAGACATGAAATTGATGAAAAACATTTCAAAAAGCTCAGTGAATTTAATATTTTCTGATTCGTTTGATCTAAACGAGTACTCTTTGATTCAGCGGGAAACTGAGCTTTTCACTTTTTTTTTACGTTCCAAATTAGCTTTCGATGTCGATGAGAGCATGTTGAAAAGCCCTCAGTCGCTTTTTTGAGACTGCACCCGACTCAAAACGACTTGCGCTCTAGGGTATCGTAAAGCGTTAGAGCCAGGTTCATACATGGGATGAGCATGAGACTGGCGAGCCAAGTCCCCCCCTCCTTTTTTTCAGGTCCCGCCGAGACTATCCCATGTATGGCCAGGTTTCATTTTAAGGTATTCCATGACCTTTAAAAATATTTTAAATGGTGTTCAAACGTTAGTAAGAATAAAGGCATCAAAAGAAGCGAAAAATGAGACTTAACCGGAAACTGAGCTTTTCACTTTTTTTTTACATTCTAAATTAGCTTTCAATGTTGATGAGAGCATGTTGAAAAGCCCTCAGTCGCTTTTTTGAGACTGCGCCCGACTTAAAACGACTTGCGTATTAGGGTATCGTGAAGCGTTAGAGCCAGGTTTCCTTTTAATTTATTTAATGTCCTTTCGAAAATTTTTTGAATGGTGTATAAATTCTAGTAAGAAAATTATGAAGAGTGAGATATACCAGATGGAAAATTGAGCTTTTCAAAAATATGAAAAAATGAGGTTCAAACCGAAACTACAAAACTGAAAGCCCAGCACCAGACTGTACTTTTTGGTTCCCCCGAATCAGTTTAAATGAGTTTTGAGTTAAGTGTTTGGGCAAACATATATGTAGTCCGGAGCTTCCTCTAGGGGTTTCGAACGAGTGCAGAGGCCCAGAAAAAAAAAGACCGACGGACCGTAGTTTCATCTTGATTGGTTTTGTGGGAGACAGGGTCGACTAAATAAATACGACAAATGAATCAGTGAGCTTTGAAGGGAACGTCACTTTTTTACCCGTCTTGTATCTGCTTTGATGTTTGCTTCTCAAGGCTTTTTGACGATTTTCGCAACATTTTTCAGTGCTTCTTGGATTTTTGTCGCACCATTTTTTTGCTCTCTAGGAAGGAATTTTTGAGTTGGATCGAGATTTTTGAATACTTGTAGGAATAATTTCTCACGAAGCAGATGAAAATCAAAATATCAATTTTCGAAAATCATCAAACCCGTTGAAATTGACGATTCTTAAACTCTAAGTCCATTTTTTCTCGAAAATTAGAAATTTTCGCATGTTGATATTTTCAGGACTGGTATTTGATACATCAGAAAGTCATCTGGTCAAGTTTCAGAAAATTCCAAAATGAAAAGTAAAGTACCTTCCTAGTAGGGAAAATCTTGCTTTTTTGTTTCTATCCGATACTTTTTCTTATTAATCGCTGGAAATTTTTCTCGTTATACGAATTTTCGAAAAGGCTCAAATTATTTTGAAATATTGTTTGTTCTTGATTTTCACATTGTCAAATTTCTGAAATGGATTTTAATTTACGTTTGAAACTTATTCTCACAAGGGAAGTGTTTCTGGTGGCCGGTTGAACTTTTGTTGAAACTTTGCTGAAAGGTACTATAAGACCTCCTCTTTCCAAAACACGAATAAAATTTCTCGCAATAGATCTCGTTTTCGAGTTATGAAGCTTCAAAGTTTGCACGCTGATTAAGTGCTGCAAGGCAAGAGGGAACCTGGCTCGCGTACAATCCCTCTACTCCAGTTGGCAACGTGGTGTAGTGGCTAGCGCCCTTGCACTGTCGTCTCCATGACCGGGGATCGAAACGTTTTGAAGAAATTCGTTTTTGCCAAAACTTCCCTAGGAGGAATCTATCGACATTGGGGAAATGGACCAAAAATTTCCTTCCAAAATAACATAGTTTCTCATTTTACTCGATTTTCCAAGACTTTCGACAGACATTTTCCTTTGGCTCATAGGCATGATCAATAGATCGCTTTCTGTACTTTTTTTTTCAAGAATTTAAGGGAGACTTACTCATCTTTCTGTGGTGTAAGCTTTTATTTGATTCTTTTTAAATTATCAACTGGACTGAAACGCTGATGAAAAAGCCCGTAGAAATTTTTCCCAAAAAGAGGGACTATAAATCCTGTTTATAAGCGAAAGAAATCTTTTTAATCAGTATACCGAATCAAAATGGAAAAAATGTGTTAATAGGGAAAAAAAAATTATGGGTTTTATTAATGTCGATAGATTCCTCCTAGGGAATTTTTGGCAAAAACGAATTTCTTCAAAAAGTTTCGAACCCCGGTCATAGACACCGCAGTGCAAGGACGCTAACCACTACACCACGTTGCCAACGGGAGTAGAGGGATTGTACGCGAGCCAGATTTCCTCTTGCCTTGCAGCACTTATTCAGCGTGCAAACTTTGAAGCTTCATAACTCGAAAACGAGATCTATTGCGAGAAATTTTATTCGTGTTTTGGAAAGAGGAGGTCTTATAGTACCTTTCAGCAAAGTTTCATCAAAAGTTCAACCGGCCACCAAAAACACTTCCCTTGTCAGTAAAATTCGAGAAAATAAAAGTTCTTCGGAATTTTGAAAAAAAAACTGCGGTTCTTCAACGGTCAGTCAAAATCACAGTCAAAATCAAAATCTTCAAAAGACAAAACAAAAAAGATTAACTCTTCAAAAAAAAAAAATCCCGTGAGCGTCCTTCTACTGAAAGTATGCTGATAACTTTTCGCGCTTTAAAACTTTTGAAATGGAATTTTAACATTTTCCAGAAAATTACCACTGCCGTTCCTCAATTTCACTCTAAAAAAATATTGAAAACAGATGAATCAATATCGAAAAACTCACATTGTCAGAATTGAGCAACGGCGCAGAGTTTCATTTATTTCCAATGATAAATTTCATCCCAAAGCATTTCCAAGCTCGATGGTCGAATAAAATGACTGCAAATTTACAAATTCATCAATAAAACCATAAAAAACGTACCGTCATCATTTCGATGCAGAAAAGGCGTCGCAAAAACGCGAATTTTGTCTTCAAACGAGATTTTTATACTCAAAATAAATAACTAAATGAGAAAAAGAGTAAAAACTTAATTAAATTACAATTTGGCAAAAATTTGAATTATTAGCGGATGCGTCGCTGTGTATGCACAACTTCGAAATACAGTAAGATCGAAAAATGTTTTTTGTCGTTCTGGGTATTTTTTTTCACTTTATTTATGATGCTGAATTTAGCCAGCTATCTTTAGTTTTTCGAAAAAAAATTGGTTATTTAAATAATGAATGATGATGGTGCAACGCGTACCACCTTGCTTCTCAAGCTGACATCGTTGGTTCGATTCCTGCCCTTTCCCAACTTTTTTTGTCAAAGCTATTTCCGGCAACTCCAAACATCACCATAAGGAATTTACTGATTAGACCATTTTTTATCAACTTTACGGTGAGAAAGGTCAATTTTGATGACTGGTTACGGTATTTTAATTGGATTGACAGGTTTTTTCTATTACATATGCCGATTAATATAATCTTTTTCCTTTCTCGGGAAGGTCAGCAATTACGGTAGGTGAGTCAGATTGATAGGCGATTAATTATGTCATTATCCACCTCAGAATGAAGGTGAGGTTCGAAAAGGGAAGAAGCTACGGTATTTCGATTGGATTGACAGGTGTCATTCAACTGAGCTGATTAATCTTATCGACATTCTTTTTTCGGAAAATGGTTAGGCTTGAAGAAGAAGGGGCTACAGTACTTCAAACAAAGTGAGAATATTCAGCTTTTTTGACAAGAAAAGATGAGGTTCAGAAGAAGTTTCGAAAATTCATGTAATCCTTATAATTTTCCCATTTTTCATTCAGAAGAACTCGGTATTGGAAAAACACGTCTAAAAATAAAACAAGACCACGTTATTCTAACAGATTGGCATGCTCAGAAGCTGATTTTTTTTATCAACTTTTTTTTATCTTTATTGCTCAAAATCATCGATTTTGCAGCTTCTCTCAAATTCCCTCAAAGTTCAAACAATTTGAAGATAATTTTTTTCCAGTTTTAGACTGGTTACTGTATCTTACAGTACTCTGACGTTTTCGAGTATCTTTTGAACATTTCTGCAAACAAAGCCACAAGATTTATGTACACATGAGAACAGAATAGGAACACCCGTTCAAACAAAAAAAAAACAGAGAAAAATGCAACATACTAAAGCAAACGTTCTGTAAAGCTTTAGGGGAGAGATTCAAAAAAGTAAACTCAAAATTTCAAATTTTTGTTAGTAGAAATAATAGGTGTCAAGATATCAGTGGAAATTTTGAAGATTGGTGAATTATCGACTTTTGGCTTAACTCCAATTATGGCGTCTTTGATTTCGAATTTCTTTGATAGAGTCGTTCTAACGGCTTCTGTCACTTCGTGGACATTTTCTGATGGGTCTGAAAAATATGATTTTTTTTTTTCCGGATCTGAAGTCTATACGATTTGCTAAAGATATCTATGGGGACTGGAAAATACGCAAAAATCACATAATTTTGAAAGCCTTCATTTTTTGGGACGACATTATCTACCTAAGATAGTCTCTTCTCTTTGTGAAATCTCTGAGGACTAAAAAAAACTCATCAAAATACGCGAAGAATTATATAAAACTCGAAAAACCTTTCTTCCAAGTGAATTTGAAAAGGACAGGGAAAATAAGCCACATTTCCTTGTATTTTTTTTTGTCTGTCTGATTGTTCTCTTTTTCATTTTGCCTGCTATTTTTAGGTTTTATGCAAAAAAAAATCAGAACACTCAAGACCAAGCTGGCGTTACCAATGTCTCCAAATCACATTATACCCTACTTCTTTCAGCTCTACAAGTCTAGCCGCTATAAAAAAGTTTGCCAAAAAGAGCGACTGGCTTTCAAAAACCATGAAACTTTGCGATTCTGAAGTCTTGTTCAAAACTTCGAAGATTACATCTGAATTAACTAACCCAGCATGATATCAACAGCACAAGCCACATTGCTGGGGCTGATACTCCAAATGTGAAGTCGACTGACGGAGAAAACTCCGTCCAAAGCTTCCAGGGAGTTCTCAATCGTCGCGGCGTCAACGTCATGGGGGACAGCTAGAAGTAAGAAGCTTTGAAAAATTAAGTTGAAAAATCCTTATTATAACCCTCATGATCCTTTTTTTTGAACCCAAGTTCAAAATTTCTCCTATTTCATCAAACAAATCATTCGGAAGCCTTGTCACTTGACCGGTCGTAACACAGTCATTGTATTAATTCGAATTAGGCTGCACTGGGCGAAAAAGTCCGTGTTTTCAAAACGTCATTAAGCCTTGATTTCTTTTCCCGCTCCGTGGTCTGTTTATCATGGACGAATTCGTCATTGCGTGGGAAAACTGGCTTTTTTTTAGTGTCAAGTAGATTTTTTTTGAAGTTTGCAGTTCTCTCGAAAAAATTCCGTTCCGCAAAAATCAAGGTTAAATGACCGCTCAAAGTTCTTACTGATTCAATTTCGCTCTTTGGACCGAATTAGCTTTGGAGCGCACTTCACCTTCCATCAAGACGAGTAGAATATCCTTGAGAACGGTCACAGTGGTCACCAGAACGATCAACGAGAAAACGAAGGTACAAATCGGGTCCGCCAGACCCCAGCCGGTGTACTGAAATGAAAGTCTCTTTATGACATTTTTTTTCCAGAAAATAAAAATTTTGTAGACAGAATTCTGAAACCGAGGGTAGTCCTGAATAAAAAAGTTCTACAGAAATCGATCAAAAACTTGAACTTGCGATGCCTAAATTTGAGGCAAAATCTCAGGCACCACAACCACCATTGCGGAGGCAGCCGAGAAACTAGCATATGAGTATTTTTTTTTTGCGTAATCTCATGGGAAACCCGGTGACTTTTAATCGAAAATCCCTTATAAAGGGAATTTTAGTTCTGGTATTCAGGGAAATTTTTGAAATTTCGTTAATAATAGATGAAGGTCCTAAAAAGCTCGAACTGCCCAATTTTCTAGTTTCGAGAAAAAGAGGACTCATAATCATAAAAACGCTATATTTTCCTAAAAATAATAAGTTGAAGAGGCTGAGACTTCCAAGAACTTCAAGAAAGAGCTCTGGTCCTATTTCAGAAAATAGAGTCAGTAAGCTTCGCTGGAATCGACCTTATTGGCTACTGTAAGTGTCTCCCGATTTTCTGCCTTACACAACCTTGATAATGAGGGCTGCGAGAAGAACTCCGACGGACTGGATCAGGTCGCCGATCACGTGGACCGCCGCTGCGCGGACGTTCACGTTCTGGTGTTCTTTGCACCCAGGACCGCTGCAAGATTCTGCTATTTTTTCAGACAAGACCCTAGTCTTTTGAATACAGCCAGTTTCACGAGTGGAAGAGAAAAGCTCTCTCGAAAATCGGGTGAACTTATTTCGAGAATGATTTTCAGACAAGATGGCATAGAATCAGAAAAAAGTTGCGGTGCACTCCCCTTCGAACTCTCGGTACACCCCGCAGTGTAACAAGGGGTACACACAGTTCAGCTTTGAATGCCTATTAAGGTACTTTTCCCGTACACGACTTCAAAGTTGTTTTTATATCACCGCTTTCTACAGTTTCATTCTAGGATGTTACGCTGGCTTAAAAAAACTTTTTATTTCCGACCAGTTGCCCCAGGGATGCAGGTCTTACTTTAATTGAAAATTTAGAAATAAACTTTTCTTGTTAGATATTATAGTAGTTCGAATAAATCTGACTTAAGTTTCAATTTTTTTTTGCCTAATACCTTACGTAATCAAGAAAAAAAGCGTCTGGATACATAAAAATGAAAGAAAAGTAATGAGGAACGTTTTTTCTTAGCATTCTTGAAACTTTTTTTTCGAAAGAAGGTTCGGAGCCACTTGCCTCCCATGACTATGACTATGCTCGACGGAGCCAAAATGAAGGACCAGACCCATCAAAACGTTGAAAAAAACTCCGGCGGCCGAAGTGATGACCATCGTATTGGCTTCAACTTCTGAATAATTGAAAATTTTAACAAACTTTACAGCTGAACGAATTTTACCGTATTCTCCGGTGATGATCCGATGAGTGGCCATGGCGACGAGGAAAACTGTCAGAACCCATAGGATGAATATGGAAGTTAGAGCTCCGAGTACCTCAGCTCTCCCGTAACCAAATGTGAAACGGTGGCTTTCTGAAGTCAAAAAAACTTTTTTTCAAAGTCTTCGAATTGAAAAAAAGTTCCATAAAAAAATCAATGAGTGAAGTTTTTCGAGTTCCTTTCGATTCAAGAATGAATAAATGAGTAAAAATCCAAACTGGGAATTCTCAAAAAAAGTCTTTTTCAAAAAAATCCTGTTATTGTGTATCCAAATTTTTCAAGAAAATAAATATGAAGGATGAAATCAGGATGTTATTCCGATGAGAAAAAACCGAAAAATCCACAAATATGAAGGGGATAGTTATAGAAAAAAACATCGAAAAAAACGAGGAAATTTGAGAAAAATTGAACTTGAAATACAATTTTTCCTCTATACTAAAGTCGCGGAAAGCTAGATTTTTTCACTAACGAAAAAAATTTTTCTTTCTTTTTTTAACTGGAACTTTTCGAATTTTAAAAAAACGACAGTAGTAATCAATTCAAGAAAAAAACTCCCTATGATGCTCAACTTAACCAGAAATCTATAATTTTTCAACATTTAGGACCTTTTTAAGTTGTTTAAGGATCAAAAACGCCGCTTTTTTTTCAACTAATGGCATTCAAATTGGTTCAAAACTTTATTTTTATTAAGTGCATTTTTTGCTCAAGTACATCCCGCTATTCTTTGAATTAAAGCTTCGACGCAATAAAGAACCGAAGACATTTTTTATGATTTTCTGATCGATCTCACCTCTTTTCCTAGCCAATCTCAACGCCATAATCGATATAAGAAATGACAGCAAATCGGAAAACAAGTGAAAAGCGTCGGACATAATGGCCAAGGAGGAGGCCAAATAGCCGCCGATGACTTCTGAAGCGATGAAAATAACTGAGAGTCCTGCGACCGTCCATAAAACTCGCTCGGCTCGATGGCTCTGAAAGAATTATATAATCCTCATTTTATCAAGTTCCAAGTTCTACAGTAAGCTCATTTCTGAATTCTTATAAACATCTTGGTTATTACAGGCCCAAAAATGTATCACGACCCGGAATAACACTGAAAACGGCTTCGTGGCTTTAAAACTTGATAAGGAACTCTCTAAACTTATTTAAAACCTCATAAATTTTTTTCGAAAGGGTTATAATAATTGAAGTCATTTTTTTGGATTTCATGGCGAGGTTTTTTTGAAAAATCTTAAGAAAGGTCACAAATCAGAAAAAAACAGGACGATTGTAGCGCGAAAGAAGGCCGAATTTTTTTGTTTGGAAACGTTCAATTTGAAAGTTCAGTTCTGGATCAGCGTTAAAACGAACAAACTATACGGCCTTCTTTTTTTCCCACTTCATATATTTTTTTAGAACAGCACAAAATAAATTAAAAAAAGAAACCTCTTTGAGAGCTCCATTGTAACTGCTGTTCGTGTGATGTTTCTCGTGGGACATCATTCTCTGGAATTTTTTTGAAGTCAAAACAAAAATAATAAAATGAGTACGTGAAAAAAAAAGATGAACAAAAAAAAATGAGAAAAAGGCAGAAATCAGAAAAAAAGGGCACCAAATTTTGAGGACCTCAAATAAACAAACAAATTAGTGTTTTAAAAAAAGGTAAAAAAATAAATTTGGAAATGAGGAAATTAGGGGTTTTTTGAACTTTTTCTACAAATTTTATTAGAAAGTTCAAATGATCTATTTATGAGACGCATTTTTCATGATTCAAAAAGGTCAAATATTCCACTCGAAAAGGAAAATTGAATTCAAAAGGACAACTGAGAAAAATGACGCACAGTTATTTCTGAAAAGTGTAACTTTTCGATTTATAAATGGAAACGGTATACAATTTTTTCAAAGTCTGAGTTATAGTTGGAAAGGGAGAATAGAAAATTATAACGAAAAAAAAAATCAATTTACGAGGTAGATTCCTTTTTTGAAACAGTTTGAAACCAAAACTTCGAGGCTAAACAGGTACAAAAGTTCATTTTCCCCTCAAAAAGGGGAACCCATGAGGAAGAACTATTTCACAGCCAGATTATAACTATAAATCGAGGCATTTTTGAAAAAAAGAGCGAAAAAAAAGTAAACAACTGGGAAAAAGCCATGAGAAAAACCTTTTTTTCTTATAGTTTTTTTGTAGAGGTAATCAAACTTTTTAGAGGAAAAATAAACTTGAAAGGACAGCGGAACATGAAAAAAACCACAACAAATTTAATCCAAAAAGGGCAACGTTACAAACTCGAGGTGGTATTTTGGAGTTTGATGCAAAAAAATATTTTTTCGTTATGAAAAGGTTTTTTTTTTTCAAACTAACAATTCTTTATAGCTAGTTGAAAATTTAAAATTGAACTTTTTTTATTCTTAACGTCATAGAATTCAGGAGAAAAGGACAAAACAGAAAAAAATGCTCATAGATGATGTATTTAAAATGGTTCATAATGTTTTGGAAAAATTATATTTATACGAAATTCATTCCAAAAAGATGGCGCGATCTCAATTGAAAAGGCCTTTCTATCACAGAACAATTACTTGACTCATAATGTTTCTAGAATAAGGAAAGAAAACAGTAAGCGACCAGAAAACGGCTTACGCGGGGCTTATCCTAAAATTACCGAAAACAGAATTAATTCAACGGGAAAAAAAAACTTTGGAAAAATATTACATGTGAGAACTGTCCAAAAAAAGGCCTTTGCAAATATTATCACTAAAGTGTACACTAGTCGGACCGAGTATCATATTTACAGAACTTTAAAGACCCTCGATTCTTCAAGTTGAATGGAATTAGAACTATAAATCTCAAGATTCTTGTAAATTAATGAATTTCTGAACAATTTCAGAATACTTCCATTTTAAAGGACCAGAGGCTAATTAAAGCAAATTTTTATAAATTATTCAAGGTTTGACCTCAGTAGGTTTCCCATTTAGGAGTTCAAAAGCTAGTCATCCAGTACTACCAAATTAGGATTAAAAGTTTGAAATCCCAAAAATCCCGAAATTATCTGTAATCCCTCAAATCTATAAATCATCAGAAGAAAACTCAAAAACTGCAGAAAAAGTTGATTATTGTCAATTTGAGTGCGATCTTTTCCTTATAAGGCAAGTGGATGGGTGCCTCCTCCCCTCTCATCGCCTTTCGCCTTCAATTCTTCTTCGGCGCCCCCGCTTTTTTCCGTCTGTTGTAAAGCAAAAATGAATGAATTGAATGCGTGGAGAAAAAAAAACATCAAAACATGTACTTTAACTATATTGTGATGTGAATCACGTCGAAAAATTCACTGATTTTTGGACTTTCAAGTTAAAAAAAGGCGTACTTTAAAGCCATCAAGTAATGAATCAACGGTCTGATCTGAGATCGTAGGAGATTTTAAAAACTTTAGCTTTGAATGAAAAATTCTATAAATCAGGGATGGAAAAACTTCAACTTAACAATCAATATAAAACCTTGATTTTCCGAATTTCAGATAGTTTTTTTCAGTATGATTAGGATTCACAATTAACTAAGATTCAAACTTGAATGAGAATCCAACTCTTCAGTGTTTGAAATCAAGATTCAAATCTCGCAAAAGAAAACTTTCGTGAAGAGGATTTGAACCTGTCTGTCTTGAATCTCAAATTCAAAGCTTAGCCACATGACCAGACTTGCAGCATTTTATTAGAGCAAGGAAAAGATTTTTTACGGAAAAAGTTGATTTTTCATGTTGACGAGTGTTTTGCTATCTGAGCTCTATAAATATAATCCCCTCTAAGAATACACATTTTTGAACTTTAAAAAGAAAATAACTTCTGAAATTCATTTCAATTATATTCCTATCTGACCTTATAGTGTCTTTAGTAAAAAAACCCTCTCTATGTTTTTCTTGAATTAAAAAAATAGGAACTCGGAAAATCGTGTCAAGTTGGACAAAAGACTCAAAATTGGAAATTTCTATTCAATATGTTTCTATTCTCGCATTCTTTCTTTTTCAAGAACTTTGAAATTATTGATGGCGAACAATTAGTTATCAATTTTTTTTTTTTTTGTTATTGCCTCTGTGGCGTCGGAAGAATGCCACCCTGGGCATTGTTTTTTTCGCGAAAAAGAAATGTATATGACATAGGAAATAACTGGAAACCAAGGGAAAAATGTGGAAAAGTTGCATGTTTTTGGAGAGGAATCGTTGGACTTCGGGTAAAGTTTAGATAGCTTCGGGAAGTTGGAATTTGTCGAATATCAGATCCTATTTTTCTAGGGAACCCATATGAATAAAAAGTTCATTCATAAATTAAAAAAAGGAGAAATCCAAGTCGATTTTTGAGAGACAATTGGGAAGACCTCGAGCATTCAGAAAAAAAGGCTCAAAGGGAGGTATGAAAAAAAAAACATGAGTTCAAAGGTACAAAAACTGATAAAATTTTGCAGAAAATCATGAAGTTCAAATATTATACAGACAAAAACAAAGAAAAAACCTAAAATGGAATCTTTTTCCGTTCAGCGCAGGCTCCTGGGACCTAACCTCACGAAAATTAAAATCACCATAGATTAGTTTTGCACTTTTATTTCTCCTTTTTTAACCATTTAGCTCTAAAATGGACGCATTTTATATTAGAACTTAAGAACTTAAAACAAAACAACCCGAAAACATGTGCAAAAGATGATGCGGAATTCGTGAAAGTTAAACGGTTGAACCGGTTTTTCTGCACAGCGAACTGTAGTTGATCACATTCATTTTATTTTTTTCATATGGGAGGCCGAAAATTCTGAGGGAAGAAAAATGAAGATCTAGTTCAAAACAAGTAGAAGATGAAGCTTGAGAAGTTGAGTTTAAACTTTTTCTTTTTCAAAGATCTGCCTTTGATCAAGTATTTCAAGTTTCTCATAGAATCTTGATTTTTGCAAACAATAATAAAAAGTCCAAAATGATTAAATGTTTTTTTGGTTCCAAGAAACTTTTGAGTAATGTTTTTTATAAGAATAGGATGATTAAGGTTAAGCTGAGATCTTCGCACAGAAGTTTCCTAAATTTCATTCGAAAAAAATAAGGAAAGTGAATAATCGGTGGAAAAATTTTTGATAATTCTCAGCCAACTGGGCTAGTTGAATTTAATGTGGTTTTTGTAATCTTTAAGTAAAACTTCCCCCTTTTTTAGCGTTTCAAATTCGAAGAGAAACTATTCCATTTCGAAAGTTGCTCTAACGGAAATGCCTTCCTGAGTAGCTCAACGCGTAAAATGTTTCTGATATGCACCCGACTCGAAATGGTTTGCGCATTTATGCATCAGAAGTCATTGAAGCTGGTTGCCTTTCGATCGCAACGCTTCTAAGATTTTCATGGCGTTTCAAAAATAATTTTTTTCAAGTATTTTTTTCATTGGGAAAAATAATTGCGAAAGATTTTTCCCAATGGTGCGAAAAACTCCCATGAAGTTGCAATTAATGAAAAAGCAAAGTTATTTATGAAATACTTTCTAGTGATAACGATACTCCGGAAGTTGATATCATTATGTGAATTTTTCTGAATGTGCTTTCTCGTGCGTTATATAATATGGTTACACGGCTTTATTTTCCATTACTCATTTTTTTTTTCTTTCAAAAAGTTATTCAAGCTCAAATGATTCTCTTATTTTTATAATCGAACGAGAAAAGCATGAAGAAAAAAAAACAAGGCTTGAAAATAATTTAGAAAAACCAAACTAGTTTCATATTTTTCTTCTCTTATTTTTCGCTCGGTAAATTTTGAAAATTTCATTTTCAGACATGGAAGAGCTCTACCAACAAATCTACTTTCATCTATTTCCCGATTTACACGGTTATCTCCACTGTGGAGCATCTGTATTTGTTCTATGTCATGATCAACTACACGCCAGGAAATTTGAAGTCAATGAGACTTCTCATGATGCAAACGGCGTTTTTTTCGATGTTATCATAACTATATTGACTTATTCCACACAGTTTCGGTTGGTTTGAACAGCTTTTTGAAAAGATTATTTTAAGGAGCCTAACTACTGAAAAGTCGGTGGCGGTTATTTGTCATGGTCCAGCCAAATATTTGGATTCAATGTTCTGCTTCGTCTCCTTCGACACTATTTTGGTTAGTTAATTACCTTGGACGCTTCGAACTGGAACTAAAAGGAACAAAAGTTTGGATTTCAGACGATCTCCGGTGCCGTGACAATTTCTGTCACACACACCGTATACTACAAATCGAGATCATTGATTAATAACTCTTTGGCGAACTCATTCAAAAGAGTTGTCATACAAACAGCCGTCAGTATGATCCCAATCTACGTTTTATTGGTGAGTGAGAAATTAGTTATTCTTTGAAGATAAACTAGATAAAGCCTGAAAACTAGCGTCAAAGTCTCAAGATGGTGTCTCATTGTGTAATCCCCATTTCAAGATACAGTAATATCAAAAAAAAAAAGCTATATTCTAAAACCCGCAAACTATATGTGTTTCAACTCGAATTATTGTGACACGCACACGCCAGATTGCGGACTTTTGATTCTTCAATCACTATGCCGAATCAAATATACTTCCAGGCAATGCAAGTCGTCACAACGAAAGACTTTTCCGCAGTCTACACAGAACTAGAAAAATGGAATCTGACATTAGGTCTGCCTGCCGAAAGGATTTCCGGCTACTCTGACCTCAGTCAATGGCCAAATATCACTGCGAATATTATTTCTGCCTTGATAACGTATGGAACTCCTCTTTATTCTCTTTTTGAGAAAAGGTAGAGCTTTTCTTGACCTAAATTCTCATTGCGGTACCCTCAACCAGTAAAACTCCTAGTTTTTGAGAAACTAAGTCGACGTCTCTTCTGGCAAATTTTCTGAAACATCTTTAACCACAAAATAAAACTACCTTTCTTGTTTAAAAACTTCCAAGTTGATTCAAGAAAATCTCAAAAACTCAGATTTTCTCATTAAACTTCAACCTTCTATACTGAAAAAAGGCCAAATTTTGAATTCAGAAGAACAAGCCGATGCCTGAAAGAACACCAAGCTCTACTATCCGCCAGGACTGCACATCAAGTCAGAAAATTTACAATTGTAATTTGAAAAGTTTTCATGAAAAAATTATAAATCGTGATGTTCAGGGGCTACTACTACAAATTTGGCTACCAATCATCCTGTTCGTCCCGACAATGAGCCTGAGCATTTATGCCAGTTTCTCACCGGGTAGCACTCAATTTTTGATTTTTTGAAATGAATTTATTTTTTTTTCAGAAGGATTGCCCTCTTTTTTCGACTACATTCCAGCTGTTACCGTATCGTTTCCGGCTGTTTTGGACCCGATAATCACTTTATTCGCTGTGACCCCTTATGAAGTCGCTTTCCGTTCCCATATTTGTCGCGACCGTCGTGTTTCCGAACTTTCCACTTCATCCAAAATCAGCCAGAAACCGACTTTTATGTTTTGAAGGATAAAGCCGCATTTGGAACGGCTTACTAAGAACTCTGTAGTTTTAAAATACCTCAAATAAAGTTTATCTACCTCGAAAGAGCTTTTTTTCCTTTTTCTATACACAGCTCTGAAATTTGCAACGAATTTAGCAAAAATGAGTGAATTTGAGAATTTAAATAATTATTTTCATAGAAAGCCAAAAATTCCAGGGCTATAAAAAAATTGTGATTTTTCAGAACAAAAAAATCAGATGGGAAAAATTAAACAGAATGAAAAAAAGTAACAAAAAAAGAGATTCATTAACAGAGCAACTTTGCCAAAGAATTTGAGATTGAAAACGCTTTTTAGAGCCGATTCCCCCGAAAAAAATTATTTTTTGAGCTTACTTTCAAAAATGCTATGAAAATCTGTACAAAATCACTTTTTTTGAGTCTCAGAAAACAAAATTGCAAAAAAAAATCTATCAAAAAAAAGGGTTTTTAAAATCATGGAATCCTTTTTATTGTAATTTATGAAGTTCAATTATGGCTTTGAACTGATTTCTTATTCGCCTTGACAAAATTATTGAGTCTTTTTTCAAGCGAGAGTGTAACAAGCTGGTTTGATAAATTTGCTACAAAACTTGTTGGCGGGAATTTGAACGCCTTTTTAAGGATCTTTTCTTAAAGGTGTATCGAATGTTGTGCAGTTCTGGACACACTGTCCGTATCGTCATGAAAAGCTCGAGAAGATATTTCGTCAAAAGCCTCGAAAGAGAATTAGTTCCGCCAAAACGCCTTCCCGAAAGTACGACTCATTTGAAACTATAGTAAACTTCCTTGTTATGTTTTTTTTTCTAGCCAAAATCTATTATGACAGCAACGTCACCATTTTTAATCAACAAATAGATTATGCTCCGATGCAAAAAATAGCCAGCAACCATGCAAAACTAAACCGATGACACATCAAAATGAGCGACGACTACGCATCTTTTGTGAACCCGCGCGTATTTAGTCCATCTTTCGACTTTCACTCGAGACATTAACATGGAAGATCTCTACGAATCTCTATTTTCTATATACTTCCCTATCTATTTCATTTTTTCTATGACTCAGCATCTCTATTTGCTTTTTTTGATGATTAAGTACACGCCGAATCATTTGAAGCCGCTACGGTTGATTATGATTCAAACTTCGTTTTTTGAGATTCTTATCACGATTCTGGCCTTTTCAACTCAGGCTAGGTTCGTAAACACATATAAAATGGAAACATGTTCAAATACGGTTTTATAGACAAATTATAACGGACAAATCAGTGGCGGTGGTTTGTTATGGCCCAGTAAAATATTTAGACCCAATGTTCTGCTTCGAATTTGTGGACACGTTTTTGGTGGGTTCTTTTTTGTTAATCATAAAAATAAATTCTCCTTTTCGTTCAAACTACGATCCATATTTATCTCAATTAAAACGAAAAATACGAAAAAAAAGGGTTCTGCACTTGCATTTTTTTTTTACTGAAAACCAGGCAACAGAAATTTTTAACAGCAAGAAATGATGATAAAAATGGACAACCTTTTGTGAACAGTTTACAGAATCATTTGCCCGCGTCTCTCGTTCAATCAGTTCCATATCCGCACTGTCGATGATTTCGGATTTATAATCTGAAAAAAGAATAAATCAAACAGGACACTGTTCTTTTTGAAAACTCAACTTGCTTTCAGTTATTTCTTTTTTTTTTCAAAATTACCGTTGTTCGGAGAACGGAAAATATTAATGGACATTTGAAAGTTTGAAACAATATGAAGCAAGTTTCCAACAGAAAAAAAAAGGAACAAAATAAGTGAACAATTGTTTTAAATAATTATAAAAAAATGAACCCGTGTGAATCGGTGATTTTTTTATTGAACTCTTCGAGAAAAAAACTGTCATGAAACATATTCAGAAAAAAATTAAAAAGTCAGTTTTTCCAGTTGATAAAGCCTTTAAAATTATAAGTTTGAAAGAATAAATAAAAAAACAAAAAATAAAAAATAAAACTTTTTTCTCGCTTTGAGGCTTTGCATGGATGCGCCAATTTTTCGCAACAACCTGCGCCTTTAATAAGAAGCTTTCAGAAAGGGATTGAAAATTAAATAATTCCTCCAGTTTCAAAAATAAACTGTGAAATTGTCCCGAAGTCTTATTAAAAAGATTATGGGTACCATGTTTCAATTGCAGACATTGTCTGGAGCCGTGACTATCACAATAACACATACCGTTTACTACAAAACGAAGACTTTCATAAGGTCTTCAAATCTAGAAACCTACCGTCAGAATATTGGTATTCAAACAATCGTCAGCATGATTCCAATCGCACCTTTGCTGGTTAGATGCGAACAGAAATGTTTAAAAAAATGAGACGGATTTTCAGGCAATGCAAATCGTAACGACAAAAGATTTTTCGGGCGTTTACTCTGAACTAGTTGATAAAAATCGGACTTATGGTCTTGCACCAGAGTCGGTAACAGGTTATGTCGATGTGTACGAATGGCCGAACCATGTTGCGAATCTTGTATCCGGTTTAATTACCTATATCACGCCCTTTTACTGTATCTATCAGAAAATGTTGGAATCATTTGGCGTACTCTTTTTTGAAAAATGAATTTCAGAAGGTTGCGCCTTTGCTTTCAACGGAACCGATCTGCTCTTTCTCCTACAACTAAAAAACAAGCTCAATGTTTTATGAACGTAGATCTCTGACAATTATTCTTGAGATAATTATATTAAAATCAGGGTCTAATCATTCAAATCGCATTGCCAGTCGTTTTTTTCGTTCCAGCCATGTCCTATAGCATCTACAGTGTGCATGCAGGTCAGTTTTTTTCAGTTTTTTGATGAAAATGAACTTTTTAGAATCCTATCTTTTAATTACCGAGTTCCTGTTCACTGTTATCAACTCCATTCCTACCTTTTTCGATCCAATAATTACATTATTTTCTGTCGCGCCGTATAGAAGGTCTTTCCTGTCACTTTTTCGACGGAATAATCGTGTGGCTGTTGTTCCGGCATCTTTTTCGACACCCTCTTCACTTATGGCTTGATTATGAAAATTATAGAAAATATAATTTGAAAAATAAATTGTTTCCTTTCAAGTTGAATGAAGCAAAAAGTAGTTAGAAAAATCAGAACATTCACTTTCTTTAGAAAATTTCCTACGAGTTTAAGTTCCCAATCGGGTCCTTGGTGTGATGGTTGAATGTTCCCAACGTTGTTTTTGATACCGAGGTTCAATGCCTATCGGCGTTTTTGGCATTATCAATGTATTTTTCAACCGAACCTCATTTTGTTTCACTTTCATTGATGTTGAACAAAAGTACCAGTTTTTCCTCAAATCCATTTTTTAAGGCTAGACAAGGAAGTGATATTCGATAATTTAAACAAATAAACGGATTATCAATAAATTCATTGTTCCTGTATCAATATCAATCACTTGGAATCTTAAAAAATTCAATTACTGCAAGATAAGTTGAAAACAAAGCCAAAGTTGGGTAAGGCGACTGCCTTTCTTAATCCTTTTTCCTTTTGCTGAGCTTTTTGAGATAAATTTGCAAGTTTTCAAGAAATTTACTGTTTATTCAGGTTATTAAGATTTCAAGCCCATCAAAATGAATTCAAAAAGGAAATAAATTCCAATTTAGAGAACATATTCCTTTTTAGTTTCAAATTTTTGTGGGCTACAAAAAAAGAGTAACTGGATTATGATCTGAATGATTTCCATGAAAATCAATAAGTAAAATTAGCTTGTTCGCATACTTTTCGGAAGTTTACAACCTATCTTTCTCAATCAATTTTTGCTTTTCTCAAAATCAATCACCTGAAAATTGAATTATAGCCATGTGAAATGGAAAACAACGGCAAAAATGCGTCTGGCAATTTTTTTTCTAATCATTTTCCCTGGACCTTTTTTTCCATTTCGAGTTCATTTTTTGATTTTGCAGATTGTTGAAAAAGAATGGGAAACATCTATGAACAAGTTTTGTCAATTTATTTTCCAATCTTCTTCGTTTTGTCTATGACAATCAACTTTTATCTACTATATATTATGATAAGATATACCCCATCTAATTTGAAAATAATGCGACTAATTATGATGAAAACTTCGATTTTCTTGATTCTCATCGCAATATTGACATTTTTCACGCAAAACAGGTGATTCTTTTTTTTTGCTGACAATAAAAAATGATCTTGAGAAACATAACAACTCAAAAGGCTGTGGGGCTCGTTTGTCATGGGATTGCAAGGATGCTCGATCCGAGGACTTGCTTCCACTCTAATGGAATCATTTTGGTTAACTTTTTTCTTCACTTCATCAGGGTTATTTTTAAATCTGGTCCAATTCAGAGCCTACACACTGCCATCACTCTTTCCATAGGTCACACGGTCTATTTTAAATCGAGAACTCTTTCAAATTCTTCAAACGAATTTTCGGTTCGAAAGATCGCTGTTCAAACGGTCATCAGTATGCTTCCAGTTCTTGTTTTAAAAGTTAGTTTGGATTATTCATTAAAAAAAATGAGACTATAGCCTGTCTGCCACGACTTGGAATTTCACCAAACGACATTCCGCTGTGCCGCTGCGCGCCTTTGGGAACCTTGGTCGCGCTTTAAATTTTTTTTTTCTTCTGTCAAGGTACTATACTTTATGCGCTCCCACAGCGCTCCCATAACAATCAATTGAAAGCCTGACCTAGATTCGAAAGACGCTTCGCGAACGCACGCAGCGGAACAGCGGAATGTCGTTCCGTGAAATTTCAAGTCGTGGCACACAGACTATACAATGAATAAATTGCAAAAAAGTAAGAAATTTTGAGGGAATTTGAATTGTTTACACAAAAAAGATTTGGAAAAGAAATTTAAATTTAAATCAAAAGACAAATTAAAATAGCACTGAGAAAGTTGGGAGGGCTTCGTTGTTTTAGGGACCACTATAAGGGGCTATTTCACGAACCCTTTAGGGTCAAGTTTTGCGTTCATAGATAAACTTTGCGGAAAAACGCACTTTTCAGGAGAGTCCAAGTTTTTTTTTCCCGAGCAATTTTCAGATCATTTCATTTATAACGCCAGTCAACTTTGCAAAAGTCTACGCTCAGCTTAAAGCTGATAATCTGACGTATGATATTGCGCCAGACCTTATGACGGGTTACGCCGATATCGATCAATTGCCTCCCACTCTCTATGGATCCATCACCAATGTTATAGCTATCGGCACACCAATTTACTGTTTATATGAGAGGAGGTTTCCGGTTTTCTTTCCTAAGAGAAAAAATTCGCTTTTTTTCGTTGAAATTTTTGATTCATGACAGATACTCGGCAGGAATTATGCTCCGGGCAGACCCTATCTAGGGTGCGGCCTTTAAATTTTCGGTGCTTTTTCTCGCACATTCAGAGGCGAAACCGAGCGCGGAGTCAGTTTATCGCGCAATGACCTCGAGAGTGGAGTTTTCGAAATTCCGAGTCAATTCAGTGCAATTTCAGGGGAGAAATCGAGCGAAAAAAGCGAATCTAAAATCTGTAATTTTCTCAAATTCAATTCTAAAGTTTTATTTAGTAGATGTTTTAAAATTAAATAGAAACTCCTGCTATCGTAATAGCTTACTTCCCGCACCGTATTTGCGCCCAATGGGAATAGGTTAAGCCCCGTTGATAATGAATTTTTTTTCCCCATGCAAGTTGAATTTCGTGGTCAGCACTGTGCAGCCTCTCCTTTCGCACGAAAAAGACTCGAAAATGTTACGGTTTGTCACTACCACTTGCAAAGTGCAAAAGATGGGGAAAAGAGAGCAAATCTGGGGGTTGCACCGGGCCGAGGTATCTGCCGAGTATTCCACTTCGATTTTCAATGGAGCAAACTTTGTCGCGTTTTTCTTTGGTTTAAAAATGTTTTTTTGTAGGAGAATGAGCCAATATCTACGAGCCAACCGCGTTTTGCTCTCTCCAAAAACGGAACAGAGAGCCAGGAAATTCGTGAACGTAAATTTTAAAGGTGACTTTTTTCATTGATTCATATTATTTTTATAGGGATTGACGGTTCAAGCATCGTTTCCGACATTGTTGAGCGTTGCAAATGTATTTTTTGGAACATACGCTAAAAATGCAGGTAATGTAGTCTTGTTTTTCAAATATCACGGCATTCCCAATGGGGTGAGGGAAGGTGAGCGAGGCGTCAAAGTTTCTGAATTTGAAAAACAGTAAGTGCGCGCTTCGGATAGAAGGGTTGTGACGTCACAGCTACCTATCGTTGCAAATTAAACTGAGTATTCAACGGCATGAAGAATACATTTGACTGCGTACTTGAGATTTCAATTTTCGCGCCAAAGTTTTTTGACGTCTCCCCACCCCGTTTGGGAACGCCGTGAATATATATTAAATCGGAATTTAGATAAAATAATCTGTTCATGGGCCTTCGAATTGGCCTTCTGTTTTTTTCTAAAGTCAGGACGTCTCTCCAACAAAGTATCATCAAAATCTCAGCAGGAAATTAACAAATCTCGCTTCAAAATGTTTTTTTGTAACTTTTTAAACTTTTAGAGGCCTAAAAGCAGCTTTTGACAATGTATTTATATCTGTTTCAGCGAATCACCCACTAATTTTGCAATACAACACGGCTGTTTTCTACTCGCTACCAACGCTTGTCGACCCGATCGCTACTTTATTTTCAGTGACACCCTATGAAAGAGCATTCCTATCCCATTTTGGACTCAAGAAAGGAGATGGTGGCCGAAATCCACCCAGTAAAACCGGTCCACTAACTGTTTCTTAAGGTCTCAAATAAAATATACACGGTAGGGAATATTTTTTTGATTTTTTGTCCGTAACTTTGTTAAAAAATCTTGGAATCTCATTGAAAATTCAGATCGAAACAATCGTTCCTACATACAGTAAAACCTTTTTGGATTTAATTTTTTTTAATTTCTATTTTTAAGAAGACACAGTAATTTTCTCCTTTTGGGGAAGTTCACTTTTTCGATCATGAAACTAGACAGAAACTTCGAAACAAGCTTAAATTGCAATCAATCATCAGAAACATTATTGTTCACAACCCCACAAAGTTTCGAAACTATTGAACTTCTTACAAAAAAGTTATGATGGAAAAAAAGTGAAGTTTCGTATTTAAAATCAAATAATTATTTCAAATAATAACGGTCTATGAAATTTTATAGCAAAAAAAACACTCATATGGGGAGATGCTCAATCACTTTTTTAGAAGAATCCGAAAGACAAAAAAGAAATATCAAGAGACCTGGACTTGAAGATTGTTCCAAGTTATTTTCCTTCTAAAGTCGAACATTTTTTGGAATAAAAGTACGATATTGGTCAACACTGTAAAAAAATTCAATAAAAACAAGAAGACTGCTCAAATTTATCGACAAATCGGAGAGAAGACAGAATATGCAGAGAGTATATCAGTTGAAATGATAAACTTTTAATCGAGTTCAGAAACTTCAACAAATAATTCATGCGACTTGAGACGTTGTCCAGCTGTAAGCAGCTCCTGAAAATTTTTTGATTTTTTTGGAAGATCATTTTTCTAAAACTTTCTATCTTCTGCCTCTTGTCAAAAATTATCCTCCGGAATTGATGGTTGAAAGTGATGGTGACCACACTAAAAAAACAATTTTTTAAAATCTGGAAGTTGTGGTTATTTTTTCATATGGTCTGTTCAGAACTTTAATGTCAAGTGCAATGACGTCATTCAAAAAACCTCTGTGGATAGTTCGCTCTCTGATTGGTTTATCGCACCATTAGGGGCGGAGCTTGAGCGACGACTTGAAATTCAAAATCTGAACAGACTATAGCACAGAAAAAAACCCAATGCATCGATTGAGCAAAAAAAAATTCACTGTCAAGTGGTTTTTCCTATCGAAAAAGCCGCGAAATCCAAAAAAACGCACAATTTTTCATGAAAATAAATTTTTTTCGTTAAGAAAAAAAATATTAAAAAAAAAATTGTACACGAAAATGTGTTCAATTCGCCATTGGATTTCGTTTGAAAAAAGTATCATTGGATTTGGACGATGGAGAAAAAAAGTTACATCAAAAAAATCTATGTAAAAATTTCGGGACCTTGTGTAGTTATTGTTCATCGATTCTCTCGGAGAACGAGTGTTAAGATGTGTTTTACCGTATTTCGAACCATTCCCTTGCCACCATGGTGCTGAATCAGAAAACCTACCCATCCAGACAGTGTGCAGATTCCCAGACAACCATAGACATGAAGAAAAGGATCCATCCGGGTGGAATCAAGGGAGTGAAAATAAAATTGCACAGCAGGTCGCAAACGAAGAGGAAAGCTTGCATACAAGCCTGGAAAGCCGTATTTTAGAAACTTTATAAAAAGCTGTGAAAAACTCGGTGAAAAATCCGACCTGTTTCAAAAAGTTGATGTCATTTTTGCGGCGTCTCGAGCTGTACTTGTGATCCGAATAAATCTAAATTTTATACTTTTTCTCTATTTTTCTGAAAAGACGAACCTGATTATTAGTGAGTCGAACCTTGACGACCGTCGCGACATCCACCGCCACGATAAATATCACCAAAGAAACACTTTTCAGGAAGGCGTTGTACCAAGAGATCATAACACAGGTCGGTGTCGTCGCAAAGGCGAATAGCCGCAGTTGATCGATGTGGATGAGAGAACAGTCTTCTAGAAATTTCGACTTGAAAAGACCTTGGGGAACTTTTTGAACCGTATTCGTAGAAGTAAAACGTGGAAACGACGGACACGATCAAGGTGAAAGCGATCATGATTGTAGTGTTGAAATAACTGAACATTGTATTATAGTCTGTGTGCCATTTCACGGAACGACATTCCGCTGTTCCGCTGTTCCGCTGCGTGCGTTCGCGAAGCGTCTTTCGAATATAGGTCAGCGCTTTCAATTGATTATTATTGCTGTGGGAGCACATGAAAGTAGAATACCTTAATGAAAAGAAAAATAAAAATAAAAACCGCGCAGCGGCACAGCGGAATGTCGTTCAGTGAAATTCCAAGTCGTGGTACACATTTTTTTTTAAAGGGAAACAATGACTTATTTTGCAAAAACCTACTTGAATATCTGCTCGTACTTGATTGGAAAAAATATAGCGCAGAACCGGTTCAACGATATAAAAAGATGAGAGAAGACGCTGATGTCGAAGCAAACGAGAAGTGCAAAGCCAATGTGTTGAGAGTTTTCCCGTAACATTTTGATGTCACTAAATTTTTTATGATTTGAACAGAAAAAGAAGTCTTGAATATTGAAACCCTAAGATCATCTACACCTTCCTGAGCTATTTCAATTTCAAACTCACAACATGAGCATTGGGGCATAGACAAGACAGAAAAGATGGTAGAATGTATGCCATCTCCGAGCGCCTGAGTGGCCGAAAGTCTTCCGAAGGAGTTTTGGAGTGCTGAAACACGTCGCTGAACGAAGACCACCGTCCAGTTGGCCGTGATTCCAACGATGCCGATCTGAAAATATTTTATTCAGAGATCGAAGTGAATTTATATTTTTTTATTTTTGATGCTCAACTGCAAACGGCTGACAAGTCATTTTACTTTACGGATGAGATTTTCCTGAAAATTGGCCAGATGAGGAAGATTCTGAGAGTTTCAACTCTCCAGTTTTTCAAAAATTCGGACTCAAAGTCAAGAAAAACCCTTAGAATTTATTAACATAGGCTATTTCGGGCTTTAGACCCTTATTTCTCGAAAACAAGGAAATTGTGCAGGTTGAGACTTTCAGGATGTTCATCTGGTACATCAAGAAGTGTTCTGGCCAATTTTTAGGAAATTCCCAAGCGCAAAGTAAAACGACCTCCCGTGTGAGCTGGTTGGTGTTACATTTGGAAAACTCAAGAAGCGCTGAAAATTGAGAAGATTCCATTTTACGAGCTGCAAAGCGCTGAGAGCTTCATATTTTTTTGGTTTTAAAAAGGACCTGAAAAAAAGAGCTAGCTTTTGAAAATAATCATTTTTCTAAACGGAAATGTTGACCTCAATCTTTTTCAATTATTTCAATTTCAATTTTTTTATTTGTAGTACGAAAGAAAAGTTCACGTTCAAAAGTTTAAATGAAATTGTGCAAAAAGAATAAAATTCCCAACCATAAAACAAAGAACCGCAGAGATTTGATCGTCGTTCATCTCACAGCGGAAAAAAATGAAAGTGACCATTTTGCAGGAATGATTCAATTGAAAAGTATAACTTTTGCAGTTTTCTTCCTACACGCCACAGAACTTTGTCTGTGAGCGAAAAATTAACATTCAAAAGCCGCAATTAGGTGAATAATATTTTTTTTTCCATTTTTTCGTGTTCGTCTGAGAATAAAACGCCTTCTTGTTCCCACCCTCAAGTGTCCTTTTTATTTGAGGAAATCTCTTTCACTGCAGATAAGATCTATTGTTCTATTCTTAAGGTCCTTTCTCGAGCCAAGAGAAGTCAAAGGAGAAAAAAAAAACGGACTTCTGGAGATCTTACAGCTCAAAGTTGGAATGATTTTTGCACATCGGAACTTTCACCTATTAATTTGCTCTGATTAAAATGTTCGCTTCTGCGCAACAGTTCAAAGATTAACAAGCTTAATTTTCATTTTCTTTAAGATCAAAAATTAATTGCTAATGTTTTTTTCTGTAATTATTCGAAAAGCAAAAGCTCGAAGAAAAGACATTGAAAACTCAAAACTTTAGAGTTTTTTTTTTCTCATGGGGCCACCAAATGTCTAAAGTGGCCACTAAAGGGGTGGGTTAAATAAGAGTCTTTAGAAAGAAAATGTAAAATTCTTTTCTGCACTATTTTATTTTCTTGAGCGAAACCCCTCGGGGGACCAGATTTCTAGGAGCCGAAAAAATTTTAGACTTAGAAATCCCAGAATGTTCCCTATGGGTGTTGAAAAAGTGGTCCCTATAGAGGTGAAATTAAGGTGGTCCCTATAGGGGCTTAGGTCTGACCCTTTAGCCCCTAAAGATCAAGTGGACCCTATAGGGGTCTTTCAATTTCATTCAAAAACGCTTATTTATTTGGTTTTATGGAAATGCTTCTCCGCTTAGAGTTCATAACAATTATCAAAGAGCATGTCCCCTGTAGGGGCCACTAACTTAAACCTTGGAACCACTTTTGCCAGCTTTGGTGGCCCCTATAGGGGTTGGTAAAGTGGTCCCTAGAGGGGACCCTCCAAGGACCCCCATGGCTTCTCCTATAGGGACCGCTCTAGAGTTCCTAAGGAGTACACTCAAATAGTCGCGGAACCTAGAATTCGAGCTTTTTCTCCAACTTTTCCGATAAACCACAAAAAGAATATGGAAAAGTCATATTTCCAGGAAAAGAACGACTTGACCATTTCCTTATCTTTCAATAATAAACTTATTTCTGCAAATCTAATATCAGATGATCTTTTTTTAGATTTCATTTCTTTTTCCGCTCAAAATTAAATGTTTAATCTTTAGGTTTTATGAAGGAGGAGCTGATCATCAGAATGGTTCAAACGCGTCTACCACTATCATAGGAAGATGATCTACGAGCCGTACTTGATTAACGAAAACAACTCTTCAATTATTGCATGATTCAGCAGAGAACTTTCACAGAATACTGAATGAATATGCGAAATATCTGTAGGCTATCATTTCGAGATTAAGAATCAGTAGGTCTCTCAGAGAAGCCCGTTCTTTGATTAAACGGAATTGATATCGAATGAAAAAAACCAACCCAAAAAAGGATGATACCACCGATTTGGTCGTCGTTCATGGCACAAAATGTCGGTTGAAATCTTTACGATAAGATGTTCATGAAGATAAGTCAGTCCTACATTTTCCTCAATGAGACTCCGCCCCTTGATTGCACTTGATGAAGTGAGAATTTATTGGCGCCAGTCTTGCGTAAAACTCGATAAACAGGAAGTCGCACTGAAGGGTGAAAAATATTGTATGAAATTGAGCCAAGTTAATTGCGTTCCTAGAAATCTTCAAAAAAAAAAACTTTGCCCTGCATTTTGGAACTTGAAGCTAAAAAAAAATTCAAAGCGTATAAGTTCAAAAAAATGGTCTTTTTAATAATGTTCTATTCAAAGAACAATAATAAAAAATAACATTATGCCAAAAATTTTAACTAGAGAGATTATTATGTTTTGCTTCTTGAGAAAAAAATAGAAAATTCATTAAAAAAAGATTGGTGACAAAAAAATTATGATGAGTCATAGTTGCAGAAAAATCTTGAAAAAGTTTCTTTTTTTTTGGACAACAGCCAAACGCATTGACGCACTCAAAACTTAAAAAATACTTGTCGTATGAATCACATAGAAAAAAAAATGTATCACTCATAAGACATTTTTCAAACTCATGTCTTGAATTCAAAAAACTTTCAGAAAATTGAAGACTGCAGATCTGATCCAAGCTTCCGGGGTAGGCAGTCCTGTTAAAAGTCCCGAAAAAACGTATCTGCCATAGGGTACTGGAAAATAGCCGAACTGTACGAAAAAAAGGATCAAAACTTTTTTATTCAAATTTTCAGGTCCTTACTGCTTCGAATGAGCATATCAGAAGCGACTGGATACCTCAAAAGTTCGTATGAGAAAGCTTTTTCTTTGGGATCCTGTGGCGCTGTGCAGATTTTGTTCTGTTTTGAAGTACTCAACCTAGGAATACCTGCCCTTCAGAAGTTTGGAACAGATCTGTTGATTACGCCCCCCCTCTTTTTGACCAATCGCGAGTTATTAATTACAATTTTTTTGTGATTTATCAAAAGTTTGATTCTGAGTCAGAATTTCAGCTTTTTAACTTCCTTTGCGTCACCCGTTGATATCCTCAACTCAACCGGAAAGTTCGAAAAAAATATATAAGAAAGTAAGATAAAAAAACCCAGTTTCTCATTCGGAAACACCTGACTCATGTGGACAGATTTATCATTATCTCAGCGTGTGGTAACATGAAGTTACGGAAAAAAATAAGCATTCATGAGATTTAGTGAAGGAAATTCACACGGAGTTGTATTTATTATAGTTTCTCATGAAATTCTGTTTCGGTTTGGCTCTAAATAGTATGATAATTTCTTTTAGTACAAACTAGACTGATGAAGGAAGTGTGAGATGAGAATCGCAGAATTGGTTCAAACTTCTGTGGTAGGTAGTCCCAGGTGCGAGTATTCTAAAATAAAAACAATTATCTGCTAAGCGCCATAGGGTACTGAGAAATAGCCTGTCGAAAAAGTACAGGATAAGCTGAAAAACAAATTCTTAGTTTTTGAGCTTTTTGCGTACATTTTCTAGAGGCATTTTCTCAGTACCCAATGGCGCTCAGCAGATATTTCCTTTTTATTTACGAGTACTCATACCTAGGACTATCTACCACAGATGTTTGAACCATATCTGCGATGCTCACCTCACAAACTTTCCTTTTGAAAACATATAATTTTCGTCAAAAATGAAATACGGCTTGAGAAAAAAAATTTCTTATTTTTTCTGATTAAAATATTCCGATTTGATCTCATAGAAACTTCGAAATTGTGAAAATCAATTTTTAAAAATCGTCTTTCTGTGTCCATGAGAGTTAGTTAACGGTTGATTGATAGCAACAATTCAAAAATATTCCGTTTCAAAGAATATTTTGAAAAATTGCAATTTAGATAAAGACGAAAAAATTCAATCTTACACTTTCTAAAACGCTTCCAAAACCTGTCTAAAGCTAGATTAATAGGAAAAACGAATCTACAGACTACAAAATCGCTGTCAAGTTTTACCTACACTGTTTGTACACAAATAAATGAAAAAATAGACGGCAAGAAAAAAAAAAGAAGCTCGCGTGAAGTTTGCGCCGGAAACCGGAACTTGCCGGCCGTATAAATACGGTGGCGGAAAGTGCAGTACAACTCAAGTTCGCTTCGAATTCCTTCCAACATGTTCAGCTCCCGAGTGTGAGTTTCTGTCATTCTACTTTTGCTTCATTTTATCCTGACTTTGGCATTTTCGAGCTTTTCCATAGTTCTAGTGACTGATCTTGAAAATTAAAAAACCAGCAAATAGGTTCACCTAAAGCATAAGAGCTTTTTCTACCTCAAACTGTCAAAAAAAAAAAAGAGAAAGAACGTCTTGTCTTCAGCATGATCATCGCCGTCGTCGCCGCTCTCCTGGCCCTCGGTCAGGCTCAGGTCGTCGTCCCAGCCGCCTACGAAGCCGTGGTTCCAGCCGTGTCGCCGTTCTACGCTGCCTACTCGCCATACTACGCCGCGGCTGCCTACCCGGCCTACTACGCCTGGGGATCCAACAAGGCGAGTTGTAGATGATTAGAGTTTCCTGAAAGTTCCGGTTTTTCGCGAATAATCAGAGTTCTTTAGATCTTCAAACCGTTCTAAAAAACCGTCAGAAACTCTTGGTTTTTCAGAACCTACTTTTTCTGATTTCAGATGATTTGGATGATTCAAATTAGAAAATTCCTGTTAGTACTCCATTTTTCAGGATTATTATGATATCGCAAAGCAGTAGATGATCTGACTGTTTTAAGAAAGTTGTAGATGAACATAATGTTTGAAAATACTTGTAAAAGCTCTATGACTTTAGTTTTCTAGTGGTTCTGTTACCAGGTAAACAGTTTGAAAATTTTCGTGTGATTTTTAGAAATTTCTCAAATTTTTCTCTTTTTCAGGGCAAATCTGACTCTGCGCCAGCTCCTCCAGCTTCTTCGCTCCTGAACAACCAGCGTCCTTGAGCTACGAAAAATTCCACTTTTCTGTTTGTACAATGCTCCGAAAATGAACTCTTTTTTGTATATCTTGTTTTTAGCAGCAAAATGAGCCCATCGGAAAAGACTTTCTCGAAGTCTCCTTGAGATTAACTTAAAAATTGAACACCATAAAGTTTACAACTGTTTCAATATTTTCATATTGAACTCCAGTGCGAAAAATTGAGATATTATTAGTTTAGAACAAAGATTCAGGTTGAGGCATTATTTTTTTCAGTTGTGGATATCGTTTAATTTTTTTCCGTATGACTTCATTCTACTAAGAAGTCGGAAATTTCTGAAAATTGGCCGGAATACTCCTTTATGTACCAGAAAAATATTCTGAGAGTCTAAACCTGCAGGACTTTCTCATTTTTGAGATACAAGAGTTGAAAGCACCCAGCCTATTTTATGGGATTTTGAAAGTTTTCTTTTCTTTAACATCAAAAAGTGTTCTGACCGATTTCTTTGAAAATGCCCAAGTAAAATCCCCTTCCCTGTCTGATTTATTCGACCTTCCTCCTCTAAAAAGGAACCAATTTCAGTCCCTCATTTCCCACTATTCATTCCAATTAACTTCTTCCGTTTCTTCCAACTCATACCAAGTCAAAACTTGCAATTTAATGGAATAGGCCCCTCTTAAGACGTAACAAACAAAGAAAACCACAAGTTTTGAAAATGTCAGCAGGAAAATTAGCCATTCATTGAAATTGCCACGACGGCTTATAATAAACACAGAAAAAATGATTTTCACGTGATATTTAGCAGAGTTTTCTGTTCATATTTTGTTCAGATGAAAGTTTAGAAAACCGTGATACTTTACAAAAAATCAAATGAAGATGATTTTTTCCTAGAGTACTAATAGTGCAGTTCTCGAATTCAGCAGGGAAAAAAATATCATTTTTTTCGAAGAAAAAAATATAAGTTTTTCTTCAATAGTGCAAGCTATACTAGGTATCCTTCAAAAAAATCAATAAAAAAAATGGGTATTTTATCGATTTGGAATATAGTAAGGTAGAAATTGAGAAATATTACATTGAAAAAAGTTAGAGATTTTTAAGATTTGGCCAACTTCGAGTTGGACACGTTCAACGAGTTGGAGCTCAACTGGATTACTTGAAACTGTAACATATGGACTATTTTTTTCTGAAGTGAAAAGACCTGACGCTTCGTTAAAAAGAATAACATTTCACGGATCGGGGTTCTTCCTGCCTAGAAACCTCAAAAACTAAAAAAAAATCACGATCTTCAATGAATATCAATTTTTTTCGGTGTGAAAAAAAATGTTCCAAAAAAGTCATTATACAAAAAACGTTCATTTTGGTACTAGCTTTCGTTTAAAAAAGGATTTGGACCACGGAGAAAAAAGTTAGATTTTTTTTCGTATTTCGGCTACAGTAATCCTCAAAAGGGGCGGAGCTTGAGAAAACCTTGTTTAAAAGTTTTGTATACTTTTTTATTTGATGTGATGAAAATATAAGCTCAAAAAAGCAAAATGAGTTTTTTGTGCCCACCGTACTTCGCATATCTCAGAGAACGTGTGTAAGGACTAAAAACAAGATGATTGTTCGACTGATGTTCTTACTTTGATACTTTGATAGTTCGTCTTCGCTGATGATCTTCCTTCTCACTAGGGTATGGTCTTCCCTTGGTCAGCGCGAACCACACGTCCTCCATGCGTCCCGGTCTCTGGCGACGGTCATCCAATGACGTCCATGACGGCTGATGTTCTTCTCGAAATGGTCTGCCCATCGGGTCGCTGGTCGTCCACGGGTGCTCCTCGTGTTTCTGGTAATCCAAGATGTTACTCTTGTGCTCCAACGCTCGTCTGTACTTCTGATGACGTGTCCTGCCTATCGATGTTTGCCGCGGCTGGTTTGCTTTTCAATATCCCTGCTTTGGGATATTTGGTCTGTGCTTCTCTGATTTTGGTTCCATTGTTGGTAGCGGGTGGTGCCGAGAAGAGCTCTTTCCAGTGCGCGGCATGCCGTTTTCAAAGCGATCTTCTTGGTGTCCTTGATTTGGCTTGTGACTTACCGGACGTTTTTAAAGGTTCTTGACTTCCCGGATGTAAAACAACATTGATGTTCTTCCTTCATGAAATCTTCCTTTTCAGAAATCTTCGATTCAAAAATGTTCTTTCGAGCTAACTTGATCAATGCAAAACCAGACCAAGCATCTTTTGAGAAATAGCTGAAAGCTCCAATTAGTGAACTCCAAGTGAAATTACCAGGTTCAAGGTTCTCATTAAACAGCAAAAGCAATTTCAACCAGTCACGTCTATTAGAAATTGCGTAAATCTTGTTACCAAGCTAACAATTTTCATTCAATACCGCGCCAAACTTTTGCTCGATTTTTGCTGGAAAATGGAGGCTGCTTACCTAATACCGCTCTCTATTTTTTATCCCATTCATTTTGTAATAGTTATTTCAATGCAATCATTTTTGCTGTTTATTATGATTCGAAAAACGCCAGCGACACTTCAAGGCCTTCGATTTTATATGGCAAAGTCGTGTGTTGTGGAAATGATTGTGATATTTCTTATTTTCTTCGCTCAATTTAGGTTTGTAGTTCTAAAAATTCTGGCTCTTACAAACTTGAAACTTCTAAGAAAAAACTGCTGGGAATTTAAAAAAGCACGTGTCAGCTCCAATTCATGTTTTTGAATCTCTTCTGCGCAAGTTGGTTCAGGTCCGGCCCAAAAAATGGCCCGCATTTCAATGAGCCGCACTGAACTACCTGCGCCTCAAGCTTCAAATTGATTATTAAAAAAATTTATTGCCATTTCAGAAGTATAAATAATCATATTTCGTTGGCAGTCCTTTGTTACGGACCTGCATCTTATTTTTCTGACACAATTTGTTTCTACTCCTTCAATGCGGTTCAGGTAATTTCCAAAAAATACTCACACCTTTAATTTCATTCATTTATCGATCTCAATCAATAAATCAACTGAAAAACGTTAACTTTCTATTTTCGGTTTTTTCCAGGTAGCCGCAGCGGAAGCTTCTTTCTCAATCGCTCATACAGTTTATTACAAATATCGGAATGCCTTGGATTTCTCGAAAAAGCAGTCATTTTTCAGTATCCTAGGACAGACGAGCATAACCGTGTTGCCCTTGATAGCATTGATGGTAAGAATGATTTGACCATCCTTCTTATTATTTTTCCATATTTCTCCCAATCAAAAATGGCATTAATTCAGATAACCATGACGATTGGGAGCTCGGACATCCCGGCTATTCGCGCAGAGACCCAATCAGAACATCCCGAATACCTTATAACAGAAGATACAGTACTCGCGGGGTACAGTAACATGCGAGATCCTGTCAGTGTCATAGCCCTGACGATAATCGGCCTTGTGGCTTATGGCACATTCCTTTTCACCTTCATTTGCAGAAAGTAAGCTTTTTGCATTTTTCATTCAAGACCTCAAGAATTGGGGAAGAGGACTTTTTCAAAGTGTCAATTACAGGAAAATCGAGAAAAGTTTCCAAGAAAAAAGTGAGCATCTTTCGGAGCATACAAAAGAGCATGCTAGGACCTTCATACGTGTAAGTTTTCATCAAAAAAAAAAAATCTTTTAAGGAAATTGCGCCCCATGGCGAAAAAGCAGCCTGAATAAGTTTCCGGACCTGTTTTAGCATCTTCCTGCGCTTTTAAATAACATTTAAATTAAATAAACTTTTTGGCGACTTCGTTTTTGATGTTTAGCCGTGGAGCGCAGTTACTTCTTTTTATTTTTTTCAATGTTTGGAATCTTTTTTGATAAACTAAAAAATTCTAATGAAAAATATTAAAACTCAGACTTTAACAATTCAATCACTTGTGCCGGCCATCGTCAACATTCCTACCATCACTTTGTTCATTTACAAACAGTACACAGGTTTCTTTTAAGATCAAAAGTCTTTGATGTAGTGTGTAATGAAGCATATTTTCAAAGTCCTGACATGGAGGGTCATTTTACTTTGCGGTTGAGAATTCGCTGAAAATGATGAGAACAATCCTTGGTTCACAGGCCTTGAAAGTTTCATCGTGCACAACTTTCTCGTTTTTGAGTAAGGACTTTTCAAAACTAAAAAGAACCCAAAATCCGTTGAAAAAACTATCTTTGGGCCCGTATTTCTCGAAACCTAGGGAAATTTGCAGGTTCAGGCTTTCGAAACCTTTATCTGGTACATCAAGAAATGTTCTGAATAACTTTTCCCAGCTCCCATATTGAAAGACCTTCCTTGTGAGCCGTTTCAGTAGTATATTAGGGCGAATTTGAAATATTTACGACGTTTTTCTTAAACTGCCACTTTTTCAGGTACAACAATATTTATTACCGAGTTCATGATGCCGGTTGTCATGGCTATACCGATCACATTAAATCCACCAATGGTTCTCTATTTCGTTCAACCGTATCGGAAAGCTGTTGCTTCATTAATTTTCAATAACAAATCAGAAGATAGATCTTCCCGGAATCGATCAATTTGATTTGAATCTTTCTTTTTTGATCTTGAGAATAAACTTTTGGTTCAAAAAATTAAAAACTAGGTTCCAGAGCGAAGAGCGAAATAGCAAGCAAAATAAGAGCGCATACAGAAAATGGATAGATTTTTTAGAAGTACTTTTTCTCATGTTACCTGATTTTTTGTGGGTGTGAAGCTATTTGATTGATTGAAGAATTCAATTAGACATAAAAAGGTTAAAACGAGTTATTAAAAAGAGATTTACTAAAATTTTTTTAATCACAGCTGCCCACTGCTATTTTTGACTCTCAGCCCGAAAATTGCTAGTTTCAAGGGTCTTATCAAACAACTAGACTGCGTCGGGAGCAATTTGAGCCAGTCACGGCCATTAGAACTTGCGTAAATCTTGTTACGAAGCCGAAAAAGTTCATAAATTGCGCATAGTTTTGGTCAACTTCCTACTCAAAAATGGAGGATGCCTATCGATTATCGCTCTCTATTTATTATCCTATCCATTATGTCTTAGTTTTTTCGATGCAATTCTTTTTGTTGTTTATTATGACAAGAAATACGCCTAAGGCGCTTCAAGGCCTTCGATTTTATATGGTAAAATCGTGCTTTGTTAAAATGGTCGTCACGAATCTCATTTTCTTCGCTCAATTTCGGTTCGTGTTTGTAAAAATAAAAATGAAGGGTGGGCTTTCGATACAGTCTGAATTTTCTGTGTTTTTTCTTTTTTTAGTTTTGATCATGCATGTAGAGAAAAGAGAGCGCAGAGAAGCTGGAGAGCAAAAAAAGTATAGCGTGTTAAAAAATAGATAGGAAAACTTGATAAAAAAAAATCCTGATAAGCAAACTGAATATTAGAAATTTGCCTGGATCTAAGCAAAAATTGAAAAATGAAGCAGAACGAAGCTTTTTGAAAAAAAAAAGGTTCACAAAATTTTCCATTTTTTCCAGGATATCGAAACTTTCTCTTTGAATAAAAAATGCTCGATTGAAACTTTAAGAATATGTTTTTGAGCAAATGAAGCTCATTTTCGATCTTCTAGTGTGATAATTATAGAAACTGTTGAAAAACCTGAAATTTCATAGAATGGTTAAAATGACCCTTTTGAAGAGAAAAACCAGCTAGTTTTTATTAATAATTCTTCAAATTATTCGAATTTTTATCACCGATACTTTTTTAGCACCATAAATAACAACTACTCGATAGCCATAGTTTGCTACGGGCCTTCTTCCTATTTTTCCGACACAGTTTGCTTCCATTCTTTCAATGCGATTCAGGTACTTATTTTTACAAATTTGACAGGTTGTTCTTCGATTCGCGATTAAAAATCAGTTTTAGAATGAACATTTTCAGATTGGTCTAGCAGAAGTTACCCTATCCCTTGCCCACACCGTGTATTACAAATATCGAAACGCTTTGAATTTGTCAAAGAAACAATCGTATTTCAGTATCCTGATACAGGCTAGCGTGACCCTGCTTCCCTTGATAGCTTTGGCGGTAAATAGTTTAACAAAATTTTAATATAAAGGCTCAAAAAACGTCAAAGACTGGTTTAAGATCATGCTGAACGTAGTTTCCTCTCATTTTATATTCCGGGAAAAAGATAAAAATTAAGGTAACCATGACGATCAGCAGCTCAAACTTCCCCTCTATTCGCGCCGAGACCCAAGCAGAACATCCCGAATACCGTATAACTCAAGATACAGTACTCGCTGGGTACAATAATATGCGAGACCCCGTAAATGTCGCAGCCCTCACGATTATCGGCCTTGTGGCTTATGGAACAACAATTTTCACTTTTGTATGTAAGCAGTGAGTTTCTCATCACTGATTTTGAAGCAGGAAATTTTTGAATTCAGTAAAATAGAGCAAAGCTTCGAAGAACGTAGTGAACACCTTTCGGAGCATACAAAAAAGAGCGCCAGAACTTTTATATGGGTAAGTTACAGCTTTTAAAACGGCCGCGAAAAATCACAAGTTTCGGACCATTTGCGCTCCGTTGAGAAAAATTGCGATAAGTCCAAAATATAGGGAGTTTGGCATCAATTTGTCTTCTTCTTTCAAAAAGAGAGAAAAAAAATACAATATACGCCGTTTTTCGCGCTTGTTGCCATCATACCTAGGGACAAAAAGTATACGGTTTTGTCTTACCCAAAAAAATTTTTCAAAGCTTAACTATATGGTAGATCTGTAAAACGAGGTCAAAAACGATATTTCTTACCAGGATTTATCGATGGAGCATATTACTTTGAAAAAATGAGCCTTTTTCCAAATTAAGAGAAAATTTTTTTTTTCTCCGTGTTTTTCAGTCACCCCGAAAAATTTTTCTGATCGATATTAAACGAAATTCAGACCCTTACGGCTCAGTCGCTAGTTCCAGCCGTATGTAATATTCCTACGATCACACTTTTTATCTACAAACAGTACACGGGATTCGGTAATCGAATATTTCTTATTCATTATCGAAATTCCAACGCTTTTCAGGAAGATCATTGATTATCTGTGAGTACCTGTGGCCAGTGGTTATGTCGATTCCAACGACGGTTAGTCCACCGATGGCTCTTTATTTCATTCTACCGTACCGAAAGGCGGTCGCTTCGTTATTTTGTAATAAGAAGACCGAAGACAGATCTTCTCAAAACCCATCCGTTTGATTGGAATAAAATATTTGCTGTGATTTGGCTTGAAATAAACTTTTAAAAAAAAGCGAGAAACATCATTGAAGTTTCGAAACATAGAAAAAAGTGAGAGAGCAGAGTAAAAAATCGAAATGAGCCCTCGAAAAAAATCAGATCCTATATTGAACTCTACCGTAATCGCCAGAGATCCTTGGTCTAGCCAAGTATTCTGAAATGAATATCTAATCTCAAGTTAACAAGGTTTTAGAAATCTCCGATTCAAACAGAGTCCTGTTTCAAAATATCATTTTTCAAGGAAAAGACCCACAAAACGTAATTAAATGGCTTTTGGTCGGCAAAGTCCCGAAAAAATACGACTTTTCTCGTAGAGATTTCACCTAGGCTCGGCCACGGGAAAACATGTTTTTTGGCTAACTTTTGGTTGGTTTTTTGGCACGGTTGGATAATTTTCCAACCTTTTTTGTTCATGATATGACGAGTCTTGTTCCTTCAGAATGAGCTCATAGTTTTGTTTTCGAAAATTTTGCATCTCTCTGCTGATTTTTTGATTTTGAGCGCACTTAATTCATTTCTAGCTTGTCACAAAAGTTTGAAGGACCTGTTAAAATACGAGAAAAGGGTCTTGGACCGACTAGAGAAGTAGTATGCAAAAACAGGAGGGTTTTACAGTTTTCTCAACATTTTTTTTTGCATTCAGAGGTAGCAGTGAATTCAGTAAACTCCCAAAAAATACATTTTCCGTATCAGAATCTTTTTTGAGGTTTTTCTACGTTCCTTTAAATTTTAACCCAAAAAAAGCAAATTTCTTCAATTTTTCGAGCCTTATTGACTTTTTCTTAATTTGGTTCAAACTGAAAAAAAACGAAAAAAATCATTCAAATTGGAAAGCGCATAAGCTGCGTTTTTTTAGGGGAGATGTACTTCAAAAAAATTGAATCATTTTTCGAATGCGAAAAAAACATTTTTTTAGTTTTATTTTTCGATTTTTAAAAAGAACATGTGAGGAAAAAGCTTGTTTTTCTTTAAAAAGTTTGATAACTTTTTGATTTTTTTTTTCCCAAAAAAAGTTCATGACAGAATCAAGTTCCTCCTCACGCTCTATTAGTTAGAAAGTACTTAGCCTCTGACATATTTTTTTAATCTTTTTGAACTCTTAATTTTTGCAAATATAAAGTAAGATTTTTTTCGGTGCATATTGAGATCAGTTTTGAGGTTTTTAGAAGCCCGTAGATTCAAGTAAATAAAATTCTCCACATTTTTTTATTAATAATCCAAAAATCTTAAATCTTGAATTTTTTTACACTTCAAGCCCGTCACTGTGTTACAAAAAAATCTAAATTTGAATCAAATTTTTCAAAAAAAGAACTAGAATTGTTTCGCAATAACTCTTTACAAAAGAGATTGAATTTTGAAAGCGCATAGATTTTTCTCTGAGCGGAATTCTAGTGCGAAAAAGCATTTTTTTTTTTTTCAAGAAAGGGGTGAATAAAAAAATAACTCTAGTTTATTGAATTTAAAAACAATTGAAAGGTTTCGGTTCAATAGTTTTTTTCATCATTTTTTTATCAATATTTATCAATATTTAACCAGGGAACGTTTTTTACCCCCCGGTTGAACTTTTGCTGAAACTTTGCTCAAGTGTACTTTAGGACCCCCTGATTACAGAACAAAAAGAAAATTTCTCGCAATAGATCTTGTTTCCGAGTTATGGAGCCTCAAAGTGTGCAAAATACGAAAAATAGGCCAAAAAAACGCTATTTCGGGTATTTGAAGCGTCCTAACTCAAAAACGAGATCTATTGCGAGAAATGTTTTTTCTGTTCTGGAATTAGGGGGTCCCAAAGTACACTTCAACAAAGTTTCAGCAAAAGTTCAACCGGGGGGGTAAAAAAAGTTCCCTAGTAAGGTTCAACTTTAACTTCAAAAACTCATATTTGTTGAAAAATTTATTTTCTCAACTTTTCATGATCTCCATGACATCAATTTTGATCTCAATGCTTCTACCAAAAACCTACAAAAAATAATCATTAATATATGAGCTCAAAAAAGACCAAACCATGCATCTGACTAAGCCCTTTCTAACTAATAAACCATAAAGAGGAAGTATCATTTTTCATTCTTCCATAAAAAAGTTAGAACCGCCCCAAATCTACGGTACCCTCGATTCTGCATACAAATGCCTTTCACTTCATTTTCTTCCGTTTTCCTCAACACTACTTGTTATTTGGTTCAAACTTTAAGAAAAATGACGTTTTTGAAAATTTTGCGCGTTTTGTTTTGAATTTGCAGATGCTTCCTTTTTCTGAAATCCTCCATAATTTTCATGAAAAAGGCGGAAATTGGCAAAAAATGCTACTTGCAAATGAGTAATCGCTCATATTTAAACGAACTATCAGGAAAATTTGGCTCATTTTATATTTTGTCACTTCCTTTTCTGGGTGAACATGAATTTCCTTAATTTTACAAAACATGAAGGAAAATGATAGTCTTGAACGATTGAACAGTTTAAAAAAAAAAACTAGTTTCAATTTTAAACAGGTTACGGTAGCTGCTGCGTTACTGTAAAAATTTAATAGACCAGTGAATCTTGGGATAAGGGTCCTGGAACGATAGACCAAGATAAAAAAGAGACATCTCCAGTTTATAAGGTGTTACGGTAGCAAATAACTACTGTATCCACGATTTAAAAAATCCATATTTTCCATGATGGTAACATCTTTCCAACCTCTAAACAAGCGTTATAACGGTGAAAGTGGAATATTTGACTATAGGTTACTGTATCTGTGTTACTGTTTCTGAACCGTAAGAAGATCAATTTTTTTTCTCAAATTTAAGAGTACGGTAACTAGTTACTGTAGTTTGATTTCCTACTGGAGAATTCTATTCTAACTTTAAATTTTTTTTTCTTTCCGATCCAGTGTCCTAAAAAAATTATTATTTAAAAAGTTACGGTACTTGGATTACTGTATGGAAACATAGTGAAGATTTTTGAGTTATCAGTAAAAAAATTATGGTTCTTGAAAATTAAAAAGTCACCTTTCAAGGAAACAAGTTTCGAATTAAATCTTTTTTTTCCATTTTTTAGTTTCCAGAACTCCCCTTCCGACGTTCCAAATCCCAAACGATCATTATAAAGCTTGTTAAAAGTGTTTTTCATGTAGATTTCAAGAATCAGGCCAGACATATGGCAAAAACCCAAATCACTTCAAGGAAAATTCAATTTTCTTTCTGTCTTTCAATCTCAGTTCATCAAATTTCCGAATTTCCTTCTATTCTCCCAGATAAAAAGCTAACAATTACGCTCTTTTTTCCTAAATTTCTTGACCAAGTACGTGCAAATCTTGCTTTTTGATTCGTTTTGCGCCCTAATTTCGTATTTTTTCTGTTTCTAGAAACAATTAGGAAGTTGCAGCAGTTTTTTTTCCGGCTGTTTTGTTGGACCCCGTAAACAATAAACATAGATTTTGCACGATATATAAGAAAGTAGGTTCGATAAGCTCACCGCATTGTTTTGCTGACGAAAATTGACGTTTGATTTGTTGATTTTGTTGAGAAATTAGAGGTTCATTCATTTTTTGGCCCTGACAGTAGTGAAATAGCAGGTAAAAGTGGTTAAAATGAGAAAACTCGTGAGAAAACTTTTGCTGCGATTTTTGTCTGAACGCTATCGTGACTAAGTATGATGCAAATCGGCTACCGTATACGAAAAATTCTCATTTTTTTTACTTTGCTTTGCAAAATTAAAAATTTTGATACACCGCTTCCGTGAATTTTTCGAGATCATTCTCAAAAGGGCAAAAATGAGAGAATCTTTTTTTTTTAATTTGTGATCCTATTTTGTATTTTTTTTTCAAATTTCGTTCATAATATATTTCAGTACTTTTTTTACTGGGATATTCGGATAAATATGTGAACCATTCCCCTCCAGAATCCATCATGTAGTAAAGACAACCAGAAAAAAAATTATCATGACAAAAGTCAAAATTTTTGAAAGAGTATGTGAATTTGCGTTGCGGTGTAGGTTATAAACTGACTACCGTACACCAAATTGTCAGAAATTATCTTTTCTCTTGTTTTCTTTGCGACACTATTCTAGATAAGGTATCCCCTTGGATTTGTTTTTTTAACGCCGGAAAGTCCGAACTTTAAAGATTTCCACGAGATCATTTCCAAAGTGCAAAAGTAAGACCATTCTCTCTAAACTGCATGATTCAATCCTTTTTTTTTTTGACCTCGAAAACTTTTTTTTAGCAAAGATTTTTTCGGACAAGCTCTTCCTAGTCAGTTATTCGAAGGATCAGCAAAATTTCCACAAGATTAGCCTCGAAATAAATCTTCTTCTTCCTCCAAAATTTGTGATTCATCTTATCTTACTTCCAAATCCTCTTTTTCTTTTTTGAGCATACTATACTTTTTTTCGAAGTTGGGATGAATATATGAATCATAATTACCTATCCATGACAATATTTCCAAAAAAAAGGTGTAAATTTTCACGCACTTTCCACTTGGAGGCCCAAAATGTCTCACCTGACGTCGGAAAAAGGTTTATCCAATGGGAAAATAAGGCAAAGATCATAGGAGAATTTAATTCATGTTATTCCCAGGTGTTTCCAATCTTTTGGTGTCCTTTAAAGTCGATTTTTGGCGGCGATATTAACCTCTGTCTCGACTTTTCTCTCGTTTTAGAATCAAATTCCAAGAGCTCACATCGAATATTTACAGCCGGCATATTTCATTACTTGTCTTGGCTTATTTGGAGCTGACAAACTCGATTTTGATTCAAATGGACTACAGCGACGGCTACCCGAGACCTCTCCTAGCGTTTTTTTCGACTTGTTTCTGTTTTTCTATGATTGAACAACTGGTTTTGATGTTTATTATGATGAAATATACGCCGAGGCCGTTACGTGGGATGCGATTTTACATGGTTAAAGCGAGTATCATGGAGATGGTCCTCGCGTGTCTCATTTTCTTCACTCAATATCGGTTCGTAGTCTACTCGGGGGAAATTTAAGTGTTCACTGGAGGGTTCTAGGGGCTTTGAGTGGTCTTTATTGTCTTTAACATTTGGTTATTTACGCGCCTAGTGGTCCAGAATCTGAGATTTTTGAGATTTTAGATAACTTACTATAAATTGAAGTGACCAGTTCGAGAAAAGGCGTAGTAAGACTACTTGAATGGAGATAAGTAAAAAAAAAGTCTGGAGGAATTTCAAGTGGTTCCCTAAGGGTTTTCGGTTTTTAGTGTCTCTAGAGTTATATCCTTTTGGTGGTATTTTAAAAAACGAAACTAGATTGAAACAGTTTTTAGAGGTTGACTACAATGAAAATTTCCAGGAACTTTCAGATTTTTAACCTCCTACTAGTTTCTTTTCTGAGAAATCCTGAGCTTTCTAGGACTCAGTTCCAAGCTTCTAGTGGTTATTTTTCAATGGAATTCTGACCTTTATAAGACTTTATTCTAAGCTTCTTGTGGTGAAAGCACCGTTTTACGGGTTTAAAGGAGAATTCAGGGTTTTGAGCTTATAGCTAGCCTCTGCAGAATTTCAAGCTTCAAATGCTGATTCCTGTTCTTTCAGGGTACTTCCAAACAAGAAATCTCTAGCCGTCGTTTGCTACGGTCCTTCGTCTATATTCTCTCAAGATGTTTGCTTCTACGCGTTCTTTACTTTACTGGTACGTTCAATTATCCAAATCGCGCGATAAAAACAATAAAGCAGCCGCTGTTTTTTGGTTGAAATCGCTACGTAGAGAATTGAGTTAGCGTCTGTTTGGTATTTGGTTTTTGAAAAACGCGTGATTTCTTGAAGAACACGTTGCGAAAGTTGAAGTTTCGAGAAATTCTTCAAAAATTGAGCTAAACTTCATTTGAAGGGGATTAGGCTTGAGATTCGAGACTTTATCAAGAATGGAGCTGAACCTTCAAATTGAGGGATAAGACCTCAATTTTGGGGAACCTGAAAAATGAAAATAGGTTACGGTAGCTGGGTTCTACAACTTTATCTAGGGGGCGCAAAGCCCCGCCCCTTCACGGCACCAAAATGACGATTTTTTTGTTGCAAAAACGGTTTTGAGGCGTTTATACTAGCTAAAGTCTCACTTTAAAAATGAACTGTTTCTGAAAACCTATGTAATCGACAACGCTCTACAAGACTGAAATATTTTTTTAAAACTATGTATTTTTTTCAAAAAAATAAGCGAAAAAAAGTAAGATTTAACACGAAAAAAAACTGACAAGTTTCACAAAATCGTCGCGTTTCTGAAAACCAAGTGAGGAACGCTTCCGAATTTTTGAGTATGTTATACATTAACACTTTCTTTATTTTTTTGAAGGAAAATTTGAAAACATCTAACGACGCGAAAAATATCGAAAGCTTGTAAAGTGACACCAAACTTTGAAGTTAAAATGCGAAAAAAATTTCAGCGACATGGTATACTTTTTTTCATTTGATTTAAAAAAACTCACAATGTGCTCACAAACAAAAAAATTCAAAATGAAAATAATTATTGGGACAGCGAATCAAATTATATTTGAATTTTTACCAAAAACCTCCATTTTTTTCGCCTGCCTCGTTGACGCATGAGAGAATATGATCGCGTCTATATTTTTTTGATTATGTTATTAAGCGTTCAAAACTCTATTAATGGAAAAATCATGAAAAAAATCAAACGACGCGAAAAAAATAACGGCTTTGAAAACCTCGAAAAAATGGCAATTTTTTTTGAAATTTTGGAGGGTTTCGTGCAAGTGTCCGTAGCAGTGTTTGCGTCAAACACACCGATGCGCCCTTTTAAATGTTGCAGGAGCCGTTTTTTTGGAGTCAAATTGCACATTTTTCCTGTTTTTATTTCGAAATAAAATTATTTTTTTCATTTTTTTCTTTTTTTCCAAACCAAATGATAATAATTTTTTTCTGATTAGAAAAAAAGAAAAAAATAAGCTGAAAAAAATCCCTTTGACCTTTTTTTCTAGGTAGTTTTTTTGATCTTTTTAACAAAAAAATTCTTATGAGGATTGTACAAAAGATTCATACCAAAACATGAGGCTCAGTTCGGACAACCTCTCAGAACAGAAAACCGATTCGAAAACGGTCCAGAAACGCGCAAAAACATTTAAAAAGAAAGCGTGCGGCAGCGGGTAAACCGTGAGATTTTGCCTCCAGTTGAACGCCGAGCGCGCTCGTTTTTTGGCCATAACTTTTTTCTTAGTGGAGCTTTTTTCAAAAACTAAACGGATTATGAAAATGGACAGTCTCCTCTATCGAACAATGTGAAAAACATATTTTTTGAATCGTTCTGAAGAAATGGCTTGCGGACCCTAACTTTATCCTTTAATTTTGATTCAAATTAAAGCTCTCCAATTACCAGGCCATAACTAAAATAATGTACCAGAAAACTACCAAAAAACCATCTAACAGCTTTCTTGAGCCTATCTTCAATTTTTTCTCAATTTTCAGATATTCGGTTGTGAAAGCGTCCTTTCCATAGCCCACACAATCTACTATCAATGTCGAAACGCGGATAGAACCTCCAAAACTCTGCCTCTTCCAGTCATTATTCTACAAACGAGTATCACTTTTATTCCACTTTTTGTGCTACAGGTTTGTCGGTTCGATCTTTTGAAAAATTTTCGTGCATAAAACCTAAAAAAAGCTTCATGCAGGTGCAAAGTATGGATAAGAAACTTCATGGTATGATGGGAAAATCTGGAAAAATTCCCACAAAACCGAGCTGAAGGTTCCAAAAATGTAGCTAATTAAAACATAAAGAGGGAACGGCTTTGGGAAAATGCGGAATTTTTCCGCAGGTTTGTAGAATTCTTTTTAAAAGTACAAGCAAATGAAACGAGAATAAAGTAAATATAAAGAAAAATTTCTATTTAAAAAGAGATAAAATTTGATTTTTTTAGAGAAAAAAATATCCATTTTTCTCTTTTTTTCAAAATGATGTGACAGTCTACAAATTGATGAAGCTCGGAAAAACTTGAAAGTAAAATTTTTTAAATCGAGGTCTCTGAAAGCTTTCAAACTTTCCGGAAACTTTTAAGGGTCAATTTTTGAGACCTATTTTCAAAATTTATATTACTTCTCTTCAGAATTTTTTTGATTTTTTTTCCAATTTCGAAGTAAAAAAAAATCCAATCAAACCAAAATTGGTCCTTTCCTTAAACCTAACGGAAAATCCTTTTTTTTTAACTCATCCAAACATTCTTCTCTATTCAGAAATGACTTCTTGAAAAAAAACCTTTACTTTTCAGATGCTGATCATCATGATGAAGAAGGACTTTGCGGCGGTCCAGGAAGAAACTGAACTGCTTCATCCCGACGTCAGAAATTCGGGCGGAGTCGTCTCCGGATTCGCTGAAATGTACGATCCCTTGAATATCATCGCCGTCGGGGTCCTCGGCTTGATTATCTACGGAACGCCGTTTTTCTCGATTCATTGTAAAAGGTTGGCTTGATGGGTGAGGTTACATAAATAATTTATCCGATTCAGAATAATTTATCAACGTCTGTTCGCGTACGAGGCCTCGATTTCCCAAAGAACCCGTGAGAACGCCAAGACGTTCATCCGGGTGAGTCACGTCAATTATTTATTTTGAAAAATTGGGGCTTCAATTGGGTTCAAATAAACACAGTTCGAAGTGATCTTTGAGATATTAGAGCCGCCGAAATGTTGGATGAGAAATTTAATTCACAAAACAGGTCAAAATTTGAGATTTAGACGTAGAATAGTAAATTTATTTCATCAAAAAAGCTTGTGGTGCCTTATTTATCATGGTTATAGGATACTTCACTTTTTTCAGTTCATCATTTTATTTGGAATTTATCAAAGATTAAAATCTGTAGTTTCATAAGCTTCTCAAAGGCTTCAACGTTATTTAGATCCTACAAAACTGATCCACGCTTATAAATTCTCAAATTCCCATATTTAATAACCAGGGAGCGTTTTTTTTACGCTATTTTAAGCTTCTGAAGTGAACTCGAAAGCGAAAAAAAACGTTCCCTAGTAAACATGCTCGGACATTGGTTACGCGACCCGGACGTGTCGGGGCATTTCTGGTGACCACTTTAGTGGCGTCAGTACTCTCAAGTGATCCCTAGAAATTCTCAAAAGCGTTACCAAGATCCGAGTGAGTTTTTTGGGTTCCTTCAGGATCTAAGGTTCTTAAACTACATGCGTCTTTAAGCTTTTGGGGTTTTTAAGGTACTCCTCTTCACCATGCATTTTAGGCTTTTCTAGTATACTTCAAAGCTTTGAACTTTTTTTTAGAGTTTCTTATTGTTTCAAATTTCAAATTTTTTTCATCCCCAAGAAAAATCTGATTTGTAGCCCATTTTCGTTCCATAAAAATCACTGAAACCACTTATTTGGAATGAAAAAAAAAAGAAGTCATGTGTCAATTTATATAGGATTTTTGAATCAGAACCGCTCAAAACTTCAAATGAATAAAAGATTTTCCAGGCTCTCAACTTCCAAGCGATGATCCCAGCCATTTGCTACATTCCACCATTCACAATCTTTGTATATAACCAATATTTTGGTGAGTTTCTAATTTTTCAAACTTCTAAGGATCTAATGATTTTTTTTCAGGCTCCGAAATGCCATTAACATCTCTTATCATTCCGTTGACCATATCAATCCCTACAATTATTCATCCAGCTATCACTTTATATTTCATCCAGCCTTATCGTCGCGCAGTCATGGCATTCATCAAAAGAGACCGGCTCAGAAGACGTTCTTCGATCTTCCCCTCTAATGATGACAACAGCAAATATTAATTATCGATTTTAAGCGAATTTCGATTAAAATTCAATAAAGTTTTTTTTTCTTGTTTTTTTTTCAGATTGAGAGTAAACGTGAAATAATCATTATATAAACAACGCCATCAAATCCTTTAAAAAATTTCATTTTCAAATATTCCTACTGACCGGTGAGAAGGAAAATAGCTGAAACACGCCTCAGTTAGGAATAAATCGACGCCAATCAAAAATCTTAGAAAATTGCTTTTTATTTTTTTTCAAAATCGAAATTGAGAACAAAAGATTTTTAAACAGGTGCGTCAAAAGTATTGAAACAACACAAGAATAATAAGCTTCAACTGAAAGGTCACCAAAATCCCCGATTTCAATTTAAATTTTTTCATTCATTTTTTCAGAACTGGAATGAGACACTTCTTGTATATTTTAAAACATTTATAGCTGAACATTTAATTCAACTTTATTGTCTATTATTGTGAAAAATGCCCTTCATTGAAGACATTTAAAAAAAAAATTGAAAATAATCAAAAAAAAAAGGGCTTTTCTTAACGTTAACTTGAACATAGTATGTGAAAAAAGAAATGAATAGAATTATTTTAAAACTTTTTTTTAAATTTTTTCCTTCTGCAAGTGTAATACGATACCATGGCGTCTATTCAAAATTACATCATAATTTCGATGTTTCAATATATTTGACGCACTAAAGAAAAATCACTGTTAATATTCTTTATCATCTTTTTGTTATTTGCAAAAAATTCTTGATAAAGTTACTAGGTAAGTATTAAGTAAGGTCTCTTTTAGCTCAATTTTTTAAAATATTGAACTGAAGGACATCCAATTAATGTCCATTTCGGCTGAAGTTTCTTTTTTTTCTTTGAAAATGGCTCTCTCCGGAAACTCTAATTCTCTCAAGGGATCTAGGATGTCACTTTCCTGTCCTCGAGGTTTTTCTATTCCAAAGTACCTAGAAAAAAAGGAAGAAACAACTTTTTGAAGATTTTTCAAAGTTTTGTTGTAAATTTGCACAAGGAGCCGTGAATTTTGTTTAAATTTGCATTATTTTTTCGGTTTGAAATATTTTTCTCCTGAGGAAAATACAGTCTTTTTCGTAGAAAAGCTTCCGAGTGACATTTGAACATTATTTTGTGACCCCATAAAGTCGCCTTTTCCTGCATTTTCTTTTTTTTCGAAATTCGATCTCCTTCTCAACATCATCTCAACTATCCGCCCTCGAAACCGGAATAGCAAAGAAAAAAAGAAACTGCGCCAAGGTCTTTGAAATTTTCCTCCTTTTTTTGTCTTTCATTTGGCTTATAATTAATAATTTTTCTTTATCTCGTCAAAAAAATCTGTTTCTCGGGCGTTTAAAATTTTTTTCGAAGAAATCTTATTTTTCAATTATAATAATATTTATATACAGGCAGAACAAAAAAACATGTACGAAAAAAGATTAAGAAAGACGAAAAATTGGCAATTAAGCCTGAAATATTTTTCATGCCCCTTGCCTGACATATATGTCAAGGAAATCCTTCTCTCTTCATTTTGATCAAGTTTAAAATTTTCCAGAGCTGAATCCGCCCCAAACGCTCATAGAATCAATGAAAAAGGCTACAGGTTAATTTGAAAACACAAAAATTTTGTTCTCAATGAGCAACTTTCTTTTTGAAACTGCCTTCTACCAATTTATTTTGTCTCCAAAATTAGACACAAAAAATCCAGAGAACAGTCAGGAATTCTTTCAACTTGTCAAATACACGTTCAAACTTCATGTCCGCCTTTTTATGTACATCTTGAAGAGACTTTCCTAGTTAATTGCATCGATGACTAACGCTTTTTGTGTAGTGTATAATATTTTTTCGGAACTTCCTCCTAATTGACTATTTTTTTGAATTTTTTGGAATTATAAGTGATAAGATTTTTGAAAAAAAATCTTTCAAGGAAGAGAGCTCAATTTTCCTAGAAACATGGATCCTTCATATACTTCCTACCGATTGATAACTACAAAAAAAAATTCTGAAAAGTCTTTTCTTTCAAAGTTCAACAGTTTTTGCTACTTTTCAGGGTCCTAAAAATTATATTATTTTTATTTTTCAACCTTTGAACGTTATTTTTCATTCGTGAAAATAAAATGAACATTTCTGTTAAAGTTTCCTTTTGGACAAGCGAAAAGTCAAATTCTTCGTGTTCTTGTATGTATGAATCCTTCATTTTTTTTATTTCAGCCTTAAACTTCTTTGTTTCTTTCAAGTTAAAAAAAGGCAAAAAAAGAGCATATAAAAATTTTTTTAATTCGACAAAGTCACAGCGAAATTTCAAACAGATTGATAATTAATTGGCTTCTTAATGGTGCCAACAAATGTCAATCGAGGTATCCACTTCGTCAGTCAATAAATAGGGTGGTATGAAAAAAAGACCAGCGAAAATTCAGACGGCGACTTTTCCGATTTTTTCATATCGCTAGGGAACTTTCCGACGGCCACCTTTCCGCCGAAACTTTTTCCGACTTTTTTTCTCAATAAAATCTTCGTTTCAAATATTCCTATGTGAAGTAGGCAAGTTATTCATGATTAAAACACAAAGAAATAAGAAAAAAAATGTTAATAGATCTTTTATAAACCGAAAAGTACAAGGGAAAAAGGCGGAAAGGGATCCGTCGGAAAGGTGGCCGTCGGAAAGTTCCCTAGCGAAATGAAAAAATTGGAAAAGTCGCCGTTTGAATTTTCACTGGTGTTTTTTTTCATACCACCATAAATATGATACGCGGTAAGATAGCTATCGGAGTGCACTTCGGCAGCATACTTCTAAAGCTTCGTCAGCACTTTCAAATCCAGAGAGCATAGGGAAGGTATCAGAGTGCACACAAATGGTATCGAAAGAGCAGAGAGTTAGCCTCTGTATGCTATTTATTGATTGACCGCAAGCAAATTCTGACTAAACTTGAAAGTGCATTCCGTTAGCTTTTTTTGAGGATACGCCTACTGACCAGTGAAGTTCTATCAGAAAACTGAATTGAGATTTTTGCACCTAGTCCAAAAAGTAGCGCCTGAAGCTCGATTTTTTACTGAAACTAAATTTTGAACTCAGCAAGTTGAACACTCCAAGTAACTAGCAAATCGAAACCAGTTGAAATGAATGCGAAATGAAACGTATTCCTACCAAGTTTTCTTGAACTTTCTCATTCAGTCAGTCAATCAGGGTCATTTTTTCAGCTCACCTTTGAAAGTGATTCAAAACATATTCTCAAAAGAAGAAAGATTCTAAAATAAACGCGTTTTTCGGTCAAATTGCTCTTGTCAAACGGATGTATTAGGTCAAAGATCCGCGAAGAATAGCTAAAGTCTAATTGGCTTACTTTTCTATTCAGAAGACGTTTCTGGGAACGTTTTTTAGTCTTTGAGCATCCTCCTTATGGGATAATAAGAATGATTTTGATGAAAGAACTCTTTTTTTATGATAAAAATGTTTATCTTCAGGAGTTGAGGCCTATTTTAACTGTTATTTCTCGAAAAGAAGATTAAAATTAACGTTTTTAACTTTCAAAGCAAGATTCCAATTGTACTTCGAAAATTTTTAGTGGCCACTATAATGGTCTAAGTGCTACTACTAGATCACTAAAAATTTTAGTGGCCACTTTAGGGGTCAATGGAACAACGTAACTGGTACAATCTGTTTGTTTTAAATTATCAGAGTTACTGGAAGGAATATTGGATGAAAAACTACTGAAGTGGTCACTAACAAGAGAACCTCTATAGTGACCACTAAAACGGAAAATAGTAGCCACTATATTGGTGGGTTTAGTGGCCACCTTAGTGTCCTAAGTAGTACTTGGCGAGCCTCTATAGTGACCACTAAAAAATTTCCCAGTATTTCAAGATTTTTCTTTTCAGTTCAAAATAATTTCCCATTTTCGTCCAACAAGTTCACGTCAAATCTCTTCACAGGTGTCGCTAATACGAAAATTGGGTGAATTGAAAGTTCATAAGCAAACTTTATTTCGTTTTATTTATTTTATTGTCTGTTCCATATTATCTTAACACTTCCAACTCAGATTTTAAACTTGGGTCCTGGAAAAAAAACTTTATTTGAGAAGACGTCAAGTAGAAAGTTCATTCTTCGCATTTATTCCAATTGTACCCAGATTTAACTTCAGACAAGCACAAAATATTGAACTTGAAGACTAGAAATAAAAAAGTGACGCATTTTTAAATATATCTCAGAATATCGAGGTTAAATGTTCAATTTTTGTTGTTTTCACTTCGGTTTGAAAGATTTTTTTTGGATTATTTGTGATCTAAGACTCGTTTAACGTTCTAAATTTTGGTTAATTATCCATTTTCGGCATACTTATAGTTAAACGGAAGATATAAATTTGAAAAAGTTTGTTCCGAAATGAAAAATCTGTCCAAATTGCCAACGCATCCAAAAAAATTGGCAGAGAAAAAGAAATTTGGAACCCTCCACTGAGAAAATGAACGACCCAAGAGCGGTCTATACGAATTTTACCTTAATTATTGTTCTAGGAAGATTTATTTATTATTATTTTTTTATTTTTCCTTCAAAAACCTTTTTAATGAAAAACGGAAAAAAACTCTTGAAAAAAAATAATGCCCATTTTAGAACTTGAAAAATATGAAATGTTTCAAAAGGGCCCTCGCCGTCCTCTTAAGCAACCACTTATGATTAATTATTTTATAAATAGTCTCAAGTTTGATTTTTCAACCAGGAAGTTCTCTTAATTCACCAATAAAAGTAACTTTTTTTTCAAATCTTTTTGTTCTGTTCTAGAGTGACCACTAAAACCTTTCGTTATTGACTTTTTTTTTCTCGAAGCTTCCAGAAATTCTAAAAAAAAAAACTTCCTCCAAGAATCAAAAAATCGGCGCCAATTTTGTATGCGGCCAAAAATCTGCTCAACAAAAAACATTCGATTCATTTGGATTCAATTCAAAATCGTGAATAACTAAGACACACGGCGTCCATAATTGAGCAGACTCCGCCCCTTTCTCGTAGGGTGCACAAGAACACGACAAAAAAGGGGGAGGGCTCTCCAGGCCTCAGTCTTTCGACAAATCAACCCGCCGCATGGAGGCTCCCATCGGCCTTTTCCATACCATTTATTTCACCGCCTACTTTATCATATCAATATCACAACAGCTACTCCTGGTCCATATCATGATCCGATACACGCCTCGGCGGCTCAGAGGACTCCGATTTTTCATGATCAAGTCGTCGGTCGTCGAGATCGTGCTCATTTGCTTGATCTACTTTACTCAGTACCGGTAAATTATTCTCTGATTCTTTCCAATATTTTAAAATGGGATGGGAACCTTCAAAAAGTTTCTAGGAAAGTACTTAGACAGACAGAAAAAATTGCTCATTTGGCACAATCAAAAAAAAATGTTGCAGCTTCTGATAGACCTTCTGGATTTTGCTAACTTTTGAGCTAATTTTTCCCGAAACATTCTGATTTTCTTCGCCCTAAGAAAACTTATAATTCTGTTCGAAACTTGGAAGGAAAAGTTAAAAACCTAAAACTCCATCAATATCATTTCAAATCTCTTATTTCTTCTCATTTATCATGTTTGAACTTTTTTGTCTGATCGAAAAATGTATTTTGAAACTCTAATGTAGTTGAATATGTACTTGGATCTATAAAAAAAAATTTAAAGATAACAAATTCAATTTCATTCCTCACTGTTTGGTCGTAGTAACTGAAACTCCTCTATAAGGATAAGTCATTTTTTTAGGACAATGGATTATTTGGTAGTAAGAACTTCCTATTCCAAAAATACTTCCTTTTTCGAAAATGAATTAAAATTCATCTTGAAAAATCATCGTTAAAAAAAGACCTTTCCAAACAAGCGAACAAAAATCTCCATTCAAAACAAAAAAAAACTTCTTGGATAGATAAATTCTTCAAAGTTTCAAAGTAAACAGTCTAAAAAAAGTCCTTGATCACTTGGGATACAAGCCAAAGTCGGGCTCAAGAAGAACTTTTCCTGAGGGCTTAAAAACTGCCCCAAAATACCAGATTATTCTAACGTCACCTTCTTTGCATGCGAATCTTCATGGGAAAATTTTCGGTCCGAAAAAATGACAATGGAAATTGGTTCATGGTCTAATTATATGAATTATTTATTCATCTATCTATGAAAATTGTGAGCTAGAAATTTTGGGTGAAAGGGAAAGGGGTTAAAAATTTTACTTTGATTTTATTCAATTTTTTTCGAAATTATTGACAAAATTAAAAAAATGACACACCTCATCGAAGTATGCTGCAAAAACATTTGAACCGTTTCAAGTCTGCCTGAAAAAAATTAAAATTGAATAAAAAGAAAAAAATTTGAAAAGAAAATTAATAAGACTGAAAAATAAGTTCAAAAAAACTATCACACGATAAGCGTCATTACGGTTCATTGACGTCTTTTTCAGATGCTAGTAAAAAAATATTCCGTTCAATCAATTTTTCATTTTTTTATTTGAAATCAATTTTTATAATCCTTTTAAAATGTTATATTTTTTTTTAAAACAACATTCTGGTGTTCCAAATGCTTATTTGCTTGTTGAAAATGTCGCCCACTCAAAAAGTACTAGCGAATAGTTTGGAGTGAACTTTATTTTTTTTTTATCAACGTAACATATCGGGAGTTTGTTTAGAATATTGTAAAGCTCATGAGAACTTTATTCTGCTTTTTAATAACGCTCGAACCATATTTTAAGCTTGCAAAGTTCATTTAAACACGCTCCTTCCTTATTAGAAATTGTGTATAGGGCTGCTAAAAAATTGTTTACGTGAACTTGCAAGGGTCATTATTTCTTCCTAGGAATATGAATAACACTGCAATAGAAATTAATGAGAGTTTCGAAATTTTCTGGTGTTTCAGCTACGTCGTGAACACCAATACGTTGGCGATCATTTGCCATGGACCATCGGAATTTTTCTCGGCCAATATATGTTTCTATTCATTTTTCGCTGTCCTGGTAAGTACTCGAGTAGAAGTTTGAGTTGAAAATTGATTTTTTTTTTCAGGTGATTGGAGCGGAAAGCGTCCTTTCAGTGGCCCACACGATTTATTACCAATTTCGACACACTCATTGTGTTCTGAAGCCTTTGTCGCTGTTTGCTATCATTCGGGAGACCAGCATCAGTTTCATTCCGTTGATCGTTCTACAGGTTTGTTGTAAGTCAAAGAAAAAATTAAACTTGAAAAAGTGTCGAAAAAATAGAATGAAATTAGAAGAAATTGAGGTAAATTTAGTTTTTTTTTTGAGTAACATGACTTCCTAAATTCAATCACACCCCCATAAAGCATATTTTCAAACATCAGATTTTAGAGAAATCAAGAATTGAATAGGTTTTTCAAAAGAAAAAAAGTCATGAAAAAGTTTTTAGAATGGTATAAATTTCATAAGTTCCATTAAAAAAATGAGGACCTAGGTTTTTTTCTACTATATCTCATCATTACAGCCTGGATTAGTCCAAATTTTTTTGCTACTATTTATTTAATTTCTTAAAAAAATCTGGAAGGTAAACTTACTGTTGTATTAATTCGATCATTTCCTTTCTTAGGCGATTTGAATGATTCATGCTAATAATGTACGCAGTAAGTAACTATCAAAATGAAAAAAAGGGCCTTTATAATTATGACTAATGTGCCGCATTGATTATTCACCACAACAAAGGTTTTTGAGGGTATTTCTTTGAATTCAGTAAATTATGATTAGTGAAAACTTCTGAGGCTATTTCTTTCCAGTCTTGCAAATTATCGGCGTAATCAAGGCTTATTTTTTGGAAATCTGCGAACTAACCGTGGAGCACATTACTCATCCTTGTTATGGCTCTTTTTCCCATGTTTGCAAATCATCCGTAGAGCGCATTAGTCAAACTTGTCAAGGCTCTTTTCTGTAAGTTTGCAGAAGTTCCTTGAAACGTTAATCAGCTAGGCTATTTTTTCAAACTTATGGAATTCCTACAAAGTCATATTTTTCACTTAACTTAGGAGTTTATCGATGGAGCTCATTATTTAGCTTCTTCGCGGCTCTTTTTTCCTTTCCTGCTTTATGATTCTCAGCTCGTGATTTCTGTTTTCATGAACCTAATTGCCTTCCAGAACTCACCTGTTCCTTTTCAAAGATTTTTGTTTCACTGCTCTCACCCTTCCGTCTTGCAGGTTATGGTAGTGCTGCTGAGTAAGAACTTCTCAGCCGTCAAGATGGAATTATATCAGCTGCATCCCGAGGAAACCCTCAGCTCGGGAGTCATCGCCGGCTTCGACGACATGTTCTCGCCGTTGAACATCTGCGCCCTGTTCATGATCGGAATCATCGTCTACGGAACGCCCCTCTTCTCCATGTATTGTAAGAAGTGAGTAGCGCGGGGACTTGGGAAACTATTTTAAGAGATAGAAATGACAAATATGGAAAATAGTTCGGAAGACCTTGTTTTATTGTAAAAAGTAAGTTTTCCTGGAAGGGGATGTGTAAAAAAGCACCTGTTTAATTTGGTACTCTGTTCTTCGAAATGGTAGTCTGGTGTTCTTTGGGTTGGCATTAAAATTGGTTGAAAAGTCATTTTTCCTTTAGGGTGAGGGGAAGAGAGAGAGCCCAGACAGTTAGACTCGCTTTTCTTGAGAAAGTTTCCACTAGAAAGTTCGCAAAAATCGCAGAAAATTGAATTTTTCGCGCGGTACCTATCCAAGAGCCTTTTTTTATTTTCAAAACACCTTCTTTAAAAACTTGAAAAAAAAAGACTTCAGAGATCTCTCAAATGATTATTTGGTTAATTATTCATAGAAGTTGCTGTTTTTCTCCGGTCTCCAGGTACTTGAATGAACTAAAAGGTCGTTCCAAAGGTTTTCCCGATGAAAATTTCCATTTTTGCATTTCCAAAAGGCCACTGATCAAAGTTTTGCCCCGAGGAAAACTAACCAGAAAATCCAGACTCAAAAGGAAGTTTTCCTGCTGGAAAGTGTATCAAGTTATGGCATTCGAGATTGACTTTTGCAGAAAATTCTCATCTTTGACTTTTTTTGGAACACGTCACTTTAGTCCAATTGGACACTTTCCGGGATCTTATTACTTACTTCATAGCAATTAGAACGGAGAAGAATTTCCTCGAAGACATGAATAATGGAGATGAGCTCAGAGGAAGTTGAATTTCAAGTCGAATTTGAGAAAAAAGGAGCTGTCTGGAAATTCAAATTTCATGAAAAATGGCTAAAAATGAGCTGGAGGTGGTTTTTTCAATTTCTTGTCGAGTTTCAGAAAATTCCCAAAACTGTCCAAACAATCCAGAAGTCTATTGAAACGTTTTCAACACGTTCTACACTAGCGATCAGAAAAAAATTAAAATTCTTTATTTTTTTCTGTGATTTTTTTAATTTTTCATCTTTTCTTTTTTTGGAAATTAGCTCGTTTCCTTTTTTTAGAATTTCATCGATTTTTCTTTTTTTATTTCAAAAAGATGGAACTCAAGTTTAGTCAAAGGCATTCAGACATCTTTTTTTCTTCAAAAACCCCGGAATTTTTTTCTTTCATAAAAAAATTTGCCTGCGAAAGGTCAGAACTTTTTTTCCCAGTTTTTCTGATTATTTTTTTCTTTTTTTAATTAAAATGTGTGGGAACACAGGTGAAACTCCGTGCTTCCTTAGAAACCGTAGTAATTTGACTAAGAAAAAAAAAGTGAGTATGCTTGAAAATGGCAGGTGTAACCTTTGGGTTCTTTGGAAATAAGAAGTTAGAAAGGGGAAATTTTCGGTATGGTTCATTCATGATGGGGATATTTAAAGGCGCAGGGGTGTACTGTATTTTTTTTTTCTGAACCTTTGAAGAGTCTAGAAAAGGTTTTCTCTTGAGGGGTTCTGATTATAGAATCTATAGAATCGTGTTCTAGACAAAAGTTCATCAGACTTCACCATTAAAAAACTTGAAAATTCGAGAAAAATCCGTTTTTTACTTATGCACCGTTTTCTACAAGTTTTAAAACTTTCTCTTTTTTCCCACTTTCTCTGAAAAAATTAAAAAATCTTCCAAGCTAGCCTTGACTAGAGTATTTTCTTATTACGTAACATTTCCGATTTTCATTCTAGACATCATTTTTTGAAGATCAAACATAGTCTCTAACGTATTTCATGAATAAACGCCTAATACGTGTTGCTTTTCGCGCCTCAAAATGAGAGAGAAAAACAAATTTTGTCGGGAAATGAGCCGAGAAAATATTCCTCCTCTGATATTTAAAAACACAAAGAGCGAGCGGAAAAAAATACGTAGGAGAGAAAATATTAGTATTCTTCACGTACTCTAAACGTGGGCTTGAATGAGAAAAGTTGAAAATTGGGCTAATTATTTGAAGACGGATTTTGAAGGGGTAAAGAGACACGTTTTTAGTCGTTGGACACAGATGCTTTTTGATGATGATGATGATGATGATGATGATGATGGAGTCTCGAAATTTGGCCTAGAATTGAAATATGAAGCTTGGAGGAACAGAATTCCCTAGAAAAATCAAGAAATTAGTCCTAGAACGATAAAAGAAATAGTACGTGAAAATGAGAGAGACTAGAGAACTTGAGATTTTTCAAGATTTTGAAGAGAAGTTATTGTTGTATAAAATGCAAGAAGAACACATTTTTAGCATTTTAGTGGTCATTTTAGGATTCTGAGCTTTTAAGTGGTAACTTCAGAGGTTTTTAGATCTCTAAGTGGTCGCTAAAGGGATCAGAGTGGAAAACTCAGAATTTTCGATCTTCTGGTCAGGGGAATTTACGCTATTATATGACCTTTCGAAAATGAAAAAAAAAATCAGATCTTTTTTGTGATTTTTTTGTGATTCTGGTAGAAACTGACTGATAAATCACTTCCTATCATTTTTTTAAATATCACTTGTAAGTCTTCTTTTACGGATTCTGTGAAATTACTCAAATTCATTGCGCTTACGTTTTCGATTTTCTTTTTACACCAAAAAAGTCGCATAATCTTGGATTATACTAGCCCACACACACAAGGCCCAAAAAAAAATATATAAATAATACTTTCCTTCCGCTCGGATTGAACGCATTGGACTGGGGATATTAGAAAAGAGGATTTTTATTCGAGCATTTCGATTTTTCAGAAGAATCCACCGACAATTGTTCAAATGCGGCAATTCCATCTCGAAAAAGACGCGGGAGAACTCGAAAACTTTTATCCAGGTAGAGTTTGAAAAAAAAAAAAAAGATTTTCGTAAAGAAAATTATATGAAATTTGAGGAGAAAAGTCGAAATTTTTTTTTAAACGATACTTCCAAGACTTATTGAAAAGTTTATTCGCCTGGCTGTTATCGATGAATTTCTGAAAAATCAGAAATCAAGGCTTTTTCTGTGACTTTCGTCTCTAAAACGAAACCCGTTTCAAGTCGGTTGCAAAAGTAACATCGATAAATTTTGGAATAAGCCAAGATATTCAACAATCGAACATTTTTAAGATATCTTTTGAGGAATTTCATCTGCCTAGCTGTTCAAAGAACATATAAGTTAGTAAAAACGTGTGAATATTCGATTAACCGCCATTTAATCACCAAGTTCAAGAAAGAAATCAGAAATCTAGAGATTTTTTTTAAACGCTGGCTGTGAGTTATCTCATGGCGGAAACCATTTCAAGTCGGCTGCACAAGTTTATCCATCCATTTTCAGGCGCTGAATTTCCAAGCGATGATCCCAGCAATTTGCTATGTTCCACCGTTCAGTATGTTCCTGTACAGCCAGTATATTGGTTCGTTTTTTTCTCAAGCTTTTGTACTGAACTAGAAAAAGATTTTTGTAATAAATTCCCATTACTTCCTCCATATAGGCAGAAAAAAGAATGGAGAAGTTTAGTTAATCTCAAATTATCCGACTATGAGCTCAACCAGATTGAACTACATTTTTGAATTTTTCAAAGAGCTTTCTGAATATTATATTCATTTTTTTCATCTTTTTCCAAAAAAAATTTTATTAGGGATTTTTTTGAACTGCCCATCGACTATATTTGCGCATTTTGATTTTTTTCTGAAGTTTTTTTGACAATTTAGTAGATATTTGAGATAAACTGTCCATGGAGCACTTTTTTTCTCTAATAATTCGGCCTCTTTTCGTTTCTTACACTTTTCATAATTGGATGAAGAGACTTTTCCATTCGATTTTATAAAATTTATAATTTTCAGGCTCCGACCCTCCATATTACACCTACATCGTCGCCGTTATGATCTCGGCCCCGACGATTCTGCACCCGGCCGCCACCATTTATTTCGTTTTACCGTATCGCCGAGCCGTCGTTTCAATATTCATGAGAAGCGTCAATAGAAAATCCTCCGGTTTCAACGGCTCCTCTGAAAATAGCAATACCCAGACGGTCTGAATCCTGTGATTTTTCGTTTTATGTACTTTTTGTCTATTTTTGTATATTTGTTTTTTAATGTATTTATTTGGTACTGACTGTGATAATGAACGTCTTTCTATCTCATTTTATTGTTTTCTGATGTGAAGAAATCTCTTGAAACTTATCTTGGGAGCATTTTTGACTGCAAGTGGCAGCTTTATGCCGTGTTCAAAGTAATTTCCGCGAAATTCAAAATAGCTGTCAGAGAAAGGAAAAGATCACTAAATTTTGGAGAGTCAGAGATCATTTTGCATTTCGCGGAAATTACTTTGAACACGGCATTAGGGGTCTTGTTTTTGCCAAGAATGGGAAGAAGTCTATTGAAACTTAGTTCCGAACAATTTTTTGAATATCTTTTGTTATTTTCAAAATAAAAGTAGTTCCTTTAGGCTCCCAGGACTGCTAGTGGCCACTGAAGGGACTGTGAGGGACAGGAGAAATGGTTATAAAAAAGTGCGTCATAAATATTGATACGCTTCCCTTTGTCAAACTTTTTCTTTTGGAGAATCTTGCAAATTTCAAAAGTTTTTTTCATCATGAATTCCAACTTTCATATCGTTTCTGGCGTTTTTTTGGTTGGGGAAAATACAAAAAAATATAATTTAAAAAAACAAGTTTTTTTGACTGCGTCAAGATTATTGACTCACCGGGAGGTTTGTCCCTTTTTTTATTCTTCCAGTTTTTCATCTTTTATTTCTCATACACTGCGACGCATAATTATAGACCCACCCTAATTTCTCCGATTTTAAGAAAGATTGAAAAACTTTCAGCCACCAAACTTTTTTTGTGATAATCCTTGTTGATAAGGAACATAATCATATCATAATTATCAATCACCCAGTTGAAAAAGTTTTTTTCAAGATACGAGAAAATCTGATTTTTTGACCGACCCAGAATTATAGACCCACCCCAGAGTTTTTCCGAGTTTTTCGTTTCAGGTAACACGTTTTTTTCCTGTTTTTTTCAGTGGTATATAAGAGAAAAAAAGTCCTCGTGTATCACTATAAGCCATAATGCCTAAATCTACTCAACTTGATAATACCGAAAAAGCGGTAATCGATGCTCTACTCAACAACGGCTTGTCCCATCGGCAAATCGCTCGTCAGACGGGTCGCTCAAGACGAACTATTGACCGTTATGCAAGGAATCCGCAAGAATACGGCACAGCAATACATTCTGGACGGCACAGGCTGCTATCAGTTCAAGCTGAACGAGACGTCTGTCGAAAAGCATCAAACTCTACGAAGTCCGCCAACAAAATCAGATCCGAAGTTCCTGAAAACGTCTCGAAGGACACCATCTTACGAACAATTCATCGGTCCGGTCGACTTGTGAATACTCCAATGAAGGCAGCACCTCGTCTACAGCAACGCCATAAGAATGAACGGCTCCAGTTTGCACGCTCTAACATGGCCACGGATTGGAATAAGGTATCAATGTTTTCTATCACCTTATGATTCCCAATTTTTCAGTTCAGATCATCTTCAGCGACGAGAAGAAATTCAACCTTGATGGGCCAGATGGGTACGCTCACTACTGGAGAGATTTGAGGAAAGATCCGATGTACTTCTCCAAGAGAAACTTCGGCGGCGGCAGCCTCATGGTCTGGGCGGCTTTCTGCGGCAACGGGACGGTAGCTCTTTCTTTTATTGGGACCAGAACGAATTCGCAAGACTACCAGCAACTGCTTGCCCAGCATCTCCTGCCCTCTCTCCGTCGCCGACGACGTGCTAATATGATTTACCAACAAGACAATGCATCTGTTCACGCGAGCAACTCCACATTGGCTTGGTTTGCGGCCAAGAACGTGGTTCTTCTGGACTGGCTCGCGTGCAGTCCTGACCTCAACCCTGTAGAGAATTTATGGTCAGTCCTTGTACGAAGGGTCTACGCGAATGCCAAGCAGTATACAACGGTCAAAGATCTAAAAAGAGCGATTCGTGCCGAGTGGGATGGTTTGGACAAGTCACTGCTGCAATCACTCGTTGGCAGCATGCCGAACAGGATTTTCGAAGTCGCTCAGAAACAAGGAGGCATCACACCTTATTAATTAATTTTTTTGTTATACTTTGTTGACTTTGTGAAATGAATTTTGTTAATTACTTATAGTGGGTCTATAATTCTGCGTCGGTCAAAAATCAGATTTTCTCGTATCTTGAAAAAAAACTTTTTCAACTGGGTGATTGATAATTATGATATGATTATGTTCCTTATCAACAAGGTTTATCACAAAAAAAGTTTGGTGGCTGAAAGTTTTTCAATCTTTCTTAAAATCGGAGAAATTAGGGTGGGTCTATAATTATGCGTCGCAGTGTAGTTGAGTTATTAACTGTACAAAAAGAAATATATTAAGATTCCAAGTAGGGATATAAATTAATTATTTAAAAATGAATCAGTTGAAGGTTTTGTATTAACTGAATGGAATTAGGAACTCCAGAGTGGTCTTTATAGGGGCCCTTTGGAGGGTCCCCTCTCGAGACCACTTTACCAACCCCTATAGGGCCCACTAAAGCTTGCAAAAGTGGTCCCTTTAGGGGACATGCTCTTTGATAATTGTTATGAAAGTGAAGAAGCATTTCCATAAGAAAAACTTGATAAATGAGGGTTTTTTGAAGTAAATCAAAAGACCCCTATAGGGTCCACTTGAGCTTTAGGGGCTAAAAGATCGGAGTCTATACCCCTCTAGGGACCACCTTAATTTTATCCCTATAGGGAACACTTTTTCGGCCCCTATAGGAGCTGTTTTCCCTCCTAACCCCTATCGGGACCACTTTGGAATTCCTAAGTGCCACTAAATTACCGACTGGTAATTTTCAAGTGGTCATTAAAGGGATTATTCAAGTGCTTCTCAGCACTACCACAATTATACATCAGTAAAACAAGACAGAAAAAATATTTTCCACCAATTCTTGTCGCTTTTGATCTGCTCTTCTCATAAACCAAAAAACTCTTCCACTACTCAGCAGAAGCGAAAAAACGAGAAGAAGCTCTAAAAATAACTCATTTTCCGTTTTTTTCTCGAAATGAATTTTCTCGTCGCGAAATTTGATTGACGAAGAAGAAAAAGGAGAGTTTCATGGAAAAAAATTGTGTCATGGGGAAAGGAAAAGTGCAAATAATTATTTATAATTTGAGTTTTTTTGAAATTTTTTTAGAGATGTGGTCTTTGGAATGGAGGGGAATATTTCTGAACCGGGAATGTGAAGACCTCCCAAAACGTTTGAAAGTTTAAAAAATACTCTGAGAAAAAGGATTTTCGAGTTCTCAACTTCACCAATAAGATAATTTTCTATTGAATTCTGAAAAACGTCTTTTTTTCTTCATTGCTCCGTCGCAACTTCAAAAAACCTAGTTGCACTTGAAATGACTCGAAGTTTTGTGATTGACATGCTTCCTGATGCTCCTGGGCGCAAACCGTTTTGGGTCGGGTGCAATTTCTTAAAGACTTTCAAGTGTAGAGCCATTCCAACTGCCATCAAGAGTTTCAAAAGACGAATTAGGAATTTTTTCTGTGGATGTACGATTTTCAAAAGGCTCTAATTTATTCTTTATTGCACTTGGAAGATCTTGAGCATTTTCAAACTCGGAAATATTTTTCAAAAAGTTTATGAACCAAAATGAACATCCTTACTAAACATCTCCCAGACTTCCACCACCTCATCAGACGGAAGACGATCTTTGTTTTGGACTTTGGGGTCATTAAAATTGGAACTTCAGCTACATAAAATAATTGAGAAAAATAATTGCATTAGTGGAATTTGGGCTATAAGAAGTTTTGGAAGTTTTTGGTCGGAGGTCAGTTTTTGCGAAATTTGGAAGTTTTGAATTGGAAAAATGAGAGAATTTACTTTCTAAAGATTCAAATTGAGCTTTGCGATGTTCAGACTGCTGCTCAGCTTTGTTAAAAAGTGTAGAGTCGAATTTTCGGAGGATTATGTAAGGCTAAAGGCTTCAATTTTGAAATTTGGTTAAGCTAAGCGAGAATCGAACCTGCAATTATCGGATTGAAGCTAAGTAACTTAACCACTAGGCCACGAGAGCACTAAAATAATTTGGTTCGAAGGGTTTCTATGCAACTTTGATGTTTGTTCATTGGAACTGAGCATTTCTGAACTTTTGAGGACCTTTTTTGGCGCCGGGGATTGAACCAACGACCTCGAGATTGAAGTCAGGGCCCTTAGCCAGTTGGCTATGAGTTTCCACTTGAAAGTGAGGTTTCAAGTAATCTATGGAAAGTTTGATGTTTTTCCTTTCAAAAAATGGAAAACTCTTGGCTTTTTGAAAAATTTTTTGGCTCGAGAGATTGAACTTGGGTCTTTCGGAATGGAATCGAAATTCTTAGCCATCAGGCCATGGTCTTTCCTTTTAAGTGAAGCCTAGCTTATCTACAGCTTATCAGTTTTTTTTTTATCAAAATGAAAAAAAAAAAGATCTTGAGGGATCGAAATTTCAGAATTGACTCAAAAATCTGAACTACTAGGCTCTCAATTTTTATTTGAAGTCGATTAAAATGGAGCTCATTTTTCGTCCACTACAACAACAAAGACCGACTTTTTTGCGGACTTTGAGCTCTCGTTATTCCATTATAGAGAAACTCATCTTTTCCTATTTTTTCTCTTTGAAATTAACTATCTCTCAAAGACTACATACGTAACAAGAATGCAATTAAAATTGAGTCTTTGCAATTTTCAGGGCTTAAAAATAAGGAGGAACGTTGATCGATGAACAGAAATGTGATTAGATTGTTTTGGAAATTCTTTGGTTCGATGCAATGACGTCAGGAGAACAGTAGGGATCTTCTAGAAAAATCATTTTTCAAGCGATTTTTAAATTTTTTCAAGAAAAGGTGCGTTTAAAGTATCAAAAAAGGCACTGCTCAAAAAAATACTTGAGTTTAGGGAAATTTGGAATTCATGGTCGCATTTGGAATGGCTCGAATGTGTTCACAAGAAAATCAAGACCCCCCGGTCGAAATTTTTGATGAAACTTTGCTGAAGTCTCATTTAGGACCTCCATATTGCAGATCAAAAAGTAATTTTTTAATTCTTCAGCCCGGAAATTTTTTAATGCAGTTTGTGAGTCATTCTACCAGTTCATCTTAGGATTTGGCATTTTTTCTACATTCAAATCGTTTCTAATAACTGCCTTGTTCACTGAAGAAAGTACATGTTTCGAAAAAGTCTTAGCCTCCGGTCTCACCGGACAAAAACTGAGACGACGGCGATTTCCAAAGACGATAAAGGGACGAAAATCCGTTGCAAAGGTCGCCCCCTGTGGAACTTTTGAGTTATCGGCCTCCTTTTTCCCCTCTTCAGTTTCTTTTTCCTTGCCATGGCCTCCAATCGTGTACAACTCTTCTAATTACTCGCAGAACTGATTGATTTTCCCGTTTTCTTCCAAAAAAGTAGGAAAAACTGAGTTTCCTAATGATTTGAAGTCTGAAAATTGAGACATAAATGCTGAAAAATGAGTTATAGTACATTTAAAACGGAAAGATAGATTCTGAGTTGTTTTGATGTTTTTGGTCCCGAAATGTACTTTTTCAATCTCCGCCCTGCGCCTTTGAACTTTCTATTTGATGATTGATCTAAAATTCTCTTTTTTCGTCATTTTCGCAGTTTTTGAGCAGATCCCTCACCATTTCAAATGGTTAGAAGAACAAGAAACCTTTTGTGAAAAAATGGGTCTTAAAAGGAAAGTCTTCAGATCCATGCTGCGCCTTTAAATTTCTCTCAGCCGTTCATGAATGAGCTATAGAAAAAATCCTTGAACTTCATTTCTCAACGCAAGAAAAATAGGTACTTTTTCTCATTTTTCATTTTTTTAAAGTTTTTTTGACATTTTTTTGACTTTTTATTAAAAAAACTTTAAAATTTTTTTCTTTTGTTCATTTTTCATTTCCAAACTCGTCGTTTTTCTCATGTTGAAAACTCCAAACTTCAACCCCTAAGCTTCATTTTTCAACGCACTAATCTTCTTAATCTCAAAAATCAGAGAAAAAAGCTAAGAAAAGATCGGATGACTAAGATAGGAAGAAGTCCCAATGTGTAAACACGATTTAATTGAAAATTCGTGCAGCTGATAATTTTTTCTCTCACTGGACGTGTCTAGGGGATCTTTCTCAGAATATTCAACGTTTTTATTCGTCAAAAATGCTGGTTGGTGTCGTTTTTTTGGGAATTGAATCAACGTCGGATAACGGTGATTAGTTTTTAAGTACTGCGCTGAGATGGATATGCGAGAAGGAACAACAAAATGAAGATTTCCGTCTTATAGTTATGGAGATGATTTTGAAAGGAAGGGATAGGGTTTTCGTCGAAAATTGTGAAAAATGACGGAATTTCGAAAAAAAAAATTTCGTTGAAATTTGTGAATTTTCAAACGTTTTCCATGTTCTAAAGATCTATGCCACTTGATCACTTCAGAATTTTACAAAAAATAAAAAAATAATCAAAATTGGAAAAGTCTTCCTTCTACAAAATATCACTTCTCCAAAGAGAAGATGAAAAGTTCTACCCCTTAAGTGACCTCTTCATTTCATTAAAAAAGTGAAATTGAGCTGGAAATAGCGTCCTGGAAGTCTTCTGTGAAACTCAGAGACCCAGAAGTGATCATTTAAGGGATCAAATTCAAGTGGTCACTTTAGTTGCGCTACACCTGGATTCTTGTAGCTTTGAAGTTCATTTAGAGCTACCAATTGAACTGAAATGTCCTTTTATGATGGGATTTTTTAAAATTCGGTAAGTTTATGAAGTCTAAACAACTTAATCGCATTGGGAACGGCTCCAGGCTGCAAAGCGAAGTTGCGCCCGACCAGAAACAACTTGCGCGCTTCGGTTCAAAACCTCCATGATTTTGCGAGAGTTCTGAAGTAGTTCCCCCTAGTTCTCCCTAGCCGAAATTGATACCTACCTGAAGATTTTATCACCCCTCTGGAAAGTTTGCCGCGATTTTGAAAAAGGCCGAACAAGGGTCGAAATTTCACTTTTTGCGGTTTTGCGACGTCGTCGACAACCAAGAATTTAGGTCTCTAACACATCGCCCCTGCTGTTCATTTCAAGTCGGCGACCGGCCGACGAAAAATCGAGGCTTTAGGTATCACTCCGTTTCACTGGCTATCCATTATCGCTCTCAGTTACATTTGCCTACTTTTTCTTCCCTTTTTTTCGATTATACCCCCCCCTTCGCGGCCTCATTTTTTTCGTGTACCGCCAAGAGTGGATTGCTGAAAATTTTGTTTTTTTTTGGGTTGGTTCTAATATAAATTTTGAGCTGCGAACAGCTTCATTTTATCATTTTACTGGTCAATTTTGACCATTCGGTTGGATTAGATGGTTTTTTTCTCCAATAAGGCAAAATTGAATTATGATTTTTCTTTGTCCAACTTGTTGGGTTAAGCTTCGTGACTTTTTTTTCAATCCAGGCTCAATTGTGGATTTAAAAATTTCATTTTAATCCTGATTAAAATTGAAAATTCGATAAATTTATCATTAGGCAGTGGATATCATTTTGAGTGAGCTTTTCTGACTTTTTCAAGCTTTTTTTTTTGAATTTTTGAAAAAAAGGTTTGTGATTATCAAATTTGAAGTAGTGCTGATCATTGTAAAAAAATGAGGATTTTTCAAAATTTTTTTTGAAAGGATTTTTTTGATTGAAAAATTGTATCATTTTTAAATTTTTCGCTAAACTTTTTGATTCACGAACATATGAAACTTGAAATATGCAAAATTTTTGATGGTTCATTGGTGCAAGCCTAAGAAAAAATTTTCCTCATTTATTATCTCGTATTTTTTTGAGGGAACCTCAGAAAGCTACCTCTAAACTGGGATTTTTTCAATTTTTTCTTCTCTTTTTCATGAATTTATAAAATTCTCATAGTATTGCTCACTTCCTACTGTATGTCTGGTTTTTATTCCTTTTTATCGAAATTTTTCGACAGTTTTCTGGCTTCATACTAACCTACGTTTCGAAACTAAGCCAATTATAATATTCGATCCTCAAGGATTTAGTAATCTGCGACTAGACTTTCTCGCTTCATAGTTCAAAGTGAAATTCGATTTAGTTCTGCGATACGGATCCTTTTTTTCTCGAAAATAATCGCCTATAGATCTCTGCACCGTCTTTTTTTCTGTTTCATTTCGCACCTTATAGCGTGCCGGCTTCTGGCCCCTGAAGACACGAAGATAAGAGCCGTTCAGTTGGTATCGTCACGGCTATGCTTCGGCCGGTCGTCCTCCACATCTTATTATTAGTCTTTTTCACAGGTTTGTGAGACAAAATTGTTGACATCACAAAAGAAAAAGATTGAACTGATAAAAAGTTATTGAATTTGCGCGTGAAAGTTCCTCTGTACGTTACGCTCACCACGTACCGCGTAAATCGGCCTCTCGTATTTCATTCGTTTGTAAATATTAAGCGCCGGTAATTATCACCCATTATATGTGAACACTTCGCAATAGGGCGCACTTGGTTTTACGCATATTTCGCGGAAATCCGAACTATTTCTATCTCATGCCGTGTTCAAAGTAATTTCCGCGAAATGCAAAATGGTCTCTGACCCTCCAAAATTTAGTTATCTTTCTCTTTCTCTGACGGCTATTTTGAATTTCGCGGAATCACTTTGAACACGGCATCACCTCGCTTTTTCTGAGTTTTTCATTTGTTTTCGAAATTTCATGATCTATAATCAAACTACAAGATGATGGTGAATACTTACTGCGACGAAAGGAAAGGGGCTACCGTTCGCGTGAAAAATTCCCAAAATCGAAAAAATTTTCAATGAGACCGTGTAGTCATCATCAGGGTGATACGGGAACCGGCTCGTGAGCCTATCGGCCCTTGGCCATTATCTAAGCCCCGTTTGACCTTAGAGAGGCCTCAAATAAAAAAGAACGGGCTCAAATTTTCTTCAAGTCAAATATCAAGCTTTTTTTTTACAACAGAAGTCACATTTATGCTTGTTCATTTACTCACAGTTCAACAGAAACTATAATTTAACAAAATTTAACAGTGAAATTTGGAAAAATTTTCGAAGCCTGGCCTGACCCAAGCCTGCGCAAACTTTTTCTCAAAAATGAGGCCCTAAGTCCGGGCGCCCGGAAGACGATATTGCTGACGCTACATTAGTAACTCGCAAAAAAAAAATCACTCAAATATATAGAAGATAGTCGTCAATTTTAACGTTCAATGGGATGTTCGTTCGATTTTTTTTTTCAACCGTTTACCTAGTTTTAAACATAAAAACGGGGTCTTGCTTTTTTTTTTAAACTGTTATCCAGTTTACTCCAAAGTTTGTGTGAAAATTCAGTGTAATCCCTGTAAAAGTACACTGCAGTTCTCCGAGCTATTTTGAAGCTCTCTGCTCAAAACTTGTGGCAAAATTGATCTCGATCATCTACGTGCCGCAGAAATTCGTTTGCTACGACATCTTCGAGCTGTAGCACGTGCCATAAAATATTTTTTATTTCAAAGTTCATGAAGTGGATTATAAATCATGAAAAAAAAAAATGAAAAACTCAGAAAAAGCGAGGTGAGATGGAAATGATTCGGATTTCCTCAAAATATGCGTAAAGCCAAGTGCGCCCTATCGCGAAGTGTCCACATATAATGGGTGATAATTACCGGCCCTTGTAAATATTTCTTTTCTTTTTTTTTTGTTTTTCTTTTAAACTTCTAACATTCCAAAAAAAATTTTAGTTTAATATAGCCATATGTGCGTCGATTTTTTTTTGTTTAGAAAGATTTTCATTTGCGCCGGAAGCGGTTTTACGTCAAATATTCATTGAAATGTTTTTTCTCTTTTCGAATTTGTCGCTTCGGAAAAGAATGCTTGAAGTTCTTTCTGTTCAAGAGTTGAAGAAAGATCTTGAAATTCGAGTATCTTCACTAAAAATTGGATGTGATTCGTTAAAAACCTATTGAAACCATTTTTTTCAACAAAAAAATTTTCAAAAACTCGTTTTCAGATCAAGCCGCTGCCCAATACGATCCCGGTGAGTTGAGTGCGTCTAACAGCTGATATTTTTGACATTTCATCGTATTTTTCTGAATTTCTCGGTATCGAAAGTGAATTCAGTAATATCATCATCATGGTCGATGTGGTCGCCGTGGAGTTTTTGCTCCAACAATTTGATGATTCGCGTCAGAGCTTGTTCTACTGTTCGAGGATATAAATGTGCAGGACATAATAAGGTTCGGAAACAAAATGCTCTTTTATTTTTGAATTTATGAGGTTTTCTTAGGATGATTTGATGGAAGCGTTACATTTCAATGGAAACTACTATCGGACGGTCATTTTAGACCTGTATTATTTCGTTATATAGCTGTCAAATTTTAAAAATGGATTTTTTTTTCGCGTTTTTCACCTAATCTGTATATTTCCTGTTGAAAATGTAACTTTTGGAATTTTTTTCGTTACCATTCGTTTTCTCTTCAAAAATCATCAAAAACCACAGTTTTCTTTCTTTCATCCATCACATCGAAGAACGCATGAAAATCAGTCTTGGTTTCCCTTTTTGGGGAAATTCGCCGTTCGATTGATTAGATAACCCAGATAGCCGCGAAAATGGAAGAGATTGATGGAAATTGCAAAGTTCTGGGTGGACAGAGTTATTGATTTTTTCTTTTGAGTGGAAAATATTTAGGAAAAACATGGAATTTTTTTACTAACCTTTATATGAGTTTAAAATTTCGATTTTAGAAATCTTGCGCTCATAATTTTTGTTTTTTTATTATTTCAGCGAAATTTTTAAAAAAAGGAGCTCAAATTAGAAATCAATTTTTCGCTGAATTTTTGAAAGCATAACTTAAAAAAATTATTGGAAATCGAAAAAAATGATTCTATTTTTTTCTATTTTTTTAAATTAGTTTCAAAATCATGAAAAAAACATTTTTCTTGCAATTATACTATGGTTTTTTTGAACTTAATGCCGTGTTCAAAGCTATTTAGAACAATTCAAAAATAGTTTCCAGAAGGTTTAAGATATAGATATATTGTAAATCCAATCTAACCTCTGAAATATTCTTAATTTTTTTATTATTTGATATTTCATCTGTACATTTTTCACATACATTACATCATAGACATCATTGTCAAAATTAATATAGGTTAATTTTGAAGATCCAGGTAATGTTCGAAATACTTTGAACAAGACGTTATCTGTTTTTCATTGTTTGCTAGGGTAAATTGACTGAAGTTACATTAAAAAAAGATCAAAAAAGCTCAAAATTTCACAAAATAATCATCTTTTCTTAGTTTTTCCAAAAATTATTCAGGAATTCCAATCGTGCAGCTCAGCGCCACCGAAAAGGAACCAACTCGACTACGATCACCAAGATCCGGAAGCCGTCGACCGTGAGATGGCCATGCGACAGTTGTATCAAGACTACGAGCCGGGAGTTCCGGATAATGTTGAATGTATTGATTCGTTTCCTGTTTCTGGACAAGTTTAAATGTTCTCTGCTATTTATTGTTTTTATTCGTGATCAAGAAACAAGATGATTCATTCTTGAAAATTCCCTTTTCTCTTAGTTTTTGGCACTTGAGCTCAATATTCATCTTCAAAAAAAAAATTCTCTTTGAACTTTTTTCGAAAAAATTCCTCTCATTATGGTAGTTTAGTAGGAAATTTATCGTATTTAAAAAAGAGATTTGAACTTTTTTTTTTAAATTTACACCTAGAAGATTTTTTGTACAGAGAAAAGCTATCTATCCGAAGAATTTTGAGCTTGAAATTAAAATTTTTTGTTCTACTTCCGACCGCTGTCTTATGAAATGATAACTTTCAGTCGTTCCAAAAGTGCCTTTGATGACCCGAGGAGGCCGTCCTTTCATGGAAACTCGCCCGGCCGTTCCGACAACGACGACTAGACCTGAACCTATCGAGCAGATCGCTCAAAGATTCGCGAATTCAGGTAAAATCAAAATATACCTGGAAATGTAAAATTTAATTTTTCAGAGACATCAAACTTGTCAGTTATCCCACCACAAAGGAATGACGACAACTTTGCGGTTATTAATATGAAGGAACCTTCTTCGACTTCTAGTTCGACTACTACTTCTGAACCTATAAAAACGACCACCGCTTCTGAAGGAGAAGAAGTTCCTGCTTCGGCTGAACCTGGAAAAGAAGAAGAAGAGGAAAAATTGAGTTTGGAAGAGCGACGAGGGCTCGAAGACGTGAAATCAGCCTTGGAGGAAAGACTCGCAGAAAAGGAAAGACTTCTGGAAGAAGAGAGAAGGCGTCAAGAAGAAGAAGAAAGGATTCTAGAAGAAAGAAGGCGTCAGGAAGAACAGAAACTTCAAGAAGAACGACAAGCTCTAGAAGCACAAAAACGCCAAGAAGAACAGCGTTTGGCCGTAGAGCGACGTCTTCAGAAAGAGAAGAAGCTTCAAGAAGATCAACGACGTCTTCAAGAAGAACAAGGACGCCTTCAAGAAGAACAGAAGGTTCGAGAAGAACAACGACGTCTTCAAGAAGAACTGAAGCTTCAAGAAGAACAACGACGTCTTCAAGCAGGACTGAAGCTTCAAGAAGAGCAACGACGTCTTCAAGCAGGACTGAAGCTTCAAGAAGAGCAACGACGTCTTCAACAAGAAGAACAGCTCCAGGAAGAGCAACTTCGTAAGCTACAAGAACAAGAGCGTCTTCAAGAAGAGGAAAAGCTCCAAAAAGAGCGACTCCAGGATAAGAAACGTGTTCAACAAGAAGAACAGCTTCAAAAAGAGCTACAGCTCCAAGAAGACGGCCGACGTCAAGAGGAGCGAAGACTTTCTGAAGAACGACGTCTTCAAGTGGAACATCAGCTCCGAGAAGATCAACGACATCAAGAAGATCAACGTCGTATCCAAGAAGAAGTCGCCTTAAAGTCGAGGCTCGAAGAAGCTGGCCGAAGAGTCGCCTCCCAGAACTCTGATTTTTCTCTCTCGGACCATGAATTTTCTGAGAAGTTCGGTCAGTCCAGAGAGCCTGAACTATCCTTCGGCAAGCCTGTCGTTCATCTGGAGGACTCTGAAGCTACCTCGGACTCTTTCCCTATTGAGGCTGAGCCGGAGTCTGACTTCAGTGGGTCCACCCACAGCGTTGGCTCCTATGCCATTGGCAAGGAGCCAAGTGTTGAGCTTCCCAAGTTCAGCATTGCTCATCGAGCAGAACTTCCTGAGGTCCGACGAGCTCCAACTCAGCCCTCGACTTCCGTTGCTCATGTCGAGCTCCCCATGTCGATGATCCCGGAAGTCGTAGCTCCGGCTCCAGTTCATCTAGTCACGGCCAATCAGAAGCTCCGGAGCATGCCTCGGTTCATGGGCGAAATGGTTTGAAAAGAACCAAATTCAAACAAAAAAATTAATTTTTAAGAAAGCCTATCCAAGAAAGGTTGTTCCGACAACTACGACGGTTCCGACGCCATCGCCGTTGGATATGGATAAGATTTTTCCGGGAGATTAGCGCTACTTCTGTGAAACCTAATCAGGTAAAAAAAAAAGTAGAATAATTGAATGGGAAAAAATTGAAAAAATTGAAAAATAAAAATAAAATAGCTGGATCACATCTGCGCTCCATTAAGAAAATAAAAAAGGACTGTGGATTAAGTTTCAATTTCAAGGTTTACTTCTTATCTTACCAGGAAAAATGCATGTGAATTTTTAAGACAAATAAATTTTTGAATGTTTTATCCATGCAGCGCACATGCTCAAATGTCTGTGGTGGGGAATTTCTGAGAGGTCCCTATAGGAGAGCCCCTCATGAGGCCCCTATTGAAAGAGAGTATCCTATAGGGGTCCCTCATCAGTCCCCTATGAAACCCCCTATAGGGACCCCTTGAAAGTTTTCCAGTGGGTTAACAAGCTAATTTCCTTTTTTTTTTTAGTTCAGCTTCTAAAAAAGTTCACTTTTCTCACTTTTTGTCAAGCTCAACGGAAAAAGTTTTTGCTATTTTCGGTAGATTATTCAATTTTCAAATCTTAAAAGCTTGATGGCTTCTTTATAATGAAAAAATGATGAAAAATAGTTCTAGGGGTCTTCGGGAAATTTTTTTAAATAAACTTTGGGCTCAGACTTTTCACCATCAAATTCACATATTTCCAATTTTTTTTTAGCTCACCGTCGAAATCACATCAGCGCCGACGAAGAAGAAGCTCCGCAAGACCAAAACCAGAAGATTGAAAAAATTGAACAGGAGGGGCAGGATGAAGGTCGTCGCCGTGGTGCCCACTGACGCTACGGTAAAGTTGACTTTTTTCAAAATTTTTCTAGGGGTTTCTTAAGGGATATTTAAGCAAAATAAACCTTCACAACTTTAAAAGTCACTTTCCAGCTTCAAACTATTGGAATCCATGAATATTCTTGTATTTATTAAACCTGAAGCATTCAGATGGTGACTGAAGCGCCGAATGAACAAAAAATGAGCCAAAATTCGAACAATATCGGACGGCGAGTGGCTGGAGAAGCGTCCGTGACTACCGAGGTAATCATTTTCAAATTTGGATCAGAATGAAATGTTTACAAGGTTCAGTAAAAAAGGGTTAGTTTTTGATCAAAATTGAAAAATTTATTCATTTTTCCCGTTCATGAGAAAATCCTCCTGAAAATGTAAAATCTTGGTTGGTTTTTGCAACGTGGGATGAATTTTCAAAGGTCTACTCCGGTTTTGAAATGACTTGAATTTGCTATTTTTTCTCTGCGCCCTCCTCGTCTCTCGACGACTCTCTCATTTGAACGTGCTATTTTCATGTTTCTCTGGCCGGCGAGGGAACAGAGAGACGCAGACACTCGAAAACTGTTATAGTAATTAATTAAAAACGGCATCTAAAAACCGATAACTGAACAATTTTCTAATTATTTATGGAATAATTTGGTTTATGGAAAATTTTTTTCTTGGCATTAGATGAGATTTTGAGTTTCACAGGGAGTGAAAGCTATCAGAAAATTTGAATTCAGAGGAAAATTTCATTTTTTTCAGTTTCTTATCATGATTAGAAATTTTTTTGACTGGTAAGCCAGGGCTATAGGATAACTTTTTCAAGGATTCTCGATGTAATTATAATTTTCATTATGTAGGAACTCCCATACATCATCACTTTCTTGCAAAGTTCAAACAGAAATGGAAAGAATGCTTTATTTTTCGTAATACTGTGGCAAAGAGGAGGATCATCGTGTGTGAATTGAGCTGTATGTAGAGTTCGTTCGAGGTCTTCAGTTCTGTTGGGTCTGCGACGGACCGAAACCGGCCTCGCGCTTGCCATAGCCGTAACCGTAGTAGGGGTATCCGCTGTATCCGTATCCGCCGTAGCCGTAGCCACCGTATCCGTAGCTACCGTAGTAGGATGGGTAATATCCACCGTAACCGTAGTACTGGGCGGAGGTCTCGCTGACGATCGTGCAGAGGACGACGAGGGCGACGAGGAGGAGGCTGGAAATTGATGCTTTGGAAAAAAATTTAAAGGAGAATGCAAAAAGGGACTCGGAGTTTTCTTGAACAAATTAAACAGCTTGCTGGCTATTTAAAAAGTCATTTTCGGACACAAGTCTGAAAACTTGGAGATTTACTGAAGTATTATTCAATTTTTAGGTTAATTTCGCGATTAGAAAAGTTTTTTGTACGTTAGTGCTGCTTCTAGGCAAAAAACAAGTTTGTGATTATTAATCTTTTGAAGATTACGTTTTTTATCTCTTTCTGAAACATAGGTCCAACTGGTTTTTCAATGGAACATTCATATTTTTGTATAAGATTAGGAAAGGTAAAATTTTATAAGGTTATTTCCAAGTTTCCTGTACGAAATTAGTCAGTTTTCTTGAGCTCAGAAGATTTTATTAGGAAGGGAAATCATATTGATTTTTTATTAAAGTTTTGTAAGAGATTCGAATTTTGCTTCTCAAAATACAAACGATGATTTTTAGAGCTTCATTCAGGAAAGAAAATAATTTTCCCCATATTTTGGAGCTTTTTTCGAAGTTTTATATGTAATTGAAACTCACATCTTGGCCTGCATGTTGATGAGAAGCTGAGGAATTCCGAGCTGAAGTGCTGTTTGACGGTAGATCAGACCGCTTTTATACACGAGCTGCCCGAGGCGTGGTGTTTGCACTTCTCACTTCTTCTTCTTTTTTCTCCTTGCCAGCCGCAATTTGTATTGTAGTTGAGTTGAGTCGATGAAGGGAGGGGAAAAAATAGAAATTTTTGGCGGCGGAACCAGTAACTGTCAATTTGAGTTGGTTGGCTGAGTTGACCTTGGCGAGAACCGCGTGACTCCTGGATATTGGATACATTGCCGTGAATTGACGGGTATTTGTCCTCGGATAGGGTTGAAGTTGGAGAGATCAAGGAAATCTTAAGTTTTCTGTGGAGATAGAAAATGAGCTTCTTTTTCAAGATTTTGAGTCGAGTTTTGAAGTCTTTGAGTTTTTTAGACTTGCGTGAGTTAGTTTACATTATTTGATATCTATTTTCCTTGAGATTAATCAAATCACTTGTTTTGTTCTTTTAGTCAGATATAATCGAATAGGCAGTGAACAAGAACTTTAAAAGCTATAACGAACAACCGCCCTTGAGTCTCGTTCTTCTGTGCATAGTTCATTCAGTTGCACCTTGACGAGCTCAGAATGTAGCTGATATCTTGGAGCCAGGAGACCGTGCTCTAGGTGCAAGTCTCGAAAAAAATGAGCTTTTTTTTAAAAGTTTTTGATTCGAGAAGAAGCTAGTACAAAGCTTTAGAAAGGGTTAATTTCAAGCAGAAGCAGGAGTTTCGTCTTTTCAAACATGTTTAAAAATTAAAAGCTAATCGGTTTCGTTGGTAAACTCTTGATTTTTAGGGTAATTTAGTTAGGAATGGTTTATAAAATCACAGGAAGAAGCATTCAAAATGACTTTTTTTGAAGTTTTTGAGTATTTAGGGGTTCTACAAATTCTACCAATTTTATTAAAACCATCAAATTCTGACTTTATGGTCCATTGATCTGAATTTTACTTCAAAAATGAATATTTTGCCCTGTTGGATTTTTTTTTACAATATACTCAAGACTCACAAAAAATGATTCTTCTCCTGATCATCTTTCAATTTTACCAGCCGATTTTTCTATCCAACTTTTTCAGACACCCATCGATACATCGAAATTGTCCGAGAAGGACAGGAAAGTTTACGAAGAAACGAAAGCGTTGGAAGCCCGTCTGATCGCCCTGCAACACCGTGTCGCTGTCAATAAGATGAAGCTCGAAGCGACGCGAAATTCCGACCCAACAGATGTAAGTTTCGAAAGAAAAATCTGTTTCTTGTCCTTTGAAAATTGCCCTACTGAAATTCCTTGCTGTCAAAAATATTGAAATCTATTGAAAACGCGAATTTCGTGCGCTTTGAGCTTAAAGTGACGAGAAATTCGGATCCAATAAATGCATAGTCAATTCACGGCTGACTTAGGGCGCTAAGCAGGCGTGTCCTGTCTGCGCTCTATGCTAAATAGGCACTATCTCTTCTTTTATCGTGTCAGGACCCATTTTTCGATGGCATAAGCTAGTCGTGGATCAGCTGTAGGTTTCAAAAAATATCAATTGGAGGTGTTTTTAAAATCAAAAGTTGGATTATCCAGCTTCTGGAAAGTCTCTAAAAAAGCGAAATCCGAATTCTAGCACCTACTGAGAGTCAGTTTCGTCAAAAATGATGACTTCTTCCAATTTTTTCCAAGAGCTTTTAGAAGGTTTTCTTGGCCAATAGTCCAGCTGGAAAGTTTCTGAGAATTTTAACTCGTATGAACAAAGGTGCTCCACTGATAAAAACCGATCTTTTAGAATACTTGAAGGAATTCTCTTGAACTTTTCTTTTCATAAAGCGCTCCTACCCGTTGATTTTTTGTCATTCCTTTTTTTTCCAAAAATTATTATGCTTTGAAAATAGCAGTCTATGAGCCATATAAGAAATTTTCGAAGCTCTAGTCCAAAATTCAAAATTTTCCGTTTTTCAGGCAAATAATTTTTTTCCTGGTCTAATTGAACTTTTTTTGAAATTTCAGAACATTTTCAGATGCTTCAAGGCGACACGGCTCGAGCACTGTCCTGGATGATTGCCAACATGTCGAGAATGGTCGACGATTCCCCGATGGACGTCATGGATGTCGTGCCCTTGGATCGGGTGGTCGAGGAAAAAGTTTCTGAGGTACGAAAAGAAGATTTTGAAGTTTGGATAGAAAAGGCTCCGAAAAAGTTATCAAGCTGGTCAATTTGTAGCTTCTCTGGTCTGATTTTAAAATGGTAGAATCTTAGCGGTCGCCATGCAGTCGTAGTTCGATTCTGAATCTTATCGAATCGCTGATTACCATCCAATTTAGTTACTAGACACGCGCAAGTCGCTTTAAGGTCGGGCGCACCTTTTTCAATTAGTATCAGCTCTTCTTTCAACAACAAATAAGTTTCGGACGAGATATCTTGCTGAAATATTGCTCAAAGATGTTTATTGTACCATTTTACATCTTTTTCATAGTTGCATTATACAATACTGCAGATTGTAGATCAGTGGAAGACAAGTTTACAAGTTTTGGTTTCGTTCAGAGTAGGATCAATCATCTTCAGTTCTGTTGGGTCTGCGACGGACCGAAACCGGCCTCGCGCTTGCCATAGCCGTAACCGTAGTAGGGGTATCCGCTGTATCCGTATCCGCCGTAGCCGTAGCCACCGTATCCGTAGCTACCGTAGTAGGACGGGTAGTAGCTACCGTAATAGCTACCGTAGTACTGGGCGGAGGTCTCGCTGACGATGGCACAGATGACCAGGAGGGCGATGAGGGCGGCGCTGGAATTTTGAAGTTATTTTTTGGAGATTTTTGGTTTTGGAGGGTTATTTTGATATGAGATTGAGATTGAAAAAGTAGAAGCTAGCTTCAAAAAAGAAATAGAATAAAAATTTTGACGCGAAAAAGGTCCTGCGCCTTTGAATCACAGAAGGCCGTTGTGACATGATTTCACAATTTTACAATTTCAACTCCCTGATCCAAAAAGCTTCCTTAATCATTTAAAGGAGCATAGCTGAACTCCAAAAGAACTTTTAGTGCGATCCACTTCATTTTGGTTGAACCTGGTGTTTCTAAACGATTCAAAACTCTAAAAAAGGATTCTAGAAAAAAAAAATTGAAGCTAAATAGTTAATTTTGGATGATTTTGTATAAGCTTCAGTTCTGAGGAGTACAAAAAAAATTTTTTTCAAACTCACAATTTGGCAGACATGCTGAAGGTTGTAGAGGAGTGACTGTTGTGCCGGCAACTCCCAAATCTTCAACTTTTATACTCTTGGCATTATTTGCCTATTTTTTTTCCAACCCTGTCAAACGGTTGCGACTTGTTCAAACCTTGAACACGGCAAAGAAAAGATCGAAAAACTGTAAATAAATGGCGTTTTTTTTTTTGGGTCCACTGTTTGAGGTTCGCAGTTGAAAAATGTGTCATTTTGAGGTCTTGTCGGAGTTTTTTTGGTTTTTACCGCTTACTTTGCAGGAACAAGCTTTTAAGTTTTGAATTCTCAAAGGAGAAGAAAAAAAGAGTTGGAATGATCGATATTTGGTATACGTTTCGATCAAAAAAGATGAAAACTTTGGAAAAACGGGAGTTTTATTGATTTTTCACTTCAAAAAGCTCTGTTTGGACCATAAAAATTCAAATTTTCTTTCTTATTTGACTGTTTCAGGACAAGACAGTGAGAAGAATAGGTTCTACGAATGGATTGGTCCGTTCCAAGAGGAGCACTCATCCGTCTCCCGATCTCAAAAGTGAGTTTTAAAAATTCAAAGGAGCATGACCTGAACAAGTTGATGGTTTTAAAGCGATTTTTTTTTGATTTTTGAGAATTTTTTTGCTCTGGATCCTACTTCATTGTGAAGCTATCGATTCGAAAAAAAAATTATTAGAAGATATTTTTTATTTCTCACTCTGAAATATTACACTTCATTCACTGACTTGTGAATCACTGCTATCACAAAAACTTTACTACCAAAAAAAGTAAGAAATTAGTTACCCTAATACGATCAAGACAAATTGAGAGTAAAGCCGGATTAACACAGTTTTTCTTCTACTTTCTCCCCTTCAATTTGTTATTTCACAGCGCTCTGGTCGCCGTGGTCAGAATGGTCGGAATGCGAATGCGGCAGGCAGAAAAGGAAGCGAGTCTGTCTGAAACAAATCAGGGTCGCCTCCAACGGCAGTGCTGAGCGTGAGTTCGGAGGGGTCAGGAAACAAACAAAAAAAATCAGAATATTTGGATCAGTAGCTGATTTTTTTTTTTGATAACGGGTGAGCCGTTCTCTCCGTTATTCAGATGTTTCGAGGAAATCCAGAGAAGTCCCTCTAGGGATAACCTCAGGGACTTTTGAAGTACTCCCTCTGGGGGCCATTAAACCTATCGGACAGCATTATTATGTTCATTGTTGTGAGCTCTATGCGAAAAACTCAATAAATCAGTGATTTTCGAATGAAAAAAAAAATTGAAGACCCCTATAGGGGCCACTTGAGCTTCAGAGGTTCAGAGCTCGAAACCTTAACCCTTATAGGGAGCACCTAAATTTTAACCTAAACCCCTACCGGGAGAACTTGTTGTTTTTTATAGGGGTATTTCTTTCCTCTAACCCCTACAGGAACAACTCTAGCGTTAATAAAATCAAAAAAAAATTTTTTTTTGTGGTCGTCTGTTGAAGATTGAGAAAAGTCTAAGAAAAATTTCGATGAGGTGAAAATCCTTTTTGTCGGAACTGTTGAAGATATATATATATATATATATATATATGTTTGCATAACTACTTCAGCTTTTTTTCAATTTTAAACCCGAGAAAGTTTTCAGAAACCTTCTACCCGATCGAAAAATCGACAGGACCACCAATCGAGTTCCCCGAACCGGCGCCGTTTCCGTCGTTGATGTCCAGAAATCGCATAAGACGTTCCAATAAATGCCCTGCTCCGCAAATCGAAAGCCGCGCATGTTTCTCTATCAAATCTTGCATAGATTAATATAGTAACGTTGATTAGAAAAAAGCTTGATCTGTGGGAGAAGAAAGTGCGCCCCAACGAAATAATCGAAAGAGACATAAGAGACTAAAAGAAAAAAACCTTGAATAGAATCCCTCAATTGATCTCTTCAGATCTTATCGTTCAATCCATTTCTCTACCTTTTTTCGCTGGAGCGCACTTTCCTAAAATAGTCAAGCTAAAATCAACTAATTTATTGATTATTGTGATATTAATAACTTGATTATGGGTATGTGACGATCGACCACTCATGGTTGATTCCTTCTTCATTTGCTCTCTAATTTATTTCACTGCAAATTCTCACTTTTAATGCATAAATATGTCAATTATGACCCTTATTTTTCATTTAATTACAAATATGTACAGAAAGAAATAAGTGAATGAAATAAGTTCAAGCCGTTTCGATGGATGATCGGATTTTAAACCGCTTTTCGACGACGTGTGGTCTGAAATCGATTTTTTGGATCAATCAGCAATCAATATTTCATTTGAAGATTTACCCTGAAACTCGACGATCAATAGGCATATCGTGACGTCGGCCCAGAAGCCAAAACGTCTGCATCACTCCTTTTCCCTGGAAAATCAGTCAATAAAACAAGTTTCACTGATTTTTTTAGAAACAGAATTTCAATGGACCTTGGGTTGTAAAACTATTCAAGAAATTTGAATCTTGGTTTCCCGCGCATTTTTCATCAGAGCATACATTGCTCAAGACCTAGATTTTCAACTTTTAACTTATTAAACATCGCGCAAATTCGATATTTCCTAAGAAATTTTCTTTTAAAACTGACAAACGTGAAAAAAAAAAATCAACAATTCAAATGTCAATTTTCCCGCGCAAATCTTTTTTGTCAATGGAGCGAACATTCCTACAAAATTTTTCCTTTCATTTTCCTACCGCCCTTTTCTGCGTATTTTGCTACAATACCTTTTTGTAAACTTAATCAAATTGAAGTTTTTGTACTAGGAGAAAAGATATTCAAGTTTTTTTAATGAATGACCCTCTAGTAAAAAAATTTTTAGTTTAAAAAAATTACCTTAATGATAACTTCTCCTCGATTCTCGGTCACATAGTCAGGATAAAGGTCATTCAGGAGTTCATTGGCGTCCGGGGACAAATGAATATGACCGGCTAAAATCAGATTTGTTTTTTTTTTTAACGACGCTCCAGATTACGTTTCCCATTGCTCTCCATACGGCTCGCCGTGTTCACCGTGTCACCAAAAAGGCAGTATCTCGGCATGGTCAAGCCGACGACGCCAGCAACACAAGAACCTGAGAAATAAGCCGTGGAAATGAAAGAAAATGCGCTCCAAGGATAAAAATGCATAAATGCATGAAAAAAGAGACTTTTCCAGACAAAGTTCAAAAAAAAGTTTACCCGAATGCATGCCGATCCGGATATTGACTCGTTCAGCCGGCAGATGAGCTATCCGGAAGCCTTTCAACCCCTAAAGTGATCACTTAATGAGAAATAAAACGCCTGGAACTTGCCTCCAACAGGGCCAAAGACATGCTGGCAATATTATTAATATGTTCCTGTCCATTTCGTTTCGGGAGCCCAGAAACGCAAAGATATCCATCACCGATTGTTTCGACCTCAACTTTGACCTTAAGATGAACCTTTATAATAAATGTTCGAACTTTATAAGCGTCGTGCTCGTCGATGATGCTGTCGAAGATCGTATAGAGGTCGTTGAGCAAGTTCACTACCTGGAAAGGATAAAAATAAGTCGATGTGAAAGAAGAGCCGTTTAGTATCCGGAAATATGTGCTCCATGGAGAATTAAACTTAGAATTTCGAATTTCAAGGAAAACTCATTCATATTCGTATAAACTTGTTATCGAACACTCCTGCTTTACGTGAAATATTGAAACACGTTGATGAATCCACTGTTTCACACCTGAAGAGGAGTACATTTGCTGGCGAGCGTCGTGAAAGAAACGACATCGGAGAAGAAAATCGTAACGCTTTCGAAAGTTTCCGGCTCCACCGACTGGCCCAGCTTCAACCGGTCCGCAACTTGTCTGAAAAATAGTTCATCTGAAAAAGTTGAAAAAATGGCTTTGAGAAATGAAGCAAATACGCTCTAATGACAAAAGTTCCATGTTCAAGATATAAACTTTTGAAGAAATCGGAGATAAAGTTGAAAAGTTCACTTTCTATTGAACTGGAAACGGAAGAGTGATCCCTATAGGGGCAACCCCTAGCGGCCCTACAAGGTCCCCCTTTAAGAACGAGCCTCTAAAGGAGCATGATTTCCCCCTAACTCCTCTAGGGATCACTCTGGCGTTTCAAAGTAATTTTTTAATGAAAATCCATGGGAACACAGATTCGCCTCTTTTTCATAAATATCTCAAAGATCTCTCTTCAATCAACTTTTTTTTCACCCCTCTTTCCACTTTTTTCCCCACTGACGGTACCACGAAAAAATGAGCAAATGCCGTGCCGACAGGCAAGTATTGGCACCTTAGTGCAAATACCTACCCGTTGCTGAAATTAGTATAAAAAGGCCCCAAATTTACTCAAAAATCACGGAACAGTCCCTTCCAACACTCTTCAGCATGTCCGCCAAGTTGTAAGTTTCGAAATTTGAACTTTAAAATTTAAATTAAATGTCTTAGCGCCGCTCTGATCGCTCTTCTGGTCATCTGTGCCATCGTCAGCGAGACCTCCGCCCAGTACTACGGTAGCTATTACGGTAGCTACTACCCGTCCTACTACGGTGGATATGGATACGGTAGCGCCTACGGATACGGCTACAGTGGATACCCCTACTACGGCTCTGTTTATGGCAAACGCGAGGCCGGATTCGCCCCCAAGAACTGAAGAATCCGAAGAATCCCTTGTAAATGTCCAAATCGATTCCGACACCAAAAACCCCCACGAGTATTGACTTTTCCGTATTACAATAAATCATTGTATGCAACTTTTCTTGTCGTTCACATGAAAAATATCAGAAGAAGAAGTTCCGAAATCTCCAATAGGAGCTTTTGGCTAAAAACTAAGCATATGCTTGGACCATAACATCGCGGCGCTGAAAACGTATTTTTTATCAATATTTTCTAAAAATGGGAGAAAAACCAGGAGGGAAGAGACCGAATTCTCAAAATTCCAGAGTTTCAAAATAATTTTTAAAAAGCTGCGAGAATGAAATATTCGAATTTGGAGGTCGCGAAACTCGCATTAAACTATTCCGTTTCCTTGTTATTTTTATCTTATAATTGCTCGCAAATCAATAATACTAAAAGAAGTTTACCATGTAAGGTTTTCTAAAAACTGGAAATTCACTTTATTCGCCCAGGAAATACGCTCCATTGATGAATGTCAACCGAAAAGTGCTAAAACCTCTTTTGTTTATCTCAAGTCCGAACGCGCAGTTTTTAGGTGAAAAAAAAACCATTTTCTTCGGCTCTGAGTTGAAAAAAAACCAAAAAAAAAAAGTTGTCAGCCGAACAAACCGAACTGTCGCCAACAAGACCTCCTACGCTACATGGAGAAAAAATCTTTGCTCGAAAAAGTTGCAAAAAATTTCCTAAGCTAATGAAAAAACTAAACAACCAGAAATTCTGAGAAAAAAAAAATTCTGCATAGAGAACATTTTTAAGTGAAATTCGTAAATCTTATTTCCAGTCGAAGGTTGAACCAAAAACTTCGAAAAAATACATTATTTCGGGTGGTATGAAAAAAACACCAGCGAAAATTCAAACGGTGACTTTTCCGATTTTTTCATTTCGCTAGGGAACTTTCTGACGGCCACCTTTCCGACGGATCCCTTTCCGACTTTTTTCTCTTAAGTTTTTCAATTTGCAAAAAATCTATAAACATTTTTTTCCTATTTCTTTCTGTTTTAATCATCAACCAACTAACTACTTTATATAGGAAGATTAAAAACGAAGATTTCATCGAGAAAAAAAGTTGGAAAAAGATTCGTCGGAAAGGTAGCCGTCGGAAAGTTCCCCTAGCGGTATGAAAAAAATTCGGAAAAGCCGCCGTTTGAATTTTCGCTGGTCTTTTTTTCATACCACCTTATTTCGAGATCGATATGAAAAAAAAGATCAAAAGATTGTTATAATAAGTATGAGGCGACAACGACTGGGTGCTCCACTGACAAATTTTGCTTGAAACGGCTTGCAGGAGCTATTTTTCAAGAAAAGAACGCGCCATATCAAATAAATTCAATTTAAAAACTTTAACAGCAGGTATTATTTGAGAAAAAAAAACTATCTCCGTTCATAAAATTTGGATAAAAGGCCCTCATTTCTTGAAATTCTCATTCACAGATCAGAAGATCAGGATAAGGCTATCTTCAAGATGAAAATAAGCTCTATTGACAAAAATCTGCTAAACGAGTGGAATTCCTCAAGTTCAAACGTGCAGCTTGAACAGAAAAAAACCATTTTTTTTTTACCGTTTCTAAGCTGAAAAAGCCTAACAAACAGCCAGGCACGTTCCTTTCAACAAGGAAAAAAAACTGTGCTCTATTGCTTCTTGAACTCTTTCTTTCAAATGGCCCGCCAGCCCAAGGATCAAGGAGCACAAACACTTACAATTTGCGGCAACTTGGAAAAAAAGCAAAAAATTGGTAAAGAAAAGACTGTAGGGCGTGGCGAGCAAAGAGTTACCACCCAATGGTTTGTTGAGTTTGGCGGAGTATAAAAGGGAGGTTTTGGAGGTGAAATTCAGCAGTGCAGCAGTCACTACCAACCCAAAAAGTCATCATGTCCGCCAAGTTGTGAGTTTTTGAATTTTTATTCGGAAAAAAAAAATTATGGAAGCTTTACAGAAGCTTGTTTTGAAGCTAATTGTTACAGCGGATTGCCTAAAAAGTCCCACTCAACATTTTTTTTTTCGTTTCAAGCTACAATATTCAAACAATATTTCCATTTTCGAAAAAATAACCTCAAAATTTCGCTATCAATTCAAAGACCTTAGGTCTCACTCTCAACTTCCAGTAGAAGCTCAACCAATTTTTATAAGCTTTACAAACCTTTCTCGTCGACCATCCATTAAGATACCATCTCTGATCTTCCAGATTGATCTTCATCTCAGCTTCTAACTCCAAATAACTTGAAAATATTTCCAGCGCCGCCCTCATCGCCCTCCTGGTCATCTGCGCCATCGTCAGCGAGACCTCCGCTCAGTACTACGGCTACTACGGTAGCTACTACCCATCCTACTACGGCAGCTACTACGGTGGCTACGGATACGGTGGCTACGGATACAGCGGTTACCCCTACTACGGTTACGGCTATGGCAAGCGCGAGGCCGGTTTCGGTCCGTCGCAGACTCAACAGAACTGAAGACGATGACCTACTGCACTCCGAACGAAATTGTAAATTATGCACCCCCACCTACGAGATTCGATTACCCCTGCCAACGTGTTTTTATCAGCTTTTACTGAGATCGAGTATTACGACAGAGCAAAAAATGAAAAAAATGAATGATTGCAATCATATTTTTCTGTTTTATTCGCACTTGAAATGATGAGAGGCGGCAGAGAAAACGATTTCAAACAGAGAGATAATTGAAAATGAATCAAATTTTCTGGCCTCTCTTTTTGTGAAGCCTGAACTATTTTTTTTTGATTTCAACTCTTGAAAGGAATCGAAAAACGGTACGGTTTACATTCGGAATCCCGTCAGAATCGGTTCAGCTTATTTGCACTCTCAGTTGAGGGTTTTCAGGTTTTTCTCCCAAGCTTAAAGCTCGACTCTTTCTAGATTTCCATTTTCGTGATCGAAACCAGTTTCTTTTTCAAATTCAAGCTTTAGGTCTCCCAAATTTGTTCGGAGGAAGTTTTTAATAAGGTCAAGAGAAAACCTATGAAAATTTTTCCGCCTAGCTTCGAGATTCTAAAGGCTTTTTATACATCGCAAGGACTTTCATCGTGGTGAAGTACAAAAAAATTCCTATTTGGAAATCAGATCATACAAAGAAAAAGGTAAGACTTCTGATTAAATTAAAACCAGGAAAATACAGCTTTTCCTATGAACCTGAACTTCTAAGATGAATTCAAAGTCTCGAGAAACATGTTTCATCAGAGAATCGGAATTTTTTGTTTAAGTCTGAAACTTCAAAGTGAAAGGTGAGCATTACTGATATTTTCAAAAATCTCATAGAACTGGAAAAAAAAAAAAGAATTTTTCTTTCTTCTGAACTTCAAATTAGTTTTTTTAGCACGTTTAAAAAAACAACATTTTTTTCAAAAGATTCCTAACCTACAAAAAAATAATAATTAATTGAGAAATCGAAATAATAAAAAATGACAATGTTTGAAAAAAGGTGAAAAATCTAATATCTCAAAAAAATATAGAAAAAGATTATGGTAAATCCAGTTCTCCGGAATGCAAAGAAATTCCAATTCGGTTCAAAAATCAGCTCCTTTTCTTCCTATTTACCCAGTAATTCTCCAAATACAACAAATACAACAATTTGAGAGTTCAGAAAACGGGGCGAAAAGTTTGTTTGCTCTTTTTTGAAATCTCCATTTGACAGTTACTCGTCAAGGTTTGAACAAGCGTTTGTGCCACCGTCCGTCGATGAATGACGGAAAAAAAGGTGAGTAAACTCGGAAAGACCCATCGAGCAAGCAAATAACTGCTCGCTTGGACTTTTTTCTCCAAAAATTGGTATATAACGATGAGAAAAATTGGGGAAATTCAGCAGTGCCGCAGTCACTTCCAACACTCCTCAGCATGTCCGCCAAGTTGTAAGTTTCAAAATATGAACTTCAAAATTGAAAATAAAATATTTAGCGCCGCTCTGATCGCTCTTCTGGTCATCTGTGCTATCGTCAGCGAGACCTCCGCCCAGTACTACGGTAGCTATTACGGTAGCTACTACCCATCTTACTACGGTGGATATGGGTACGGTAGCGCCTACGGATACGGCTACAGTGGATATCCCTACTACGGCTCTGTTTATGGCAAACGCGAGGCCGGATTCGCCCCCAAGAACTGAAGAATCCGAAAATTCCCTTGTAAATGTCCAAATCGATTCCGACACCAAAAACCCCCACGAGTATTGACTTTTTCGTACTACAATAAATCATTGTATGCAAGTTTCTTGTTTTTCACGTTAAAAACATTATGAGAAGAAGTTCTGAAAACTCAAAATTGAAGCTTTTCTTGGTTTCTTGTTCAAAGCGAATCTGAAAAAGAAAATTTTAAAAAAATTCAAAGGACAGTGAGTTCAAAATTAAAATTTGGAAAACACCCAGATGGTAAAATGTTATCAAGAGGTTTTATGAAGCAGAAATGATGCTCAATTATCAAGCTCTTGTATTTATTTATTTTTTATTGTTAAAGCGAAAAAACCACAAGGAAGGCTTGAAAATACCATACAAAATGCTGTGAAATCACATAAAAAACAGAAAAGCCTCTCCAAAAGTGTATAATGAGCCTCGAACAAGACTTTCTGTGGATTTTCAGGCCTGGTTTGAAAAAACGTCGAGAACTTCTTAATTGAAATCAATAATTTAACAAGTTCCGGAAAAATACAAAAAATAAAAGGAACGTGAACTTTCCTCAATTCGGTTTCGAAAACAACAATAACTTACGTTTCATGGCTTACATAACCTTGATTGCGATATAAATTAAACAATGTTCGAGTTTCTTCATCCTCGAAAACAAAGCAAATAATATTATCAACTCAAGAAAAAAAATGAATGGTTCTCTCGAACTGTTTCCAGGTGGCCTCGGTCAAAAAAAGTTTCATAATTTTTTTGATTTTTTTCCGTATTACAATAAATCACTGTATACAAGTTTCTTGTTGTTCACGTTAAAAACATTATAAAAAGAAGTTCTGATAACTCAAAATTGAAGTTTTCTTGTTGTTGAAGCAGAGCAAATCAGGATATAAAAAAATAAAAGATACCTAAATGCCAGTGAGGTTAAAATTAAAATTTGGAAAGAACTAGAAGGTAAAAGGTTACTCAAGAGATTTTATGCTATTAAAACAAAGTTGAAGCCCCATTCTCAATCTCTTGTGTTTATTTTTTGTAGTTAAAGCAAAAAAACCGCAAGAAAGGCTTGAAAACACCATACAAAATGCTTTGAATGAAGAGTCACATAAAAAGCAGAAAAGCCTCTCCAAAAGTGTACAATGAGCTCGAACAAGACTTTCGGTGGATTCTCAGGCCCGCTTTGAAAAAAACTTCAAAAACTTCTCAAATGAAGTCAATAATTTAACAAATTCCAGAAAAAATAAAAGGAGCGTGAACTTTAGTCAACTTCTTCTCTTAAACTCCAATAACTTACGTTTCACGGCGTACATAAACTTAAGTACAATATAAATTAAACAATGCTTGTGTTCCTCTCTTCTTAAAAACAAAACAAAAAAATATTATCAACTCTAGAAAAATGAATGGTTTTCTCGAACTGTTTCCAGGTGGCCTCGGTCAAAAAGCTCTTTCAAAATTTTCGGAATTTTGAGAAGCTTTATGGTTCCAGGGACCTTTCAAAAATTCTTATAAAAATAAATCCCATTCACAAAATTTTCAAACTTTATGAAGAATTTATTTTTTATGAATTCTAAACTTGCCAAAAAGTTCAAAATCATATGGTCCCTGGAAATACGCACTAAAACGAGTTGCCGCGATTAAATTACTTCTGAATGCCTGAAATGGCTTATTTTTTATTTCAGGAAGATAATTTAAAAGTGAAATAAGACGTTTTTGTCAAAATTACCCTTGGAGCGTAAATGTGCTCCATTCAACTTAATAAAAACGGCAAGTTCTGCGGACCGGAAAAAGTTGTATCGAAACGAGGAATATGTTTCTAAACAAAAAAAAGAAAATTTTTTAGCACATTTCCGATGAACATGTTTTCTAACTTTTTATAAATTTCCAAGTTGAAAATGCCATTAAAACTGTCTTTCAAATCTTTAGTTCCTACTGATAAACCTCGGAAATCATGATCTTCTGATCACAAATCAGTTCCTACAGACTGCAGCATTTGACAGGCGCATTTTACGTTTGAACACCCTAGAAATGAAAAAAAGAGGCGCTACCGTAATGCAAACATCAGCCAGTACTTCTTTCTCGATTGCCGTCCCGAGCAATCACGGAAAATTGTATATAAGGTCCCAAATTCACTCAGAAGTCACGGAACAGTCCCTTCCAACACTTCTCAGCATGTCCGCCAAGTTGTAAGTTTCAAACTTCGAACTTTAAAATTCAAAATAAACTATTAAGCGCCGCTCTGATCGCTCTTCTGGTCATCTGTGCCATCGTCAGCGAGACCTCCGCCCAGTACTACGGTAGCTATTACGGTAGCTACTACCCATCCTACTACGGTGGATATGGATACGGTAGCGCCTACGGATACGGCTACAGTGGATATCCCTACTACGGCTCTGTTTATGGCAAACGCGAGGCCGGATTCGCCCCCAAGAACTGAAGAATCCGAAGATTCCCTTGTAAATGTCCATCGATTCCGACATCAAAACCCACACGAGTATTGATTTTTCCGTATTACAATAAATCATTGTATGCAACTTTCCTTGATGTTCACGTTAAAAACATTATAAAAAGAAGTTCGAAATTCAAGGGGCTGAAAAAAGTTTAAACTTGGCCTAAGACATCAAATAGTTCATACTGAAGGCATTTCTTTAGAATGAAAATTACGATTTGAAGTTCAGATGAAAAATAATGCTTTTTTGACTTTGAAATAATCGGTTCAGTTCGAAAATCGGGTCCGAAAGAAATGGTTTCAAACTATGAAAAAAACATCTAAATACCAGTTTTAAGGAGAAAATAATCAATAAAGGTTTTAAATTTATGAACTTACATTTTTTTATTATTATATAAATATACTTGCAAATTTCTTTCCTTACAACCTACATCGAATCCAAAAAGTTTCACTTCGTTTTTTTCAAATAAAAAGGACGTTTCTTTCTGAAAATATCCACTACAACATGGTTCATGTAAAAAAACGGCCAGGATACGTTTCATTCGGGCTATAAAGGTACATTTTTCATCGAAGCCGACAATTTCAACTGCGCAATAGCCTTGCCAAAACTTGGTAATTTACTTTCTCGCACTGATTTTTATTGAATCTTACAATAAGGTTAAAAAAAAGCGAGGCTTTGAGCCTTTTCCAGCTCGTAAAAGTCACATTTTCGTTCTTGAGCAGTCGAAATTTCATATAGAAGTGCGAAAATATTACTGCTCCTAATACATTTTTCTTAAAAACCGTTTCAAGATTCAACTTATTTCTGCTCCAGTCTAACCAATTCCACGGCGGCATCTTGTCTCAGCTCCAAAACATGGAAGATTCAAATTTCAGGCATTTTTTGAAACTCAATAAAGCTGTTTTTTCTTCTTTTTTTTTTGCTTCGAGCTGGAAAGAATTAACTCTTCAGTATAGAAAAGAAAAAAGTTTCGCTTTTTTTAAAAATCGCTATTTTAAATCTGTTTTTGATTTATCTCTATTTCACAACAAGGTCCTACCCATTTTTGAAATATTGGAGGATTTCTCATTTCTATAACTTCAAATCCAATTTTCACTCTTGAAACTTGAAAAAACAACGACCACATTTCACTACAAGGTTCAATCTATTTCCGTAGGAAGGTAACCAGTTTGGCGGCACCTTTTTCACAGGTACTCGCGGTTCGTTTGAACAAGCGCCAAGAGTAACTAAATCCGTATGGGAGTACAGGCAAACAACTTGGCGGTATCTTTTGCAGGGGAAAAAAGATTGACATTATTTGAAACTTTGTGGAAGTGGAAGGGAATGAGACATTTTATAAATAGAAGGTAAACAGTTTGTTCGAGAGAAAGCTAGGTGTTTTATTTGATTTGATTAGATCGAAGGGAAAATCTCGAGTGGTAAAAAATCCTCTTTTCATGAGAAGTTTCTTGTAGGAGAGGTTATAGAATCGATAAATTTTTATAGTGGGATTCAAAAAGGGAAAATAAATTTCTTTTTTTTATAAACGAAATTCCCAGGAACTCAAAATAAATCCAGCAAGATGTAATTAATAAAAATCATGTTCTTGTGTTCGTGAAACTTTCAAATCTATTTTTTTTCTTTAACATGTTTCGAAAATGCTAAAAAATTGGTTTTTTTCCCTAATAAAAAAATGATTTTTTTGTGTTGCGTCAATAATAAAACCTAACAGTTCAGTAAAATTCGCAAAGCACCTTTTTGTAGGTTTCGACGGGACACTGAAACGGGAAACCCAAGGTTCGTGGTTTTTTTTTCAAGTAATCCCAAAAAAACGCATATTTTTGAAGATTTTTCAACTGATTTCAATCGATTCCCAGGTAACAAATCCAAAAAAAAAAGCTTGAAAAGCTCAAAAATTGTCTGGAAAATCTCTAAACCATTGAAAAAAGCTCTAAATTCTTCAATTTAAACTCACTGCGGAAGCATCCTGTAGAGCAAAATGTCGCTTTTCTTCTTCTCCTCGACCAATTCCTTCATCCTTTCTTCGACCTCGTCTTCCAGGCTTGACGCGTGCTTTTTCCAAGGCCGAGAAGACGTGGTCCATCAGGGTTGGCGTTCCTAAAATCATTATTTCACTTTATTTTTTTTTAATTATTACAAAAATATCTCATAATTCTCCACGAAGACTATAGAGCATACAGATTTTAAACATGACCTTCAATTTCTCCTAATTTTTTTTTGAACGAAGGAGTCAAGAGTTATTTAAAAAAAAAAATAAACACACCATTTCTACACTTCACAACTATTGATCCAATTTTGTGGATAATTTGCTAAAAAAAATCAAAAACTGTAAGAAAAAAATATCCACAAGTTGACCTAAATAATAGAAAAAAACACTATTTTCACCTAAAAACTGACATTTTTCTCAAAATTTGTAGGTAACTCGACCACTAGAAAATCAGAACTTTCCACCTATAAATCTGCATTTTTCAACTATTCCTCAACTTTTTGAATTTTTTCAAGGCCCCTTAATTTTTTTAAAATAAGTAAAATTTCCCCAATAACTTTCAATTTCACAACTTTTTCAAGGCATGAAAATCAAGAATCTACGCCAAAAATTCTTCGAAAAAAATCCAGAAAACTATTTTTTTCTACATGTAGGAGCTACTGACTTTTTCTGTCAGTTTTTTTCTCAAAACTTTCAACTTTTTCTTCTGAAATCCCTAACCTTTTTTTCTTTAAAAGTTCCTTATAAGATCTCTGAAAAAAACTCCCCCCCCATTTTCCCTCTCAAAACCCAACCTGCCATCGTTCATATTCCTCATCAACTTGTTGATCGTCTCGATCGAAGGCCGATTTTGTGGATTTTCCTCCCAGCATTCTCGAATCAGGTGCCCCTGTTCAGTAAAAAATTAACTTTAGGAACTAGTTTTCCTAAAAGTTACCAGGCCAGGGTTCAGATCTCCTTCACGCATGATCAAATCGGGTCGGAACGATTTGCCGCCTCTTTTCAGCATGAATACGATTTCTGGGAGGAAGAAATGAAGACTTGAGATGAAGAAAGGGTGAAATGGTAGAAATCAGTTTGAAACAAAAAAATTAACTTTATATCAAACTACACACTTTGAAGTTCATTACTTTACCGAATTTCAATGGTTTCTTCAGTAATCTTACAATGAATCTCCTCATCCAAGCGTGATTATAATAAAAAATCACGGAAAAAAATAAAAATGAACAGACTTTTCATAAATAGCTTCATATTGCTCAAAAATTTGAGATTTTTGATCACATTTTCTCAAAATTTTATTCATCAAAGCCCATTTTTCTGAATTAAAAACTCATTTTCCACTTTCTGATCACACAAACCCACCGTCAACATCTTCCTTCCGGTTCTCCAGATCCCAGGCCGACGTCTGGCCAACGAGTTCCGAGCAAATTATTGCAAAACTGGGAAAAAATCAATTGAAAATCCTCATTTTCTCTAGAAAAACCTGAAACAAATCGCCTTCCCGAGTTCCCTCCGCACTATCGCCTTGCCTCAGGATTTCCGGGGCCGTGTACAAAAGTTCTAAAAAGTTTTTATGTTATATATTTTTTCAAGGATTCTTTTCTGAGGCTATCGAAGGAACATTAGATTTCGAATGATAAACCCCTACTTACAAAAATTTAGAAATCATACAAAACGAAAAAAAATAAATCGTAGAAAACTTTCTCAATGAAGGTCATGCGCCTTTAAAAATCCCAAAAAATGTCGAAAACATAAAATTAAAAGAAGCTCAATGTGAATATCAAAAGAAAAAAGCAATAGAATAACCATTCTCAGTTCTTTTCTCCTGATCCTGCAGGAAACTCAGGCCAAAGTCGGTGATTTTGACCTGCCACCGGTCGCTGATCAAACAACACGAGGAGGTCAAACGGCCGTGTTTTCCAAGTTGTGAAGAATGAAGGTAGGCCAGACCCTAGAAAATTAATAAAAAATGCAAGATTTTTCTCCTATGTTATGTGCAGTCATGCTTGGAAAGCACAAGAAAATCAAAGTAAAAACCGTTAAAAAAAATTCTCTAGAAAATGCAACAAAGACAGGACAAAGCAAAGGTCTTGAAGCGAAGTTTGGTATACGATATTTTTTCAGAAAAAAAGGGTATGAGGTGTCGTCTGAAGGGTTGGTAACAGTGATAAAGTCGAAAAAAGTTGAGGAATTATGAAAATTTTGAAAGAAAGGACCACTTAAAAAATTTTATTTGGCTCCTTTCAACTCAAAAATCTCATGGTGATCTTTAAAAGTTGATTCGAAAAAACATAATTCTTGAAAATTGCAGAAAAAATGACGACTTCGTAGTCCATTTGAATGAAAATTGGAGAATTGTTGTAGCATAGAAGCTCAAACTTTGCCCCTATAAAGATCACTTTGGGAACTTTTTTTAAACATTCCTTTTGACCTCTCTTTCAATAGAATGATCTCTACACAAACGAACAAAAAATCGCTTGAAGTTTTCAATTTTCCTTTTCTCTTTTTATTCTTGAGCATGACCTTTGAAGTTAACAAACCAATTTGTTTTTTAAATATCCTTTTCCGCCCCTCAATTCAAAATCGCGTGAATAAAAGAAGCTCCATGACTCAAAAAATGGCCTTTTCCTCTCTCAAAACAAATATTTTCTCCTCTTCTCTGGTCATTAAAACGAAGTCCTACATTAATACCACCACCCTCAATTTCCGACTATCAAGAAAAAAACAAAAACAAAAAGTACTTTTTTTCTAATTTTTATTTTTTTAATAATAAACTAAGATTTTTGGCTTCTTGTAAACTTACACTGGCGACGTCCTTTATCAGGCAATAAATGAAGAAGCCGTCCATATTTATCGAACTTTTGCGAATGACGTCCTGAAACCCGAAAGTAGAAATACAGTAAGACTACAGTAGTGCAGACTTTCAGGCTTCCCCGGGTACAGTACCGCCAGATGGACATACAAGTCGGCGCGTCGATGCACATCCCGATGAAACGGTTCAGGTTCTCGTGCTCCATCGTACGCATCTGCAGTTTTTGGGCTAGGTTCAAGGAAAAGTACACGTTTTCACAATTTTTAGATTTTTGGATCGTTATGGTTCATTACCGTCATCTTTTCATAGATGGTCCCTATTCTTCGATTTAGGTCCCTTTCTCAACAATTTAAGTCTGCTCGGACATGGGTGACGCGAAACGGAAGTGTTCCGGACGCTTCTGAGCAACTCTAGAGATCACATAAGAGCGCTAAGGCTACTAAAGTGGTCACTAGAAATGCCAAGTAACGTCCGATTCGCGTCCGTTTCGCGTCACTAATGAATCAGAAGTGAATCAAAAAAGGTGTAGTTTTCGTCAGTCCTTTTCTAGATTTCCTAAAAAAAAGAAATAAAACTTTGCTCAACTACCAGCTTTCAACGTCAAAATTCCTAGACTCCATCAAAAATCTTTTCTGTAGACTTCAAATTTGATCAACTATTACACATTTTGCAGAAGTATCTGAAAACGCGAAAACCTTGGAAAAGGTTTTCGGCTAGGACTTCATTTATTGAATATTCACGATCCTTCTGAAGTTTGAGGGTGTATCTTCGTCTAACAGTGTAAGTATTTCAATTGAATAACTCGAACGATATTTATGAACGCTCTCTTTCATTATTTATCTTCTTAACTCTCACAAAATTGAACGACCCGTCTAGGGATCACTTTTTTCCCTCCAACCCCTATAGAGGCCACTCGAGCTTTAGGGGCTGAACGGTCAGGCCCTAAATCCCTATAGGGACCACCTAAATTTCACCCCTTCAGGAACCACTTTTTCGCCCCATATGAGGGCTTTTTGTTATCCTAACCCCTACAGGGAGCACTCTAAAATCTAATAATCACCTCTCTCAGCCTCGACCTGTCCGATTGGAGCAACATTACACGAACGGGATGCTTTCTGGCGGCCACAAATTCGTTCTCATAGATGAAGAAGGCGTATCGAGCCGTTTCGGCCTGTCGATCAAAAGTGATCCTTGTCGAGGAAGTGTGGGCCGTGGCGCCGCTTTGTAAAGATCGGCTCGAGTGGATTTCTTGGGCCTTAATGGATATATGAATCTTGAGAAATGGAGATTACTGCTATATATACTGGGCATTTTTTTTAAAGTTTAAGATCAATAGGGAACATTTGAAGCCTATTCAAAATTGAAATTCCGGAGCTTCCAAATAAAAGCTCGCTAAACTTCGCAACAATGCGCAAGTCGTTTCAAAGTCGGGTGCAAGAAACCTTCTTGCTGCTCGCGACGATCGGCTTTAACATAATTTTCGAAATGTGCCAAAGATCATCCAGCCGCTTTTGTTCGAGCTTTCGTGTCCTCAAAATAATAACTCATCGATTTATATCTCTCATTTTTTCATTCGCCACGACTCGGACCTGTCTTCGCCCTCTTTTCCCTCACTGACAAAATGATGAGATCATGAAAATAACTCGAAAAAACGAGAGAGCACCGTGAAATAAGTTTTGGCGAATGGGGTGATAATAAATTGAAAATTCACTTAATAATGCAATAAATGGCCAAAATCGCCGCCACCAAACAAAGAGCAATGATGAAGCCAACAATAATGACGACGAATAAATAATCGACGAAAAAATTGATTGGACAGTTGGTTCCTGGAAAAATTATGGTTTATTCAAAACTATCCACCTTTTTTAAGTTCTGTATGAAGAGTTATTCAGCACAGAATCTTCCTTGAAGACTGAATAAGAAGCTATTTTCAGCTAGAATTTAAATAAATAGGCCAAAATTACTCGATTTTTCGACTTTAAAACTTTAATTTACTGATTTTACAATTCTTGAAAAGCTAATCTGGCTATCATAAGGTACCCTAAAACCTATTTTTCTCAGAAAATATTAATACCAGTGAAGCCGCAAAGAGGCCTTGTCAACGGCTGATTTCCACGATAAGCGTCCCAAATCAGGCCTTGATCTTCAATGGCGTAGGTCCAGTTCTGAAAAAGGATCCAAAAAATGGAGTCGAACTTTTCAAAACGCAGTGCGGAGCTTCACAGTTTCTCACAAGGGAGGTCATTTTACTTTGCGATTTGTGAAAGTTGTCCAGAACACCCCTTGATGTACCAGAAGAAGGTTCTGAGAACCTGTGAAACTTCCTCGTTTTTGAGAAAAGAGACTTCAAAGGGAACCATCAAAATCCATAAAAATGGGCTATATTGAGACTTTCAGGATCTTCATGTTGTACATCGAAAAGTGTTCTGGGCAAGTTTCAGGATATTCCCAGCCGGAAAATAAAATGACCTCCCTGTCAGAATACTTTGAGGCTTACAGAGGGAGGATTTTTATTGGAATTCGTTTCTGATTTGTTTTTTCTCTTGACAATCTTCTACTAGTTTTGACCTCACCCCGAATAATTTCCCTTCTTTTAAACTTAACCTTAAATACTTCTGTCTTTTTTTTCTCTATGAAACCCACCACTAATCGGCCATCAATCGCCAAAGTCGCGACAGTTCTCTGAGCCCCAGTCGAGTCCAAATTCGCCAGAATCATATTCGGCATTCTCTGACCATCCTCGTTCATTCTAACTTGTCCCGACATTCCTTGAAAATCCCTTTGAAAAAAATTATATTTCCTAGAATATTTACTAAAAAATGCTTGAACTCATGAAAAATCATATAAAAAAAAGCTTAAAAACAAGTGTAATTTCTTTATTTTTGGGAAAATCCAGTTCGATTATCAATGGAGCACATATCTTTCTACAATGACGTCGTCTTCCTGGCTTTTTAGCATTTTTTAAAACAGACTTTCGATAAAATTTTCCCCAATGAAGGTTATCGTCTCCATTTTTTCTCCTACCATCAAACTCGATAGCCGTCTTGACGAGAAGCCCACTGCCATTTCGAATACTCTCAATATTTTGTTCTTGAAGGGTTCGATTCAATATCAAAGCATATAAGTAAACGGTGTCATGAAGTTGATCAGCATATTCGGCGGCCTGAAAAAAAAACTGTTAAAGATTAAAATCATAGGAAAAAAAGAGCCGAGAAGAAAAAAAATGTTAAAAATCAATCGAAAACTTTGCGCGAGTCCAAATCGCTCATTTCGAAAACAAAAAAATTGAAGCAGGAATTTCTCATAAAATGATTATCAAAGTACCATTTTTGGCATCCGGGGCTCCGCAGCTCCGTTTTTTAACCAGGGAAACTTTTCACAACACAACAAAAATAAACAAAATGCAAAAAATACAAATGATGAACTTCTTGATATTCATGCGCCGCGCACTCCTCGACGCAGAAAAATGGAGCGACTTTCATCCTTTGGACGACTTCTTTTTTGAAATCGGCATATTCTTGTCCCTCTATCGGTGTGGCGACAAGCTGAAATATGACTTTTTTTTGCGACATCTGCGGCAAAATATTCAAACTGAATCTAGAATTGTATCTTAAAAAGATGCAGATAAGGAACTTTTCTGAAGCCAAATTTATAAAAAAAATATATTTCTGGGCCAAATAAACCTCTTTTTTTATCAAAATAATCAGCAGAATTTTTGAAATAAAATAGGATTTTTCAGCCTTTTTTTCTTTTCTATTTTTTTCCCTGAACTTCTACGAGTTCTCAAAAAAACTTCTTCATAGAACTTTCTGAAGCTTAAATTTTTTTCAGCTCAACAAAAAAATTTTTTTAAATGATGGAAAAACCCTAAAAAAAAGTCAAGAAAGTGACCAAAACTGTGAAGACGACTTCTTCATGGAAAACCCAAACAACTTTGTTTTTTTTTCATTCCAAAACCCACCACCATGGTTCTGAGAAAGGCCTTCCGGGCGTCTTCGTCCCGCCCGTCGGGATTTTTCTCCCAGTCGACCCAAATGGCGACGACCTCGCCGCTCGACGAAGTCTGCTCTAAATTGCGCTCTAGAAACGCTCAGGATCAGTATTTCCAGTACCCGTCGCGTTTCTCCTTTTGTTTTTGGGGGTGCCACCGGCCGCAGAATCTCGTCCTTTTGCGGTTGCGAACTCGGAAAATGAAAAAAGTTACTTGAAAAATATTGACTTTTGTTGTCAAAATTTTGACCGAAATTCGCTTAGCCGGTTTGCACCCCCAAAGTTTGATTTGTTACTCAAAAAAAAAGTATAGAAAACTATTTATGAACCTTTCGAAACTCTACTTTCACTGACCAGTGTTCAAAATTTGAATTTTAAATGGCTTCCTCCCGCACCTTGAAATAATCACGTTTTTCTCTGTTTAGAGAACTATGATTCAGAAGAAAGGTTATTAGGACCTCTAAATGCAAAAGAAAAAAAAAAACTAAAACATGTTGATTTCAAAAAATCGACTGGGGAAATTTTAAGTGGCCACTATAGGGTTTTGATGTTTTAGTGACCACTACAGTAGTCAAATTAGTGGCCACAAAATGGGTTAAAAATTAGTGGCCACTATAGAGGTCTAAGTGCTACGACTAGACCACTAGAAATTTTAGTGGCCACTTTAGGGGTCAATGGATCGAAATAATCGGTCCAGTTTATTTGTTTTACAATTATCAGAGTTGCTGGAAGGAATACTGAATGAAAAACTACTGAAGTGGCCACTATAGAGGTGGGTTTTGTGGCCACTTTAGTGCCCTCTCCATGTAGTCCTTGGCGAGCCTCTATAGTGGCCACTTAAAATTTTCCCAGAACTCGTCAAAACTATCATAACTCTTGTGATAAAGTATAACTAAATTACGAAATTTTTTTCAAGTTATAGAACTCGTGAATAGACTCGAACTGTAATAAAACCCAAGTTTAAACTTCAGCCTTTTATGAGTTTAAAAATCTTGAAACTTCAGATTTTCTCTTCGTTTTCCTTGAAAAGATTCTGAGAAACTTAAAAATCTCTTCTTACGATAGGCGGTAGACTTGGGGCCGGCGAAAAGGTACAAATATTCGTCGTTGGTCATCCCCAGGTCGTGAGCCTCCAACATCAACGTCCTCTTGACGTTCGGTCCCGTTTCGGGCATGCACAGGACGAATACTGTAATTCTTCCTACAGTACTCGAAGAAAAAGGGTTGAAGATTTCCGAGTTTAGAAAAAAAAATTGTGAGTTATTCAAATGAAACAAGCAAAAGTCTTGAACGGTTTTTTCAAGCATCACTTTTAGATTTTGTGCATTTAAGAGTTAGGATTCCGAAAAACTATTGCTTCTTAGTAACTCCAGAATGGTCCGAATAAAGGCAACGTTAAGGGCCCTTGAAGGTCTCCTCTAGGAACCACTTTACCAACTACTATAGGGGCTAATGAAGTTTGAAAGAGTTGCTCCTAAAGGGGTCTTAGTTAGAGGTCCCTATAGGGGTCATGCTAGTCGATAATTTTCTTGAACTCTATGCAAAGAAGCATTTCCATGTGAAAAACTGAATAAATAGGCGTTTTTTTTTGAATAAAAATGGAAGACCCCTATAGGGACCACTAAAGCTTTAAGGGCTAAGTGCTCAGACCATAAACCACTATAGGGGCCACCTTGATTTTACGCCTATAGGGGCCACTTTTTCGGCCCCTTAAGGGGCTATTTTTCCCCTAACACCTATAGGGAATACACTGGAATTCTTAAAGTTGGCTAGCGTCAAAATTTTGAAAAGTCCTAGGAGGACTTAAAACGATGAAAATTCAAGATTCACTTCTGGAGACGCTTTTCAGCTTTTCCAGTTGCCGACGAATATTCGCAGTCGACAAATCGGTGAGCAGAACGACTCTGGCCATCGTCGTGTAGTTGGAATCCGAGGTGAGGGCCTGCTGGACATTGAGAACACGTGGATTTTTGGCTTCGAGCCAACCTCGAGGTCCTCTTTAAAGTACGGACATTTTTCGTCGTCGACGTAGATGTAGGAGAACTCGGTCCACTGGAACTTGAGCATCGTCTCGTAGATGCCGACCGAGACCCTGGACATGGAAAAAGTTCGGGTTTTCGACAAAATTGGAATATTTGAAGGGGCACTGGCAAGCTTATTAAACAAGGATTTTTTTAATGTTTAAAAAGATCGAAAAAACCGTGAAGTGTATGAACATAGATCCAAAAAATTGAAAGAAAGCCTTATTTTTGAATTTTCTAAACACTTTTCCTTATGAAACTTCAAAAAATCTTTGATATTCACGTCTGAGAAACTGGAGAAATAGTGATCGAAGTTGGATATCTTTGCTTGTCCAACAGAGCCGAGGCGATCGTCAGACCCCACGTCAAAATGGCTGTATTATAAAAGGCGGCCAGATTCGCCACAGAAAGAGCGGCTGAAAAAATATATACATTCAAATTGAATTGAAAAAAATAATATAAAAATCTGTCCAAAAACCATTACTTCGGTAGTTAAAGGCACGGAACGACGAAAAAAAAAAAACGAAACTTTCTTGAAAATTTGTCTATGCGCCTTTGAACACCCTAGCAAGGACTTGTGGACATTTTCCTTTCTCAAAACCTGCATTACAACTAGGGCCAATAATCGCGCTGACGTTGGCATCGATGAAAAGTTGGGAAGAAAGGCCGGCGGCTTTCGATTCGATGCAATCGTCAATCACGTAAATAAAACTATAATTTCCATATTTATATCAATTTGAGGTCTACTTTTATCAACTTCAAATAAATATCGTCGATAAGGTGCTCTTTTTTGATCCGATCAACGGCGATTTCAATCGCCGACGCCGAATTTTGCCATCCGACGGCGTCGGCCATCGCCGGATTGTTCTTTGACATCATCACACCAACATCCACTCGTGTTGTTTGTCGAGGATCGTTGGTTTGAACTTGGGATAGGAATATTCGACATGAAGAAAGAAATAACTGAAAAATCAAGCTTCAAAGCAATGAAGAAATTCAAGAAAATACAAACAATAAAGAAAAAAAAATGAGAAAGTAAAGTATATTTCCTTTTACGGCCTTTTACCAAATAAGATGCTACTACTCTGTAAATTTCAAACTCACTTAAAATTTTTATTCAAGATTATAGTCAATTGAAACATGTTTGAAAGTTTACAAAGAGAAAAAAAAAATTAAAATCTTAAAACTGAAACTTTTTTCTTAAAGCAGCGCTAAAATGTGTTTCAAAGCGGCATCCTTATATTTTCAAAACTTCTGAATGAATTTCAAGACGGAACTTTCTATCAATAAAACTTCGAAAAAGTTTAATGAGAAAAACGAAAAAAAAAACCCATTTTTTCAACTTTTGCGCGTAGGTCTTGTCGCTTCTTGTGCACTACACAGAAAGCGAACACAGTAATTAAAATGGCTTTTTATATTTTTTTACATTTGTTTTTTTCTTCACTTCCTTCCCCATAAAACCCTTTTTTAGCGCTCAGTTCAAGTTTAAATCAATTGAAAGAACTCACAAAACTCGTAGTGAACCACCGATTCGTAGGCATCACGCCGACGAGACTGCCACTGCATTGAAGCCATTCTCCTGGATCTCCGCTTTTATATACTTGATAAATAGAATCCCTACTGGGTCATCCCCACCGCAGTTGAAAATTTCTTCATTTTTTCAGTATGCACCGTTGTTATGGAAGATTTTCCGAAGGCAATATGCCAATGACGGGTTTCTTCCCAGCGGTCAAGCGCCTAGATAGTGATTCTGATAATCATTCAGTAGTATTCTTGAAATTGGAGGGTCTTCCGTGACTTTTGAAAAAATTTTCGAAGAGTGTCTGAGAACGATGTTGTATTGATTCAATGGATTAAGGCAAAAACTCATGAAAACAACTTTTTTCATTTTTAAACTTTTTTCTTAAAACTGATATAAGGATCTTTCTTTTTCAGAAAAAGCGAAAACTGAAAGTAATATTCAATATTATTAGGTTTCAGGTACATCAAATTGAACAAATTCCAAAAAAAAAAGAAAAATAAGAGAGTGATGACGAGTGAAGAGACTTCAGAAAAGTAAGGAATCTCTTTTTCTCTGGCGTCTCTTCAAGCCGCGTCACTCTCTTTTCTTCGCAAATTTCGTGCTTTTTTTTTGAATTTTCACTACCTAAATTCTTTGAATATTCAATAAAAGTTGAAATTTTTCAAATCTGTTCAACTCCAAGACCTTCAAGGGTTTTCGGATTTTTGATTTAATTTTTTTTTTTCCGATTTTCAAAACCTTTTTTCTTTCACATAACTTTCATAAGTAGGCAAAAGATGAATTGCCTATTTAAAAAAAAAAGAAAAAAAGAAAAACGATTAAAGCATTTATTTCCATTGTCAAGCCGAGCGCGATGCATAAAATTTGTACATTACTGACAAAGGAACCCAACAAATTGAGTGTAAAATATATGACTAGAGGATGGTTTCAATTTAAAACAATTGATATTGGTCGACTTTGGGGGTTTCTCGGGTGGCGGATTGAAGAGGGGAGGTCAAAGTCGTCATCAATTTGGTCAGTTGATCCGACTTTTTCACGGCGAACATGTCGCTCACGATTCTGCAAATGGTAAATTTATAATTTTTTTACGCTCAATATATAATTTTTTTCTACAATGAACCTTTATTTTTGGATCTACATTCAAGGATTTGAGAGAGAAGTGATCAAAAAAAGCTGAAAAAAATAATTTCGTGAAAAAGGGTCCTGAAACGATGAGCATTTTTTTACTGTTTTTCTTTTTTTGAAAAGTTATGTTTTTCAATAGGTTTCTTATGTCTAAGAAGTTCCTCGAAACGAAAAAAGCGCAAAAATCGGCTCATCGCCTCGAGACCTTTAAGAAATTCGCAAATGTTTCTTTAAAAAAATTTTTTTAAGGCAAACATTTTTTTCCTACCGCATTCTTCCCATCAGAAAACCTCACTGCAAAACAAGGAACAGATTTTTTTCCCGAGATTAGGTTCGAAGCATTCGGCTTTAATTTAATTGTTTTGACTCATCTCGGTGAAATTTCTTGATAGAAAGAAAAAAATGAGGAAGTTCAGTTCGTATTTTTACAGAGATCATTTTTGAAAAAAAAAAAAAAAAATGAGTTTCTCTATATCAAGAAAAAACTTGAAATCCCTACAGTATTCCAAAGATTTTCTTCCATTTCGCTGCAGGACCCATTTTTCTATCTTGGGCTCATTTTCAGAGCCCCTTTGGCAGAGAAACCTACAAATAAATCATCTGTATTTTCAAAATGAAGTGGAGTCATAGAACTACAGAACTTTTTTCATTAACGTTCAAAATGTGTCTTTTTCCGGCTTTTTTCTTTTTTGACTATTCTTTTCTATTTAAAACCAACCTATCAGCGACTTTCGACTCCTCGCAACTCAAAACAGAGATTCCCATCGAATAAAGGAGCTCGTAAACCCGTTGCAAAGCCGCGTTATCGGTTTGAACATGGGCGAAAATCTGCAAAATGATTATCACCAATCTATCAATCAGTTTTGATCTTTCCGTTCTTCCTGGTTCTTTTTTTTGCTATTATTTATTGTTGGTGTTGCAAATTTGGAATGTGTCAATCAGATGATAAGGGAAAAATGATTTCTTTGATAAAAAGGGAGAAAAAAGAAAAAGAATAAAGTTTGAAGGAATCAATGAAACCGAACAGAGTTCAGAGTATCATTCAGGCAATTTTTGGGGAAAAAATCAAGATTTTCTTAAGAAATTTGAACAAATTTTTCAACTTGGAAGACCTATTTTTTTGAGTTAAAATATTTTTGCTTCGATATAATTTTAACCTTAAAGTAATGCTTCTTTAAAAAGTACTCACGATTCTCTCTATTCTCATTCTATATTTTTAAAGATAGAATGAAACAAAAAAATGTAAAAAAATCACATGAAACTCGAGAAAGATGCATTTCCTCCGCGTCGAAAAAAAGTCCTATTTCGGCCCAAAATTTCATCATTTCCTTGAAAAACGAACCTTAGCCGACTTGGTCTCCAAAATCGGATCGTAGAGTCTCAGAGAAACGTGCTGAGAATGCATCGGAATTCTCTCGTTCAAAGAAATTATCGTGGCTTTTTGGCAAGGTCTCCAAAGTCGACCACAGCAGGTCGCTTTCTTCGGCTGCAATTTTTCAGAATGATCTAACTTTATACAAACTTCAAAATATATATTTTAAATAATACAAATCAAGAAACTAACCAGTAGTAGCATCGATGATCTCATGGACTTCTTTGATGTTGTTGAGGTCGACATTGACCGAAAGGCGGTTGTAGCTTCGAGCCGCAAGAGTTTGTTGGTGCTGAAAATTGGAACAAATGAGTCAAAGTTCCAAATTTGTGGTGGCTAATTCACTACTTTAAAAAGTCCAAAAGAGTCTCGGATTTATGTTGAAAAGAGTCTTTTTTTAAAAAACCCTCTCTGAATTTTTGAAACGGCGCAAATTGACAAGTAGTTGATGAATAACACCAAGAACCAATCAATTGAAAAATCAATTTTAAGCTCGAAATCCCCTAAACGTTCTCATAAATTTTGTCCCATAGTAAGAATGATTGTTCAAAAAAGGGAATATAGTGATAGTTGTGAACATTTTTCTTTTTAAAAACGTGGATAAGGGACTAGATATTCTCTATATTACCTTCAAGTCGTCGATGAACATCATCGGGATTTTCTGTTCCGAATCGGCTTGGATCACTTGGCGGATGTATTTTTGAGATTGAAGTCGAGGGGCGCAAAGGGCGACTCTTCGGCCGGTCGTGCACACTAAAAGTTTATTGAGTTTATTTTTCAAGTTGAGAGAATTGGTCGTGATTTTTTGCATTCTTCTTTCTTTCAAAAAAATTACGAGTTTTTTCAAGTTCTAAGCTTATTGAAAAATTATAAAGCAAAGCCTGAAGCGTAGACTTTTTCCAAGTTGATCACAAAATCATGAAATGTATCAGAGTCCGTTTTTAAGCAAACTTAGATCTTTCTAGATATGAAAATCTCATGAAGCAAATCTTTTGACTTTGACTTCGAACTTAAAATGATTAAAAAGCCCTCTCGAGTTGTTACATTAATATTTTCCTATCGATTTCCTCTCCAAACAAAGACCAATCGGTGCAAAATGTGTGTGGCCCCATTCGATAGCCGCCCGAACGGCTGTTGTGAACAACGAGGGTGGTATAGGAATAGGTCACGTGAATTTCATGAGGAACCTCCCTTCTTCTAGTTTTCAACAATTATTAAGGATCTCTTTTGAATTAATATCATTTATAAAAATTCTGGACCATCCTTTGATTTTTTTTTCTAAGTTGTCAAAGGAAGCTGGAACCTCTAATGAAAGTAGTAAAACAAAGAAAAAAGAAGGAAAGTTTTAAGATAAGATAAAAAAGTTCTCTCTTTCTGTTATCAGTTATCAGCTGTTGACTGGTTTCAAAACTCCATAACTTTCTCCTAATCTTGAAGCTTTTTCTTGAGTTTTATTCTATTTTCCCAACTCACTAAGTGCAGCCAGAGTCTCGGCGACCTTCCCGCTTCCGATAACAACAGACGTAGCCATTTCAACTCAGAACGAAGTGCACTTTTCCAAGTAGAACACTGAAAACACGAGTTTTCTTGGAAAAAGTGGTAAACACATTCAGAAAACTCCAGAGTAACGAGGCTTCTTGAAGAAGAACGGATGGAAAAAATGGTGAAATTTTTAGGAAGCTGGAAAACTTTGAGAAGCTGAGTACAGATCTATATAATTATGTAAAATAATCAAATGCGATCTTTTTTTCGGGGGTGGGGGAAATTGAAGGATTATAAAAGCATTCAAGGAAGTATAATAAATATAGAACCTTAAAAAAACAAGTAGTATGATTCTATAAGGGTAGAGGATTTCAAAAAAACTCTTGCAGATTCAAGAAGAAAATTTAAAAGAAGCTCAAAAAATTCTTGACTCAAAAATTGATAGGTATTTTCAATGGATCACAGAGATTCCTTCAAAAAGGATAAGAAAACTTTGAAAAAGTTAGAACTGGAAGAGTATCAAAATTCAAGGAGAAGCTCCGCTTCAGGACCATTTTCATGGTCCTTTCGAAGAAAAGCAAAAGGGAACCAAAGTGAAAACCCAAGTGGAAACTTGCTGAACCGTTCCAGGAGGGCTTCTTTTATAGGACGGCTGCAAAAGACGGCACATCCCACGGGCGAATTTCTGACCCCTTGGCTCCGCCCCCAAATGTGGCGCCGAGTGTTCACGTGTTCTATTCCCGGTCTGTCTGAAGAAACGAGGAGAGTTTGGATCTGATTCATACTTGGACCACTGAGAAGCTTCTTTCCAGGACAATAGTTATTTTAATTTTTAAAAAAAAAGCAAATTTAAAAAAAAAACTGTCATTTTTTTCGCTTTGAAAAAAAGTTACCGCAATGGATTTTTTTGAAAAAAATCCCGTTCTGATTTCTTTAATAAACCATCCTTGAATATTTTTAATAGTTTTTTTAAAAAAACTCCTTGGAATATTATTTTTATTAAAAAAAGTATTACACATTGTGTGCACTCCTTAGTGTGTCCAGGAAGTCGAAAAAGAGAAAAAAATAACAGTCTTTAGTTTTTCTTGTTGTAACATCGAACGATGTTGTTGCAAAGTATTACTTTTTCCAAAATCGCGCTGATAAAATCTTCAAAACAATTGGAAGTCTTGTAAAATTTTGATAGTTCGACATATTTGGAAACCTCAGAGCGGTCCCTATAGGGTTTAGGGGAAAAAACAGCCCCTATAGGGGTTGAGGGTCGGACGCCTGACCCCTACACCTTAAGTGGCCCCTAACGGAACTTTCAACTTTTTTTCAGATTTGAAATAAAAAAACGGACTTGATAAATTCATCCTCTGTGGATATTATATTTATTCAAATAATGCTAATTTACGATTTTCAGCATGGAAATGATTCATTTCATAGAGTTCATGTCGCCTATGGCGGACACTAACTAAAACCCCTGAACTGGCCACTTCTCCATGCTCAAGTGGCCCTTATAGGAGGAGGTAATGAGCTCCCTAGAGAGGAATCTTCAAAAAAAACCTGAAGTTGCCTCTAGAGTGGCCTTTCTTGAGTTACGAAGGACGTTTACGATACTACTTCCTACTGATTTGGACCTGAAAGTAAAATTCGCAGAATTTCTGATAGAAATGATAACTCAAGACCCGACTCGATAATTTTTCAGATTTCAAAATCTCTCAGAAAAAATAGCCTTGAAAAAGAAGGTCTACAAGATCATGTGGGCCGCTTTTTTTAAAAGTATTTTCCAAGTCAATCTCCTCGAGTTTCTTCCAAGTTCTTTAAATCTCGATTCAAAATCGGTTTATCAATATCTTAGGCAGCTTGAAAAGGTCTCAAGTGGTTTGAAAACTGTCAAAAACCTCCTTTCGAAATTTTTCAACTCTGTCTTTCATGATTTTTGCTCTCACGACTAGACTGTGCTTTCCAATTTTTGCAGACAAACAGCGTTTTTTGTTCCCACATTATCGTTGTTTATCTGAAGAATGGCCAAGTGTTCAAGTCTGCGTTGTACGGAACGAAAAAAGCTGTCTAGGAATGATAAATGCAATTCTGCAAAATTATCGCTTCGGGCAAAAAACGCAGTGATAGACCTGAGTTTTGCAAAAGCTTTAATATGATGAAGCTGCTGGAAATCAGACTAGGGATAATTGGAAATGAATAAGAAAAATTCGGGAATAAATTGAAAATGAGACAAAATTGAAAATTCGCGAAATTTCTGGCTCGAATTTTCCTTATAAAACTTTTTGAAAAGGCGGTTCGGAAGCCAGAAAAGTTGAAAATTTAATTCAAGTGATGATTGGCAATTTTTTATTGAAGAAATTATTCATTTTTCTTTTCGACCAGAGCTCAGGGTAATTTAACAATGAATTTATTCAAAATCACTCTTTAAACCTCCAGAAATTGATTCTATATAAGTTTATCTCTACTTTTTGTTTTTACACGTTTTATTTATTTTTCCGTTTGGAAATTTCGAAAAAAAAAGCTTTTTGCTTTCAAAACCAAGCAGGATAAACTACGTTTCAATAATCTAATAATTAAAATAATGAATCGAAGCCTGGTTAAGCCACCATCCGCTATGTTCCAAAAAATAATTTACTTTCTGAAAATTACTTTCAACAAAGATCACTTCTCCAGACAATCCGGCAAACAGGACACACCGTTTTTTGTACTCGTATTATCTGTAAAAGTTATCGTTCCACACTTTTGGCGTCACTGCCGCCGCCACCTGGAACCAAAAAAGTAGTCTAGAACTGATAAATGCCGTCTTGCTGAAGCAAAAATCACCGCCGGGAGGGCTAAAGTTTAGGTTTGGGCGACGAAAAATTCAACATCAGGATCGAAAATTGAGGTTTTCCACTTGGAGCTCGAAGTAGAACTCTCTGGGATATTATGGAAAAGTGTTAGCCTAGAAGAAATAAATAAATTTGTAAAATCGCAAAAAAAAAGACTTTGAAACGATGAGCAGGAAAAATGTGGCCATTTTCGAATTTTGGAGATACATTTTCAAGATATTTTTCTAAGAGAAATTCCTAATATTCTTGGAAAAGTTCAAAAAAAAAAATCTGGCCTTATTAGAAAAAACTTCTACAATAACCCTTTATGCATTAGAAAAATCAATTTTCTAGGTTTTCAATACGAATTCCATCCTTTCTCTTTTCATTAAAGTTACTAAACGAAAAAATAAAATTATATCTTTCTTTTTCTGTTCATTCTGATGTTATCTATGCACCTTTCAAATTTTTTTGGAAAAAAAGGAAAAATTTGTGAACTCCACAACCATCTTTCTTGTACAACGAAAAAAATTTTTTTATATACTTTTTGGTTAAAATTTGGACCTTTATTAAATAATATAAACTTGAAAATATCATTTTGATGTTTTTTTCAAGCCAAACTGATCTGTGCAACAACGCTGCAAAACATATCCCATTCTCTTTCTTCTTCTTTTTTCCAAGATTAATGAGCTCAGACAAGTCCAACTGTCGTTTCTTTTGTTTCTGTTGTCCGGGTTTTTCCTATTATCAGCCCTTTTTTTCGGGATGAAAAAAAAGAGAGCAGTTGGCTGTCTGGAGCTGATAAATTGAGCTGAAACAGGAAAATGTAAAAAAAGAAGTTTTGAAAAGAGTGGCGTGATTAGAAAATTCAAAAGTTGGGAAAAAGCTGAAAAAAAGTTTGAAAAATTGTCAAGATAAAAGTTTTTTTAACTGATCTGAAAATTTAATTTTTTGGGGTATTTTTGTGCTTTAAAATCTTTTTTTCCTGGAAGTTTTTTTCACTTCATTTTCCAGTTTCGAACTAAAACCAACCTTTCGAAAATTTCAAAGTCGATCTTTTCCTCCAAATAATGAGTTAGAAACTTCAGAGTGGTCCCTATAGGGGCAATCTTAGGGACCCTTGGAGGATCACCTCTAGGGACCAATTTAGCAACCCCTATAAGGGCTATGAGGCCAGGCACTAAATCCCTATAGCGACCCCTATTTCGGCCCTTATGCGGCTGTTTCTCCGACTTAAAAATCAACTTATTTAATTTTTTTGAGCTTTAATTTCAAAAAGTAAACCTCAGAGTATATTTATTGAATTATTCATTATAGGCACATTTAACCAGCGGAGGGGAAAGGCGATACAATTGAGAAATTTGACTTCTTGGGGTTTCCAGCATTTTCTTCCATTGATCTCCTGCTTCTGGCGAAACCACGACCCGGCCAATCACTCGTTTTCTGAGAGAAAAAAATTATGAGCTATTAATTTTTGATAAAAGGAATATTGTTAAAAACCCTTTTTTCCAAATTCCCACGAAAAAAATACCAAAAACTTACCCTTTACTTAGTCGATCGGTACCTTCATTTGAAAAATATAGTTTTGAGATAAAATTTAAAAAAATGAAGGATCGAAATAATTTTCCGAGCGTTTTGTATGGGTTTTAAAACACGATTTCTTCCAATATCAAACCCAACTAAAACTTCGTAATTATCATCCCATAACTGTTTCGTTAACCTTTTATCAATTCTCACTGGCAAAACTTTGAGTGTGACTACTTACGATGTAGAATCTTTGCGCCCTGGGCGATAACACGCCAGACAATTTTTTTTCTTTAAAATGAAAATCACGAGAGGGCGACACAAAGATGGAACGACCTCCCATAAAACCAGGAAAAACGGATTTTTCCTGTTTCCCAGGCGAAAAATATTCAAAAAAGACATTTTTTGAGTCTCGGAGTATACAAAAGTTAAGTTTGTAGAAATTTTTGAAAATCGGAAAAAAACGTTAAAACTTCTTATTTCTCAAAAAAATTAGTCATTTACGATTTTTTTCCCTTTAAAATTCATAAAGTTCAGAAAAGTTGAAGGTTAAGAGAAAACCCTTGCCTGAGTATTCAACGAGATTCATTTTTTTTACAAATCAGCTTATCTCCATTTTCCCTGTGCCTTTAAAAATTCTCTAAAAAGTTATGAACGAGTTTTTAAATAAAATATAGCTGAAAAAGTTTTTTTTCCAATTTTTGACTTACAAGAAGTATTAAAACTCCATGACATTTGTACATCCCGCGCCAAGAAACATTTTTTCAAGCGCCTCCTGCGCCTTTAAATATTCCTTTTGACTCCCCTGAGGTTACGGTAGATATTGTCAGTTATCTCTTCATTATCGCAGGCAGCTTTTCAGGCTTCAAAATATTAAGCAAGCAATCTTAACTTTCCAATTTTCTTTCAAAAAATGTTTTGCTTATAGAAACCTTTTTCTCTTAACCTCCATGTGCTTTTAAACTTTAAACAAGCTATCATAAATTAACCGAAAATTTCCCCACCTCTCCAGGCCATTTTTATCTTTGATCATTTGAACGGCATGAATGAGCAACAAGGAATCCAGCAGGTCTAAACGATCCAAATCAAAAACCATCTTCTTCGTGAATAATAAGCCGTCGTCTTTTGTCGCTCGGGCGCATTTTCCTCTGGAAAAGTTCATTTTAGACTTCATGAAATAATTTTTTTTCAATTTCGAGATTTTAGCTTGAATCTGAGAAACTTTCGAATCCCCAAAAAGGTAATTTTCAAAAATAAGACCTTGCTAAAAGAATTTAGAGCTTCTATACCGTATTTTGGTGCTCTGAACTCATCCAGGAACTAAAAGTTATCGGATTTCTGCAAGAACATAATGATCGTAAAAAATTAGCACAATGAGACCTTATCTTTTCCACGTTTTTTGGGAAATTTGACAGCTGTCAAACGCTTTTTTTATACATGAACTGTTATCAAGTACGCTGGAACCATTTTACAAGGCCAAAAAAAAGTCTCAGACCACGTTGGCTGATATTTTATCAAAACTACAAGATAACTTCGACTTGAAAATTGAAGGAGAAAGAGAAATAATTTTTTGTATGAAGATACCTTCTCTCGGTTTTGTGTACTTCTAAGACTTTTGAGTCGACAAAAAGGGAGGCGCGGATGTAGATCTCTGAAAAAAATAAGAAATTATCGTTAAAAAAAGATATTTTTATTAGGGAAATGATAAATTCGAAAAATGGCAAATTTTTCCTCAAAAATTTCAGAAAAAAATCAAACGAGAAAAATCAAGGCTGTTGAGAATTTGCAGAAAAGAATCTGCAGAAAAAGTACCGCATTTTTTTGATTAAATTAAAGTGCTTATAAATAAAAAGCTAACGTTGAAAACTAATCTGAAGATAGAAACAAAAAAATAAATGAGAAAAAAAATAAAAACGACGTAAATCTCACTCAAGAGCCAAAACGATTTGCTGTGGCGCGCACATGCCCATGAGTTCCGTTTTCTCATTTTTTTTTTTCTTATTGCCTCTCATTTTAATTTATATTTCTGATAGAACCAACGTCTACATTCATCATCCAATTTCAAGTTCGTTGCCGAACACGAATTGACGACAAGCCGCTGTGCAGTGGGCAAATAAACCAAGGAAATGTCGATTTCTCCGAGATCCTGTAGAAGTTCGTTATTTTTTCGTTATTTTTCCTATAACTACCGGAGCAAAAGCGGGTAGGGCCATTTCAAATTGAGTAAACTGAGAAATCGGGTTGGAATCTATCCAATAGTCCAGTTCTCCAACGACAACCTAAAAATTGACTTATTAAGTTATATTTCAAAAATTTTTACATTATTATCTTCCTTATCAACGTCGCAAAATTGAACTCTTAACAATGTGCTGTTGAATTCCGATTTTTTGACATAAGACGTGAAATATTCATTGAAGAGTGTAGTTTCGCAACGATGAACGCTCAAAGTCGAGAACATTTCCGGGGATTGGGCGGCTATTTCCTGAAAATTTCTTGATGTTTAATATTAAATCAAGCTTTAATCATGGATTTAGACAATGCTGAATTCAGTTCGCAAGGTTTTTATTGTTTTTAAAAGCAAACCTCCCACAAAATGACTCTTTTCCGGCCCATCCAAGACCTTCTTGAAATTCCCTTTACTACGTGCATGACTGCCCGAGACCATCTTGGAATTAAAGATGGGTAGATTTGACATTGTTCTACCTGAAAAATAAGTAGTTTTGGAGGTAATTGAAAAAATTAGAATTTTTTTTCGTAGCTTTTTAGGGTCAATTTTTGAAGAGTGTTTGTTTTATCAGCAGATTTCTAATTGTACAATTATTATATTTCATCATTTTTTTGAGTTTTTTTGAACCGAAAAAAATCACGTATTTCAACGTTTTTTTTTTTCATAGAAGTCCGTTAATCGACGGTCAAATGTTACTTTTTTTCATTTTTTTCCGATCAGAAAATATTTTCTAAAGTTAATATATCACTAAACTGAATATTCTGAACCAAATTAAGAAGTATAAAGTTCGAAAAAAAAATGAGAAATTCTCATTTTTCCCATTTTTTTTTAAAATACCTGTCTTGTGCGATAATTAGTTTTAAAAAAACTTCATCCTCACCTTCCTGATGTAGAAGTTGAAAGCCTCTTCGATTTCGACGTATTCCAAGGCAATGACGAGTTTTGGCTGAGCCGCTTCGGCCTGCGAGATGATCGATATTTCGCGTTCCATAGTTTTTTTTTTTGGTTGGAATGGAAAATAACTGATCAGAATGCCTTTTGATGGAAGGTCGTGGGAATTTTCTCCTTCTCAAAGAGGCATAAAAGGAATTTTTATTGATTTCAACAAGAGATCGTATTTGCATACAACTTGCAAACTTCCAGAAAGCTGTAAAATGCGTTTGAAAACAGTTGATCTTTTATTTGAAATGTTTTTTCAACTTTTGAAAGTCCTCAGTTTCTTACTTTAGAAAATGCACAGAAGGATTGCATAACTCAAAAATGGTCTGAAAACTTTTTTCTTTTCGCCTTCAAACAGTTTGACATCAGTTTTGGAACAATCGGAAAAATTCTGGCTTGACCAAAAAGAAATCGCTTGGATAAAATTTGAAAAAAAAACATAAGCTTTTTCCCCAACTCACTTCTCTTAAAAAAAGAAACTAAATGAAAAAAAAAAATTTATTCAAATAATGGCAACATAGGCTTTCATTCTTAGTTCAACGACCCTTGCCACTGGGGTGCCATTCGATCCATGGAGTGCCGCTGACCAAGGCGACGAGCCACGAAGAAGATGAGGACGGTGGAGGACGACATCTTACGATGGATTTTGGAGGAGAGAAGGTCTTTCGGGTTGAGTCTAGATGGTTCTCAAGGGTAGGACAAATTGGGAAATGGGAACCGACCAGAAGTTCAGGGAAATCTCTCAAGGTCGAGCGCCTTCTGAAACTAGGAATTTTTTTAAAACATGTTTAACCGAGTCCTGAGAAACTTCCATGATTTTCTGGTCAACTCCCATCTTTCCATTAGTTCTATTCTTAAGAACCGTCCAGATCCAACCTATAAAATGGGCCTTCTTCCCTCGAGAATCCATCGGAAGATGTCGTCCTCCACCATCCTCACCATCTTCGCGGCCCTCGTCGCCTCGGCCAACGGCCTTCTCTGGCTCCAGTGGGGAGGTGACGCCAACGCTCGCGCCTACGAATGAGCACCATCTTTCGTATCATTAAAGCTTTTTCAATAAATACTTTCATCCAAAAGGTTGATATCGATCAAAAAAGAAGTATATGGCAATATCAAAAGAAAAGGTTTTCAATATCTTTTTCGCTGATAGTTTTGAAATCGGTTTTTTTTTTTGACTGCCGCATTTTTTTTTTAAGAAAAAGCTGTTTTTATTGTTTTATGCTGTCCTTATGCTTTATAAGTTTTAACTTCCGTATTGAAAAAGCAAGGGCTGCGTGTGGAGGACGACATCTCTCAGTAGAAGCTTCCAATTTTCAAAAAAAAAAAACAAGTAGATTGAAGTATGAGAACTGATCGAAAATTCCCAAAGCTCCATTAAAACAAGCCAAGATTCTCATTCTTCAATCTGGAAAACGATTAGCTTCTGTTATAAAAAGACATCCGATTCTCTCAAGAGTCTATCAGAAGATGTCGTTCTACACTGTCATCGCCCTCCTCGTTGCTTTCGCGGACGGCGGCTTCACCTGGAGCAAGTGGCACAGCAGCCTTGGCTAATGATAATGAGAGCTTCATGGAAGTTGTCGTTTTCGAATAAAATGTTTTCATCTACCTTTTTTGCGGAATATCGTGTGAAATCTTCATTAGAAGTGGTCGCTCTCATTTCGAAGCTTCCACCTAGAGCACGGTCTCCAGGCTACAAGATCCGCTACATTCTGAGCTCGTCAAGGCTCAACTGAATAGACTACGCGTAGAAAAACGAGGCTAAGACCATGCTTTCAACTTGATCAACTACACGTTTGGACTTTTAGTTCGCCAAAGGCGATGGTTCGTTATAACTTCAGAAGTTGTTGTTGACCGCCTAGTCGAATACATCTATGACTAAAACAATAGAATAAATGAATTAAAGAAATTAAATTGAGTACTGAACTATATTCATGTATTTGAAGACTATTTCGTCCCGAATTTTGATATTTTTTTTTCAATTAAAAAAAAGTTTTTGCAAATAAATGTCATTAATTTTGAATTCACGAATTCCATGTTTCCATAAGATAACAAGCGTAATGTACAGATATTTGCAGATATGTCTAAATCTCTTATTTTGACACAATATTCCAAAATTGTGTAGAAGCTCGACCTTGGTGGCAATGACCTATTCACGAAGGGAACGATTTTTGGCATAAGAAAAAAGTTTCTTTTTTGAAGTTTCAATAGGATAATTACCGGTTAGATGTCGTGAAGAACCGGTTTATCGTCTTCAGAAAAAATATTCTCAAGGAATTTTGCTTTCGATGTAAACTACATAGCTCCAATCTTTAGCCATTTTTTTGTTTCGTAGCTGTTCTAGGGAACTAACGACTCTAGAATCGGCATCAAAATTTGATAATAATTTTGGGATGAAATTTTTATTGAAAACGATTCACTAGTCGAAAAATGAAGACGATGCTCAATCGTTTTTTTTTCATCTTCTTGTCCTTTTCGAAGCCTTCTGTTAGTTTTTTGTTTGTCTTTTTTTTTCCTTGGAATTTATGTAAAAACCTTTCTAGATGCCAATATTTATTATAGACGCTTTACTATAAGAAAAAGAAAGGTGGTGTTCATTCGTAGGCACGAGCGTTGGCGTCACCTCCCCACTGGAGCCAGAGAAGGCCGTTGGCCGAGGCGACGAGGGCCGCGAAGATGGTGAGGATGGTGGAGGACGACATCTTCCGATGGATTCTCGAGGGGAAGAAGAAGACTTTTATAGGTTGGATCTAGTGGTTCTCAAGGAAAAGTTAAATTGAAAGATGGGAACTGACTAGAAGTTCATGGAACTTTCCCAGGACTTGATTTGGTTCCCTTTCTTCAATTTGTACTATCCTTGAGAACCGTCCAGATTCAACCTATAAAATGGGCCTTCTTCCCTCGAGAATCCATCGGAAGATGTCGTCCTCCACCGTCCTCACCGTCTTCGCGGCCCTCGTCGCCTCGGCCAACGGCCTTCTCTGGCTCCAATGGGGAGGTGACGCCAACGCTCGCGCCTACGAATGAGCAACAACTTATTATTTTCATCAGTAGAATTCAATAAATCTTGCATCCAGAATGTCTTTATACCACTTAAAAAAAAAAACAAGTATCATTCTCTACAAAAAAACAAACGTTTTGGATTCATAAAGAAGTCCCACAGTTGAGGCTGAGCTGTCATGTGTGATTGGAGGAGCGTTCTTTTTTTTCAAAAAAATGCAGGAACATTTCAGAAATGAGATCCGAAAAACTTGTTTCACGAATTGAAGAAAAATTCTTCCAATATTAAGACGCGCTGGTTTTCAGGGTTAAGGACAAGTGAAAATCGGATCTCACAAAAAAGACAAAAAAAAAACCAAAAAACTGACCTCATGATCATCGTAGTGGATGTGCATTTCCGAGGTGTCGAAACAAATTGTTCATCGATCTGCCGCCGTTATTTTCCACTGGTTTCACTGCCTTCCCCAAACAGCTCTCCGATCCGCCATCTGCCCTATTTGTCATAACGGATCCGCCACACAATGCTCTCGTCGTTTCCGTTCCTCGTTTCGAATCGTTGGAGGACTGTTTTAATTAGGAAATCGGTTTCAGCTGTAGAGCAAATCTCGATTTTCAGATTCTCGCTAGTTCCTCATATTTCGGGTTTCTAGATAAATGTGAGCATTTGAAAGATAAGAGGGATATGTGAAAAAATATTTTTTTTCGAACTGAAAAAGGGGCAATTTTTTCAGATAAATGAAGATACTAACCATCTCAGCTCAATCAGCTCAATCAGCTCAATCGGAGACATCAGAAATTTTGACTTTTGAGGGTCCATAACTTTTTTCACAGACGTGTTGGGCAATTTTTGAGACCAGATTTGGAATCAGCGTGAAAAACTACATCTAGGAAATTTGGTCTCATTCAGATTTCCAACTGCGTCCCGAAACCATTCCCTGGTAAGATCTTCAGAGATTTTTTTCATCCATTCCCTCTTACTTGAAGGATGCAGAAAAAGTGCTGAAAAAACAGAAAAAAACCCTTTCCGATAATAATTTATTCAAAACTTTATTTTCACACTCTCTTGGTATCTATAAAAATCTATCAGGATTGGAAGATTATTCAAGAATAAAATAGTTTTATTTTAAAAACTTGTCGTCGCTTTTACCATGGACACTTTAAAACATATGATCCATAGGTGTTTTTTTCATAGTTGTAAGATTTAATTAAAACATTTGAGAAAGAATTAATGTTCACAAAAAAATCGACTTGACCGAAAAACACAAAATAATCGTCAAACTCCTTGTCAGGAGGCTTAGGAAATCCAGAATTATTCTTTTTCATGTTAACATTAACCAATTGACTAATCAAAACTTTATTACGATTATTTTAAAAATTAGGAAAAGTTTCTAAATGGCCGAGCATCCGCAACTAGTACATTTGCAGGCGCCCGAGCAGTTCTCTAAAAATTTTCCTTTTATGACTTGATAAAAAACTTTTTCTCACCAGAGCAACATTTCTTGTCTCTTGCAGCCTCGCAGCAACTTTTTTGACAGTTTTTGCTGCATTTTTCAGAAGTACAGGAACAATTTTTCGCGCAAGGACATTTTTCGTTCTTACAGTCTGAATTGAATTTTTCATCAAAGAATCGAAGGATGGAACTCACCACACTTGCAGGTCATTTTTTGAAGTTCAGGAAAAGAACTCTTGGTAATTCAGGGTTTTTCGAGTCTTTTATACATGAGACATCACTCCACCAGTAAAAAAACAAAACCATCGTTCTTTTTTGGTCAGAAACTCCACACTCCAAGCTCCAAAGTCGAAAATTCAGTACAAAATGGTAGACTTGCAAAAAAATATTGACACTTCTTTTTGCAGTAGACGAATTTCTACTTTTTATCGACCAAATAAAATAAATAAATAATATAGATATAAATTTTTCATTATGTGCAGAAAAAAAGAATGAAAAAAACCTTTTTAAATATATGAGGGCGTCATCTGGAGCATCGTAACTTTATATAATTGAACTTATTTTTTTATATGATGAAAAAAAGTATTGAGAATTAGAAGTTATGTATATTGTTTTTTTTTTTAAAACGCCCCTCTAAAAGTTTTATGTCGTCAATTGGAGCTTCGTAACTCTGTTTTTTACCTTTCGAAAACAAGAAGTCATGGCTTTTCAACATCTTTTGAAGCACTGTAATTATTTTTTAATTGCTTTGATTTTTTAAATGGAGCGATAATATTTTATTTAGTTGATCGATATGTTAAAAAAGGATTTTTCAAGTAAAAGACTGCAAGGCTTTCAAAGCCACAGTCGCAATCACATCGATTCCCTCTCTCGAATCGTTCAAACAAGGTACAAAGATCAAATTCTCCCCGCCGTGCTTCCTAAAAACGTTTTTTAATCAGTTTTAAATCGAAAAAACTCACAAAAAGTCGTTTTTAAGTTCGATGGCGATTTCTTCCAGGGTTTCTAGGCAATCCGTAGAGAAGCCAGGAGTCACTATGAGTATATTTTTCATCCCGAGTCTAAAAAAGTTGAGTTGAAATCTTAAGAGTAAAAAAAGTGACTTCGCCTGTTGAACAACCAAGTCATCGGTGTAGGGCTTGAGCCATTCGGAATAGCCAAATCTTGATTGGAAACAGGTGCCGATTGGTATATCAAGTCGGAGAGTTTCTCTGAAATTTCAATTTTTTGAAGTTGTCTCGGATAGAGGAAAGGCTTAGAAATCGGAAGTGATAGAACAGCGGTGGCTGGAAGAGATGCCAGAGAAAGAGATGAAAAAACTTACTTTATTAATTCTGTAGTCTTCCGACATTGACTTCCATACGGGTCGCCTTTTTGTTCGTAGCTCAGAGGAATGCCGTGGTAGGAGAATAAAAGCATATCAAAATGGATGGAGGAGTGTTCTTGGAGACTTTTTTGGATCGATGAAGCTATGGAAGATAAAAATGTCTTGTCCGTGTAGTAGGGAGTAATTGTATGGACCGACATCTGATCTCGTTGTTTCATTAGAGCGCGGAAGACCTGAAAAGCAAAAAATAAAACTGCAAAGAGATTTTGGGAAAGGAATATGAAATATAGCTGATTCACGGCTGGCTTATGCCATCGAGAAAAGGGTCCTGCCACGAAAAGAAACGAGGCAGTGCACTGGTTGGTGGAGAGTGCAGACAGGCCACGCCTTTTTGCCTCCCAAGCTAGCCGTGAATCGTCTATAAGTATATCTCGAAAAAAAGTCATAAAAACTTGAAAAATAAAATTGAATAGTTTTTCGAGCTTCAGTAAAGGGTGCCGTGTTCAAAGTAACTTCCACGAAATTTAAATTTATCTCTGATTCTTCGAAATTCGGTTACCTTTATCATTCTCTTACGGATATTTTGAGTTTCGTACAATAACACGAATCGAACCTGATCCTGGCAGCTGGCCATAGTTGTCGCGGAATAATGAGGGAAAAGCGGAATTGAAATCAATCGATCGCAGCCTTGCTCTCTCAGTGCTTGGACTTTTTCCTCGATGCTTGGGCCTCCGAACCGGAAGGCCCAATCGACAATTATATCATCGCGCCTATCGAATCTGAAAAAAATTAAAAGTTTGATAGCATATCTAGTCCAAAAGATCACTTTTTTAAGGAGAGAAATATTTTAATTTCTCCATGGAGCGCAAAATCTCAATTTTTAAAATGTTTGACGGCTATTTTTTCCTAACCTTTTTGAGACCGGAGATTGATTTTCAGTTATTTTTTCAATAAACATTGAAAAAAAAAGTCAAACCTCTCTCTGAGAAGCTTCGATTGGCTTTTGATAATAGTCCGCAATGGCGATTCATCAGTAACTTTGTTCCAAATCGATCCGTACGTTTTTTGTTTTTTCAGAGGTTTAAAAGGGAGGATAAAGAAATGGAGAATGGGACACCATAGGAATCGGGTTAGTTCAATCACCTAAAAAAGTAAATTTCATTTTTAAATAATTGCAAATACCCTTCTGTCATGCAGAAACTCTTGCAAATATCGATAAATGGTCCAATATTTGAGATCCTTCGGCGTTCCTGTGTTAATTAACAATATTCCAATCTTCTTTTTTAACAGGTTCGGGAGCCTAGAAAGACAACTTTTAAAAAAGTATGAAGTTTAAAAATCACCTTTTTGTACTGCGAAAGTAATTGACTAACTTTCTCAGAAGTTAGAAGCTTGGAAGAACTTGAATTCATGGCAGAAAATGATTTGGAGAGAAAACCGGCTTATCAGTGGCAAAATCGATGTCATTTGCATTGATTTTGTTATCATATTTCCGAGAAAACGTGAAAAATTCAAGAAAAAAGAAACTTTATTGATTTATAAAAGGAAAACAGTTGCATTTTTACAAGAATAAATGATTATTTACAAGTTTAATTGACTGTTTAGTGCTTGGTGTGGTCGTCGTGATGCTCGCCCTGGTGCTCATGATGGTCACCACCAGAATGAGCATGATCTCCGGAATGCTCGTGGTGATCGTCGCCGTGCTCGTGATGGTGGTCCTTGTTTCCTGGAGCAGGTTTATTAGAAAAATATTGAATTGAGTTTCTAGTATTTCTATGGTGATTTTGTGGGAGAAATTATCAGAAAAGTATGAAATATTCAAATTTTCTAGAATTTTCGAAAGTTTTAACCGATTTACGACTGGCTTCAGCCATCGGAAAAATGGTCCTGACACGATAATGCCCGAGATAGTGCCTGGCTCATTGAGAGTTCAGACAGGCCACGCCCTCTTAGGCTAAGATTCTAGCTTGAGACGCTAAGAGTCTTAGCGTCTCAAGCTAGAATCGGCTATGTTTAATCAAGTTACTGTACCTACAAAAGTGCCTTTAGCAGCGTTCTAAGCCAATCAGTTTACTATAGTCTGTTCAGATTTCAAATTTCAAGTCCTCGCTCAAGCTCCGCCCCCTAATGGCGTGATAAACCAATCAGAGAGCGAGCCATCTACAGAGCGTTTTCGAATGACGTCACTCTACTTGACATTCAAAACCTGAACGGACTATAACAAGTATCTTTTTTGAGCACCCCCTGACGGTGTAACTTTCGTTTCAGGAAACTTTTCAAATTATTTCAAAAAAAAAAAATGAATTTGCTCGAGGAAAACTGCTTTGAATCCAAAATATAGTACGGTCGAAACATACCGCAATGCTCGTTGTGAGCGCTGCAGACGTCGGCGCAGTGGTCCGGAGTGCATTGGCAGTTGTCGCCGCACTTGCAGTCAGCCTTTTTCGCAGTCTGTAGTTACATTATTTCTAATCTAATTAAGATTTTTATAAATATAAAAAAAATCATTTTTTTAAACACGTAAAAAGCTTTTTCCCCCATATCTATTGTTTTCGAACGCGTTTCAAGTAGAAAGTTGTTCTCTTATCGCACTGCTCGATCTTGATCTATCGCTTTTTCAAAATCGAAAAAAATCATTGATAAGATACACGCATCATGAATGTGTAAATACTGGAATTGTATATTAAAAAAACTGAAAACTTTCTAGAAAAAAATTAGCTTGAAAGTTGATACTAGAATTTTTTTATTGGAAGAAACCATTAAACTCACGTTTTTTTGAGAAACTGGTTCTTTAACTGGATTTCGATTTTTCATCAATTTTTTTGATAATTATTTGATTCATAAACTAATTAAACTCAATATGACCGGTTTCAATAGTTGATTTTGTTTTTAATTTTTCAAAAATTACAGGATTTTTTTATTCTCCAAATTTTCTAGGCATTCAATAAATTCCAATGAGTAGTCTCCTGTATGAATTTGTGACTGAGATGCTCAATCTGGGGCTTTTCGAAATAGATCTTGGTTCCTTAAGGTTCTAACGAATTCTAAAGGATTTAGAAGAGTTTCGAATTTTTTAGTTTGATTCAAAAATCCCAAACTCACGGCACTTGGTCATTTTTGAAGATGGTCGGTTGGAGAAAAGTTGAACTTTCGAAGATGAAACCTCTGTAAGAAGGATGTCCTTCTCAAAGTTCTTTCCCCCTTTAAATAGGACCAAAATTGTCTGGCACCCTACTGCACTTACATAATATTTTCACGAAAAGCGCGAAAAAACACGCCTTCAGGTTGGTCAGAAACTCCAACTACCACGCCTTCTTGATTCCCACGTGCTCTTGTTGACAAGGAGAGGCGATAAGCGAAAAATCAAAGATTTTGATAAAAAGTTGGTGGCTTCCTAACTGCTCAAAATTACTGTAGTTTTACGCTTTGTAATTTTTTTTAGCTAACTGGGCGCAGCGCGAGATTTTTTTTTTCGACTTTGGAACTTTCTTACGGAGCAAAAGGAAATAAACATGGGCTTTCGGGAAAAATCATAAATCAACCGAGGTGGAGGCAATAGAACCATTTATGATCAGGAAATCGGATAGTGCTAAAAATAAAATATTTGGGTGGGATAATACAAAAATGAAGGTGGAAAACAAATTCTAGGTTTTTTTCAAATGATTTCAGTTAATTTCTTCTCAAGTTTAAGCGTGTTTGACTGTATTTTTTTAGGATAGAAATCGTACACATTTTGAAATTTCAAATCACAATAATTTATAGAATTTTTTCAAGCTTTATGTCGTGTTGAGGGTTATTCCGCAAAACTCGAAATAGCCGTCAGATAATAAAAAAAAAAACTAAATTTCGAATAGTCAGAGATAATTTTCTATTTAGCGAAATTTACTTTTTGAAAACGGCATTTTGAAAAAAAATTATTTTTGTTCGACGCGAAAATACAGAGTTGCGCGTGAGAATTGCTAGGTGGTCTGCAAACACTACGCGATTTAATTTTATTTGTTTTTTTTTTTGGTTTTCATTTTATTCAATTTGTTTTTCTTCCCTTTTCGTTTTGTTTTTTGATATTTTGTTTCAATACTTATTGTACGCATGAAGTGAGGAGAACGTTACAAGTAAAATTCTCATCCAACTCCGGATTCTTCAATCCAGAAATCAGATGTGGAACGTTTCGTATACGTTTAAACGGCGTATACTTTAAAATTGCGGAAAATTTAATTTTTTCATTTTCACTGCGACGATTCATCATTATGGACAAATTTGGTTAACCAAAGAACACTAGAAATGAAAAAAATTTTTACGAAATACCGCCTGATTTTTTTTCTGTTTTGTTAAACTTGTCTCACCATAGTTCTTTCTTTTTTTTCATTTCGAAATTCACACATTCTGTTAGCGTGACATGTTAGATATGTATGATCGAATTGCACTATGGTTTCAAAACATTTATTTATTCACAAAAAGAAGAAATTGTGGAAAAATGATTTAGTGAGCGGCGCATTCGCAGGACGAGCACTTGCAGCCGCCCTTGCAGTTGTCTGGAAGATTGAATCAATTGAATAATTTAATTCCGATTCATTTTTTCTTACCAGAGCAACATTTCTTCTGCTGGGCCGTTTTGCAACAGTTCTTGACGCAGGTTTCGCTGCATTTCTGCGAAGTGCAGGTGCAGTTCTTGGCGCACGAACAGTTGCCGTTCTTGCAGTCTGTAAATCCAATATTACTCGAAGTTTTGTAATTTTAGGTAATTAGGATTGCAGGCTCGACTTGTAATGAAAAGGTAAAGCAAACTGAGCTGGAAATAGGGTTTTAAAATTTTTCTAATTATATTTTATTTTTCAAGGAACTCAGGTATTAAAAAAATTTCAAAAAGAAACACATTCTTTTTTTCCTAACTTATTTTTTTAATCACTTTCAAGCTCACCACAGTTGCAGGCCATTTTTCTGGTAGTTGAAGTCGAAACGAAAAGTGAAGTAGAAGCAGAAGAGAGAACCTTAGAAGGTGCCTATTCAGGCCTTATTTTCCCTTTTATACCATTCCTAAAGCTTAAAACTCTCTCAAATAACCGTTATATTTCCACTTTTGTGATCACATTCTGATCAGAAACTCCAAACTTGAAACTCAAGAGGCATATACGTGCGGAGGAGCCTGAAATTTTGGTGATAATGAGTATTTTTGTAAACATGTCGGTGAACGGTTTTTCAAATATACTTTTGACTTTGATCAGAATTTTGAGAGGAAATTTCTGTTTTTTTTTTCTTGAAGCTTTCAATTTGTTTTCCTGGAGCTCATACGGAGATTTTGAGGGTGTAACTTGAATGTTTGAGAGGGAGCTTTTAAAATCTGTATTCGAAGAACTTTTTTTTAAAGTTTTTTTCCTTATGATTTTTTTAAAATTTTTATCAGGCAGCTTCTTCTTGAAATCCAGTTATCTCCATGCTTTCAAAACCACAACTGATGATTTTCTTATTTTGGAAAGGCCCTGATGTAATTTTTACAGAAGTTTTGAACCTCTACTGGTTAAATTTGTCCTATTATTTCAAAATAAGAAGCGTAATTCAGGGTCTCGTACTTTATTTACATAATTAAAAAAAGATAAATTGATCAAAAAAATTCAAAAAAATTTTTGAAGGATCTTGGAAAAATCATTCTAAAAAGTCTGATCAGGGAAGGAAAATGGAAAACTTGTTTCAAGTTCTATATCACGTGTAATTTGGAGCTTCGTCGTCAAGACTGTAAAATTTTCTGATAAATCAACTCATGGATTTTTTAAAGCGATTTTCAGAATGTTTTTTCATTTTTTGAAGCCAAGAAAAACTCATTATTAAACATTTATTCGATCAGCAATCTATATACAGTTAAATAGGGAATATACATGTTTTTCGAAGGTTCGTTTAGTGGGAACATTTGTCCGTGTGTTCGTGTCTGCAGTTGCAAGTCGGACAATTGCAGCCGCTCTGACAGCCGTCTGAAAAAAAGTTAAGGACATTTTTTGAACAATAATCACCTCAGAGGGTAAATAAATCTATTTAAAAAGTTCTTCAAGTTCTATAGATTCCTTGAAGATATCTTTCATATAATATGCATTTTTCTTTTTTTTTACAGTTCAAAAAGCTTACCAGCACAGCATTTCTTGTCCGAAGCGACTTTGCAACACGATCTCATGCATTTTTCGCTGCACTTTTGCATCGTGCAAGTACAATTGTCGCCACAGCCGCAGTTGGAGTTTTTACAGTCTAAAAATAGTTGATTAATACGTTTAAATGATCAAATTATAAAGGAAATTAAGATGAGGAACAGAATTTCAGTGAAAGAGACGCTTGAAAATTTATATTCGAAAAGTAAAGCCTAATTTTAGTGGGGAACTATCAGAGCCGCAAACATCAAGTTGTTTTTTTCTTTTCAATTTTTTTTTTCCGTTATTTCATTGCAATCATTTTATTTTTATTTTTTATTCGAATTATTAGAGCTTTATAAATATATATGTTTTTTTCGAAATTTCGGTTCTGAAGTTTTTTTAATGATAAACCTTTTTTGCAGATTCCGAAAAAAATTTTTCCAGGTTCAAAAAAAGTTTTCTCCAAACGTTAGAGAACGCAAAAAAACATAGTTCATTTTTTCAGCGAAACCTTTCAAATGTGAGCTCAATAAATTTCAAAAATCTTCAAAAACTAATGTCAACCCAAAAACTCATCATTTGTTTCCTAGAATTCACACTAAGAGCCGTGAAATCAGCTGTATCGCAGACCCACGTGACATTTGTTTACAATTTCCTTCTTCCTAGTATTTCTATTCGAATGCAACGGACATCAGCTGCGAGAACTAGGAGATAAACAACTTTTTTTTAAAGTTATTTTTGGCTGCTTCTAATTGAACGAGCGCGAAGAAGTAGAAAATAAACGTTTTTTAGAACTTTATCCCATATTTTTCGATATACGGGTTATCTCGAAGCAATTGAATCTGTTCGATAAATTCAACCTGAGAGTGATTTTTCAGGATTTTTTTTACACACGTATAAAAATGATATTTTTGTAAAAGTGATTCATGAATAAAAATAAAAAAAATCAAAGTGTTGGAATTTAACAATTCTCCACTTGTTAGTTCTAAATTTAGAACGTCTAGTATGAATTTTATGAATTTTCTAATTCATCGAAATCCGGACCATCATAAATGAAGTAGGGATTTTTAAATAATCTCCAAGATTTTGATGATTTTATTGCGAACCCGAAAAATACAAGAAATATCCACAACTACGAAAAAAAAAATCATGAAACCCACCGCACTTGCAGCCCATGATTGTTTCGAATAGAATTTAGCTTTAAGTTATTCAGAAGTAATGAGAAATGGTCCGAGACGACGTCAGACATCTCATTTTATACCCTTCAAAGATCCGTCTCGTCGTCTGCCGCCCTCTCCGTTGTTTTGACTCTCTCGTCAACAAAGCTTGTTTTTCAGCGAGAAAAAGAAGAAAAAATGAGAGAAAAGGTCCTCCTCCCTTGAAATCAGTGTTCGACTAAAGTCTTGTCGATTCATTGTTCCGCTGAGGAATTCCTAAGTATTGTATATTTATTGAAACAAATCTAGGTTTTTCGAAAGATAAATAAGTAAATGAGACACTTTTATTATGCAGGTATTCGAGTCTGGAACAACTTGGAAAAAAATCGAGCAACATCTGAATTTAGAAAAAAATGAAAAATTTTTATTTTGAATTGCTAAATTTCAAAGTTCAAACTAAAGGGCATTTTTTAAACCCAAAAAGAGAAATCTCATCAAAAAAATCATAAAAAAATAAAGATTTTTTTCTTGCTCCAATACAGGTTTACGTCTTATTAAGAATTATTCTTCTTGAAAAAAAAAAACTCAAATTAGATCAAAAATAATTTCAGATTCTTGTAGAAATGATGTCATTCTTTGGATCTTTATCTCGTATTTACATTTGAACAAAAACTGAAAATGGCTGACGTGGAAAACGTGATTAATATAATAAAAAAAAGCGGACATCATAGAGAAAAAATAATAAAATACATAATCCAATGTTCTTTCACTTCTTTCCGAAAACGAAAATAGAATCACAGAGAAGAGACTATGGAAAGATGGAAAAGTTGTATGGGAAGATAAAGCTTAAGAACATTATCACGGTAAAAATCGTCTTGAAAAACTAACACAGTTGAAAACGACGAAAAAGAAAACATAACAGAAGCTTTTTCCATACTCTCTCATCATCTGTACAAACATCGAGTTATCTTGAAATCCCTAACTAGAAAACAAATCAAACTTTTCAAACTAAAAAACCTGCACATCTTATTATTTTTAAATGGAACAATCTATGATTTTCGGATGGTTCTGCCTTTAAAAACTCGAGAGTAAGTTTGAAGGCGCATTTTTTTTCGATCTTTTCGAATCCTCAAAGCTTCCAAAGGAATATTTCGATTTCACAATGAATCATGAACCATTGAGATAACAATATAAATAAGATACATTTTTCAAAAAGTCATCGCAAGGCTTGCTGCCTTTGCATGGCGTGGGAGAAGTCGACTTCATCTTCTCCATCCGATTCGACGGCCGTTTTTTGTTTTGTGATCCTCTCGACCCGCATCTCATCGCAAACCTGTTGAAGACAAAGTTTTTTTTATTTCCACGAAAATTTATCAAACTTGGTCCAAAACAGCTGCAGTAACGTACTGCTCCAAGTCGGCGTTTGGCTGTTTCTTTCGCAAATTGTTGATGGCTCGGTATGCCTGAAAAAAAGGTTTTGCAGCCTATCATGAACTGGAAGATTGGAATAAGTTAAATTTGAAATATGTGTGGTTTTAAAAACGGAAGGAATTTACGATGGGCCTCGAAATACTTTTTTTTAAAATCCAATTTTGTAAATTTTTAGCCAAATTTTTGAAATGTGCGGGAATACCAACAGCATTCCAATTCTTCCTCATTGCGTGCTCCTCAATGAGCATCGAGTAAATCCGACTGCATGGCACAATATCGTCTTCCCCAGACTCTTCAGCTAAGGCAGTCAATTGTCGGATTCCATCGGCTGTGTTGGCTTCAAGAGCTCTGAAAAATCGAATTATTTGATGTTTACCTCAAAAAATTTTTTACAACACGAATTATCATCATTTTTATCCTCATGTATACTCTTACTATCTCCCTGCACGAGGCTATCTCTGCAAAACGCGCCCCCGCACTCGCTTACGACCACATCACGTTGAAAACACGCCATCCCGTCCGATCTGGCAAGTTAAGCAACGTTGAGAGCCGGTAGTACTTGGATCGGAGACGGCTTGGGAATTCGGCTTGCCGTAAGCTCTTTTGCGCTTTTTTATTATTTTGAAAAATAATCACGTCATTGTAGCGATATTATTTTTCGAAATACTGATTTCAGGTGTGAATTTGTATTAAACAAGGGTTTGAATTTGAAGAATTCAACATTTTGATTTCTCAACTGATCATTCCAGCTTTCCACCCATTTTTAAAGTACAAAAACCAGTACAGCTCTAGTTTCTGACTTTCACTATCAACCGCACATCAATAACACATTCCGTCTTGTTATACACTCAAATCAAAACAATTCGTGACGTCGTGCGCCCAAAAACTACCGACCCAACGACGGTGGCGAGCATGTGGAGCTGCGCTTGATATTTTCGGAACTCCGCCTTCATTTCCTCGAGCCGAACACGTGGCTCCTTTTCGTTCGCTTTTTCCACGCAAACCAGCGCCATATCAAGGGCGGCCAGGGACTTATCGAAGGCGCGCCAGTTTTCGGCCTCCATCTGGAAACAAAATAACTGATTGTTTGGAGAGAGCGGAAACCAACAACGTGGCCTGTTTGATTAAAAAAGAAGCTCACGTTTGGAAGAAATCAGCAGGAGGCTATTATGCAAAACTTGACCTCCTCAGCTCTAATTGAATTATTAGACTAATTCTAACAAGTTCGGGATAAAAATCGCCTTAAGAGAATTCGTTTCGAGCTTCTGACAAGGGAGGTCATTTTACTTTGCGGTTAGGAATTTCTTGAAAATTTTCCAGGACACTTCTTGATGTACCAGGAGAAGATTCTGAAAGTCTCAACCTGCACATCTTCCTCGTTTTTGAGATAAGACGCCTCAAAGGAAACCCTCAAAATCCAAAAAAGTGGGCTATTTCATATCTTCGAGACCTTATTTCTCGAAAACTAGGAAGTTGTGCAGGTTGAGATTTTTAAGATCTTCATCTGGTACATCAAGAAGTGTTCTGGCCAATTTTCAGGAAATTCCCAATCGCAAAATAAAATGACCTTCCCTGTGAGGAAGCTGAGGGAAAAAAAAAAGCAAAGCGTACTCTTTACGCTCTAATGACGATAAAATTAGGAAACAGCCATAAAAGGGATAATTCTTGTGTGCTCTATTGCTAATCCCGCCAAAAAAATCCCGTCTCACTTTAAATTTAAAAAAAGCAGCTAACCATAAGAAGAAAAGCCACTAAAGTTTAAAATTTGTCTGGAAAGATGAATGAAAAAGGAGCCCAATGAAAAAATTACTATAAATTAAATGAGTTGAACCATTTTGTAGACATTTGATTAGCATGAAGCGCAAGTGCTTCAATTACAACCGAGGCTATTTTTCCAATATTTTTCTCCATTCCTACCATCACGGCATTCCTAAAGAGGTGAAAGAAGGTGAGCGAGACGTCAAAATTTTCTTAATTTACAAAAAAAGCAACTACTTGCTCCGGATAAAATTATGTCACGATACGTCATTTTAGGTCACAAATTACACTGAGTATTCAGCTCTAAGAACTTGTTTTTTTTTTTTGGCTGCGCACTTGAGATTTAAAATTTTGCAATTTTTATGATGTCTCCCCACAACGTTTGGGAACGCCGTGCTCAGGCAAGATACTACTCAAAACGCACCACAGCACAAGACTTGTAGAAGTTGGCCAAGTGTTCGTAGGACTGCGACTTCGTGTAGAATGTCTCAATGTCCTTGATTATTGCCGGATCCGATTGCCAGTCGGTTGTCTAAAAATTAGGTAGTTTTTAAGAAGAGAAGTAGCTTCTGCTCCTTTTTTGCAAATCCATCACTTTATCTCTCGCAAAAATGATATGGCGAGTTTTGAGAAGATTTTGCATAAAAAGGAACTAATTATAATATTTTGATGGTAGGAAGAAATTTTGGGTCCGCGAATATTCGTGAGGGTAAATTGTGCATACACCAATCTATGGGGCTCGAATCTATGCAAACGATTTTGGGTCCGCGAATATTCGTGAGGGTGGAATATTCACATTTTTTCTGATTTTTCATAAGTTTTCCCAATTTTTTTGGGAACAGAAGTTGATGGAGAATGTATACAGAGTGAATGAAAATGTGGTAGACGTTCTGCAACGAATCTTTGACTACATGTGTGCGAGAAAGACGCGTTATTTGATAAAATGTTAGTTGAAAAAGAATCATACAGTGTTCATTTGTGGTTGAAACACGACATCTTCACAATAAAAGGACAAAGGAAAAAAATATGCAAACTCAAAAATGAGGTTAATATTCCCAAGAATCGTTTGCAAAGATTCGAGCCGCAAAGGTTGGTGTATGCACAATTCACGCTCACAAATGTTTGCGGACCAAAAATTCGTCCTATCATCAATATTATCAAATCACTCTATTTATAATAATGTTGAATAGGTAAATTCGGATAGGAAAAATAATATTTTGAAGATGAAAAGTTCCCGTTCATTTAGGAAAAAAGTTCGATCTTAATTTAATTCCGTTTCATTCTTTATCTTCACTTTTAAGCCATTAGGTCGACTGAAATCTATTTTTAATTAGCCTTTTTCGGTAATACCCTATTCAAAAGACTTAATAACTCGAAATGTTATATTTTTCAATCACCTGCAAAAAGTTGGCAGCCAAGATGAAAATCTCCTTGTTCCGTGCGGTATTTGCGAAAAATCGGATTTTCTGCACATCTCCTGATTTCAGAAGAGCTCTCATGGCCTGAAAATTCCGTTGGAAACTGGAAAAAAAATCAGTAGGAGAACCTTCAATTTATCGCCAGCTTGTGTGTATTTTTTCGCCGCTGCTGAATATGCGCCCTGTTGCAAACACAAATCGGCAACACTTTCCAGAACTTGTTTCCTTTGATTAGTGTCCGGCATCGTTTCTAAGAGTTCATGGAATTGTATGATTATTTTTTCTTGTTTGAAATTTCAGTGGTCGCACGTGGAATGGCTCGAAGCTTCGCGGTTTTTCATAACCCTATTATTTACTTAAACTAAAACCGAAAAGGAAAAAGAAAATTGTAAACCAGTTTTACCGGCTTAGAGTTAAAAATTAATCGATTGAAATTCAGCAACTTCCTGAATAACATCGTACGCAAGTCGTTTTGGGTCGGGCGCAAAATAAAGCAACTTCTCAATCTTTGCGTGCTACCAAATAACGCAAAACATTTTTCAAACTTTCGACTTCCAGAAAAAAAAGCAACCTTTCGTTGGGGTCATCATTTCTGCGAAGGCGTCCGTCATTCTCACGTTTTTTTCGCCTTACACAATCGAATTGCGTCGGAAAAACTAGAAAAAAATTGTTTTTTTATTTTATAAATTCTTTGTGAAAGAACAGAGTGAGATCCAGCTTTTTTTAAACTTCATATTTCGATTAAAAAAATATCTTGGAAGTATAAAAAGGAGAAAAAAATTTTTGAAGAATTGATTTTATAATTATGATTTGATAAAATGATTTTTTCTCCTTTTTTTCAAACCTCCTTAGCCATGCACAAAAAGTTGACAGCCTTCTCGTAATTTTGATTCCCTTCGAAGAACTCTGCGGCTCTCTGGAAAATTCGACCATTTTTTGATATCCTGTGAAAATTTTTAGTGGCCACTATAGAGGCTCGCCAAGGACTACTTGGAGAGGACAATAAAGTGGCCACTATTTTCCGTTTTAGTGGCCACTTCAGTAGTTTTTCATCCAGTATTCCTCCCAGTAACTCTGATAATTTTAAAACAAACAGATTGGATTAGTTATGTTGATCCACTGACCCCTAAAATGGCCACTAACATTTTTAGTGGTCTAGTATTATCACTTAGACCTCTATTGTGGCCACTAATTTTTAACCCCTTTAGTGGCCACTAATTTGACTACTATAGTGGCCACTAAAAATTTCGCAGTCTTTCCGAAGAATTGAACAATGATCACTAATATTCACCTTTAAAATCTGCGGATCGGTATTCGCATCCAAATCTTTCGTTATCAAGTCCAACGCCGTGAATTGTTCGGTTCTGAAAGCCAGATCCAAGGCTCGGCCAATCATTCCGGCCTGAAGATTATTACATAATCAGGATAGAGTTGGCAAAACACAACCTTGTGGTAGAGCATGACAGCTTTGTGAGCGTAACCGGGTAGATCTTCATAATATCGAGCAGCTTCCACCAAATCATTTCCACCGGCCATGAGGCTCAAGTTAGCTAATCGGTCTTTCATGTCGTGCTCCTGAGAGTGAGTACTATTTTTGGAGGTTGTATCAATAATTATCTCTCAGGGTGACCCCAAAAGCTTTTTTTTTCTGTGATGAAGGTCATTTTGCCCTTTTTAGGAGCTCTAGAGTGGTCCCTAGGAAGTAAGGAAGTTTCAATAACCCTTGCAAGCCGAATAGCCGAGCTGAGAGCCCTGGCCTTGGTGTAGAACAAAACAGCCTTCTGAATGTCGTTTTCCGCCTCGTAAAGCCTTCCCATCCGGAAACATGCAGCTTTATCAGCTGATTCTAGTGCGATTTGAGCCGCCTGTAATGAATCTTCACAGGTAAACCGGAAAATTCCTTTGGGGTCATTCGGAAGGAGCTGAAAGGGTTCCCTCAAAATTATGGAGAAGCTTCTGGGCTCCTTTCTGATAGCTTCAGAGGATCCTTCTTGAATCCCCTGTGATCTTTTAAGTTTCTTTCCAGCATCTTTTAATTAAAGGATGTGGTAGAAAGACAAAAGAGAAGTTAAAAAAGATCTGTTGTGGGTCCTTAGAAGATTTTTCTTGAGCTTCTGAGGAGCTTCTCCGTTTTGACCTACATAGTTGTCATAATTGAAAAATTAGTGAAGTTACAGAACCTGCGTTCGAATCCCAGAAAGTTAGAGAGTATTTAAAAATGAGAGGGCAGGCTTTTTTTCTCTCTAAACGCCATCTCGTTTCCCAATGCTCTTTGGCTTCAAAGATCCAAAAGTAGACTCAAATGGAAAAATCTTTAAACCCCAAATTGAACAAAAATAGGCTGAACCCGCTTTTTCCTCACATTTACTACTCAGCCGATGATTAGTTCATAGAATTCAAGCCGATTTCGTTTTAAAACATAGACAGGAAGGACCCTTTACAGGCCCTTTGAGAGTCCGTTATGGATGCAAAGGTTTTCATTGATTGTTCCTAAACGAAGGGCAACGGTTTCCTTTTCACTGCCTTTTTCCGTCCTTTCATCGGCCTTTATTCACCCTTTTTGAAACCTTAAGAAACCCATTTTTTTTTTTCAAATTGAGAATAATTTTCACCAGTGACTGTGTATGAACCAAAATGGGCTACAGTAATAAAATCGAAAATCTTCATTGGCCGGGAATTCGAGCCCCTTTTTGAGGCTTTTCATCCCACCAAGGAAGAAAGGCTCGATAAAGGCCGCAAAACGGAACCCTTTCAGCGGACATTTTGCAGTCATTCCCTTTTTGCACCCGTTTTTCGCTTGGCAGTAAATTTTCCAGTTTATTTACCATTCTATCCAAATTTCCACTGATCAGAAACTTCTCAACCAATTTCTCTTCTGCACATTCTGGTTCTTCCAAACTATTTCGACAGCTTCCATTCCATCTTTCTCAACCACGTGGTGTGATCAAGTTCGTTGTGTTAATGGAGAAAATAGAACAAACACGTCTGGCATGTGACAAGGGTAATAAAATGTAAAAATTGGGACAACGTGGCGAGATAAGGAAAACATTTGATCAAGCCGGAATACACAGTAGTTTTGGTTCGATGAGGTTGAGAAGTTGGAAATGGATAGACAGTTGGAAAATTTAAGGAGAAATGCTTCTGATATTTCATAGTACTTTAATAATTGTTCTGAGTGATGCCTTTTCTTTAAAATGAACATAAAGGTATAGACTGTGTACCACGACTTGGAATTTTACCAAACGACATTCCGGTGTGCCGCTGAGCGCCTTTGCGACCCTTGGCCGCGCTTTTTATTCTTTTTTCTTTTATTAAGGTACTCTACTTTCATGTGCTTACAGCAAAAACAATCAATTGAGAGCGTGACCTAGGTTCGAAAGACGCTTCGCGAACGCACGCAGCGGGACAGCGGAATGTCGTTCCGTGAAATTTCAAGTCGTGGCACACAGACTATACAAAACTTAATAAGAGAACTTTCTATAGGGATCTTTTTTTCAAATAAACAGAAACTTTGAAACTTAATAAGGAGCTTTTTGATCAAACTCTAAGCCCTTTATTTATTCTAGGTTACTTTTTCTCTTTTTTTCTTGTGATAACTCTATTTCTCGCCTCTTCAACCCTTCCTTGGGCGCATCGGATCCGAACCATCGCCAGAAAATCTTTGGCAAAAGAATAGAAATTATAGGCGCCGTCATATTCACCAATGCTTTCCATATAGCCGGCCCAATACTTGTGGAGATCTCTGAACAGACAAATATGGAAAAAAGTGGTCAAAATAATCACTAACGGATCTCTTTTCCTTCTCACATAGTTTTCGAGCTGTTTCGGCTCATTCGCATACATCCGAGGGACTTCGAACTGATGAACCCCGGCTTTTTCGTAGCTGAAAATTGAAGATTTTTTGATTAAAAATGAATTATCCATATTGAAAGTGAAAGGAACGGTGCTAAATAGTCTAATTATTATATATTTTTTGATGTTTCCAATATTTTCAATACCCACTTTTCGATGGCTTGCTCCAAATTTCCGTATTCTTCGAGATGCTTGGCATAGTTATAATGCGTATTTCGAAGGTGGATTCGATCCTTGGTTTCGGCTATTTGGAACGCCTGACAGTATTTTTGAAGTATTACTTTCAATTCAAGTATTCTTCACCTGATTCCACAGATTCTGTTGTTGATATATTTTATTGACGAGGTCCCAACGCTCATTTGAAGCGTAGAGTCGCTGGGCGTCGTCCTGAAAACTTTTTTATAAAAATCTTCGGATGACAGGTAATTTGAATATATAACTTACTAGGGAACGTTTTTTACCCCCCGGTTGAACTTATGTGTACTTTAGGACCCCCTGATTCTAGAACAAAAGAAAATTGCTCCCATTCGATCTCGTTTTCGAATTAGGATACTTCAAAAGCCCGGTAAAAAACGGTAAAAACGTTCCCTGGTAAGCTTAAATGACTTCAGAAATGTCTCTTGTGTCAAAAAGTGCCTCATTTAGCAATTAGACATGAGCGTAATGACTTCAGAGAGAGAAGAGTCAAAAAAGAGAAAAACAATGAGAAGTGGAAACAAAATATTTAAAAAAACCCCCACTTTTCCGCATTTATAGAGAGCAGAGATTGGGTGGGAAAATTTTCTATTGCCTTGAAAAGAATTCTGTTATTGATGAGCTTGATTTTTAGTCATTTTTGAGAAACAATTCGAGAGATCTATCGTTCGGTTTTTAAAGTCTTCCAATCTGGAATAACTTTCAGATAAGTATATTGATTAAAGTGACAGTACGGCAAAAAAGGAAACCGAAAGTTGTCTAAAACTTTCAAAAAATTCAAAATTCACAAGCATCCCCAGTTCGACGGCCAAAGCTGCGCACTGCATCGACTCGTTTTCCCCGGCCTGTTGGGATTTTCTGATGGCTCGAGCTCCACGGACATTCTTCATGTGTCCTGAAATATTCTTCTTTTGTATTAAAATAAATAACTTTCTTTCTTCACCCAAACAAACGACGGCCACATCCAATCGGCCAGTCTTCACACTCATCGACGCCATTTGCTCCCAAACACTTTCACTGAAAAAAAATATCAAATAAATTTCGATTCCAGTCTTTTTAAACAAGGTATCAAACCTTTTAATGAACTGAATGGCTTTGAAAGCGGCGTCCATGCTGCCCAAAATCAAATAATAGCAAAAATCCATCATCGCTTTCCGAGTCGCTTCGTCACAGTTTTCCACTCCTAAAAGACATACATTCCCAATAAAAATATACTGAAAATGTTTCAAATTTCCAATTTTCACGAAATCAGAACTTTATCTCACCCGAAAACTCGCGCAAAGTTTTGCCAATCAAAGCCCGTCCAATTGTTTTCTCGTCCTTCACTTCTTCCTCCTCCCACTCTATCTATAAAAGAAGAATCTCACTACTGAATAAATGGGTTTTCAAACTTTCTTGACGAAATATAGAACTGGGACAGCGACTGAAACAAGTCGACCACACTGGGCGCTTTTTCTCTGGACGTCTTGAAGTAGAATTCCGTGTTCTGAGGTCACGAACATGGTCAGAATTCGATTATCGTTCTGAAATTTAAAAAGAGGTACTAACACCATTCTTTTTTTCCCATTTTTGAATTCACAAAACTTGAAAAAGTTGTGTTCAATTTTTTTTAAAAAAACTGTTTATTGCATCTTCAATGTAAGAGTACATGTGCAATCGACTTTCATTGATTTCAACTGTGTTTAAACGGCGGCAGGAGCTGTGGCTTATGCAGAGAAGTTGTGAATTTCGCTCGTAGAACATCAGGTACAAGAGAGGTCGTAGGAAGAAGTACGGTGCCGGCTTTCCAAAGGCCGATGGCAGAGATTGAGCCTTTTCGCTGCATGCAGCTCCCAAATTTATCTACCCCGGAGGGATGAAAGGCTTGGTCGACCTCGGGGGGACTCGAACCTACGACCTTGCGGACGTTAGAAATGAGTTTTGCCAGCTGAGCTATGCCGTGTTCAATTTAATTTTGAAATAAAGATTGAATACAGATGGCCTTTCCCAGGGTTTTCAGTTGATAATGAAGCACATAAGCTGCTACCTTTCCCTGGCAATTTTTCAGTACATGCAAATTCTTTTCTTCATTGTTTTTCAAGTTTCTTTCCCTTCAAATCAATCAAATTCTGACCATTTCCTGTTGCATGTGCATGCATTCAACGACAAGATACCGGCCGTCAGAATCGTCCCAGTACATTTCCCCTGGCCGATGATACATCATTTGGAATCGAGTCTGTTCGCGGGCCATTTTTCTTGAAAATCAGAAGTTTTTGAACAAGTTGAAGTTTTCTAAAGAGTGATGCTTTTTCAACTATGCGGAAAACTTTCAAAACTTTTTTTCAAGCCTAAAGACATTTCACTATTTTCTAGCCCGTCAGCCAAAAAATCCAGCAGGCGAATCTCTGAGAAATTCGGGATTTTTTTCAAACACTGTTCAAATTTTCTACTTTTCAAGGTTATTTCTGTCCTAAAAAATCAATTTTCAAATAACCTGGCCGCAGCGGTCACCGGTCGTCCCTCTGTCGACTGTGCGAGTTCGGCTTGAGCCTCATACTCCTGGGTATCGGTCATGCCTTTGTCGAAAGAGAAGTACGTGATTGAATCGCTTTCCGCGTCGAAAATCAGTAGGAGCTCGGATAAACTGGTAGGATTCTGAAGTTCATTTGTTATAAAATGCTCAAGAATAGACTCTCAATTTTTTGGAGTAAATTGAAGAAATAATTTTACTGTAAAAAAACAGGCAAAACTCTGAATAATTTACATTTCTCTGCAGAAAGAGATAGATATATTGCTAATTCACGGCTGGCTTTAGCCATCGGAAAAAGGGTCCTGAAGCGATAATAAAAGAGAGAGTGCCTGGCTGGTGAAGAGAGCAGACAGGCCACGCCCCTTTAGAGTCCCAAGCTATCCGTGAATCGGCTATACATTTTTGTACTGCGGAAATTTTTAGTGACCATTATGGGGTTTTGACGTTTTAGTGGCCACTATAGTGGTAAAATTAGCGGCCACTTAAGGGGTTAAAATTAGTGCCTACTCTAGAGGTCTAAGTGCTACTACTAGACGATTAAAAACTTTAGTGGCCACTTTAGGGGTCAATGGATCAACATAACTGGTCCCATCTGTTTGTTTTTAAATAACAGATTTACTGGAAGGAATACTGGATGAAAAACTACTGAAGTGGCCACTAAATAGAGAACCTCTACGGTGGCCACTTAAAATTTTCCCAGTAAGTTCAATTTTACCTCATAGAAAGTGCAGGCGACTTTATTCCCAGCCGGGTTGATTTTCACCGAAGAAAAGTGGGAAAATGACGGAACGTTTTCGATAACATATTTCGCGTTGTGTTCTTGATGAGCTTCTCTGTATAATTTCTATGAGTTCAGTCGAAGAGAGTTTCAACTTTTTGGACAGGTTATAAATTCGGACGAATCCATGACTGGAGCCGATCACCAGCCAGTGTCGATTGAGGTTCAACGAAACTGGATCGCCTTCCATTTCAGGAAGTGAGATAATTTGTCGAATTGTTCCCTGAAAATGAGATGAAAAAAAATCAATAACAAATTACTAGAAAGAGGAAATTTTTAGAAAAAAGAAAAGTACGAAAGGCAGTTTTATCAGAATTTTTATTAAACATCGTATAGAAGTCCGTTCGGCTATAGTGATTCAGAACTGATCATAAAATGGCGCGAATTTCGCCTCTTAAATAAGTTATGAAGTCTCGAAAGCGCCAGAAAACCTCTTTTTCCACAGACCGATTTCTAACTTTGAGCCCCCATAACATGACCAAAACGCAAAAAGAGCCCTTCTCCGATGACTTCAGATCCAACCTCTCCAAAAAGTACCTTTATTCAGTTTCGCACTTTTTGTTTTTGTCTCACCCCCCTAATTGACGACCAACCTGAAGTGTCCTCGAGTTGACTTTGTCTTTCTCAATACAATAAAGGGTCTGATTGGTGATAACAACGTCCGATGCGACGCAGGCGAATGAAGTCGATTGGATCGTTGCCAAGGAAGACTGCACATCGTAGGTCATAATCTACAAGAATTTATTATTCCAGTTGAACTGATTGCGATTAACGAGAAGGAAGGTAAAAAGAAAGTCGACGGTTACAAGGTCCATGTGAACAATTTGAGATTGACTTCATATCAGGAATACATACAGTATCATCGCTCCAAACGACGAGCTGCTTATCACCCAGACAAATCCCTCGGGCGGATATCGGTAGCTTCAGATCTTGGTTCACTCCGGTGGCGGCGTTCAGAAGCGTGAATGTGTTTGACGACGTTTGAATGACGGCGATCTGAATTATTTCCATTCAAGCTTAGAAAATTGATAAACCAACCTTATTCCTCATCCTGACGATAAAATTGTCATCTTCCAGTATCACCAACTCCTCGCTGGTCACCACGGCTACACTGTCCACAATGGGGCTCCATCGGATTTGGACGATCTGAAATCTCGAAAATTATCTACAAAGATGAAAGATCGATATGGTAGTTTATCAAAATTTCATCAAAAATTTTTCCTAGGTTTTCAATGAAAATTCACATCTTTTCCGACGATATTGCTCGTCTGCAGCTTCCACATTGAGTCGATTTTCGTATCGCCTTTTCTTCGCTTCCAATTCGCCACTTTGCCGTCCATTGTACCTCCGGATATGATACCTTATAAGAAGTGAAACTTTATCAGAATGAAAGAAAAATCCATTTTTCTTTCCACAATAATTTTCCTTTCTCTCACCTTTCTTGGCATTGACCGTGACACACTGAATGATGTCATTCTGGTCGAATCCCTTGCTAGTTTCCAGGGAAACTGTGCCATTTTCCTCTTGCATCAGGTCCCAAACTCGCATATCGCGTTCATTCCAGCACATGACCAACATTGATTCGTTCAGCTCCAGTTTGTAGTTTGAGGCTTTGCCGCCGAGTTTGACCTATGAAAATACGTGAAGAAAAGGCATATTTGGAATGGAATACTCAAAGATTTTCATACACTAAATTTTAAATTTCCACTTCTTTTTTCATTCTAAATAATCTTGCTTCATATTTTTTTTCAAATCGCTATTATATTACCTTGACTTTCTCAACCCTCCCATCGATCGGAGTGTTCAGCAAATGATAAATAAAAACGTCTTGAGTGAATAATATTATCAGTTCTTTCGGCTCACAGTAGGCGATGAACAGAACTCCAGAATCGAGCTGAAACTTGTAATCATTTTCCTAAAAATCAATGAAAACCACCTTGTGGACCAACTTCTTGTCGCTTTCAGCAACACTAAAAATGCTGCCATTGTCGGTTCCGAACAAGAATTCCGTTCCAATCGGTTTTCTAGGCACTTTTGCTACCGCCTAAAAATCGAAATTAGACTCCGACAACGACTAGAGGACAAGAAATACTACAAGAACTATGAGAAAAAGCCACCATCTTATCTTCAAGCAACTTCAACTCCATATCGTCCGTTTCCTCTTGAGAAACTACACTTGGAACTCTGAATATTAAAAAATCATTCTTCAGGTTCAATTCTGAATTACTCAAAAAGCAACTTCTTCGTCTGACACGTTACAGTTTCGCGTAAATCGATTTGAAATTTCTTTCCCGTCGTCACATTTTCTTGCTTTCCCATCGACAAACTGTAAGTCACCACTACAGACGGCTGTAATTAAGAAAAACTTTGATTTTTTGGATTCAATTTTACACTATGCATGGTCATCAACGTGTTGCCTTCATGGCTCCAATCGATAAAAGAAACTTCATTTCCTCCGACGTCAGCTACGTTGTGCACTGGAAAAAAATAATATGTTTTTTTGAAGAACGTATTCTAAAATTCATTTGCCTTTTATTGAGGTTACTTTATTAAAAACTTATTATCATGGGGTGGAAAAAATCTTTGAGTTTATTTGGAGAAAAAAAATAATTTTTTTGAAAAAAATTGGGCATCTAATACCTTAAGAAGCGCCTCATAAAAAGATATTTGTAAAAAACAGTTTTGAGCAACAAAATCGTGAAAATTATGGTATTTTTCTGTTATTAGTTCAATATTCCCATCATCGGACTCACAAATCGGGCCACCGACTGGAACCAAACAAACGCAGCCGTCGAGCCAACCGACGGCCACGAATTGATGTATCGGATGCCATTTCATCGACGTTGGGACACTGTTTCGTGCACATCCGCTCTGCTTGTTTTTGCTCTGGAATTGATAAAAAAAAGGATATATTTCTTAGAAACAACATGAAGAAAAAAGATGCATTAAAAGCTAGTTGGCGATCGAATTTCACCTTACTATTAGTTATGCTAGGAGGGAAGCCTTTCAAAGCTTCTGTTTTTGTCCAACTTGTGAATTTCACTGAGTTCTCCTTGAAAAGTGAATCTTTTTTTTTTCTCAATCACCGTTTTCATGAAATGCGCGTGAAACTGTAATTGGAATCTACCCGGGCAAAGTCGGAATGGTGGATAATGGCCGTTAAAAGGAAAGCTCAAAAAAGGCCGCAGAAAGGTAGCAAAAAGGCAGAAAAGAGAGTCCCTTTATCGAGCCTTCCATTTTTTCTGGGATTTTAGAAGCTCAAGGAATGGTGGAAAAGAGAGAGTTAGCGAAAATGGGGCATATAGGTCGAAGAAATGGCGAAAAAAGGCAGCAAAAAAGTACCTTTGTCACTAAAAGAAAAATTCCTATGCATAAGCATAGCTATGGAGCCTTTTTTCACCTTTTCCGACTTTGCCTATGCTAAAGAGGAAATGAAAAACTATGATTCTAGGATCCTTGTGAAACCTTTCCAAGAGCTTCTTTTCAATTCACTCAAAATTTGTTCTTTTTCATTCCCTATATTTTGAAATTAAAACATGATACTTATGTAAGTAGGTTACAAAAAGTCGAAAACCAACCGTATGGTCGCAAAACGAGACGGTTCCCGTTTTCGTCTCATCATCATAGGTTAAAACGCAGAGCCAATTGCAGTGAGGCGCCCATTCGACTTTTTGCGTTCGCATCTTTATTTGTATATTATTATTTTTTCGCAAATCCCAATTTATATTTGAAATATTGAAGCAAACTCGCAGGAAACCAACTTCAAGAAATACAAAAAAAAAACTAAGAAATAGAGTTTTTTTAAAGAAAAAAACAATGAAAATGAGCTTTTTTTATAGCTTTTTTTAATGAAAGGAAAACCATTCTGATATTAAAATCATATTCTTTCATAGTTATGAATGAACCGAACCTTGGAGAAAAACAAAAAAAATTAAAATCTGTGTGATTTTTCAAGAGCAAAACTATGAAAAAAATCGTGCTTTTTTAAAAAATTCTAATAAAAAAAGATAATTATGAAGCATTCGATTGGGAAAAATAAATCGATTGATTCGATTTATAATCAAAAAGTAAACTGGAAAACCCAAAAAGAAAACAATAAAAAAAGCTCAAAATTAGCAATAGGAGGAGTCGTCGCCATGGTAACCATGTACATAAACTGCACCTGGCTCTTCAAAATCGGCGATTTTTTTCTTTTTCTTCTTGATTTTCTTGGATCATGGTTTATGAAAAAAAGAGTTGAATTATTTCAAAATAACCTTTTTTTGTTTTATTTTTTTGAACAGTCGCATCAGAATTCCCATAAAACCTCTAATTTATTTCAAAAACCATGGTTTTTAAACAATAAATGAAAAATTTTTGCGTTGTATTTCAGTACATTTATAAAAAAATTGCGATTTTTTTCTTTTATTTATTTATTTACAAAGTACAACTGGAAAAATCTAACCACTTCTTCTGTACAACTCTACATTGTATTTACTTCAGAGGAACTTGAAAAACGGAAGAATTCACGCCTCAACCTGAAAACTCATGAAAATTCACGAAAATAGGCTTTTTTCATATTGAGACCTTCATTTCTTTCATTTTTTCAGTGTCGAGAAGCTGACGAACGCACGTTCCAAAGTCGGTGTGAACCTTAAAAATGCCACTTTTCAACGGAAAAATGATATTTTTCAATGACTTTGGTGCAAACATCGACCATTCCGTCTTGAATGCGTGGGTAGCACTTTTTCAAGATCTCGACCATATTTTCGCACAGACGGCGACGGGCATTTTCGTCGAGGACCTGAAAAACCAAACAGAACGAATTTTTTTTTTTTCATATTTTCGAATCTTTTTCAAAAACATTCAAAATGGATAAAAAGCTGACCAAAAAGGTGAGCCGACTGAAGTCATTTTTAAATAAGAAAAATATTTTGAAAAATTCAGCTGAAATCTTCAAAAGGTTCATTCGAAAAAAAAAATACGCATCTTCTCAAAACGCCTCTGATAAAGAATGTTGCATTTTTTTTACTTCATTGAGATGTGATTTGAAAGACGGCACCTTGGTCCAAAAGTCCCTCGGCTGCTCGAAATTATGATCGTCACTGTCGTCGTACCGGCCGACGTCACCCACCACAGGAAATGAATGTTGGAGGCAGCCACGTTCAACCTATCGTCACATACTTTCCGTTCAAAAAAATATTTTTTCCTAGGTCTTAGTATCTGACGGACAAATTCTGCGATCCGAACAGCGGAAAACTTGCAAAAATTTGTTTTTTCGAAGAGTTTAGAAGGAAGGATAATATTGTTCACGAAAAATGCCACTAGGTGATTCGAAAAATCTAAAAATAACTGCTCAAAACTGTTGATGCATTTCCTTTGAAAGTTGATTGAAATTAGAGAGCCCTGATTTTTATCGGTAGAGCGCACTTGCAGCAAAAATCTAAGCCAAGTTGATTTTCTGGCTGATTTTGTCTATGGAGCTGATTCACGGCTGGCTTGAGCCATCGCAAAATGGGTCCTGACACGATATTTCGTGAGATAGTGCCTGCATCGTGGAGAGCGCAGACAGGCCACGCCCCTTTAGCGTCCCAAGCTAGCCGTGAATCAGCTATATCTAAGTGGTGACAAGTTTCCCGTCAGACACCCATTATAAACATCGAAACTATTAACCGTCGACTCCTTGGGACCATTGAAAGTGTTGGGATGATAATTGGGCGCATTGCACTGATTGCAGAGAGCCATGTAGCCGTCGCGCATGTTGTTGGCGACCCGGCTACGGTAGGGACAGTTGATCGGGAGTTGCATGTAGTTTGGTCCGATGCGGTGGTATTGGGAGTCCTTGTAGGAGAAGAGACGGGCTTGGAGCATACGGTCGGGCGAAAAGTCGATGCCTGGGACGGCGTGGGAGGGGGTGAAGGCGGCTTGCTCGACCTGAGCATCTTAGTTGGAATGGATCATTTTTTGCGCTAAAGTCCTGAATGAATTGTGATGATTTGCATGAAATTTTCGATGAAATGATGCTATTTCGATAATGTTTGAAGAAGGCGGTTGCTCAACCTGAGCATCTTACTTGGAATGGCTCAATCTTTACCATTAATACTGAGTAAATGATTTGAACGATTTAAACGAAAATTTCGCTCAAGAGACACAACTTTTGTGATCATTTAAGGGAGGCGGTTGCTCGACCTGAGCATCTTACTTGGAATGGCTCAATCTACCACTAATACTGATTAAAATTCTATAATTTTAATGAAATTTTCGATTAAGAAACACCCTTTTCGTAATCATCATTTCTCTAACCTCGGTAAAGTAATTCATCGGATTCCGGTCCAGGACCATTCTTCCCACTTCCATGAGTGGGAAATCGGCGTGGGGCCAGACTTTCGTCACGTCGAATGGATTGAATGGAAAAGCCTCGGCTTGTTCGAAAGTCATCACCTCAAAATGAAGAACGCATTTCAATCGATCAATCGATATCTATCACCTGGATGTACATTTTCCATTCGGGACAGTCTCCTTTTTCAATCGAGTCGAAAAGGTCGCGAACGCAACAATCGCAATCTTCAGCAACCATTTTTGAAGCTTCTTCCGGGGTGAAGTTTCTGATGCCTTGTTGGGTCTAGAAGTAAGAAACTGTTCTTAATAATCAAATGGCTGATTAAAAACAACTGACAATTTTTTATGAGTTTCAGGAATTCTGACCGATTCACTTCTGAGCAAAATAAGCCCTAAAAGCAATTTTTATGAACAGTCAAAAAAAAAAAAACTTGAACATGCATATTTAGACTGATAAGTTGTATGCATGTGAGCTCAGAAGGGGACAAGTCCCCCGAAAATAAGAATTAATTTTTCCCATAACTTTTCTAGGATCTACATTTAGGTGGTTATCTGGGGAAATTCAACTTTTTTCTTCCTTTTTCAAGAGAAAAACTGAAAAATAAACAACTTCAATCTTATGATCCCTTTGGACTCAAAAAAAGAAGCATTCGAAATAGGTTGTTACACTAGGAAGGGGCCGTTCTGACGCAGTGATCTTATGAGACCACCTTATAAGAAAAAAATTATAAAAAAATAATAAAAAAACCGCTGGAGAGTCACTATTTCTGTAAGAGAAAGCCAAATGATTTCGATGGAATTAGAAAGTTTGAAATGAGGAATTTAAAAATAAAATGAAGTTTTTTTATTTTGTGAATGTGTCAAATAGTTTTCTTATCTTTGAACTTTTGTACCGGTCAAGAAGGAAATTACGCAAAGCTCCAAACGGAGATGGATATTACAGTCTGGCTCAGAAGAGCTAGAAAAAAAAAATAATTAAAGCTTTACAGTCTTTAATAATTTTCTCTAGGGTTTTGAAGGTGCAGAAGTCTTGAAGAAACTTTTTCTTCCTAAGGCTAGAATAAGTTTATTCCATGATTTTTGTAAAAGTCTAAAGATAATTTTCAATGAGATCTTGTTCTTAAATGTGAGGCTCCTGATAGTTTTCAAAGGCGCGACTTTTAATGTGGTTTCAAATAAGTGCTGAAAACTGCCTAAGAAGGCAATGAAAAAATTAAACTTTAGAAAAAATAACATCAACAAGAAAACTTATTGATTGTATGAATAAGACAGAGACACTGAAATTTATTGTTACATTTAGATTTTCTTTCATTTTTGTTCACAACTGTCTTTCATGGAGCTCTATCCATATGTAACTTTCTGAGCTGCGTTTTTTTTTTCCTGAGAGCTTAGGTTCCACTACGGTGTTGAAAATAACACTCATCAGAAATCCAGAAAGTTTCAGAAAGATTGAAATCCAAAGTTTTGATCAAAACAATTTTTTTTCTGACGAAACTGTAGCATGAGGTTGAAATGGATCCAAATTTTTGTCCCCTATTTTTCCCCTAAAAGAATCTCGGAGCAAAGGAATGCAGAAAATTTTTCTCTAGTTTGGCCAACAGTGAGAAACCTTTGATTCCTGTCCTTTTTTCTTCTCTTCTTTGACTTCTCGGAGATTGAACCTTTGAGAGAAACTTGATCATTTTTCTGTTCCTTTTACTATTTTTTTATTCTATCGGAAATTAAACTATTGTTTCTCTCGTGAGTGTAACAGTGAGAAAACATTTATTTTCTATGTGACATTGATTCCCCGAGTTCAAACCAACAAATCAAACTCTCAACACAAATAAAAAATCCCGATCTTTTGATCTTGAAGGAGGAATGAAAATTATTTCAAAATCTTTGAAATCCCATTTTTGTACTTTACGAATCCCCTGAGAAACTTTGAAAATGGAAAAAAATAAAAAAATTTTATTATTTTTTTCTTTTTAATTCCATGTTTTAATATTGCTTTCTAAGCTAATACTAAAAAGAAAAAGCTCGAGTTATAAATTTCAGATTAAATTTTTTTCTACCTCAAGAATTTTTTTAAATGACAGTTGCAACACAGTCGAGATTTAAAAAAATACAATCAATTAATTTTTTTTTTTTTTTCTTGATTTTTCTGAACCATCAAATAGAACTAAAAGTTGACCATTTTTCCTTTTTTTAATTTTTGAATTTTATAAGTCTCTTTCATATATCTCTAGTTCACATAGAAAAAAACATAAAAATCTTCTTCTGTTTTTTTTTTCTGATCAAGAACCTGAAATGGAACTTCATTTACACTGCGTTCAATAAGGATAGTTGATTTTTTTTTCATCAACTTTAAAAAATCGACAAATTGAACCTGTAAGGCGATTAGGAGCTCAAAAAGAACTAAATTCACATTTTTCAAGGTTTTTTTCCTTGATTTTCTGATCCCGAACCTTGAAATGGAACTTGACGTAGGTCGCCTTCCCTTCCTGGTTGATCATTTTGAAGGCGTGGCCTCCATAGCCATTCATATGACGATATGAACAAGGAATACCGCGGTCGCTGTACAAAATCATCACCTGAAACCTCACTTTTTCATAATTCCAGCAATCTGAAAAACTTGATGGATAGTCTCGGGACGGGACTGGAAAAAGTCGAACATCATGTTCCAGTCCTTGACGTGTGTCTGAGGATTCTTCCTCAAACAGTTGACAAAACTCGGGAACTGCATGGGATCCCGGAAGAAGAATATCGGCGTGTTGTTACAGACCTGAAAAATTATCATAAGACTGAAGAAAATATGTTTTTTGGCCAAACCAAGTCCCAATTTCCTTCTTCGGTGTAAAATTTCAAAGCAAATCCTCGGGGGTCTCTTACGCTGTCCGGTGATCCACGTTCGCCGCCTCAAAATTTTTTTTGTGAGAACGACTTTTTCCAGGAGTTTATGGATCTTATTTCCAAGCGAAACAGCTTTCAGAAAAAGTTCAGGCAATAAAAGAAGGTTTAAGGCCATCATCCAAGGCGAGTCTAAACGCTGGAACCCCGAGTTGCGCGCGTTCGGCGCGATTTTGCGACATGATGGGTATCACAAAATTATTTCAATGTGGTATGTATTTGTACCTAATGACCTGAAAAATCTTCTAGAATGCTATCTTTAACAGGAAATACTTATTATGAACAGGGTGACCAAAAATCCAGATCGCAAACAAAAAAAAACCGTATCTCGAAAATTTCTACAGTAACCCAAGTTAGTGTGTACTGAAAAGATTCCTAAAATTGCATCAACTATAGATTGATATACAAATTGCCTAGAAAAAACTCGTTAATACTTAGATACGCAGATTATCACCCGCCTACCGTAACCCGGCTACAGTAAGAGGAAATAGCTCAAAGAGTTGTTTCCACAATCCTGATGTCATATGATAACACTGGTTGAAATTTCATCAAAATAAAAAAATATTTTTTTCTGTCTCTGTTGATTTTGAAAATTACAGAGACACAAAATTTTCAAATAGCATGAAATTGATTCGAAACTCAGTTTTTCTCCCCAAAAAAAACTTAATTTTTCATAAAACTGACCAGCGGTTGAAAATCGAGCCAACATCGGAGTCTTCTTGCCAATTTCGCTGAACATTTCCGCCTTGCAGATCTTCGTAATATCGCGAGTCACTTCGAAGTAGCCGTGGGCTCCTCAAAATAAAAGTCAAGCCAAATTTTCGATTTTTATTCCATTTACCACCACCCTTAGCGTGAACGACACGTTCGGGACATCTTTCATGGTCGAAATGGGTCATTTCGTCGAGAAAAAGAACGTCCTGAAGAAGCATCGGACCGCGAGGCCCAGCTGTTAAAGAAGCCGTTTTGCAGCATATTGGCGCCCCATTGGACAAGGTCATGCATGGCGGATTCTGAAATTAAAAAAAATTAGTAGTCAGTTCTAGAAGAAAGCGGCGAACTACGATAAAATGTTTTGTGAATCTGTTTTGACGAACTTAAAAAAAAACCTTTCCTTTTAATTGCACTCGAATCTTGGACCATCTATACGAACAAAGAAAAAAGAAAAGAATCACAAAAAAAGACTTAAAATTTATTTTTTTTTTGCGCGTCAAATATGACGCATGTAGTTGTACACTCTTCCAAAACGCGCATTACAGTAATTTAATTGAAAATACTTTCTATTTTCTTTCCTATTCAAATAAATTAAAATTTAGATAAGTAAGAGCTTACCGGATGTAATTCTTTAAATGAAGAAAGCTGCATCGCCACGCCTCCAACATTTTTCACTTCCAGTTCCTTCGCCAGTTACTTAAAAATAAATTTTCAAAACCTTTTCTAAAGTTAAAAACTCACGCAAGCTTATTAGCCCTGAAAACATGTTTCCAAAATTGAAAGCTTCACGACACCTTCAACCTATGATATCATTGTTCTTTTGTTCAGTGTTCTTAGACAAGCCCATGAAAATCAAAGGCGAGGACGACAAAAACTGAAAATTTGACGAGCAGATGAAAAAAAAAGTGTTTTTGACAGTGGGTAAGCAATCTGATGGAATGTTTTTATCCTGGTTTTGCAAGGTTGATTGTAACAACCATGAGCGAATTTCAATGTTTACGAAAGGTCATGAAACGGCTGCAAGCTTGCACGGAGTTTTAAACAGAAAGGTTAACTTTATCTGTTATTATACACAGAAAGGGCAAAACTTTGATGCAAAGTTGAATGTTTGAGAGTAGAAAACGGATTTTTGAAGTAGTTATTTGGAGCATTAACTTTTTCGTAGTATATAGCCGATCATAAATCAAATTTTTCCTGTTAGAATGTTACCAAATACTCAAATTTCGACTTAGAAATCCAATTTTTCGAGGTAATAAAAGAGCTTCTTCTGCGTTTGAATTTCGTCGATTCAGTTCAAAATGCTCCTCAAAATTTAATCCTGCCCTTCTGTAGCGGCTCTAACAAAAAAATGGGGGTATACCCCGCAGTGAACCCCGAAAAAAGTGAGCTTTTCGTTGATGTTTGCGCTGAACCCCGCGTTGGACCTGAATGGGGTGAACCCCTGGGGCAACCGGTCAGAAATGAAAAGTTCTTTTTGAGCTACCGAAACGACCTAGGATGAAACGGTAGAAAATGGTGATATTGGGAAACAAACCACTTCGAAATCGTGCACGGAAAAAGTACCTTAATGGGCATTTAAAGCTAAACGGGGTGCACCCCTGGTTACACTGCGGGGTGAAACGAGAGTTGGACGCGGGGTGCACCGCAACTTTTATTAGAGGGGGAAGTACGAGATATGTATGCACAAAATACACAACACGCTCTTTCTTTTTAGTTTTTAAAATTCTGAATGTTCTTTATTGGCGCCATGGCGTGTTCATCGGGAAAAAAAAAAAACGAAAATTGCTTCGAAATGCAAGAAAATTGCTCCAAAACAAAAACTAGTACTGTTTCGGAGCAAATTTGGCGCGCCGATGAACACGACTTTTCGTTTTGAAGCGTGTTCCGTTTCTCCGATGAACACGCCATTTTGTTTTTAATGATCTTATTGTTTTTTCCTCGGTTTTTATTTTTTCCAAGAATATTTTTTTCTTTACAAGATTCCCAATTTTTATCATAGAAAGTTTCCAGGTATGTTTCAAATTCTTCCGTTCATTTTTTATATTGTTGTGAACGACGTCAACTCTCCAGACGAACATTTTGAGTCGAGGCAGACACATTAATCATTTTATCAGTAAGTCGCAACATTTGTCGAATGTTTTTCCGTCTTAACTATAAGGTTTAGTGATGCGAAAGTGTTCGCGCACTTTCCTGAATCGATGATTTTCGGCCAAGGACCAAGAAACGCGAACTGTCATGCGGCTGTCGACTACGGTATGGTCCAAAAGGTCTTCCTCTTTCTGGGAAAAAGGGGGAAGGAACAAAGAAAAGGTGTGAAGGAAAGTGGAACTTCAAGTGGAAAGAAAAAGAAGCTATGATAATGGGATAAATTGCATGAAGGCTTTAACTTTTTGTATGCAGTTCAAAATGGTGGAGGTCTGATTTTAAATCTTTTTATAACTTCAAAAAAGGCGGATTTTGAACGCTTCAAAAGAAAACAAAGACAATGGACAACGTTAGAAGTTGAGTAGAGTTTGACGGAAATGTGGGAAGAGACATTTTTTTGTGAAAAAAAGATTGTATTTTTTTATAAAATTTCATTTAAATTTAAAAATTCAAGTTCGAAAAATTTCAAGTTGATCAAAGAGTGCTTAATTTTAAAATGCTTCTGACGACATTTTGCGAGGCTTTTTAGGCCGGAAATTTGGCTTAAATTGTTTTTTTATCAGAGTGAAAATGAGTAAAAAAATATTCGTTAAAGTTCGTTAAAAATGAACGCTTTTTATCTTTTTAAAAAAATGAAATTCTCACCTTTTTTTCAGACTATCCTCATTAAAAGCTTTTTTTGGAAGTAACGGAAGAGTAGAGAATGAAAATACCGGCTTACTTTCAAAGCGCAAATTTTTTTTTGAGCCCGAATTTTTTTTTTCTTTTTTAAATTGTTTTTTCGCAAAAATTTTGGATACTCTTGATGGAAAAGCTAAAATAAATTATTTTTTCAAGCCATTTTTTGAGATTAGATTATTAAATTTTCCACAAAGCTTGTAATTTTGATCGCCTTTTCTGTGTTTTTACCTTTCATCCCCCATTTTTCGATACTTTCTTCCAGAACCCTTTATTTTGCAAGTTGCGGTATTCCCATTTTTGATCATTTTGGTTCTCTTCCTGTAGTTTATGCCGTTTTCTCCGCGATTTTCTGTTGGTCGGCATAGTTTACTGCATAGGTTAGTGTTATTTCATCACCATTCGCCGATCTTGTGATTGATATGTGCCTGTAAGTATACTGGAAGAAAATAGTTGATAAGGTGATTTTCCACAGTTATTTTGGAAGAGGTCAAGGCCTCCAGCACTCGTGAACACCGTGAAAAACCGAAAAAACCTGATAAAATTGGCACAAACAAGCGAAGAAGAGGTGTGAACCGCGGTGCGGGGAATCAAGAACCACAAAAAACTCGGGTAGAACGATTCGTTAGGGCGATTGATTATATCAGGAACTGCGTGAGAATTGGAAACTTCGGAAGGCGATTGATCAATCATCGTGAGAAAAAATTCGGGCGAAAAAAAGCTCCCGGTCGTAATATTTTTCCAGAGAATGATCAGATTGGTTGTTGGAATGCGACCTTTTGATTTCTAATTGACCCGGGTTCAAAATTTACAGGGGGGAAGGGTCCTGAAAGGAGCGACGAGACATTACGCGGAATCGAGAGAGTTTCACAGTTATCCTATTTTTTCCGCCTAGAAAAGCGAGCTCTATTCAAATAAAGAGACATTTGATTTTTGTAAACATTTCTGACGCCGAAAAGGTCCAGGTTACTGTAAAATACTCCTTTAATTTACCAATCGTGCCAGAGTTATTTAAAATAAAGGAATTTTCAGTGACTCTTCAACTTATTACTCGAGTCGGAGATTAATAAATCATGATTTTTTTGAGCGAATAATGAGTTTTTGAGAATAATTGAATACACATTTAAAAAAACTCCAAACTCTTGGAAAATGAAACTTTGAAAGAGAAATTTTTCTTTATTTTTTTCCGTGAATATCAATTGAATTCCTAAATTCCACTTTTTCAGCGTCTTAAAAATTAATGAACACTCTTCACAAGCTTTTTTTAAATTTTTTTAATCAAAAAAATACATGTTTACGAAAAATTTTTTTATAAAATAACTGATATTTTAAGTCAGTTCTAATTTTTATTTGAAAGTTTGCTTCATATTCTTTATTTCGATATTCTTTCGAACTTTTAGGTTTTTTTAAGATCATAAAGAAACTTAGAACACCATAGTCTGTCAGAAATGCTTTTTAACCCTTTTAAAGCCGAAAAAACTCAAACTCGGAATCAAATAGAACGTTTTTTTTCGCCTTGAGAACTTTTTTTCAAACTTCCACGTGTCTTTGAATAAATTAACAAGCTTCTGAGAAAGAAATGGCCAATCTATCGGGGCGAAATAAAGTTTTCGTTAGCTTCGAATTCCTTTTCAAAAAAAAGTAATCCATGGTCTGCTGATCCGAATCGGAAAACAGCGACCTCCGCGAGAATGTTTCCTTCTTCTTTGCTGTAAATTAATTAATCAGCAAAGAACCGTGACTTTTGACAAGGTCGAAACCGATGGTGGTGAGATTTCCGATGAGATTTGGCCTTGGAGGCATTTTTTTTTTTCAGGGAAAAAAACTGTACTTATCGGTGTTTCACTGACTTTCTGTCTTTGGGGTGGCAGAAATGGGAGAAAAAAATTGTGGAAGAGTTTTTTTCTCAAATTTTTTTAAAAAAAGCTGAGGGAAAAAAACTTTTTGAATTATTTTTTGATTTACTATTTATAAAAAAATCTTATCGGAATTATTGATAAATTGCTATTAGAAAAATTTAAATTTTTTTCGAAGTTTGAAGCCTCTTTTCGAAAATTAAAAAAATGAGCGGGAAGTCTAATTTGTTTTGATAAATTCTAAATATTTAACGGTAAAATGGAGAAAAAAAATTAAAAGGGTGAAACTCGAAAAAGAAAAAAATTATCAAAGAAGATTTCAGTTTTTCGATGAGGATTTTTTTCTGACTGAAATTTTAAAAATTAGGCTCCTTATTTTTTTCTGAAGAAAGTTCTCTAGAATCTGGTTTATCAATTTTATAAAAGTTGGGATTCAAATATTTCTGAACACGTAGGTTAGGAGGGGCTTTTTTTGACGTTTTTTTGTTATTTTTTTCCCTCCTTCTGAACTTTTTAGGTTCTGAAAAAAAACTCCCATTTACGATCATTTAGCGTTAAAAAAATTCCATTTCTAAAGACCATTTTTTTAAAAAAATAAAATTGAACCCTCTGAAACTCCACGACCTCGTTCAAAATCAAACAGGCGGAAAATCGAATTTCACGCCAGTTATAAAAAAAAAGGATTTTCACGGTTATAAAATGGAATGAAAAAAAGCCAATTTCTAGAGAAAATCGACGAATAATTGCCCTGACCCGTCCAATTTTCCACCGTTCAACAGTGCAATTTGACCCCGGGGGCCAAATAGAAGAGTTCGAACTCGTTTTGGGAAGGTTTTATTTGGAAAAGAATGATGAAACCCTCTTTTTTCTATTTGAACTCTCGAGAATATTTATATTCTGGAATGTTTTGAAAAGAAAAAATAGAGAAAAAAAAACGTGATTTATGTTGTTTTTTTTTCCTTCTTTTTTCCTGGTTTTTGGTCCAACTGTGCCGCCTGACGCCTATTCATAAATATAGACAAAGAATTGGGGAAATGGGCACAATAGAAATATTCATCTTTTTCATAAACATGAGGAATGATGTCTGGAATTTTTCCTTTTTAGAATGTTATTTCGGTTTTAAAAAAATTTGGGGTTTCCTGTTGTTTACATGAGTCATGGAACGTTCCAGGAATAAAAGAACAACCGGAAACGAAAAAAATAATTAAAAGTTCAATTATCAAATTTTGATTCATCAGTTGGAAGGATACAGTTGTTTCATTCATTCGAATTTTTGGTGAAACTGTGAGAAATCGGTATCTTGATTTGATTACGCTGAGCTCTGAAAGTATTGGAGAGCATTTCTCTCTGAAAATTGAATAGAAAAATATATTTGGCTTTTTAAAGTAAAATTTTTAAAATTGAAAAGGCGCCCGTAAATTATTAGTTATGTATTTCTTTCATTTTCACAGTTTTTTTAATTTTTTTGGAAAAATGAGGGTCAAGCGAAGTTTCCCAACGAAGTTCACCATCAGAAACTTGAGAATTCATTGAGAAATTGAGAAATTTATAATTTTAGGAACTTAAAAAATCTTCAAAGGCGTTTCTGTTTTTCTGAAAATTATTTCAACCCCCAACTTTTTAGAAAATCTTCTCCAATGGCTAATGAAACATCCTGGATATAATTCCTATTTCCCGGAAATTTGAAGGGTATGAAGAATAACGATTCACTTTAGGCTCAAAGATCGTAGAATTCTAAAGTGAGCCCATTTCGTAAAACTTGCTTCAAAATTCCGAGAGGGCATCATAATGACGCAATTTTGACACAAAAGGAGCCGAAACGAAACATTTCCCCACCTGTACCATTGAATTGTTATTCAACCAAAATATACCACAATAATCGTTGATCAAACCCAAAGAAAGGTCAAACCCAAGGGAACCAAAGAACGCCTCGAAAAGTAGAAAAAAAAAAATTGCCGCGGCCCCGCCTTCTCCCATTCTCGTGATACTGTATTCGCGCCTATAAATGCTCTACCTAACCGATTTGGTCAGATCATAACTATTCCTTTATTTTAACTCGTTCGAACCAAAATGCTACCAAGGATCCTACTATTCTCCTGCGCTTGGGCGATCTCGTTGGCCCAAGCTGGCCCAACCGTCTCCACTCGATATGGAGAGGTCGAAGGCTTCGAATCGGTGGGACGGGACGGAAACGTGGCCGAAGTCTTCTTGGCCATCCCCTACGCTAAGCCACCCGTTGGAGAACTCCGTTTTGAGGTTGGTTTAGGGATAAAATCTATTAGAAGTGTGAAAAAAAGTCCTTTTAAATAAAAAAATAATAAATCGGAACTTTTTTGTATGTCACGGCATCCAATTCTCCTCACTGGAAGATTTTTTTTATTACAAAGATACCAGGAAATTTGAATTTTTGTAAGCATCCTCTGAGCTTTCAGAAGTTGAATTTAGCGCCCATTTCAACTTTTCTCCATTTTTTCAAAGCATCTGGTCATCATTTCTCCCACGCTTTCTGGATCATCTCTCTTCTCGAATCCTATAATCCTTTTTGAAGCTTTCCGAGCGTTTTGTAATCTATCAGTGTTCTCAAAGCAGTTAATCATTTTCGGAGCTTGCAAATAATTCTCTTCAGAAGCCGGAGCTCCCTGAACCGTGGACCGGAGTCTACCACGCCACTCAGTTCCGCAACGACTGCACCCCTCACATGAAGAGCGCCACCCTGATGTCGGTCTACTCCGGCGAAGACTGCCTCACGTTCAACGTCGTCCGACCTAAAGGCAGCGAGGGCAAGAAGCTGCCCGTCCTGTTCTGGATCCACGGCGGCGGCTATGAGGTCGGCTCGGCCAGCCTCCACGGCTACAAGTCCTTCGTCGACAACTACGTCAAGCACGACATCATCGTCGTCAGCATTCAGTACCGTCTCGGGTTCCTTGGTTCGTGTTGCTGATAGTTCATTTGAAGCTGTCTCAAGCTGCCTGCGCTCTCTTGATTTTCGAAAGTAGAGCCCTGAGAGTATCTTGAACTTTCTCCTGATCTCTCAAAGCTCTAACACTCAGTAAGCGCTAGAAAAAGGAAAGAATCACGGATTATAGTCATTCATCGCTGAGTCCTTTAAATTTGCATATTTTCCAGGATTCTTCAGCGATGGCACTTCTGAAGTCACCGGAATGCAGGGAATGTTCGACGAAGCCGCGGCTTTGAAGTGAGAAACTCAAAATATCCAAAAAAATATATTTTTCCAATTTTCAGATTCGTCTATGATAATATTGATTCCTTCGGCGGAGATCGCAACGAAATCACCGTTTGGGGATACAGTGCCGGCGCCGGAAGCGTTTCTCAACTTTCCTTGAGTCCTTATAGTCGAGGTCAGGATTAAAAAAAAGAGCCTAAAAGACTTTTAAAAGGCTTCTGAAAACGGAATCTGACCTTGTTTTCCTTCCAGACTACTTTGCCCGGTCGATCATCATGTCGGGCAGCGCCTTCGCCGGCTGGGCCACGGGTCACCAAGTCGCCAACCACTGCTTGGCCTTGGCCAGGGTCGTTGGCTGCCATGGACCTCATCCCAAGGAGTGTCTCAAGACGAAGAGCATCGACGAGCTGATGGACGCCGTTGAAATTATTGGCGGAACCACGGACAACATCGACATCGTCAAGTTCGGCCCGACCTTGGACGGAGACTTCATCCCCTCGCATCCGAATGAGCTCGTCCGAGATGCCCCAGTCAAGCCGACGCTCATTGGCCTTTCCAGAAAGGAGGGAAACTTTTTCAGTGAGTTTTGAGTAGAACAATGGAACCGCTTACTTACAAAATGAAAAAGAGAAGTTTTCAAATGGTAAAAGGGAGGATTGTTGAGATTAACAATCAGATTAATAAAAAGTGCCTTGAGCAGCGCCTGAACGCCTTGAGCAGCGCCTGAACGCCTTGAGCAGCCCCTGAACGCCTTGAGCAGCGCCTGAACGCTTTGAGCAGCGCCTGAACGCCTTGAGCAGCGACTGAATGCCTTAAGCAGCGCCTTAAATTATATAAAGTGATAATCCTAAAATCCGATTGATTTTCTATATCTTCATTAACGACTCATTTTTCAAAACCAATTTCCTCAACAAAACATTCATTAAAAAATGATTGCAGCTGTCCTGAACATGCTCCCGCAAATCCATTCCTTCGGAATGAGCCCCAACGACTTGAAAACAATGAACGAATCCACCATCCTCAACGTCATCCAAAGGGTAAGTCCAAACAGACCAAGAGATTCACTGTACTCTGGTCTCAGAAGCTTCTCTATGACAACCGATTCGGCGAGAAGCAAGATTTGGCGGCGCGAAAAATCGCGGATCATTATTTGTCACGCGGCCGCCCCATCGACATCTATTCCCAAGGGAACGGCTTTTTCATCGACCGCTACACTGAGGTACAAGAAAGGCCATGATAAAATAAAGTCGAAGTTCATTCAGATCATGTCGGACATCACTTTCAACGTGCCGGTTCTTCGCGAGATTGAGAAGAAGCATGAAGTTGGAACCCCGATTTGGGCTTACATGTTCGACTACTACAATGACGCCTTGTTCAACGAACAAGTTCCTGAAGCTGCTAAAGGTAAGGAATTTCATAAAGTAAGGCTTTAAAAAGGGGAATTTTGTGAAGAGCTCAAAAAACTGCCTAGAATAGGGTCACAGGTAAATGAAATAGTATATTTCTCAAAACTGGTCACCTTTTACTTGAGTTCCAAAGATGATCGTTCAAAAACGGAACTTCCAGGCTCACCACACGCCAACGAGTACCACTACCTCTTCGAAATCCCAATGATTGGCCAAATCGACGTCAATGTTGGAGAAGATCGCCAAGTTCGCGACAACTTCATCGAGATGGTCGTCAGCTTCGCCAAGGATGGGTAAATCACCCGTTTTTCAAAGAATATACTATTTAAATTACTTTCAGACAACCAAAGGTGCAGAACAAGCCATGGGACCCAGTCCAGAACCCGAAAAATATCAACTTTATGCGTTTTACCAACAACGTTACCGCTGACGTTGGCTTGTTCTCAGGTTGGTTTCAATTTCAACTTTTCCCAAAGTTGCCCCATATCCTAATAATTGGAAAATTTTTCAGAAGCCGCGACTTTCTGGAATTCAATGGCTCATGAAGGCTTCGACGTCGTCGACCCATTATCGTCCTTTCCAACGTCCTCTTCGGTGATTTCTAGGCATTTCAGTGAAGAATTATAATATGTACCTATTTTTTTCTGTAAAATTTATTGTATATAATTTTATTGCTGATTTACCTGTGTTCATTGGTCTTCATGTACTTTTCTGATCTCGGGTCTGATATAAAATATTCTTTTTTTTCGACTTTGTCAGGTTTGCGAAAGGGAAAGATTCATTTTTGTACCATTGTTTCATATACAAACAGAAAAAGGAGTGTTTCGATGGCTCAAGGACGCTGGTTGTTCAGGAGCGAAGAGGAAGCCTGGGGAGCTGGTGAAGCGTCAGACTTTCCCTGTAAACTTGAAAATAAAGTTTTATTTTTTCATTCAGCCACTACTAAAACCACTGATTAACCTTAAAAGGCTTCGAAAGGATGTTTCAAAAGCTCGAAATTGAGAAAATCGACATTTTCAGAAAATTCTAAACTTCACACTACCTCCCTGTTAGATCCGTTAAGAAGCTCCTTAAGGCACTGTTTGACAAATATTTCAATATTTTCAGCCCCGCTAGACTTCTTGAAAAACTCTGATCATCTAAAACTCGCCTTGTTGGATCCCCAGGCGTAGTAGGCCGGGTAGGCAGCAGCAGCGTAGTATGGCGAGTAGGCAGCGTAGAACGGCGACACGGCTGGAACCACGGCTTCGTAGGCGGCTGGGACGACGACTTGAGCCTGACCGAGGGCCAGGAGAGCGGCGACGACGGCGATGATCATGCTGAAATTGTTGCATCATGTTGAGCTGTTAGAAAACTACAGAAATTCGAGTATTCTCATTTTTTTGTCTTTTTTCTGAGACTCAAAATCCGAATTGTTCTCTAATAGCTAGAGGAACACCAATTTCAACGTGAATTTTGAGATTTCTTGCAAAATTTGCCCTGAAGTTCATTCAAAGTGGCTGTTTTTCGATATAAAACACTGCTTAGAATGAACAAAAAGACCCTTTCAAAGAGCAAAAATCGAAAAATAGGAAATATTCAAGAAACCCATCAAAAAATGAGTAAGAGACTCACACTCGGGAGCTGAACATGTTGATTGGAATTGGGAGCGAACTTGAGTTGTACTTGGCTGTCCGCCACCGTATTTATACACTATACGGACCGAAAAGTTCCGGTTCCCGGCGCAAACTTCACGCGAGCTTCTTTTTTTTTCAGCTTTGTCGGTTGGCAATCGTTTTTTTTTGTGTACAAACATTGTAGAGGTAAAACTTGATATTGTGCTCGAGTCTATCGAGATCAGTGTGGTTTTTGAGCCGTTCTGTTTGAACTTCATTTTTGCAAGTGTTGCAGAAAAAATTACGATTTTTTTTTTGTGAGCTAAAATTGAATCAAACAAGCAACGGATAGCGGTATAGAATTATCGCGGTCATTTTTATGAAATTCTCAAGTTCGATTTTTTTCCTTTCTCCAAAACTTCTAAGCAAGTTTTCCTTATAGCCAACAAACTATTACCTTAAAAATCCTATTCACAAATTCCCGGAGTAGCACCATATCGGAAAGTCTGGCCGAACAGTTGAAAATGAGCCCAGGGAATTTTCGGCCAATTTCCCTACAAAAACCACTTTGTAAATAAAGTATTTTGTATTTTTTTTCGACTACCTTACTACAGTATTCGGTTTCGGGTTGGTCGCAAATTTGGAACGTTTCAAAGTCCGATTCGTACAAAACCTAGAAATCTAGCTACCTTAAAGATTTGATTTTAAACAAAAACCTCATTAAAAGTGTGATGAGGCATTGGAATCGTTTGCGATATTCTAAAAGGCTGGTCCGCGATCATATCACCTCTTCGGATGATTCGAAAAATGTTCTTAACCTGAATTTTTCAACTCAACCCTTTTTTCAAAAAACAAGACGGACCAATTTTTGATGAGCGATGACGTAATCTTCATCTCCGAATCTTGGAGAAGACCAAGGATACACAGCCAAATTTTTGATAGCGTAAAATTTGGCGATATGAAAACTGAATAAGCTGGCTAATGCTCCGCCCATCGAATGACCGGTCAACTGAAAAAATGTTTTTTTTTTTCGCGCCGTAAAGTATCCGCGACGCTCTACGTCAAAGTTTCTATTAGTTGATAGTTTCCGTTTCTCTATTTTCAAGGTTGTTTCTCGAAAAAAAGACTGAAAACAAGAAAAAAATAGACCCGAATATTTGCCTTTTTTGCCTTAAAATGCATAATATTTCCCCAAACTCTTACCACGACGCTGTAATGAGGATATTTTTGGAAAGTCGCATTGAACATATTGTCTATACCGTAGTCCAGAAGATCACGGTAGGCCCTACCGTAATAAGACACAACTTTTCCGCCCAAATGAAAATCGTCCATCATACCAAGACCGGCGTTCACAAACTGCATCATGAACTGGAAACGATTCATTTGATTCAAAACAAAAACTTAAGGGCGATTCTTTTTTTCAACGTCTAAGGACTACTTGAGGCGATGCTAAAGATACTGCCTGAGGCTTTTTTTTTAAATTTCTTTTGGGCCAAGAAGTAATTTGAAAGAATTCTCAGTATTTTTCTCTTTCCTCCATTTTTTGACTGTTCTAATTTTAGAAACAAAATTCCCAACCTGAGCAAAATAGTTCGAAGACCGGAAAGCTATAAAAATTTTACGAAGACTGTGATTGACCAAAATCAACACGGCAGTTGCTTTCTAAACTTTCGGCAGTAAACAAAAATCAATTTCACTTTTTAAAAAAACCAACCCCATCGAATTTCAACTTGACTTCGAATTTGTACAAGACCGAAATGTTGTAATTCAGTTTTGATAGGCAAGAATCCACCTAAAAGCTCCAACTTTTAAAAGAAAAAAAGGTTTTTTTTAAACCAACCCCTTCCGGAGGCGCTTTGGGGCTCACTCGATTCACAGCTTGAATATAGTAAATTATTTCGGATCTGAGAAAAATTAATCTTTCTTTCTTTTCTTTTTTTAAAACTAACCTTTGCTCCGTATCATTATATTTATCAATAAATTTACTGACAGCCGGACAATTTACATAATGAAGGACGGTTTTCGAAGGATGACAAAGATATTTTGAAGGCACACAAGATTTCGTTTCAAGACACCATCTGAAAATTTTAAAAATTTTTGTGAAAAAAAGGAAAAATTAACCTGCAAGTGAATAAGGCATCCTTCACAGCAGCACAACTTTTACAATCTTCAAATTTTTCGCATTGACATTTGATAAGAAATATACAGAAAACGTGGAAAAACAAAATAACTAATAGATTCTGCATGTTGGCAAAAGTTTAGGCAATAAGAAATTGAAGGAAATGAAAGCTTGCAGGTGGAAATCACGTAAATTATAGGGGATTTCGGCCTTTTTTTTGACATTTGAGATTAAATCAATGGCGAGGTATTTGTAGTTTAACAAAAAATTTTGCAAACTTTGAAAATTTCTCTAAAGTTTCTTTTGAAATTGTGAAAATCGAGTTTCTGATTCTGATAAATAAATACTACCTTCACTCTAAAAAAATAACAGTGAAGTTATATTGAAAAGGTGAGAAAAAAATCATACAGAAATAAATAATTTGAAATCGCAAGAAAAAAAGAAGAAGAAATCACTGGAATCGAGAGATCAACGATGGCCTGAAGAGGCGCCAGACAACTAGAGTTATGGCGCAGGCCGACGTTGATCTCTCGTTTTATCTTGGCCTGCAAGATTTTTTTTTTCCTTGACACATAGAAAAAATAATGTTCACACCGCCTGACAACAGTAAATATATCGATGAGAAAAAAATCAAAAATTTCAAAAAAAAATTTATTAAAATTCACACCGACAAAGAGGTTGACACAATCTTCAAAGCCTTTTTTTTCTATTTGAGAGCCTAAATTTCGTCTCTAAAGTGTTTTCACAACTATTTTCTGGTTGGATTCGAAGAAGCGTCCCCCTCGGATCGGGGCCGGAAAAGTCAATTTTTCCAATCGATTGCCAAATTTCAGACGCTTCGAAATTGTATAATCGCCTCTCGGGACATGGAGACCTGAAGAAAACTTTTCTTTTCGCAAAAATAATCGGAAAAAGATAGAAGTTTGGGAACCGACTTGTTACGAAAATCCGAAAATTCCGTGATTTCTCATAAATTCTAATAAATTGTACCCTCGAACTGCTTTTTTTAAAAAAATTCAAACAAACAGTGATTTTTTTGAAAAAAACTGCAAAAAAAGATATAATTTATTCCCGCTTCAATCTAATTCTCCTTATTTTGAATAACAGAAATCACTTCAAAGATAAATTTCGCCATGCAAAAAGTTTCGTCTTTCCGAGCCGATTCCAGAAATGGCATCCCCAAAAGTTCGGGATACTTTGGCCGCTCGTTGTAGTCCTTTTCCAAACTGAAAAAAATTTCCACTTTTTTTTTCATTTTGACTAAAACTGACTTAATTTCACTACGTAAACTCACCATCTTTTCACAAAATACTGGCAATCTAAACTGAATCCGTCTCTGGGCATTTTTTTGGTGGCGGTTCTACAACAACCTGAAATTTGAATTTCTGATCAAATCTAAACTGAAAATTTCAATTTTCGGTTAATATTTCATTTCAATCTCTTGAAAATTCTCAGACTTGTCAATCTCAAAAAAGGGCAGATATTTCAACTTTCACTCAAAAAAATAAACTTTTTGAAATTGTTCCGCGTAAAAAAACACTGTAAAGAAAAACATCACCTTGTTAAAAAAATTCGCACTCAGAAAAAAATTCAACTTGCCTTCTTTTTTTCGTTTTTAAGAGGCCGAATTTTTCAAAACCGTTTTAATCATTATTTTTCCCAATATAACACATCAAAAAAACCTGTTTCAACTGTTCAAACGGCGTTTTCCATGCAGAATAGGGATGCGTCCCCGTGGCGACTTCTATCTGAAAACGATAACATTAAAAAATTCCAGTAACTGAAAATTAAAATGTTATGAAAATTGGATGAGTTGAAACAGAGAACTATACCCGATTCATGACTAGCTTGGAACTCGAAGGGGGCGTGGCCTGTCTGCGCTCTCCACCAACAAGGCACTCTCTCTTTTCTATCGTGTCAGGACCCATTTTTGGATGGCTCAAGCCAGCCGTGAATCAGTTATACCAACTTTCAAGGATTTCATTTCAGACTGGACAAACTGGGAAAAGCTGTAGTGGGTCCTAAAGAGAGTTTGAGATTTATTTGGTCCTATAGGAAGTGTATTAGGACTAGGAAAATTAGGAGGAAGTTATTGATTTAATAAAAAATTGTAAAATTTGTGTCTTTTCATTACGCGCATCATTTCTTCACCAGGTGTTGAAAACTCTTTTTTCCCGAGTGACTATTTTTTTTTTGCAAATTCCCTATAGTGGGTCCTAAAGGAACATTTAGGAGGTCCTTTAGTATACCTCCGTAGGGAGTTTTTTTCTCCCTATAGTAGTCACTGCAGCTTTTTCCCAAAGGTCAATCAACTTGAGAAAACGTCGAAAAAAATTCTTATCGATGAAAAAAAGATTTTTTTCTTATTTTTTTAATTTTTAATCATTTCCCATCCCCCTCCGAATTTTTTTCTGTTTTCAAACTAAAAATGTCCTCAATGCACATGAATTTTTAAAATAAGAAATCTAATATTTAATTTCCTTTTTTTAACACTGACAATAGTGATTCCAAGGCTCCAGACGTCGGCCCGAACGTCGTAGGCCGATTTTGTTTCCCCGTCGATCCTTTCCGGCGGCATGTAAGGCTTACATCCGACTTGAACCGTCTGGAAAAAGTGCATTTTTTATGAACACTGAGCAAAACGGACCCCGAACTTTCGATTTTTCAAAAAACTGTTACTAGTTTTTCCGACAGTCTAATTTTTAAGGCTTCTTATCGAAACAGTAAAACGAGGCTATAAAAAAATAAAGTGATGAATCTTCTAATTGCATGTGAAATGGCTCGACCCGTTGCGGTTCCAATTATTTTTGCGCCCGCAAGTCGTTTTACGGGCGGGTGCAGTCAAGCCATTCCCCTTGCGACCAAGTCAAAGCATCATTCACCTTTGCGAAGCTGTTGGTGAGATGACCGGAAATGCCAAAGTCGCAAATTTTGGCTTGCCCTTGAAGGTTCAACAGAATATTGGAAGGTTTGACGTCGCGATGGATCAGATTCATCTTCTCCTTCATGAAATTCAGACCCTCCACCACGTCCAACGTCATTTTGGCGATGAACATTTCGGGAATTCTCCGGCCGACTTGATAGGATTTCCTGTAGAACTTGTCCAACGAGGTGTCCATCACTTCCATGCAAATCCAGACGTCTCCTTCGCGAAACATCGCGCCGAAAAATCGGACCATCTTAAAATGATATAAAAGACTTTTTGGATAATATAGAGGAGAAAAATCATTCAAATGAATAAACTGAGCTTTTTCAACATAAATTAGGCTAAAAATTAATTTTCCCATGAGTAAAAAAGGACAAAATGGCCTCGATATGAATACCGAAGCTATTAAAAAAAAAAAGAAAACAATTTCTAGAGAACTCGGTTTTAAAAATGAGAACAGTCTATCTTGAACAAGAAAAAACCAAATAAATATAGCAAATTTTTTTAAGAATTTCAGCGCTTTCTCGCAATTTTTCATGAATTTTTTTAGGTGCATTCTTGACTCAAAAAAAAATTAAGACTTAACGGGAGGTAAAAATTTAGAAGAAAAGCATAAAAGTCATAGGAATTCAGAACTTCATTTCTTGAAGACCTTAAAAAAACCAAAAAGAGAAATATCAAAACCTGAGGACAACAATCGCTCCGTTTACATGCGTCAAGTTCCGTTAACATTTGCTTCTGTGATTGGTCGTTTATTGAAGATTTTATTCGCTGAAAATCGAAAAATTGAAAATCTTTTCGAAATCATGAAAATTATAGCATTACGAAATTCCAAAAGGTATGAAAAAAAGAAAAAAATTAATGAAAACTTCAGATAGCATTTTTTTCGAAGTCCATTGACATTTTCAATCTCTTGTTGTCGTTTTTTTGAAGGCACGAATAATGATGTAGAATAACTTCTAAAGTGTCATTTAAAAAAATAATAAATGCACTGAAAAGATTTTTTATACGCAATACTCTGGAAAAATTGATGTTGACGGAATTATTTTAATGATAAAAAAACCTTGACAGCCATCACAGTTCCGCTTTGCTTGTGCTGCATCTTCTCAACAATTCCATATCCCCCAGATCCCAATTGCTCAATTACCATCAAATCCGTGGCACGAACTTCAATTTCTTCCGAATCGTCGGCCAACCTTTAAAAAAATATTCTTTCATTTTTCTTTCACATCTATAAATTAACTTTATTTTGCACCGATCATCAAGATTCAATGGCGGGGTAGCTAATTGGTCCGGCATTTGTAATTTTACTTCACTCGGTAGTTTCCGAGCTCGTCCTGAATTCAAAAAAACAAAAATCCAAAGCGAAAAGCTGAATAAATCACTTACGCGACATTCTGACCGCTTCGGGTAATGTCGACTAGCTATAAAACTGAAATATTATGTATTAGATAAACTGGGAGAAGAGAAACTGCGAAACAGGAGACAGAATGACGCAAAAACTTTTTTCATCGTAAATTATTTTCGTTGAGAAAAAAAAACGATGAATCATCATGAAAACAATTTCGAATCCATTAAGATAACAGAAAAATTGATCTTTTGGAAACTGCTGAGCACGCATTCATCAATAACAACAGCAAAAAGAAAAAAAAACGAAGAAAAAATGAAGCGAAAATAAATCAAAAAAGAGCAGAACGACGAACTTTTACACCGTGACGCGCAGAATATAGAAAATACTTTTTTGCTCGATTTTACAATTTATTTCACAAAGTTTTCTTTGAATTGATCAAACTGTTTACATCTATGAAACGAGAAGTCCCAAAAATCACGTGAACCATTTTCCCACCGTTCTTTCTCTTCCATAAAAGCCATTTGTCAATTTCATTTTTTGTGTCCCTTCTTTTTTTTTTTGTTTGAAACGCGTTCCTATAAAGAATTTTTGTTCTTTTTGCCAGTTTATTCGCAAAATCCAAGTTTATAATTTGCATAGTTCTGATCGAATAGGTACATGTGCGACACCGGTTTCTTATACCATTGGCCCTGAAATTTTGTATTTGAAAACATAATTTGGGCCTAAAAATCGAACCTTTAAACAATACTCTGTTTCAGGTTGATTACAGACCACATAATTTTCCGATAACATATGACTTTGGTAGAAGATCTAAAGAGAATATAATTTTCAACTTCAAAGCAGGGTAAAAAAAAACCTCAAAACCGTTATGATGGGGCGTCGGAATGGTTTGAGAAATACGAAATGGCAAGTCAGCTACAAAATCACCATCACGCACGATTCGGAAAGCTATTGGGACCTAAAAATGGGAGAAGATCAGTTTTTGAAAACTTTTCGAGCTTAAAACTGATTGAAACTCTTCTAAATTTTTGATCCGAACTCACATATTGATGATAGAGTTGTGTAAAAGTCTCATCACCACTTCTAGGTGATGACCAAGAATAAACTGTGACGTCGTTTCGACCCAATTTCATAGCGATATGAAGAGCGAAAATGTTGGCCAGGGTTCCTCCTAATGAGTGACCGGTCACCTGAAATCGGTAAGAACTTCGGGTAGGGTGAATCTATCCGTTTAATCTTCTCAAAACAAATTTTTTAATCTAATGCCGTGTTCAAAGTAATTTCCGCGAAATGCAAAATGATCTCTGACTCTCCAAAATTTAGTGATCTTTTCCTTTCTCTAACGGGTATTTTGCATTTCGCGGATTCAAATTGAACACGGCATAAAAGTCGTCGAAAAATTATATGCACGCCATATGCGCCATAGAGTTTACATTGGCGTATACTGAGTAACAGTGCGTAAATAATTTTTAAATTCAATTTTCCTTTATTTTTTCATTTAAATTTTTGAATTTTTTTGTTTATTATAAGTATACATATTAAATCATGCCATTTTTATAAATTGTTCAGAAACGCTTACTGGACTGTTTGAAGGCGCAGAAACTCCATTTAACAATTTGAAGCCTTTTTTTCAATATCATGAATAGTCCTGTGCATCTTTAAACACTCCAGCGAGAATTTTTCGCAAATATACAGTATAAACTTACAAATATGCTGTAGCCTAGATATTTCCTCATGTCTTCCTTCAAATAATCATCAAATCCATAATTCAAAATGTCTTGATAGGCCCTTGCATAATAGGAATTCATTTTTCCGCCAAAAGGCGACTCGTCCATCATTCCGAGAGCAAAAGTCAGATATTGGGTCATGAACTGAAATTATAGGCTTGATTATTTTCTGTGTGAGAAAAAAAAAACCTGAACTATGTCATTAGTGGAGCGAAAAGCCACTACAATGTGACGTCTGTCGTGGTTCACAGCGATCAAAATTCCAATATCTCTCTAAAAATATTTCAAAAATAAAAATTAGGTGTATGAAGCTAACATTTTCGAATCGTGTTGGAATCTCCAATTCGCGTAAAATCTCAATATTGGCTTTCAACTTGTTCAGACAGCTCAATGGCTGAAATTTCAAATTCATCAAAAACATAAACGAATTTTGAACTGACAGCTCCGACTGGCGACCAATGGCTAACACGATTCGCAGCTTGAATATAATATGAAACTTCCAATCTTTAATTTTATTTCAATAGGATTTCATCAAATTGATGGTTTTTACCTGTTCAAAGTATCATTATAATTAGTTGGCGGAGCCGAAGGACAATTTAAATAATGTTGGACCGTTTTTTTCGGGTGACACATGTATTTTGAAGGTACGCAGGAGCTTGAGGTGAAGCACCATCTTAATATTTTTAAATGATTTTTCAGGACACGAAAAACCGAACTGGAATTTTTTTGAAGAAAAACCTTAGTTCCAGTTTTCTTGTACCTCTGAAATCTTATGAAGTGGACTCTTTAGCGAGTTGAAATTACACTTTAAATGATCCCTGAGGGGCTTCGGTTTTTTTTCAGTGGAATTATTTTCGTTTCTCCATGCGAGTAGAAGTAAAACTTGTTATCGGCAGTTTTATTAGAGCTTCAAAAGTCTGAGGTGCCCTTTAAGTGACCTCATTTTGACTTTTATTATCTCCTGTCTGGTGGCAAAGAACGATATTTCTTTTTTCTTTTCTGAAATTAGAAGGAAAGTTCACCTGCACTGAAACCCTGCATGTTGATTCGAAGCACAAGATTCACAGCTGGTGTAAATCGAGCAGAAATCTTGACAAAAGCCATTCAATATGACACCATCGAATAGGAATAGAATAGTGAAAATGAGCATTGAACAGCTACAAAGTGAGCTCACAAGCCTATTGACGTGCTTATCAGGCCAAAAAGACGAAAAAATAGGAGAATATTGCGATGAATAAGAGTCAGGGGAGCGGAAAATTAGGCGCAGGTGTTATGGGCAGCAAATTTCGCTTGACGAAAAAGAACTTGAGTTAGGGAGGTAAAAAGAAAGACGTGAAAATAGTTATTAAAAAAGGAAAGTTCATTTTTCTTTCCATTTTCATATCACTAAACAACAGCATTTTTCAAATTGAGTCTAAAATTTTGAGATCTGATTTTTTTTTACTTCTTTTAAAAAAATGTCACAAAAAGTTTTCAAATGACAAAAACTGAAACGGCTATGGAAAAAAGAAAACGGTGGTGACTTGAAGAGAGGCCAGAGAAGCCCGAAATATCTCTTTCTCTGCCGTCTCTTCAGGCTGTCGTTGATCTCTCATAATTTGTAATTTTACCATTTACCTTTCTTTTTTGCAAACTCCTATAGACCAACCAACTTTTATTATATGTACATGAAAAAAAATTATTATCATTGTTATCCAATCATAGTTGGGTTGAGTCGGTTCTGGACCAATCGGCTCATGATCTTGTCCTTCGGGATCACGAACAAGTTGACGTTCGGCACGACATGACCATAGTGCATGTGACGATCCGCCATGTAGTTGAGGTACTTGAAAAAGTTCAGCTAATTATTCAAGATGCAGAAAATTACCTTGAAGGTGTAAGGAGCTCGTTCGTTAGGGTCGGAAAGAGAAAGTGGGAATTCCATGGCGCTGTTGAGGATACCGTTGCCACCTCCTGTAAGTTTATCAAATTTTTGAGGTTTCTAGCCTTTTTTGGAAGATTCTGAGAGTTCATAGGAGTTTTTTCATGGCTCCAGCTTTTCATAGAGATTATGCCGTGTTCAAAGTGATTCCGCAAAATCCAAAATAGCGGTCAGAGAAAGAAAAAGATGACTGAATTTTGGAGAGTCAGAGATCATTTTGCATTTCGCGGAAATTACTTTGAACACGGCATAAAGAGCGCAAAAAATGTGAGTGAGAGATCAACCTTCCCGAAGAGACACCAGAGAAAGAGACCTGACCTCTTTCTCTGCTGTCTCTTCGGGCAGTCATTAATCTCTCGCCTCTTGTCATTGTGAATGAAAACGTTTTTCGTTAGAGCGACGAGCGTCAAAAGAGACGCCATCTACCGTTTAAATCATAAAATAATTTTCTACTGACTTATTAGTGTCAGGCCCTTTTTTCTAGCTCTTTGAAAGGTTCCATGAAAATATGGAACCTCAGAAAATTTCCGATTTCCACCCACCTTTCACCATGAATCTTCCATCAAAGTCGAACAATTCATTGATTCCAGGCAGCGGAAGGTTGAAATTGCCGGAAACTTCTCGGATCTTCGCCAAATCGTACTCGGCACCGACAGCCATGGCTGTCAAGAATGGCTGGTACATGCCGTCATTGGCGTTCAGAGGAGCGTCGGCGAAACCGTCAAAGTTCTTTCGGACGTTCAGGCCCATGTTGTTGACTCCCTGGAAGGAAGTTAGAAGGGATGAAAGCTTCGATTTGTGGTACGATTAGTTGGAGCCGTCCTCATAGGTTCTAGAGAACACAGGAAATAGAATGGTGGGTTGGAAAAATCACTTAAGGATTTTGGTGTTTAGAAAATCAAGGTGAGAGATTGTAGATTACTTTGAAGTTAGGATGAGATGTCGGGCATGTTTTTCAAGGCTTTTAGGGGGGGCTGATTTTAGAGATATGAAGTTGAAGAGGTCACTCAAGTGTTTTGTAGTTTAAATGTAGAGATCTGGACTTTTAGTGGTCCCTAAAAGTTCGTCAGTTCAAAACATTCAGAACAAGAAGTAGGAGGGCCTCTTTAGAGTGCAGAAGTCGAGATGATCTCTTTGTTTTCTGACTCGGTCCGTGGTCGGACGCGCCCGGGACGTATAGTGACCACTTTAGTAGCGTCAATACACTTAAGTGATCTCTAGAATTGCTCAGAAACGTCTGGAGCTCGTCCGGTCTTCGTCACCGAGCTCCGACTAAAGTGCTCAGAAAGTTAAAATTTAGCCATGGAGCGCAATACTTCTGAACAGGTTTGAACTCTATCAAGCTATTTCTTATGAAGTCTTCCATCTATCTTGCTTTCAAATTTTTTTCAAAGATCAAAAACATCATATTCTTCCAAACTTCTTCTCACTCACATTTACTGCAAATCCAGCGCCCCAGGCGTCGACAAGATCTTCAGTGTATACTGCTGACACAGCTTGTGTGAAGGGGTTGAACGCGGAACTGAATGATTATTTTCAAAAAAAAAAAAAAATGAAAAGATAAAGACTCTGTGAAGTTCATTAAGCACGATGAATCATTGAGGCTTTTTGAAATTCAGAAAATTTTTTGCACCTCACGCATCAACGGTTTTGATGAGAAGATACGTCACAAATATTTTTCTTGCGCTTCGAAAAGTTGTCCCTGATAAAACATAAGTCATCGACGGAATCAGGAAGATTTTTTATGTGGAACAGTGGTCTCTATAGGGGTTAGTCTGGCTGAGAAGAATTCAAGTAGTCATTTAAAAGAAAAAAAAGACTTTTCAAAATGTTTGTCTCCAGAAGTCACTGTTTCAAGAGGTTACTTTAAAAAAGAAGGAAAAAATGTTTTCCAAGCTTCAAAATCATTTAAGTGACCACTTGGCTATCAAACCTCCCGATTTCGGTTGAAATTTTCTATTAGAGATAAATTAGTTCCTAGTCCCTAAAATGACCACTTGAACTTCTCCCACTCAAGCTGGTTTTAGAGCATCTCATACTTCATTCTGACGGCTAATCCTAATTTTCAACCTTTTCAGGAGTTAATTATTAATTTTTCTGCACAATGATTTTATACCTGGCTTTCAAAAAATCCGAAGAATTTCTTTTTTCAAAACTTACCGTCCAGAAAACACGGCTTGCTGTCCCGGAAGTGATACGTCGGGAACGGTTTGGGGCTTTTCACTGGCCTATAATTCAATTTTAATCATTTTCGATTAGTTTTGGTTAAAAATAGACCGATAACTATGAAATAGACCTTGTCACCAGCGATATAAAGTCCAGGGAAAAACGGTCCGGATCTTTCGTCAGTCATTCCAGTTGGTAGTTGAAGTAGACCCAAGCCTCTAGGTCGGTCTCGAATGAATGGGGCTGAAAAAGATGAGAAAATTTAAAGAAAGATTCGGATTTCAGGCTTCAAAAAATTAAAAAAAATGTGAATGAGAAAATTTATCCGACCTCTTGCGATGACGGCTTCTAGGATTGATAGAAGGACGCATATTGATAAGAGATACATATAGTTGAGAACGACTGATGCTCTGAAAACCCTTGAAACGATTAAAATTACACAAAACCTCAAAAAAAAATGAATGAATAAAAACGAAGGAAATTCGACCAAAACAGTAAATTTTCAGGACCGTTTTTGATATTCAGGCTTGTGCGAGGGCCGGTCCGTCACCCTCCCGGACCCCCGATTATTTCGTAAGCCCGGCCCGGCCCGGCCTTAGCGGGCCTTAAAAAATAAATGGCCCGCCTGGCCCAAAACGCCCAATTTTTTTCTAGTCGGAGATCAAGTTTTTTAACGACAAAATTCAAGTTTTTGCTCATTTTTTCACTTAAAGTTTAACAAAAACCATGATTTCAAAAAGTAAAAAGTAACATTTCGGTGAAAAATTTTTTTAAATAAAATTTTTAAATTTTTTTGAAGCCCGGCCCGGGCCGGGCCGCTCGGCCTGACGCACAAGCCTGTTGATATTGAAATGTATGCCTTTTCTCGATTGTAAATATGCTCTATTGATAATGAGGTTAGTGAAACCGAAAAGGAATATTTTGAATTTTCAAGGGTTTTAGAAATTTTGGAAATGTGAACAGCATGGAAGCACAATTAAAAAAATCTACTAAAGTTCAAAAATGAAACTTCACTGAAACCGAAAAAAGAGCTATCATCCAAAAAAAAAAGTCTTCAAGAAGTTTTCTAGCTCGGACATTGATAACGCGAAACGGACGTTTCTGCGCGGTTCTAGGGATCACTTAAGAGTTCTGAGGCTACTAAAGTGGTCACTAGAAATGCCCCGACGGCGTTACCAAGGTCCGAGAGCGAAAAGGTAGACAAACTTCAACAGAAAAAGTTCTCTATCGATAACTTCAACTTAATAAGACGTGAAAACTGAGAATCTTACAAGGCTCAGAAGAAGTCTAGAAAAACTTTTCCGCGATAATAAAGCTTCAAAAAATTTCGAGGCATTCAAACCTCTAGGAACATTTTGAAGCATACTCTATCAAAGTTCGTAACTGAAACTTCAATCAGTTCACAAAAAAGACAAAAGAAAAGTGAATTCAACTTTGACCGAGACGGGACGAGGTGATTTCTGTAACTGGAAACACGTTGACGGCGAGGAGATCTCTGGGAAAACTGGCTTGACCGCAGGTGTATTCCGACCTGTCTTATCAAAGAGTGACCCCCTGACGTTCAGCTTCTTCTCGGCTTCTTCCCTTTTGTTCTTTTCCTTTCCTTTCTGGATCGGGAACCACGTCATGAACCTTGAAAGACCGAAAAATGGCCTAAAAATTTGGAATCAGCAAATAATCAAACTTTAATTGATATGCTTTAAAATAACTTTTTGATTAGAATTGAACCTTAAAGTTTCTCACTAAAAAAAAGATAACTGAAAAAGTTCATGAAGCATTTTTTTTAAAAACTGGCTGAATATTTAACGCCATTTATATTCAAAAAATGGACCCCTCACCAGCGTTTCAATAATTTTGACGCATCTGTTTTTGCATTCATTCCATTTTTAACAGTATTTGATCCTGAAAAATATCCTTCTGTGAATTTCGAAATGAGGTTGCAGTTAGAATGGCTTGCAAAGAAACGCGCCCGACCCAAAACGATTTGCGCGAGGACATTATAAATACACGTTCTGCGTTGAAATCTGTAATTTCCAAGCCGGAAACTTCATTTTATCACCGATTCTCCTCTGATTTTTTTCTGATAGCTCACTACAAATGTCACCAGTGAAGCTAGATACAGGGGAGGAACGTCTCAGTTATGAGCAGACTTGAGGAAAAAAGGCGTACTCAATTACAAGTTTACCCAGCCATCAATTAGGGCAGCCTCAGCTTCCAAACTTTACTTCGCACCAAAAAGTGTTCGATATGACTTTTTCCCTACCTTTTCCGACCAGTTTTCTCATTATTTTCGCTGTCGAACTGATAATGGTATCGGCTAGTATATTCTTGTCGTGCTACATGGGGATCACATTCATCAAAAACTACAAAAAGTTCATGGTCGGTTATAATATTATATCTAGGGACCGCAAGCCATTTCTTCAGAACGATTCAAAAATTATGTTTTTCACATTGTTCGATAGAGGAGACTGTCCATTTTCATAATCCGTTTAGTTTTTGAAAAAAGCTTCACTAAGAAAAAAGTTATGGCCAAAAAACGAGCGCACGCGGCGTACAACTGGAGGCAAAATCTCACGGTTTACCTGCTGCCGCACGCTTTCTTTTTAAAGGTTGTTGCGCGTTTCTGGACCGTTTTTAAATCGGTTTTCTGTTCTGAGAGGTTGTCCGAACTGAGCTTCATGTTTTGGTATGAATCTTTTGTACAATCCTCATAAGAATTTTTTTGATAAAATATCAAAAAAACTACCTAGAAAAAAAGGTCAAAGGGATTTTTTTCAGCTTATTTTTTTCTTTTTTTCTACTCACAAAAAAATTATTATCATTCGATTTGGAAAAAAAGAAAAAAAATGAAAAAAATAATGTTATTTCGAAATAAAAACAGGAAAAAAAGTGCAATTTGACTCCGAAAAACGGCTCCTGCGACATTTAAAAGGGCGCATCGGTGTGTTTGACGCAAACACTGCTACGGACACTTGCACGAAACCCTCCAAAATTTCAAAAAAAATTGCCATTTTTTCGAGGTTTTCAAAGCCGTTATTTTTTTCGCGTCGATCGATTTTTTTCATAATTTTTTTCATTGATAGAGTTTTTGAACGCTTAATAACCTGATCAAAAGTATAGACGCGATCCTATTCTCTCATGCGTCAACGAGGCAGGCGAAAAATGGAGGTTTTGGTAAAATCCAAATATAATTTGATTCGCTGTCCCAATAATTATTTTTCATTTTTGAATTTTTTTATTCTTGGACACACTGTTAGTTTTTTTAAATCAAATAAAAAGTATACCATGTCGCTGAAATTTTTTTCGCATTTCAGCTTCAAAGTTTGGTGTCACTTTACAAGCTTTAATATTTTTTTCGCGTCGGTAGATTTTTTTCATTTTCACTCAAAAAAAATAAAGAAAGTGTTAATGTATAACATACTTAAAAATTTAGAAGCGTTCCTCACTTGGTTTTCTGAAACGCGACGATTTTTGTGAAACTTGTCAGTTTTTTTCGTGTTAAATCTTACTTTTTTTCGCTTATTTTTTTGAAAAAAATACATAGTTTAAAAAAAATATTCAGTCTTGTAGAGCGTTGTCGATTACATAGATTAACAGAAACAGTTCATTTTTTTAAAGTGGGACTTTAGCTAGTATAAACGCCTCAAAACCGTTTTTGCAACAAAAAAATCGTCATTTTGGTGGCGTGAAGGGGCGGGGCTTTGCGCCCCCTAATTATATCATTGACAAAAAGAGTTATTTACCAATTTTGAGTGTCCCGATAGAGCCTTCTAAACCATTTCGAAACTAAAACCCATAAGAATTATTCTGTGGCTGGATTTAAACAAAAAATTTGAAATTGGGAAACCAAAGTTTTAAAATGATGCATACTCTGGGAAATTTTCTAGGGGTCACTATAGGGTTTTGACGTTTTAGTGGTCACTACAGTAGTCAATTTAGTGGCCACTTGAGGGGTTAAAAGTTAGTGGCCACTATAGAGGTCCATGTGCTACGACTAGACCACTAAAAATTTTAGTGGTCACTTTAGGGGTCAATGGATCAACATATCTGGTCCCATCTGTTTTTTTTTTTTAAATTATCAGAGCTACTGGAAGGAATACTGGATGAAAAATTACTGAAATGGCCACTAAATAGCGAATCTCTATAGTGGCCAATAAAACGGAAAATAGTGGCCACTATAGGATGAGTTTAGTGGCCAGTCTCTATATATAGTATAGTGGTCATTAAACCCACCTCTATAGTGACCACTAAAAACATTCCCAGCTCGAAAAAAAATAATTTTTTGAAAATAAATAAAACTAATTTTTTTTTTCTTGACTGTGCCAGGCCAACGAACTACTTTCATAGGGGTGCTGAACGAAATTTTCCTAAAGAAAATATTTTTGCATCTAAATTTTCCAGAACACCCCATATCAATCGATTCAACTAACTTTCGCGGTCGCCGTTATTCGCCGGATAATTGTTCAAATATTCCGTTACATTCGTCTTTTTGGAGAAGCTTCGGCGTTTGACAGAGAATATTCAATGTCGAAATCGAAGGTGATCCTCACAGAGTACCTCTTTCATTTGGTTGTGGTTAATATTATTCTATCGGAGGCTGCGGGAATGGCGAATAAGCTTTTGGCTTTGGATATTTACATCTTGGACAAGTTAGTCGAGATTTATTGAATTTTTTAATTTTTTAAATGATTTTAAGCTTTTTATCAATTTCATAAAGCTTCATGAGATTTTTTAAAGGATTTTTGACACTTCTAGGAGCTTACTGAAGCTTTCTGGAACGTTATTTGGAAACATTAAGGGACTTTCTGACGTTTCTTTGGATTTTCTAAGCTTTTTAAAACTTTTAAGATGTTTATAAAGCTTTCAGAGCCGTTTCAGAACATCTTGCAGATTCGAAAATGCTTTAAAATGGTTCCAAAGGTGTCAAAAGCTTATTAATGAAAAAAAAAAACTCTTCTTCTTTTAATGATTTTCAACTCTTTTTTTTCAGAGCCGCCCGTTACGTAACCTTGTTAATCTCCGTCTTTTTCACAGTTTTGTCAACTGCTGTAGCAAACCACGATTCTCAGTTCATCATTATTTACAGGGATTCGTTTGCTTATACGCAAGGGGTTAACTGGGTAATTCTCAAAAAATTACTCTCTGAAAAAAACTTGAAAAATGGATAAATTCACCAAAAAACCTTATTCCTTGAGCGCGTCATAATTATTGACTCACTCTTACTTTCAATTTTTCATTTGGGGTGAATTGAAAGAAAAATAAAAATAAAAAAATGGAAAAAAAGAAGTCTAGAAATTTTTGTAAAAAAACAAAAACCTGCAACAACAGTTTCATTGGAAACAAATTTACAAAAAAATAAAAAAAGTTTTTTTCAATTGAATTTTTTTGGATCTCCCTTTTTCAGTATTCCATATTTTTCAATGATTTTTCCCCAGGCTCTCCACATTGCTTTATTTTTCGTACCTGTCCTCACAGTTATGACCTCTGTATACGCCCGATTCAATTTCCCGACCCAAAATCTCAAAGTGATCCATTTCAAGCTCTGGGTCGACATGCTCACGTTCGGCGCCTGTTTTGGATTGGTTGGTTTTTTTTTCCAGTTTGTCTGCTAGGAGAAGTTTGAAAAAAGATTGTTAGACAAGCTTCAATTATTTTCTGAGAGATTTGAATAGGTTGAAAAAAAGAAACCCTCAAAAAGCTTAGAGTCTATATTTTTTTAACTTAGAACGTTTTTAAAAAAAGAGCTGAGGCTCAAAAATGCTCTCATAGAGTTTGAAAAAGCCACAGGAAACTTTGAAAAAAACAGATTCAATGAATTTTAAAGACTCTAATATCCTTTAAGAATTTTTCCACTTGCCTCCAAGGATTTCCTTAAAACTGAAAAAAATTACTACTGAAGTTTCAAAAAAATTTTTCTTAAAACCAGAAAAAGTTCTGAAAAAGCTATTAATTTTGAAGGCGTTAAAAGTTAGAAAAAAAACTCTTAAAGAGCTTTTAAACAGCTTGAAATATTTCAGAAAAAGCCCTGGACGTCTCGAAAAATCTGTAAAAATCCAATAAACACTCCTAGAACTCAAAAAGTTCGCAAATCACATCTTCCTTTAGCAATCCTTTTTTTTCCAAAGAAAGAACAAAATGAAATTTGATCATTATCATAAAAAAAAAGATTCAGATGTCCCACGTCTACTGGACCGCGATATTCTTTCTCGACAGCTTAAAATATGGATTCCCGTTATGTCTCTACCTTACGATATTCTCCTGTATCCCGGAAATTGTCATCCCTCTAGTGATTATTGTCAAGAAAACCGATTTGTTCAGAACAATGTTCAATAGAGGCTCAACGGTCTTGTTTATTTGAACTTGCTGAATTTTTTATGAATAAAAAATTTTTTTCGAGATTCTTGTTTTTTCCAAGTTTTTTTCTATAGCTTTTCACTACGAAACTTTTAATTATCTATCTTTTGGGGTAAAAAGAAATTTGAATCACCAAAATTACCTCCTAAGTAGATTTGAGATAACAGAATAGTTAATACACATATTTGCGATGAAATATGGAAAAACTGATAAAAAAATATAAGCCTAAGAAAAAATGAGAATCATTGAATATCCAGATGAGTACTATAGTCTGTTCAGATTTTGATTGTCAAGTCGTCGCTCAAGCCCCGCCCCTAATGGTGCGATAAACCAATCAGAGAGCGAGCCACCCACAGAGCGTTTTCGAATGACGTCATTGCACTTAATAGATAGTTTATTCACTGCCATTATTTAACATAAAAAAAAAATAATTGAAGAATAGATGATCAAGTGAAGGAATAGGCAGAGAAATAACAATACACGGGAAAGAGTCAACCCCAACGGCACTTGACATTAAAAATATGAACAGACTGTAAAAAAAGGTCCAGCTCTCCATTTTGAAGAAACTCGCGAATTTTCTCACTTTTTATGGGTATTGTGGAATATTTCATAACACAGCTTAGTACAGGGATCCTTACAGGAGTACTGCATACAAAAAATTTAATTATTACTAAAAATGACCTTTTCGTGCTTTTCTCTGAACACATTCAAACTTCCCCGATGATTTTTCAATTCAAATCAGGTTTTAAGACAACTGAACCATAGTTTACTTCTCTAAAACGATAAATCTCACAATTTCGAGCAAATATCCCTATAAACAGGCCTCACCACCTCAAAACCATGCAGAGACAAATGATGAGAGGCCGAAAAATACACCAATCCCTTATCATCGGCCATCCGAAAAACACCCGTCCCGTTTTCGTCCCTAAATACCGGCTCCAAATCGATCCTCTCGCACTTGGGACCGCAGTCTTGCAAAAGTTGGGCCGTCCTCATCCGAGCCGCGATATTCCCAGCTACGGAGACCGGATCCGTCAGAAGTTCCTGAAAGGAAACTGATCCTTGCACAGAAAACGATTTTTCATCGGTTTGAAAAATTTCAATTCCGTTTTTTCTTCTAATCTCGAGAAAAGCTAGAAATGGGTGACGTATTCAAAAACTGTCAGCAAGCTTCAAAAAGTTCAAGAAACCCCCAAAAGATTGTGAAAAGCCAAAAGATTCATCGAAAAACCTCTGCAAAAAAACGGGAGTCTTTTAAATTTTGAGGGAGCTTCAGAAATTTTAAAGTCCTGAAAGTTTCAATATGGATCAAAAATCACTCAAATGGTAAAGTTTCTGGAGGAGACTTTTTTAGAGAAAAATAGGTGTTTCCGAATAAGAGAGAATATTTAATAATCAATAAAAGCGTCCTAGAAGGATGAACCGTTTGGATGAAAAAGTTGAGATATGAGAGAACAGTGACGGCCTGAAGAGACGTCAGAGAAAGAGAAAACATCATTTTCTCTAGCGTCTCTTCAAACTATGAAATCAATAAAAACGCAGAGGAAAGAAGAGTGAGCTGAAGTGAGATAAACGACGGCTTTGGAGAGACGTCAGAGAAATGAGACGATCTCTTTTTCTCTGCAGTCTCTTCTGGATACCACCTGTTTACCTGATGAATCGGAATATTCTCTCTCAAGGCCTTGTTGATCATCTTGACGATATAACGATCGCTTCGAGGGATCGAATCGAGAAGGAAAATCTTCTTCTTCACCAGCTCCCGATATTTCAAAAGTTGATCTTTCGCAACTTTGTAGATTTCGTCGTCCGTAACGATGTGGGTCTTGAACGGCTCCATTAAGGAGATTGGCCTAAAAAGGTAAAATATTCAAAAATTGAACTTTTTCTTCAATTTTGTATTTTTATAGTAGCTTTCTGACCTTTTTTAAAACAGGAAAAAAAGCGCAAAATCTCATTGAAAAAAATTATAAAACACCATACCTATAAATGATGAAAAGAATATCCGGCTTAATACTTTTCAAATTGTTGACAAAAGTCGTGAAGCTTTCCTTGCAACGTTCCTGATTGTGGGTTGGATAGGTTGGTTCGCAACCTGGAAAAAAATGATAGAAAATACGAAATACCTTTTCGAAATGACGTCATCTCAATAAAAAGATAATGACGTCATTATTGCAAAAATAAGACCTTTGAAAAAATGATAAATGATTGAAAACCTAGAAAACTTTGAAATGACGTCATTTTTACAAAAACAGAACCAAAACGATTAAAAAAAACAAAAAAAAGATAATGACGTCAGTTTTACAAAAATAAGACTTCTCTTGAAAAAAATGATTGAAAACCCAAATATGCTTGAAATGACGTTACTTCATCTTAAGAGAAAGAAAATGACGTCATTAAAAAAAATATGACCTTTTTAGAAAATACTATAAAGAACCCAAAAATGTTTGAAATGACGTCACTGTGTCTCAATGAAAAAAATATAATGACGTCATTTCTGCGAAATAATGACCAAAAACTTTTAGAAAATATTAAAAAATAGTGACGTCATTTTTTAGAGAAAAGTACCCACGGAAAAAAGAAAAAAGTGACAAAAATCATAGGTTAAGAAACATTGATTATATTGATTTTTTTTTTGATGACGTCACCACAAAAACGCTAATATTTTACGTCATTTTCAAGTCATTAATGGAAGAACTCGCCGTAAGAACTGTAAAGTGACATATTTCTGGCTTTATCCCGGCACTCGTCGTAGATCAGTTTTCCGTTGTTGGCCGCCCAACTGTTGCCCATAATCATGATTGTCTGACTCGCAGTTTTAGAAAGGTTCTGAATAAAAAAATGCCTTTTTCAGTCGAAACTCCGAGTTTTTTTTCTTACCTTGAAACGACACCAATCAAAAGGTCCTCGAGTATCGTACTCACATTCCGGAATCATCATCACATCGTCGTCATTGTTCTCGTACCAATTGTTGAGAGCTATCACTTGATCTGAAAATATTTCATGCTACTTTATCTCCAGAATCAAATGAATAAGTTCAAAACTCTATTGGGTAAAAGAAAAATGAAGAAAATATTCCATCTAGGCAAATCAGGAGGGTGAGAGTGGTCCCTATAGGGGCAACTTCAGGGCCCTTAAAAGTTCCCTCTAGGGACCACTTCACCTCTTCCTATAGAAGGCACTGAAGATTGCAAAACGTGGTTCCAAGGAGGCTTGAGAAAGGGCCCCAAGAGCGTTTGAAAAAGGACCCCTAGAGGGCTTGCAAAAGTGGACCCTCTAGGGGATTTTGTTAGTGGCGAGGAAGACTATTTTGATTCCCATAGCGACTGTTTTTTCCCTAACCTCTCTAGGGGCCACTCTGGCGTTCGTAAGTACAATAAGTCTACTCCTACGATTTCTACAACGATTATTTTGAAAAGATTTGAAATAAAAAGGTTGACGCTATTGAAATTTATAGTCCGTTTTTCGCGACTTGGGCGGGACTTCTCTGCGCCCTCCTTATCTCTCGACGCCACTCTCATGTCTACGTACTATTTCCATGTTGCTCTGACCTCGCCGCTGAGAGAACAGAAAGACGCAGACACCCGAAAACTGTCAACTCGAGGCGGATGAACTCTACCAGCTTCCGAAAGTTTTTCAACAAAATGTCGTCATTAATTTTTGTATTTTTCACAACTCTATCATGAAATTTTTTTTTCAAAATCGAAAAAAAAACCAACCAAGGGTCAAGTTCTTCCTGTCCAAGTGCTTCAACGTGTTGATATAACTTTCTTTTTGCAAGTTCTCGTTAACTTTCATAGTTTGGTAGAGACCAATGTTCGCAATGTATAGAAAGACGATGGTCATGAATAAAATACGAGGTGAGGATTGTAGGGACCATCTGAAAAAAAGTATTTTTGAAAAACTTTCAGAGGTAAAAAATTGATTGAAAAAAAAATTGAAGAAAAATTCTCAATTATTTTTTTTTCAAGTTCTGCACCATTTTAACTACTATTTTCCTAAATTCAGTTATTTCAAAGAGCTTTTTATTTCTAAATTGCGGATCATAGCCTTCAAAAAACGACGAAAAAGTCAATAAAGTATACAATTTTCGAGTTTCGACGCTTTTTTTTCGAGTTTTTCGGATTTTCAGTCATTGAAACTGAGATTTTTCTAGCTTATACAGTGTTACAGTGCTTCTTGATCAATTTCAGACACATAAACTCTCAAAAAAAAGAGAAAAAACAATAAGAACCTCTCAAAAGTGTAAGTGATCACTGTAGCCAGAGCGATGCTCAAAACAATCCCACAGAATAAATCTGAAAAATTAACTAGTTGATTTTTCAAGTGAAAATCTTCTCACTGATGTTATTCAAGCCCAGAATCAGCTTTATATAGGCAAAAATGGGCCAATGGACAAGGTAAAGGCTGTAGGAAATGTCGCCAAAGAACGTGAGGAGTCGAATCGATAGAAATCTCGTATTTTGTGGGTTTTCGGCAATTAGAAGACCAGTCATTAATGTGATATTTAATCTGAAAATCCAAAATTAGCTCGAATTTTAAAAAAAGGTCTGGGTATTCATTTTATAGGGTACTTTCATTTTTTTCGAAAAAAACGGCTTTTTCCAAAATTATTTTTTTAAATCGGCTTATACTCCCGAGTTTCAATGAATTTTCGATCTTTTTTTCCAACTTTTTTTAAAAATTTTTTTCTTGAAAAAAATTTCAATTCAAACCTCAAATAGTGTTGATTAATGTCCAATGGTGAGAAAGAGCCCAAAATAAGGAAGAAAATATTGATCAACGTGTGATAATTCTTACATTTTTTTCTGAAACTTTTCTTTTTAAAAAAATCTACAAAATCCTAAACTTCTCTCTTCATTTTTCTGTTCCATTCTCGTCACTATTCTTCCTGTCCCTGGATATTTCAAAAGCTATCATCCCTGAAAAAAATAGATTCATTTCTTAAAAAAATACTAATTCCAATGATTTACCAACTAAAAACTGCCAAATTCTCGTGAAAACACTGTAAAATGAGTACGATTTCGGCGTTGATAGTTGAATTATTGCTGAGAAAAAGCCTAAAAAAATTATTTTCTATCAAAAAAAATTTCAAAAAGACGCTCACCAATGATGAAAATGACGGTAAACTGCTTGTCCTTGAAAAATGAAGAAATAAGGAAAATTATTGGAATTATTAGGTAAAATTGCATTTCCACGGATAGCGACCAAGTGTGAGTGAAGACGTCGACGGCGAGGGATAGCTGGAAATCTTTTTAATGGAAAAAGTGAAAAAAAGCTACGAAATTTCAGAAAAGTCGCTCTATGGATAAAAAAAATGCCAAACGCCGATTTCCTTCTTTTCAACGGGGAGAACTCGAAAAAAGTTTTTTTTTCCAATTTCGTTGATTTTCTGATTTTTTTGAAAGGCTATTTTTTATGGAGAAAATGCGCTCTGAGGACGAAAATTGAGCAAAACATTTTCAATTTGCTCTACTTTACAAAATTGTAATAACAGTAATTTAAAAAAATTGAAAAAAATATCCTATTTTCATGCGATTAGTTCTCAGGCTCTTTTCGAGCAGGAAAGCGCGCTCCAAGGCGAATATACCGTTAAATTTGTTTCTTCTTCTCTCTATTAAAAATATTTCACAAAAAACATCCATTAAACATTTTTTTTCTAGTTTTTTATCCATAGAGCTCACTTGCATCATTTAGGAAGGCTTTTTTTTCATCAAATCTCTCACCATTTCCGCATATCCCTGCGTATCGGATTTCTCTCGGTTCGACACAAAAAATAGAGCGAATGGCGCCGATTGAACATTGACATCAGTAGCCGACTCAGGAAAAACGGAATAGACCAATAGAAGCATCAGACAAGTAGAAAACAAGTAGGAAGGCACTAATCGACGAATCCTTTTTGAGTAGAATGAATAGAGAACGGATTTCGAAGTAGCGAAATTGACATTTTTCGGCAAAATTCTTGTGAGAAGCATTGCCATGAAGAAGCCGGAAAGGACGAAGAAGCTGGAAAAAATAAATTCATCTTCAGAAATATGAAGATATTAAAATTATAGAGGTTTTTTTTGAAAGAATTTTGATATGCAATGATGTTTTTGGTGAAATTTTTTTTTATATTTCAAGAAAACTAATAATCTGGTGATGAAAAATCAAATTTTTTGTTGGATTTTGTTCATTTGAACTCGCGAAAGATTTTGAATTCTTTAAAAATTTCAAGTATTAGTTTTTTTTTTCCTGGTGTATGGGTACGTCATTCTGCAACGAGGTATGTTTTAACCTGAATTTTTTTTATCATTCTTATCCCGATAAACAGATATTTGCTGTTTCACTTTTTCAAGTTCAAAAAAAAGTATTTTTGTCCATTTAAAGATTATATAAAAGTCAGCGATGTGTAAATTTTCGTCGGCGGTACATGCACAAGAAACATCATATTTGACGACTTTTTTTTTTGAGCGCGACGCCGTGAATAACATCTCCTAAATTTTCTGAATTAATCAATTATCACTTACAGATCAACGCCGACGTATCCATTCGGAAACTTCTTCGGGAAAAAATGGAATAAAACGACGGAAATGATGGCCAAGCCACGCAGTCCTTGAAGGTCCAGTCTCTTTTTCGCGATTTTCTGAAAAGGTTTTGTGTTAATTCTAGTTGATTATTCGATTTTCTTGTATTTTATCCTATTCAAATCATAGTGCGTTGAATTTTGATTTTTTTTTTCAAGTTCAATAAGGCTGAGCTGGACTTTACTCTATTCGCTACCTTGAGATATTAATGAACATTTTCCCTTTATCTCGACTTCAAACAATTAATTAACTAACGTAGAAAAGCGCGAGTCACAATGCTGTATACAAGTTCAAAAACCACGACAACAATGGAAGTTTCTCGACTTTTTTTTTCTTCAAATTGATAATTTGTAAACAATTCAACTTTTTAATGCGTTTTTTTAGAAGATGTTACCTGTAGTTTTAAATTTTTGAATGTTGTTTTTTTACAGGGTAAGTTGGAGAAGTGGAAGTTTAGCTACATATTTTGGGAAAAAATTATCAAAAAGGTTCTTTTTAAGGTTTTTGAAAATTCACGAAATCCAAATTTTTCTTCAGTAACAGCTTTTGCAAGGAAAAAAATGTCCTAAAGATGACTTTATGATATTTTTTTCGATTCCTAGTATTCAAATAACACTTTACCAACACTTTTTCAATAATTACCACAAAAAACTAATTTTGTAAGCACAAAAAACGTGGAAAAATTGGAAAATCGAACCAAACCTGCATCGAAAGCATTGCCGTAAAAAGAGCTTTTTCCATATTTCTCTCTTCAAAAAAAGTTCTTTTTAATCATTTTCCGTCATTCATATGGCCCTCTATTGAGAATTTTTGGGATAAAATCGATAGAATTTCGACAAAATGGAATTAAAATGCAAAGTTTCTAGGAATTGGGTTAGAAAATGCGTGGTTAGCGAGAAAATCCCATTTACTTTAATGGTAATACTCGGGAGTAAAGATTGGTTTTTTATTGCGTTGAAATTGACTTACACAGCTATTTTTCCCTCAGATTTTATTTTTCAAAGTTTCTTCTCATCCGATCCAAAAACCGACAGATTTGTGGTTTTGAAACCTTCTCTAGTTTCTGATAAGGACTAGAAAAGGTTGGGAAACGTGATGGAAAGCGTGATTACGTGAGTAGATTACCCTAATTGGTGGCGGCGGACAAAAAAAGCAATTTGAAAGGTGAAACATCCGCTTATTTACCAAGTTCCGCCGTCTCATTCCGTGTGTCTCCGAATGATTTTGTCAACTTTACTGATTATTTTCGTCAATTTCCGAGGTTATTGTGCAATCGATATCACTTGTAAGTTTTGACAATTCATTTTTTGCGGGCTGTGGGTTGTTAGAAAAAAGGTTGAGGCGAAAAAAGGCAATTTTATAAGCTTTTCATCGCGGATAAAACTGAATATAGTCAGCATTTTCAAATAAAAATTTGAAAAATGTAAAAATAAGAAATATTTACTCGGATTTTTATTTTCCTCCCGTTGCTTTTATGTCATAAGAGCTTCCTGAATGTGTAAATATTGTCTAGGAAATGTTGCAGACGCGTTAATTAAAGACTTTTGAAAATAAGAACTTAAAATCATTTTCTTCGTATATTTAATGAATTGATTCGCGACAATTGTCCTTTCACCTCACTTTCTCACCGTTCCTCTTTTAATTTCAAATCTGACCGTCTAATTCGTCGCTTACTTCAAAAAAAAGCCTCTCTAATCAATAACGGTCTTCATTCCACTCACCTCCGGCAAAAGTTCAATCTCACTGTAAAACTTATTCGTAAAAGAACTGCTTTTTTATTAAGGAAATTCCATACCAAAGTTGCTCTATCCTACAACTCCTCTAAACTTTCCAAATTTATTTCAAGACAGCTTAAGATCGATTCTGGGATCCCCAATCTGCTTTTCAATGATAATTATATAATTGATGATGAATCCAAGGCCGATGTCTTCTCATCTGTGTTCTATTCCAATTTCTCTAACACTAACCCTCAACCTTTCCCAGCTCTTCCCTCACCTGAACCTATTAACTGTAGTATATTTTTTTCTCCCCCTGATGTTGTTTATAAATTTCTTGCCTCTCTACCTCCGAAATGTGGATTTTTCCACTGATAATATTAACTTTCTTGTTCTTAAAAAGATGTGCTAGATCTTTAAGCCTTCCCCTGTCTCTCCTATTTAATGAATCCTATTTAACTGGTGTTATCCCCTCTTCTCTAAAACACACTACGGTCATACCTGTACATAAAAAAGGCAGTTTGTCTGACCCTTCCAATTTCCGTCCGATCTCTCTCACTCATCCTATATCACGTGTATTGGAACGTATTATCGCCCATATGGTTAGAACTCGATTCGCTCATAAATTCTCTCGATTTCAATATGGATTTTTGAACCGTAGATCTTGCAAACTCTCTCTCATCTCTTCTATATCCGACATAAAAAAGTCCTTGGCCTCCAATCTAAATGTCGATGTTATTTACTTTGATTTCAGCAAAGCTTTTGATAGAGTAGATCACAATTTGCTACGTCTTAAAATGCTAAACTTTGGTTTTGATAATACTCTGAGCCGTTGGTTCTCTAATTTTTTATCTCACAGAAGTTCAATTGTTAAGGTCAACAAGTCTTTTGCCAACAATTGCTTTCCCAACCCTTCCGGTGTCCTCCAAGGCACTGTCAGCGGCCCTCTCCTCTTCCTCATTTTCATCAACGATATCGAAAATTACATTGATTCCTCTACCTCTATCTCAATTTTTGCGGATGATATTAAAATCTATAGCTCCTGTCCCAGATCTCTCCAATCAAGCATTAACGGTATCCTTGAATGGTCTCATATTTGGTCTCTCCCACTCGCCTCTAACAAAACGTTCTCTGTTCACTTTGGCCCAAATAATCCTCGCACCCTTTACTATGTTGACCTCCTTGAAGTTCCTCAAAGCTCCATAGTACGTCACCTTGGTTTATTTATCGATGACAAGCTTTCCTTTAAACAACACATCAGCCGTATTGCTGCTTTTGCCACCTTACGTTCTAATCAAATACTGAATACCTTCAAGTTCTCTTCACCTTTTAACTACTTCCGTATGTTTCAAACCTACGTTAATCCAGTCCTTGAATATTGCTCCGAGCTTTTCTCACCCGCCATTTCCTCTGAGGAATCTCACAAACTGGAATCTTCACTGCGTCTCTTTAGTCGGAAAGTTTTCATTCGTTGTAATGTTAGTTTCACTTCTTACTCAGATCGCCTTAGTCAATTTAACATCAAACCGTTATTCATTCGTCGTGAAATTTGTGACATTATCACCTTGCATAAAATCATCTGTGGCTCTGATCATTTTCTCGATCGCAATAAGTATTTCACTCAATCCCTGTTACAGAGAAATCCACTTCGACTACGGACTACTGGTCAGTTTTCTAATGACTTTTTTTCTAGAACTATTCCTCTTTGGAATAAACTAACTTCTTATTTAGATTTTAACGTTACCCCAGAAACTCTGCGTAAAAAGTTGAATGCTCTTCCGTTTGAAGCCTTTCATGAAAAATATCCCCTCTCGTCTCCTTTGAATTTGCCATATTTCCGGGTACCCGTCAACTCGTTAGGGGTTGACTCTTTCCCGTGTATTGTTATTTCTCTGCCTATTCCTTCACTTGATCATCTATTCTTCAATTATTTTTTTTTATGTTAAATAATGGCAGTGAATAAACTATCTATATATAAAAAAAAATTTTATTTTTCATTGGAAAACCTTAAAAAGTAGAATATTTCGTTTCCGTTCAAATAATAATTATTAAGATTGCCCCCCGGAGGCCATATTTTTGAACGATGGCGAGAAGTACACCATTGTGCCGACCAATTGTACTTATCAGGTAAAAAAAAACTATTTTCAAAAATTATTCATTCTCTGCTAGCTTCATACCAAAATTAAAAAAAAAGATAATTGAGAGAAGGTTTTTATAAGTTGTACGAAAAGAACTTTTTTTTTTGTAACGCTTTCTAGGTAAGATAGAGTATCATTAAACTGAAGAGACGCCAGAGAAAAAGAGCAATCTGACTTCTCTGCCCTCTCTTCAGGTCGATATACTGTTTCAGCTTCCAGTTAAAAACAGTTTTCTTCACTTTTATCGTTCGAAATACTTCCTCTAATGGATGAAATTAAAAAATTGAGTTTTTGATACTTTTTTCCAGTTCATCGCCAGCAACTTCCTGTACTCCACCGTTTCCGCCTTCCCAACTTATACCGATTGTCAATCTTGCTTTTTCTTGACTTATAATGGTTACAATGGCAGGAAGGACTACAAGTGAATCCAAATATGAATTTCATAAATAAAACAAACTTCAGCTTCCAATCAACCGGACTGAATCCAGTACCTCCAGTGGCGTTCAATTTGACGCTACTAGTCTTAAAAACGGACTTTAATATCACAATTTCGACCAACACTGGTAAGAGATTTGAAAGTTTGCTCTCAAAATATCTCAGGTCTATCCTCCTACGTTTCCAACAGGACCATGTTGGTATTTTCTCAATATTCCACCATAATCCGGGCTTCCGACATCCCAACGTTCTCTTTATTAACCATCCAAGGAGGGGAGGAGAATATGATTCTTCGCTCCTTGAGTGATCCCTCAAGTGGTTCTAATACGGACGATACTTGGGGCGTTTATATTTTTGCCGGGGATCAATATCTTTGCACGTGAGTATATGATTTAAAACGGTTTTGATGGATGTGTCCCCGACTCAAAACGACTTGCGCGCGGAGTGTATGAGAAAAGGTTAAAGCTTGACAGCGACGCATCGAGCCATTCTGAATGCGGCCATATCGTGGTTTTGACCAATTTTCCCAATAAAAATAACCCTTCCCAAGAATTTTGCCTCTTTTTCTCAAAACTTCTTTTAAATCTCTTAATTTTTCAGAGCCGCCGACATTTCCCGTGCCCCCAATCGTATAATCATGTCACCTACCAAACAAATGTCATTTCTAACGATGAAAAACGTGCTGGAATTGAATATTAGAACTGTTATACTCGTACAAACTTCTGCATTCGGTAATTAATTTAGAATTCTCAAAAATTAATCAGAACGTTCAGGTTGGCCAGTGGCTCTGAACAATGTCATTCTGGCGTCGGAGCCAACTTATAACTCTCAAATAATTTTCCCAGTTTTGAAGACCGTCTCAGTGACTTATTTGGTTGGCTACAATTTGGATTCGTCAGAAGCTGTGATTTCTGACGCGGTTTTTGGGGTGAGGGGGATTTAAACCGGACTTGAAGCTTCTGAAAATTGAAAAAACACGCTTTTTGAGCATTTTTCAGATCTTTTGTTAGCGAGTCTTAGTTTACAAATTCCAGCTATTGGTGAAAAATTTCAAAAAGGGACTGACTGCCTTGAAACTTTACTAGGCAAGTAATGGCAATTGAATAAAACTTTAAATTTTATGAAGTATCAAAAAGAAGGAGAAAAACCAGGCAAAAATAAGATTTAAAAAAAAAGTAAAAATATCTATTTCAGAACATTTCCACCAATTCTACAGTCGATATTTACGCTGGATGTCTGACTTCTCCGATTTCTGGCAACCTTATCGCGTCGATTGAGTTCGAAATTCAAAAATTCTTCGAAATGAATTAAATCAATTTTCAGTCCGACGAACCCAAAAAAGGGCATGCCGATCCCTTTTAGAGGTCCATGTAAGACGATTATTGTTCCTGGTGGGACCAACGTCACGTTGATTAATACTCCCACACAGTTTTTGTCAAGTAAGTCTTGAAATTCTCATTTTTTGGGCAACACCTGGGACAAGGTATACCCCCCCAAACATAAAAAAATGATGTTTTTTTAGAGAAGTTAAGATTTCATTTTTTCAGGAAACATTTCCATTGAAGACGGAGGCCAAGGCATTCTGATGTCCAGAACTTTTCCTTATCAAGATACTTTTCTACCGGCTAATAACCAAACGTTTTTCATATCAACACCTGGCTTGACCGAGGATGGAAACGGTAACTTTTTTCGGTTCCCAGAAGTCCAGAAAGTTTTGAAGTCACCTATTGTTTCTTAATTAGTTCTACAAAACTCACGTCTAGGAGAGTCTAATCGGATAATTGGTTCGTTGGAGCGTACTTGGAGGTTTGAAAAAAGCCTTTCGATAGATGATGAAATTGATCTTGAAGCTTCTCCTTCTAAGAATTAAGCTGGAATTGATGGAATAATAATAAATTAGGTGAAGGCTCTTTTTGAAGACTCACCTTTCTAGAGGCTACACAAACTCTGAAAAGTACTATAATTGAATATATTTGAGTCTCCGATTTTCCAAAAAAAAAAAACTGAAGTGATAACATAACAATTTACTCTTCAAACAATCAATTTTTTTTTTCCCAGTGACCTCCTCCTTAACGCTATACGTCCAATGGGGACTGAACTTGACCCTTTCTCCTTGTCTCAACTTTTCGGTCGACGATGCGGCTTTCCAAAGGTACTTTTCATTCGAAATTCCCAATAATTATGAAATATTTCCAGTTATTGCATTAACAACTCAAGTAAAAAACTAACCCTAAAAGGCCGAAATTTTCAAATGACCGACTCGCAAGCCTTCGGTGGATATTTATTGAAGTACTCTCTGAAGATTTTAGCGGCGGAAGGTTGGTTTTTCCGGTTCTTTTTGAAATTTTTTAAAGTTTTTCAGGTTCAAAGATGGATGTTAATGGATTTTATGGCGTTTTTTTGTTGTTAATAGTACATTTTATTCATTTTCCAACTTGAAAACTGTGATAAATTATTTTTTCTTTGTAAAAATCACATTGAACGACCGAAACGTTATCCTTGGAGATAAGGCAATGGGGGACGTTTTTGAAAGTTGGGGTCACAGAACAAGTTTTTTTCTAATTTTTTTAATCTAAAAAAAGTTTGATAGCTTATCGCAAATTTCTGTAATGATGTACCGACTCTCAAAGATGAGGTGAATAATTATTTTATTTAAAGGCGCATGATGAACGTTCAAAAAATGATTTCAACACGTTGAAAACTACAAAAAAATGTATGCAAAAAGCCATATTTTCTGAGGATAACTCTCATAAAAAATTTTATAAACGGAGCATTTTTAATTAAAGGCGCATGTTGAGCAAGTTGAAGGATATCTCGACACGAAAACTTGATTAAGCTCGATTCGTAGAAGTTTTTCAGGTAGAAATTCGAAAAATGAGGACTTCTCATTTTGAAAGGGATATTAATCATAACCACTGATTACAGGTAAAATTTTAAGCAGGACTGATTAATCACAGGTATATATCATTGTGCAATATGAACTCCTTGCCCGAAACGTTGCCCAACGTCATTTTGTTTGCTCAATGCCGTTTCCCCTATCAGTTGCCGTTTGTCATATAAAAGTCGAGGTCCTCAGCTTTCAACGATTTCTTGTTCCGGGTCAAAAATGCTCCTTTTCACGGTTTTATTCGTTCTTTTTAGTACTTCAACTGCAGTCCAGGACATTCTAGGTAAGAAATTATGAAACATTATAAAGTCCATCCGCTAAAACTCAAGGGATACTTGGATATCAAAGAAATTGTGCAGTAGAAAATCGTGAAACCTCGATTTCACTCATGTTTTATCTGACTTCTCTGCGCTCTCTCTCTTTTTCCCGCTCCCTCTCGCCAGCGAAGGGAAAGAGAGCGCAGACAGGTCAGATAGTTGAAAATCTTAGCGAATGGATTATTTAGGAGAACTGGGTTTTTTCCAACTCTGAAAAAAAAGGGATTTTCAGGTTGCCCAGCGAATCCAATCATCTTATCAGATGGAGACACTTACAATCTGGTCCCTACTCAATGCAATTATACGGTTTGATACTTGTTTCACCACTATTTGGAACTGTCTGAGTGTCTGCGCTCTCTTTCTCTCTTACCCGGCCTTCCAGAAAAAAAAAAGAAGAAATGCGCAGAGCAAGACAGCGCAGATGGCTGTAATTTTAGCAGTAATCCGAGAAATTTCCCTTACATATATTTTTTTCTAGTTCCTCCCCGGCAGCTTCATTTTCACGACGTTCACTTGCAAAAACTACAATGACGATCAGACGACGTTCTATTTGAGCTACAATTCTTACGTTAGGACCGAATCTTTCAAGTTTGACTCGTCAAGTGGAAAAAGTTGTACTGTTCAATTTCAGCTTTGTTTCTCGTAGTCTGAACCCGATCCCGCCAATCATTTTCAATTTGAGATTGACGCCCAGGAGAACGAACTACAATTTTACAATTACAGCCAAGTCAGGTACGCTTATCACTCATAAATCAAATAATTCAAAACATAAATTATCAAGTCTCCTCCTTCGAAAGTTGCAAGTGACAACAAAGTTTTGTATGCAAGTTTTTATTGTAGACGCTTTACTAGAAGGAAAAGGAAGGTGGTGCTCATTCGTAGGCGCGAGCGTTGGCGTCACCTCCCCACTGGAGCCAGAGAAGGCCGTTGGCCGAGATGACGAGGGCCGCGAAGACGGTGAGGACGGTGGAGGACGACATCTTCCGATGGATTCTGCAGGAAAAAAGGCCCCTTTAATGGGTTGGAACAGGATGGCTCTCAAGGATGAGACAAATTGAAGAATGGGAACTGACTAGAAGTTCATGGAACTCTCTCAGGACTCGATTTGGTTCCCATTCTTCAATTTAACTGTTCCTTGAGAACTTCCCAGATCCAACCTATAAAACGGGTCTCCTTCCCTCGAGAATCCATCGGAAGATGTCGTCCTCCACCGTCCTCACCGTCTTCGCGGCCCTCGTCGCCTCGGCCAACGGCCTTCTCTGGCTCCAGTGGGGAGGTGACGCCAACGCTCGCGCCTACGAATGAGCAACGTCTTCTTCTTTTTATCGTCAATAAAATTTGCATCCGAAATGTTTTTATCCGTCACAAAAAAAAAACAAAGGAAATCCGACCATTCTAAGGTGGATTCATTGTTTTTCAGCCCTCTCCCCCTACCTTGCGAATAAAACAGTCACCTCGGACCCAAACTATTCAACTTTGATCCGCGGATCGGACATTTTCCCGAACACTGTCTACACCGTCCAATCTACGGTCGATGCTCCAACTCTCAGAGTTATCACCGATCCCTACGGTCACTCGAATAATGATGACGCCTGGGGCATTTACGTCTTCTTTGGATCTCAGTACCTTTGCACGTAAGTTCATTGTCTCAACTCTTTTTCTGAGTACAAAACGGCTTCTAAAATTTGTCAACTGGTTTCATATAATTAACATATTTTTTATTAAATTTGAGTCACTTCAAAATCACTTCAAAGCTCAAATTTCAAATTTCAGAGCCGCTGAAGCCTACTTCAACCTTCAACATTCCATAACGTCCCCCGGAAGAACTTTTTCGTTTTTAACTCTCAAAAACCTTGCCACTGTTAATATTCGTACGGATCTACTCGTTCAAACTCGTAGATTCGGTAAATTTCAATTTTTTTTTTGCAATTTTATAATGATCGCACGTCGAATGGCTCAGCCGGTCTGTTGCTTGAAGTCGCTTTTTTCAACGGTTTCAACTTTTCCGCGATTTTCATCCTTACATTTTTGAGAATCACGTCTTCTAAGAGTCTGCAAAACCGTAGAGCTCATTATACATTTTTTCTGAAGTTTCCCGACAAATCTACTCCATTTATTTTATTTCTGGGGTGTCAGACTTTTCAACTCATAAGCGAATGAGATCAAGAACCAGCCGTAACGCGACCGCGACGCTTTGAGCCATTCTCCGTGCGACCAGGGTGTCTCAAGTGAATAATAAATGGCCAATAGTAAGCATATTTTTTGTAGGATGGAACGTCCAACCAGCAGACGTGTATCCCAACCCCCAGCCGACCTACGAGTCTCAGATTCTTTTCATGGCTCCTAATTCTACAACTCTTTATTATTATGTCGGTTACGACAAGTACGCAACCGAGACGGCTATCACAAATATCCAGATTGTGGTAAGGAAACCTTTTTGAGAAAATCCATTCATTTTTTGAATTCAGAAAAAAAATTCGGTCAGCTCAAATGCAACTGTGGACATCTATGCGGGGTGTCTCACCGTTCCTTTGGCCCAAAATCTGATCGCTTCGGTTAGGTGAGTCAAATTCAATCTAGACAAGTGAAAGTTGAGAAGAAAGATCCAAACAGCTTTCATGGATTTTGGCAAATAATACTGTCAAAAACGTAAAAAAGTCATAAAGTTGGAGAAATGCGCCGCAGCCTTGCAAAACGGCCACGCCCAGGTTTCCGTGCCGCAAAACAGCTATCCCAGTTTTTTCTTTTTTTTTCCTCTTAGCACGAAGTGATTCAAAAGCGGGAGATGAATGAGAACAGCGATTTTAGTTTTTGGAGTAAATTTAAAAAATGAAAAATGCCAAAGAAATGGAACTTGACTTTTTTACCTTGAAAATAGTTATAGAAGCTTCTTCACCAAATTTAAATAACATTTGAAAAAAAAAGCAAGGAAAAAGCCGATATTCAGATTAATTTGGTAGGGCACGAAAAAGTGGGCGTGGCTTCCTCGCAAGTCTGCGGCGCACTTTTCAAAAACTATACAAGTTTCATGTTTTTTACAGTCCTTCAAATCCCCTCAACTATTTGCCGATTCCAATCCGAGGAAATTGCAAGACGTTTGTAGTCCCTGCTGGTATCAACATTACTTTCGAGAACTCTCCAACTAATTTGCAATCAAGTGAGAGATTATTGAAAAATGAGAGAGTTGAAGAAAATGTTTTCAGCGAGTTACAACGTTTACAATGGGAAGCAGGGTATTCTGATGTCCCGAACCTTTCCGTTTCCGGATACTTTCGGGAATATCAATCTTTTGAATGTCACTTTGGCTGCTAATCGTGAGTTTTTTCAGTTTTTTATGAGATTTATAGGGTTTCTAATGCTCAAAGATTGATCGAAACGTATTGATTTTTTTGAAATATTGAAAATAAATGAAGTTTAGAATTTGAGGAAAAAGTGGAAATCAGCAAAAAAAAATTTTTTTCGAATTTTTCGCAAGTCAATCCAATTTTTTTCAATTTTTTTGAATTCACCACTCAAATTCAATAGCACAGAGAACATCTAAAAAGTCGAAAAAAATCAGAAAAAAATTCTCAAAATTCCTCTCAACTCGTGAATATTCAGCTGACCCCTGACTTGTGAGAACATAGTCAGGAGTAACTGAACTTTCCAATAAACATCAATCAAAATATATTTTAGCGAATAGGCCAAGTATAAATATTTTGTCAGACAAAGAACCCGTGTTCTCACGGAATTTGTAATTTTCACAGTTCGCGTCATGACTAGTTTTTTCGCCGCTGACTTGTTTTTGAAGCGATTGATCAAAAGATGAGACGTTTTCTTTCAGAAACATCGACCTTGACCTTCAACTTCCAATGGGGTCAAAATACAAGTTCGAGCTCTCCAAACTGTGTCAATATCGCTGCGGACGGTGGTCAGGCTCAAATGTGAGGCTTTTCAGAGTTGAAAAGGGCAAAAAAAAAAGGAAAGGAACGAAAAAGTTTGAAAAAAGATAATTTGAGCCTAAGGGACTCCTACAGGCAAAGTAAAAATGATCTTTTAGGGACCTCAAAAGGAGAACAAAAGCTCATTTTTCTCATATTTTCAAAAACGAAAATCTTCATTTTTTTTTCGAAAAAAGCCGAAAAAAGCGCTAGGAAGGTTTTTAGAGGTTTTTTTTCAAAAAGATTATTTTCAGGTATTTTTTGACTTTGCCCGTGTCAAAAGAGCTCTAGAAAAAGTATACGAAAAAATCCCGCTCTAAGATTGTCCGTAGAGCGCATTTTCTCAAAAATACGCGGCTTCCAATTAAAATAAACAGACTTAAAAACTCACCTCCCCTATACCTATAGGTTGAAAAAATTGAGAATAATCATGATAAGGAAATAATTTTCTTAAAAAAGGCCAATCAAGATGTGAGAAACAATAAATGTTTAGGAAAGCTGAAAAAAGCAGTTATTTCCGTCAAATCAAGGTGTAAATAAGCAATTTCTAGAGTTCAGAAACAAGCAAAAAGTCTGATAAACCGGTAAAAATTAAAGAAAAACCGTGAAAAATGTTTATTGAGTTTATTGAATTGTCACTTTTCTGCTCAAAAAAAAATCCAATGAAAATTATCCATAGAGCGCAAAAGTTTGAGCTTCCGCGGCCATTTTTTCTCCTCATTTTTAACAAAGTCTAATCTCAAATTTTCAGCTACTGCTCGGCTAACTCTACGGCTTCCAAGACATTCTCAATCAAGGGCCGAAATTTCAAAGTTACCGACAACATTCTACCAACAAGTGGCGGATACCTGATGAAATACTCGGTACAATCCAGTTTGACAGGTGAAATTGAAAAGATTTCGATTCGAAATGGGCATTTTTAGGTTCATCTTCCTACATTCTTGGGCTCCTGTCGGCCATTTTCTTCATGCTGTGGAGATAGAATGAACCTTTTTTTTTTGTTAGTTTCGAGATTTTAACGGGTTTTTGTTGAATAAAGTTGATATTTTTGACTTTTCAAGACATCAGGAAAAGGCTTATTTGAGTAACCTCATTTTAAGAATTATTTGTTAGCATAAAAAATTTTTTTTCACAACTTGGTCGCATGGGAAATGTCTATGCATAATAAAAGATTGCCATGCAAGTGCACCCGACCAAAAACGTTTCTCGCGCTTCGGCATTTAAAATTACGAGTATTAACTTGAAAGTGTATAACTTGAACTTTTTTTTTCGACCATCTGATCCATTTTGCCGACGCTACATTCTACTCAATCCAGGTAATAATTTCTCTATGACATTTCAAAGTACGAGAGATAAAACCAGTTTTTTTTCCCGCGAGGGTGACACTAAAAACTTTATTTTCGACACAACAAAAGATAATCGTCGTGTTATTTTTTGGGCAGATAAAAACGATGAACTCGCGAATCCCATGCAACTTTTGAACAACAGACGAGAGTCGGTTTTATTTTCGAAAATCAAAGAAAGTTTTTTCTTGAAAACCCGTGATTCTTATCATTCTTTTGAATTCCCCGTTTTCTATTGAATAGCTTTTGTTGTCCTGTTTCGGTGAGAGCCAGAAAAATACTGGAAAGAATGTTTTTTCTGGCAATAAAATTCAGGATTTTTTCAGAGAAACTAGTGTCATTTTTCTATATTAAAAGTGCAAAAAGCTCGTAAAGGGAAAATACCCAAATTAGCTATTTTTAACCTTCTTCCTTCTATGGTCGTTTGCGATTGTCCTTGGAGCGCAAATATGTCAAAGAAGGCTATTTTTTCCCACCTCTTTCTTCTTCTATCGTATTCAAGATTTTTGTCTGTGTTTTATCAATTATTTTATTTAATCTTTAACCGTCAAAAAAAGCCACATTTACACTGTTTCTTCTCAAAATTGTCCATCGAGTGCAAAAAAAAATATAATATACAAAATACAAAAGGCTATTTTTTAAAACTTTTTCTGTTCCCTTTCAAACTATGAGGATTTGCCATTTCTCCTATTTTTCAATTTTTCAAAAATCGGCTATTTTCCCTTCTCAATTTTTCAATGATCTCAAAGTATTGTTTTGCTAGGTACAAACCTGTAAACTAGAAAAAGTAACTTCTTGCAGACGGTTCTGAGTAAGAGAAACAAGGAGGCGGAGCTCCGCCCCTTGGTTTCCTTATTTGGGGGGTCAGATTCTAGAAGAACACTGTTTCTTGTTTGTCCCTCCAGTGATAGGAACCGTAGTTTTTCCTCCCAGTGGTCATACTGCAGGTAGAACTCTACTTTTCATCCATCTTACTTAAAAAAAAAATTGAAATTGCGTTTCACCTTTCTACAAGTATAGTAAAAGTCTGATTTCTCTGCTATCTCTCATCTTTATGTGCTATTTTCATGTCTCCAGTTAGAGAGAAGAGACGCAGACAGTTCAGAATGTTCCAAGGGATGAAGTATTGCAAAATTTTTGGAACCTTCTATTTTGTTCCTTGTTTCATGTCCCAATGCAAAACAATCTCTGCCTTCACTCTAGTATCTGGAAAAAAATCTAGTTCCTTATAACAGTTGTCGCCGAGGACAGGTGTCGAACTAGGCTCTTTAAAGCCGGAACGCTCAGCAGTTGCGCTAACTTGCTACAGTGATCTCGGTGTTCAAACTATTGATAAAGATTTTTGTTAAATTTTTGAGATTTTTCCTGAAATAATTTTTTTGTATTTATAGAGTAATAAAAATGTCAAGCTAATCGAAACTTGTGATTTTTTTCTCTAATCTTTTTTTTAAAACTGAAATCGTCAAGCAGATAGAAATCTTCAATTCTAATATTTGCTGTTCAAAATGGCTGTTTTTACCGACTCTCAATATTTTCAATTTCAAAATCCCTTCAAAACTTTAATTCGAAGCTTTCTCTTTTCAAAACGTGCTTTTAAAAAAGTAGAAGACCTCAAGGATGTATCAAAAAATGTACATTTTCAAGCTCATTCGTTTCCCATTTTTCGTTTTTTTTTTTCTCCTCGAAATTCAAAAATTTGCAAAAATTTCAAGTAAAAAAAGTCTTTGAACCTTTTTTTCAAGTGTGAAAGGCTTTCTCTATATCTCTAACCCTGAGTTCGAAGCCGACTTTCCAAAAATCCAACGAATCGAAACCTCTTTCTTTCATTTTCCCTTTTTCGATTAGTCATCCTCATTTCCAGAGACAAGATCCGTTCAAGACGACAATCCCGATTCCGGAAACTGTCCCGGCCGAATTCCGCTTCAGAAAATGGTTGCGCCACTGCAAAAATGGCGGCTGATAAGAAAGGTTCTTAAGAGACTTTAAAAGCCCTGTAATCTGCTATAAAACACGTGCTCCCGTGTCTCTTTATCACTTCTTTTTTTTCGTATGTTTCCCAGACTTTCTTAGGTTCAAAAATGAACATCTGTACATTAATCTTGGACCTCTCTTCCCGTTATTATGGCGCCATTCCCCGTTTTGCAAACTTTTCTTTTCTTCTTTTTTTGTGGTCGGAACAATGCTGTTCAAAGAGCGATCAAAAATGATGTGATAGGACAAAACCTTGGATTTTTCTAGATACTGAAAAGTTCAAAATTGTTGAATCTTTTAGGAACAAACCTAAATTAAAGCTATTGAGATTATTGAGTTCAGAATAAAATTTCAAAAAGTTTGTTTTAAAAACGAATAGGCTCATTTCATTTTTCAGAAATTCTACATGGTGGATTGGACGCTGGTCAGGAATGTCGTCGCTTTTTTTGGTAAGATTTCGTCTCAAAAATTAGGAAATCTAAGAATCTATATGACTTTCGATTATGTGAAATCAAAAAAATTGTAAATTTGGAAAATGAAAAAAATTTGATAAGGCAGGTTCTAGTGAGTAAGTTTCTTGTCAATTTTAATCTCCAGTATTAATTTTTCCAATTTTTTTACTCATATTGAAGTTTTTTTAAAACTTATTTCAAGACATTTTCAGGTTACATTTTGGATGGAAACTGATAAAACTAAACGTTTTTTTACTGATTTTTTTAATGTTCTAAATGCACAATCTAAATTTTTGAGTAATAAAACTCAAGCCAAAAAGGGTAAATTTCCCTCCAGAAATGAAAATTGACATGCAATTGTGAGACCAGAATCTACTTTTGTCCAATTTTTTTTATTTTCAAAATTTTATAAAAATTTGACAATTTTTCATCATCTCAAAGTGTACTGTAGACTCGCGAAATTCTATCTAGGGATGGAAAAAAAATAAAAAACTTTCAAGTCATTGGTTGAATTATTTTCAAAGACGTCCCTTTTGACAGTTCAAAATAACAGTTTCGTGATCGAAATTCGAGAAAGTCTAAGCAAAAAAAACTTTTTTCAAGGATAGGGATTCATTGTAACAAACTGAAAGTTTTCCAAAATTCTTATAATTCAAAATTTTCCAGGCTCCTCGGCCTTTGCAACAACTACGGATACGTGATCATGCTCAGCGCCGCCGAGGACATTTTGGATGTTCAGCAACATGGAAAAACGGACAATTCGAATACTACATCTGTTTGTGAAGTTAGTTTCATGAAATTTTAAAGTGGGAAAAAATTTTTTGGAAGTTTCTTTTGAAACAATTTGGAATTTGAACTGTAGCTCCAGACAATTTTTTTGATATTCTCTGACTTGAAGCTTCAGAAAATCGTTGCAAATATTTATTACCGATGAAAAAAATCTCGAAAATTTCGCTTTTGAAAAAAATAATTAATTGACAATGCCGTCTGTAGCTTTTTTTCCATTACTTTATCATCCAAGAGAAAAAAAGGTGTATTCTGTTGAAAATGAAGAATAAAATGAATAATATACCTTCCAGAATATGTTTTTAAGGCGTTGATAAAAAAATAACCGCAAAAAGTTCGCCTTCAAACGCGCTCCAACGCTAATTTTTTTATAAAAAAACATTTTTTTAAACATTTTATTTTAATTTAGAAAAACCAAATTCAAACCATCAAAATCCTCGAAAATTGTAAAAGAACTGTAAAAAAACTGTAAAAGACTGTAAAAACTGTAAGAGCCAACGTACATTAAATAAATTAGTAACTTTTTATTTTTCTTTAAACACCCTGAAGAAATAGCCATAGTAAAGTAGAGGACATGCGCTCCACGGCTAATTTCCGAAAAATAACTCGTCATCATTTCGAAGGCCAAAACTTTCAGAAAGACTTTACAAGCCGAAAATGTTCGTCAATATCCACTGGAGCCGTACTTTTGGCCGACAACTTACCCGGCCTTTTCGTTCAGACCACTTTTCCCTTCTTCATGCACAGGATACCTTTTGGGTACAGTTTCTTCTAATTTCTCTCATATCTCAAGGTTGAAATTCTCAGTTTCCGCTGTATAGCCGTGTTCCTACTCCAAGGAGCTTCCTACTTCATCGTAGCCTACTCGAAAAGCATTGCAATGTCCTTGGCTGGCGTCTGTTTCGCTTCTCTGGGACAAGGGATGGGGGAGATCACGTTCTTGGCCTTGGCTGCTCATTTCACTCCGTTAGTTTCTTTATGAATATTGAGAAAGAACTGACCATTTAAAGTTAGAGTCTTGATGAAATGGGAAGAAAAAACTCGGAAATTCGATAAAATATGGTAATTAGTGGAAACTTGCGCTCCATGGATGGAACTCTGTTATCAAAACTTGTTTAACAAAAATTTAAAAAGAAGCTACCAATTACCAAAAAACGGTCACTTTCTGAGTTACAAAAAGTTTGCTTCAAAAAAATCACTAAAATCTTAAAAAACAAGCCTGAAGCTTAAATTACTCGAACAAGTGCGCTCCGCGGATAATTCGAAAAAAAACGTTTCTTAATGTCTTTTCAGTATAATGATATCTAAAATTGTGGAAAGCAAAGCTTGATGGTCAGATTACTCGAATAATCACGATGCATGGAAAAAAAATGCCCAAAAATCAATTTTCCCGAATTTCTGATTCAAAACGTGATGATCAGACTGCGGCTTCAATAAGAAGGCTTTAAAGAACTGAAAAGTAATTAAAATAATCTTGAAAGCTTAATTTTCGAGAATAAATCGCTCCACGGACAAAATGGAGTTTTTTCAAGTTTCAAAGCCCTTTTTTGATCATTCCGTCTTTTCTCATTAGAACCATGAAGATTAGATCATTTTCACAGAGCCACCATCGCCGCCTGGTCTTCCGGAACCGGTGGAGCCGGCCTGATTGGCTCATTCTCCTACGCTTTCCTGACCCAACCCAATATGGCGGGTCTTTCCCCATCTACTGCCCTTCTTATTCAACTTTTCATCCCAGTTCTTTTCGCTGTTGCGTGAGTCTACACTTTGGATTGAATAATACAAAATAAAGCTTCGTTCAGGTATTTCTTAGTTTTGAATATTCCTGACACGGTCTACACACCCTCATTCAACCCTACGACATGGATAGTCCCAGAAAATCACGATGAGAAAGTTTTTGTGAGTTTCAAGATTAAAATGAATCGAAAATTGCGGTTTGAAGTTGAAAAAGAGGTTTCTTTTTTAAGTATTGAAATCCCGCCTTACTTCAATATTTCCATAAAAAGGCTTTCAATCTAACTTATCACCTAATAAGCTCAAATTCATCTTCTCTTTTCTGCCCATTAACTCCAATGATTTTCGTTCCAGGAGCTCTCTGGAGCCGACTCCGACAGAGTTCCGCAAAGGGAGCTATCGATCGCGGAAAGGTGCAGATTGATAGTGGTGAGTCCAATTTTGCGTCAGAACTGGTCAAAATGACTTTGCTGTTTTGATATCGATGTCCTTTATGACAGGTATCTTGCATTGACCTTTGTAGATGAGTGATAAGGAATCTTTGAAGATTTCCTTGACAGTGGTGCGAATGTCCCGCAAAACTTGGCTGATTGATGAGGCGAAAGAAAAAAAACTTCCTCCTTGGAAGGATGATTTTCTACTTTTTTTTTCTTTTGGAAGATGGGGAGAACAAAAAAATTTTAAGAACTTGAGATTGAGAAACTAATTAGATGCAACGGAGGTCAAAAAAGAAGTCAAATCTATGGTTTTTTCGAAATGAAAAAGGCCAAATTTATTTGATGGAGCTCTAACTGAACTATACTAGTTTATATGAGAAGTTAAAAACATTTTGATTGAAAAAAAAGTTGAAAAAAAAAAAATCGAAATACCTTTTTTCAGGTAGGTAATCGAGACTATGTTTAAAAAAATTTCATCATTTTTGAAAAAAATTTCGATTTGAATATGAAATAATTAAAGCTTGCCAATAAACATGACCGCCTTGAAATGACTTCAAACAAAGAGAAAATGATTTTTTGATTGATAACATTCAGCTATTCAAATAATCAGTTCTTCTATAAGTCCAAATTTTCAGCCCTTACTTCATCTGATGATCCCACTGGCGACCGTCTACATGGCCGAGTACATGATAAACCAAGGATTGGTTAGTTTTTTTCATTTTCTTACAGAAAATTTTTAAAAATCAGTATACAACAATTGTATAATACCTCAAAAGAGAGCTAAAAAGCTTATTTGAAGTTTGTATCTCATTAAGCAACAATTAATAATTCGTTTCGATGAAGATCAGTTCCAATATATTTAATATTATTTCAAAACGAATAATCTTATCAGATTTGATAATTTCAGACGGAAATGATCACTTTCAAGTGCTCCCAAGGCCTGAACCTGCCACTTTCCTCACAATACCGATGGTATCAAGTTCTCTATCAACTCGGAGTTTTCCTCTCCCGTTCTTCGGTCAAAATTTTTGAGATGCCTGTGTGGATGATTTGCCTACTACCACTTTTTGCAGGTCAGTTTTCAAAGAGCTTTTTCGAAAAAAAGTCAAAAAAATGTTCTATATTTGGTCTGAAAACTATAATCATTTTTCAGAAAAGAGTCTTCAAAAAAGTTTCTTGGAACGGAAAAAGCATGAAATGATTTTTCTCAAGTATTAACAAGAATCTAGTACGCCCAACCTAGCCATAAAATGATAGTGTAGTGGCTAGTGTTCTTGTTTACAAAGTCTATGACCAAAGTTCGAGTCCTCCTGGTGGAATTCTCGCTTTGTAAAAAACCTTCGATGGCAAAATTATTGCAACTTGGCTTTTTGTCCTCTTCGAAGGCAGAATAGAAATTTTCAGTCTCTCGAAACTCTTGAAAAAGTCAATTTCACCAAGTTTGAACCTAACAAGTTTCACATCAAATCTCATGGAAAATTTTGAAAAAATCCATAGAAAACATTGAAATTTGAAATCTGTGTCTGAAATTATCGAAAAACCCCAACTTTGAGTCATCAAAAAAGTCTCTATTTATTCAAAGATTCGTTTTTCAGATCGGCAACTTGGTATTTTTCTTTTTCGAGGCCGTATATTGGTTCGTACCAAGTATCATCATAATCTTTGGACTAATCATCTTCGAAGGCCTACTGGGAGGAGCGGCATATGTTAATACCTACAATATGATACATAAAAAGGTTCATTTTATCAGACTTTTGGCATTAACTTGAACAGTTTTTGGAATGGGTTGTTTTTTCTAAGAGAAAAAAAGTTGTTTTTCTTTTGGTGCTCCTGAAGCATTTTTCCTTTCTCACATGCTGAAAGATGAGACAGCGCGGAAATCGTTTAAGGTCGGGCGCGCTTTGAAAAAAGCGGCTCACAACGCTTTGAACTATACTACATGCAACTGGCCTTCAAAAATATCCAAAAATTTCTATGATTCTTCCAGGTCGAACCAGACGTCCGAGAATACTCATTATCAGCCGCATCGATGGGAAATTCGATCGGAACGAACATTGCAGCTTTTCTTTCCATTCCACTTCATAATTGGGTGTGTGGAATGAAAATTCCGCACAGTTAGGCTGTAATTTATTGTTGTTCATTGTTGAATCATGTCCAAATTGTCATCAGTTCAGTTTTATATGTCCTTTTCTTACTTGCTTCAAAACGTGTACATTTTCACTTTACTGTATTTTATCATTTTTTGGCTTGTTTTATGTATGATTGTATGAATGAATTCTTCATTTCTTCAAAAGCGAAACGAAATTTTTAGAAGCACAAAAATTGAAAAAAGGGCATCAATGAAAATCTGCATTTTCTGCATTTTCCGCTGCACTTTCATTAGGAAAGATTCAGAAAAGCTCTATGAATATTCTAGAAAAAAAAGTGACTCCTTCACGAGTTTTTTTTTTGAAGTTCCTCAGATTAAGTTTCACCAGAAAAGATGCTCAATCGCCAAAAATTGGGTAAAACTAAATGTTCTTTATTCCCTTGAGAATCCCCATGTTACACTTTAAAACACCAAATCTGCCTTTGGATCATCAGAAAATTTCAAAAAACAAGATTGTTTGTCAACAAAAATTTGCGAGAAACCGGTTAAACTAGGGCGTCCGGAGGGTGTTATTTACTAGAGAAATGTTGGCACTTTTCTGTTTTCCTATGATTCCATCCACAAGTGTTCATTTTTCCCCTTTACTTGCCTTTTTCTGAGTGTAATTTTGAAAATTAATTTTTTTTTTCAGAGATTTACCGTCTATTGCCAGCACTGAAATGGAAGAGCCAATGTGAGTTTTTTTAATTAAATTTTTCAAAGTTGTTTTCTTTACCTTTTTGAAAATGGTCAAATTTCTAAATCGTCATTTTTTTACAGGAAAGTCGTTCATACTCAGCCAAATGACGCCACATTTGTAGCTGGTAAGTTTCAATTCTCATCATTTTTCTAGAATTTTTTTTCAAGAAAAAGTTATTTTTTTAAAGAAATAATTTCATCTTTGTAAATTTTGTACAATTGAAATGCGCTTTCGAATTCCATCAAAGAAGAAATAGATTTTCTCCAACCGAGTCGAGTTTAAATTCAATAAATTAGCTATGAAAAGCGACTGAAACAATTTAGAAGCTCAAGAAATGTTGACCTCTTTTGAAAAATTCAGGATTTTTGGGCACCTCCATGAAGCAAATAGGTCTTTCATTTTTGAACTCCTTGTCTTTTTTCAAAACATGGATCTACCGAAACTACATCTTTTTCTCAAAAAGTCTTATTTTCCATTTTCAGTCTCTGATTCGGACGATGACTGTTGTGGATGCTGTATGCTTGGCCCATGCTGTATTCCGCTCTGTTTCCCCTGTTCATTCATTTCCAGATGTTTTAGATCGTTGTGTTGTGAGTTCTCTTTTTCACTATAGTCTGTTTTTCGCGACTTGAGCGGGACTTCTCTGCGCCCTCCTCGTCTCTCGGCGTCTCTCTCATGTTTACATGCTATTCCTATGTTTCTCTGGCCTCGCCGGTGAGAGAACAGAGACACGCAGACACGCGAAAATTTTCAAGTCACGGCGGACGGACTATGATATTCAATCAGAAAGGCCGAAAAGTTTATATATACAATTTTCAGGTTGCGAATAAAAAGGTGGAAAAAAATGAAGCAAAATCGACACAAGCCAGAACTATTTCTTTGTCAATGCTACCTACAGCCAAGAAGAACGCATTTCACTTACTTCATGTTCACTAACATGAATAAATTTATTCTTTTGACCTATTTCTTGGAAAAACAGAGTCATTTGGAAAAAATATCCGCCAAAAATATCTAAGTTATTTCATTCTAGTTGTTGACAATTCTCTTCGCAATTTTTTATGTAACTAATAGCAACCTCTCTGATTGGGAGTATAAAAGATTATTTTCAACAGAAACGTTACTTGAAATTTTCCGTCTATTGGAGCGCACAAACTTGGATGAAATATTTATTGAAAAAATTCATTTTAAAGTTGATGCTCATTCGTAGGCGCGAGCGTTGGCGTCACCTCCCCACTGGAGCCAGAGAAGGCCGTTGGCCGATGCGACGAGGGCCGCGAAGACAGTGAGGACGGTGGAGGACGACATCTTCCGATGGATTCTCGAGGGAAGAAGCTGGTGTTTTATAGGTTGAATCAAGACGGATCTCAAGGAAAAGTTAAATTGAAGAATGTGAACCGAATCGAGTCCATGAACTTTTAGTCAGTTCCCATTCTTCAATTTGTTCTATCCCTGAGAATCGTCCAGACCCAACCTATAAAAGGGGCCTCCTTCTCCTCCAGAATTCATCGGCAGATGTCGTCCTCCACCGTCCTCACCGTCTTCGCGGCCCTCGTCGCCTCGGCCAACGGCCTTCTCTGGCTCCAGTGGGGAGGTGACGCCAACGCTCGCGCCTACGAATGAATCACCTTCATCTTCAAATCAGTAGACCAATAAAGCTTGCATCCAAAAGGTTGTTATCGTTCCTACACCACAGAAAACAACCAAAGCACTTCTGCTTCACTAGACAGATGATTCATAATTGAAAAGTAATCAGCCACACATCGGCACCGAGACTCGGGACTTTTGCAATTATCACGCAGTTCCAACGTTAAAGTCTAATTAGTGCGACTAATTGTTTGTCTTTCTTGATTTTTGATGCCGTTTTCCATGGGTTGGATAAAGATTTCCTTCTCTCATAAAATACTCGAATGTCTGAAGATAATGCGACGCTCGCTGCGGCTAGTATTAAAGGTTAGTTTCAAAACTTTGCAGTTCATATTTTCAGTGAAAAGTCAGAGGTTCTTTATAGTGGGAGCCTTCAACACTTCTCTTAGTTCTGGAAAAATAACCAAATATATTGTCATATTTTAATATCAAAACAGGCAACATATTAGGTATGAAGTCCAAAAAATGAGCCAAAAACAGACTGACCTGAAGAGACACCAAAGAAATATGCAATGTCTCTTTCTCTGGCGCCTCTTCAAGCCCCTTTACTTTCTCCCTTTCCTTTCTTGGCTTCATACTATCTTCCCTCAATCCTCGTCTTCCAGAAGGTCAAGCCTCATCCGAAGTCGCTGCCTACGTCATTTCCATCATAACATTCGTCAATAATTGCGCGGCTGGGGGTATTTCTATAGTTCTGAACTTATTCCTTCTCTACGTCATCCTTCAAAGATCCATAAATAATCTAGGATCTTTCAAAATCCTCCTGGCCTGTCATACAATCTTGGATTTTTGCCTGAGTCTCGTATTCATGATTGTTTGCCCGGTAAGTTTAATTCCGTTTAGATGAATAAAGTACAACAAACGACTCTTCGCTTCGAAACCTTCATAAGATTTGGCTATGCTCCTTTAAAAAGCTTAAAACTCTGGAAAAACGTGCGAAACTTACAGATCAACGCTCCAATGTCTTTCAAATGCTGCACCGCTCTATTAATCGTCAATGGAGGCTTAGAAGTCGGAATTGAAATCGAAAGATATCTACTCTTCGCGTTGATGTACTTGATAACGATGTCCCTTGTTTTGTCGCCAGTTTTGATGGGTTTCCGCTACTTTCAACTGTGCAGGTAGCATTACAGCCACTCATCGCAAGTTCAAAAAAAAACTCACAAAAGAATAAGTTGCTCGTGAAACTCTCAACTCCGTTGAACGACCATAAGATGAAAAAGTTATTCATCACTAAATTAAACGCTCTGATCGCATTTGCAATCACTAGAAGCTTCAGAGTTGGTAATAAGTTTACTATTTCCTCTAACGCTTTTCCATGCCGACGCGCGAAAGTCGTTTTTGGTCGGGCGAGCTTTAAAGCAGCCGTTACGACCATCGGTTCTCAAAGCAGATCTAACTCCAAATATACATGATCATTCTACTCGGAATTATTACAAAAGGAATGAAAATATGCAATTAGAAAATTCGTCCTAAAAGGAGCGAAATACGCATTTACTCACAAAAGCCATCGAAAAGTCATATCTTTTTTCAGGAAAGACATCAAGCTAACCATAACAAAGACAGTAATTATTATATTAATCGTCATCTTCATAACCTTCCTAGTCAATGGATTACTGTGTTACTGTACCTTTCCTTCATTATTCGCCATCAGATATTTCTCAAAAACGGCCGTTCAGTACACTGGTCGAACTTCAGCCTTTCTTCTCCTGACTTCCTTGGTAAAGTTGTACCTGTTTTTTTTCTTACAAGACAGGTTTAATAAGAAATAGGCGTGCTTCGAGGCATCCGTCCAACTGACTTATAAGGAGGTCATTTTACTTAGCGGTTGGGAATTTTCTGAAAATCGGTCGGATTATTCTTCGACGTATCAAATGAATGCTCTGAAAGTTTCAACCTGCACAACTTCCTAGTTTTTGAGAAATGGCCTGAAAACGACCTATTTGAAGGGAATATGAAGGTTTCCCCCTCTTCTCGAAAGCTAGGAAGTTTTGCAAACTATGAACTTCAGAACCTTTATTTTAAAAAAGAAGTATTCTGGCCAACTCCTAACCGTTAGCGAATCTTTGAGAAGTCCCAAATTCCGTTCTTCGGGACTTGAAAGATGGGACTTCTCTGCGCCCTCCTCGTCTCTCGACGACCCTCTCTTGATGACGCGCTATTTTCGCGTTTCTGTGACCTCGCCGGTGAGAGAACAGAGAGACGCAGACACTCGAAAACGGTCAAGTCGCGGCGGACAGACTATATCCCAACTAAAAAGAAAACTTCGGCGAGGTCCAGAAAAAACGTCAAATATTGCATCCTTCTCATTAGAACTAATCAATTTTCTCACAGAGAACCAGTATAATGTTCAACCAAGGCCTGGCGCTCTACCTCTCCTTCCTTCTGGCCGTCCTTTTTCTATTCCTACTTATCTCAGCGATGTTTATTTATATTTTCTGCCCCTTATCAATGAGCAAAGCCATCTGGAAGTTAAGACCGGAGAGTTCCTTTTTTTTCGAAGCCGAGAAGAAGCTTCTGAAGATGTCGGTTATCCTGGTTAGTTTGAAGAAATTTTTTGAATTCATTCTTCAATTTTAAGAAGTAACCTTTAGAATATATTTTACTCGACATTTTACGATTTCTTAGATCTATAATAACTATCCCATTAGAAATTCGATCCGAAAATTCAATAAAATCAATGAAATTGAAGAAGAATGGATAAAATAAAACCCACTTGAATCGCGACAATGAGGAAACCTCCCAGTCGCATGAAAAATGGCTCGTTGCGTCGCGGTCGCGATGCGGATCCTGAATTTTTGAAAAATTTCAAATTTCAACAGTAAAAATGGAATGAAAATAGTGAAATCAGATGCGGATCCTGAATTTTTGAAAAAATTTCAAATTGTGTATCGGGAAGGCCCTACAATTTCCAATGCATCCTGGCGAAAGTCTCTTTGAAGTCAGGCGCCATTTTAACTTGATCAATCTGTAGCCATTCCCGGAGCCACCAACGAAAGAAAAAAAGATCTTTTCAAGGAATATTTGATCTCTAGAAAACTTTCATAAAACCACTAAAATCTCCAAAAATTGCTCAATTTTTTATTTTCAAAAAAATGAAGAAAATATTTCTAAAACACCCCATCTTTGGAAAAGAATAAGAAAAAACAAATTGCAGGCTGTATCAAGCAACTTCTTTCTCCATTTGCCGTTCTACAAGTCGATAATTACCGGGATTTCGGGCCTTTCGTGGGTTTCGATCGACGACGTGATCCCTTTGCTCTACGTCTGGTCGCCGGTCGCCAACTCCATCATTATCCTTTTGAATATCAATGATAGCGGTTGGGAATGTCGGATGTCCTGCAAAAAGTCTCTGGATGAGACCAGAGATAACCTTCCGATGACTTTGATGTGACAAACCTTTGTACAGTTATTTATTTTGTGTTTCCTTTCATGCTTATAAAATTTATATTTTGTGCTTCTTTTTCATGCTTATAAAATATATATTTTGTGCTTTTTACAGTATAACATTAGAGATTGAAATTTTTTTGAACAATTTTTTTCGAAAAAAATCCACAAAAAAAGGTCGAATTTCGCAGCAGAAAAGGATCTGCAAAGGAGTGAAGAAAAAAATTGATTTTTTAAACTCTGTCATAAAAAAATTTCGTAGATTCAAAAGTTGCAAGTTTGAGAACTTGGGAAAAATTTGTTTTTCTTTTCGGAGCAGTAATGACTTTGCAGATAACTTTTTGTAATGTTGTATTTTTTTGGTGATTAATGTTTCCTTTTAAGCATAAGCCTGACTTTTTCTTTCAAATATTTCAGAACGAAAACATTTTATTCCTACAGCTTCTATGTATCCGATTGAACAATATCTGTAGCTCAGCGGTTTGTCTCTCCGACTACAGTGGAAAAGGCCACAAGTTCGATCCCCCTCAGTTCCTCATAAACGCCTCTTCATCTTCAAATTAAAAGTTGTTGTTTTTTTTTTTGAAGATGTTTGAATTCTCGCAGGTTCTATCACAGTCGATTCACCGCGACTTGAAACGGCTTTCAAAAAAAGTTGAAAAATTTTTTGGAAATCCAAGTTTCCGCTCTTTTTCTTCGTCTTCTTTTCTCCCAATAACTTTTCGATAAGATCTATAACACATTTTCAAAAAATCATTATTCACAAGCTCATCTTGGGGTCTGAGTCCGAAAGATCAAAAGCTCAATCTACGCCGAAAAATATCTGAGACGCCTCATCATCTTCAAATTATATGTTTTTTTGTTTTTTATTTATAACGAAGTGGTTCAAAATCTCGGCTAGGTCTCGACAAAAAACAAAACTTTAGAGAACTCTTCAATCTAGGATCTGTCTTATTTTTCTCCAGTACTTTGAAAAACTTCTGAGTCTTAAGTAAACCCATAGTTGAGTGGCTAGCCTCTAACCTTTGGACCTTTCGAGCTTCTTTTGCAAGATCTTGGAATAAAAGTTTGAAAGGAGACCCTTTTTTCTTGATACATCTCCTTTATTTTTAAAATCTTCGAGTAATCTTTAAAGCTCTTCGAAATTTACATCGAACAGAGTTCATTGAGTGAATTTCAGTCTGATGGATAGCTCCTACATTAAATGGAGGCTTTAAAAAACGTGAAAAAAAAATCGTCTAACCCTTGTTTCGAAGAGAGAACATTGCCTTAAAAGCCAAGACTCTTTTCATATATATTCATTTCGCCCAGTTAAAACTCATTTTTAAGGTGAACTTTTGAGAAAAATATCAATTTATATATTTCGCTCAAAGTACATCCCATCAATTTTTCAGCAGTTCCGCCACAATACGCCTTTTGTCTTTGCTTCGAAAAGTTCTCATTATTTTTTTTTGTCTGAAAATGATGAGCGACGACCAAATCTCAGGACTTCTTACTTTTACGGTAATGGAGTTTTTTGTGTTGTTACATTTTTTTTTCGCTAATTTACTTCGTTTCCACGCCTGTTTGAGGTGGCCGGTCGTATTACGGTAGTTTGGATAGGTTTTTCAATAATAAAATGAAAACTTGTGTACTTTTTGTGACGTAACTTACCTTGTAACCTCGAGAAATAGGTCCTTGACAAAGTGCAAAAAAAGAAAAAAATAATAAAAAAATTTCCTGGCTCCAAAACTGACTGCGCAATATTGACCGACCACCGGCCGCCGTAGTAATGTCTCAAACATGCGTGTTTCAGTTATGGAATTTTTCGGAAAACCTCGAAATATTTTTCATTTCTAGAACTCAAATATAAGGTTTGAAAATGGGAAAAGCTTGTGAAACTGGTAATTATCGAAGCAAATTTGAATTTTCCAACTGAATCTGAAGACCACGTCTTTGAAATTTTGAAAAAAAATAATAAAAAGTAGTAATTGCTGATCATTGGCCTTTGATAACACTTGTAATATACGTTCGTATTCTGTACCACGTTTCATAAAATTCATTTTAAAGTTATTTTTCAAACTTTTGAAAAAAAAAATCAGATGCTTTTGAGCAGAAAAGTCAAGAATCAATCTAACCAATTTTAACAGAAATTTCAATTTTTTCCGAAGAACTATATACTTGAAACTCTTCTTTTAACTTTTCCCATTAATTATAATTTCATGAAAATGTTCAGATTGGAGTGATAGGGATGCTGGCCAACTGGACAGTGGCGATAGTTCAAAAAAACGTCTTCCTTCGTTGGAAAAACGCCTTTGGGAGACTCACGGCCAATCAGGCTTTGGGAGACGCTATTCATTCTACTATATTTGGTCTGATCTACGCTCCGATGCTCATTTTGTGAGTTTTAGAACAAGAAAAAAGGAGTAATGCGCAGGAAATGGGGAAAGAAGTTGGAAAGACCGATAAATTTTGATCCAAAAATCTCTTAGTCGCCATGAAATTGTAGATCACTTTGCACAAAAATTTTCAAATATGAAATTTTTCTCATAAAAGTTATAAAAAAGGAAATTATCAAGATTCTACAGGTTCACTGGCAGTTCATTCTAGATTGAAAAAAAAAATAATTAAAAAAATCCTTCAAAAACTGACAAAACAGTGATTATCATTAGAGCGCACTTACTCTTTCTTCGGTCTAGGCTATTTATTCGAAAAGTTCTCAAGAAAGTAAAGAAAAATTACAGTGACATCCAACTAATCCGGGAGAACTCTCAACACGTCGGCCACGCCCTTCTGATTTGCTACGACATCAGCGTTTATTCTCATCTTTTCATATCTTTGAACCGATTCTGTGCCATATTTTTCCCAATCAACTACGACCATCTGTTTAAGTAAGCTCCAAAACTTAACACATAAAACTAGAGAGAGACGATTCTCACAATTCTTCTAGCAGTCTACAAAAAATCACTCATTTTCCAGCAAATCGACCACCACGAAAATCATTATTGTAACTTGGATCGTCCCGATCGTTTCTTCTTTTTATTTGTATACTTACGGTTTGTTGAATCCCACTTTCCGGGGCTTTTAAATCAAGGCCACACGTAGAATGACTCGAAGCGTCGCGGTCGCGTTGCGTTTTGACGTTCAAAAATAAAGCTTTCAGTTTCGAGTACTCAACGCGCGGTTTTTCTTTTTTCCATGCTATAACATGTTACGGTGTAAAACCGTTTTTGGTCGGGCGCGTTCTGGTAACCGTGACGCGTAGTCATTATTTCCAGACCACTTCAAGACGTTAGAATAAAGTACAAGTTAATAAATTTAAGAAGACTGCGCCCTAGTTCATATTCACGATTTACGACTATTTATGTTTCTAACCACGCCTTCTTGTCTTATAATCACTTGGTACGCCGATTTCTTGAAATATGTATCTCTTGTGGTGCTAATCGCTGTGATTGATGTCGTGACAGTTATCAAAGTCCGCCTCACTAATAAACAGGTAATCAAAAAACGGTTACTTCTGAGGTGTCAAAGGTTTCTCGAGTCGAGACCTTTATAAGCTTCTCTATGCTCTTTTGAACTATTCAGCAAGTATTTTCGCCGAGTTTCAAGGGAAAAATTATTTTAGAAATCTCAGATTTCTACCGATCAAAACTTCAGTTCAAGCCGTCGCAAAAAAGAGATTAAATTTTTGAAACAGGTTTTTTTTTTTGAATTTCATAGTTTCAAAAAAAAAACTAACTATAAAATATCGGCAAAAGCTATAGAACAGAAAACTTAGAGAGCATCACTAAGAATAACTGCCGAGATAAACGCGAGACGCTGGCGGTACATTGACGAGCTCGCAAACATCTCGCATTTTTTCTCGCGCCGATCTCGCATTTTTCTGGGCGCGAGCTCGCACTTTTCTAGGCGCGAGCTCGCATTTCTCTCGCATTTTGAAAATTTCCGAAATGCAAGATAAACGCGAGCTCGCGCCCAGAAAAATGCGAGATCGCGCCTAGAAAAAAGCGAGATGTTTGCGAGTTCGTCAATGTACCGCCACCGACCTCGCGTTTATCTCGTCAGTTATTCTTAGTGATTACTGAGCCGAGACAGCTTAGACCGAGGCGCAACTCGTGAATAGTCGGATGCACTGAGAAAAAAAAACAGCTAACAAGAATCCGATTTTTTTTTTAACAATAAGCCTCAAACCTCACGAATTCAAGCTTCAAATTCTAATAAAATCATATAAAAGTGCGAAAGCCACAAACTGTCGGTCGCAATGAGAAAATTATAAAAACTAATCATTATCGTATTTTTGGAAAAATCCGATCGCTTCAAGAAATTGAATTTCTAATTTGTGCCCAGCTCAACCGACATCACCAACAGCAAGACTAAAAAGAACGCGTAGATAATCAAGATGAGCCTAGCTCAAAGGATAACTAAACGCGGAAACCACATAATGTCGGTTGCATTAAAAAAAATAAAAAGTTAGCGAGCCTCGAAATAGGGAAGCGTCACAGAAAAGTCATTTGATATTCAGAAAAATTAGAAAACCACTCCAAGCCAAGCCATTCTCACTGCGACCAGAATTTGACTTTCAATCCACTGTATAAAAAATGTTTCCAGGCCTGCGTCCAAGGCTTCGTCTTCGTCTGCGAGTTGATAACATACTTCATTATTTCTCCACACGTTGAGCCGGGTTGGCTCCTAGTTTTTCTGACTACGGTAGCCTGGGAGTCTGTACACTGTTTAGATGGGTACGATCAAACTCTCTTTTGAATTCAATTCATTTTCAGTGTCATCACCCTCAGCTTCAACAAGGAGTTCAGAAAAGCGGTTCTCAGAGGGAAAATCTCTTCAGAAAGTTTATTAAAATATTATTTTCAAGGAAAATATGATATTTTGTAGGGCTCTCTTCAAGTTGGGCCGCTTGACCAGCTTCTTCCTGTTTTTTTGAACTTTTTGAGTTATAAATAAATATTTTTCCTTTCCTTCAATTTCCTCTTATATTTCATCGCAGGAAAAAAACTTGAAAGCCCCATTTATTTCATTATATAAATCGTGTTTAGAAAAGAGAGGTAAAAAGGAAGTGAAAGGTCGAATAACCGACGCTTTAATGATTAATATGAAACAAAAACTTGATTGGTTTAGGTTAAAGTAACTTAATTGCAGGTGGCCGTCTTTTTTCTACAAATTCTCAGTGATCTATCAATCTTTTTCTCTTGATTTTCATCTCGAGCGGCTCATTCTTCCTGTTCCATTTTTCTTAGTTCCTTTTTTACTCGAAAAAAAAGTTTAACATGACACAAAAATTTCAAAAAATGCGTTGAAATCAATGAATAAGATTGTTCATAATACACACTTAAAACTTGGAAGTTGGGTTTTTCAATTTTTAGAAAGATAGAATAGGTACCTTTTCCTCAAACGATTTTGAAATATTTCAAAATGAACTGGAATAATGATACTTTCCCATTAAACATTGCAGTCGCACTCGGAATAGCTCGACGCGTTGCGGTTGCGATGCGGTTCGAATAGGGTTCACTCTAAATTTTATTCCGATGCTATTGCGTAAGTCGTTTTTGGTCGGTTGAAAATTCATGTTAACTGCTTCGTAGCCATGCGTTCAAAATTTCTTTGTTTCTGCCGCCGAAAATCGGAAATTTATAGAGTTTCGAAAAGTTTCTCATTAACAGCTTTTTCACAAAATTTTTATAAAAAGTTTTATAATTTTTTTCGAGACCCCGAACTCTCATCCATCTTATCATCTCTCTATACGGTCCAAACAAAAATTGTTTTTTTCCGGATTTTCTCAGATCCCTAACCGGTCATCCCCCAATTGGTGACGCCTGAAATAATTCTTTTAAAGTCGACTTCCAGCAGACAGATCTATCCTTTTGCAAAACATATATGATTCAACTGGATAATTGGCGCCTATGATTGCCAAACGTTCACGTGAATTGGATTACGAAGAGAAAAAAAAGTGTGATAAATGAAACGGGCTCAAAATGAGCTGGTTAATTGGGGCTTTCAGCTCTTTCTGTAGGAAAATTACAACTTTTCCAATTTTTTTTGGGAATATGAACTTCATTTCTAGCTTTTGATCGGTTACTCGGTTTTTCCTTATTCAAAGAACCTCAAGGAATGTCTGAAAGCGTCAAAAAATGGAGTTATTTTTTTGGTCCTTGTTTTTTATCTGCATGCTACTGGATGCCTGCAAGCGCAAGTAGCCTTCTGTCGAAAGCTCTGAAATTATAGTTTTTTTGGAAAAATGGCAGAAGGAGCCGCTTCGCGACCGCAACGCGTTGAGTCTTTTACCAAGAAAATTTTTCCGTTTATCTTCCAGAAAAATCTCAGTGATAAATCAACTCTTTTGGAAGCTTCATCATCAGTTCCCAGTCAATTAACTGGTTGATTGAATCTCAGCTCTTTCCGTGAAAATTTCAGTGACAAGCATAATCGTTCCTAATTGACCAGACTTCCTATAAAGTTTTGGAAACCCCTAGTCATTCTTGTTGTCCTCTGTTAAATGAGATGATTTATATTATTATTAATTTTTCGTATCTATTTTGATACTTTTTGAAACGTTTCGAAACTGATTATAGTTGATATATTCTTATTAGGCATCAATAATCCCTTGAAATCAACAAAATATGTTCTTCAAAAAGGGAAAGCCTGCAATTAACCATTTTTTTCTTCCTTTTTTTCTCACTAACATAGTTTTTTAATTTCCATTTTTATCTACTTTGAGGCGTTCTAATTCATGACAACATTGATACAATTAAAACATGAAACTTAAAAACTGGAATTTTTCTATTTGTAGTAGTTTGTGCAAAATTAGAGCTTTTTTTGCAAGCTACAAATAATGATGGACTGTTAAAAATAGTTTACCCTGGAAAAAAGAACACCTTTTTGTGTACTTTGTCATAAAATGAACCCAATTGAAAAAAACGAGCATTTGCGTAGTTTCCAGTCACGCTCCTAATTGAATTTCGAAACATTCTCCAGTCTCATACTTTGATTCAGAACTTTTTTCAGACAATTTCCTCAAAACTGCTCCAGTCAGAAATAATTGAATTTTTTCTCTTTTTATCTCACATTTAACTTTAATGGTCGCTCTTGGAATGGGTTGGTGTGTAGCGGTCCGAACAGGGTCTACAGCATTGTTTTTTAATGCATTTCGTTAACTCAGGGCGCAAGTCGTTTCTGGTCGGGCGCAGCCGTTAATTTTCAAACCTGATTTCTAAACTTCACGTTGTTCTTGAACAATCCCCAAAAAATGTCAACCAAATATTTTCAGGATTTCACTTATAAATTTTGCAAGAAATGGCCCTTCAATCGGAAATAGTCGGTGTTATCCACACGGCCCCACCGGACGTCGCAAAATCTCTGGGATATTGGAGTTTCATAAATTCCTGTGTATTCTCTGGTATCTCTGTCATTCTTCACTTTCTCCTGCTCATTATAATGTATCATCGGGCTCAAAGTACTGTCGGAGCTTATAAATATATCATGATGTGCTCTTCGGCTGCCGATATTTTGTTCAGCTTCTCGAATATCGTCACTTGTCCGGTGAGCTTTTTCTCCATTTCAAGTCATGTGAACTTTTTTTTGGAGTAGTGAAAGAACTACGATCAGTTCTGCAGCAATAAAAAAAATTATCTTCATTCCAGATGATGACCTTCCTCCACGCCGAGAAATATCAAGCCCTTCTAGTCGTGAATAATGGAATCCAAGTCGGCTTTTACTTCGGTTCTGGAATGTTAACAATCGCCTTGTTCTTCCTAACTCAGTCCATTTTAACACCACCTATCGCCTTTATCTTCCGATATCTCCAAATCTGCAGGTTTCCCATCTCTAATATCGTCAAACAGTTGAAAACTATTTTGAGGCCCCACGAACTTTTGGACAACAAAAAGAAGTATCAGGCCCAGTTGGCTATACCATTCTCTTCGCTGATTCTTGGAGCGACTCTTCTGACTTTTGTATCATTTCCAACACCGGATGATATCAAATACTTGAGCGATATTGTTACAATGTTCACCAGTGAGAATTCGGCTTTTTTGGTAGTTTCATTCAGAGTGAGTTCTTCTTTCAAGTTTTACGATACCTATTTAAAAAAAACGGCGAAGGAAAACTAGAGTGGTCCCGACAGAAGTTAGGGGAAACTAACAGCCCCTATGAGGATAAAAAAGTGCCCCTATAAGGGTGAAATTCAAGTTTTCCCTCTAGACTTTTTAGTCGTGACCCCTAAGACTCTATAGTTCAAGTGGTCCCTTTGGGGGCCTTTCAGTTTTTAGTTGAGATTTCAAAATCAAATTGACAACCCTCAGTTGACTTTTTTCATTGAAATGGGCCCTTAAGGTTGCCCCTCTAGTGGTCACTCTGGAGCATCTAAGTAAAGTTGAAAAGAAAGTAATCTATAAAAAAACTGCAGATTTTTTATCTTTTCCATACAAAAAACCATCTTGTAAAATTAACTTTAAAAAAAATAAAGTTTAGTTACTCTGAGAGCTCAGTAAACGATTTACGTATGATCACTATTGATTTCAAAAAAAATAAGGATAAATTTCTTTTTCAAACAGGCAGAACAACTTACATGGTTCGAAACGGTCTGCTACCTCGTTACCTGGTTCATAACAATATTCTACGCATTTATGCTAGTTATCAGTTTGATAATCATGATCTTCTGCTCGGTGAAAATAGTCAAGAAGCTGGAGGAAGAGAAAAGCGTCAGCCCCAAGACGTACAGAATGCAAAAGAGACTCTATCAGATGCTGATTCTGCAGGTAATATTTCCAAAAATCAAACAATGTTCAAAAAGCAGGGCTTTTTTCATTTATAACAATTTTTACAACTTTTATTTGAGCTACAATTTCATTCATAGAGATCTCGAATCAGAAACACCGAAAAAAATAAATCAAGAAAAAAAGAATTCGAAACCATTTTTCCAGTTCCTCTGCCCACTATTTTTGCTTCAAGTCCCGTTCTCCTACTCCTTCATTCTACCAGTACTCAACCTAACTGCGAATGGATTCGCCCACGATCTCCTACCATTTTTATTCGCCTGGACTCCATTTCTAAACGCTATCATTTTATTAGCCTTCATGGAAAAGTTCCGATCCGCTATCACCTCTTTCAAGCTATTTTCAACTGTTCAACCGTCTAACACACCTCGAAGGTAGATTCTTTTTTTTTCAATAATTTTATTTTCACGACTTGAAACGCCCTAGCTAAATGCAGCAATTTTGCGCCCGACCACCAAAAACGACTTGTCCACCACGGCATCTTCTATCATATGATGGACGAAAATCGCTAAAAGTCGATATAAAACTTGTATTGAAACTGAGCTCTTTTTTATGCTTCATTCATTGGTGGTTTGAAATGAAAGCGAAATAGCATGTGAAGATAAGAGATTCAGACGTCTCTGCATTCATTTTTGTTTCAAACTAAAAGAAGTATAAAGCTACATGGCGCTTCAAGTCGTGAAAAAATCTAATCAAATTCAAAAAATGTATTTCTTCTTCAAAATTATATTTTTCAGGCCGGATCAAGTTGTACCGCGGAGTAGAAAGAATCAGTCTGCCTAATTTTTGGGAAATATCGGCTCCAGAAAAAAAAAAATTTAAGCTTCATCTCAAGTTGATTCTACTGTCTCATGAAACCTGTTTTGCCCATATGATTGCATTTTTTAATAAATTTTGTTTCTTCTCAGTCTTAGCAAAAAGAGAAGAAAATCGTGAAGAAACTAAGAAAAATATGAAAAGTCCATTTTTATAGGGATTAAATTTTTGAATTTCAAGAAGCAGTGCTTTGAATTTTTCTGAACGGGTTCCTGGCAAGGAAATGCAAAAAAAGTCTGGTTTTTCTGATTTTTTTTTCATTTGTGGTTTGTGTTCCGTTTCACCTATACCTACTTTTTTTGCTGGTCGATTTTTAAACATTGAAAAAATGTAGTAAACATTTTACAGTTGAGATTCCGCTAAAAATCTGACCCCACAGTTCGTGTTTTCGGTGCTTTAGCGCGCAAGCCGTTTCAGGTTGGGAGGGCTTCGATTGTACTGTTTCTAAGTGGAGCGGTCTAAGAAAAACTGTTCTAAAGTGAAATATAGCGTGACTTCAATAAAAGAAGTCCAAATTCAAATATCCAACGGTAACCGCAACACGACCGCGAAGCGTGAATCAACATTTTCCCAAGAAACCCAGCCCAACTTCACGAAATCTCCTTGTTATTTCACGTTTCGATGTTATTTTTCCCTTCGGCGCTGAACACCTTTCCGTGATTACACTGGCTATGCAAATACACAAACCGTCATTTTTTTTTCTTCTCATTTCATTTCAATCACACGTTTCCGCTCGCTTTTGTCACGGAGTTTTTTTTTTCTCAACCTATTCATTTCTGTTCTAACTAATGAAGAAAAGTTACAGTACAATTATTAGACGAAAAAGTAAAATTGTCAAGCCTCTCAAGAAAATTTCCTTTTCGATTCAACGTTTTTAGATCTTTTTCTGAACTTTCAGATCTCTAGATTCCCATTATCTCACTTTAGAAACTTAGAATCAAAATAAACAGTTCCAATCTCCAATGTTAAGTTCTTAAATAGAATATTACCATTCTCAGTAAATTAAATAAGAACGACGGTCCAAAAACTGAATCATTACACCGGCCCATTGTCCAAGAAAAAAGATAACAAATCATCTTCTTTTTAATAGTCCCAGTTTCTGTTTTCGTTGGGAACCAGTCCCGTTGGACGAATACCCGGCAGATTTCCACGCCTTTCGATTTTTCTTTTTTATGTTTGTTTTGTTTCGAATTATAATTTTTTACCCATCTCATGTACTATTAGGTGGGTTTTTCATTTGTAAAAAAAAACGTATAAATTCACTGAATATGAACTTTGGAAAGTTTTGAACGGCTTGAATTTTTTCCGTTATTTTCTGAAAACTTACCTTTTTCTTTCCTTTTTCTTTTTTCTTGCAGCTCATATAACAATCTTTTGAATGCAAGCTTTATTGAACTCTTTCTAATGTTGAAAAGATAAAGCTCATTCGTAGGCGCGAGCGTTGGCGTCACCTCCCCACTGGAGCCAGAGAAGGCCGTTGGCCGAGGCGACGAGGGCTGCGAAGACGGTGAGGACGGTGGAGGACGACATCTTTCGATGGATTCTGGAGGGAAGAACGCCCCTTTTATAGGAAGGATCTAGGCGGTTCTCAATGAACAGTTAAATTGAGAAATGGGAACCGAACCGAGTCCTGAGAGATTTCCATGACTTTCTGGTCAGTTCGCATCCTTCAATTTAAGTTTTCCTTGAGAACCGTCTAGGTCCGACCCATAAAAGGGCCTGTTTCCTTCCAGAATCCATCGAAAGATGTCGTCCTCCACCGTCCTCACCGTCTTCGCGGCCCTCGTCGCCTCGGCCAACGGCCTTCTCTGGCTCCAGTGGGGAGGTGACGCCAATGCTCGCGCCTACGAATGAGCACCAACTTTGTTTTTCTACTAGTAAAGCTTTTTCAATAAACTCTTGCATCTAAGAAAATTGTTTTGTGAGTTGCAAAAAAAAGAAAACATGACAAAAAAGAGAAGAAACAAACGTATGAGCAGCATGTTCTTCTAATTCCTTCTTTAATACAGATTTTTCCCATCAATTTCCAAAATTCAGAGCTCCTTTATAAACATTCTTAAAAGGGAACATCACAAGAGCTTTTCCGTGAATGAGTCATTTCACAACCTTCGAAATTAATGAATGAAGCGCTTCCTCTTCCTGAATGACTCAAGCTTAAAAAGAAACGAAAAAATTCCCAGAGGAGGGCTACTTTTTCGAAGAATAAATTTAAAAAAATTAAAAATTATTGGTGATGAAAAAAATGCACTTTCCAACAAAAAAATTTGTACCTTTAATACTATTTCGCCTTCAAAAAAATAAGAAATACTTTTTTTAAGAAGTTTTTGATTATCACGTCTAAAAACTTCACTGTAATCTACAAATTTCAAAACAAATCGAAAAAAAGCGGATATTATACTAAATTTTTATTTGAATTCATAACAACTGGAACTAAACCAAACGACGCAACTTTCTTCTCCCTTTGAAAAAAATACCAAAAACCACAAACAAAAAAATATTTTTCGACCAGAAAGTTCAGAACGGAAGGTCATTAAATTTTCCCCAAAATGTACTTTTTTTGGTAATTTGAATTTGTGTGAAAAACTTTTCATTTCTGATAGAATGAATGTATTTTTTTCTCGACCGAAAAGAAAAAAATACGGAAGAATCGATCTTTTGTTGGGAAAGTGTTCAGGAAACCAGTTTGTTTGCGATACTCTAGTCTTTTTTTAATACTGTTTTTCCCGTTTATCGAACTTTTTTTGGGGGAGTTTGTCTAAAAAAATTCTCTAGAGGTCACGAATACTTCATTCAAACATTTTTTTATAATTTATTAAAGTTTACTGATTCCTATTTTTATTTAATGTTTGAATGGAAAAAAAGGCACTTTTGATCTGAAATTTTTCTTTCTATTGCTGTTCTTGTTGTTCTTTTTTTCTTTACTTTCTTAATATTTTTTTATCAAATTTTTTTCAAAGTATTTCTAATTCATCAACTAGTCCATTCTTCATCTATTTCCCTCTCTGTTTTTATTTGTTTTTTTCATTTCATACACTAGTTTAATAACCTGATTCCACATCCAAACGATGAAAAGTAGAATAAAAAAAGTAATAATAAAACCAGGATTCCACACAAAATTTCAACTCCAAACCGTTGCAACCACTAAAAATTGACATATATGACCGCCGCAAAAATTCCTTTTTTTCAGTTCTCTTCGTCTCATAAAACACGTGTTCGAGCCATCAAAAAAAGTTCATAACCGTTAAAATATTTCACAGGCCGAAAAAAAGACACTTTTTTTCTTTCTCTAAAAGATAAGCGGCTCTCCTTGAATGGTTCGTTCGCATATGTTTAAATTTGAAAATTTGAAAAATTTAGGTATCCGATATTGATCCAGAAACATCCAAAAATCACTTGGAAAATGGTGAAAATGGCACGAAATACGAGAAAAAGCCGAATATTATCGAAAAATCCTTCACAAGTGAGTTTACTTTCAAATTTTCTACATAAAACTTCAAATTTCAGCAACGATCAACAGTTTTTCCAACACATTTGCTCAGTTGGAACGAATTTTCGGGTTCCTTGTCAAACCTGTAGTTATTATTGGCCTGTTAGTGCTTTATCATGGGTTTCTAGGTGAGAATATTTTTTCTGACTCAAAAATTTTTTTTTTCAGTCGCCGCAGGGATTCACAACTTCCGAAAAGCGGCCCCTTTAATTTATATAACATTATTTTTCTGGCTTTGTTTTATAGTCGTGTTTATTGTTGATTCGGAGCTTTTTCAAAGGTTTTATGCGAGATTTACGGCGGCAGCAGAGAGGAAACTGTCGCGGCTGCGGTTCGCTTCAGTGTGCGTTTTTTTGAGGACATTTTGCTTTAAGAAAATATTGATCAAGTAAAAAGTAGATTTTTTTAAGGCTTTGAAGCTTTTTGAAAAGCAAAAAAAATCAAGAAGAATGCCGTAGAACAAATTTTTCGGGTAAATGAAACTTTTTTCGAATCCAAAATCTAGAAAAATCGAGTTTTTTGAGCTGACAAATTAGTTTAAAATTGTGATACCTGAGGCTAAATTTGAGAAAATTCCCTAGAAATGGATTATTGCAGGTTTTTTTCACTTCACTTGAAAAAAACATTTTTATTTTTTTGAAAAAAATGATTTTTTTCAAGTTTTTGGAGCACACGAAATAGCAGAAATGTTCAAAAATCGACATAAATTTTGAAAAAACAATTTTTTTTTTCAGTATCTATAATATTTCTCTACTCATCGCCGTCATAGCCTTGCTAATAATCGACACGATTTCCGATCCTTCAAGATTACGTGGCCTGGCCGGTTATGCATTTTTCCTCGTCATCATGTTCCTTTTCTCAAATAACAAGTTGAAAGTAAAACTTCAAAGCTGAAATTTTCAATCAAAACAAAGTTACAGATAAACTGGGGTACTGTAGTCTCAGCATTCAGTCTGCATTTTCTCGTGGCCTACCTCATACTCCGTTGGAATACGGGAAAATGGCTATTTCAACATATTGCTCAGCTTATTGTCAAGTTTCTGGACTACGCTCAACAAGGTTGGTTATTTCCAATGTCGCTCAAGGTCGGGCGCACATTTATAATTAGTAATAGAACTCAAAAAAACTTTCTACTTACAAGGTTGGTTAGAGCGTCAAAAAATTTCTGTAAATCATGAAAAAGCAGGTTTTCTTCTTAAAGGAACATTAGACAAATTTAGAAATTGTCTCGAAACGACTATGATGTTCCAAATTACTATGATGCAGCTGTAGATTTTCATAAAAAAAAATTCGAAGAATATGTAATTTTATGGCGTTTGAACCCTGAAAAGGGCAAAAGACACCTATTTTTAAAGGCGCATAGCTAAAAATATCCCGAAGCGAAAAATATGTCTTTTTTCGAAGTCATTAATTGATTAATCAATTTTTTTTATACTGAATATTTTTTTTAAGGAACGGCATTTGTATTCGGGTTCATCGCCACGCCGCCAAATATCTGCGGCCTGACCCCGGTCTTCATTTTTACGGTACTTCTTCATTTTAGTTCTGGGATAATTAAAGGCTCATAGCTTGATCTGATAAAGGTCTCGAGGCGAAGAGTCATTTTCAGTTTTCTCTCATATCACAGAAAAGACCTACGAAAAGCAAACATCGTCAAAATGAAATAAGAGAACATTTTCAGGCCCTCCAAACTTTGATCTATTTTGGTGCTGTCGTTGCTCTACTCTTCTATTTTGGCGTTATTCAGGTTCATTTTTTTATTTTCTAATCGAAAAAATATTTTTCAGGCAGTTCTGAAAAGACTTTCTTGGTTCATGAAGCTTCTAGTAGGGACCACTGGAGTGGAGTCAATGAACGCTTGGGGGACCACTTTTCTGGGGATGGTGAGATCATTTTTTCGAAATACGTAGGAAAATTTTGGCGATGGTTTATAGTAGATAGAATTTAAGAATATCACCATGAGGGTCAAAAAATAAGGGAGTTTTGACCACAATTTTTTATTTATCTCCAGTTTTTCGAAAGACTTACTTTTGAGTAATTTTTGTCTCGTTTCTTTAAGGATCGAATCCGGTTTAAAATTGATTTACTCCATAAAAGAATTATGATTAATTTATTGCAAATCCAAAAAAAACCTTGGAAAAACAGTCATTCCGACTGCGTCATAATTATTGACTCCTGGTGGATTATTTGCTATCCTTACAACCAAAAAAAGCTTATATATGATATTCACACTCATTCCCATTGAAATTCAGTAAAAATAGCATCACTCAAAATTTTTCAATGCTAATCTGGACATTGAAATGATAGAACATTCATACTTTTGACTGCGTCTTAATTATTGGCTCCGTCTAGCTTTTTATTTAAAAAAATTTTTTTTCCGTGTCGAACCGGATTTTATTTTCTTTTTGAATTGAATCTATTTACAGTCAGAAGCTCCGATAATGTTGGCCCCATACTTGGGAAAAGTGACGGCTTCGGAAATGCATGCGATTTTGGCCAGCGGCTTCGCCTGTACCTCTGGGACCGTTTTCGCGGCTTACATCTCTCTCGGAGCTTGTCCAGAGTGATTTCTTACTTCATAACTTGATTTTCTCGGAAATTATCAAATTTCGAGCTAAGAAATTCCTTTTTAGCTACCTTCTGACGTCATCTCTGATGTCAGCCCCCTGTTCTCTGGGTTGTGCGAAGCTACTCTTTCCAGAAACAGAAAAGACTGAATCAGACGAAGAAGAATTGGAAATTGGTCATGGGTCAGTTTTTCACAATAAAATCAAAAAGAACCGGGATAAAGTGTAAAATGCGCTCTATGGATGAAAACTGCTACAGAAAAAGGTAGTTTTGAAAGTTATCGGAATAAAGTTAAAATTTTCCTGCTCTTAAAATCTCAGAAGTTTCAAACGCAGTATTGGAGTAATGTGACTTTTGAGCGAAATTCTTATAGATTTCTGAGAAAAAGAATGAATTAAAGAAAAAAAGCTCAAAATCTCAAGCAATTTCGCTCTAGTGATTCAATGTAATGTATGTTCAATGTATCAACATGCTAGACACTCCAAAAGGTTCTTGGAAAAAAAAGTTGCGACTGAAACTTGAGCAAAAAATAGCCGCTGAGTAATTCAAAAGTGCGCTCTACCGATAACAACTATTCCGAAGTTATTCAAAATTTTTTAAAAGTTCCTCAAAATCGAATGAATATTCATGATTCTATCGAACATCGATAACTTGTGAAAAAAATTCCAAAAAAAGGTAATTTTTCTTGAAAATTCAGTGATTTCATTGCAGAAAAACCGTAAGCGATAGATTTTCTATAAATCGTTTGAATTTTTCCAGCAACAAAGGAATCCTGGAAAGTCTATCGGCCGGCGCGACGGCCATGGTTCCGGTCGTTTTTTCGATTGGCGCAAATTTGGTGGCGGCCCTTGGAATTCTGGGTTTTTTTGAACGACGTTGTCAATTATGCGGGCAGTCTACTTGGCTATGAAAATTGGTCTTTTTCAGGTAATTTGATTTGAAAAAAACAAAGCAAAGAAAAGCATCTGGAAAGATTCGAAAAAAACAGGGATTTCTGAATTTTTTTCGCAAAATAATTGAACATTATTCCATTTTTTTAATACTCTTCCCAGTTCAAGTTTTTTTAAAATGATAAGATTTATAAGGGGAAAATTTTTCAGATGATTTTCGGCTATATTCTGTTTCCTGTCGCCTACTTGATGGGCGTCACCGGGGATAGCGAGCAAACTTTGAGGTGAATTTCCGGAAAAAGGCCTTTTTTAACAGGTTTGAGGTCTTTTCTGATCTAAAAACTCTACAAAAACTTCGAAAAATCACTTTTTTCAGAGTCGCTGAGTTAATGGGAACAAAAACGATCGTCAACGAGTTCGTGGCTTACAAAGAAATGGGCGAAATGCAGACTAAAAATCAGCTTCTGGTAACTTTATTTTTCAAAATTATAGATCGTTTCGAATTATTGTTCTATCAGAAAAATCTCAAGCTTTTTATGGAAAGTTTTATAACTACATTCAAACAGACAATCGTTTTCAAGCGATTTTTATGAATTTTTTATTTTTTGACAATGGCGCGAATTTTCTCATTCATTTTCAGCCTCGATCGGCGATGATTGCGACCTACGCTCTGTGCGGTTTCTCCAACATTTGCAGCATGGGAATGCAAATCGAGACTTTAGGTAAGTAAGCCTAACTGGATTTCTAAAGGCGCATGGGTGGGTCTAAAAAAGGTCCTAGCGCGAAAAAGGTAGTTTAAATCAAATACTCAGCTTTCGAACTGCTCAGCATGTGTTTTTGATGAACGGAAGTGTTAAGGAACGGAGATAATCAATAAATTTAATAAATTAAAGTTTTTAGGAGCCCTGGCCCCGGCAAAAAAGTCGATAATCGTTGATGTCGTCGTTCGGGCTCTGATGGCCGGAGCCATTGCTTGCTTCATGAATGCTACTGTTGCGGGTTGAGTCTTTAAAATGCGGACATTCTTTTATTTCGATGATTTGCAGGGATTCTAATCGATAATCCGACGTTTTGTACTGTTGGCAGTGGCAATAATGGCACTTGTTTCGCGATTCCTAGTTAAATTATTATGAAAAAGATCCCAAATTTTATATTTTTACTGTATATAAACTGTAATTAATTTCTTTTTATTGTACATTTTTCTTCGAGAGGCTACTTAGCCTTCTCCAAGCAAGTACTCAAGGGATTTTTAAACTTTTCTCGTCTTCTCAAAATGTTTTGGACAATGGCTCATGGGAAAAATGAGCAGGTAAGCCCAAAAAAAGTCGAGTTTGAACTGAAGCTCTTAAGTGGCGACTCCGTTACAATTTGGGCAAAAATGTGTAACGTGAAACCCTCAAATGACTACTTGGATTTCTCAAAGCGGATACTAAAAAGTTAAAAAATGTTTCTAGACTGCCCGAAATCGTTCTCTGTCAAGTAGCTAAAAATGAAATAAAAAGCCTCTTAAGTGGCCACTCGCAGTTTATCCCTCAACTGGTCCCTTAGACGCACCATTATGAGCTCCTTGAAGCTCACAACCCTCAAATGACTTCGAGTATTCTAAGTAGTTCTTTTTTTCATTGATAGAATGTTTTCTGAAGAAAAGTTTAGAGATAAAAAAAGCTTTAAACAGAAAAATTTGTCCAATTTTAAGTTTTCAATCTATAGGAAAAAAATAAATGCTTATTTTTTTCAAAAGCATTTCTATGAAAAAGTCTTTCGAAAAAAATTGAAACCATAAAACTACAGCTCAAAAATCGCGGAACAAAATGGAACATTCCTTGGTTTGATTACCAATGCGGAAACACGTGGTCTGCCGAAAAACAGTCCTGATTTTAAAAATAAAAGACCGGTTCTCGCAATTTCTAGGTTGAATCTTTCCGATTCTTTGTTAACAAACGAATCAGAAATCTTTCAAGTTTCCTAGGATGACAAAATGTTGATTAATTGCAGTTTGCAGGGTTGGAATGGGGCTGAGCAACTGTTTCAAGGTAGGAATTGGCGACGAAAAGTTTAAAGTTGGAAGAAAAAATTGGGAGAATTGAAGGTTTGATTTCGGAAGGTTTTTGAGCCCGAAGCCATGATGAAGAATGATAGGTCAAAAAATTTGGCTTTATAAAAAACTTGCTTTCTGAGAACTGCAAGCTTATTTCTTAGTAGCAATTATGTATATTTAAAAAAAAAATTTTTCAACACAGTAAAAAAATAATAAAAATCATACCATTTGAACAGTTATGAGCAGTCTTAAAAACTTGAAGAAGCTCTAAAAGATTTTAAAACCTTAAAATACATAAAAATTCACGCCAAATAATCCGTTCCTATCATTTTTTTAATATTATTTTTTTCTTCCATTCTTCCCGACCTCCTTTAAATTTCTTCCCAAAAAAATAATAAACTAACGAACGGTTGCAGGAAATGGGCCACTTGTGCACATCCAATCGTAAATATTTCCTCAAGTCGTTCCCTTCGTCCTTTTGGTCAACATTTCTGGTCCTGTTTATCGGGCATTCGTGAACGTTCTGGCGTAAAAAAGAACGATTTTCAAATGAAAATAGACAACACGGCTTCATATTTTCCCATTGATTTTCGAACTTTGCAAATGGTCAACACGAACATATCATTATCAAAAATTTTATCATAAAGACGTTCGATGATAACAAAGAAAACATTAAAAAGTCTCGAACAGTTCAACAATTAATGCCAATCAAATAGCCTCGCACAACGGCTAGAAGATTAAAAGTTGGATTTCGGAAAAATTCATTTTAAGCAAGCAGAACTGGTTTGAAAGATATAAAAAAAAAGAAAAAAGAAAAAAAAGTTGAAAATAAATATAACACTTCTCCGTCAAATTGGAAGATATGCGCATTGGCCGCAAACTTTTGTCGTGGTGAGACATGGAGAGATTTACTGAAAATTTGCGGGGTTTTTTTTTTCGAAACTTTGACTTCTTTTTTATTTCCTTTCTCATTACTTTTCATTTTTTTCGAATACTGAGTATCAAATTTGAGAGGTTACAAAAAAATATTTTTAATGAAATAATTAGCCTTTTTGAAGGAGCGATCGCAATTTTCAATTAATTTCTTGAAGCTGTCTTTTTCTCATTTATTTAATTTAATCACTTTTTCTTGTTGTTAATTTAATGTTTTTATCGCAATATTCAATAAAGAAATGGAACAGTCCTTCCATAAATTTTCATCCTATTTTTTTGCATGAAAACTTGAGTATTTGTATCAATATTTTTTTCTTCATTGTTGATGACTGTAATTTAATAATAATAAATATTATCCTTCCAGAAGCTTTTGCTTTGAGGAACACGTGAAAAGTTGGAGAACACGTGAGTGAGGTCCGATGGCGCTAAAACCAATAGAAAGATTGCGAACCGCGTGCTTTTGAGGTTTTATTTATTATTTTTGCTTTTTTTGCTTTTTTTGAATCACGAGCGACTAAGAAGCGCAAGGGTATGAGTAACTTTCAAAATAAAGAAAAATATGGAAAAAAAGAAGAAAATTTCAGTTCCAGCATTTAAAAAAACATTTCTATAACTTAAAATTGCAAATTTTGATTGCATTTTCAATTTTTTTGAGGTGTAGGGTCCTCGAGAAAATTTTTTATCAAAAATTGAAGTTTTTCTACAATAGAAAATAGGAAAATCATGCTACTATGAACTTAATAACTGTAGCTTTCAAGCAGAAAAACATATTCTTCTCTTTTTTCACATTTTTAGTTTACCAACTTGATGAATTTTTCAAATTATACTCTAATAAACAAGTTGACTCATCAGTATCTAAAATTAGACTCATTTTCCAACATAGTCTTTTTTATTTCTTGAAAAAAGTTGCATGTGAGTTCAAACCACGCGGCCGAATCATCAGGCGATTTTGCAAAAACGGACGAGAGAAGAGAGAGCGCGGAGGGTGCCAGACGACGAGAGAAGAGAGATGGGCGTCTGATGACCCCAGGACCTCTATAAATAGACGGATTTTTGTGGTCCAAGCAGATCCCGAGCTTTTGCTTGGTTTTATTATTGTTTAAGTAGAATTGTCCTTGATTTTCTTGATTTTCTTGATTTTCTGAAATCCTAATGACTTGCTCAACAAAGCTAAGGCACCATCCTAAAAGCGAGTGAATTCACTGGGAACCTTTTAATTTTTTTTTTTTTCTGAAGTTTAGCTAGGCGACTCTTGGATGTGCTATATGAAAATCCTAAAAGTCTCAACCCTTGAAATTTTTTGGTTTCTCGAAAACGCCTAGAAAGAGCAGAAAAGTAAGATTTAAACGCAGATTTTTTTGCAGGTTGAGACTTTTGGATCGTCACCTAGTACATCAAAAAAAATTTTATCCAGTTTTCTAAAAGTTTTGGGATTGTCTTCTACAGAAAGATCTGCTCCGTTTTTCAGAACTTTCCATGAACCTTGCAAAAGCGCTTAAGCTTCCATTTTATCATTCCCTTATCGTAAAGTTCTCCTGAAAGTGTCTAGTTTCATTCCTATTCGAAATTCTTCTGTCTTCTTTTGGCAAAAACCTTTTTCTTAAAACCCAACATCACCCCAAAAGGAAAAACTACAATGCGATCGCGAACTCGTAATCGATTTTCTCTTTTCAAGGTCTTTCCGTTCCGACAATGTCTTTGGCCTATTCTTCCATTGAAACTGACTTCGCAAAACAATGATCAGTTCCTTTTCGTTCCGATAATGGCGAATTTGTGCCTTTCGTTATATTCCTTCATTGAAACTGACTTTGCGAAACAAAGATCAGTTTTTTTCCGTTCAGATTTTCCGATTTTTGGAACCCTCTAGAAGAATTTTCTTTTGTGGAAGTGTCTGCGAGATTTTTAGCCTATGAACTGAAATCCTGTAATAAATGTTTTGCTGTTGAAAAGTCTGATGTTGCATTTTTCAGCTTTAGGTCCGCGAAAATAAGAAAAATACATTTTTTTTTGATTCACAACTAACGAAACTCTTGCTTGAAAAAATCGTAAGTTTTTGAAAAATTTCTATTTTTTCGTAACACTAAGAAAGTCAACTGTTCGTACTGAAATTCAACCTTCCTTCCCATTTTTTCTCTTAAAAACTCTCCAAACACTAAAATAGCTCAGAAAAACTTCATTTTTACACAAGACCAGACTCTCTGCAAACTCCGACTTTTGAAGAGAAGGGAGGAAGAAATGAGAGAAAAATTCATCGAGCGATCAATTTCGGTGCAGTGATGTTTGAAAAATTTTTCCTTACGATTTTTAGGCTTCAAGAAATTTTTACATGAAAACGATGTACCGGAATGAATCTTGAATCAGGTATCTTTTCCTAAGATTGGCCTGAGAGGGATTTTCAGGGTTATACTTTATTTTTTCAAGCCTTAAAGTTCAAAAAAAAAAAACACAGTTTCTCCTTCTTACAAACAGCGTAGTTAGAGCTAGTTAGATATTTTTGAACCTTGAGAATATTTTTAAAATTGTTTCGTTTTACTTTTTGAAGCTTACTCAAACTTCAAAATCTTTAAAAACAGCTGAATAGAAAACAACTTTCCAAGTTTCATTTGCTTCGAGCTAACCTAAATAGCCACTCTTTTATTGAATTTCAGTTCAAAAAGCTCAAAAACAGTGTAATTTGTGTATCTGTTCTCAAAAGTCGCGTTGAAAAACACGCCATGTAGTGTGGGGCGTTCCCGTGCGGGATTCATGGCCAGTGGGTTGGTAAATAGGAAGATTTGACCCTCCAAACGTTTTCTGTGTGTGGTGTTGGTGGTGTGACCGTCATTCATCCCGTTCTTTTTATCTTTTTATTTTTCCTCTTCGTTTTCTGCATAAAAAGCCGGTTTTCCTCGTCTTCTACTTGTTATTCGACTCCTCATTTTGTTGGCAGCAATCGAAAATTTCAAAATTATTCCATTTATTAACGGCTAGAAGCTTCTACACAATTTTTTGAGCTTGAGAATCTCAAAAACTTTCAAAATTTTCCCAATCCAAAACAGATACACTACACTCTCTACCAACCAAAATTTGATTGATACGATTTTGATAAGACTGTGTACATTTTACATTTGTTTTTCGGGTCCATTCTCGTGCCTGAAAATCCGCAGCCGATCTTTGATAAAACTGTTGAAAATTACACTTTTTACCTCCTTGTTGACGATTTTGGGCCTATAAATGAGCGGATTTTATCGCTTTTTGTGCCTTTTTTGTCTTTGGGATTTTTTTGATTTTTTTTCCAAGGGAAGGTTTTAATGATACTTTGAGGAAAAGGAAATCATAAAGTTTGAAAAGCTGTTCGACTTTTTAGAAGTCGATAAAAGTTCCAGTGGTCCCTGTAGTGTTTTGAGAGGTTGTAAATTAGTTAAAATTGATCATAGAGTTTCAGATTGAGCTGTTTAGGCTTTTAAAACTATTGGTGACGTTCAAAAAAGTTCGAGTTATCTTTTCTAGAATCATTTTCACAGAAACCTCTGATAGTACCTTTTGAATTTTTCTTCCAACTTTTTTATTTTTCAATCAAACTATACCAAACTGTGCTCCTTTTTTCTTTTTTGCTACTTCGACAAAAAATGTTCAGCCTTTTCACCAACCTTTTCATAAATTTGTTATGAAATGACCTCTCTGTCCCGATTCCACGTTCATTTTTTGCATTCTTCGTGGATCGCTTCTCATTTCTACAACTAACAAGCCTTCAGGAATGTTCGAGAGAGTGCTCAGCGTGTTCATCTTCGTGCTCTACCTGTTCGACACGGTTTTCGCCTCAAGTGAAGAGCATAATAAAGGAAAAGGTGCGTGTCAAGTCCAGGTAAAAGGAAATGAACTCAAAACTTTGAGAATCAGTTGAAAATGCCTTCTTTTTTCTAATAGCTCCGAGACTATGTAGAGGATGATCCAGTTTTTTTGGTTTATAAAAAAAAACTTTTCCGAAATCTAATATCTAAAAGTAAAGTCGAAAAAAGCTTTTTCAGACTAGGGGTGATTCCCTAGACCTTCAAGTTGTTCATTAAAATCTTAATGATCAATAAAATAATAAATAAACTTGCAGACAACTCGTACAAGCGATTGCTTGCCGGAGGAACCTTAAAGGACCACGGAGTGCAGTTTTCCGTTCCGTCATAAGCTCAAAAAAGAAAACGAACCAGTAACTGTGTTCAAAGCCATCATCATCTCCAACATGTACAACGACAAAAACACGACCTCCAAACAAGACAGTCCTCATCTTGCGGTTCCTCCAATCATTATTCGCTAATTAGCTCTATGAGCTTCGCATTCACCACAATTTAATACGAGTTTGTGTAATCTGTGCTTTTATTCGCATTTTCTTAATATATTTTAATGGATAATTAATAAATGGTTTTTTGATTTGATGGGTTTTTTTTTCTGAATCTACATGGAAAAGTCGGTGGGGTGTGGAATCAAAGTTTCAGAGAATTTTTTTTGAACTTGTATGTAAATATTGTTGGAAGATTTGAAGGTGAAGGGAAGATAGAAGTTCTTGTGAAGGTGTTCAGAAAGTAGTTGGAAGGTTTTTTTGGAAGGTGAAAAAAAACGAAAATGTCTGCCAGCAGGCTGCTCGAAGGTAAGTTGAGGTGTTGGGAAGGTATGTGGAAGACAAGGAATCGAAATAAAGTTAGAGAAAAAGGTACTTGAAAGCTTTAAAATGATATATAAAATCGATAATGCCCGGAAAATATTTCAAAACAAATAACTTTGTATTCTCTTACAAGGGACGTCATTTTTGCGTAGGGTTCTAAATTTTCAAAACGGTTTTAACCATTGAATTTCGAAATTTTGATCAGAATCCGTCAAAAAAAGAATGGCGAAAAATGATAGCGGCAAAAGTATTCGAACCTGCATCATAGGCTTCGCAGGCTACCGCGCAAGCCACTGCACCACGCTGCTAGCTGCCATTCAGAGTCTGTTTCAAACGCAAAAAGTACCGTAACTCTAAAATTTGTACAGTAATCCAAGGGGGTATGTATTTAAACAGTTCCTAGATCTGGATTACCTATCGATTGATATATCAATTGCCTAGTAAAAACTCCTCAGTACTTAGATATGCAGGTAGATACCCACCTGTCTACCGTAACCCGGATACAGTAAGAAGAAATGGCTCGTTGCTTATGAAACTTTTTGAAAATTACAGAGACGGCGTGTTATTTTTTGTTCGAAAACCCTCGTATTTCAATAACGTCCTCATAATCAAGCCAAAAGTACTGATTAGTGATAAATAAGGCAACATGATAATTTCAGGAAGCTTCCAAAATTTATCAGTTGCACAAAATTGCCGAAACGAATAAGAGAATCTCGGTGAAAGGGAAGAACTTTTGTAGAAACTCTAGCAAAACCTTGGAAAAATATCAAGTATTCGATGAACCTTTTTCGCCATCGTAAAACCATCTTACACCGTTAGGTTGGGTTGGAAGACAAAGAATGCCTGGAGAAGGTCGGAAAAAGTTGAGGATCAAGCAAGTTCCTGACCGTGACCACGCGGGAGCGAGGGAGGGTTAAACTGCCAGAAACTTCTGAAAAACTTGGGCCGAATCGCCTATAAAAGGCAGGTGCCGGGTGCCAATGTTCGCACTTCTCTGGAAAGATGGAGGCGGAACTCGAAGTGAGGCTCAAGGCCTACCGTTTCATCGCCTACTCGGCTGTCACCTTCTCCGTTGTCGCCGTCTTCGGCGTGAGTTTTTCGTTCTTTTAAAATTATTTTAGCTAAATAAGACTTCGGAAAGTGAGTTCTAACAATGAAAAAGATGTGACGATACCACTAATTCGTTTAAAATATTTTCCTCCAGATCTGCCTGACGCTGCCGATGATGCACAGCTACGTGGAGGGCGTCAAGAAGCAGGTCGACCACGAGGTCAACTTCTGCAAGTTCACGACAAAGGACATCTTTGCCGAGATGCAGCACATCAAGACGCAAAACGGCTCTCGGCACGCTCGTCAGGCCGGCTATGGCTCTTCTGACGGCGGCGTCGAGTCCACCGGCGCAACTGGAGGCTCTTGCCAAGGCTGCTGCCTGCCAGGAGCGCCAGGAGGTCCTGGACCGGCCGGTCGTCCAGGAAAGCCCGGAAAGCCTGGAGCCTCTGGCCACCCCGGTAGCCCCGGAAAGCCTCGTGCTCAGCCTTGCGAGCCGGTCACCGTGCCACCTTGCAAACCTTGCCCAGCTGGACCCCCCGGACCTCCCGGAGACGCCGGACGACCAGGAAACGACGGAGCGCCAGGTCAGCCAGGCTCCGGAGGTGGCGACTCTCCGCCAGGCCCTCCTGGACCTAAGGGACCACCTGGACCAGCCGGACAGCCTGGAGCCGCCGGACAAGACGGGCAGCCAGGAGAGAACGGCGAGAGCAGCAACGAGCCTGGAGAGCCGGGAGAAGCTGGACAGCCAGGACCTAAAGGACCACCAGGACCCGCTGGACAGCCTGGACGCGATGGAAAGCCAGGTTCGTCCAAAAACTCTTTTTTCTAAAATTTCATAGTAATGAAACACGAAATTTTCAGGGCAACCAGGTCAGCCCGGAGCCAAGGGAGACGACGGCGCTCCAGGCCAGGACGGAAACCCGGGATCTCCAGGAGAAGACGGACAGTCCGGAGGGTCCGGCGAGCCCGGAATCTGCCCCAAGTACTGCGCCATCGACGGCGGCATCTTCTTCGAGGACGGAACTCGGCGTCGTTGAAAATGAAAAGTTCGCCGCCAGATTTGAGCGACCTCAGGGAAATAAAGCGTTTTCTTCGGATTTTTCGTTTTTTTTTGTTTCGAAGAATTTTGAACGGACATTCACATTGCTGTAATATATGAAAGAAACTTCATTAAGACAATTCAGTTTTTTTTTCTACAGTTGAATCTAAATTTCAGCATTTTCTTCGTATATTTAATGAATTGATTCGCGACAATTGTCCTTTCACCTCACTTTCTCACCGTTCCTCTTTTAATTTCAAATCTGACCGTCTAATTCGTCGCTTACTTCAAAAAAAAGCCTCTCTTATCAATAACGGTCTTCATTCCACTCACCTCCGGCAAAAGTTCAATCTCACTGTCAAACTTATTCGTAAAAGAACTGCTTTTTTATTAAGGAAATTCCATACCAAAGTTGCTCTATCCTACAACTCCTCTAAACTTTCCAAATTTATTTCAAGACAGCTTAAGATCGATTCTGGGATCCCCAATCTGCTTTTCAATGATAATTATATAATTGATGATGAATCAAAGGCCAATGTCTTCTCATCTGTGTTCTATTCCAATTTCTCTAACACTAACCCTCAACCTTTTCCCAGCTCTTCCCTCACCTGAACCTATTAACTGTAGTATATTTTTTTCTCCCCCGATGTTGTTTTATAAATTTCTTGCCTCTCTACCTCCGAAATGTGGATTTTTCCACTGATAATATTAACTTTCTTGTTCTTAAAAAGATGTGCTAGATCTTTAAGCCTTCCCCTGTCTCTCCTATTTAATGAATCCTATTTAACTGGTGTTATCCCCTCTTCTCTAAAACACACTACGGTCATACCTGTACATAAAAAGGCAGTTTGTCTGACCCTTCCAATTTCCGTCCGATCTCTCTCACTCATCCTATATCACGTGTATTGGAACGTATTATCGCCCATATGGTTAGAAATCGATTCGCTCATAAATTCTCTCGATTTCAATATGGATTTTTAAAACCGTAGATCTTGCAAACTCTCTCTCATCTCTTCTATATCCGACATAAAAAAAGTCCTTGGCCTCCAATCTAAATGTCGATGTTATTTACTTTTGATTTCAGCAAAGCTTTTTGATAGAGTAGATCACAATTTGCTACGTCTTAAAAATGCTAAACTTTGGTTTTGATAATACTCTGAGCCGTTGGTTCTCTAATTTTTTTATCTCACAGAAGTTCAATTGTTAAGGTCAACAAGTCTTTTTGCCAACAATTGCTTTCCCAACCCTTCCGGTGTCCTCCAAGGCACTGTCAGCGGCCCTCTCCTCTTCCTCATTTTTCATCAACGATATCGAAAAATTACATTGATTCCTCTACCTCTATCTCAATTTTTTTGCGGATGATATTAAAATCTATAGCTCCTGTCCCAGATCTCTCCAATCAAGCATTAACGGTATCCTTGAATGGTCTCATATTTGGTCTCTCCCACTCGCCTCTAACAAAAACGTTCTCTGTTCACTTTTGGCCCAAATAATCCTCGCACCCTTTTACTATGTTGACCTCCTTTGAAGTTCCTCAAAGCTCCATAGTACGTGACCTTGGTTTATTTATCGATGACAAGCTTTCCTTTAAACAACACATCAGCCGTATTGCTGCTTTTGCCACCTTACGTTCTAATCAAATACTGAATACCTTCAAGTTCTCTTCACCTTTTAACTACTTCCGTATGTTTCAAACCTACGTTAATCCAGTCCTTGAATATTGCTCTGAGCTTTTCTCACCCGCCATTTCCTCTGAGGAATCTCACAAACTTGAATCTTCACTGCGTCTTTTTAGTCGGAAAGTTTTCATTCGTTGTAATGTTAGTTTCACTTCTTACTCAGATCGCCTTAGTCAATTTAACATCAAACCGTTGTTCATTCGTCGTGAAATTTGTGACATTATCACCTTGCATAAAATCATCTGTGGCTCTGATCATTTTCTCGATCGCAATAAGTATTTCACTCAATCCCTGTTACAGAGAAATCCACTTCGACTACGGACTACTGGTCAGTTTTTCTAATGACTTTTTTTCTAGAACTATTCCTCTTTGGAATAAACTAACTTCTTATTTAGATTTTTAACGTTACCCCAGAAACTCTGCGTAAAAAGTTGAATGCTCTTCCGTTTGAAGCCTTTCATGAAAAATATCCCCTCTCGTCTCCTGTGAATTTGCCATATTTCCGGGTACCCGTCAACTCGTTGGGGTTGACTCTTTCCCGTGTATTGTTAATTCTCTGCCTATTCCTTCACTTGATCATCTATTCTTCAATTATATGTTAAATAATGGCAGTGAATAAACTATCTATCTAAAGACAGATTTTTTTCTGTGCATTTTCCATTGGAACTGGCTTTTTCGAGGCTTCTGGTTCAAAAATATTCTCTTCAAGTGGTTCTGAAGCGAAAAAAAGGTAAAAGACTTTATTTTTTAAATCAATCAAATGAATTGCAAAATATATGGAAAAATGTAACAAAGTACGCAATAAAATTTTTCTGGGACAGGTTTTTCATTTTGTCAAAAAAAGTTCATTTCCATGTTTTGATTCGAGGCCTTGTTTTATTAGTATTTTTCATGGTAAGATTCAATTTATTTTTTTCAAATTCTTTTTGAGTTATTCTTTTTCAAGTTTGCAAGAAAAATTTTTATTCAAACAAGGTTGATGGTTTGTGGAGAAGCTCTTTTTGGATTAAAATAAAATTTCTAATTTCTAAACAATTTTTTTATACCACGCTGTTTTTTTCACGGTTAATCCCTGGCTATTGAAAAATCACAGCTTTCGAATTTTTTTAAACAAATATTTCCGATCACTTCAATTTTTTTGAGATCGTCTTGAAGCATAAAAAAACGGAAAACTTGACTTCAAAAAAACTCATTATAAGTTTTTGTAAAGAATCATATAATGTCTGGACGTGTTTTTTTAGAAGGTTTTTATTGTTAAATTTTTGGTTTCTATGATTCTAAAATTATTATAATAATGTCCTTTTAATTTCTCTATTATTAGTTCAGTTATCCTATCAACTTTTCAAAACGGAAAACAAAAATAACCTTCGACCTTTTGCAAATCATTCTCTTTTTACCGCCGCCATCAACAACAACCAATTCTGACCCAATTGCCCTTTCTTCCGTCCTCAAGTCGTTCCGATCAAGTTCATTTGACAGAAACTATAAAGTTTCTCGAAGAAGGCTTAAAAAATAATGCGCGAGGGGAACGGGGGGCCGAATTGGCGGCAGTTCAATTCAGCCAGCGCCCGAAAAATCCGGGTCACTTCGACTTTCCGACTTATTCTTTGCCCAGGAAACTTTCTTGTTTTGTCTTGTTTTCTTTTTGATTCAACTTTGTTGTTCCCATTTCCCAGTCCGTTGATGTAATTCCTGTGCTGAAAATGGAACATTTAGGTCTCGAACTTCTTGAAGCTGGTAATTCTTTTCTGAAAGATCTCCCAGTATTCCATAATTTCTTGTTTCATCAAAATTCCCAAAGAATTCCCATTTTCCTAAGTTTCTCATCCCGGAAAAATTTTATGATTTTTTTCGAGAGAAAAATGTAAATGTCCAACTTCTCAGACTTCCTGCGAGGCCTAAAAGGACAGGGGCCACTTTAGGGTTTCTGATTGCCCACCGTAGTGTCCTCTCCAAGTAGTCTTTGAGGAAACCCTAAAGTTTTTCTCAGCGTTTGAATGAAGCTTAAAAAAATAGATAAAACGGTGAAAGTTCGCTACAGGAGAAGACTGCATAAAGTTGAATAAAAAGTAAGATAATAAAAAAAATTTCAGAAAGTCTAGAGGTTTTCTCAATTACCAGCTTTTAATGACCGCAATAAGCTAAAATAAAAACATCAAAGGAAAAATCCAGTTCGAAAAACTGCGAAAACCGGTTCTCCCTGGGATGCCTTCTGCTATCCTCTCGGCCCAACGTCTTCGCCTCTTCCACACGTACACTTTCAGTCCAAATATCACGTTTCCCTTATCCTGTCTCGTTTCAAATCACCTGTTTTTGTTTTTCCTATTGTATAAAAAAGTAAAAGTTCAATTGAAACATGTTCAGGCTTTCTTAAGAAAGATTAAAAATTGGGATTTTTGCTTTTGCTCCATTGATTTTTCGACTTTTCGAAGTTGATTTTTGAGAATTTTCACTTTTTCTTTAATATTTTTTACAGCTCATCTCGAAAATGTACTTCTTTCTAATCGGTATTTTCTAAACTGTTTTTCTGTCGAAATTTCGCAACTTTTATCATTTTTTTATCAGTTCAAGCTAACTGCAAATCCACAACAAATTCGCTTTTTTTCTATCGAATTATTTTTTTAATATCCTGTCCCACACAAAATTTTTCCTTGTTTTTTTCCGAAACTTTAAATTGATTTTTTTCAAGTGTCAAACAGTCTTTGACCGATTTCATGTCCAAATAACAGAAAAATTACAAGTACTTGTGCAATTTTAATGGCTTTTCTATACATGGGGACCGGTTCCACTCGAAAATTCCAATCCATTGTCGTCGCCAAGAAGTCTCCATATATAAGCCGATTATTTCAAAGTTTATAAATCCGTTTTGGGCTATAAATAAGTCTAGGATTGTCCGGTGTGATTTGAAGTAGAGTTTCGGACAAGTTTGGTACGTTTTTGGAAGTTTTTCACGCCATTTAGTTATTTTATAGAGGAAAAAGATACACAGTTGAATGAACAAAAAAAGTTTTGTAGGTCTATTTCCCCCTCCTTTTTTCTCGTATTTCTCGTATATTCATTTTTTTTGTACACCTATTCTTTGTGTTGGTTCCTGTACAAAACTGGGCCAATTATATAACCAAGTGGTCAGGTTTCGTGTGGTGAAAATACTCAACTTGAGAGAGAAAGCTATAAAAATTATGAAGGAGCTTATTTTTTTTACTCGTTTTTTTCATTTTTGCGATAGCTTTGAATAGAAAAAAGTAGTTTTCAATAATGTTTGAATAAAGGATTGTGTTGAAAAATAAAAGAGAAAGATGCCTCTATGATAAAAATAATAATGTTTCTCATTGGAGCAAGAATAACATCAGAGGCTTCTTTTTTTGTGGCTCTTTTCTAGAATATCCAGGTTTCTCTGTTTCAAAATTTGTTTTGAATTTTTTTTCTTTTTCTCGATTTACTTTCTCTTTCCTTGGTGTGCTAACTTCTCATCACTTTTATAGTCTTATCGAAACGTTTGGCTAAAGTTTTAGGGCGTTAAAAGGTCAAAGGTCGAAAGAAAAAGTATATGTTCTCGTTGTTCTTGGAAGATATATATTTCTGTATAAACCCAGCTACCGTTTTCGAACAGATCAAATTTTGAAATGACTATTGCAACGTGAATTCCGTTAAGAATGCGCGTTTGCGTGGTCGGCGCCGGGGCGTCGGGCCTCCCGGCGGTGAAGGCCTGTCTGGAAGAAGGGCTTGACGTCGTCTGCTTCGAGAAGACCAGCCAGGTCGGAGGCCTCTGGAACTACAGGCCTGAACAGAAGGATGTCAGTTTTCTGATTATACCATCATTTTAGAAAATATAATATTTTGAGATGATATTGAATAAAACCTATCAAGCCTACTAAAAACCTCCAAAAAACCAGAAGGAGAGGATTTGAAAGCTTATTATGAAAAGCGTAATCAAAACTCTGATTCACAAATTTGAGAAAAAAAAACTTAGGAAAGTTCTCAAAAAAAGTATTTTCTGAGAATTCTCATTAGAGCGCGTTTGTAGTCTATATTCCCGCTATAAATATTTCTCGTTAGATTATTCAAATTTTTAGGGCGCCACCGTAATGGAGACGACTGTAGTCAACACTTCCAAAGAAATGATGGCATATTCGGATTTTCCGCCACCTGAGCATTTTGCTAATTTTATGCACCACTCGAAAGTCAACGAATATCTCCAGGCCTACGCTGATAAATTCGATCTTTTATCGAAAATTCGGTTCAACACTCCGGTTAAGAGGGTTGGTCTTCCAGCAGACCTTTGGTCGAATATATAACTGCTCAATGCGTTGCGGTTTCGCTAGGATGCCTGGTTTTGCGCCAGACCAAAAACGAATTGCACACTGAGGCTTCCTAGATCGACCGCGACGCTTTGAGCCATTCCAAATGTGATCAAGGCGTTCCTAATCCGAGCTTCTTCAGATATCCAGGCATCCCAACGGAGGCTACAGAATCCAACTTTTCAATGGCTCAGAAGAACATTTTGATAAATTAATGTTATGTACAGGACATCACGCTCAGCCTTACCATCCCCAATTGAGAGGTAGCGAAACAATCTATGACCCTTCTTCGCCCTCTTTTTCCTCACCGGTCATTTCTGTTGGAGAGAGAGAGAGCAAGAGGACGCAGAGAAGTCAAAAGATTATAAGGTTAAAGTTTCAGATATTCAAAAGTTCCAAGGGAAGGTGATGCACGCTTACGAGTATCGGAATATGAAAGGATTCGAAGATAAAAATGTCGTTTTACTGGGAATCGGCAATTCAGCCTTGGATATTGCTGTTGATATAGCGAAAATTGCAAAATCGGTAGGTTTTTTCCGGTATTTATCGATAGTTCATTCATAAATGAGTCTCAATCTCTCTGACCTGTCTGTGCCCTTTTTCTCTCGTCAGAGAGGAAGACCTGAAATCCGCCGAGAGATGAGAGAGCGCAGACAGGTCAGAATGCTGAAATTCATGACAATGAAAGTACATGAAAGGTATGTCTAGGGGGCGCAAAGCCCCGCCCCTTCACGCCCCCAAAATGAGGATTTTTTTGTTGCAAAAACGGTTTTGAGGCGTTTATACTAGCTAAAGTCCCACTTTAAAAATGAACTGTTTCTGTTAATCTATGTAATCGACAACGCTCTACAAGACTGAATACTTTTTAAAACTATGTATTTTTTTCAAAAAAATAAGCGAAAAAAAGTAAGATTTAACACGAAAAAAACTGACAAGTTTCACAAAAATCGTCGCGTTTCAGAAAACCAAGTGAGGAACGCTTCCAAATTTTTTTAGTATGTTATACATTAACACTTTCTTTATTTTTTTGAGTAAAAAAATAAAAAAATCTACCGACGCGAAAAAAAATATTAAAGCTTGTAAAGTGACACCAAACTTTGAAGCTGAAATGCGAAAAAAATTTTTTTAGCGATATGGTATACTTTTTTTATTTGATTTAAAAACTAACAGTGTGTCCAAAAAAATAAAAAAATTCAAAATGAAAATAATTATTGGGACAGCGAATCAAATTATATTTGAGTTTTACCAAAACCTCCTTTTTTTCGCCTGCCTCGTTGACGCATGAGAGAATAGGATCGCGTTCATATTTTTTTGATTATGTTATTAAGCGTTCAAAACTCTATCAATGAAAAAAAATTATAAAAAAATCGATCGACGCGAAAAAAATAACGGCTTTGAAAACCTCGAAAAAAATGGCAATTTTTTGAAATTTCGGAAGATTTCGTGCAAGCGTTCGTAGCAGTGTTTGAGTCAAACACACCGATGCGCCCCTTTTTAAATGTCGCAGGAGCCGTTTTTTTCGGAGTCAAATTTTACTTTTTTTCTTGTTTTATTTTTTTAAATAACATTATTTTTTTCATTTTTTTCTTTTTTTCCAAACCAAATGATAATAATTTTTTTCCGATTAGAAAAAAAGAAAAAAATAAGGGGAAAAAAATCCCTTTAACCTTTTTTTCTAGGTAGTTTTTTTGATATTTTTATCAAAAAAATTCTTATGAGGATTGTACAAAAGATTTATACCAAAAACATGAGGCTCAGTTCGGACAACCTCTCAGAACAGAAAACCGATTTAAAAAAACAATCCAGAAACGCGCAAAAAAACATTTAAAAAGAAAGCGTGCGGCAGCGGGTAAAACCGTGAGATTTTTGCCTCCAGTTGTACGCCACGCGCGCTAGTTTTTTGGCCATAACTTTTTTCTTAGTGGACCTTTTTTCAAAAACTAAACGGATTATGAAAATGAACAGTCTCCTCTATGGAACAATGTAAAGCACATATTTTTTGAATCGTTCTGAAGAAATGGCTTGCGGTCCCTAGGTATGTCTTGACATTTGTTTCAGGTAACAATTTCAACAAGACGAGGTACCTGGATTTTCAACCGAGTCGCTGCTGGCGGAATGCCTTATGATACCATCTTTTTTACTAGGTTCGATTTTTAAAACATTTTTTGAACTGTCTGCGCTTTTTTTTCGCTCCCTTCACGAGAGCACGAGAGGACGCAGAGAGACCTAAAATTTTTTGAATGAAGTCAATTTTCACTTTTAGGTACTACAAGTGGCTGATGGGAAAAATTCCTTGGACAGTTGCCAATGATTTCATGGAGCACAAAATCCAACAAAGAATGGATCACGACACCTATGGATTGAGGCCTAATCATAGGTTTGATAGAGGCCATTTATAGTGGCTCGTCCGACTAGAAATGACTTGCGCGACTTCTTAAAGCAGTAGAACAAGCCGCAACGCGGCCGCGACGCGGCCGCGACGCTTAGAATTATTCTAAATGCGACGATAAACTTTTTTGGCTTTGTCTAAAAAAGCCTACACGTCGTCAACCAAAACTGGAAGTTTTCCAAATTAATAGTCAACGATTTTTCGCTACACAACTTCACCCGACTCCTCCAGGGACTGTAGACAAAAATAAGTAGAGAGTGGGTCAGGCACAGAAAGATATAGTCTAGCGCGCAAGTCATAGAAGGTCGGGCGAACAGACAATAAATTTTAAAAATGATGGATGAACTCCAGTAAAAAAATATTTAGTGATTTATTTCAAAAAAATTAGAGAAATTTCAGATTTTTTTCCAACAGCATCCAACTGTAAATGACGCCTTGGCCAATCTCATTTGCTCTGGTTATGTTACTATTGCTGTAGGTTTTTTTTCTTTTTACACTTCATTAGGTTCGAAACTGTCTGACCTATCTGCGCTCTCTTTTCTCTCACTTGTGAGTTCATAGAAGAAGATAAGTCAGATGTTTCCAAAATGATATTAGATTTGACTTTTTTTTTCTTCAAAATTTACTTTTGCAATTTTTTTTCAGGAAGACGTGGACACATTTACGGAAAATACGGTTGTCGTGAAAAATGGCCGCGAGTTTGACTGTGATATTTTCATCACCTGCACTGGCTATACCTTTGGCTTCCCTTTCGTTGATGAGGATATCATTCAAATTAAGGTTTGATATTAAAACCAAAAAAAACTGGGGTATCAAAAATATATTTGAATCGTTCTAAGCAAAGCTGTTCTCAGGGCGACCGCGGTCGACCGAGGGCCCCCCGACTTGCGGCGTATTCGAGGGCGGCCGCGGTCGGCCTTTGGTAAGGGTCAACTCGGTCGACCCGTAGATACAAATTTTGTTTTGACTCCCGGTTTTTTGCGAATTATAAGAAAGCGCAAGTTTTACTGAAATGAAAGTGAAACAAAAACCATTTTTTATCGAGCACATAAAGAAGAAAAACCGATGAAATGAGATATTAATCCAAAAATTCAATAGTTTCCTAAGTGGCCAGAACAATTTACAGAACTAGAGAAAACAACTTGATAAATAAAAATAATTTGAAATTTTCACATCATCAGGAATTTCATTTTCGCAAAAAAATCATTCAAACCACTATTTGAAATATTATTTTATTTATTTACAAAGAGAAAAACGAAAAAGATGCGAAAAAGTGAAATCAAAAAGCACGATTTCTGTCAAAAACAATAAAATTAAAATTTTCATGGATCATAAATAACTTAAAAACTCAGTTTCACTATGAAAAACTAAAATAAAAACAAAAAATACGGAAAAAAAAATCCTCGCGCTCGCTTCGGGGCCTGAATGAAAACCGCTTCGCGGGCCGGGGCGCTCAGGGGCGCGTCGCGGTCGGGTTGGGGCGGCCTCGGCCGGGGTCGCCCCGACTTGAGAACAGCTCTGGTTCTAAGTTTGGTAGATATGTTAAATACAGCAAAAAAAAAGCTTACGGCAAGCCGAATTCCCAAGCCGTCTCCGATCCAAGTACTACCGGCTCTCAACGTTGCTTAACTTGCCAGATCGGACGGGATGGCGTGTTTTCAACGTGATGTGGTCGTAAGCGAAGGTGGAGGGCCTTTTTGAGACCATAATCTTACGCGGAACGGCCACTATGTAGCGCTATATATATATATATATATATAAAAAAATCAAGGATTATTATTTAGTATTTTTCTTCACTAATTAATCGAAAAAAAATTTTTATTTGAGCATTTTTTATTATTGAAAGCTTTCAGAACCACGAAACACAACTCTACAAGTACGTTTTTCCCCACTGACAACGCTTCCTTGGCTGTAATTGGATTGATCCAACCGATTGGCAGCATTGCGCCAATCTCAGAAATGCAGGTTTTATCATTATCCTCGAGTTTCGTCGAACGCGTCGCGGTTTTTCAGGCGAGATGGGCGGCGCGTGTCTTCGCCGGAAGCGTTGATTTGCCTCAGAAGGAAGCGATGTTGGAAGATATGGCGAGAAAGAAAGCGATCATGAAGAGACGATACTTTGAGAGCACGAAACACACGATTCAGGTTAATTTTTAGGAAAATTTAGACCAAGAAAAAGTTTGGAAGGTCCCGTACCATTGTACCACCATACCATCCCGGTGTTGCGAAAATAAATTGATTGAATGAAGAAACGAGTCAATTTTGGTTTTTGCATTTTTTAAAGTTGAACTTTGCTCAAACTTTGAATTTAACCTTTTTTTTAACTTTAAAAAATCTTTCCTCATCTCTGTTTTGATAAAAAGTCAACCGAAACTCGCCAAAAGCACAAAAAAGGTTGCGTCGATAATTATGACGCACCATGGTCGTCTTTATGTTTTCATTCTTTCAGGTTGATTACATGGATTATATGGACGAAATCGCGTCGATCATTGGATGTCAGCCTCCCTTGAAGCAGGTGAAACTCACTTTTTCATTTAATTTATAAAATTATACAACCTAGATGAATTTTCTCTTTTCAGTACCTCTTCTCCGATCCCAAGTTCGCTATGCGGCTCATCATGGGTCCAAACGTACCTTATGTTTATCGATTAGTGGGGCCAAATGCCTGGGATGGTGCTGAACAAGCCGTTAGAGAAGTTCCATATCGTGTCAAGAAACCTTTGAAAAATCGCCAGTGTCGTACTAGGAAGCATAAGAAGAGGGGAACGACGGTGAGTGCATGGGAACATTTCGAAAAAGTAATAATAAAAAGTGGAAAACTTTCTGCATTTTTCCCTTTTTTTGGTTTTGATTTGTACAAAATACATTTTCAACACGAGTTCTTACCATTTCAAAACTTTATCGGCTAATCTTCTTCCCGAGATTCATTTGTGATTGTCTTTTTTAGGTTTTTATAAAATCTCATGATGATTTTCTCTAGATGGATGCCTTTCCATACTGAGAAAAAAAATTTAGTCTTTAGACAAAAACATTTGAGAAAAATATGTTTAGGCTCTTATTATATGTTTTCTTTTTCGTTGAAAATGTAAGAACACGCAAATAATCCTTCATTTTTTTAAACAAAACATATTTTTCATCAAAAAAACTTTCCACCCACATTTTGCAAAAAAAGTTAAATATTCAAAGGCCCCTGCTTATAAGTTAATTTCACCTTTCTTTTGAGTTTCAAGAAAACGTCTGTTTTGTTTCACTAATCTCTAGCTTTTCAATTTTTTTCCGAAGTTGCAAAGATCTACTTTTTAAAAATATATTGGAAACTCCAAAAAGCGGTCCCTTAGAAAAAGAGCTTGATTTTTCTGGAAGAGCTATTCAAATTGGCTACTCTAGGGATTCTATTGGCGCTGGGAAATAAAAAACTTGATATCGTTCTTCTTTCCAAATTGGTGTGCTCTGAGCAAAGTTTCATACGTTTCCCTTTTGTCTTTTGCAAATCCCGACCCGCTACGCGACCATGACGCGTTGACCCATGGATTTTTGCAACAAGAAAACGGACAAATGATCGAAAAACACTTGTTTTCAGGACGAATACTTCCGGTTCGCAAGCCAAAAATGGATCGCCACCTGGTTGGCGATCCTATTTGCGTCGGGATTTGCGTTCTACTGCTCCGCCGTCTCTGCTATCCCTTCCTTCTTTTATTTGATCAGTCTTTTTATTTTCTTTAGTCTTTATGCGTTCCTCCTTCTGTGGTTTGACCTACAGTATGACATGTCGACTTGTATTTGAATTTTTAAGGAGCTCAGAAATTGATGATTATGAATCTCGCTAGTTGTACATATTTCCTGTACTTTCTGACCGATCTTGTCATAGAATTTTTAATTTATCATGCTTGTCAATTGAAAATAAACATTTTTTTCTAGAAAAATTTATAATTCTTAGTGGGATCCCAAGAGTGGCTTCAAGAAAAGAGCTGGACTTCGATTTGGCTACTCTAGGCATTTCATCGTAAGACAAACATTTAAAAATGTCTTCCAGATAAAAAAGTCCAGACTCTCTGCAAAAAAAAACAAAAAAGTTGCGTTTGAAAATTGGAGGTTGTAAGAACAAGATTTCGTCAAGGAAAACTAGGCCTATAATTACAAAATTCTTGTTTTCTTGTCATTTCTGGGCTTTTCCCGGTATTCTTGACTTTAATGATCGGTCCTCTCCTCAATTTCGACGAACATTTGCCTTTTTTACACCTTGTTTCATTGAATATGTCGGAGGAAGTTGCTTTCAGAACACCTGCTTCTTTTTTTGATCTTTGACAAACCGTCTGGAGATTTATTCAAAATGCTTTCGGCTGCAGACTTCCCCAGTGAAGTTCCGCTCCTCCGAGTTTCCATTTTCCCCGCTTTATTTCTAGTTTCATTATTTATTAGTGGGTTGAGTATCTATCTGGTCATTTTCGAGTCCCAGCCGTCGACTTATCGATGGCACCTTCTAAGTTATATTGTGGGTTTTAAAATTTGAACTGACATCTTTTAAACCTTCCTTGTTATTTAATTTTATTCAAAACAGATGAGATGATCTTCATTTGACAAGCTTTATAATCTTGGAAGTTAATATCTTTCAGACTAGCAAAAAAAGGGTAGTGAAAAAGGGTCTAAAAAAAGGGTCCAAAAGGGTTCAAAAAGTAAGCAATACATAAAAAAATATAAATAATGGTTTCCATGAACCAAACCTTTTTTCAAAAATTAGTCATTTCTTTATGAAATTATAGTCAATGTTTCCCGACTTGAAAGGCGAGGGAGGCGGGGCAAGGGGCGGGGCGCGTAGCGTGTGCGTTCGCGGTTCTTGGCACGAGTTCAATTCAACGGCCAGCGAGCATTCAGAGAGCTCATTTATCGCTCTTTTCACTTCTTTTTTTAATTATTTATTGATTATGTTAATTTGTGAATCAAAAAAATTAGTAGAAAATACAGAGAAAGAGCGGTCGCCGAGCTTTTTACACAGTCGGCGGCGATTGAATTGAACTGGCGCCAAGAACCGCGTGCGCACACGCTACGCGTCCCGCCCCTTGCCCCGCCTTCCTCCCCTTTCAAGTCGGGAAACATTGACTATATAAGCAGGTGATTGATTCAATTAAGTACTTAATTTTAAGGAACACTTGCCGTTTTTTTGAACCTATTGAACTTCAATAAAATCTTGAAAGAAAATAATTATTCAAAAATGACTTTCCAAACCAAAAAAAACTTTCTTGCAGATAATCACTTTATTCAAGGAAGCCATGATTCTACTAATCGCAATACCTTTCCCAACTCTCCCACTAGTTGGAACTCATCTTTGGAGTTATTTCGTCACGAAATTGGGCTGGAAAAAGCATCTTTGCATAGTAATTACCTTTCCAGGTATCTATAATTACCTAATATTTCAGGAGTTTGCCATTTCTTCAGTGGCCATGATTGTTCCAGCAATAGGGACTTGCTTGATTTATCGATATAATGCGGCCGCTAGAATAAAGAAGGTTTCAAAAAGCTCTATCTTGGTTTAGAAAATCTGTTATCGAACTTTTCAGCACCGAAAAATAAGAAGCCATGAAAAAATAGCCTTCTTAATGGTACTCCTTTTGTGTATTATTTCATTCGGGGTCTTATTTTCAAGGTCGCGGCTCACGGAATCAGAACATAACTTGGTTCTAGAGACGGTTAGTTGTTCTTAAAAAAGTGGTATTCATTGAGGCAGCTCGGTAAATAATTAGGAAATAAAAAAACGAAGATTTTCGAAAAGTGAAAAATTAATTTTAAGTAGAGACTTTGTAGGGGTTTTCATCAGATAAATAAAAGTTCCGTTTAATTATCGCAGCAATCTGTACGTTCAAAGAAATTTTGAAAGAACTCTTATTGTCATTAATAATAAAATTTTTGCTCAAAAAAACACAGCAAAAATAATTTAATAGCAAGGCAATTTTTACCGTAAAAATAAATTTCTACGCTTTAAAGAAAATAGTAGATAATATACCGTTCGAATGCACTTTTTTGCCCATCCTCAATTTCTACATTTTAGGCCGTTTCGACGCTTATTTTATTGATTTTCTCTTCGAAAATGTGTTATTTTCAACAATTTTCTGAAATTGCTAAAATGTCGAAATGAACTTTAAAAATGTGGTCGACGTCTATGGTCGAAATGGTCGAAATATTCCGCTTACATTTTTTTACAAAAAAATTTGCACGGTGTTCCCAAACGGGGTGGGGAGACGTCAAAAAAAATTTGGCGCGAAATTTGAAATCTACAGTACACAGCCCAAGGCGATCGAAAAAAACAAGTTATTAACGTTTAATACTCAGTGCATTTTATCCGTAGCGTGCACTAAATTTTTTCTGTAAATTCAAAAACTTTGACGCCTCGCTCACCTTCCCTCACCCCCATTAGGAATGCCGTGATATGCTAAATAAATGGCGAAGCTAGATAAATTTGGAGGAACTGAGAATCTAAGATTTGATAAAAACCTACCAAGCATAACAAACATTGATATTGAAGAACTTGTAAAATTATTAAAGATAAGAAAATTCAGAGGAATCTTTATGAGAGGCAGAGAAGTAGGTAAATGAATCCCATCTTCATGGACACCTTCAATGGTTCCGTCGCTGACTGATAAATCGTCATGATTGCTGTTTCCCGGATAACTCTAAAAATGCATAAACATTTATTGGTTCATATCGAAGAATATTTTAATAAACACGTAAACACACGGGGACACCAAAACGACGCCACTAAGAATAACTGCCGAGATAAACGCGAGACACTGGCGGTACATTGACGAGCTCGCAAACATCTCGCTTTTTTTCTCGCGCCGGTCTCGCACTTTTCTGGGCGCCAGCTCGCACTTTTTTAGGCGCGAGCTCGCATTTCTCTCGCAATTTGAAAATTTCCGAAATGCAAGATAAATGCGAGGTCGCGCCGAGAGAAATGCGAGGTCGCGCCGAGAAAAATGCGAGATCGCGCCTAGAAAAAAGCGACATTTTTTCGAGTTCGTCAATGTACCGCCACCGACCTCGCATTTATCTCGTCAGTTATTCTTAGTGCGCACCCACCGCAACGGCGGAAAATGAGATGTGTTGTACGCAGTGCACGCGATGCATGAAAAAAGACGCGCAAGAATCGAGATTGATCTTTTATTATAAATAAAATTATTTTCTGGCTGTTGTTTATCCAGGACCACTTCGACCATGGATTTCGATCAAATTTTTTAAGTAGCGCATTTCGAAATTTTAGCAATTTCAGAAAATTGTTGAAACAGACACATTTTCGAAAAGTTGAGACACAAAATCAATTAAAATAAACATCAAAATCTCTTAAAAATGCAGAAATTGAGGTTGGGCAAAAAGGTGCGTTCGAACGGTATATTATCTATTATCAAAGAAAAATGCCGACCTGAAACCAACGAAAAAAAGAGAATTTTTTGGATGAATTTTGGAAAATTCCCCAATTATCGCAACACCGAGTGGTTGAGATTCGATATAAGTTCATTCAAAAACTTTCAGTACTATCCTTCTTTGATCGGTATTCGCATGGAAAACCTGGTTCTTTACGATTATCGCATCAATTATTCGGTTATTTATGCGGTTCTCATGGGTATTGTCATAGTTTTTATATTTGTTCCCTCACTGGTTTACATCGCGTTTCGTTCCGTTCAAATACTCTACACACTTCGGAAGTTGTTGTCCGTTAGGACTTTATCAATGCAGCAAAGTCTCCTCAACAGTATTATCGCTCAGGTAAGAGAAGTTCATCAAAAAATTAAAAGATCCAAGTAATTTAGGCGGTCGCCCCGCTAGCTCTCCTCGTTATTCCCTATTTAACCTTCATAATTATCACCATTTTCCAATTGGAGGATTGGGCGTGTGAGTGGAAATCTATGATTTTAAATGCAATTGAATAAAAGTACCAAGGAATTCGTAAAAAACGTCCAAATCAGGCCTTCTAATCCGCTTTTAAAAAATTTAGAGAAAAGCAGACAAAAAAAGGAAAACGACTTTCAAGGGGAACAATACAGTTTGTGGGTACAAATCTAGAAATAATGCTTCAAAGTCGATTCAAAGAAGTTTCAAGACACATTTTTAAAGGCATAGAAGCTTGTCCGAATTCAACGATCTCTGAGAGCTTCTCCATGACTGCTTTATCATTAAAATGACCTTAATAAGCTTCTTAATCTTCTTAAAAAACCAATCATCCCATTTTTAGCGACCTTTTCCTAGATTTTCTAGAAAAATTGGCACATATATAGAATTGATTTTCTTCTACTTTTGGAAACGCCTTGAGAACCATTTTTCGCTATTAACTTTAGTTTCATGTCTAAAAACTGGTGGAATACTTTTTTTTAGGGACCACCACACCTTGTTCCTATATGGTCGCGACGCACGGCATCGCCTCGAACATCGCCATGATTTTGACGACTCCTCGGTTTCGAGAAGTTCTTCTGAAACGAGGGATTAATACCAAACCTAAGAACGCGACCATTGTTTTATCAGCTCAAAAAATATAAATTTTTATCTTGATCCTGTTTTTTTTTCGGAGAAAAGCAGCATGTTAACTTCCATATAGCCAATTCTAGCAAAAAATCGCAATTTTTTAGTTCCTGATAAATCTTGATCTTTTGACTTTCTGACGGTTTATTTTTCCTGGTTTTTTTTAAACCTATTTTTGCCTCTCAACCTTCTCAGAACTAAGTCTAACAAATCGGATCCGAACAGAGTATAAACGTGGCAATTTGAGATTGATAATGAAGTGTTACTTCCAAGTAAATGGAACTTTTGAAGGCCTATTATTTATTTTGTCACTTCAATTCCTATAAAGTTTATGCATAATGCTAACCGCTCTAGACTTTCCTAGCCAAGTTCCATCGACTCTAGTTTCGATTTTTCACACTTTTTTTCTGATTACTTTATTCATAAGTGGTTTGAGTATTTATCTGGTCATATTTGAATCACAGCCTTCGACTTATCGTTGGCATCTTCTTACTTATATTGTGAGTTTTGAATCAGATGAAGAAAAATTTTTTTGGAGTTTTTCGGTTTGAAGTTAGACTCGATATTCACTTTTTCAGCTCACAATTTTATTCAAAGACGCTGTTATTCTGCTATTCACAATACCTTCTCCAACCCTCCCACTAGTAGGAACCCATCTTTGGAGTATTTTCGTCATTCGCCTGGGCTTGGAAAAGCATTTCTGCGTAGTAATTACCTTTAAAATATCATTAACCATTAGACTTTCTCAGGAAATGATTATTTTTTCACTATCGATGATAATTCCGGCCATCGGGACTTGTTTAATTCATCGCTATAATGCTGCAGCGGCAATCAAAAAAGTGAGTTTTTTTCTCCATTTACAGGGCAACTTGTGGTGGCTCCAAAAACCTTGTCGCGAAAGTCGGAGTCATTCCAAGGGCGGCCACGAGTTCTTGATTTCAAATCAATGAAGTGTAGTTTTAATTTCAGAACAGACAGATAGGAAGGTTCGAAAGGACCGGATTTTTATTGTTACTCGTTTCGAGTATTATTTTGTACAGCGTTTTATTTTCCTTCTCAAGGCTTACAGATTCTGAGCAATATTTGGTTTTAAAGCAGGTTTGTTATTAACATCGAATTTATTCATTTTCGAGAAGAAACAATTTTTTTTACCATTAATAGTTAATTTTCTTCATTTCATTCTTTAAAAAAAAAAATTTAAAAAGTTTCAGTACTATCCTCACCTGATAGATATCCACATGGAAAATCTAGTTATTTACGATTATCGCTTCAATTATTGGTTCATCCACGCTGTTTACATTGGTTTCATCACGGTTTTCACCTCTGTTCCTTCACTCATTGTCATCGCATTTCGGTCTGTTCATATTCTCTATACTCTTCGAAATCTCCTATCGACCCGGACTCTATCGATGCAGAAAACCTTGCTCTACAGTATCCTTGCTCAAGTAAGAAAAATTTACGGTTTTCCTCGTTTAGAAACGCCAAAGAATGGCTTAGAAAGTCGAGTCGTTCGAGCTGATTTTTAGACTTCCCCTTTTCAATGTATGATGATGTTGTGCGCAAGTAACATACTGTTGAATAGAAACCCATTTGAGCCATTTTTCAATTTCTAGATTTTCAGGCATTTGCTCCACTCACTCTAATCATCATTCCCTATCTCATCTTTGTTATCGTCATATTCTTACAACTAGAAAATTGGGCATGTGAGTGTCTAGCAATCAAATTATTAGTCAGAGTAACTTTTTTTTGTTGCTCTTTTTGTAGCCTCTCTTAGCTTGAGACTGCTCACTTCCGAGTATTTTAATAAAAAATTTAGGCGTAGAGTCCATTTTTATCAATGGGTTTAACTTTTTTTCAGAAAAAAATAAAAAAAATAAATGTAAAAAAATTTTGAAGGTCCAAAGTAATTTATTTGGAGTTTGATCTGCAACTCGGGCCCCGGTAAGGCAGATGCGTTGAAAACACTTTCCATCTGTATTTTTCACGAAAAAGAAAAGTCGAGATTTAAAAAAAAGGAACAACAAGAATTGTTCCGAGTTCGAAAATAATGAAAAAATCTTTGTTCAGGGACTATTCCTCCCTGTTGTTATATGATTTCCCTACACGGCATCGCCTCGAACATTGCCATGATTTTAACGACTCCGCGTTTTCGAGAGGTTCTTCTGAAACCCGGGAAGAAAAAACTCAATAGTTTATTTGTTAGTTCAAAGATTATGAACCCTACCTCTTGATTGGTTTCAAAAAAAGTTCGCGTGCGATAATTTCATTCGGAATTGATATAAAGTTTTCGTTGCATGACATATAAAACGAGCGGTGAAGAAATTTTTATCAGTTTCTCAAGATTTGTAAACTTTAAAAAACTCTCATCGTTGAGGATGTTGGAGAAGTCTTTTTGAGAAGTACTTTTGGCGTCAAGAAAACTTTCGGCTTCACTTCCCCTTCTTCTAAAACTTTGAAAGCTTTACTTTTTTCAAACGACCCAAAAACTTTTTGAAAGTAACGAATTGGAATCGCAAGGCTCAGTGGAGCCGACCAAAAAAAGTTTGCGCTCGATGGCGTAATTTATTTTAGAAAGTGGTGGCTCAAGGTTGAGCTCAGATCTTAGACAACAGTGCCCTTTCGAGCCATTTCATACAGTTCCAAGTACTTTTCAAGACCCACTTCGTGCCAGCACTCTTAAGGGATACCTAGAACTGCTCAGAAACGTCCGGAGCACGTCTGGTCGCTTGCTACCAAGGTCCGAGAATACTCCTGGGAAAATGTGATACAGCAATACCATATACGCTAATTTTAAGCTCTTTTTCCGAGTGGAACCCCAAAAGTTTGGCGAAGTTTGTTTTTATTACCAGTCTCAATTATATTTTGTCGAGCGGATTGAACTTCTGGCATGCCGAAGTAAGGGATCGCCCCAACACTAGCAAAATAAATGAAAAATAATAGACTGACGAATTAGCCGACGAATCGATGACCGAAATTTTAATGGATGATCTTGTGGCAGGGAATTATAGTGACGATATTCAAATAGAGCCACTGTGGTTATACCAACAACTGAAAAATTTCAATATCAAATTGAAGTACTTCTCTTCACATCGAACCTCCCAACTGTCCTAAAACGGGAATGATGAGAATATCTGTACTGACGCCAGTGTACGTGAAAATACCCGTTGCATAGCCCGTGATATAAGGAAAGTTCTGAATCGATTTACAAACTATCGCCTGTAAAATGTGAAGAGGAAGGTGCTAAAAAAATTATTAAAAGTCAATTTAAAGTGGTAACAAGCGTGCGCGATCACTCCTTTTATCCAACAAAGCATCGTAGCTCAGTTGGTAGAGCGAAGCGTTTTGAACTAATATCTCAGGTTCGATTCCTTTCCACGAAATCAAATGTTTTGTGTTAAAAATCTTATTTCTCCTTTCCAACTTACCGTCGCTTTGAATTGAAAAAAAGTCACAGATGGAAAGAAAAAGACGAACCTTGACAGATACACTAATAACAGTCTACAATATTCTTTCATCGATTTCGGTGTTTTTTTCAACATACAATACCCACAAAATGAGGCCAATGGAAAATTCACAAATCCTATTACGTTCATAAACTCTTTGAAATGAGGATAATCAACAACATAGGTAGCACATCGTGAAGGTAGATCTTCCATTTTCTTGAGAAAATAATCTAAGTGAGCAGCTGAAAAGGAAACGAGGAATCTATAGACTTGAGTTTGTTTAGTTCCCTCTTTCTTTCGGTTTGTGGGAGTTTTGCGCTGGGAAAATTCAAACGAAAACTCAATTGGTGAGAAATTAGAAAATGCACGAATAATCGAGTTCTAATCGAAAAAAAAAGGAGCTAATCTTTCGAAACTATAAAACTCCTTGATGACTTGGATCTTCAAATACAAGAAATGTAAATACGAGAAAGGAGAAAAAACGAAGACAGCAATATTGTTCATTTTCCAACAAATAAAGTGAAACAGGCAAGTAATACTAGACTTTGGAAAATTCTGTTTGATGATGATGTCGAAATAGTTTGCTGCGCGTCAAAAAGACGGTCGGCCTCACTTCAACTTTTTCTGAACTTTCAAAATTAGTCTTTCAGTTTTAGATGATTTAGTTCCGAAAAGAGAACGGGGCCGTTCAACTTTCGGAGTAGAGATTTTTAGACTTACTTATGACGAGTTTACCCAATAACTGGTTGGCAAATAATCTATAGGGCGGATGAACCAGAATAATCATTATTGCGGCCCAAATTCCATTTGTTGTAACCACCACGATTAACACGTTTGTCAGCTCTAAAATTAAGTCTGAATCTAAATTTTCGATATTTTCTTCACCTTGACTTCCTTTCTGCAAAGCAACATTGATGCAGACAATACAAAAGGTTGGAATAACGATTGTGGAAATCGGCATTGAAACCTTCAAAGATAAACATTAAAAACGTCTATTTTAAGTTTCACCATAGCCAAAAGGGTCTTCAAGTAGTATTTCTGAAGTTTCCTGGTTTTCACTGAAACGTGAGTATATGTTCGAGTAACAAGGTACATCGAATGCAGTAGAAAAAACACTTTTATAAATAGTCCAAATGAAATAGCCGTTAGAAAGTGAGTATGGATGAAGCCGAACCTATAGTCGCTTATTATTTTCAAGTCTGGATGCCAGAAATCGCAAGGAATGTTTGGCCAAACCTGTAAAGATGTAAAAGTTTGAAAAAAGAAGGGACAATCGGAAAACCAAATTTTTTCTGTGAACTCTATATTCAACGACGCAAACACTTACCTTTTCTTTCTTTCTTCATTTTTGATAAAATAAAACCTGACCTCGATGATTTTCTGTCTTGCAGGCTCAACATCTAGTTTACAGAAGAACGGTATCACACCAACACTGGCAAAATAAATGAAAACTAATAAATTAGTAAGGTGACGAATTGATGGCCGGAACTTCAACACGTGGTCTTGGGGCAGTGAATTGTAGTGACGATGTTCGAACAAACCCACTGTGATTATACCAACAACTAGAAAGTTTTCGGCATTAAATAAAATTGTTTCAATCCTTTCAAACCTCCCAACTGTCCGAGAACTGGTATGATGAGAATATCTGAACTGATGCCAAGATAAGTGAAAATACCCGTTGTATAACCAGCGATGTAAGGAAAAGTCAATATCGGCTTGCAGATTATCGCCATAAAGAATGTGAAAAGAAAGGTGCTAAAAAAAATTAGCGAGTTGTTCGGAACGGTTTCAAAGCGCGATTAGCTCAGTTGGTAAGCGTTTGAATTTTGATTTACAGGGTTTGGTCTGAATCTTCTCCGCGGCATTAATTTTTGCCATCTGCGTTTGAAATTGAACCTAGTTATTGAAAAAAGAGCGAAATACTCTCTAGAAAAAAACCATTGTTACTAGTTACTCGGTTTACATCAATATTAAATTTCCTAACCGCACGTGGACTAACTCAAAGCGTCACGGCTGAAAGTTTCTTTGTCGATTTGGGTCAGCCATTCCACGTGCAACCATTGGCTCCAAACGTTTCTCAAGAAAATCATCAACGAAATTCAGTTCCTAGGAACTTTTTATTTAAAAAACTATTAAACTGTGCCACCCTTTCAATTCAATCAGACTTCAAAACAGAAGCTAAAGTGAAAAATGAGATCGAACTAACCTCAAAAGGTACACGAATAAAAGTCTACTATACTCTTTCATCGATCTCGGCGTCCTTTTCAACATACAATACCCACAAAAAAAGGCCAATGGAATATTTAAACATCCTATAATGTTCATAGAAGCTTCAAACACAGGGTATTCGATAACATAGGTAGCACATCGGGAGGGTAAAATTTCCATGACAGCCGAAATGAAATCTGGTGAGCAGCTGAAGGGAAACTTATAAACTTTTGATTTGTAGGGTTTTTCTTTGGTTTCGGGTTTAGAAACATCTGTTCTCTCGTTTCAGACTATTGAGCTTATAACGTCAAAACATATTGCGCGAAAATGTCAGTACCTTGACTGATGATTAACTAAAAGTAATAAGTTTTTCCCAATTGGTAGCTCAAAAAATGGAAGTTTCATCACGGAAAATGCTTGAATCCATTATGTATGGAGAGCATTTTTTCTCAAAGTCTGTCTTTTTTTCTCATTTTCTCGACTTTTTTAAATTTTTGAGAGCTTACATTGACTATCCATACACAAGTTTTGAAATTCAATTTTGCAATATAATTACATCAGACGACTTTTCAAAATGACGCTAAATCGGCTTTTCTGCCCCTTGTACAGGAGGAGCTTAACGTCAATAATCACTGATAAAATGATGGGAATGATAGAAAATACTCTCCATTTGCGTCCTGTTGTATATCCCGATTTTTTGAACCAATTAGTTCCATTTCTTGAATTTTCCTATCAATCAAGAAAAATCCATTTCGGCAATTAGTGATTCTTATCATTGCTATCAGCTCGTGCCTTTTTTCTTTGTTGACTTTTTGTTAATGATTACTTTTATCGATTTATTCTCTTCAACGTTCACAACAGGTGATTTTAAATTTGCGAAAAAAAACCAAAGTACAAGGTTTCTCACTCAAGAGACCAATTGACTTATTCAATGGACTTTAAAGGACTTTTTAAGACTCGCCAAGCTTCCAAGTGCTTTAAATGTTCCTTTTCAACTTTTTTTAAAAACTATTTTCACTCGTGTATTATTTTTTTCAGATGCGAGATCGCATGGGAAATTGCTGTTCTAAAAAAATTGCAACGATTGATAGGCCGGTAATTTTTTTATATTTTTTTCTAAATTTTTTTCTGATTTTTAAAGGAGTTTTCAGGTCGCCGTCCTAATAACGTTAATTTCAACTCTATGCCTATTATTTTTTGCCAGTATGTTCCTTCCAATCACTGGAAGTAGGTAATTGGGAAATGACTGAAAATATGGAGAAATAATCGATTTTCAGTGATTGCCACCCAATTAGGAGTCCTACTGATGTATGTCTTCACTGCGGCGGCTGTTAATAAACATCCGGCTTTAGTTTTTCCGGCTATTGGGATGGCTGTGAGTCTTTTTCATGAATAAAGTTATAGTCCATTCACGGCTATATTTAAAAGGAGCAGCGTTTTCAATAAAATATCGTAGTTTCTCTGATTTCAAGCTTAAAAAAACTAAACTGCTGTATGCCCTAAAAAGTTTTTTTATAGCTTGGTAGCCGATCATTCTTTTCACTGCAACTTGATACAGCCTTTTTTTGATTTTCATCGAAAAGACGGCTATTTAAAATTCAAGAAAATTCACCAATTTCTCTGAATTTTCGATCAAAAAAGCTGTAAATCCACTACAAAACCCGAAAACTAAGTTTTTTTCAGCTCATTATGTTGTTTCCGGCTTCACTGATAACGCATTTCACGTTTCAAGTCGTCATCACTTATGAAAATCGCCACGATGATAAGGAATCATGGAACGTGTACCCCTACACAATGTACGAGTACAGTGAGTTCAAATATTTTTTTTCTTCGAGAAGGAAATTAGATTTTTCCGGATTTTTATACGGATCTAACTCTGAAATTTTGAATCAAGCTGTGAAAAATGTATTTTCAATATTAATTTCGAAACCTTCAACTGAAAAAAACATACCATTTCAAAAATAAAAACCCTCTTCTTACAGTACAATGTCTAACCAATTTCCAGGCAAGACCCTACTCATAACCGGCCTAATCACTGGAATCCTCTCAATTTTCTGTCTATTAACCCTGGCCGTAACTCTCTGTCTACTCCGATTCCACCACAAAACCGTCGAGAAAAAGCATCGGCTGAGCAAAATTTGGATTTTCGAAAGTATTCGAACCCCGCACGACCAGAAAAGTTATATAGTTGATAAGAATCACGGAAGAAATCCGATAGACGCTGTGGAATTCGACGCTTTCTATAAGGAAGCTAAGAAGAGGGGTTCCATTACATATTCTTTGAACGAACCTTGAGGCTTATTTGAATAAATTTTTAATTTCTTTGTAATCTGATTTTTGCGAAATTTCGCTGAAGCTTCATACAAGAAATGAAATTTTGAAACGTTAAAATCCTTCTGCAAAACTTTTTCTCTGTTTTTCGACAAAAAAATCTGTTGTTGTTTTTTTCTCGATCGATGAACACCTGTTCTTAAATGTGACCCTTTAATTATGTTGCCCTTAACTATAGTTTTTTAATTCGTAATTTGTTTGCAAGGTTGTTGCCAGAAGATCAATTACACGACCGTGAAAAACGTGACGTTGCAGGTGATCTATGGAAAAAAAAAACAGGAAAACACCGATGAAATCATCGTGACGGGGGTTTTTTGAAAGAAAAAATAAAGGTCTGCAAAAAATTGATGATTTGACTTTTTCAGTTGTTCGATACAAAAAAAATTTTCGAAAAAAATTAACTTGAAGAAAATCTACGTCTCCTGGAGTCGTGTTTAGAGATAACACAAAAAAAATTTTGGATAAATTTTTTTGAAACTTACTCGTATTTAGTTCATCTCATTAAGCGTTAGTTTTGAGCGAGCGTTTTTTTATTCGGAAAAGAATGAGCCATTTATGTTCAAATTCTACAGTACAAAACCGAAATCGCTGTGATGCGTGGTCGCACGTAGAATGGCTCGTGCTTTCTAAGCGACTAAACGCCGTCCTGACCGCTTGCTTCAATATTTTTCCTATCTGGTCGGAACAACACATTCCTAGAGCTTCAACGTTGTAAAAAATTGAACTTAGAAAAACCCAAGCTTATTCATTTTCTTTTCAGAAATGGAGATCCTGAAAAGTAAGTATTCCTTCCGGAAACTTCAAAACAAATGTTTCACCTTTTGAATTTCAGTTAAGATTGTTTATTTCCAAAGAACCCGGAACTCTGTCATCACTTGAGAAACCGATTATTCTGCTATACTATCGTCAAAACACCTTGTTTACCTACGCCCATTTCCAAACCTTATAAAATCAACGAAAACCGTGAAGTCTACAACAAAAACTCTCTGAAAAATGTCCCGATTCCTGGCCTCGATTCTGATGCTTCTCGTCGTTTTCATCTGCCATGCCTCCTGTCAACTTCTCGGCCATGATCCAGTTCTAGCCGCCGCGACTGGAGTCAAACCCGCCACTGGATTCTATACCGCCTGTACGAGCAGTGTGGGAGCTGACTGCCCTTGGGGCGGACGAAAGTAATTTTTTGCCCAACAGTGTAAATATGTACTCTTATAATCTTGATCTCAATATCAACATGAACAAAAATTCGAGATCTGGTTTTTTTTGTGAAATAAATGAATTACATCTTTTTTCGTTTGTGAGAAAGCAACAAAGGCAACAACGACCACTGCACCCGACCAGAAACGACTTAAGCCCTCACACGACCGAAATAGGTCGAGTCATTGCGTTGCATGTAAATTTAAATGGAGATAATTTTCTTGAAACTGCAATTTTACCCATGATTCTTTCTAGGTTACTGTAAACTCGCTATAGGACCTCTTTTCTTAACTTTCCAATTTTGGTGAACAGTAAAGACTGAACAGAAATTTGTTTTAAACTTGAAAACCTGGTCAAATCCAGAATATTTCTTCACTTATTTATTTTTCTTACAAGAGTTGAAAAATAGTTACTGACGAGTTCTCTCGGCTCTGCTCGTCGGACTTTTCGCGGTTTGCGCCAAGTAGTCCTCAGTGCAGATTTCGATGATCGGATTATAAATGTCCTTAGGCGCGCGGAGACCCCAGGTAAAGTCGAGGTGATTGTAGTCGGGCAGGTGGTTGTTTTGCTGAAAAATTGAGGGTTATGCCATTTAAAGAAATCAAGTCTGATAAAATTAAAAATTCCTCTAATCGCTTACCACAACAACTGAAGACTGGAGTCGGGTCAGCAAAAAGTTCTCAATATCGACCGGATCGGCCAGCCAATCGGTGTCGCTCCAGTACAAATATATTTCTGTACCCCCAATTTTTGTGTAATCGTAGTCTGGCGGATTCGACTGGAAAATATTAATAAATAAGCCTTATTTCGAAGATCAACCTGTCCATATTTCTTTTTATTCTCTTTGGTGCCCCAGTCATAGGCGGGACAATCTCCGTGTCGGACCATTTGGATCCAATGAACGATATTTTGGGTGGAGGTTCCGGCTGGATCATGAGTTGTGTAGACTGGAAGTCTGGTCTGAAAAAAAACGTCAATTAAAAAAAGGTATTACAAAATAGATTTCTCTGAAATAAAAAGTTTTCTCATGTTCCAGACTTTTTTCCGTTCAAGAACGTTTTATTCGTCTCCAAACTACAAGTTCAAGCTCACCTCGTTCCACTGATTACTCTCCGGACCGGCGATCAAAAACAGGACATTATCACAAAGATCCGCTTCAACTTTGAGGCCTCCACAAATTTCCTTGGCCGCCAAGTTCATCACCCAACTATTTGGAAGAAATTCGCCGGAACCGAAAATGTCGAACCAGGACTGAAATACGCTATTGACAGATTTTAGTGTTGATTGCAAGTTACGTCAAACTCCAGGCTGAAGTAGTGGGCGAAAAAGGATAGGAATCCCTTGATATTCTTGACCGAGGCGACAGGAGCAAGGGCAAAGAACTTTTTGATCTGAATTACACTTATTTTAGCCTAATTCAGAGATTTTTCCAATCTAAAAACATAAAAAAAAGCCGTTCAGATTTGGGAATTCGTATCAGGAAAGCCAGAAGAGTTTTTTACAGGCCTTTGAACAGCAAAGCGATTAAAAAATGATTCTTTATGTCCCAAAAAACCTTTTTAGCGAAAGATCCGTCGTCCTTGGACAAATGCGTGAACATGGTCAAAGTTCCTTGGGAATGTCCCATGTAATAAACCGATTCCTGGCCGGTCACTTGCAAAACTTTGTCAATCATTGCCTCCAAATCATACTGAGACATCTCGTCCCAACTGAAAAAAATCGGTAAAAATATTTATTCTCTGGTTTGGGGGGCCTAGAGAGGAACCTTCAAGGCCCCTTTAGAGGCCATTCTGGAGCTCCCAATTTGTGAGATGAAATGAAAGGACAAAAAAACCTCCATCGCCAAAAATCCGAATGCGACGGTTTCAAGTCCTTGTGTTTTTTGCTGTAGGTATTCCCACGCATATTGCCCAACCAGACGTCGAAACCAGCATCAGCGGCGAGGAAAGCTTGAAAATAAGGTATTAGACAGCTTTTTCCTGGTATCACAAAAGTTTGAACTAAAGAGCTTCTATGGCTTTTATTGGAAGGTTTCTTCTTAAAATGGTGGAAAAACGATGAAAACCAAGAAAAAGGAGCATCCAAAGAAGATCGACTAGATGGCTTGAAAAAGGTTTTTGAAATATTTCACGTTTTTTCACAGGATATTGGAAAAGTACGTGAAAAGTTATTTCGGGCACTGTTCATGAGATACGTTTCAAACATCAAATGAAGCTTGAAGTTGAGTTCGTAGGATCGTTGCGTTAAAGGCGAAAAACAAACTTTTCTAGCAGTAAATAGAAAAACCTGCACTTTCGTCGGGTAAATTGACGACCCAATCGCTGCTGGCGCACAGCAAACCGTGTTGCATGAAAATCACCGGTCTTTTCCCATTTGGCCAGGTCACGTTAGCTTAAAATAGCAATTAGCTCATTACGATTAGTAGTAGATGCACTTTTTCCAAAAGGAATCCGATGGAGCTCCAAAATATAGCCGTCGGTCGTCGTCGCGTCGTAGATCATGGCCGGATAGCCCCAATGTTGGATGATTTCGGTCTGAAATTCAAATATAAACTAAAAAAAAACCACTTGTGGATGGCTTACGGTGGTCATGTGAACTTCTGGATCCAGCTTGGCCCAAGTGTCAGGAACATGTCCCAAGCAGAGAACTGCGACGAGACCGACAGCACACGCCGACCACATGGCGGTTGCAATAAACAGCCGAAATCAGCCGTTTTCATTGACTTTTTACGACTTCTTATCTTCCAGTTTGAGCATATCATTCTGAAAAGCATTTTGGACAATAAACTGAGTTCATAGAGAGACTCCGAAGAAATTTAATAAAAATTGAGATATTTAAGGAGGCCTTAGAAGAGTCTCAAAAGAAAATTGAGGGGCCGAACCAGTAAGCTTAAACTTTCTTCAAGTATCAAACCTTTTTACGACAGAAACTCATGTTTAAGCTTATATTTGGATTATAGGAGTTCAAAATAAAATAGGATTCTCGCAGTGAAAACAAAATTTCGGTGAGAACGTTTTTGATGAAGTTTAAAATTTTTTCGAAGCCTGGCCTGGCTCAAGCCCGCCAAAGCTTTTTCGAGCCCGTACCGGCCCACACAAGCCTGAAAACCTTCAAGATTACTTACAACAGCTTCACCATCTTTGTGGTCTCTAACATCAGGTTTCGCTCTAGAGACTGAGGTTTCTCCATTTTTTCTTATACTTTAAACCTCACTTTGAGTAAAAATACGACTTTTCAATGTATTCAATAAGTTTTTCCACATATTTTGCAAGTTCATTCATCTTTATTGTCAGAGAGAATTACTCAGAAAGTCCAACGTGGATTTCGTTTTGTCGGTCGCCGGCGATCCTGTAATATCCGACGTCTTTCTCGCTGAAGTTGTGGATGATCAGAGCATCTCCTCGGACAGAGGTCGATCCTTTTTGGGAAACGACACGGTCGCGCTGAAAATTTCAAATGAAACAGGAAATGGAAATGATTGAATTATGCTGTTACAAAGGCATCAGCTGGTATTGTAATAAACCAAAACTGTTTTTTGGATCTCGCTTTTTATAATTAATAGAAAAAAATCTTGATGATTTCAAGGTATATTTCAGAAAGAATGCTCGTTCTCACGTCATTGAGCCAGACTCCGCACGGCTTGAACACGCCATAGAGGCAGTTCTGGTAGAACTGCCTTCCTCCCTGGACGAAACGCTCGTAGAGTTGGACATTGCTCGCCAAGACGATCTCGGCGTCGTCGCCTTTCTGCAAGTTCAATATTTTTTAAATTTCTCATATTATCAGTAAAGAGATTTTCATCATTTTTTGTTGATAAGTGCCCTCCAATAGGCAAGGAAAAAAATCTCCAAAAGTTGCTTTTTGCTTGAAACGATAGACATTCATCAGAACGCCTCAAGAAGGCCTTTCTCGAGATTTTTTTACTATGATTTTCAGTTGAAAAGGTCATATTTAGGTAGATTTTTCGAAAACTATTTCCACAAATAACGAACCTTGACTTTCATCCTCGCCACTGCGGCTTCATTGAAGGTGAACACGCAAACGAGGGCGAAGATCAACGCGAAAAGCTTCATCCCAACCTTTAGGAAAATAGTCATGATAAGAAAGCTTAAAACAGAAACGAAAAACGAAAAAGAAAGGTAGCTTTGAAACTGACAGAAACGGCCGATCGCCTCCTTTTATACCTCCCAAGGCCTTTTAAATTCAATTATTTTTGAGCTTGTGGAATGGAAATCGAAAATATTTATCGAAATGATGGCATCGAGCAGAAATAATTCAATTTGAAACCCCTTTTAATCAGTTTAAACGCCTCCGCCAATAAAAACCATCAAGAAAATCTGAAAAAAATTTTTTTTTGCAAACTTTGCAAATTTCACAGTGAGTCATCAAAACTGAACGATTTTTTTTGGAAATTTCTGGTCAAAATTGTGAAATATCGGATATGGTTCGCATGAGGATGAAATTTGTATGATTTTTTTAATTTTGAGATTATCAAGATTAAGATTTTTTTAACTTTTTACAAATCAGAAAAAGACTTCGAAATCGAAAAATCAAAAAAATTTTTTTGATAAATAGATGAAGCTTTTTTTAAATAATTTTTTTCAGCCGTTTCTCGATTTCAAGGATTAATAAAACCAAATTTGTTTTTTTCAAGTTTAATATTTAAAAAAAGACAATCGAGAACTTCGCAAAAAACCTTAACAATCACAGGAAATAGAAACTAACAAAAATATAAATATATACAAAACGCGGCGAGGTCTCTTGGGTATAATCATTTGTCTTTTCATGGCTGCTCACAATTTTTCAATCGTTCAGAAATTTATCTCATTTTAATTAGTCTAATGAGCTGCGAAAAACCCACTCGGGAACATTTTTCCCACCTCAGACCATTCACAGGCTCCTGATGAAGCAAGCCGGCGGGTTCATCGAATGGTCGCCTCGAGTTTTTGTCACTTTGTCTCTCATTTTCAATCCGTTATGGATCTACCTTCTTCATTCGACAAAGTCAGTGCTTTTCGGCCGTTACCGTCATTTATTGACTTCTTTCGCGGTTTTTGATATCATTTACTCGGTGATTGACTTGGTTGCACCGCTGGTAGGGGCTTGAAAAAAAGCTCAAAAAAAAGAGAATGAACAGAGTCATATCCAACGCGAAGCAGCTTTATGTGGAGTTCTCCGGGATGACGTCATTCCTCAGGTCCGTTTTTATAATGAATTCAAAAAGTGTAATTGGTCATAATCAGGTTTCTCATTTCTTATGATGTAGTTTCTAGGATTCTCCATACTCCTTCACTTTTTTGGTCTTGCGATGCTCCTTCATCGGGCTCACTTTTGGTATTTTAGAAATCCACTTCTTCTATCGCTATTTAGCACTGTGCAAGTATGACTTTTTTAAAATCCCATTTTGTTCAGTAACTTCAGACCGCACCTTCTTTTTGTCTTCATCAAACCCCTATACATTGTCTGCTGGGTTTTATTCTTCCTTTACCACGGAGCAACCTGGGGATCACTTTACCTATTGCTCGGAATGCAGGATGAAACTCGAGAATATCTTCAAGATGAGTTTTTGAAAGAATTCGGCACGGAAATGTTTGGCAACGGCTTTGTCTGTGTACATTTCAATGTAAGGAAATGGCTGTTGTGATAAAAAGGGAAATTTTTTGAATGAAGGCAAAAAAGGACTCGATTCGTTATTCTTCAATGACTTTCTCGGCGTGCATTTCTCTCATTGGGATCATTGTCGCTTGTACTTTTATATTTTTGGGCTCCAAGGCAAGTTAAGTTTGTAAAATGAAAAGAAATACATGCGTATTGAAAATAGTATAGTTATCTCGTTAAGAGTTGTAGTGAAGAGTCGTTGAAAAAAACACGAAAATTTGAATTTTTCACACACTTCTGCGCCATACTCTATTCAGACCGACTTGAACTTTTCCTTCTTCAGCGAGGTCATAGAAACGTGTAGACAGCAAGTCGAACTCTTCCAAGTCTTGGCAAAAATATACTTTATCTATGATGACGACCCAAAAAAAATGATTTTCAAGCTTTCCAAGTTCTTTTCGCTAGTGAGATAAGTGCACGACTAAAACTAGTTTCGAGCTTGCCTAAATGATTTCGAAACACATTTCAGATCACGAGAACCTTGAAAGAATACATGTCCAGCCTTGCCGTCAAAAAGATGCATCGCCAACTTTTTCACACTCTTCTGATTCAAGCCTCGATTCCGATGTTTGTCAGTTTCCTTCCCTGTGGGATCTCTTGGTTCGCAACGTCGATGAGCATCCGTCTGAGGACGTATGATGAATTTTTTCTCCCTGAACATGGTCGCACGTGGAATGGCTCAATGCGTGTCCGACAGGGTTGCACGGAAGAGATTTGCGGAAGAGAACTTAAATAGAAATTTCTGCGAGTATAATTTTTTTCATCGTAAAAAATTGATGATAGTGAACTAGGAGTGTTTGGAAGATAAAAGTCAAAAAAATCTATTTTAATTAAGCTCTCATCGTTCAGAAAAATCCGAAAATAGCAGTTCCTTCCGTCCTCCGTAAATCTGTTTTTGGACTTTTTCTAAATAATGGTACCATTTAGAAAAATACCTTTTCGATATTTATCTTCTAAATGCACATAACTTCACTATTATCAACTTTTCTCCGATGAAAAAAACCTTTTCTTTTAAAAATTTCGATTCAACTGCCGCAAATCTCTTCCGCGCAACCCTGGTGTCGGACGTAGCGCAACCGCGACGCCTTGAGCCATTCCAAATGCGACCACGGCTTTTTGAGCCGCTCGAAATGAGAGAAAATACTTTAAGATTCAACGACTACTACAGCTTGCCGATGCTCAGCGCTTTCCCGGCCCTAGACCCAATCGCGATCATTTACTTTCTGCCTCAATATCGTCAGAGGCTCTGTCCGGCTTGGTTCAGAAAGATTCTCAAAATAGAACCTCTGTCAAAAGCTGGTTCTAACAGAACTTAGGCATTAACACACGTTCTCCGAGAAAAGCGCTGAACCGTTGGCACTAAAAAATCATGTAGCTTTTTTCGAGCTATAATTTCATCACAACTACTATATAAGCTTTTGAAACATTTGGTAAAGGTTTTGACAGGCTCCGCCCCTTTTGTGGATTACTGTAGTCAAAATACGAAAAAAATTTCTAACTTTTTTCTCCGTGATCCAAATCGAATGAAACTTTTTTTAAACGAAAGCCAGTGTCAAAATAAACAGTTTTTGTATACTAAATTTCTCTTGAATATTTTTTTTCAAACCGAAAAAAATTGATTTTCATCGATAATCGTGCATTTTTGCAGTTTTTGATGTTTTTTTCCAGGGTGGAACTTTGATTTCTAGCAAACCAGGGCATGCGAAAATTGCTAAAGCTGTTTTCTTTGAAAAGTTACGGGCTTCCATGTTTCTTTTTTGCGAAACAATAAATCAATGGGATGAAGTTTTTATGCGACAGTACTATGTACAGGTTAGACAGAATTTTAAGAGAATTTCTTTAATAGATTCAATTTCTGAGTGACGTTTTAGGAGCATTTAATAGAAAAAGTCCTTGTTTCTGGACATTGACAAGATCAACTTGCTGATCCCGCGGATGTTCCACAACGTACTGAATCGCAAATTCCTGAACAAATTATTATTTTTAAATAGGAAACTTGGAAAACTACCTTTTCCTGCTCCTTGTCAATGTTGACGGTCCATTCCAAAACATTCAAATTGCTCAATTTTGCATTTTCCTTGTTTTCCTTTATGTTCTCAGCGTCGTCCAACAGAGGTTCTAACAAATGGACCTGAAATTTTTGGATTTTTGACTTTTTGGATATCATGCTAATTTATTGAAGAAACTAATGTTCAGGTTATTGTAGATTTTTTTTCGTTTTGAGACCCTAAAATGCACGTCCAACGGCCCTTGGAAGCCGACATTGGGATCAGAGATTTTCGTTTGAAACTACTTTCCGAAGTTCAAAAAAACAAAAAAAGCATTGGTTGAAAACTTTTAAAATTACCTTGATCCTCTCATCGGTACTCCGAGGAATCTGATGATGGATCGTGACGAGAGCCGACTCTTTCCTGTTGTTTTTCAAGATAACTGAGAACTTCGAAGCGTCTTTCGAAGAAGATATGATGAATCCGCTCTGAGAAATAGACATTTGATTAGCTTTTTTTCCACGATTCGAGGCGTTTTATATGCGAAAAAGCGAATTGTGTGAAAAAATTATTTAATTATTACGAGTCATAGGAACTTCAGAGTGGTCCCTATAGGGGTGAGGGGGAGAAGCAGCCCATGTTGGAAACACGGTAGAGCGGTAAAACTAACAAGGCGGTCCCTATATGGAGCTTAGAGTCTGAACCCAAAGTCCCTTAAGTGGTCCCTATAGGGGTCTTTTTCTAATTTTTCGCATTGAAATGTTTCTCATAGATCTCACAACAATAAACGACTAGGGTGCCCCCCGCCCCTAAAATAGCCACTTTTGCAAGCTTCAGCGCCCCTATAGGTGGAGGTAAGCTGGTTCCTGAAAGGGAATCGTTGGCCCTTAAGGTGCCCCTCTAGGGACACTCTGGCACCCCCAAGGTTGGAACAAGAACTTTTTCGTATTTTTCAGGCTCCTTATCAAAACTTGTAGACTGTCTTTGTTAGATAACAACAAACCTGTTCATGATATTTTTGGACGGGAAGGTAGTTAACACTGATCGCTGGATCGGTACCCAAAGAAAGATCGAACTCTCCTCCAGGAGATGTGTATTTCAAGAACGTCTGGAAGGGGATATCATACTCATTCCAGTGCATTTTTACCTTCTGAATGAACGAATCATTGATGAAGATTTGAGCAGGACCTGCCAGAAGGACGAATTTACTGTCGTTCACAACCGTAGCTTGTAGGAAGACGGCTGTTTCTTTTGAAGGAACGCAGTCGCGATGAAGTTTCGCGATCAATTCGATCGTTTCGATTGTGACCTATGGATTGATTATATTCAAGACCAAAATGTGATGGACTCCTCATGGAGTGATCTCCGGATCGAGACCATGCTCACTAGAAGCATTTTTTCACGCTGACTTCAAATATGGTCTCTAAAACTGTTGAGGAGGTCTGTGAAAAAAGTTATGGGCTTCCAAAAGTGTTTTTCTGCTACTAGAGGGGCAACATCTATATACAGTACCGTCCGAAGAAGTTACGAAAAAACGCGATTTTGGTCACAACTATCTTGTAAGGAATTCAATATTTTTGAAAAATTTTGAAGCTGCGTACTTTCTCTGTTGACTGAAACTTCATCAGAGTGTTAAAAATAACAGTCATCTCAACTATAGTCCGTTTTTCGCGACTTGAAAGGGCGGGAGTTCTCTGCGCCCTCCTTATCTCTCAACGTCTCTCTCATTTTTACGTGCTATTTCCATGTTTCTCTGGCCTCGCCGGTGAGAGAACAGAGAGACGCAGACACGCGAAAACTGTCAAGTCACGGTGGACGGACTATACAGAAAGTTTCAGAAAATTGAATTCCTTACAGGAAAGTTGTGACCGGGACCCCGTTTTTTTTGAATCTTTTACTGTACTTTCTAAAAATGAACTCAACCGGGGAAACTGAAACTTTCGACTTTTGAAGGTCCATAACTTTTTCACAGAAGTCCGCGGGAGTTTTTATGACTAGATTTGGAATCAGCAAAAAAAACTACTGTTAGTGAATTTGGTCTCATTCCGAAGTCCCACTGCAACCGGAGACCACTTCCTGGTCAGAAATTTTTCTATGAGGATGTTTAAAAAGATGATATTGCACTTATTTTTTGAAAATTTCGCGAAATAACAAAATTTCAAGTTTTTTAAACGGCGAATATATTCCGAAACTGACTCTGTGGTTGCTGGAACTGCTTTCAATCGTAGTTTCCAAAGGAATTTCAAACTCCGCACTCACAATATTATCAATAACTGTCGTGTGCTGAAACATGTTGATTTTTTCTCTTTTTTTTTTCAAATTACAAACCTCCACTTCTTTTGTCGGAGCACTTGCACCGAAATTAGCTGCACCGAAATTTGCCGCACCGGAAAATCCGGCGCTACCGAATCTAAAAAATTATTTCTGAATATCCTTTCAAAAACATGAAGATTATTACAAGTTTCCTGTGATTCTTGGAAGTCGAATCTTGGCCTCGAGAAGATCCAAAGTTGGGAGTTTTTTCGAGAAGTGTGACCGGACTGTAGAAAGTACCTTGAAAATTAGGAATTGAAGGTGAAAAGAGGCTTTTTCTCACTAATTTGGCATTTTTCCAATCTTCTTTGGTAGCTTGATGGATCGAGGCGTTGTAGACGATCTGAGAGAACGTGAATTTTCACTATTATCAACAAAAAATGCTCAATGAACCTTCATTTTTGGAGATTCTCCATTCAGATCGGTTTGGATGAAGTAGGAAGGTTCCCAAGTAACATTTGTTACTTGATAGTTTATACTTAAAATCGCATCAGCTTCGACTGGAGAATAGATTCGAACAAGTACAACCCTAAAGATTTATAAAATATCCCTTGTTGTATACCCCATGAAATTTATCTCATTCAGGCCCACTATTAACGACTTGAATGAGTCTGACCTCTCTGCGCTCTCTTCTCTCTCACCGAGGTTATAGAAAAAAATAGTGATTGAAAGCGAGAGAGCGCGGAGAAGTCAGACGAGTTGAAATGACGAAACTCACGATTCATATCTACTTAGAAAACTATTTTTCACTCAGGCCCAAATAATCAGTCTGACTTCTCTGCGCTCTCTTCTCTATCACCGAGGTTATAGAAAAAAATAGTGATTGAAAGCGAGAGAGCGCGGAGAAGTTAGACGCAAAACTCACGGTTCATAATTGTTTTGAGGGCCGTTTCCGCTCAATTCCTTCAAGGTTTTACTGATCTTTTCTTGTGTTTCTCTCAGTTCTGAAAATTCAGTTGATATCAGGTTAATTATCCTGATTTCCAGCACTTCCTGACAAATCCAACGATTTCGTTTCAAAATAATCGAGAAAGTTTGAAAATTTCAGCAATGCTGCATTGGAGAGTTCAATTGTGCCCTCAGAGCGGTTACTGATGACAACCTGAATTTCGGGCAAATTTTTTTCGGTCGCATAGGGAATGGCTTTACGCGTCGCGGTTTAGATGACTTTTTCGAATGTTATAGTCAATCAATCCCGACTTGAAAGGCGATGAAGGCGGGACGCGTAGCGTGTGCGTACGCGGTTCTTGGCGAGTTCAATTCAAGCGCCAGCGACTATTTTGAGAGCTCGGTCGCCGCAATTTTTCTATATTTTCTAATACACACATGAAAAATCAATAAATAATTTTTAAAAAGAAATTAAAAGAGCGATAAACGAGCTCTCCAATCGGTCGGTAGCGCAAATTGTGACAAGAACCGCGTACGCACACGCTACGCGTCCCGCCCCTTGCCCCGCCTCCCTCGTTTTTCAAGTTGGGAAACACTAACTACAAAAAATCGACTGAAAATGTATCCCAATTTGTATTTGAGTTCAAGAAAACTGGTAAATTAACGAACTTTTTCTTTTGTAATCCGTTACAATCTTTACTGAACCATTCTCTATGCGACCACGGCTTTTCCAACTGATACAATGAAACTAACGTTTTCCGAGAATTTCCCGAGTATCTCGAGTTGTTTCTTGATGATGGATTCCTTGTGTTGGAGGATGTTCAATTTATTTTTTTCAAATTATCAGCTGACGTGGTTTTTTCTTCTTTCTGAACAAATTTCATAAGAATTGAATTGAGAAAAATATATACATAGGCAAAGTCTGAAAGGGTGAAAAAAGGCTCCTTTTTTTTGCCTTTTTGCTTCATTTCATCGCCTTTTATGCACCATTTTGCTGCCTCTCCTCTTTTCCACCATTTCTTGAGCCTTCAAAATTTCAGAAAAAATAGGAGGTTCCGAAAAGGGATTCTCTTTGCTGCCTTTCTGCGGCCTTTTTTGAGTCTCTCCCTTTTAGGGGCCATTATCTACCATTCTATTTTCCCCGAGTATGCAAATCAAGCAACAAAATTCTACATAATTTTATTGTTTCCAAGAAAAAATCGACCTCGAAACTGACTCGAAATCTTCAAAAATCCTCAAACTTACGTCCTCATCATCATCTGAACTTTCTTTTTTAAGTTCCGCTGCCGAAGTGAATTGAAAATCGCGAATGTTGAGAGAACCGTCCTTTGTTCCGATTCTTATCGAATCCGCAATTACACACGGCGCAAATCCCTTAAAATGTGACGTTTTACAGTTTTACCCGTGACGATAAGCTACACAGAAAAACCGAGAAAAAAAAATTTTTTTTCTACCAACCTGCAATTGAACTTCATTCTCCCCGACACTCAGTAGAATTTTAATCTCTCGATGCAAATCGGCCTTGTCTTTGTATACAACGACTCGAGGGCCTATCGATTCACCGATATCGTAGATTTTCGGCATTTTCTAAAAATAATTTTGAAACAAAAGAGAGAACAAGTTTCTAGGGACAAAATAGGCGGGAAAGTCGAAAAACGTGAAATTTTGAGGCCTAGAAGCAAGGATAGTAAAAAAAAAAAGACCTTGTAGATCTTCCGAAGTTTCTAAACGTGGTAAAGTGGTTAGAAGCTCAAAATCATGTCGAAAAAGTCCCGTTCCCCTGGAATTTTTCATGTCCCATTCCAGTTTTATTGTTGTCTTTGAAAAGTTCAAGAGGGAATATTCTATTTTACGAAAAGCGTCGTCGAGGGACATCAGATTCCCCAAATAATTAAAATTTACCCTGAAGTGGGTGGAACTTCTCTGAATATGAAGTCAGCCCAAAATTATATTCCAAAAAAGTTCAATGCATCACGACAGTTTGTTCACAAAATGGACGCCTCGAATTTGTGTCATTATGTCTTTTCTATTCAATTCCTTGTGGATCTACCTTCTTCATTCAACAAAAGCCGCACTTTTTGGTCGCTATCGTCATTTATTAAACTGCTTCGCAGTTTTCGATATCGTGTACTCGGTGGTTGCCTTTTTAACACCTTTGGTAGGAATTTTAGAAAAATCATAATAAATCTCAATATTGACGTTTAGAGTCATGTCCAACGCGGGACAGCTTTATGCGGTTTTTTCACGGACGATTTCCTTTCTAGGGTAGGTAAAAGCTTCAGTTCTGCCTTTTTATAGCTATAGCCTGTGTACCACGACTTGGAATTTCACGTTCCGCTGCGCGCCTTTGAGAACCTTGGTCGCGATTTCTATTCTTCTTTCTTTTATTAAGGTACTCTACTTTCATGTGCTCCCACGGCAATAACAATTATTTGTAAGCGTGACCTAGATTCGAAAGACGCTTCGCGAACGCACGCAGCGTAACAGCGGAATGTCGTTCGGTGAAATTACAAGTCGTGGCACACAGACTATATAATCACAGGAATCTGAATATTCGTTCTACCTTCTGATGCTAAGATGCGCACTTATTGGACTGACTTTCGGGATTCTCGAGATCCATTTCTTTTATCGTTACTTAGTACTGTGCAAGTGAGTTTCCAGAACGAAAGAGTTTTTATTTGAGTTAATCCAGGTCCCAGCTAATGTTCGTTTTCAAAAAGCCGTTCTTCATATTTTGCTGGATTATGTATTTCCTTTTTCATGGAATAACATGGGGCTTCCTATTTTCGATAATTTCGTTGAAAAATGAAACTCGAGAATATCTTCGAGAGGAGTTTTTCAATGAATACGGCACGGAAATGATTGGCAACGGCTTTGCCTGTATACATTTCGATGTAATATCTATCGAAACTATCTGGTTTCTTTTTGATTTAGGCCGAAAACGAATCAATCCGATCTACTTCTTTCGAGTTCGCAGTAGGGATCACCATTATTGGGATTATCGCTTCAAGTATTTTTATTTATTTGGGAGCAAAGGTAAATTGTATCAATTTTCCGAAAATTGGCAATCATCGGGCAATTCGCAACTCTGCATCTTTTTAAATCACGGAATGAACACATTTCAGTGGCCTGAGGCTAGAGCAAGAAAAAAAAATCGTAATCGTTCGTGGGATGGCTCAAAGCGCCGCGGTCGCACTGCGGTTGTGATTTTTTCTAACGCTATTTGATGTTAGTGCGCGCAACCCGTTTTTGGTCGGGACAAGCCTTGAAGAAACTGCGACGCTTCCGGCCATCCCATCATATCATGGATTTCCATCAAAGCTTGATATCATTCCAGATAACAAGAACATTGAAAGTCTACATGTTCAGTGCTTCCACAAAACAGTTGCATCGCCAACTTTTTCACACTCTTTTGATTCAAGCCTCGATCCCAATGTTTGTCAGTTTTCTTCCCTGTGGAATACTCTGCGTTACAACTTCAATGAACATTCGACTAAAAACGTAAAATTGGGACATTTTTTGAATTTAAGAAGTATTTTTAGAATAAACACATACTACAGCTTGCCGATGCTCAGCGTTTTTCCGGCCCTAGACCCTATCGCGATAATTTATTTTCTGCCTCAATATCGTCAAAGACTCTTTCCGGCTTGGTTCCGAAAGATCCTTAAGATAGAGGCTCTTTCGAAACCGTCTGTGTCGGTTAGAACTTAATCTATACATTCAGAAGAAATAAAATAAAGTTGAAAATTATTGGAGCTTCTCGCTTTTACAGTTTCGAAAAATAACTATGAGCAGAAGGCTGGGAAACTTGTACGCTCTACGACTAATAAAAAAATTTGAAAAAGCGGACTCGAATGAATCTCGCGATTTGCTTGATAGTGGACATACTTTGAGAAGACATCGAAACGTGGCTGGCGAAAAAGAGCCGTGCCGGGGTTTTCTGCGCTCCATGGCTAATTTTGGCTAATGGATAACATTCGATTTCAAAAAAAAATTTGACTTGAGATTTTTGGTCCTTGGAAATGATGGAACGTCATTAATAATAGACCTCGAATCTTTTCGGCCACGTTAGAAGTCCACCTCACTCGTTAGCACTGACATTTACGTTCAATTTCCACAATCACCTGCCTTTTCGGCTCATTTTTTCCTACAACGGCGTTTCCAAATGTTTTGTGGGGAGTTCGTTGAAATCCCCGAATCGCCAATGCGACGAGCTATCGTCGGCGTGTTCATATGCATCGTTTTCGTCATCCTATGGCTCCACTACACTTTCATCGAGATTCTTTACAAGTGCTATGATGAGGACCGCAAGGTTTGTGAGTATAGTCTGGTCAGATTTTTAATGTCAAATTCGCGCTCAAGCTCCGCCCCTATAGGTGGGATAAACCCATCAGAGAGCGTTTTCGAATGACGTCATTGTACACTCAAAATCTGAACAGACAATAAAACACGGTTTTTATTCAAATTGTAGAAAATACTCGTTGCATTTCGAAATATGAACTAAAAACTGAACAAAACCTGGAAATCTTTTTTTCAAATTTAAGATTTTTTCTACAATTTTTAGTAGACCATTTGGCACACAATGAAAACTTTCATTATTTGGAATTAATATCTCAAAACTCATTTTTCACTGGCCATCTTAATTTAAGCAAAGCTACTATGCCGCGGTCCCTTGCCTGGAAGTCTTGTCACTTCTGGGAACCCTCGGAATGCTCTTCATCTTTTGTTTTTTGATGATCTGCACACCGGTATCCCTGTTTTTCCCTTTATATTATGCCATTATGAGTTTTCCAAACGTTCTCATCTTTGTCGATGGTCTACTCTGTCTACAGCGTTTTCTGATTTTCTTCGACTTGGCGCCAGTCTTCTGTTCAAATTTCAAAGTGTCAGTTTTGCATACCAATCTTCCTTGAGTTGTAAAAGGATTCAGATACATCGCTATTACTATTGCGATATCTCTTCCGGTGTCCTTTCTTATTACTTTATGTGCGGTTGGGAGAGTCATTCTGCCTCGGGACACACAAAGTCAATTCGAAATGTATTCGCTATTCTTCTATAGAACTTGCAATGTCAGTTTTTGAAAGGTTATTTCAGAAAAATTAAAAGATTCACGTCGAAACGTTAAAAAAAATTGGTTGGAAGTGAAACTGTTTGGAAAAGAGTTGAAAAGCAAAATCAATTGAGCGTTTGTTTTAAACGCAAGTTCCCGTAAATTTTAATGCTCAGGGTGTAAACTCACCGAGACGCACTATCGAACACTCGAAATTTTTTTCAATTTCAGAATTTGCAATTTTTGGATAATAGTTCCGGAAATTCGAAATCTCGTCAGTTTGAAGAATCTGATGTGAAAAAATTCACTCAAGTTTAAAAAAATATATTCAAAAAAACTATTTTTGAGAGGAGTGCTTTTTTTCTTTCACTGACAAGAACGCCGTGTTCTATCAAATAACACAAAAAAAGATATTTTTGATTCATTTTCGAATGATCTCTTAAGGTCCTACTTTACGCATTCCAGACCTTATCAATGATAAAGATGACAGTTTCGTTGTCTACTCTCATTGGATATGTTTTCCTTTTGTGGCGCATTCGAAGCGTGCAAAAGACAATGACGACAGTCCGCGAGAGACAAAGAAATCATATAAGTATCGTCCTTCAAGCTCTCCCAATCTCCTTATATTCATTCGTGAGTTTTCCGTTTTCAACAAAATGAAACTTTTCTCAAAATGAAATGGATAGTTTTGTAGTTTTTCTCATTCGACATGGTCTCGATTGTTCTGGACAGGTATATCCCAGAAGATTCCTACTCAGTGAACACGTTTTTCTTCATCATCAACTTTTTCTGCACGACCGCAGGTTTGTCAAAAAGCCGTGAAAATCGCGAAAATTGAAACTTCAGGCTTCATAGTCCCGTGTTCGCTGATCATCGGGAATACCAGCAAGCGGAAAATGTTCATGACGAAAATTGGATTCAAAATGACGCCTCGGGTCGAAAGAACCAGTGTAATTAGTATTCCAAGGAACAGTGAAACTAATCGATAAAAAGGTCCGAAAACTTTGAATATCTAGTTTTGAAAAAGTCTTTTTTCAAGGCAAGATTAGATTTGATGGAAATATCAGACTTAATTCAGTCATTGTCATTGGAGCGTACAAAAAAAGAAAAACTATAAATGGCTATGGAGAAAAAATCTCGAAAAAAGCCCAAGCTTGTGCGCTCCACGGCGAAAAATCACAGAAAAAGTTCATCACCGGCTGAAAAGCCGAAAATGCAGGAGTTTATACAAAGGAAATCATTATATCTTATTCCGTGTTTAAAATAGTTTTCGCGAAAAGCAAAATTATCTCTGAATCTCCAAAGTGTAGTTATCTTTTTCTTTCTCTGACAGCTGTTTGGAGTTTCGCGAAATCGAACACGGCGTTACTATCAAATAGAATGGTTTAATGGAAAAAAGGCCTCCAAAAGATCGAATTTGTGCGCTCCACGGCGAAAAATACAGTTCGATCAAGCCAACTTTGAAAATTCCGAACTAATGGAGTATTCTGAATACTGCGCACAAACAAGAGGAAACTCCAGGAAAACGTGAGAAAATCCAAATTTTGAACAAAAAGAAACAGCCTTCAAAAAGTCGAGTAAAAATGCACCAAGTTGCCCAAAATCTCTCGTTGGAGCGCACAAAAGGACGAAAATTGCAACAGGATGTCTGAAAGAAGGTATCATGAAACTCAGGTTGACAAAAATTGATAAAGAACCCTTTTTGGCTGTCTTATCGATGAATAAATAGGGTGAGTCACCAGGCCGAAAACCACGTTTTCGAAAAAATTTTGAAGCGAATCCCCAAATTTGAAAAACAGTTATACTTTATCAACATGTTCCAAGCGAAATTCTGGCAAAATTAGACATAAAAATATACATTATTAAAACAATAAAAGTGAAGGTCAGATTGTTTAGAATGTCTCGTTGTACTCGATTTTCTCCTCCTTGGGATGTTCGACGACCCATTTGATGACGAGATTCTCGATTTTGCCTCCAGGGAGTCGGACAGTCCATTCCAAGTTGTTGTTCGAGTTGAGTCGGGCTCCTTCTTTCGGGGATTCCTCGTGATGATCAGCGGCCGTGGCGTCGTAGGGCGTCGCGTTGGGGTTGATCAGGGAGATCTGGGAAGATGGGAAAAATCAATTTTCTTATCCCAAGAACTTTAAAATATCATTACTTTTTTAATCAAGTTTTGATGAGCTTTTGAGATTTAGGAAAGTTTTTTGAGATCCTTCTTTCTTTGAAAAAAAATTTCAGGGTAAAAAAACAGTTTCAGAATTTTTCTCAGGTGTCCAAATAAACCGCTCTTGAAGCTTCAAAAACCGAAAAAAATCGATCAAAATTGAATCCTTTGGATATATATTATAACTTCAAGCTCCTGTTTAAGAAAAAAATTCTCAATTTTTCCACAGTGACGTCAAAACACTCTCCGAAAAAATGACGTCATCAAATAATAAATCTTTGAATAGACCAAAAACTGATCCCAACGAGAAATGAATATTTTTCAATTAATTTTTATCCGAATTCCAAATTTTCTATCATTTTTTTGAGCTATTGCTGTCATAGAGATCTAGCCTGCATTCTTTTTTTCAACCTAATTAAAGTTTAAAGCATCTAAATCAGATACAACTGGTCTTATTTTTCTCCTGGGCCTGAAAAAGAAATGAAGCCAGGTTTAATTTTTTTCTACCTACCTTTTCTCCTTTGAAATTCAATTTCTATCTGAAAAAAATGTATAATTGTCCCGAAACAAACCTTGATCTTCTCATCGGTACTGCGCGGCACGTGATGCTTGATGGTGATCAAAATCGGGTGCTCAGATCGGGAATTCTTGACCGAAATCAGTTGTTCGTTGACGTTCGTCGAGGATTTGTTGATGAATCCAGTCTAAGATATTTTTGTGGTTTTCCAGAACTTTTCCTCAAGCTCCACCTGTTCATGGTACTTCTTGGCCGGCTTGTATTCGACCTTGATGGCCGTGTCGACGCCGAGAGAAACAGAGAAACGCTCTCCGGGGGAGACGTTCTTGATGTTGGTCTGAAAAAAAGAAATAAGTAAACGTCGGAATAGATCAGTAATTTAGCTGAAACGCAACTTGTTCCGGAAAAGTCTGTTCTGTTCTTTTTTCTCATGACCATTCCCTTCTTTCTCCATTTTTTTTTGTCGCCATACCTTGGCAACGAAGGCGTTGTTCAGGTAGACGGAAGCTTCTCCGTTGAGGAAGGCCAAGACGGAATTATTGACAGCGCTGGCCGTGAGGAAAACCGACGTGTTCTTCGATGGGACCGTCTCGTGGACCAGTTGAGGGATGACGTCAACGATTCCGATCGTCACCTGGAAAGTGACGTCATTGAAGGCTTCAGTGATGTCATTGGAAATTGAGATTAGGAGCTCAAAAAAAGAGCAAGAATAACTTTAAAAATATTCGTTTGGATATATTCTAGAGCGTTAAAAATGCCCAAATCTGATGTCAAAATTTTCAGAAGTCTCTTGGAAATGACGTCATCAAAGCGTATTAAGTGAAGTAATTAATAAATTCAACTCCGTCTGGAGCTCTCATTTTCGCGCACAGTTTTCCTGATCGTGCTACTTGTGAGAAAAAAAGAAGATATGGCTATAACTATGACGTCTTACATAAAAATGACGTCATGGAAGGGTTGAATGATGTCATTTCTTTTTCCAGATTCGTCTTCCTGGTTTTATTTCTCGGCTCTCTCTTATGTTCACGTGCTATTTCCATGCTTTTCTGACCTTTTCTGGTAGAGAAAAAAAGGACGCAGGTCAAACTGTTTCAAGCGGAGGTATAGTGAAAGCTACATGCGTAAAAAAAGTTTTTTGCTCAATTCAATGGTATTGAAACCGTCTAGCCGTCTGCGATTTTTTTTTTTCTCTCATCAGCGAGAGAGAAGAGGATGGAGACTGTTGTGAGCCCTGCTTAATAGGCTATAAAAGCCGCAAACCAACCTTATGATCAGACCCTCCTTGTGGAATCGAGGCCAAGCGTGCGATTTGGAACTCGGTACTCAGAGTGTTCTCGCGGACTTCAGCGATCTGAAATTGAAAGATTCACACGCCTTTTTTTTCCATAGTTTCAATATATAAAGTCGCATCTTCTCTACGCGCTTATCTGTGGAATTTAGAGAAAAATCGAAAATAGAAGATGAGAACTGACAGCCACGGTGTCCATCGCTGGAGCAGCGGCCATCATTGGCGCCATCTTGGCCTTTCGCATGATGTTCGAGCCACCGAAAGAGCAAGCCCTGCTTGAAAAAACATGAAATTTTCAGGGGTAAGGTTAGAGAACTGGACAAAGTTAGTGAAAAAAAAACAAACATAAAGCCCTTTTTTGTTTTTTTGAATCGTATAGATTTGGCAAAAACATTTTCGAGTCTATTAAAAATAGTGAAAAGCAATTCTAAAAATTTTAAATGATAAATAGGCTTGACTAAGGATTCAAGAAGTATTCTCAGCGCGTTGAATGTCTTTCGAACCTCTTCAAGATCTTTTTTATTTTCAAGCGTAATTTTTTTTTCCAGATATTTTCTTCATCCCATGAATGAAACTCACAAAACTTCAGGCTGTGCGACTGGTGGTGGTGGCGGACGCCAGAAGGAAGCCTCCAAAGTGCCCAATTCTGGAACATGACCGCCCAAGCAGGGTTGGGCCGTTGTGAGGACCTACGAGAAATCATAATGTCCCCAATTATTTCATTTTTCCTCACCAGTGGCACGTCTTCCCAGTTTTCCTCGGTCGACTGCGAGATCTTGCCGTAGTAGCTGATCTGAAAAAATTGTTTTGATGATAGGAATTTCATGACAAAATAGCAATCATGGAATACATGAATTGAAATACGCAAAAAATGAATTTTCAAAATATTAAAAATCAAAAAATGACCTTCAAATTTGGAGTCGCGCCGGTATCGACACGGATATCGTAGCTCGGACGCCAGCTGGCGTTGTAAACTTGATAAATGATGTCAAGTTCGGCTTCAGTCTCAGCAGGGCTTTCCAGGGTGATGATCGCCGATCTAAATGATTTTTTTGTTCCATTTCTCAACTTGCAACGTGTCTTTTTTTTTCTTTTTAGACCTATTAAAAAAGCATTATTATGCCATTCCCCTACAAAACCTCTAAAATTCATAAAGCTCTAGTCTCACCTGCTCCAACCATGCGAATACGATTCATTGATCGCTTGTGCAAGATCATTTCTCGCTTTGTTCGTCTTCTCAACCGCTTTTTCAAGCTCCTCCTGCACGTTTCGCGTTTCTAAAAAGCAATTTTCATTACAAATGGTCATTAAAAAGTTCGCACTTTTGCGCAAATCGGCCGAAGTGTTCTCGTAGTACTCGAAGAACTTTTCCAAGCTTCCCAGAGTATTTTCGTCGAGGGCGAAGGAGCTTCCAGCCTCTTTTGGTGGGTTCACAACGCCGCTACCGACCTAAATTTTATTATTAGAAATAATTGAGAAGAATAAATAAAGGAAAAAAAGGGTGAAAAAAGCCTCCAAAAAAAGGAAGAGGGAAAATAACAACCAGTGGAAAATAACAAAAAAAAAATCTGCAGAAAAATTATCCTCCGACGCATAGTGTGCTCCACGGACAAGCAAAGCCGCGAAAAAGTGAAATTGAATTTTTCAGTTTTTTCATGAATTTTTATTTTAGAAATATTTTTGTATACTGACAGTGTTTCGATTTTCTCTCCGCACAACTTCTCAGCTTGAAGACTTAAAAATTCTTTGGATTTGCCACAAAAATGTGGGATTATTTTCTGGTTTTTGGGAAGTTCCAAGTTACTAAAACCTTCTCTTAATTTTGAATGTCGCTTTACCGTTCAAAGCTGTTTTTTTCCAATCCATACCTCACTAATCATCTTATCCAACGCCTGAATTCTCTTGTCAAGAACTTCTTTTCGTTCTTCCAGCTCCTTCATTTCGTGTTCCCGTTCTTTCAGGATTTTCCGTAGTCCGGCAACCTAGAAATGAATATTTATAATTTATATTTTTTTTTTCCAGAAAACCTTAGGCGAATCTTTCTCCTCATGAACCGCCGGCTGGCTTTTCTCCTGGACTTCATGAATTTGAGCGTTTCCGCGGCCGTCGACACGTAGGGAATCCGGCAGCAAGGAGGAGGTGAGGTTCTAAAAAATAGGTATTTTCACATTGTCGATTCGAACATCCTTATTTTTACCTTGACATGAACCTCATTGGTACCGGCATTAAGCTGAACCCTGGCCAGTCGCTTAATTTCGGCGCGGTCCGAAAAAACGACCACTTTTTGGATTTCGAGGTCTCGCACTTCGAACTCGTGCTTGGAAATCGTTTCAGAACTCATTTTCGGTTCTGAAAATGATATTGGGAGTTCGTTTTAACGAAAAAGACAACTATAAAAATAAAAGAAAAATGGAAAGGAAATTTTTGTATTTTTTTGGTGTATCTTGGAAAATCAGACTTGAGACCTTTCCAAAGAAACGGTTTTAGGGATTTTTTAATCACAAAAAAATATCTGGAATATTCAGCGAGTAAAAAACAGAAAAAGGAAAAAAGTTATGAAAAATTTTTAACGTATACGAGCTTTGATACATTTTCAGATTAGACCGTAGAAATGCGACACGGTGTTCCCAAACGGGGTGGGGAGACGTCAAGAAAAATTTGGCGCGAAATTTGAAATCTACAGTACTTCAGCCGAAGGCGATCGAACAAACAAGTTATTAACGTTTGATAATCAGTGCATTTTATCCGTAGCGCGCACTAAATTTTTTCTGTAAATTCAGAAACTTTGACGCCTCGCTCACCTTCCCTCACCCCCATTAGGAATGCCGTGGCGAAAAATAAAGAAACAGCAAAAAACACTAAGAATAACTGCCGAGATAAACGCGAGACACTGGCGGTACATTGACGAGCTCGCAAACATCTCGCTTTTTTTCTCGCGCCGGTCTCGCATTTTTCTGAGCGCCAGCTCGCACTTTTCTAGGCGCGAGCTCGCATTTCTCTCGTAATTTGAAAATTTCCGAAATGCAAGATAAATGCGAGGTCGCGCCGAGAGAAATGCGAGGTCGCGCCGAGAAAAATGCGAGATCGCGCCTAGAAAAAAGCGACATTTTTGCGAGTTCGTCAATGTACCGCCACCGAGCTCGCATTTATCTCGTCAGTTATTCTTAGTGAAACATTGAAAAAAAAAATGACTATGCTTTCGTGTGCATGCACAAATTTTCAGTGCAGTAATCGTCTAAGCTTTTTTAATCCTTCTGATTAGTTTTTTTTTTCATCAATTTCTTCACAGTTGAAAAACTCTTATAACGCTTTTTCATTGGAGGAACATGATATTAAATAAAAAAAATTACGATGTTTCATTGGCAAAATAAAACTTTATTGAGGTATGAAGTGTTTTTGCGCTCAGAAATAATTTTTTCTATAAATCATATCTTTTAATAATGATTTTTTCTTATAATTTGTTTGGACCAGAGTAGAAACATCGTTCACCAAGTTTAAAATGGAAGAATATTCTTGTTCGAGAAAAAAAATCGAGATTGAAGGGAACTCGGACAGAAATGAGAACAAGGTAGGACCGCCATCTTTTAAATCGGTTTTTGAAAGGGCGAGTTTGCCAATTTTTTTTTTCGTTTTGGGTGAATCATAGTAGGCAAACAAGAGACAGAGAGAAGTGACTAGAGAGTGTGGGAACTGGAGAGAAAGAGGAAAGGTCAGATTTCGAAACGAGGCCATCAAAAAACCATCGCTGTTTTGAAGGGTTTTCATTGTTTTTCCTCGTTTTTTCGCTGGATTATCAAATATTTCAGAAAGAAGACTTCAAATATTATGTTGTTCAGAAAGTTATTGCGGTTTTTATTATTCGACTTCAAAAAATCCTAACTTCGCTTAGAGTTCTTATTTCTGATCAAAACAAAAACCATCTTATTAAGTGACCATGTGACAAAAAAAAAAAGACAAAAAATTCAGTCGATTATATCCAACCCTGAATTACTGGGGGCTTTGAAACTCTCAAACCCTTTTTTGAGAGGGTTTCGGTTTTGAAGCATTTTTTTCGCGTGCAAGTATTTTCAAAGTTTGGAAAGCTGTTGTTTAGCAAGGTAGGGGTTGTAAAAACACATTTAAAAATAAAATCATTTTTTTCTTGTTTCGTTTATTTTTTTACTTTGCAACTTCCGCAAAGCGCGATACTGGACAAAACGTGACTTCTTTAGTTTCGATGTTTTTAAAATGTTTACACACAAATTCGTGGAAATTTTTTTCTGATTAGTGAACAACGTCGCTTTAATGTTGTAGAGTAGAAAGTTGAAAATACTTATGATAAGTTATAACAGCTTTAGAAAGCCAAGAACGTGCTCAATCGTCATTATTTGATAGGTTGCGTTCGAAGAACTATCCAAAGCGGCGCCTTGGACTATATAGTGATAATAGGCTTAAAAATTGCTCATAGTCTTGGCCAAAGTTTTTTCCAGTACTAATCACATTTCATGTTTGAAAGTAGTCACTGTGTCAAACAAATAGTAAAAATATCGAATGATTTCAACGCTTATAAGTATAGTTGAGAGAAGAACGAAAAAAGCTACTCTAATCGCTGTTTTTAACCCTTTTTTCAAAATTACATATAACTTACACAATTTTGTTTTGAATGAAAACGAACCACGCGCTTCAAATGATATATAACTTCGTCAGGCCAGTCTAAAAATCCAGTTCATAAAATCTCTTGCAAAGGGGAGTATCAAAAACCGCAAAAAAACTTTCTGAACAACCAAATATATAGTATAGATTATCAGAATAAGCGGATAGATTTTCAATTTCAGTTGCTTTTTTTTTGAAAGTTCCAAAAAAAAGACCAGGAAGTTGAATAACCGGTTTATCAGTTCAAGGTGAAAAAAACCGCAGCAAATAGCGACCTTTTTCAGATTTATCGTCCGAAAAAAATAAAAGTTTGATACCAATGAAATTGAGACAATTTTACAACTTGGACAAATAATAGTTTATTTGACTTTTTGGAAAAAAATCCAAATGAAACGGGAAAAGTGTGAAATTTTTGGAAAGAGTTTATAGATTTTTACAAGATACACCCAACACAACTGACTATATCGAAGCATATAAAAAAAATTTAAAAAAAAAATAGAAAAAATATGTTCAAAGTTTGGTGGCATGAAAAAAGACAGACGAATTTCGAACGGCGACTTTTCCAATTTTTTCATATCGCTAGGGAACTTTGCAACGGAGAAGTTTCCGACTTTTTTTCTCGATGAAATCTTCGTTTCGAATCTTTCTATATAAAGAAAGTAGTTGATTCATGATAAAAAAAAAGACCAAGAAAAGGAAAAAAAAATGTAAATGTAGTTTGCGTGCCACGACTTGAAATTTCACCGAACGACATTCCGCGGTTCCACTGCGTGTGTTTGCGAAGCGTCTTTCGAAAGGTCACGATTTCAATTGATTGTTTTTGCTGTGGGAGCACATGAAAGTAGAGTATCTTAATGAAAGAAAAAAAAACAAATTAAAAGCGCGACCAAGGTTTGGTTTGTAACACACGTTGTCTGAGATTTTCGAAAATACGTTGGTACAATAATTTTCAAGTTTGTTTTTTTCGAGCTGAAATTCCTGTCACATATACTATGCGACCTACTTCACATGACACCCGGTTTCGACAGGCTCTGCCCACTTTCAGGGTTATGGTAGAGAAAATACCGTAAAAAGCTAACTTTTTTCCTGGTAGAGGAAATCGGTTCAAACCAACTGTAACGCAAAAAGCACGTCATTTTGAACATTTTTCATGTTGGAAACTACTCTGGAAAAAATTAAAATTTTTCAAGTTTTCGTTTTCCACTTTCTACTGTCCTGAGTTGAAAACAAATTGTTTGTAGTACATCAAAAACAAAAACTCAATTGAAATCAAACTCTCAAAAAAGTTATGGATTTTTGAAGTTTTGGCCAATTTCAAGTTGGGCGCGTTCTTTCAGATGGTGATTAGTGTTCTAAAATTCGATCGTTCGACCAATTAGACCGTTCAACTGATATGACCGTTCAGTTTTTCGAACGGTTATAACATGTCATTTCTCTGACCGTTCGTTTGACCGACCAATTTCTGAAATTTACTAAACCGACCGACCATTTTTGAAGTGACATTTCGAACGTTCGAAAAATGACCGACCATTTTCAGAGTGACATTTCGAACGGTCAAAAAATGACCGACCATTTTTGAAGTGACATTTCGAACGTTCGAAAAATGACCGACCATTTTTGAAGTGACATTTCGAACGTTCGAAAAATGACCGACCATTTTTGAAGTGACATTTCGAACGTTCGAAAAATGACCGACCAATTTCAGAGTGACATTTCGAACGGTCAAAAACCAACATGTCATTCTGAAGTGACATGTTGAAATGTTGAAACTCCAACCGTTCGACCAATGACCATTTATTATGACATGTTGAAAAAATATTGGTCGAACGGTCGGTCGAACGGTCAATTTTCGAAACTATAATGGTGATGTACTACGACACTTAAAACTTGAATATAAGGATATTTTTTTCGAACAACCAAGACCTTGATACATCAATCAAGAAAATAAAAATCAAGGCCATCGGGGGTCCCCGTTTTAGTAGAGCTCAAAAACTGCGAAAATCGTCATTTTTCAACTTTCAACGATTTTTTCCCACAAGAAGAAAATTTTTTCCAGAGTAGTTTCCAACATGAAAAATGTTCAAAATGACTTGCTTTTTGCGTTACAGTTGGTTTGAACCTATTTCCTCTACCAGGAAAAAAGTTAGCTTTTTACGGTATTTTCTCCATAACCCTGAAAAAATGTAGTATCTCTGATAGCAAAACAAACTCTGAGGAACCAACATAAAATTTTTGTGCCAAGAGATTTCTCAGTTCATCGATTCTCTCGGAGAACGTGTGGTAAATCGAAAAAAATAAGGGAAAAAAAGGCGGTGAGGATTTAGTCGGAAAGTTTCCTATTGTATGAAAAAATCGGAGAAGTCGCGGTTCGAAAATTCGTGGACTTTTCTTTCATACCACCTAAAATTTGACACCTTTTTAGTCGGAAGCTGCAAAAAAACGCTCAATTTAGAAAAAAAAAACTTTCATGAAATCACGAACCCAAAAATAACAGAGAAACGAACAAAAGGCCTGATTTCTAACTGAAACTATTTTTTCTAAAAGTTTACAATTTTTAGTTCTTTTTCCTCACTGAACATCTGTTACATACATATGTTTCTTCTCAATCTAAGCCTCGAAATAAAAAATAAAATGAGGAAATCGAAGCCAAAAACCAAATTGCGGTAAACAAGAACGAAAAAAAGCACTAAAACTAGTCGAAAAGGGGCAGGGACACAGAGTAACGGCAGAAATGTGTGCAGTGCACTTTCTTTTCTTTTTTCCATGGCTACGAATAATTCTAGATAACGCTTTCGGAGCTTTCTTCCGAAATGTTCAGACGAAGAAGAAAAAGAAAAAGAAGAAAAATAAATAAGCAAGGATAAGAAAGGGAAAGAATACAATAAAAAAAGAGAAAAAAATTGAGAGAAAATAAACCAAAAAGCGCTCAACGAACATAGGCAATGTCGGAAGGACCCTCCGAGGGTCCATAAAGCCTAAAACAACTGCAAACAATCGTTTAAAAAAATATAATCAGTAATTATCGATTGCGTTTTTTTCGAAAAATAAGGAATTTCGAAAATCGTGATTTTCAAATTGCGTTATTTTTTTGAGGCCAACCATAGAATTTTTTTATTTTTTTGCCAGAATATGCGTTTTTTTAGTTGCTTTATGATATTCAAGAATAAAAAAAGTTGCCCAGAAACTTTCAAGAAAAAAACGGGATTTTTTTATCCGTTTTCGGCCACAAATGCGTTTTTGAAAACTGTCGTCGTACATTCTTATTTCTCATTTTTCAGTATTTTTCTTTTTATGTAGGATTGTTAAGCATAGCCGATTGTATGTTTCCCCTAATTTTTTTCCCAAATCGGTACAAGAAAACTGTTTTTAAAATATAAAAAAAGAACCAAAATGCAACGAAAATGACGAAGTTTTTTTGAACAGCGAAGTGGGCGTGGCTCTGCGGTCCCTACATAAAGGACCATAGAAATGTTCCTTTTAGGGTGACGAAGGCTCCCTTTTTGCTTCCTTTTTGCTCCATTTTCTCGGCCCTTGTTCACCATTTTTGCTTTATCTCCCTTTTCCCACCATTTCTCGAGCCTTTAAAATCCCAGAAAAATGGAAACTCGATAAAGGGACTCTCTTTGCTGCCTTTTTGCTGCCTTTCTGCAGCCTTTTTTCAGCGTCTTCCTTTTAGCGGCCATTATCCACCATTCCGACTTTGCCCGAGAAATAAGTTTGCATAGGAAAACTTTTTATCAAGGACAATAATGACGTGTTCATCGGACAGAACGAAACGCAAAAAAATTGCTCCAAAACAAATAAGTACTGGTTTGGAGCAACTTTGGCGCGTCGATGATCAGGGCGGCCCATAAATGACAGTGTTACAAAAAAAAAAATTTAGGGGAAAAAAAGTTCTAAAGGGTTATTTGAATAAGTTAAGTCGTGACACACAGACTATAGTCCCCAACCTGAGAACCGGATTTCGAAGCACTTTTGAAGCAAACTTTGAAAAAGAAAAATAATACTTTATCAACATATTTTAAGCAAAATTATACATAAAAATGTACATTATTAAAAACAAACAACTGAAGATGTCAGATTGATCAAAATGTCTCGTTGTACTCGATTTTCTCCTCCTTGGGATGTTCGACGACCCATTTGATGACGAGATTCTCGGTTTTGCCTCCAGGGAGTCGGACAGTCCATTCCAAGTTGTTGTTCGAGTTGAGTCGGGCTCCTTCTTTCGGAGATTCTTCGTGATGACCAGCGGCCGTGGCGTCGTAAGGCGTCGCGTTGGGGTTGATCAGGGAGATCTGGAAAAATCACAGGATTCCGAAAAGGCAATATTGAAGCTTGGCACTCTAAATAATTCGAAAGTTCTAAAATTCCTTTGAACGATTTGTATATCAAATCATAAGGAAAATCGAAACCTCCACCTGGATACATCATAACTTAAATCTTCTATTTGAGAGAAAAATTCTCAACTTTTCAACTGTGAAAATTATGACGTCATCAAATATTGAAACTTTAAATAGACCAAAAACTGACCCCAACGATAACTGATAACTGTATTTTTTTCAATTAATTATTTTTTTCCGGCTTCCAAGTTTTTTTATCAGTTTTTTTGAGCTTCTGCTGTTGGAAAGGTCTAGTCTGCCATTTTTTTCAACCTATTTAAAGTTTAAAAAAATCAGAATCAGATAAAACTTGGGTGGTATGAAAAAAAGACCAGCGAAAATTCAAACGGCGACTTTTCCGATTTTTTCATATCGCTAGGGAACTTTCCGACGGCCACCTTTCCGACGAACCCCTTTCCGACTTTTTTCCCTTACCTTTTTCGGTTTATAAAACATCTATAAACTTTTTTTTTCCTATTTGTTTGTGTTTTAATCATGAACCAACTACCTACATTATATAAGAAGATTTTAAACAAATATTTTATCGAAAAAAACGTCGGAAAAAGTTTCGTCGGAAAAGTGGCCGTTGGAAAGTTCCCTAGTGATACGAAAAAATCGGAAAAGTCGCCATTTGAATTTTCGCTGGTATTTTTTTCATACCGCCAAAACTTGCCCTTTTTCGCTTAGACCTGAAACATTCCTACTTCTCTTTTCGAAGCCATGTTTAATTATTCCAATTCATCTCTTTTGAACCTGATAAAAAGCTCATTTTTTCTCCAAAAATGTTAAATTTCCCCGAAACAAACCTTGATCTTCTCATCGGTACTGCGCGGCACGTGATGCTTGATGGTGATCAAAATCGGGTGCTCAGATCGGGAATTCTTGACCGAAATCAGTTGTTCGTTGACGTTCGTCGAGGATTTGTTGATGAATCCAGTCTGAATTTTTATTGAGGTTCTCCAGAACTTTTCCTCAAGCTCCACCTGTTCATGGTACTTCTTGGCCGGCTTGTATTCGACCTTGATGGCCGTGTCGACGCCGAGAGAAACAGAGAAACGCTCTCCGGGGGAGACGTTCTTGATGTTGGTCTGAAAAAAAGAAATAAATAAACGTCGGAATAGATCAGTAATTTAGCTGGAACCCAACTTGTTCCGGAAAAGTCTGTTCTGTTCTTTTTTCTCATGACCATTCCCTTCTTTCTCCATTTTTTTTTGTCGCTATACCTTTGCAACGAAGGCGTTGTTCAGGTAGACGGAAGCTTCTCCGTTGAGGAAGGCCAAGACGGAATTATTGACAGCGCTGGCCGTGAGGAAAACCGACGTGTTCTTCGATGGGACCGTCTCGTGGACCAGTTGAGGGATGACGTCAACGATTCCGATCGTCACCTGGATGATGATGTAATTCAATTTTTGAAAAAAAAAGTTCATTGAACGATTAAAATTATAAAGCCGTTCAGAAAAAAAAAACGGTCTTTTCAATTTTGCCGTTATCTTTAAACTGATGAATGCGCACTGGTCTGCCGTTTCTATAGAGAGAGGGATTTTCGGCAAAACTTTATTTTGGAAAAAAAATTTCGGAGAGTCAGAGATTGTTTCAAATTCACCGAAACTACTGAGCAAGGCATGAAAAAGAGAGAAATGAATTACAGCGATCTTTCCCTTTAATTATAACTAGATGACGTCATTAGGGGCGAAATGATACTTCTAACCGCGCTAGGAAGGTAATTTTACTCAAAATTCGAACTCTCACTAGGGAACTACTCGGACTCGGGTACGCGGATCGAGTTCAAACTTCAGTGGTTTATAGACCTAAGTGAGAATACTTGAAAAAAGGTGTGAATATCTGCTAAACCCAATAGAGAACTAAGAAAAAATTTGTAGAAAATGTGAAAATTAGGCTTGAAAATTTTCAGAATATTGCTTTCTACCTTATTTCATACTTTAATACAATTGCCTTGAATGATCCGGCTATGATAAACTCTAAAAAACTTTTTTCCAGCCAAAAGAAGAAGAAAAGCAAAAATTTGATAATTTCAAGCCTAAACTGTTCATTTTCCAAAAGCTTTTTCTCAGAAGCCTATGGGGTTTAGCAGATAATCTCTCTTGTTTCCAAGTACTCTCACCCGGGTCTATAAGCCACCAAAGTTTCAACTCGAAACGCGTACCCGAGTCCGAGTAGTCCCCTAGTAAGGGATACTGTTCCACACACGTTCTCCGAGTGAATCGAGGACGTGCAACAAAAAAAAGTGGGCACAAAAAATTCATGTTGCTTTTGTTGAGCTCATATTTCCATCACATTAACTACAAATAAACTACGTTAAAAAATTTTTTCTATAATTTAAAAACAGAATAATAGAATTTCAGCGGTCTTTTAAATTTTTTTCGATTTTTGAGGAGGTCAACTTCGACCGGAATATGACATACTGGGACCATCGGAAGATCAGCTCGAAAACATTTTTTTATTACTCAGTGGTACCTGTAGTTCACAAAAAACAAGTGCACTTCATGTATAACTTCGTACAGTTTCTCAGAAAATTAGCAATAGCGAAAATAGGGCAAAAAACACAAACCTGAAAATTCAGAAAACTGAGCAAAACATTTCTTTTTTCTAGAAGGAATCTAAAGATATCAATGTTAAATATAAAGTAATTTTAGATGATGTCAAAAACATCTTACTCCACCTCAAAATCCTACTTTGAAGAAAGTTAGAGATTTTGAAGATTTGGCCAAATTCGAGTTGGACGCTTTCAATGAGTTGGAGATCAACTGGATCACTTGAAACTGGAACATATGGACTATTTTTTCTAAAGTATGAAGACCTGACGCTTCGTTTAAAAAACGGAATTTCACGGATCATCCTGCCTAAAAACCTCAAAAAGCTAAAAAAAAATCCCCGACTTCCAATGAAAATAAATTTTTTCCAGTGTGAAACATTTTTTTTTTTCAAAGAAAGTCAGTATACAAAGTTCGTTCACTTTGTCACTAGTTTTCGTTTAAAAAAAGTTTTATTCGATTTGGACCAACGAGAAAAGTAAGATTTTTTTCGTGTAATCCTCAATGGGGGCGGAGCTTGACAAAACCTTGTTTAAAAGTTATGTATACATTTTTAGTTAATGTGATGGAAATGTGAGCTCAAAAAAGCAACATGAATTTTTTGTGCCCACTGTACATCGCATATCTCCGAGAACGTGTGTCCAAACAATCTTCAATATGGTAGCTTGAAAGCCGAAAACTGCCCCACTTCTTGGTTTATCGAAACGAACGCTATAGAGTTCATATTTCTCAGAAATTTCATATCGTTCTTTTTCAGAAAAATAAAATCCAATTCTTTCGCAGATTGAAATTTAGGATCTTCATCTAATTAATGTTTGGTTTTTTGAGATATATTCAGAAAGTTTCAAAGTAAAACCAACCTCCCAAAAACGATTTTTAATAGCTGCTTTGAAAACAATATTATGACAAAAAAAATCCCGCTAACTTGTCTGTGCTTATAATTTGAAATGAGAGAAACTGAATGAATTAACTAAAAAAAAGTTTTTTTTTTCCCAAAGTTTTCGCTTGTTTCTACTCCAAAATATTGTAATTTTTTTTTACATTTTTCCGGTTAAGGACACGAAAACCAACCTTATGATCAGATCCTCCTTGAGGAATCGAAGCCAAACGTGCGATTTGGAACTCGGTGCTCAGGGTGTTCTCACGAACCTCGGCGACCTAAATTTGAACATTTTCAAGTTTTTCGCAAGTTTTTTCTAAACTTTGAGCTAGTCATTTTCCATCTGGTCAAAATACTGATAACAGGTCTGGAAGCGAAGCAGGCAAAAAAAAAGCTGTGTTTATTGTGATTTTTCAAAAATTACGATCAAACAATCTTCAAAGGATTCCTTGTAAAATCTTCACTCGAAGTGGTCGCTCTCATTCCGAGGCTTCCACCTAGAGCACGGTCTCCGGGCTCTAGCTACACCATCCACTACATTCTGAGCTCGTCAAGGCGCAACTGGATGGACTACGCGCAGAAGGACGAGGCGAAGGACCGTAAGACTTTCAACTCTTTCGACTACACGTTTGGACTTCTAGTTCGCCAAAGGCGGTTGTTCGTTATAGCTCAAAAAGTTCTTGTTCACCGCCTAGTCGATTACATCAGACTAAAACAACAAAATAAATTATTTGACTTGAAAGCTGTGATCCGGGCTGACTATAGTGTTGCAACGCGGTCGAAAATTTGCAATTTATCGAACCTTTTTGTCTTGAAACTTTCAGAGTGTGTAAATGCGGGAGTGAGAGATCGAAAATGTGTTATATGAAATATTTATGTTGATGTAAGTCATGAAATTAGATTTGAAAAAAAAGTTCGCGACTGCGGCTGATTGTGGATTTTTTGGCCATCACCCTCAGCCCAGTTCTCAACTTTTTTAAAGGTGACAAGTTCGCGCGGAAATCACTATGAAAGACTCACCGCCACGGTGTCCATCATTGGAGCCGCGGCCATCGGCGCGATGCATTTGTTCATAACTTGTGGGCCACCAAAACCGCGAGCCCTGCTTGAAAAAACATAAAACTTATACAAGTTGAAGGTTAGTAAATTAGAAAAAACAGAGTTCTTGTTAGTTTAAAAACAAGAGAATCCTATTGAAGAACGGAAAATAATGATTTTTTCATTCCGAAAGTTTGAATTGAGGTAAAATCCAACGCCTTGAAAAGTCGATACAAATAGCTACCGGGTAGCAACTTTTGAAAAAGTCAATCGGCGTATGGTAATCGGTGGTCGTTTGTATGCGACCGGGTACTATCTTTATGGTACCTGGGTCGGAGGTCGATGCAAGTAGCTACCGGATAGCTACCTGACATTCGCGATTTCTTCCGGAAAGTCTGGAATTGCTTCCCGGGTCGTTATTTTTTGTTTCAGCTTTATCCAATAAGACCCTGAAAGGCTTGGGAAGGTATAAAAAAACACTGATGGTATATAAACGAACGATGTGCAAGCCACTAGCAATCGCGATTTTCAGGTACCTACCCGGTAGCATCCAGATACCGATCAGGTACTATCCAGGTACCATAGAGATAGTACCCGGCCGCATACAAACGAACACCGATTACGATTCGCCGATTGACTTGAGTTGCTACCCGGTACCTACTTGTATCTACCTCCCGATTCACCAGTGTATACTTTCGAACGTCACCTATAGTCCTCTTCATCTTTAAAAATTCAAAAACCTTTTCGAGTCAACACCGATTTTTCCCCTAATTTTCTAGAATAAAGTACTTACAGCATCCTTTCAGGCTGAGCGACTGGTGGTGGTGGCGGACGCCAGAAGGAAGCCTCCAAAGTGCCCAATTCTGGAACATGACCGCCCAAGCAGGGTTGGGCCGTTGTGAGGACCTGCAAGAACTCATAACTTTCCCAATTATTCCATTTTTCCTCACCAGTGGCACGTCTTCCCAGTTTTCCTCGGTCGACTGCGAGATCTTACCGTAGTAGCTGATCTAAAAATCGTTTTGATGATAGTAATTTCATGACAAAATAGCAATCTATGGAATACACCAATTGAAATACGCAAAAAATGATTTTTCAAAATATTAAAAATCAAAAAATAACCTTTAAATTGGGAGTCGCGCCGGTATCAACACGGATATCGTAGCTCGGACGCCAGCTGGCGTTGTAAACTTGATAAATGATGTCAAGTTCGGCTTCTGTTTCGGCAGGGCTTTCCAGGGTGATGATCGCCGATCTAAATGATTATTTTGTTCCATTTTTCAACTTGCAACGTGTCTTTTTTTTTCTTTTTAGACCTATTACAACAGTCTTATCATATCATTTCCCTACAGAACCCCTAAAATTATTAAATTTCACTCCAGTCTCACCTGCTCCAACCATGCGAATACGATTCATTGATCGCTTGTGCAAGATCATTTCTCGCTTTGTTCGTCTTCTCAACCGCTGTTTCAAGCTCCTCCTGCACGTTTCGCGTTTCTAAAAAGCAATTTTCATTGCAAATGGTCATTAAAAAGTTCGCACTTTTGCGCAAATCGGCCGAGGTGTTCTCGTAGTACTCGAAGAACTTTTCCAAGCTTCCCAGAGTATTTTCGTCGAGGGCGAAGGAGCTTCCAGCCTCTTTTGGTGGGTTCACAACGCTGCTACCGACCTAAATTTTATTATTAGAAATAATTGAGAAGAATAAATAAAGGAAAAAGGTTGAAGAAAGCCTCCAAAAAAAGGAAGAGGGAAAATAACAACCAGTGGAAAATAACAAAAATCTGCAGAAAAAAATTATCCTCCGACGCATAGTGTGCTCCACGGACAAGCAAAGCCGCGAAAAAAAGTGAAATTGAATTTTTTTCAGTCAATGAATTTTTTTATTTTAGAAATATTTTTTTGTATACTGACAGTGTTTCGATTTTCTCTCCGCACAATTTCTCAGCTAGAAGACTTAAAAATTCTTTGGATTTGCCACAAAAATGTGGGATTATTTTCTGGTTTTTGGGAAGTTCCAAGTTACTAAAACCTTCTCTTAATTTTGAATGTCGCTTTACCGTTCAAAGCTGTTTTTTTCCAATCCATACCTCACTAATCATCTTATCCAAAGCCTGAATTCTCTTGTCAAGAACTTCTTTTCGTTCTTCCAGCTCCTTCATTTCGTGTTCCCGTTCTCTCAGGATTTTCCGTAGTCCGGCAACCTAGAAAAGAATATTTATAATTTATATTTTTTTTCCAGAAAACCTTAGGCGAATCTTTCTCCTCATGAACCGCCGGCTGGCTTTTCTCCTGGACTTCATGAATTTGAGCTTTTCCGCGGCCGTCAACACGTAGGGAATCCGGCAGCAAGGAGGAGGTGAGGTTCTAAAAAGTGGATAGTTTCAAATTTTTGAATCCAAAATCATGATTTTTACCTTGACATGAACTTCATTGGTACCAGCATTAAGCTGAACTCTGGCCAGTCGCTTAATTTCGGCGCGGTCCGAAAAAACGACCACTTTTTGGATTTCGAGGTCTCGCACTTCGAACTCGTGCTTGGAAATCGTTTCAGAACTCATTTTCGGTTCTGAAAATTATATTTTGATTTTTTTGAAAAAGATTTCGCTTCACTTTGCACGTATTTTTCGAAAATCAAGCCTGAAACGGTTTTTAGAAATTTTTTTAATTCAAAAAAAACATTTTTTTGAAAAAAAGTGAAGGCGAGCAAAAAAAGGAATAATTAAAAAAACATGGAAGATTATGAAAGATTTTTTTGAAACAGAATCGATTGTGAATATAATTAAAAAAATCGCCTAATTTTTTTAAATGAACCTCGTTATAGTGAAACTTTTGAAAAAAAGTCAACCAAAGCTTGAGAAATTTAAAAAAATTTGGTTTTTTTCGGTTTTTTTGTGCATGCACACGTTTTTTTGATACAGTAATCCTAAAAAGCTTCAAATTTTTTTCTTAATTTTTCATTCTTTTTGAATATTTTTTTAGGAGTGTCGCTATTGTTGTTTTATTGAAAATAGAGTATCGTTAAGCAACTTAAAAATCTAAAAATATTCTTCTTTCGAGAATAAAAAAATCTAGATAAGAAGGGGACTCGGACAGAAATGAGAACAAGGTAGAACCGCCATCTTTTAAATCGGTTTTTGAAAGGGCGAGTTTGCCAATTTTTTTTTTCGTTTTGGATGAATCATAGTAGGCAAACAAGAGACAGAGAGAAGTGAAGAGAGAGTGTGGGAACTGGAGAGAACGAGGAAAGGTCAGATTTCGAAACGAGGCCATTAAAAAACCAACGCTGTTCTGAAGGGTTTTCAGTGTTTTTCTTCATTTTTTCGAGAAAGTATCAAATATTTTAAAACAGAAACTTCAAACATATACTATAAATGTTCAGTATGAGCGGATAGAAGTTTAATTTTAGTTAATTTTTTTTTTTTTTTGGAAGTCCCGAAAAAAGACCAGAAAGTTGAATAACCGGTTTATCAGTTCAAGGTGAAAAAACCGCAGCAAAGAGCGACCTTTTCAGATTTATCGTCCAAAAAAGAGAAGTTTGATACCAATGAAATTGAGACAAGTCTACGACTTGGACAAATAATGATTTATTTGAATTGGTTCGATGGTTGGAAAAAAATCCAAGTGAAACGGGAAAAACTGTGAAACTTTTGAAAAAGACAGGAGTTTCAAATTTTTTACAAGAATTAATCAATTTAAAAGTGGGAAAAAAAGTGAAAAATTGTCGATTTTGTTAAAAAAATGAAAGTTATTTTTTTGAAGTTTTTTTAAAGTTTTATCGGTGTTTCTTTGCGAATTTTTGTTTATTATTTATAATTTTAAAAAAATATTTTTTTGAACAGGAAATTAATTTTTTTGTTTCGATATTCATTCATCACTTTCAGTTTTTAATGAATTTCACAATTTTGAAAAAAATTAAAAAAATTCTACATACCAATTCAAAAGTTTGAAACGAAACCGTTCATGAAATTAAAAAAATCACTTAAAACAAAAATAACAAAGAAATTGACAAGACCCGATTTCTAGCTAAAAAAATCGTTTTTTTCTACTCTTACAAAACCTTCAAGTTCATTCTTCTCAAGAGACATATGTTACAGACATGTGTTTCTACTCAATCTGAGCCTCGAAATAAAAATAAAATGCGAAAACCAAGGCCAAAAACCAAATTTTGCGGTAAACAAGAAACGAAAAAAAGCACTAAAACTAGTCGAAAAGGGGCAGAGATACAGAGTAGCGGCTGAAATGTGTGCACTGCACTTTCTTTCCTTTTTTCCATGGCTACGAGAAATTTTAGATAACGCTTTTGGAACCTTCTTTTGAAATTTGGAGACATAAAAGAAGAAAGAAAAGAAAGACACTAGCAAAAAAATTGATTTTTTTAAAAAAATGATAAGAATCGAAAAAAATAATAATAAACCAGAACCGTGGTTTCTTATGAAAACGAATGAACTTTGCTGATGGTGAATGTTTTCATATAGAAATTTCAGAGTTTTTCTTTAAATTCCCCATTTTTTTCCGTGATTATCAATAGGGCTCACAAGCTCAAACACCTGAAACAAATTTGAAGCCATTTTTTCTCAATTTTTTTATCACATGATTTCTAAATAAATAGAAAAGGTGTTGGAATATTCAATAATAATATTTTTGATGGCGAGCAAAATTCAATGTTTGCCAATTTCGATGAGTCATCGGGTCGTTATTTTTTGACAGTGTTTCGAAATTTTATTGCAGTTGATGTTGATGTTGAAGTATGGCTGTTTGTTTTTAATAATGGGATCAAATTTTTTAGAGCTCAAAAACTCATAAATAATTTCAAGTTGTTATTTCAATAGGAAAATAGTTTTAGTTTTCTACTTTTTGTTAAATATCCTGTTTTCAAGACTTCTCGGCTCTTTTTGCGTATTTTGATCCTTTCTGATACTTACGAAACAGCAAAACGTTCCAAAGTTTCGACATAGAAAGCTGAAAAAAAAGGGCCGCAAAAACTGACGAACAGTTGAGAAAATGCGCTCCCTTGATAAATACCAACTCCAACAAGAGAGGCGATGGCAAGAAAATATAAACTTTTTGAGTGGACTTAAGAGATACTGAAAACACTTGAGTGATCACTTACTTTCAGAGGATCGACTAAAAAAATGGAAGTAAATTCAAAACTTCAATTTTCTGTCTCACTCCATTAAAATTTACAGCGGAATTGTCAATTAAAAAGTTATATCAATAGAGCGAAAAAGCAAAATTTTTGTTTCCGTGGCTTTTTCTTTTTACATCCCGTTCTCCTTATTTCGTAAATTTTTCTTTTTAATGGCATTTTCAATCGTTTCCACCTTGAAAAACAGCAAAGAGAATCTTTTTGAACCCTTCAAATCGGCTCAACGAAAAACAAGGCCTTATTTTTATTTACAACAACTCGAAAACGCGCGCAATATTTGTCTCTTCATCTCTTTTTGCTCTCCGAAATCCCATATATTCTGGCGGGAACGCCCCCCGAACAACAACTCAACGGATCGAACACCAAAAATGAAGGAAGGTCGATAGAAAAGGAGCCTTCTTTTCAGAGCCCTATCCAACTGCGAAATGGTGAGTTTTGTCCTGGCTAAAAAGGTCTTAAAAAGATGGAAAGGAATATTTTATGTTTCGGACTAGTTCGAAAATCTTCCTTTTTTCAGCTTTTCGAAGGAAGAAAGACCTTTTTCGGACACTTTTTGAAAAATTTTCTGGCCTTTTTTCAACGCCTGTCACCTCCTTGAAAAAGGGTCAAAAAGATTTTTTGAAGGCCTTTTTAAGATATTTTTGACCTGTGTTTTTTTTTTTGAAGATTTTTTTCTTTGAAGCGCACCTTTCCTAGATAAAAAAGCCATTAAGAGAGATTTTGAAGTCCTTTTTAGATTCTTAAGACCTTCCCTACTCATTCATTTAAATAATTAGCAAGTTTCATTCTTAGGACAAAGAAATCGAAATCAAGTACGTCAAGGTGGACAAAAACGCCAAAGTCCCGAAATACGGGACGGCTGAAGCCGCCGGGGCGGATCTTTCCAGCAACGAGGACTGCGTCATTCCAGCCAAAGGTTTCTCCTTCGGTTTTGTGTGTAGTTTGTCCAAGAAACCTTGCTGTGATGTTCGACGACGCGGAAGTCTTGAATGACCTAGAGTTACACTGAAACGACAATTTTTCGAAATTTATCTGCACTTTTTTCTATTTTCTTCCCTACATTCAAAAGATTATCCGGTAAATAATTGAAAGGAGACCGGATATCTATTTTTTGTTATTCATGCTCTTTAAAAACCGTCAAAGCTTCAGGGGAAATTTATTGTTGGTCGATTTTTTTGGTACCTTTGAGTAGATAATTGTCACTTTTTTTTTTTCAGTTTTTTTCAAAAAAATTTTTTTGCAGTCACTCGAAATTTTCCTCATTTCAAGGTCATATTTCGGAGCACAAAGAACTACTTTTTGGCCCTTAACTGCGCCCGACTTTGAGCTACTCCCCTCGATTTAATGGGATTCGGGACCCGATAAAAGAGCAGCTTATTTAGAAGAGACTATAGAGCGGCCAGTCTTTAAATCAAAAATCAAATCATTTATTTGCTATTCTAGTCACATGTAACTGAATAGGCGGTGAACAAGAACTTCTGATGCCATAACGAATTTGGAGAACTAGAAGTCCAAACGTGTAGTTGATCAAGTTGAAAGCATGGTCTCACGGTCCTTTGTCTTGTTCTTCGGCGCGTAGTTCATCCAGTTGGGTCTTGACGAGCTCAGAATGTACCGGATCTTGTGCTAGAGTCCGTAGACCGTGCTCTAGGTGGAAGCCTGAGAATGAGAACGAGAACTTGGTTAGAGTGGAGATTTTACACGACATCTTGAAAACTTTTTTTCGAATTATTTTTTAACAAAACTAGTTTTTTTTTTTGAGAAAGTCATTCAATAGGAGCGCCTTATTGCGTCTCGTTTCTCATAAATCCCTTCCCCACCTTTGCTACGGAATCCTCTGACGCGCAAGCCGTTTTTCGTCCGGCGCAGTAAAAAAAAACTTTCCGGCCGTGACGCATTGAATCATTCATTACGGTTGGAATCGGGGAAACGAAGCGAATATTCTCAGTTTTCCCGGCTTTAGAACCGAGATGTTTAGGAAAAAGACGCGTCGCGACTGGAATCAGAGTCGAGATCCCCAAAGGCTACTACGGAAGGATCGCTCCCCGGTCCGGACTTGCCCTGAAGAACTTCATCGACGTCGGCGCCGGCGTCCTCGACAGCGACTACCGTGGCGAGATCAGCGTTCTCCTCTACAATTTCGACGACAAGGACTTCGAGGTAGTCCCTTCGACACAACACTCAACCTGAACCCTGTAGAGACCACCTGAATTTGACCCCCCCATAAGGATCTTTTTTTCGTAACCTATAAGGGCCACTCTAGAATTTCTAATTAGTCTAGAAAACCATACTTTCCCTTCAAAATAAACCCAAAACAGTCTAACCTGTCTGCGCTCTCTTCTTTCTCTCCGATGAAGTCATAAAACCATGAAAACAGGACGTCAACAGGATAAATCATTCTAGTTCTTACAAAAAAGAAAAAAATAAATTTTACAATTTTTAGATCAAAGTCGGTGATCGGATCTGCCAAATGGTCATGGAGAAGTTTGCCCAGAGCAAATTTGTCGAAGTCGAGGAGTTGAGCGAAACCGAGAGAGGCGATTGTGGATATGGTTCCACTGGAAAATAAAGAGAAAACGGCTTTTTTTTTCAAAGGTTCGATGTGTATAAAGTATAAATATTGGCATAGAAAAAGGGTATTTCGTTCAGAAAAAAGTGGGAACGTTTAATCCTCAAAAGGAGGTATGATATTTAGAACTTTTTGAAGTATTTTTTGGAAGATTAGCCTGCATTTTTTTCAATCTTTTGATAACCGACTTCCCGAAAATTGCGTTTCCGATTTTGAAGGTGTATATAGAGAGGATTTCCAGCTAGAAACTTTATATTTTTCAAAAAAGCTGGTAATTTCTAATACCTATAAGGAGATTACTTTTTCTCAAGTCTTGAGAATTTTTCAAAAAAATTTTGCCAGGACTTTTTCTGGTTTATTAGTTGAAGATCTGATAAATTTCAACTTATAGAGTCTCCTAGTTTTTGAGAACACTGGCTTAAAAGTCGAAAAACCCGTCATATGATGATCTATAAAACCTGTTAAATAGGCCGTTTCAAGACGAGCTTTATTTGTGGTAAATATATTAACGCTGTGACGTTTTGAAGCGAAGAAAATTGAACATATTTTTGTAAACTTCAGAAAGAAGTTGGTTGGACTATTGAAGTGGTCGACAGTATTTTCATACATTTGGAGTCGGCTGGACTTCTTCCTCTCATTTTTAAAAAGCGTAATAACGATGGGGATGCTATATTTATTGAAGAAGTTTTACTAGAAGAACGATGAAGGTGGTGCTCATTCGTAGGCACGAGCGTTGGCGTCACCTCCCCACTGGAGCCAGAGAAGGCCGTTGGCCGAGGCGACGAGGGCCGCGAACACGGTGAGGACGGTGGAGGACGACATCTTACGATGGATTCTAGAGGGGAAAAAGGCGCATTTTATAGGTTGAATCTAGGCAGGTCTCAAGGAGCAGTTAAATTGAAAAATGGGAACTGACTAAAAGTTCATGGAAGTCTCTCAGGACTCGATTTGGTTCCCATTCTTTGATTTTACTGCACCTTGAGACCTTCCTAGATTCAACCTATAAAAGAGCCTCCTTCCCTCCAGAATCCATCGGAAGATGTCGTCCTCCACCGTCCTCACCGTCTTCGCGGCCCTCGTCGCCTCGGCCAACGGCCTTCTCTGGCTCCAGTGGGGAGGTGACGCCAACGCTCGTGCCTACGAATGAGCACCATCTTCATTTTTCTTCTAGTCAAGCGCCTATAATAAATATTTGCATCCGAAAATTTTTTATATGATTTGCAAGAAGAAATAAGTCGAAAAAGATAAAAAAAGAATGAACAACCTTTTTTTATTTCTAGTAAACGAGCGTTTTTGTATGAATATACACCCTTCTTCTAAGACGCTTGTCTTATGAAATTATAAGATAAATTCTAAAGAGTAAGAAGAAATATTGGGAAAATATCAAGAAAGCTTATAAATCTGAAATTCACATAGGTTTCTAGTAAAAAAAGACGTATCATGGAAGAAAAAAAGAAAAGGCCTTTGAAATTTTAAATAACTTATTTTTTTGTTTTTCCCAGTCATGGAAAAAGAATAAATAAAATCTGCTGGAATTTTTTTCGCATTTTAATCCCTAAAAAAAGGACAGATAAGAGCTCAATTTTTCTCCGCATTTTTTGGTTGTGTAGGATTAAAATGCGACGGCGGGATAATAAAGTTCAAAGTCTCACACGGTCAATGACCAAAAAAAGCATATTGGTTTTATTTTATAGCTTTCAACTATATATAGATTTTCGAATCGGCTTTTTTTCTGGAAAAAAAAAGTGTTCTAGGGGAATTATCGCTCGCTTAGTTTTTGGAGTTTAAATTTTTTCAGGTGTCTGATGGTTTGAGAAGCTTATAAGCCGAAAAATAACTGTGTTTGATTTTTAAAATAGCAATTTCGTGAAATTGCTTGAAAAATCTGTTTATTTATATCATCGTGAACTTAAAAAAATCGAACAAAAAAATTTTTTTGACCTACCCAAAAAAATTCACGTGAAGCATAGTGCAACGTCATCTTCTTTATTTTTTTGTCATTTTCGCTTTTCATTTCAATTTTTCTTAAATTATTTTTTTATGTCTTTCTACGTAAAAAAACAATATTTTTCATTAGAATGCGTCGAAAAAAATTGTTACAAATATATAATTGACAAAGTTTTTTTCCGAAGATTAATTATTTTTTTGTTAATTTTTAGAAAAAGCTATCAGTTATTCCCCGTTGTTTTACGCTATGTACAAAATTGTGTTTTGATTTATTTCAATGCAGAGATCAAAAAGAGGACGAAAATTGAGTCCGATTAGTCCGATTTTGAACTTCGGATGACCTTACTTTATCTCCAAATTTTTTTGTTTTTTTACTCATTTTATATTTAATTACGGACGTTTTAACTCTCTAAGCTTGTTATCATAGTTCCTTATCTTATTTTTTATCATTTCCTGCCCTTCACGCCCAAATCAAAGTGCTTTTCTTCTAGTTTTTGATTGGAATTTTAGTTTTTTCATATTTTTCTTCATCGTCATCTAATTGTTTCTTGTAACTCGGATATTGGTAACGCGAAAGGGATGTTTTTGGGCGATTCTAGGGATCACTTAAGAGTGCTGAGGCTACTAAAGTGGTCACTAGAAATGCCCCAACACTTCCGATTCGCGTTACTAAGGTTCGAGGTAAGGTTTTCCTTCATTTTTCGGTTTTTTTGTGAACTAAAAAAATAATTATTTTTCCCTTTTAAGCTCCAAGAAAAAAATTAAGATTAAAGAGCTAACTTTACTTTTTCATGTCTCCCTGGAAAATTTCAAGAAATTTATAATTTTCAAACCTTTCAGCGAAAAAAATTCTCCCTCTCCTCTCCCATAACACATAACTCACAATGCCGTGCATCTCACATAAAGCTTTATTTCTTTTCCTTTTTTGGCGTCATGACGCATCGAAATTCCCTTTTCCTCATGTTTTTGTACTGTTTTGAAACTCCGAAATGAAATAGAAAAAAGATCCATTGGACTTGGAAACCATGGTAACGGCTTTTAATATTCTCTTCCTTTTCAGAAAATCCCTCTAAAAGAATGAAAATGGACATTCTTTGTGTGGAGGTCTCGTTAATAGAAAAACTATTCTTCTTCTTTCTTTTTCAAAATTTTCAAAATGTTTTGTTTGCATTTGTAATGGCTTGAAGCGTCGCGGTTGCGTTGCCTTTGAAAAGTAAAAACGAAGCTCAAAATCTTTCTCCCAGACTTTTTCATACACAAAGGCGCAAGCCGTACCGGGTCCGGTGCAATCGACTCACAGCATTGCTTCGAACCATTCCAAATGCGACCCTATATTTCAAATTTCAAAAAAACCACTTAGTTTTGGTCACTTTTTCAGTTACTAATGATTTTCTAAGTATCACGAAATCTAGTGTAGAAATCTCTTCATTTCGCTGATTTTTTCTCCGATCTTGTCAGGACCATTTTCTTGTGAGATTACCCTGGTCCTTTAATTTTATTCTTTTTTTAGAACTTATGGACTTGGATGTTGAACTACTAATACCAGTTTCGGAACCAAAACGCAAAAAGGTACATTTTTTGTTCTTGTAAAGCACCGTGGTCGCACTTGGAATGGCTCGAATCATGAATTTTCAATGTCTCTAGACGTTAGTCGTTTTTGGTCGGTCGCACGTTAAACTTATATTTTTGTCGTCAAGCCATTCCACGTGCGACTTGAGTTTTCCAGAACAATTTCTACTAATAAGAAAAGGAAATTTAAGTTATGGCAAAATGTATTTACCGTTCAATTTGGAGCCATGTTGCTGCTCACTTCTCAACAGACTGGAATGCCTTTTTTGGTCCGAGCGGCTAATGAGGTTTTCCTTAAAGACTGTGGAGTAAAGTTCGAAATCGACTTGATTTCCAGAACAAATTTCTTCGGACAACTAGCGTTTTTATGATGGAAGTTATAAAATTGTCGATTTGTTTAACAGTGACAACGATAAAGTGCAGATCTATATCTGGGTGGAGTTTTTTTTTTAAATAGAAAAAAAATGAGGTTGAGAGAACAACGGTGGCCTGAAGAGACGCCAGAGAAACTGCCGGTCTTTCTTTCTCTGGCGCCTCTCTTGCCGCAATACTCTCTCGCTTACGTGATTTTTGCCTGGAAGTATTGTAAGAAGACTTCCAATAGACGCAAAGAGATAAGAGGTTTCCTGAAGAGACGCCAGAGAAGTGTACTTCTCTCTTTCTCTGGCGTCTCTCTTGTCGCAATACTCTCTCGCTGTAGTTCATGTTTACGCGGTTTTTGGTCATAAAAAGGACAGCGGCTTCAATTTCCAAAAATAGATTTTTCTCGGACGTTAGGATCCTTTTTTATAAATATTAATTTTTCAACTTTTTCAGCACATATCGTGAGCTCAAATCGTCAATTTGGGGCCACAAAATTGAAACTTTGAAGGTCACTTTCCCAGAAAAAACTTTGATTATTCGAAAAATTTTCAGATCTGCATTCCCGCGATAGTTTACGCCATCCAGAACAATCTCTACTACATCGCGTTGGCGAACATCGACGCGACGACGTATACGGTGAGTCGAGCCGCGACGCGACCGCAAACGCGCCACCATTCTAGGTAACCTACCAACTTAGGATCATCACGACGGCTCTTCTTTCCGTCTGCCTTCTCCATCAGAGACTGACGATCGAACAGTGGGGCTCGCTGTTCGTTTCGTTGGCCGGCGTGATTTTCGTTCAGGTTGGTGGTACTCTCACTGTCTGCGCTCTCTTTTTCCCTTTTTGATGAGAGAGAGAGAAGGGAGAGGGTGCAGACAGGTCAGACTGTTCTTAATCGATGAAGAGCAACATGTGGTTATAGCGGATAGGACTCCGACTTGTCTAGCTGTTTGCACTCTCTCCATCTCCCGAAAAGAGAAAAGAGAGTGCAGACACGTCAGACAGTCCCACCTTGTAGTGAATGAACTATACTATTGAATTGTAGAGAAAGCTCGTATTTTGTGTAGGCCAACAGTTCATGAAGCTTTCTAACTGCCTGCGCTCTCTTTTTCCCTTTTTGATGAAAGATAAAAGGGAGAAAGAGAGTGCAGACATAGGGTACGCAAGCCATTTCTTCAAAACGATCCAAAAAATATGTTTTTTACACTGTTCGATAGAGGAGACTGTCCATTTTCATAATCCGTTCAGTTTTAGAAAAAAGGTTCACTAAGAAAAAAGTTATGGCCAAAAAACTAGCGCGCGCGGCGTACAACTGGAGGCAAAATCTCACGGTTTACCCGCTGCCGCACGCTTTCTTTTAAAATGTTTTTGCGCATTTCTGAACCGTTTTCAAATCGGTTTTTTGTTCTGAGAGGTTGTCCGAACTGAGCTTCATGTTTTGGTATGAATCTTTTGTACAATCCTCATAAGAATATTTGATAAAATATCAAAAAAACCACTTAGAAAAAAAAGGTCAGAAGGAATTTTCAGCTTATTTTTTTCTTTTTTTCTAATCAGAAAAAAATTATTATCATTCGATTTGGATGAAAGAAAAAAATGAAAAAAATAATGTTATTTCGAAATAAAACAGGAAAATGTGCAATTTGACTCCAAAAAAACGGCTCCTGCAACATTTAAAAAGTGCGCATCGGTGTGTTTGACGCAAACACAGCTACGAACGCTTGCACGAATTCTTCCGAAATTTCAAAAAAATTGCCATTTTTTTCGAGGTTTTTCAAAGCCGTTATTTTTTCGCGTCGATCGATTTTTTTCATAATTTTTTTCATTGATAGAGTTTTGAACGCTTAATAACATGAGCAAAAAAAGTATAGACGCGATCCTATTCTCTCATGCGTCAACGAGGCAGGCGAAAAAAAGGAGGTTTTGGTAAAATTCAAATATAATTTGATTCGCTGTCCCAATAATTATTTTTCATTTTGAATTTTTTTGTTTGTGAGCAAATTGTGAGTTTTTTTAAATCAAATAAAAAAAGTATACCATGTCGCTGAAATTTTTTTCGCATTTCAGCTTCAAAGTTTGGTGTCACTTTACAAGCTTCGATTTTTTTTTCGCGTCGTTAGATTTTTTAAAATTTTTTTTCAAAAAATAAAGAAAGTGTTAATGTATAACATACTCAAAATTCGGAAGCGTTCCTCACTTGGTTTTTCAGAAACGCCACGATTTTTGTGAAACTCGACAGTTTTTTTCGTGTTAAATCTTACTTTTTTTCGTTGATTTTTGAAAAATACATAGTTTAAAAGTTTTTCAGTCTTGTAGAGCGTTGTCGATTACATAGATTAACAGAAGCAATTTATTTTTAAAGTTGAACTTTAGCTACTATAAACGCCTCAAAACCGTTTTTGCAACAAAAAAATCGTCATTTTGGTGGCGTGAAGAGGCGGGGCTTTGCGCCCCCTATGCAGACAGGTCAGACTGTTCTTTATCGATGATGAGAAGTATGTGGTTATAGCGGATAGTACTCCGACTTGTCTAGCTGTTTGCACTCTCTCTATCTCTCGAAGAGAGAAAAGAGAGAAAGAGAGCGCAGACAAGTCAGACAGGCCCGCCTTGTAGTGAATGAATTATATTATTGAATTGAATTGAAGAGAAAGCTCGTATTTTGTAAGCCAATAGTTGATGAAGCTCTATGACCGTCTGTTTTCTTTATTTCTCTCTTTGACGGAAAAAAAGAAGTACTTTTTTTTGATTTTAGGTAGATAAAAGTGAGTCGAATAAAGATTCGGTGGATGGAAACCATTTTCTCGGCGTCGTTGCAACTTTGATCACCTGTTGGACCAGCGCTTTTGCAGGTTTTATTTTTTGCATTTTTTTGAAATAGTCCATTCATTATCATCTTCTTTTAAGACTTCAAAAAAAGGTTAAGATTTTGCCCTAAAACGAAGGACAATATCCTTTAAAAGACTTTAGTAGATTTTTCTAGGCTTCACAGGTGTAAAATGACCGAATCAGAACCTGAACTTTTTATATTTTTTAGGAGTCTACTTTGAAAAAGTGATCAAAAAGTCGTCAGCCGATGTTTGGGTCCAAAATATCCGTTTATCGATCCTGACGCTGACTTTTGCTGCCTTCACAATGATTGGAGCTGATCACAAGGCGATTTTAAAAGGTTTTTTTTTCCAGGGACTTCATCTTGATCTCAGAAAAGGGAATAGAAAAGCTCTGCGAAAGTCGTAAAATACATGTAAAAGTAAAGTTTAACTCGAAAAACCAAAAAGCCTTGGAAAATGGCTCAAAGCTCTGCTTTTGACGGGAAAAATAGTATTAGAAAAAAAAGGTTCCCAAAATTTTGGAGCCCGAGATTTTCTTTTGCTTTCATTTTACTAAATTTTGAACAGAAGAGTTGCAGACGGAATGTTCCAAGGGTGGGGTCCGATAGTCTGGACCGTCACCGTCATCAACGCTATAGGAGGTCTTTGTGTGACGGTCGTGGTCAAATACGCCGACAATGTCAAGAAAACCTACTGTCAATCCATCGCTATAGGTGATTTTATTGAGTTTTCATATTTCTCAGTTTTCTTGTGCAAACTCCCTAAGGGACCACTTTACCAACCTCTGTAGGGGTCACTTGAGATTGCAAAAGTGGTCCCTATGGGGAACATGCTAGTCGATAATTTTTATGTACTCTATGCGAAAGCTAAATAAGTAAGCTTTTTTAAAATGAAGTTGAAAGACCCCTATAGGGACCACTTAAGCTTTAGGGGCTAAGGGGTCCGACCTCGAACTCCTATAGGGACCACCTTGGTTTTACCCCTCTAGGGACCAATCTTTCGGCCCCTAGGCGGGGCTCTTCCCCCCTCCCTTCTTACCCCTACAGGGACCACTCTGGAGCTCCTAAGTCAGAATAAAGAAAAATAATAATAATTTCAGTACTAACCGCCTTGATCTCAGTGTGGCTTGGAGAACGGGAGCCGACGCTAATGTTAATCGAAGGCGTTCTCATGGTCGTTCTAGCCGTTTTTATTTATTCTTGTTATCCGCCAGCTTCAAAAGATAGACCTTGTAGCCTTCTAGAGGAATAGTTCATTAATTATTTCACAATATTCAGTTTCTAGCCTTTTATATGTACCTCATACGTGTCCCTCTCACTAATCACCTCATATCACTTAATCATGTCTAATAAATGTTTTTGCGCTTTCGAAAACTCGAAAAATCATTTTATTGAGTCCATCTAATCAGGAAACAACATTTTTGGGGGCTGATGTAAGCTTGAACCACTATAGGGACCACTATAGGGAAATAATTAGTTGACACACAGTCCTAGCACTTGAATAGCTCGATTTGAATCCCTAAAGTGACTTCTTTGCCGCTTATAAACATCACTAGAAGCTTGAAATGCTATGGAAATCACTGGAAATTTTTTCAGAAGCGATTAATGATTTTCGTTGATTTTTAAAGGCATGTTTTTCATCACTATAATTTTCATCACTTCATCTGGAGCTTTCTGATCACTTAGCAGGTGCTCTCCAGCATTACTAAAAACTCAAACCCCTCAGGCCTCCCTGAAAATTCTTCCAGAAGTTTCTCAGAACTTTCTGAAGATTTCTGATCTCCTGGCAGGTGTGACTACGCAATCGAAAGATCTATCACCTTCTGTCCACGTTCCTGGCCTTCAATCTACGTAGACGCTTATCAAATCTATCCACATCGTCTTTTGGCAAGCGTTTTCATCCGACTGATGATCAAGAACACAAATTCCTCCCGCCTACTTCTGCCAAATGAACGTTCTTCTTTACGTTGTCAAATAGTCTTATATGATTTATTCTTCCTCTATACTGCAGATGAATATATTTTTATTCATTTTCTCAGTTTTGCTGGTTAGACATTCGGAACAGTGTATGAAGACGATACCTGGTGAAACGATCACTTCGACGTCAACAACGACGTTTTCTACTACCGTTTGCGAAGGTGAGAAACCATTTTTTTTCGAAGTTTATGTGAGCGAAATTCTTAAAAAAAAACTTTTCCATAAAGTTCGATTATCACAATTCTTCTGTATTATTTTTAAAAAAAATAGAAAAATTTGTCCTAATAAAAAAATTTTTGCGCGGCAAAATACAATCACACGTCGCTGTGTTTGCGTACTTCGTAAATATACTTCAAAAACGGCTCCTAATTCAATTTTTTTTTCTTTTCTTTTTTTCCAACGTTTTTTTTATGTTTAAAAGTTTTTGTTGAGATTTTTTCGAAGCGCATAAATATTACATTACTTGGAATATCGCTGAAACACGGTGTTTCTTTTGCGACGCCCCGCCCACTTTTCTCCGTCAATTAGGACGTGTTTAGTGCATGCACAAAAAATTTGGAAAATAAGGTTAACCGATGATATAAGTGTGAGAAACGAATGAACATTGAAGAAAAAAAAGACGAGGAAATTAAAAGAGATTAAATAAAACTATATTGCTGTGGAGAAACAAATAAAAAGATGTTTTTACAGCAAGTACTTTTTTTATTATAAAAAGTTGACGGAATATCCGGATATAAATGAATTCCGGAACATACTTTCTCAACTTCACAGACTTTTTTTCATGTAACTTCATCTCATTGATGTCCACAACCTAGGAATCTGAACAATCGACAAAAAAATAGAATAAGAAAAACATAAAATGGGGTGAAACATGTTCCATACAAACAGGTGGAGATTTTTCAAAACGCTTCTTCATCACGAGTTTTTAAAGTTAGCCTCACAGAACTACTTTCAAAAAAACGTCTAACAACCCAGAGTATACCCCGATCGTGGTCCCGCAATACTATCAGCAATCTACGAAAATAAAAAAAGTGAAAAAAATATGAAAAAAAATTGACAAAAAAATCAAAAAAATAAAGCCACTTTTTCAAATTTCGCGGGCGAATTTCGAGAAGTGCGCAGACTTTGCCGAGTTTCAAATTCCTTGCATTTTCTTCAACTGGCAGAAACGCCGTGGAAACGGCTTTTCGTTTTGAGACCTTTTTGAAAATAGTTGAAAAAAAATTTTAACAGCTCAATGTGATTCAAATATGAATCAAGTGGTTAGCTTCAAATTTTTTTCAGGCGTGGAATAATTTGATTCGAAATGCACGTTTAAAAAGTGTATTGATTTCCAAGTTTTTTTTTCGCGATTTTTGCAAATAACGGATCCAATTTTGATATTCCTATCAAATTACGAATCTTTACATTTTGCAAAATAGTTGATAAATGATACTTTTGCCTGCCCTAGACTGAATATTTTGTTTTCCATTCAAGGATGTGTTGATTATTTTTCGAAAATTTAAGTTGATAATTTTCTACAGTACGTATTTTTATCAGCAGAAGTTTTTTCTTTGAGTTTAGATGATCCTCCAGCTCCAACTCCCTTACCAACTTCAAGCTTATCATCTACCTCGACTTTAACTCCGAGCTCCACCTCTAGTTCAACTTCAACTTCAACCTCAACTTCTACTTCTACTTCTACTTCCACTTCTACATCGACATCTACATCCACCTCGACCTCAACCTCGACCTCGACTTCTACTTCAACTACGCCAGCTCCAACACCTCCTCCGACATCTCCTCCAACACCTCCTCCGACACCTCCTCCAACACCTCCTCCAACACCTCCTCCAACACCGCCTCCAACAGATCCGCCTACGACTCCAGGCGGTCCTGCACCACGTGATTATAACTCTAAAATCGACCTGATATTAGCTTTTTTCAGCTTGCGGCGTTTGCAAAGTGACCGATGTTGATTTTGTCCAAGCAACGCCTGGCGATCCGACGACGATCAATACGATGGGAGTCGAGTGAGTTTGAACAACAAGATCAGAGACGACTGGCCTGAAGAGACGCCAGAGAAGCGTGAAAACTCTGTTTCTCTGGAGTCTCTTCGGGTCAATGCTCTCTTGAAGTTTTAAGTCTTACTTTGATCTCTTCTTTATTCGCTGTACTCTCGCTTTTTTTTTCCTCATCTTCATCATATTTTTAATTCAAGAAAAACAATTATCAACGGAGCGCATATTCAGAGTCATTTTGAAGATTTTTCCGGCTGTTTTTTCCTATCCAAGAGTCATGCTTTTTTCTGAATATTCCCTTGAGATAATTTCCAATTCTCAGCTTCATGACGGACGCAGCCGGATGCGTTTCCATGGTGGCGTCTTGCACCGCCGATCCGGATCATAATGCCTACATGCAGTTCAATATTGATCAAGGAGGACCCCTGGAGAACATGGCCATGCCTTTGGTAACGATTATTTCTTCATTATTCAATTTTTGTCCAGTCTAAATTTTTAAGGGTTCATTTTTCATTGTGCCGCGTTATTTTAATTAATAATATCGTAATTTTGGCGAAAACATTCTTTCTCATTTTCTTTACCTTTTTAATCTTATTTCTATATCGCCGAATATAATTATAGCGGAATTTCTTGAAAATTAGCTGGAATATGTAGCAGATGAGGTTCTGGAGTTCTTAAAATGAAAAACTTACTGGATTCCGAGGCGTTAGGTCTTCAAGTCTGAAAATGGCGATTTTTATGGTTTTCTTGGTATTTTCTTCGGAAACTAGAAAGTTTTGTAATCCAGTGTCTTGATTTGGAACATCCATATATGTTCTGGCCGATCTATTTTTGGATTTTCAAATTTTTAACCATGAGGTTTCATTTCTTATCCGAGGATTCCATGTTTCCTGTTTCAGACTCGGAATTTTTTCAAAAGCATTTTTTCTATGGGTTGTTGTTAAAATTAGCTTCCCACTGTTGCCTTTACTTAATTGAGATCAGAATGTATTTTTATGAATGAAAAAAAAATTGAAAATTCGAAGAAAGGGAATATGGAAGTAGGGAATAATCGCCTTTTAGGGAAAAAAAGTTGATAATTTGAATTTCGAATTGAATATCCAGCTTGAACTGAAACTTGAAAAAACAATAGGGCTTTATGGCGTTTTTTGCAGACGGTTCGCGCTCCGCTGCAATGTATCAATGGCAAATGGAACTACGTGGTGATGGGAGCCATGAGAGAAGTCATGATAGTCTCCTGCATGCAGGCTGTAAACGCCATGTTTTGAAACCGTTATTCTTTAAAAACTACCACGGGTATTTAATAAATTCGCTGATTTTTGTTCATTGATTCACTTTCAAAAGAAATTTTTGCAATATGGTCGAGTTCGGATTTTGAAGCAATACAACTTTATGAAAAGGTAAAAAAACTCCTTTCCGAATTTTTTAGAATCAGGGCGTCTTACAGTTCTTATCGGATAAGAACCATTTTTTCAAGACGTTCATTCGATTCATCCTTGAAATTTCGATAACTCCGTTTTTCGCTACTTGAAAGGGCTTGACTTCTCTGCGCCCTCCTCGTCTCTCGACGTCCCTCTCATGTTTACGTGCTGTTTCCATGTTTCTCTGACCTCGCCGGTGAGAGAACAGAGAGACGCAGACACGCAAAAACTATCAAGTCGCGGCCAACGGACTATAGAACTCTCTGAAATTTTGATCCCCAACCCCACTGACTTTTCCAACAAGACATTCATTCGATTTATCCCTAAGAACTCTGTTAACTAATTAATCACCTATTGCGATAATCTGAAACTAAATCGAACCATTTCTTTCTCACTTCAATCAAATCTGAAACGTACGAGAGCCGGCTTCACGAGTTTTGAAATTATTTGCAAGAAAAAACCGTTTCCCGAGGCAAAAAGACGCAGAGACAATGACTATAGAATAGGACTTCTTCCTAGGGATTCTGATGGGATAGATGGAAGTTTTGAAAAGCGAAAAAAGAAATTTCAGAGCGAATATTTTCTGTAAAAACGAAAGGCATCTGAAAATCACAACTTTATTCAAACGAATTTCATTCATTTTCTGGGAGGATCATGACCAAGGACGATCCAGAAAAAGCCGTTGGCTGTAGCGACCATGGCAGCGAGGACGGTAAGAACGGCGGCAGAAGTCGACATTTCAATGGATTATGAAGGGAAAAAGAGCTCTTTTCTTGAGTAGAAGAGTTCTCAGTTGTCGATTATCAATCTAACGGAGTTTTGATGGGATTTTAATTGATTCCCGGGAGACAAGGAATAAGAACTTTCAACTGACTTTTCGTTTCTCATGACTTCATCAAAAACAATAAACGCTCACATTCTTCAATTTGTTCTATCCCTGAGAACCGTCCAGACCTAACCTATAAAAGGTGCCTCCTTCTCCTCCAGAATCCATCGGAAGATGTCGTCCTCCACCGTCCTCACCGTCTTCGCGGCCCTCGTCGCCTCGGCCAACGGCCTTCTCTGGCTCCAGTGGGGAGGTGACGCCAACGCTCGCGCCTACGAATGAGCAACATCTTCATACTTTTATAAAAAAAAGAGTTTGTAATAAATCTTGCATCCCAAGAAGTTCAATATACTGCATGAAAACGAAGTAAATGGATTTTTCCAACAAGAAAAAAAATTTTCTCGACGCCCAAAGACATTTTCATAGAGTTCTGCAAAATTAAAATGAAGTGTAACTAGTTCTATATGGAATTCCATTGAAATATTTTTCTTATGAATAAATTTATGTTTTCATCCGTGGGATTGCGCGCTTGCACCATGTGTGTGTGCACAAAAACCTGAAATTTTTCAAAATTTTTGAGAACGTTTTATTTTTCATTGAAATACTTCATTTTTTGCTTTATTTCTCTATTTTTCGTACCGATGCGAAGCCTTATAAAGGCAAGGAGCTTGTTTCATGCCACCAGTCGTCGTTTTACCGTTTTGGGAATCGAAACAAGGTTATTTTCTTCGGGAATGTCATTACAACGAATTTTAGTTGCGATGATACTGCCGTTGCGATTGTAAAAAGCGAAAAATCAATACTCTCGTCGAAAAGATTTACAAATCGGAAGATTCAGCGTGAAATGGGCGGTATTTCGCCGGGTGAAAGCGCGAAACAGGTTGGCTTTTTTTATTTTATAATTTCAAACGAAAATTATTTTTAGCACCGCGAAAGGCTTCCTGAGTTGATTGAACAATGTTTCAAAGGAGCTTCGATATCTCGTGATCAAATATCGGCGATAGCCGTGACAACACGACCAGGGCTCGTTATAGCTCTGAAGGAAGGAATTAGAAGTGCTATTGGGTTGGCGAGGTAAACTCTTAATGATGATTGGCCTGAAATTGCTGTGAAATCCTCCGTTGGTTTTAAGAAAAGCTACTGGTTTTGAAAGCCACGATAAAAAAGGAGGAACTTAAAAACAGTCTTTTCAAGCCTCTATAGTTTTTTTGTTATGTGGGCCTTTTATTGGTGAGATTTTCGGATCGAAAAACCTCAGAAAAAAATTTTATTTGAAAAAGGCAATATCATTTAAACGAAATTTTCATTTGTGTTTGACATTCATCAACAAAAAAATACTGTCGAAAAAAATTTTCTGAAAAAATATGAGCTTGTATCTTTTTTCGAAATTTTTTTTTTCAGAGAACTCCAAAAAGCCACTCATTCCCGTTCATCACATGCGAGCCCACGCTCTTTCCGCGTTTCTTTCAACGGAAAATCTTCAATTTCCGTTTCTAACCTTACTTATTTCTGGTGGTCATGCCCTAATTTGCCTCGTCAAGTCTCCCGAAGAATTTTCCATTTATGGTTCGTTTTAGCGATTTTTATCATTTTGTTAGCTGATATAGCCCGTTCCGCGCCAGCTTGTCACGTTTTTCTTTCCGCCAAAAATACCGAATACCAAAATACATTAAAATTGAGCATCTTCGGTTCAAGGCCTTTTTGCTTTCTTTTTAGCAGTTTATAGCGCAAAAGTTTGTAATTACAGTAACTTTTTTTTTTGTTTTTCAAAAGGTGACCGTCTCGCACGGAAAGCACTAAAGTTGTCCTCCCAACTTATAGTTTCTCAAACAAAAACAGATGCAATTTTACTGTTCCTTCGAATCATCAAAAAGGTTAATTTTTCCGTTTCCAGTCAATCTTGGATCGTTCAAAGTTTGTAACGAATTGAAATTGTCATTCGGAGGGAAAATTTTATTGATTTTTCTAAGTTTTTTTCTTCGATTCAAAATCGAAAATGCGGTTGGTTTTTGATTATTTTCAAGAAAGTCCAAATTAATCTTATATGAAAGTTCAAGCATCAGCGAAAGGAGCAGATATGAATTTTACGTGGAAATTGAAAAATTTCGACTTTTCAGCACATAATTCAAACGCACCAGAAGGTCTGTTAGCAATAAAGTTGGTTTTCAATGAAAATTTTTAGCTAGATTTTCAAAATCAATTTTTTTTGGCATCATTTTTTTAATAAGCTACCAATTTTTTTATCGAAAAAAAAAACCCTAGAGTTTGAATTATTTCATTGGGAATATGTTCGAAATGAGCTAATCCGCCAATTCATCTTACTTTTTTCTGTCTTCATCTTCATTTTCTTGCCGATTTCCAGGCCAAAGCGTTTCGGGAAGTCCTGGCGAATGTATGGACAAAATCGCCCGGGAACTTCATGTCCAGCAAATCCCCGAATTCAAAAATATCCATCCCGGCGCCGCTGTTGAAATCCTTGCAAGTAGGTGGGTTTTCGGATTTTCAAAGGAAATTTCAATTTTTTTTCGAAGTTTGTGACTCGAACTTTGTTCAAAATCTTATCCGTGTTGTTTCAAATTTTTTCAGGGCTCTTCAAATTGAAAAAAAAAATTCAGGAGAGTGTTCCTTTTCATCAATCAAAAAAAGAGATTTCAGGATCAATTTTTTTAGTTTTACAGTTTTCATTCATGAGAGCTATGAAGAGTATAGATTTTTGAGTAATCTTTAATATTTCCCGACCCCAGATTTTCTGATTTAAAAAAATTTATTTTTCTTACTACGGAGAAAAAAATAATCTCCATGCTTCGATACGGCTATTTTTTTGAATAATTTTTTTCTATTTTTTTCATAGCAAATAACATTTTTTTGTAAACTTGCGCTTCTCCAGAGCAATCTGATAATTAAAAAAATTTCACGAATTTCGCTTTTTCAGTCGAGTTCAAATTTGGAACTCTGCCATAAGCTTTGAAAAAATAAGGGTTTCGGCTTTTTTCCAAGCGTTAAAAGTCGACTAAAAATCAACTGTTCGGAATTTTATTTTTTAGTATACCAGAGAAAATCTCGAAAAAGCTTATCAACTTCTCGAGAAATAAAAGAAACTTCTGAGAAAATAGTGATATTGAAGCACGTACAACCACCTCCTTCGCTAGAAATAAAGTTCAAAAAACTGAAAAAAAAGACGTTCGATTTGACGGAAAGTATTTAAAACACTCGTAATATATACGTTTCAAAGCTTGTATAAAGTAAAAACTATGATACCAAAGACTTATTGCCACAATCTTTATGGGTTTAAAAAGGTGAATTCATCCGATTTTTTTTAATTCTATCAACATGGTTGAGCAGAATGGGAGAGGCTTGATGGAGACTCTAAAGTACCTCCGAGATGGTTCAGATAGAGCTAAAAGGTAGGCTGGGGGTCTCACGATGGACACATTATGGGCCCTTCACGACCCATTTTGAAAGGTACCTTTGTGGACACATTATGGTATCCTCTCGATTCGTCTGTGAAGAAAACGCAACATTTGTCACAGAATCTTCATTCGAAGTTATGAAAAATCAAAAAGTTTGGAAGAAAAGTTCGATGCTTTTTTCAGGATAAAGTTCTGTAAATTTCAATGTAAAATTTTTGATTGAACGGGAGAAAACGAGTTCAGAAGCTCCCAGGAAGGCCATTCTCGTTACCCTATCGCAATGCCCAACACCGTCGGAGCCGACATGAACTTCTCCCAAATCAAATCCCCCTACCTGAACATGGCCCGAGCCGAGATGCTCCGCTCCTACTTTTCCTTGGAGGATTTTGCAGCCAGTTTGCAGGTTTTTTGAATTTTTATAACTACTAAAAAATTCAGAAAAGTTTTTTTTTCCTCGATATTGTTATTTGAGCGGATGAAACAGTGAATTGAAATTTTTTCTTCTTTCAAACGCACTGTAATCTGAGGAATTTTAGTGGCCACTTAAGCGGTTGAAAATTAGCGGCCACTATAGAGGTTTAAGTGCTACTACTACTAGACCACTAAAAATTTTAGTGGCCACTTTAGGGGTCAATGGATCAACATAACTGGTCCAATGTGTTTGTTTTAAAATTATCAGAGTTACTGGAAGGAATACTGGGTAAAAAACTTCTGAAGTGGCCCCAAAATAGAGAACCTGTATAGTGGCCACTAAAACGGAAAATAGTGACCACTATAGGGGTGGGTTTAGTGGCCATTTTAGTGTCCTCACCAAGTAGTCCTGCAAGCCTCTATAGTGGCCACTAAAAATTTCCCCGGTAACGTTTCAAAATCATTAAGTTTCAGATTATAACTGGTAATATTTTCAGAGAATTTCAAGCTTTTTCTAACTGAAAACCATTTTTTCAATGGTTATTTTTCATAATTCGATATCTTTAAAAAAAGGAGAAGCTTATTTATTTTTCTAGCACACGGTGACCAAGCACATTGCGGGCAAGGTTCATTCCGTTTTGGAATGGCTCAAAATTGAAGAAAGGCCGGTGAAACACTTGGTGATCAGTGGTGGAGTTGGCGCGAATCGCTACATTTCTAACGGTTTTTCCTGGCTCCTATGAAAAAAAAGAAGATTTTTGAGGCGTTTCGAAGGTCGCTGCGTTTTATGGCGTCGAAACCGTGGCTGTACCTCCGAATTTGTGTACGGATAATGCCGAAATGATCGCCTATACGGGCATTTTGATGATGGAGAGAAGGTGAATTTTTGGAATGAGTAGGGTTAAAGTTTAGTTTTGGTCGTAGAATCGAAGAAAATTAGGTTTTTTGGCTAAGAATCTAAAGGCTTTATGATGAAAATAAAATCAGTTTTTTTGTGAAAAAAATTATAAAAAAATAAATCGATACTGGTTGAAAGTTGAGTAAAAAGGGTTTTGAAAAAAAAGTTCCAAAAAAATTTTTTTTTATCTTTAAAAAAATGAGAAAAAAAATTTGAAAATTCCAAGGCTAACTTCATATTTTACGGGCAGGAAAAAAAGGTTAAATTAAAATGAAAAAAAATTAAAAAGAGGCAATTTTCTGTTGGATAATCAAGGTAGAATGCCTTTTGTGATATAGATGGGAATTTTCGAGTAGATTCCTGTGTTTTTTTTTATGAAAGTAACGGATATTCTCTATGAATTTTTGAAAAAGCTGGACTTCTTTATCCAGGAATAATGAATTCGTTGGAAAAATTGGAATTTGTTAACTGAGCTAACCTTTTTTTTTAACAAATCAAGTTGAGTTACCGAGTTTTTTTTGATTTCAAGGGAAACAAGTTTGAAGGAAAAAAGGTGAAGCATAGAACCATTTGAAGTCGATAAAACTTGCTTTCCAAGCACATTCAACCATTTTTTCAGCTCACCGGACATAATTCCCTGGAAAAAGCTGCCCGACATGATCTTTGCGCACGCGAGGCAGGATATTGGGCCGGATGAACGGAGCCGAGTTCCGAAGCGGCCGGTGAACCGCCTCGCCATGAAAACCGTCCATGGAAACGAACCTGTTAGATTCTTCGACAAGGAATTCTTCAGAGCGCAGGCCAAAATAGCTGAATAGTCTTCGATAAGTGTGCTCCAGCAAACTTTACCAGAAAAAAATCGTTCTGTTGAAAAAAGGCTTCTTTTCGTGTTGAGCCTGAGTACTAAAGAGCTCATGGTTAATAATTAAATTTGGTTTTTTCAAGTCTCTGAAGCGTCATTCTTAAGAACCAAATTTCTTTATTGTCCTTTTGAAAATCAATAGGAAGTTTCATAGAAATCAGGACTAATTTGGTTTTCTGGACAGGAAACTGTGCTCAACAGAATAAAATGAAAATTCGGTATGAGAAAATTTTGGAAAGGCTTTTTTAAATGTACAACTGAAGACCAAATTATTAATTCGAATGGCTTTTCTCATCAGTGAAAGTGCGCTCCAGGGAGAATGAACGAAATTTGAAAGAAAAAAAAAATGCTTTAAATGAGGTTTGAGCAAAAATCGGGTATGAGCCTTAAAAAAAAGTTTAGAAAAAATCAGGATTTCTATGTAAAGTTTGCTAGAGCACTATTTCGCGGCCATTTTTATATTGATTTGCAGATGATTCCTTGAAATACCGTTTCAAAATTTCTCTTTTTTGAGAGATCGGAGAGTCAGAAATGTTATAGTATAGTCAATGTTTCCCGATTTGAAAGGCGAGGGAGGCGGGGCAGGGGGCGGGACGCGTAGCGTGTGCGTTCGCGGTCCTTGGCACGTGTTCAATTCAACCGCCATCGACTCTTTGAAAAGCCCGTTTTTCGCTCTTTTATTTCTTTTTCAATTATTTATTGATTATGTTCATGTGTGCATCAAAAAATAGTAGAAAAGATTGAAAAAGAGTGGTTGCCGAGCATTTTGTAAAGTTGGCGGCAATTGAATTGAACTCGTGCTAAGAATCGCGAACGCACACGCTACGCGTCCCGCCCCCTGCCCCGCCTCCTTCGCCTTTCAAGTCGGGAAACATTGACCATATAAATATTATAGTTTTTTTAGGAAAGTATGTCTTGTTTTTCAAATTGTTTGCTCGAAACGTCTTTTAAAACCTACGTGTACTTGTTTTTATGTATTTTACACCTGTTGATTGTTTTCTGTTGTCGCTTTTGAAGAAAAAATGTTTTCTATTGTCCTTTTACCCGTGAAAATATGATTTTTCAACGAGGCCGAGCTTTTCAAAAAGCCAAATAACGAGCAGAAGGAAGTGCAAATTATTCGTAAGAAGCTGAAATCAGGTGATGACCTACGTCATTAGAAAGCTGACGTCAAGACAAATCGACTGATAAATCAGGATGAGCTGTAGCTTCTCTGGAAGCGGAGATATGGCCCTTTGAAGATTGTCATCAAAATAGGAATTGGCGTCAGGTAAAATGCATTTGGTGCACTGCCCTACGTGGTTCTTGACTTGCTGAAAAAAAAGTTTGCTTTTTTTGAAGTAACGGAGGGATTGAGCATGTCGATCGATTTTTCTCATTATCAGCTTTCTAATCAGTCTCGAAGCGTTTCCATCATCTTGAAGCTTAACATTCAGCTTTTCTGTCAATCCCGATGATATAATGATCAGTCGATAGAGCTTCTTGGGACAGGTCCCACTATTTTCTTCAACCTAAGATAACTCTTCAGAACTTTGAGTTATAAGCTTAGACACGTCTGAAGCTTCTGAATAGAGCTCAATTCAGCGATTACCGGTATTAATCGAAAGCTGACGTCGAGACGATTCGAAGGATATAATCAGATGAGCTCTAGCTGCTCTGAGAGCCGAGATATGAGCCGTCAAAGTTGGTCTTCAAAATAAAAATTGCGCGTCAGATCAAATATGTTGTGTGATGTTGCGCGTCGGGTCGAGTGCCTGTCTGAGGCTCTCATCGGTGTGGTTTCCTCGCCAAAAAGGAAAAGCTCAAAAAAAAGTTCGTTTTTTCAAAGTTTTTTCTAGAGTAGGCGATAGAGCAGCTTTTATATAGTGACGTTATTATATCCGTTTGGACGAAAAAGCTCGAAGATTGGTTCAAAAAAAGGTCTGAAAAATCGCTCTTCTCGGACTTTGAAGCTTCATAACTCCGCTTTTTATCAAGTTACAGAGAAACTGATTATATCGGTCGATGCGTCTCAGTGTCAGCTTTCAGATGATGAAGGTTATCACGAGATCAAGCTTCATCCAGAAGCTTCAAGCTTGCCTCAGCTTAAAATTGCTCGACGAGATATCAATCGACGCAGAATGATGTCTCGTGTTCAACATGCAAGTGACACAGTTCATGAACACATTTTTGTCAAAATAAAGCCTTTCAAAGTTGGACAATTTTGAGACTTTGAAAAATTGTAACTCCACTCCTAGTAGGTTAGGAACACAGAAACCAAGTTTTTCTCGACCTCCGTGATTCCCCCTATCGATTGATACCAGATTTGACCAATTTCAGATTTTTCGATCTCTGAGTTTGATCGCCTATAACTTGGCTCCTATTTGACCTACGGAGGTCAAACCTGGCCTCCGGTTATTTTTTCGTCGAGATCTATCGATTGATATACATTTCGTCCAAATCGGCTTCCATGACTTCAGAAGCTCGAAAAAATCCTAAGGGGTGTACTTTTTTCGATTTTCCCGAAAATCAAAGTTTTCCAGATTGTTACATCGATCGATAGGAAATGACGTCAGAAGTTAAAAAAACCAGGTCGAAAAGTCCCTAGCCATCTAGAAAAAAAGATATGATTTTTCAAAGTTTATTATTGATCATAGCTCGACTTCTAGGAGGTTAGGAACTCAGAGACCTAGTTTTTCTCACTTTCCTTGATCTCCTCTATCGATTGATATGAAATTCGAACAAAATAATATATCACTTCCAATGACGTCATAAAATTTTCTAGATTAAATCTCAGCTTTTCCCTCAATCCGGATGATGTCATGATCGGTTGGAAAGCTGGTAATAAGGCGAATCGATTGATACGATCAGCTCCTTCTTACATTCAAAATAAGCAGGGTTATGAAGCTTCGAAGTCCGAAAAGTGCGATTTTTAGACCTCTTATTTACTCAATTTTCGAGCATTTTCGTCCAAACAGATATGATAACAGTACTATATAGAAGCTGCTCTATCGATTACACTAGAAAAAACTTTGAAAAAACGAACTTTTTTTTGAGCTTTTCCTTTTTCGTGAGAAAACCACACCGATGGGAGCCTCAGACTGACACTTGACCCGACGCACAACTTCACACAACATATTTGATCTGACGCGCAATTTTATTTTTAAAGACCAACCTTGACGGCTCATATCTCGGTTCCCAGAAGAGCTAGAGCTTATCTGACCATGTCATTTGAATCGTTCTGATGTCAGCTTTCGATTGTTATAGTTTATTACAGGGTCAAGCTTTAAAAAGAAGCTTCAGACTTGTCCCAGCTTATAACTCAAAGTTCTGTGAGTTATCAGGGGTTGAACAAAAAAATGGGGTCTGTCCGATGAAATAAATTAGAACCTTATTTAAGCTTCTTTCAAAAGTTGAAGACTGTCTTTGTATCGATTGAGTGTATTCTCATCATTTTTTGTGAGAATTATCCGAATGAAGCTCGGAAAACTTTATTCAATGGCGCGTGAGAAAGAAAAAAGAAGAAAGTCAACCACGAATACATGAAAAAATAACAATGAAATGAAGAACTGTTTCTGAAAGCGTTGGAGATTCACAAGAATGAAGCGATCTGGGTGTAGGAGAACCGGGCGAGTTGGAAAAAGGAAAAATAGAAGATATGGAGGGAAAATTGCATAGGAAGGGAAAGCAGTGGTGGGATTTTCAAAAGAAGAAAAACAAAGTTAAAGCTTTTGGGGGAAAAATATATATTTTCATTAGTGTCTAGAAAGAGATCTATTGAACTATTTATAAAGAGATCACAGAGCGTGGCTGAAAAGTCGCTCAGCAAGCCACTGTTTTCGGGCAAACGACTGAAAATTATTGATTGATTATCTTCGATTCGTTGATTTTTCCGTTACCTGTAAGAATGTAGTCCGTTAACAAGGAAGGCACTGTCGAGCTGTCGTCGTTGATCGCTCGGAGGACTGAAAGATGCATTTTTAACCTTCCGAAAATTCCCAAACTTCAGCCGCAGACAGTGCAATCCATCTGACGCGCAAAGAAATATTTTCAAAAACTTCTTATATCTCGGCTCCCGGCAGGTACTCTTATTCCATGGGATTTTTCTCATTTTGATTTTTCCGTCTTCATTAAATCTTTCCGCATTTTTGATGAAAGTATAAAATTCCATGAGAAAATTTTTGGAGTCATATCTCATTTGAGAGCTAAGAGTGAGACGAATCTAACGCTATAACTATATTTTCTGGAGCTTCAAAATGAGAGAAATTAGGAGCTTGAGGAAAAAAAGCCGCTTCTCAATCAACTTCCAAAGATTCACTTTTAATAAGAGAGGCAAGCGAGGCGTTGTCCATGTGCTGTTGGCCGTCGAAGGGGATCGTCGCCGTCATGTACTGCGGCAACTGCGAGGCGTCCAGCTTCAGCTGAAAAAGCTGAAATGAAAGATTCGAAACATCTTTCGGTCGATAAATTTCATTTTTCATCCTTTTTTGAACTACTTTTGCTATAAATATCAGAGATGAACTGAAAATATCAGAGAGAGAAATATTAATCACCTGAAGAGACGCCAGAGAAAACACTCTGGCTTCTCTGGGACCTCTTCATGCTGCACTTGATCTCTCGCTAAACTCTTTTGCAGCTTTTTATTAATTTCAAAAAATTCTAGGGTTTATAAACAAGTGAGAGATCAGCGGCGACCTGAAGAGACGCCAGAGAAACTAGAGGAGCTCTATCGGTTGATTATTTTTGTGAGAAGAACTAAGAATTTTTAAATGCTAGCTCCTTCAAGCAAGATATTGTGAAATCAAAGAAAATAGTTAGAAGTTACATTTTATGATACTTTTGAAACGTATAATGTTCAACCAACTAAACAAAATACCTGAATTTTGAAAAAAAAAAGATGAAAAAAAGGCTTCCAAGGGATGGAAGGCCTCAATATCTCTACAAACAATAATCAGGAAACTGACTAAACATTTTTTTTCCTCAATTTCTACTTCATTTTTCTTTTTTCTTTATTAATTTCATGACTATTTTCCCTATTTTTTTCCATTCCAAACCAACCCCTTTCCGTTTCCTTTCGTTGGCAAACTGCCGCCGCTTGTTTTGGATGGACAGAAGGAGGGAGATGAACGTGTTTTTTTCATCTCCTTTTCGTATTCCAACTCGTCTCTGAATAATTGAACTTGGTGTCTTTCTCCCGAAAGTAAATAGGTTAATTTAGAAGCTTTTTTTTCAGTCTTCTTTCTGTTTTTCGTGCTGTTTTCGGGTTATTTTTAGAGGTTTCCATGCCGAAAAAAGTATAAATTTCTTCGACTAGATGAAAAAAACACTTTGTGCACAATTTTGAAACTCGTTTTTCTACTTAACTTTTGAAATATTTTTGAAAATTTGAAGAGCATGTATATGGCGCTCTACGGCCAATTTTTAAAAAGCTGAATGAAAAAATGAAGTGACGTAAAATAACTCGGACATTGTTAACGCGAAACGGACGTTTCTGGGCAATTCTAGGGATCACTTAAAAGTTCTGACGCTACTAAAGTGGTCACTAGAAATTCCAGAAACGTCCGTAGCACGTTCGTTTCGCGTTACCAATGTCCGAGTAGAAAGGAGCAAAAAAAAATTCCTGATCATGTTTTTCTCGATGGAGCAAACATGTTTTATTTTTCAAAGGCTGTTTAATATTTTTCTCATTTTTTTTTCAAAGTCTCCTCTCAACCCAATTTTTCGACTATTCAAGGAATTTTGCCATCCTCAGTCACATTTTTTCATAAATTTTTTGAAGAACCTTCCTTTGTCAGTTTCAAAAAGACCCTTGTTTGGAATCCAAGCCTTTTTTCGAATTTCTAAAATCTATAAAAGTTCACCTATGAGCCAGCTCCTCGACGAGGCTCTCGTTATAAACTTGAATCAGTTGCTCCATTTCGGCGCTGAGTGTCACCAACTTCGAGTAGGACAGCTCTTGGAGGTCTGGAAACGAAAATTCTTAGAAAAACAAATATTCATGGAAAAATTCTCAATTTCTTTAAAAAGCATAGGCCCAAAGGACGACACAAAACAACACAGAAATTTTTTTCTCGTAAAAATTTTAAAATTGAATAAAATTAGTAAAACAACACTAACACATAACAACATGGATCGTGTAAAATTTAATGATTATTTTTTCCGAAAAAAAAAGCTGCAAAACTCAAAAAGAAGGCACTGATCGATAGAATTCATGTTCTTTTTCCATGTCAAAAACAGTTTTCGAAGAAAAGAACATGAACAGAAAGTGCATGTAAGTGAAGCTCAATATAATGAAAATGTAATCAATTACGAAAAAAAAATACAATGCAAAAATTACCGGCAAGCGCTTCACTGTTGAGCCCTGCAGAAAAAAACCGAAATCTCATTTTTTTAATTTTTCAATAAAATCAAAATGTGCATGACTACGTATACTGCGATAGCGTAGAAGTTGGAAAAAAGCTAAAATTATTTTTTTCAACACAAATTAAAACTAAAAATAAGAAAAAAATAGCAGCAAACAAACTGGTTACTTTCTTTCTCAAATCAACGCTAAAAATATCAATTTTCGTATGTTTTATTGACTTTTTTGAACATCTCAAAAAAATCTGTGATGAGTAGATTATCGAGAAAATGCGCTCAATTGATAAAACTTCAATTATTCGTATTCTTTCAGCCAAAATTGTGCATTCGAGAGGTTTCTCATAGGAGTAGGAGAAAAAGACTCTGAAAACGAAAAAAAAAGAAATTTCTCGAAGTTTTGTCCGTGGAGCGCAGAAACTCGAAATTAAATTACTAAGGAGTGAAAATTATAACTGATTTTAGCGGCAGAATTATTGGAATTTCTACTGCGAAACCTAGTTTCCTATGCTCTCTACCTTTCTCATCTCTTGCTGAAACGGAAAACGACCTTCTCTAAGTACTGACTTTCGCCCAAAATAGTCAAAATTCCAGATCAAACCCTATTTTTCAATGCTATCAACCCCTATTTTATCATTCTTATCGCTTCCCTAAACCTTTTTCAGAAACCCTAGGGCTGTTCAACGACTACGAGAGGTTCAAAACGAACTGTCGGGATTGGCGACGAGGGCCTGGGCGTGACGAAGTTTGACGTCGGCGTCGCTGCACTGGGCGGAGGGCGACCTCATCGAGGAGTACATCGAGTCGACGGACTCCATCGTCCGGTCCGTCATCATCGAACCCGTGAAGTCGCACGACTGCAATCGTCTTGCCCGTGGCCGCGTAATTAAGAGAGGGGGCTTTAATTAAGTGTTTTTGGGGGGCTCGGTCGAAATTTATGACATGATTGAGGTTGGAGCTTGCAAGGTTGGATCTCTATCCAATTGTTTCTAAACATTCAACAAAAATATATTCATACAAAAAACTCGATTTTAGCAAGGATATAGCCCGAAACCACGTTCGGTGTGTGCACAATCTCAACCTACAGTACATTCTTACCTGCAACATCTCGTCGATCTCCTCGATGACCTGGTCGGCGGTCTGGGGCGGCGTGTCGCCGCCCATCGAGCCGCCCTGGGAGATCAGCTGATGGACGTCCATCTGATGACGGAGTTCGTCCTCGTCGGACAACGAGCCAAGGCCGCCGTCGTCGCTACCAGCCCCCTGCAAGGTTCAAACTATACTTAACAGTAACAATCTTTATTTATCGCTGTAGCGCAGTAGGTTGTGTGCTTGTCTACAGTCCACAGAGTCACAAGTTCGAATCCCGCCTCGACCCAACCAAGGTTTGGCAGTGGGAGCCCACGACTTCATAACCTCCAGCGGTCACTCAAAGACGGATAGGCCACTTAAGCCAGTTCACTGATTATCACTAATATCAGAATGGAACCTCAGCTAATCGACTTCAAGCGTGAACGCTGCTCAAGCCGTTTAAAGGTGTGAGGAGAAGGGAAAGTATCAATAATCTTTATTTTGATAACACATTTTTAAAAAAATGGGGATATAATTTTTTTATAGAAAGTGTGATGAGAAGATAAAGCTCAAAAGCTCTTAGAATGCCTTAAGGAAAATCATGGAGACCGATTCTTATCATTAAAATCATTCAATCAATTAAAGAATAATTCGTATATTCACAAAAATGCCTTAAAGAACGCTAATTTTATCAGTTTGAAATATTTTTCTAGAATTATTTCTGAAAAACAGTTCCAAAACGAAATCCCGGTTGGAAAACCATTCAATAAGGTACTCTGAACCACGGACTACAAGAAGATCTTTCAAAAAAAGAAAAATTCGAAAAAAATTACTTCGAGCTTTGGAAATTTCAATGATTTGAAAAAATTCATTTTCTTCAAAACTGAACCTTACAGATCCTGTTTCAAAGTGTTACAACGGCTCAAGTTTACGTAAAAAAAACTTCATTATTTCAAAAAAATCTTCTATAAAATTTCCAGAAATGAGCAAGATCAGCTCAGTAATTCTATCAAACGGCCCCTCTATGCTGAAGAGCCAGAATGGGACCCTTAATTAGACACATTTTCGACGGTCACAAGCCTATATCATTTGCAGTGGCCTCTCTTTCTCCTTTTATGGGCTCTTCAAGAGGAGACCTGGTAATGAGGAAATGTGGAGGGTAATTGTGCGCTCCAGCGATAATCCCTAGGACCAATACTGTCAGCATGGACCTCGGTAACGCGAAACGGACTCCGGAGGTTTCTGAGCACTTCTGGGGGTCACTTAAGAGTGCTGAGGCTACTAAAGTGGTCACTGGAAATGCCCCGATACGTCCGTTCCGCGTAATCAATGTCCGAGAGGTCAGAGAATTTGGTTGGATAATGAAAAATCGGTTGAAGATGGATTCATTTGAGGTTAGTGAGGAAAAATTGACCTTTTTCAACTTTTCTTCGAGAATTTAAATATATTGAAGGCCTCAGGTAATAAGAGTTTTTACATCATTCTTCTCAAAACTTCAAGAAAACTGAAAAGTCGAAAAGTCCGTTCTAGCGAATCGGTTCAATAAAAATAACCCAGCTTTTTTTCCGTAATGAATAAATATTTATATAATAAAACTCAAAATCCCTCGAAAAATCTTGAAAAAAATCAGAAAATCGCAAAACATCTTCAAAGCTCCAGCTTCATTCCTTCCGGATAAGGGAAACGATTCAAATAATAATAACTATTTTCACCTGAACTCTTAGAAATAAAACTCGAAATTCCCCCGAAATTCTCTCAAGAACATTGAGCAAATCGCAACATTCAACGTAGAGGAAAGATTCCCATGGGTTCTGATGAGAATCCGCGGAATTTCCATTAAGGGCCCGGCGATGACTCATCTTACTCACTTTACTGCTTAGTTGGCTTCTTTTTCGTGTTCTTACGAATGCTAGATTTTCATATATTATATATAAATTTTTCAGGGATTTGAGCTTCTGATCGTAAAAAAACTATCCCTTAAAACTGCCTCACATCAAAAGATGGATTTGAATTAAAAATCCAAGTTATTTTTGGAAAATTTACTCGGCTTTCTTATACATTTTGGACCTTAAATAAGCTGAAAAAAAAATTTCCAAACTTACAGTGAATCAAAAAAACAACAAAAAAATAAAACGAGAGCTCTTAAAAAAAGTTGAAATTAAAAAAACTTGGAAAGGGACTTGGAAATAAGAGGAGAAAAAAACTGGATAGATAAAGTGGAAATTTTTTAAAAAAATTCAGGTAAATTCTGAAAATGTTTTTCTCTGTAATGAAATGAATTTTTCTTGATCGAATATGAGATTTGAAGGGAGAATTCATAAAATATCGAGTTTTTATAGAAAAAAACATGTCTTGACATCTTTAAACCGAAAAATTATAAAAAGAACTCCAAGTAGACCCTCATTAAAAATTTAAAAAGAAACCTCAAAAAAAAACTTTTTAGCCAAAAACTCTGCTCAAAAAGGGACAGACAAGTATGAGAACACGGGAAAACAAGACGACGAAGGAACAAATCCATCTGAATTCCTCGAAAGACGAGAAAGATTACTCAAAATGTCTCAAAAGGCGAAGGAAGGCATTTCTCAACGAATTTTTTGGGACAAAACGTTCCCATCCGTCCGATTATTCTTTTCCTTTTTCGGTCCGAAAAAGAAGAAGAAGGAGGGGGGAAAACAGAGCTTCGGGCAATCAATAAGCTCACACCCACGGCATACGTGAGTAGCCATGCTTGGCTAGTGGGGGGAGCGCTCACAACGGGAAAAAGTTCTTCTTTTTTCTTTTCTGGCGTGACTTTTGAGAGTTTGACAGAATAGCGAGGGTGAGATCTTCTTTTTCGAAAAACGTCTTCTAGGGAACCTTTCTCAGCCCCCCTTGAGCTTTTGATGAAACTTTGCTGACAAGGGTTTCAGAATCCCGTGAAATTTGGTCAAATTACTCCTTGATGAACCAGGTAGAGATCTTGAAAGTTTCAAAATGCAAAACTTCTCATTTTTCAAAAAAAAAAAACGTCAGAAATTGGCTCAGCGAATTTTGACAGAATCTTTAAACTTTGTGACCTTTTTTCCCAAAAACCAAAAAATTGTGCTGGCTGGGATTTTCAGGACCTTCATCTGGTACACTGGAAAGTCTTCTGATCATATTTTTAATCCCATTTTTTTATTTCCAAATTTTTCATCTGCTAAGTAAAATGACCTTTATACACTCCCCCCCCTCAATTTTTTTAAACTTTCAATAAAATCCTGTTTTTATTTCCTTCAAACCAAAATTTCTATACTCAAAAAAACACAAAAAAACTTGAAAAACTACCCAATCGAAAAAAACAAAAAAAGTTGTACCTTTTTCGCGCAGATCTAACGAGGGGAGCATTTTTTTGCAAATGGCCGATTTATCAAAGTCCAGCGGCTGAATATTCCCGAAATTGCCTGTCAACGTCCACCATGTCCTGAAAATAAATCCTTTAATAAAATTTTCCGAGGTCAAATAATAAAATTTGAAGAGAAACTGGTAACTTTTTTGCAATTCAACGAACGTCTAGGGAAATTTTCAGTGGCCCCTTTGGGTTTTGAAGATCCAGTGGCCACTATAGTGGTCAAATCAGTAGCCACTTCAGTGACTAACATTTAGTGGCCTCTTTTGAAAAATCAGTGGTACTACTACACTACTATAGTAGCCCCTAAGTTGCCAAATAGCGGCTCCCAGAGAGGTGGTCTTAGTGGCTACTTAAGTGTCCTTCCCACATAATCCCTAAGGGGTCACTTAAGCTATTAAAGTTTTTACCAGGCTCTTAAAAAAAATGGAAAATTCGAGAAACAAGGCTTTTTTGGTAAAAGTCCAACGAAATTTGTCAGAAATAAATGAATTCTTTATTAAATTTACCTAGAAACGTGATTTCCTGGGAACTCTTCAAAGTAAAAAAAAACCTAAAGAAAATTGAGCTTTCAAAAAAAAATTCGAAATAAAGTTTTTGTATGGAAACTGATGAGAAATCGAAAAAAAAAGTCGAAAATTCCAGAAAGATAAGAATTTACCTGATATTGAAACCATCCAAAAAGAGCTGTTTTAAATATAATTTTTTTGACTAGTTTTATGAACTTTTTGTATAATAAATAATCGAAAAAAATCTTAAAATGAGAACAAACTTTCAAACAAAAAAAATAACGAACTGGCTCTCGTTCATGACTTCATCCTGAGTGCGGACTTGAACAGGCGCGAAGTCCTGAGTGGCCACTTCAGGGTTTTTCAGGCATTTGGCGATCCGCTCGTCAAAATTCCCAACGAGGTCCTGGAAAAAAATGACATGAAATGATTTGGATTTTTTTGGAATATAACAAATATTTCGATTTTTTTAAGCTAAGTTTGTTGAATTTTTTTACATGAAAAAAATCAGCTTTTAGAAAGGCATTTTGCATCATTTTTCAACAAAAAAACACAGCGAAAACGAAAAACTTTCTTTGAAAAAGGAACAGTTTTTTTAATTGAACTTGAACAATTATTAGATTCGTTGGTTTCGTTGGGCACGATTTTTCAATGAGAAAAAAACGAGAATTTACAGAAGATATTCAAAAAAATTTTTACTTTAAATTCAAAAATTCAGGGCTTCTATAACCTTATTTCGAATGAATTTCAATATTTGAAAACACTAAAAAAATCAATTTATCATTAAAAAAATCAATGTTCACCTCCAAAGACCCGGAAAAATCGTCGTTCATCCGCGAGTCGTCCTCCAAAACGTTGTCGTTCGGCTCATCACTGAAAAATAAAAAAAAATGCCATAAAATAACTAGGTAAGTAATAAAACTTTAATAAAAAGAAGAGGATATGAAAATAGGAGTAGAAAACTCTCCGGAAGGACGAGATAATTGGGTTCGTTTGAAAAAAAAAAGAAGAAGAAAGTAGGCTTGAAAAAACGGAGTTTCGATTTTTCCTAGCTTGGAAACTATGGTAAATCCAAGCAGTTTGTAAAAAAAGAAGAATAATTTAAAAAATGAGAGAAATATTCGAACAAAAATTATCAAAAGAAGATTTTTTGGTATAAAATCAAGCAATTTTTCTTCTAAAACATTAAATTTTTTTAAATTTCAGCTTCATTTGTTCCACTGACAAAAAAACCAAAATTAATTAACATGAAAAAATAGCCGCCTACTAATTTAAAACGTGCGCTCCAAGGCTAAATAAGCCACAAACAACTTGATATCAAACTTTCTTTCAGTATTTTGTGACAGAAAAGTTTCTGGTTCCTTTTTCCACTTCAAATCACTTTTTCGATGACCTTTCTGGAATTGTAATCTCGTCGGGACCTCCCAAGCTGCGCCTTTAAATTAACTAGTTTCAAAAATGGAGCCAATCCCCTCAAATTTCTCTTCGAAAGGGAAAGAAACAGGCTCCAGAATGAGGTTCGATCATGGAAAGTAATTAAAAATGGTCGTAAACACCAGAAAAAAAGAGCCATCTCGTTTCATTTCCCCGGACTCTTCAGCTTTTTCGACATTTTCCGGAGCGATTTGCGGGGGAATGTGAGATTTTGACGAATGGCTTGTGCTGTCCAGCAGCTTTTTCCGAGCCAAAGTTTTTCTTCGAGGATGCTTTTTTCAATGTTTTCCAACAAATACGAGGTTGAATAAATGGGGCGCGCCGTAGCACAACAGGTTGTGTGCCTGTCTACGGTCCACAGGGTCACAAGTTCGATCCCCGCTGCGACCCAACCAAGGATTTGAGAAGTTTTGGTAGTGGGAAACCTTCAAAATCCCCGGCCGTCACACAAGGACGGATATGTCTTTTGAGCCAATCCAGAGATTATCACTGATATCAGGAAAAAAACTTTTTCACAAGGTAAATCTTTGAAAGCCCTTTTTCGTCTTTAAATCTCGATTTTTCTAGAGCAAATCACCTAGCCGAAACCTAGCCCGAAATCTCCATCATCCGAGCCAAAATTGGCCACGTGAATTTATTGGCAAACATTCGTCAGTTGGGCCAACAAAATCCCTGTCTTCCTTCTTTTATTACGATTCCCAATGATCGAAATGAAGAGGAAAAAAGAACGGGGGCCTCAAAAGATTGCTCTGTGTGAAAAGAAAAGCACTTGACAGAGTTCTTTTTTTGTTCACTTCTCAATGGAATAAGCTTTCGTTCGTTTCAAGTGGCCGGCGGGAGGCCACTCGAATGAAACTTCCTTATTAGGGAGAGGAGAGAAGCTCGAGAAAAGGAACGGCTTGCAAATCACAGTAGCCTTCTTTTATTGGGTGAAAATGGCAGAAAACGTTCTAGATCTTGCAGAAGTATATGATTTGAAGCTTGAGTTGTGAAAAACGAAAGTAATTAAAGTTAAAAACTATTATAAAAGCTTCAAAAAAAAAACCTTTTGAACATTTTTTCCTTGATTTTTTTTTGTGTGAAAAGCATATATCCAGCTAAAATCTTCATAATTCGCCCAACAAAATGAGCCGAATCCCTCAAATATTCCAAATATTTGGTCCCTTGCAAAGTCAAAAAGAAAAAGGAGAGAAAAAGTCGTTGAGAAAGAAGAATCGATGGCCTTCCAACGGCCAACAATGGAGTTTTTTGGGATTTTTCTTCTGGAGTCGTTGAGGAAAAAAAAACGAATTTGATCAAGTTTGGAGGAAGAGATTTTCCAGTGGTCACTACTATATAAAAAAAGAGTTCCGAAAAGTTTTTTTTTGGTTTTAGAGAATAAACTAGACAGAATTGTTTTAAAAAAAAAATGCTTTTTTGTGCAGATTTCACAGATTGAGTTGGTTTTCTTCACCTTATATGTGATATACCTGCTCAAAAAAATGTTCAAAAAAATCGTTCTTGATGATTTTTTTAAAGCGCACAAATCTTAGATGATTGAAAATAAATATATTTTTCACTTGGGAAAATTAAAGAAGCGAAGAAAAAAATTCATAGAAAGGTCACAGAAAAAGTCACGATGCCTGAATATTTCTGAATTTTTCGAATGAAAACCATGATTTTAAATTCAATTCTTAAAAAAATAACGATAAATAGGGAGCTAAAGTCCTCTCATAAAATCGTCTAGTTTCTCTTCTAACTTCAAAAAGTTATCTCATAAATATTTCAAGCCAAAAACCAGTAACATGAAAACATTATCCAACTGAAAAATTGTAGTTTCCAGCTTATATCTCCCTTATAAAATATCAATAAAACTCTAAAATCCCTTCTTCAACTTGAAATATGCTTCAAAAATATTTCCAAGCTTTAAAAATCTTTTTATTCACATATCCTGCTTAAAAAGCTCCCAAAAACGATCAATAAATGTTCTGAACATCTGTCTTGCCGTTCAAAAATTCCACGCTCGTGTCAGTCATTCATATCTGTTCTGTTTGTGTGTGTGGGGTTGCCGACCCGGTCCGAAAGGATAAGGAGAAGCCAAAACCAACGCGGGGGAACGATAAACAGATGCGCCTCGAGTAATAAACAATTCATTGAGAAAAGCTCGCGACATTTTTGAAGAGGAACGTGTTCTGAATCTCTTTATATCATAAAAAGTCTGTTCATATGAACTTTTTTTCGAAAATCCAGGGGTAAAACATGTATTTTTTTGCTTTTAAAATTGCCTTTTTTTCGAAAAAAAAAACCTCTCGATCTCATGTTTAAAAGCAAATGTAAATTATTTGATCACTGAAGAAAGAAAATTTATTCGAGAAAAAACACTTGAAAGTCAAAAAAAATCAAAAATTAGTCACGAGTCTTTCAAAACTGCGTGAGCTCATGAAACGATATCCAAATTTGCGTCAATATCCTTCGCAAGGCGCTTTTTTGGATCAAAACTTTTCCCCTTTCCTCAAACTGATTTTTCCAACTAAAAACACCTATTTCCATTTTCAACGAAGAGTTCCGGAATCCTTAAACCTTATAATCTTCCATTTGACCTCATATTCCCATTTTTTCCTCCTCAAAACTCTTTTCGAAAAATCAAACAACCCTCTTTTTGCTAGCAGTTTTTTGCAGCGAAATTCGAGAACAAGGGGAAATTCGATAGCTTTGAGCTCAAAAAGAATCTTTTGTTTTCTTTCTCCGGGCCAAAAGACACGAAAAAAATAATTTTTCTGAATAAAATTAAATTCGAGACGTTCAAACTTGATTAATTGGAAATAATGTCGTTCAAAATCAGGACAAAGCTCATCAATCAGTTGTCGCGTAGTCTCCTGAAATCTCGAAACGGAATCTTGTCGTCCCACAGGAACTGAACCCTTGTTTCAACTGACTCGAAGAGTTGAAGGCTATTTGGAAAGCGAAAAAAATGGCACTTGCACTTTTGTTCGGTGTAACAAAAGAGCCACTGAAATAGGAGTCATTTCTCTTTTTTTTTCAGAAAAAGGTGGGTTTATGACCTTCGTAATGGGATGAGGGGCTGTTAGGAGTGTTTAAATGATGAGAAAAGGTCTGAAGAATGTGATTTATCTCTTCTTTTCTTGTGTCAGGTAGTGTTAGTCGTCTATTGAAGAGAAAAAGGATTTCAAACTAAAAATTCGAAAAAATCCACATAAATACGGAAATTGTGGGTATAATTCGAGAAAATTGTCCATAGAGCACAAGTAAACAATTATTTCAATTATTTGCAGCTAATTTTTCTTTTTTTTTTTTTTCTCGAAACTGCTCAATGAAAAACTTCGTTGCTAGTTTAAAGGCGCAGGGCGGAGCTTGAAAAACGAGTAAAAGACGAAAAATTGAGCAATAGCCTTTTAAAAACTTCAAAAGCTTTTCCTTGTCTCCTACTCTCAAAAGTTTATCCAACCCATAGAAATTTTTCTTTTCAAAGCCGACAGAAAGCCCATTATCCCGCATCTGGATGTGGAAACTGTGCTTCAACGCGAAGAATCTCGACCAAAAAAGGCACCATAAAAGGAGCGAAAGGCCTTTTTTGTGGGGCCGATCGCGCCCCAGCTGCAATCTGCTCTGCTGGCCGTGTGTTTGGTGCACTCGATTCCGCTTTTGGGTTGGCGAGAGATAGAGAAAAAAGGAAAGTCGGTTGGTTGCTGTGGGAAGGGATTAGGAGAAGCTTCAGAGAAAGGACGTTTGGTTCTGGGGCCAGGAAAAAAGGAAATTGGCTTGGCTTGGGTTGCGAAATCGGTTTGTCTTCTTTCTTGTTTTCGGTAGAAGTGAATGAACCTTCAGAAACTCTAGCTAGAATTTTTAAAGCATAGATTAGTTTTAGGAAAATCTCAAGGCGAAGAGCCATTTCTAGTTTCTTGAGAAGCACCTTTAAGGGTAAAAGATAGATTTCATTCACGAAAAGCTTGAAATGAATTGAAAAAATCCGAATCTCCTCAAAAAACCCTCAAAATTCAGTTTTTCGAAGCCAATATGGATTTACTCTCAACCTCAAATAAACCTTTAGTTATACTTTTCTGAATGAAGAAAACTTTTTTCCAATAGACTATAACGCTACAATCATGTCGTTCTCCTCTTTGGTAACGTGTACGAAAAAGATTAAACAACTTTTTTTTACGCAATGGAAAGAAAAGCGATTAGTTTGTGGCCAAAAAGCAAACAGGATCGTTGTTCGGAACGAAACTGTTGGAACGAGAAAAAAAAGCAGAAAAGTACGGAAGAATAAGTTTTATGTTACAAAGAAAGGAAGAGTCAAAATAGCGGTTGAAAAAGAAATAGGAGTTATAAAATTAAAAAAAAATTACTAGTTTTTTTTTCTTCCGCAAAGGATTAGTTTTAGCCTCGCCGAATTGTTTGAACCCTTCTTTTTGTTTGAAAATCTATAAATGTTTTTTTTCAGAGTTTTTTTCATTGAATTTTCTACTTTGTTCTTCTATACGAAGCCTCCCGTGTTCATAAACCTCCGTTCGCTCGAAACAAAAAACCAAAAATCTACCGATAATCTTCTTCAAACCCATATAATCCATTTGCAATGCACTTTGACGGATTTCAACACTTTAAGGGAGGAAAAAGTTTCAAAAATATACTCAAAATGACACTTTTCCGTACTATACAGATGTTAGAACTGTCAAAATTATGGTTTTTGAATCAGTGTATTCGAGAGAATCATAATTAACAAATGAAGCAGGTCAATTTGTCAGGAGAAGGAAATAATGTTTTAGATGAATTATTATCTGTCACGAAACCTTTCGTGTACTCGAAAAAGATCTTAACTAATGATTAGAGAAAAAAATAAAATAAAACAAAACATAAACTGTATAATTTGTAAAAAAATTAGTGAACACATTTTCTCGATAACAATCAATCCAATCGGGTAACTTATACCTTTGAATATAGATAAACTTTTGAAAACTTATAACTCTCGATAGAAAAAAAATTAATTCAGTGTAAAAATTAAAAAAAAGTTCTATTCTACCCTAGCCCAAAAACTTGACCGAAAATTTGGTAACTGATATTTTTTCACTTTTGACTTATTGCACGGGAAAAGCTCAAAAACAACTTTTGGAAAAATGCCAAAGACGCCTTTTTTTAGACCTTTTTCTGAGAAGGACCTTTTAAGGAGGACAAGGAGATTCCGAGAATCTTTTTACACCTTTTTAGGATCTCAAAAAGGATCTCTCGACTCTACTTTTAAGACCTTTTTGAGGCAGTTTGGATTTTGTCTGTTTCACATAATTTTTCAATCTGAAACTTTCTGGCTTTTTTTTTCGCTTCGACTGAAAATCCTATTCCTGAGCCCGGGGAAAATCAATGGCACATGGTGAAATATACTGGTTTTGGCGCAATTCCATGAATTATCCAAACAAATCGGGGTCAAATTACGAACGTCCGCCGCTCCAAGGACATAAAATACGAGCGGCAAATGTGAAATTGACACCTTCGAAAAGGCATTTCCTATCGCACCCGAATAATATTTGGGTAGGAATCAGTTGAACTTTTAGGGCAAAGAATGGAGAAAGAACTCGATTGATAAGAAAAAATGAGCTAATGATTAGGAAAATTCTCAATATTTGAGACTTTGGTGTCGAAAAAAGTAAAATGTAGTTGAACCATTAATTGAGAATAGCTGAACGATTAAAAACTATCATATTCATGAAAATCTTTTTTTAGGAATTCAGGAAAAAAATCATCGACATGAGATTTTTTTCAGCCACAAAAAGGACTCAGAAAAAAACCACAAAGACCTAAATCTGTAAAAGAAATCGCTCGACTGAGCAAAAGATGGGTTAAAAATGAAAGAAAATAGCTAAAAATTAGAAAGACAAAAAAAAAATCGGAGAACAACCAGGAAAAAATCAAAACAAAACGAGTTCCTAACACCTCTGATTACTAATTAGTCCTATCAAAACTGTTATCAAAACTATTTTTAAGTGCCCGGACGTGTGAAAACGCTGCAGAAGGCTCAAAATCAACCAAATATGACACAAAGTAGATCAAAAATCGAGAAAAAATCGAGAAAAAACGCGAAAAAACCAACCCTTGACTGCTGTGTTTAGTACTATCAATATCGTCATCACAAGTCGCCAAAGGAATATCAGGAATTCGGAGGTCCGTCGCGTCCATCGCCAGTTCCCGCATAGCACTGAAAGGAGTCGAGCCGCCGTCGCAGTCGCCGACCCGAGGGGCGAGAGAGCGCGGCATCCTAGGAGAGCGCCGGAGTGGCGGAGAGAGGGGCGAGAGAGTGCCGGCGCCGTCGGAGGGCGGCAGACGAGGCAGGCAAAAAGTGCCGAGAGAAGAGAGCTGCCGAGACACGCCCACTTCTCCAAGGGGAAGTCAAAGCCGATTCGTAATGTGCGGCCTGCGTTTTTCCGCCGCCGGAGGGGGGTAAAACTGAGGCTCCATGTTGTTTTGTTTGTCGGTCGGCATGAAGAAACATTGATTCGAGTTTGGCTCGGAGAAGTTGCAAAGTTGAGCTTGACTGAACTCCTAAGCGAGCTTGGGACTTTAAATCGAGTACTGTATGGATCAGCTAGAAGTGGAGCTTCAGAAGGTGAGAGTTAGAATCTTTAAGAACATTCAAATCAATCTCCAATCTCAAGTAGCTTCATCCTGGAGCTGATTTTAATTTGAAAAGTCTTCCGAATTAAGCCTGACTGAACCTGGACAAGCTGAAAGTGCCTCCAACTCAGAAACTTCAGTAAAATCTAAACTAGAGCTTGACTGAACTCCTACATAGCCATGAAACAGAGCAACGAACTAGAAAAAAAAACGAAGCGAATCAAAGTTTTACGGACCCCTAGTTAGGTTTAACATCAAGATCACGATTCACACGAGTTAAGAAGCTCCAAAATTCAGCCCAACTCGACCAATAGCCGAATTGCAAAACTGTTTTGAATGATCGTCTAAAAAAGCCTGGAGGAACTTTCAGAGAACCTACAGATGAAGCTTGACCAAAACTCTGTGAAAAGGAGCTTAGTTGTACTGTACAAATTGAGCCAAGTAGATGTTCTTCAAGAAGTCAACAAGAAACAGCTCGAGCAAATTACACAATAAGCTCTAAGGGTATTTTAATAGTGCACTATAGTTTGACTGAACTTCGGATGGGAAGCAATGTGTGCGATTGATTTGAGCTCCTACCGCTCTTATAAAGTCAAAGAAAATATCCTTTTGAGACAAAAGAGATTTTTGGAGTTGTTCTTACCCAAAAGGTCACTGTACTTCGGCTGAAAATGTGTTCAAAAACTTCAACTTTTCGAATAAAGATCACTCACAGTCAAAACGTCTTGTTTTTGATATAAAATATTTTTGATTTTGCGCTTAACAAGCCGAACAAGGAGATCATTTTAGTTTGCGACTTGGAACTTTCTAATAACTTGCTCAAACGCTTTCTGAAGGTTTGAATGAAGATCCCTGATCCTACTTTCAGACAACTATTTTGAAAATTTGAAAATCAGGCTTGAAACCCATATTTCGTATATTTGAAAAATCATATCTCAAAAACTAGTGCGCAGGTAACGAATATAAGGGATCTTCCACTGAACGTCAAGATAGCGTTCGAGCAAGTTTGTAGAAGATTTCAAAGCGCCAAGTAAAATTGCCTCCCACGTAAGTCGGATTCGTTATGTAAAACTCATTAAAATAAAATTTAACTGGATTTCAAAAAGAAGATTGAAAATAGGTATAATTAAACCGTTACCAAAAAAATTGAGCTTCTTTTCAAATGGTATTTTTTTAAAAAAATTGAGCAAAAAGTTAAAAACTCAGTTTATGATTTCAATATCAAAATATAAAAAAACTTGATATATTTCGAAATTTCCAAGACTCGCTGTCCAAATATTTGACTGAAATATTTTTTTATTGTTTCAAGCTCAAACCTCGAAATTAACGTCATTTTTATCTTTCCCCCGTGATCTTTGAAAAAAATAGACGTTACAAAATCGTACCTCTTTTCTCTCATTTTCAATCCCAACTCTTTCTAGCTCCTCGCACTGAACGCTCTCCTTTCCAGATTGGCCAAATTATCTGAAAAACGCAGGCAATCTCATTCCGTTCTGTGTTTTTCAAGAATGATAACGACACTTGTGAAGAGAAAACGGGGCGTAAGAAATCATGTTTGATTTGAGAAATGTTGTAAATTGACGGAAGGCATGTTTTGACGATTTTTAGTGCTGGTAAAACAGGTCCATATCGAAAAGAGCTTCAAAATGAAGCAAATATATTATATAATCCGCTCAAAAATCACCCAACATAATTGCCGATATCGCAGCGGGCCGCAGGCGATATAGCCAAGGCTTCTCGCTGCGATCTCGTCAACATGTCGCTGCGACCTCGTCAAAGTCTCGCTGCCATATCGCTCCCTCTCAAAAATTTGAAATTTGAAAAACATTTTTTTTGCTTCATTTTTGACTTTTATGATGAAATCAATCAAATTCAAGAAAAAAACATTTTTGAAGAAAAATTTTTCAGAGAGCGATATAGCGCAAGACGTTTGCGAGGTCGCAGCGAGAGGCGAGCGATATCGCTCGCGGCTCCCCCGCGGTATAGCGTTACTCTCGCTGCGATATAGTCCACAAAATTGGGTGAATCATTTTCAAAGGTTCATGGTCCAACTTAATGAATTCTTCGAGGGAAAACGCTTTTTTCAGTATTAATTCAGGTCTTACATGGCCTCTGCACCTTTGAAAAGCCCAAAGAGTTCAAAACAAAAAAAAAAACGGAAAAATGAATGAAAAGGAAAATTTCAAATTAGGAGCCGCTTTGTGGGTAGATTTACAAAGTCCGCAAACGGAACGACGAAAATGCTCCCTTCAGGCGCAAATTAAAAAAAAAATTTTTTTCTAGAGAAAAACCTTTCTTCAGCGTTTCCTGGTTTTTCACAACCATTTCAATGTTTATAAATTGATAAATAAAAAAAACCTAAAAACTTCCTGAAATACGAAGCTTTTTCAACTCATCGTTACTATGGAAAAATCAAAAAGAAAAAAAAACACGTTTATTTATGTAATAAACAAAAATCGAGAAAATTCGCGGCAATATGGAATCATACTTCAAGTAGGAACAACGAAAAAAAAAACACAGACAAGCAATGAAAAATCAATGTATTATACAAATAAGAGTGTTGAGCGTCATTTCTTAAATTATCGCTGCTTTTATTGGAAAGAAGCAAGTGCGCTCCAGAGTGCATTCAGTAGGACGTTCCTAGGTGTCGGTTGGACTTTATGACGACCGGCGGGTGCGAATAACTGTAAAAAAGGTTTCTTGTAATAATTTCAAACAAATTTCAATGACAAATAATCGAAAAGAGATATGAAGACGTTACAAAAGTCTAGGTTATTTGTAAATCCTTGCTAGGGTAATTAAAGGCGCAAAAATCTTGCATGAACTGAGATAACACTAAAAATGGCTCTTCGCCTCAAAATATATGAGAGTCCTCGAAAAAGAAAAAACTTTAAAGCTTTCTTTTTGACCTCATTTTTTTCTGAACTGGACTTATCCTCATTAATTTTTTAGCTTACTTCTTCCAAGAATCCCTATGACATGTTTTTTGTTTTCGTACAAAGGCTTTTTTTCAGGTGGTATGAAAAAAACACCAGCGAAAATTCAAACGGCGACTTTTCCGATTTTTTCATATCGCTACGGAACTTTCCGACGGCCACCTTTCCGACGAATCTTTTTCCGACTTTTTTCCTTTATATTTTTCGGTTCATAAGACATCTATTTACTTTTTTTTTCCTATGTCTTTGTGTTTTAATCATGAACCAACTACCTACTTTATATAGAAAGATTCAAAACGAAGATTTTTATCGAGAAAAAAAGTCGGAAAAAAAGATTCGTCGGAAAAGTGGCCGTCGGAAAGTTCCGTAGCGATATGAAAAAAATCGGAAAAAGTCGCCGTTTGAATTTTTCGCTGGTGTTTTTCATACCACCTTTTTTCATTTTTGAGAACTCTACAAAGAATTAGATTTTTGATGTTTTCTCTCAAAAAATACTCAAGATTTTTTGCACAAAGCTTTTTTTGACCATACCTATGAAAATAATTAGGAAAGGTGCCTAGGAAGACGGGTTGAGAAAGGGGTGTAGAAGCGGGGGTGAAGTAGTAGAAGAGGAAGAAGTTAGTAGTGCTGCGGTGGTGAGACAGCGTACGACTCGGAGACATCTCTGCAACCAGTCCAGCTTCTCCATTTGTGATTATTAGAAAAGCATCAAGTTTTTGACGGAAATAAAGTCTAGATTTGACATTTTCTTGTCATTCACAAACAAGTTCTAGAAGGTTCTCTTTCAAAAAAAATTTCTGAGAAACGGCATTTTTCTGAAAAATTCCTTGATAATCTTTTATCTTCTCCGAAAATGCTCTTTCCAACGAAAAACCATAAAGAGGCGCTTGGAAGTTCTCTAGGAGGTTTTTTCACAAGAAATCCTTATTAGATACTTCAGACTTTCTCGTGAGAAGACCAAAAGTCACTTGACTAGAAGATTCATAGCTTTCTAGGACAGTTTTTGAAAAAAAAAGCTATCTCAAGTCAGCTAGAGAGAAATCTATCCAAAAATACGAATTTCAAGCTGACTAAAACTGAATAATTCACTAGAAGGTAATTTTACTTTTGCACTTTGGATTTTTCTAAAAAAAAATATTCAGGACACTCCTTGACCTAGCAGAAAAAGGTAAGGAAAGTCTTAGCCTGTAAAACTTTCTAGTTTTCGAGAAATTATACCTTGAAATTTGTTAAAATAGGCTTTTTTTGGAGTTTCGACCCCTTATTTCTTTCAAACTAGAAAAATTTGCGGGTTGAAACTTTCCAAATCTTTCTGGGAAACTTTTTAGTGGCCACTATTTTAGTCAAATTAGTGGCCATTTAAAGGGTTAAAAATTAGTGGCCACTATAGAGGTCTAAGTGGTACTACTAGACCACTAAAAATTTTAGTGGCCACTTTAGGGGTCAATGGATCATTATAACTGGTCCAATCTGTTTGTTTTAAAATTATCAGAGTTACTGGAAGAATTACTGAATGAAAAACTACTGAAGTGGCCACTAAATGGAGAACCTCTACAGTGTCCACTAAAACGGAAAATAGTGGCCACTATAGTGTCCTCTTCAAGTAGTACTTGGCGAGCCTCTATAGTGCCCACTAAAAATTTTCCCATTTTTTTTATGCTTCAAGGAGAATTCTGGCCATATTTCAGGAGATTTCCAACCGCAAAGTGAAATGACCTTACTTGTTAGTCTGTTCAAAACCCTTTTCGATGTGTTTGAAGGCGCATAAGTCCCGATGAAATTAAATGGAACTGAAAAGGCTTTTTGGCTCAAGACATTATTGGAACTAGTCTATGCTCCTTCAAACTTCACAAGAAGGATATTTGAACAAACTATTTTTTTTCATGGAAAAGCGTGTTAGGCGTTAATTTTGAGGGCGTTAAGAAGGAGTTCAAATACAAACTATCACTTTTCTCTGGAGAAGAACACCAAGACCATGTCGACGAGGAAAAGCAACGCGCCGAGGAAGTAGAAAGCCTGAAAAAGTCATTTTTTTGGTTTGATTTTTTTTCCCACTAAAATTCCAAGGTAAGGAACTGCCCATAAAAGTATGACTTGTACTTTCAGGTTGGAAGAGGGCTTTATAGATTTTTTCAAGAAAGCCTTGTTTTACTATGTTTTACTTCTCTGAAAGTTTATAAGATATTGTACTGCTGTTTAAAATCTCTGCGAAATTTCAGAATATTTGGACTACATTCAGAGAAGTTATGTCCACAAAACCGTTTTACAACACCTTTATGGTCAGTTTTGTACACGAAAGGAATACTTTAGAATGATCGTGAAGATTTGAAAATTCGAAAAAAAGAAAACGAACCGCCGCAACGGCCCATCCTTTAACAACGAACTCAATTTGACAGCCAGGAAGACCGGCGCAACCAGAAAAAACGCCGTTTCCTACGGCCTAAACGAGAAATAAACAAATTCATGTTTTTCGAATAATTGTACCTGAATAAAGAATTCCATGTGATCAAACCCAGTCGCGTACCAAGTTTCGACGCCTCCACACACGATGAAAGCGATCAGCGCCAGGCCGGACGCAAAAAGCTGCTGGAAATATTTTCAAATCGAACTTTGCTCATAGGAATTTGGAGATTTTCCACTCTGAAGATGGAAAAGAACATTGTTCTCAGGATGACTCTCGATGTGAAAAAATTAAATTTTATCAAGTCGAACCTATCTGTCACGCCAGGACTTATTGGACAGCGATTGTGGACCGTAACCCGCACCGACGACTAACTCTTCGGTTAAACCATGATACAACAGAGATTTTCTACATTTTATTCTGAAGACTGAATAAATTGAAATTGAAATTATCAAGTCGAGCTTCTTATTCACTTTGATAGATTGCGAAACCAAAAAAAAGCTCTGCTATAGAAAAAGAAAACATTCTCCGAGAAAATTCGATCATTTCCGGTCAGGAATTCGAGTTTCTAATCACGTCTTTCAACTTTAATCCCTAGACATGAGCTCTTACATTTAAAAATATATCCAATTTCGGTTCAAAAAAGCTCAAAAACTAAATTTTTCCTGACCATAAGCATACTTTCTGAGTCGTTTTTCTAGTTCCAGCCTTTTTTCCTTTTTCTCTCTAGCCTTCCAGCCAGTTTCCAGATCCTGATAAGTAGAATTACATCTATATTTTGCTTCAGGGTTTACATCTGTATTTCTACGGCGACTAGAAGGTCGATGAGTATCAACTGAAATTCGAAAATGTCGACATGAACATTTACTTTTCTACTTTCAGCTATTAAAGTATATTTGAAGCCTCCCACTCACTTCTCTTTTCGAACTTTGAATTATGTATTCTTGAAAAACGTCTTTTAACAGCACCTATCAGCTTTTAGAGAAGAAGGCGTAACATGTTTTGCTTGAAATGGTTCCAGCCAGGTTAAAGTATTGATACCTGTTTAAAAACCTTTTTCAGAACCTTTAAAGATTCAAATCCAACTTTTCTTTCAGCCAGAACTCATAGAAAGTTCCCTTCATCTCCTGTTCATGTTGGTGTTTTAATTCTACTTGAAACTCTTCTTTGATGAAAAACCTAAACCTGAAAAATTTCCCAACAAGGAGCTTAAGTATACTTTTCCCTTCCTCGTAAATTTTTTTCTTCATCAAAAACTCTCTAAACCCTCAACTACTCATCGTGTGTTCCCCGAAAACTTTAACAACTTGACTGAATAGCCTCAAAAAAGAGGAAATTTATATTCACAAGTAAACATGAATCCCTCTCAATGCTACCGGTCCAGTACAAACTGGTCTTTCTCTCCCGTTTCGCTGCAGAGTTACGCGATTACAAAGCGATTATGACTCAAAACGCGACGCAACAATGCCAAAAACCACCGAAATTCGATACAATGAACAATCTCGTTTTTTTTGACTTCACTTTGGACGTTTATATAAAGAATGAATGAGGAGAGATCGAAAAATTGATTGGAACGGTTTTTGGAAGTAAAAATTAGACTCTTTGATAAAATTGTTGAAAAGATCTTACTAAATTTTTTCATGGCTCAAATTATAAATTGAAAACGGTTATTCGCCTCAAAATCTCTTCATTGAAGATCCCAGTAAAGAAATCTGATTTCACAGCTCTTTCAAAATCTGACTAGACTTCAAAAAAATTTTTAAAAAAAGTGGAAAAAAACAAATTAAAGGACTGTTTATCGGAGAAAAAAATGCTGTTTTTCTTAAAAATCCATTCTAAAACCCGTTCTAAAAATCCTACATGGTAAAAAAATGACAATGAAAACAATTTTTTTCGTCTCAAAATCTTATGAAAAAAATTTTTTTGGCTCCATTTAAAAAAATTCTTAAGTCTGACTGGATGAATATCAAGAAGTTTATGAAAATTACGGTTTTATTAAAAAAATAAAACTGGGCTTTTTTTTTTTTTCGTCCGAAAGCGTTGAAAAAAAGCGCAGTTTGTTCAAAACAACACGGAAAAAAGCTAATCACCTTGAGACCTTTGTAGAAACCCTCCATGCTCCTTTAATAACCCCTACAAAAATCTAAACGAGCTGGAAAATTCCCAAGGTTTAAAGCTAAAAACCGTATATGGACCAATAAATATTTTGCTGCCTGAAAAAAAAAACAATTTGAAGCTAAAAATAAAAAAGCCGAATTCACAAGAAACCATGGAAAACTCACTGCGTAGGTCAAATATTGGCCAGAAGCCAATTGTATGCAACTGGCAGCTACCGTAATCAAGGCGAAAACCAGGGTTATGCAGATCAAGGCCACTTGTCCGTAGACACTGGAAAAAAGACTTCTGTTTTGAATTCAAGAAAATTTAAGACCAATAAATTATTTTTTTAAAGATCGCCAAAAACTTTTAAAAAGCCCTTTAGTGACCACTATCGAGTCCTATCCTCTATAGTGACCTCTTGAAGAAATAATGGAATTTTAGACTATCACCATTTAAGGAATCATTTTGTTGCTTGTCAAAATGTCACAAAAATCAATAGATTTTTGATAGGAATGGTCCTGGCACGATTATCAAGAAAATTTTACAGTAACCTAAAATTTTTTGAAAAACCCTGCTCAAGAAGTACTGCTGTGTTTTATAAGTTTTAAAAAATATCAAAAAATTAAAAATCACAAAAAACAAAATTAAAAGCATTTCGAGACATTTTTCTACTGAAAAAAAAAGCCAAAGAAAAATGTTTTTCAAGATTTTCACTCATTTTTTGAGTGTCCAAATTCAAACAAAATATTTTTCCGGCTATCTGAAAATCCCTATCGATACTTTTTGAAGCTTTAAGAAGAAAAACGAACTTTTGACCCCTTCCCTGGAAATGCAAGGCGTTGCTCCACCGATCAGCATTCATCGGGAATATACTGTTTTGCCCTGGGCAAATCTGGAATCAGTTTTTTGACTAATAAAGATTCTTATCATTAATCGAACCTCTCTGCTGATGGCTTGTCCATTGAGATATCTGGAGAAGCAGGCTCCAGGCGCTGTTAAGATCAATATCATCGCAACGATCGCGAGAATCTGAAAAATGTTTATTCGATGATTCCGAGGTTTGTATGTATTTGAACTTTTAATAATATTTTGATAATTTATCCCTAGCAGGTCTTTTTAAGTGATAAATAAACTAAAGAAAAAACGCTGAAAATGCTTCTTAGCACCTTTTTTTCTCGATTATATGATCATATTTCGACATTGAAAGTTTGTTTCTACAAAGAAAAAATTCTTGGCTCGATTTTCCAGGACTTGCTACTTGTTCACAAAGATTGAAATTCTCTATTTATCAATTTCAAGTGGTCATATAAATGTTACGCACGCACTTATCATTTTTTTACGCTAAGCTCTTCCTCATAATTTTTTCTTCTGGATTTTTTTCCTTGACAGATAAAATACAAAAAGATAACTCAACAACGAAAAATCTAACTAAATCTTCGAGATGAGAAAGTTCTGTAGCTGAGCTTCACACTTTAGAAAAAAATCGACAATTTCGGAAAGCCGGAAAAAAATCGAATCGGTTTTTAAAACGCGAGGCTGTAAAAAAATTTTCAAAAACTTCCGAATTCAAAATTTTCGAACCCAAACTGAGGAAAGAAACTGAATAGAGAAAAATAATTTTTCCTCCCAATTAAAAAAAAACCTTTTTTTCTAGTCTTCGCTCTGTGAAACCTTCCTAGCAAGAACTAGGATTTAGGATTCTACCCCAGCTTCAGGATCATAAACCCTTTTTTCAAAGTTCTCAAATGGACCATAAGAACGAACAGCAGGAAAAAAATTTTATCAAATTTCAAGAAAATATTCTGAATTAATGATTTTCACAGCTTTCTGATCAGATTCCATCAACCTCTACTTGTGGACAAAACTAAAAAAAAATCTATTTTTTTCTCTCAAAAGGACTGTTCCACCAATTTTCCTTTAATATGGAGTTTATGAGAAGAAACCGAGACGAACCAGGATAAAAATACGAATACAGAAGATGGCGCCAGAGAAAGTTCGTGCCGAGACCATTCTATCTCGAAAATGGACGTTGGATCGACCGTGGAGGGTTGTCGAGCGCCTGTACGCGACTTTTCTCGAAGGATGTTCAATAACCAAAGGCGGTTCAGTGGTGACAATCATTTTGGAGCCGATCGGAATGGATTTCCGCGATTTCGATTGTGAACGAGGCTAACTAGTCCGGGGTGAGAAATAGAGTGAAAGTTTTGGGAGAAAGTTGCCGTTGGACGGCTGTTTATGAACATTTTTATACGGCATAGTTACCGGTGGGAAGGGCTCATTGGGTAAATAAATAGAAGAGAAGTGTTGTTCGAAATTTCGCTCTGTTGTTCGAGGAGTTAATGTTTGCTCCAAGGTGAATTGGGAACCTTGCCAGGTCGGCCAAACATCCTGGTTTTGAGGTTTTAAAGTTGAAAAGGATAGATCTAATGAGAGAATTCATGGGAAAAGCATAGTTCTATTGAAAACTTGTACAGAGATTCTTTAAAGGCGAAACTTGAAGTCTTGAAAAATTTGAGTTTAATCACTTTTTAAAGTTATATATAGTTCTCTGGAGATTCCATTAAAAGAAAACGGAAGTTACAAAAATTATATTTCCATCATGAAAAACGTATCAGAAATTTGGAGAGGCGCTGACTGGATATAAAATTGATAATTTTCATATTGAAACGTAATTTTTTATCAAAAAAGATGTCCCTTTTCTTTTAAAGTTAAACTTTCTTTGAAACTCAAAATTCAGGAAAAAGCCATTCATAAAAAAATATTGAACGGAACTTTAAAGGCGCAGAGCGGAGCCTGATCTTTCTAGTAATGTTTTTTTAAAAAAATTCTTATTTTTTTCCTTCTAACTTCATTCTGAGCAAAAAAATAACTTGACTTGAAAAAAATTCGAAAAAAATGATAGTAGTTCATCAGGAATAGCTTGAGTCAATTTAAAAGGCGCAGGGTAGGGTCTTGACTAATTTTCCCGTTTGAAAACAGCTCTGGTCGCATTTGAAATTATTTGACGGGTTACGGTTGCACTACTAATCAGAAATTCAGATTTAAAAAAAACTAAAACTCTGAGCTCGCTTTGAATCAAAAATAGTAGAGATTCTACAATAGTTATCAATATTTCCAACTTTAAAAAATAAGAATGTTATAATGAAAATCCTAGATCGAAAGTCTATTTATCAAAATCTTGAAAACGGGAATATCTATCAAAATTGATTCGCCAAACACAGAAGAATCACAAAAATAAACAAAACTACTGAAAAAGGGGAGGCGAAAAGAAAAAGTGGGCGGAGCCAACATAACACCGTAATCGGATCGTGAGTCAGAAGAAACGTCTCAACTGAACTGTATTGTGTATGGAATTGAATTGAATTGAGTTGAACTAACTGAAGTCGAGGTGTATACGATTTGAGCGAGTTTCGATTTCAATAGATGGGGGCGGGAGCGCCATTTTTGGGAGAGGAGAGAAAGAGTTGTCATCGATTGAGTTCCGATAGAGACGTCGGATTTTGGCAGTTTTGGAGAAGAAAAAAAACACAAAGGATGGGAATTTGATTTTTTGGAAGTTCCTGGATTATTTGAAGATGGCTTAAAACATGAAAAAATGATTTACTAGACCAAACTATTCAAAAAAACTCTTGAAATTATTTTTTGCGGCCAAACGCACTAACATTAATGGGTCATAAATGAATTTTCTGAGGACTTGATTTCTGAAAATTTCTGAATTTTGCTTGATTTCTGTTAATCTTCTTTTTCTCAAGTTTGAAACACGGTCGCGCTTGGAATGGCTCGGTGCGTCGCGGTCACGTTGCGATCTAAATAAATTGGTTAAACTTCAAGCAATTTGTTTAAGGGCTTCCTCGCCAATACTGACTCAAATTCTGAAAATTGAGGACTCTTTTGAATCTTGATCCTAATTACTGGTGTAACATCAATATTTCAAGCTTTTTTTTACACGATAGGAAGGTATATTGATTGATGATCATCGTTTGAAACATCTGATTTCAACACGACTAACTGTTTACGAGCGCAAGTCGTTTTAGGTCGGGCGCACCTCGAAAAACCCGTTTCAAAGCTGCCTCATGTGCTCAGTCAAGCTTCTCAACAAAAATTAATTTAATTTTGAATTGTTTGAAAATTGGCCAAACATCTTTACACGAAGATAATTGAAGTATCATGAAAATTATCATTTTTTTGAGAAAAAAAGCTTCATAATGCATTTTTCCTGGCCTTTCGGGCATTTCCGAAAAAAACGAACTTTTGCTTCTTTGATTTTTTTGATTTTTCAAAAGATTCTGATATTCTGATAAAAATTAGCTACTTAGCTAGATACAATTTTAAATATTTTTCCAAAAAGTGGCCATCGAAATTTCCAACTTTCCTTTCAAATCAAGCCTTTTTCTTTCTTTTCCATTCACTCCTTTCTCTTCAACACTCAAAAATATTTTCCACCTCAAAGTTTTCTACTCCAAGACAAGCCTGACGGGTCGGATCAGTTCCGATTGACGACGTCTCGACAAAAGTCCGTCATGAGATCCGCCAAAATGTCAATATTTTCAGTTCTCCTACAGAAAGATGCTACCAATGATCAGGAAACGTCACTCGCACGTACTGTTATTTGGGATTCGAGTATTTATTTGCATTTTCATTTCTCGCGCGCACCTACTCATGGTACTTTAGGTTAGAGACCGGGAAGTTTGAAAAACCTGCAAAAAAGGCACAAAGGGTGGCTCTTCCTCTGAGCTTTGTTGGGGGTCGTCTTTAAAGGAGCATAGAGAAATCTCATGAAGGTCCCGAAGAGAAGAGTCATATTTTTTTTTAGTTATTCTAGCGCAGCTCAAAGCCTTCTGCACGTTCAAAGGTCACCAAGGATTTTTTTATAGACTGAATTTACTTTTTTTAGAAGCTAATTTCGGGAATGCTGAAAAACTTGACAAATCACATCTACCTCAAAAAATTTCCACTCTAACCTAAAAAAGAGGGACAAAACTGATGGAATAACCTAAATTCATACTATGGATTGAGTACAGTCATATTAAAGCTTTGCCAAAAACTATCTTCAATAATAATGATAGGTTTATTTACTGTACTTCCTACGGTAAGAAAAACCTTTAGTTTGTTTGGTCCGAAAATTTTCAATTTCCAAAATCTTTTCAAACCTCCGACCAACTTATCACCTGATTTTGGACATTTCGATTTCAAAACAGTTCCGAACTTTTCCTCTCAAAAAAAACTAAACTTTTTTTTTCTCGTAAACGAGCATTTTTTGCAGAGTTCCTGCAAGTTTATTTATTTATTCATTGTCTTTGAAAAATGCGACAAATATTTGCACACTCGCCTTACTTATGATCAACAACGAGAGAAAGTTGCAAAAAAATTTTTAACTAGGAAAAATTAATCAGAAAAAGTTTTCAAGAAGCCAATAATTCAAGTACTCAGTTTCAATTGGCAACTCAAAAAGGTCCCTCCTAGAAATTTTTTTTTTCAAGTTCTAAAATTAGAACCACTCTTAATAGATTTGAAAAAAACGTAAATCATCAGAAAATACAAAAAGCATAGGAATGTCTCCGTGAGCTTTTGAGAAATTCATGAAAAAAATAATTATTAGGGAAGAAAAAAATCGGATAATCTTTTTTGAGGTCTGAAATCGTTGTCAAACATTTTTTCATTTACAATTTAACGATTCATTTCGTAAAACTCTTTTTTTATCGCGTCGAAATGCGTTAAACTAAAAAATATGCGTAAAAATTGAGCTATGACTCGTATTATAACCGCGACACCTCGATCCATTCCAAATGCGGCTTTTACAAATTTTTCAGTAGCTCTACAAAATCCCGACTTTTTTTCGTATCTATGAGTTCTTCTCCGAACAAAGTCTAAGTTCGAATTTTTATTTTTGAGATGAAAAAATTCAAAAAAACCTTACTCAATCATTCGACTAAAGTACCCCTCAATTAACCTCAGAGCGCAAATGTCTTGCCTAGAATGATTTATCACGACTTTTTTGAGTTAAAAAGGTATTTGACTATAATTATGACTTCAGAACACGTACCACGACATTCTAGTTTTATTATGGAAGTCCAAAGTACACTTCCAACCTGTTTCACCTGTTTCAAGACGTTCTGAGAAATACAATCTTCTCATTTTCAAAGTTCCTTGTAAGTCTCTAGAACTCGTTTATTTATCAGTTTTTTTTTCATTAGATCTGAAACTTTGGACTGTTCAAGGTTCATCTGAGCAACTATCTTTCAAAAATCATAAAAACAAGCAAACCAATTTGCTCTACGAAGCAAAAATACCCAATTTTTCCTCTCAAACTGAAAACTTTGGACCGATCAAGGTTCCACGGAACACCCTGTTTTCGAATCTTTGAAGAAAATTGCTCAACGAACCCAAAATACTGACCAAAAGCGACTTTTCCAACCAAAAATATCCAATTTTTCGTATAATTCACGTGAAAAGTTGGCGCCGTTGCAGCGGCTTATTAGATTTAATTACAGGCTGATTTATGGGCATTTCTTGGCGTGCCAGTCTCTCATTCATTCTCTTTCTGAACTTCCTAGATTTGCCATTCTGAACGGAGATGCAAGACGACTTTCGTCTAGTTCTATCAACTTACTATCCAATTCACTTCTCGATCACTATCATTTTACAAGTTTACCTGCTGTTCCTTCTGATAAGACATACACCTGTGCAAATGCGAGGGTTACGGATTTTCCTATTGAAAACTTCCTTAGTGGAAGTTACTGTGGCTATTTTGATCTTCCTGACTCAGTCGAGGTGAGAATTGAGCTTTCTTAGAGGCGGCTATAATTATTGCACAATTTTTATTCCACTATAGGAGTTTTTTCAGCCCATGGTTTGAATTTTGGTTAAAATGGCTGAGATATACTTTAGAGTCTCTAAATTCGAGTAAAAGAAAAAATTTAGTTCTATAGTCATATTATGACGCTTCGAATTATAAAAATTATGAAAAAGTCGTTATTCGAAGATTTTGAAGCGTCATAACTCGACTAAAAAAAGCAAAAAAATTGATAATGTTTTTTTTTTTTTTAAAGAAGGTCCGAAAAACACGCACCAGCCTATTTTTTATCAAAGTAAGTCCAATTGGGGGCTCTATTTTTTGATAAGACTATCCGGTTGGACAAAAATAAGAGGAGAATCCGAAATCCTCTTAATAAAAAAGTCCCAGTCATCAAAAAATTCGTGACGTGCACACCTCTATTTGAAAAAAAAGTACTCACAAGTCTCAGAAAAATTATTAAATATTTAAGTTCACCTTTTCAGATTAATCGTGAGCAATAACTCGGTTGCAATACTCTGCTACGGTCCCATCAAATCTTTCGATTCTGTGACATGCCACTATTCCTACTGTTTCCTGCAGGTTTTTCTAACAAAGATCTCGGATAAAGATGTCCAAAAAATAAAAATCAAGATAGTCCGCTTATACAGATATTTATTTAGCCTTCTAAAGTGATCACTAAAGGCTCGAAACCCTAAAGAAGACTCTAGAAAATTTAGCAGTGCTACAAGTATCTCTATTCTTCAATTGGACCTCCCAAAAGGACCAAAAAGCTCAGAGCACTATAGTTGCCCCTAGAATCACTAGAAGGGTAAAGGCTCCATTCTGATACCTAAAGTGGTCTCTAATTAGCCGTTTTAACACGTTTCTGTAATTCTCAAAATCAGTGATCAAAAAAAATTTTATTTTTTGATTTCGTTGAAACTTCATTCAGTGTGATAACCCTTCATCATAAATGCGGACGCAACTTTGAAAGCCATTCCCTCTTACTGTAGCCGGGTTACGGTAGGTGAAATTCCCTTAAAATGGATCTTAGGAAGCCTGAAACCTTAAAAAGTGGTCACTAGGACTCTGCTCTATCTTTCTTTTTGAACATAGAACTCTCAAGAATTGCTGAAAACGCTCTGGGAAATCAACTTTAACACTCTCAAAGCTAATTTCCATAACTTTCTTCAGTTTTTCGCCTTGGCCAACGCCTTATCCATCGCCGACACAATTTATTACAAGTATCACAATGTCTTTCGTCTGAGCGAGAAATACGCAGTTAAACGACTCCTCGTTCAATTTTTCATCAGTTCGACTCCAGCTCTTGCAATTGTGGTAAAAAATTTATATAGTCTATTCACCGCGACTTGAAATTGTCTAACTGCCTGCGTTCTCTCATCGTTAGTAAGATCGAGAGGCAACAGACAGTTAGAAATTTTTTGAAAGCGGTTAGACGCCTCAGAAGCCCTTTTTTTCTCAAGCTAGCGGTGAATGGACTGTGTCTCAAAAGTATTTTTTTCAGACCTTATCTCTAACCGCCCAGAAGGACGCTTCAAAAATAGCGCTCGACATAAAAACGAGCCATTCTGAGTACGAGGTTCCAGAAAACGTGCCTATCGCTGGATTTTCGAATATGTCAGATCCTCACGAGATTCTGGCTGTAGTTATTATCGCCCTGGTGGCCTATGGAGTTCCAGTTTTCTGTCTTCTTAGCAAAAAGTTGGTTTTTTTTTTTTGAAAACAGGCTAACTTTTTTTGAATCAAGTTTTTTCGATCCGAAAAAGTTTTTAAGAGAGCTTTTTTTGCTGAAAAGTTTTTCGAAGCGAAAAGGATACTGTTTCTTTATAATAGGGTAAAATATCAGAGCTTTTTTCATCTGGATAAATATCCATTGAACGTGTTTCGAAGCGAAAAGGATACTGTAGCTGTGGGCGTGACTTATTGTTAATTGACCATGGTCAAATTTCAGTACGATTAAGCTGACAACTTTAAAAATATCTCAAATTCATTGCAAATTTCGAGTTATTTTTTCAGAAGCATTACTTCAAGAGAAATATTGAAGTTTTTCGAGAAAACTGAAAATTTCGTCAATCAAAAAAAGGTAATTTCAAATTCCAGTAAAATCGTGGAAAAACTGCGCCGAAACAGGGAAGCTTTGTCAGAACATACAACTCGATTGATTCGAACCTTTGCGACGGTAAATCGAATAGTACAAAATCCTTAAAAAATGAAAAAATTCAGGGTCTCACATTTCAATCCTTGGTTCCGGTGGTTTGCTACGTTCCAGTTATCACCGGTTTACTTTTGGAGTTTTCAGGTCAGAATTATCAAAAACCCCAAAAACTACAACTGATGATTTGAATTTAAAGAAAACCGGTTTTTTCAACTTAAAAAAATCTTTTTCAAAACCGGTCAAAAAAATTTAATAAACTCCTTTTTAGCTAAATTTTTTTGGAAAGATATAATAAAATTTAGAATCTTCTGAAGACTACTAAGTATTTTTTTAATTAACGAGTCAAAGTTTCCAAAATCACGGAAGAATAAATTTTCCCTCTTAACTCAAATTCTCGACAGTAGTAAAACTTTCATCAGTTATCCCTAGAGGGGAGAGCCCTATAAAAGCCCCTAGGCTTCTTTAGACCCCTAAAACAGCTCCTAGACTTTTTCAGAACCTTAAAACAGCCCCTATACTTTTTTAGAATCCCTATAACAGCCCATATGTTTTTCAGAACCTTACAAAAAGCCTCTGGACCTTTTGGAGCATTATGAAGGCCCCTAGACTTTTTTTAAAACCCTGAAACAGCCCCTATATTTTTCCTTAACCCCTAGACTTTTTATGACCCCTAAAACAGCCTCTACATTTTTTTTTCAAATTTTTAAAATGTTATTGCTCTATAAAAACCCCTAAAACTACCCCTACATTTTTCAGAACCTTTTAAAAGTTCCCTGATTATTTAGAGCCTTATGGGAACCTCCATATTTTTTCGGGACCGTATAACAGCCCCTAGACTTTTTTGAAACCCTATAAAAGCCCATAGAATTTCAAAATATCTTCAATGAGACTTGCAGGAGAACGAAACATTGCAACTGAATACCTGATAACGTTCGCCTTATCTCTTCCGTCATTGATAAATCCGATAATCGCGATTTATTTCGTGCTCCCCTATCGAAGAGCGACTTCGATGCTAATTTGCCGTCAACCTAAACCTCATGCCAAAAATTTGGAAATTCCAAATAAATTCACAATTTCTTGATGAACAAAAATAAAAATTTCATTCAATAAACAGCACTAGAAAAATGACAAAGTACGAGAAAAGGCAATAGAATTGAACAAGAATAGGGTATTATGGCTTAATTTAATGCACATCTGTTTCAAAAAAATAAATAGACTATGTTATTTACAAGTTCAGTTCACTATTAACAAAGGAAGCAATAAATTAGTTGAGGAATGTGAATCAAAATAAATATATTATTGAAGAAAACGAAGCTAAAAATCGAGAAATACAAAGTGGTTACTTGAGGTTAGAGCCAAGGGGTCACTCAAAGGGCTTGAAAAAAAGAATACGGTTTGAATGCCTCTTAAGGGGGCACTCAAGCTTTTTTTTTACTTGAGTGGCCCCTTGGAATGATTATATATCTCTAAAGGGACCACTTTAAAAATGAAAACGTTTTCTGAAGAAAATTGAAAAAGAACGGTTGTGTGGCGCTAAAAATGAAAAAAGGTTGGAATTGAAAATTCATTTAAGTGGTCTCCCATTTGAGAAACTTGAAAACGAAAGAAAATTAAGGGACTACTTTTAGAGCACCAAACAGCTACTTTAGGGACTTGCAGAAAAAAAAAACGCTCATATAACACATGAAAACGTCATAAACTAAAAACGGAACCTCTTCCTCAAAGTGACCACTCTATCCCTCAAATGATCACTCTAAAGACGTCAACATAAGTAGCTGCTTGAGGACTTTTGTCTGGCTCGTTTCTCGTATCTCTCCGGCCAGGAACATCTCGTCCACAACGGTATAAACCTCCAAATTACAATCAATTTCATAAAAAAGACAGAAAAAATCACTAAGAATAACTGCCGAGATAAACGCGAGACACTGGCGGTACATTGACGAGCTCGCAAACATCTCGCTTTTTTTCTCGCGCCGGTTTCGCATTAGTCTGGGCGCGAGCTCGCATTTTTCTAGGCGCGAGCTCGCATTTCTCTCGCAATTTGAAAATTTCCGAAATGCAAGATAAATGCGAGATGGCGCCGAGAAAAATGCGGGATCGCGCCTAGAAAAAAGCGACATTTTTGCGAGTTAGTCAATGTACCGCCACCGAGCTCGCGTTTATCTCGTCAGTTATTCTTAGTGATGGCTCACTTTGTAGAAATTGAAGACCAAGTCGAGCTCGCAAACATTGTGAAAATATTCGTTGAGGACCTGAAGTTTTCAAAATATTTAAAAGTACCCATATTTTATGATAAACCTCAACAAAATTGTGTATCGCCTCGAGATAATACAAGTTATTATCGATAATATCCACACAAATGCAGAAATACAGGCCCGCGTAACGTCGATAAACGATTTTGAAGTTGCGGAACTGTAAGAAAATGTATTTCGGAGGCAAAAATGTTTCGAAAACCTCAACAAAGTTGGTGTGTTTTGCGTCACGGACCGTCACGCAAGCGTGAACTTCTTCGATCAGCTTCTGAAAAACTTCAACTCAGAAACGGGGCATGTTTCCAAACGAAAACTTGTAAAAGTAGCCTCAAAATAAGAAGATTTACAATTATTGAAGCATTATTATTGCCTTTTGAAAAAAAAAACTCATTTTTCCCTAATATATATACACTCCGAACTTCAAAATAATCAATATACTCACCTGTTTCTCATCGTCGTCGAAATGCATGTACCATTTGGCTAGGCGCGTTTTACCGGCTCGGTTTTGAATCAGTATGAACCGAATCATTGGCTGGAAATGTAAAACTGTGAAGATTCGGTTAAAAGGTTTAAAACAGTGGAAAAAATAGCGAAAGTTTAGAAAACAGCAAAAAGTAACAACACTTTAAAATTTCAATATTTTTGAATATATTCATTTCAAAATGAGCTCAATTAATATGAATGTACAACAAAAATGTAAAACAAAACCAATTATAGAAAAAATTTTCAGAAAACAATTCAGAAATATTCGGTTGAAAGAGAAAAAAGAAGCCAAGAAATGGAAAAGCGGAAGGATTTATTTTTAATTTTTGAGTTCATTCGTTACTTTCAAGATAAAAAAAATTTCAGAAGTTTGAAGAAGACAAAAGTATGAAAAAAACAGAAAAATTTCCAGCAAAAAAATTTATTCCAAACGTGAGCCATTTTCATTTTTTTCGATTTTTAAAATATATTACTCCATTTTCAATAAACCAGTAAAACAGCGAAACAAAAAAATAAAATAAAAAAACGATTAAAAAAACAAAAGTAAAAAAATCTCTGCCACTAAAAACGGAAATCGATGTGTGGAGGCGACTCTTCGTGGCGATGACCATCTTTCTCAGGAAGCCTGCGCCTTTAATAATGAAATGACCTTCGTGGTATACCGGTAGACAATAATTGAAAACCAGAATTGCGATTTCCACTGCACCTGTTTCATGTGCTCTCTGAGCATATCAGGCGGTGGTGATGTTTGGAAAAAAAGTGAATGACAAAATTGTTTTGAAGTTGGGGCGAGGAGAAAGAGGAAATTGGTCTAGAACGGCGTTTTTTTTCTCGTACTCAATACAATATTCATTCTTTTTTTTTGCGAAAATAAATAATCTAATTTTAGGCCGAGGAGCGGTCGCAAAAACAACTATTCAATCTGAAAGAACGTCTTTATATTTTCTTGGCGCCTTTGTTGAGATGAATTTCGTGCAGCTTAAAAGAGAAGCTTCCGGTCATTTTTATCTTTAGTAGGATAAAGATGAGATCTTCAAGTGGAAATTGTGCTTTTTCGGAAGCTTTTTTTAAGCAGAAACTTGGAGGAAGCGTAATTTTCAAGGGTTATTTTTGGCTCTATGGCAAAAACAAAATGAGGTCCCGTCAAAAGAACCTACTCATGTTATTGTTGTTGTGTTGCCTGTCTCTTTCCGGCGTGCTCATTGAATTATTCATATTCCTCATAGCTCTTTTAAAGTTTCAATGTTTAAACAGCGTTTCCTGCAGAAAAAGATTTTTTTCCTTCAAAAATTGAAAAAGATCATGTCATAAACACAGTAAAATGCGTAATTTTTTTACCTTATGTTATTTCTGGAAGAAATATTCAAACTTGATCAATGTTTTTTTCCTAAAAAAAATGTTTACACTTCATAACTTGAAGAAAATCAAAATGTGGTAAAAAAATTTTTTTCGGTTTTTATTTCATTTATTACTGAGCGATCTATGCTTTTTTTCTTCCCAAGTTCCCAGAAAAAAATTCCAAACTTTCCCATGCTTTCCTTAAATAGTTTATTACAAATGAATGTATTCTCACTGCTTTTTCTACTTTTTTTTCTGGTTTCTCAAGCTCAACAAAACAACTTCTATTAATCGCAACTTTCTGACCTTTGATTCCATTCCACCCGCATTCAATTAGTCAGCCTTTGCTCCCGATTTGTCGCCTTTTATGCCATTTAATCCACGAGATTTCCATGGAAACAAGCAAATCCATTGTCATAAGGATTGTCTAACAATGTCGGTGACATTTAAAAAGTCACTTGATCGGTAAAATTTCTTCTCCTTACGTCATTTGTTCGAAATAAATTTGTAGCAAGCTGAGGAATGTAGCGGCTTTACTCGGAAACGCGACGAAACTGCGTCAGACAAAACTTCCCGAGCATTTCGGTTGTTCTTTGGAATCAGCATCACTTCCAAATCTAACTAATATAAAAAAGCCCAAAGTTTTAGCTGAAAATTCAAAAAGCGAAAACTTCTCTTTTCGTGTCCGAAGTACTCTAGGACATCAGAAAAATGCGTATCTCGTTGTTCTCAAAAAGTACAAATGAAATTATTTTTCAGGAGCGTCCTTAGAATCTCTCGAGGTTCATTGGAACGTCCTTATTTCATTTTTAAAAGTTCGAGGGTTTTTAAGAGCTCGAGGTCTCGAAAAAAGCATTATTCATGAATTCCTTTTTTAAAAGATCGGTTATTATTATTTTTTTTTTCATGAACGTTATTATAAACCTTCATTTTTAAAACGTACTAAGATTTTAAAAAACCGGCCTCATTTTTTTGTCATGGGTTCGGCAATGTGACTAAACTTTACCTGAACCTGGTTAAACTTCCATGAAGCCCTATTTTTCAAAAGAAAGTAACATTAGCTCTTTCTTTTTACAGTTATTACTGGTCCAAAAACTTTTTTTCGAGACCCTGGAAGACCCAGAACTTCAACTTTTTTTGGCTCACTAAGCTCTTACCAAGTGCGTTAAAAAAATTCCTAAAGCTTTGAGGTATTTAAAAAAATCGTCAGTTTCAATAATTAATTCAGATGTTTATTTTTCGGCTTTTTAAAGATTTTTAAGATGTTTTCTTAAAAGTCAGATTAACTTTATTCGCATTCAAAGGACTTCAGGAAATTTAAAAAAATAATTCTAATCACTTACAAATCTTCTTAAAACCATCTGGGTCATTTGTTTTTTAAAGAAAAGCATATAAAGGAATTTTTTTTCCTGCGATGAAAGAAAAACATTTTTGAGCCTTTCTTCATGTTCTAGTTCACATCGGAACCCAGAAACCCTCAAAAAAATCGATTTTCCACTTTTTTTTGTCCAATTTCTTGAAGTCATCTGTACCTTTTTCCTTTGATTTGATCCTACTGGAAGCTTTCTCTAAACGTACCTCAAATTCCGACTTTTTCTCTTTTTTCGAGCATAGCTTCATATCTGTCTAGTCTCACCTTCCTATAGACTGGGAGAAAACTTTTGCATTCCCACGAACTGACCACAAACTTGTTTTCGGTCCCTTTTCTAGAAATAAATCGTATATGTACACCTTTTAGCTTCCTAATTAGTTACCTTCAGCATGAAAAAATATATAGCTGTACAGATTTCTAATGAACCAATAAGCATTTTTTTTTCGCCTGGGAAATGAAAAACTGGAAAGTAAACGGCACAAATAACTTCATTTCGTAGCATTTCGGTGAGTATATTGAGTTATTTTTAAATTTTAAAACAGTAGCCTCAAGATTAGAAACCACGACAAGTCGGGTGCGAGATTTCCTGTAACATGAGCAATGAAGGAAATAGTTTTTTCGAGTCTGAAGTTTTTTGTTTGAAAACCTGTGAACTAACTTCGATTAGAAATAGAGGTGTAGCAAAAAAGTTATGATGGAACCTATTGAAATCTTCAAATTCCGAGGCTTCACATTGAAAAATGATCGGAGAAGTTTCCCAAGCTTTAAGATGAGCAATAGAGAGTAGGGCTTGAATTTCTCGGAAAATTTCAGTTATCATGACTAGTTTTCTTTTGAATTTCTCTTCTCACTCCATTTTCAGTCTTTTTAATGTCTAACATGAGCAAAGAAGTGCAATAATTATGAGCCGGCTCCTAAATTTCCCTTTTGGCTTGAAAAGAAAGCCTCAAAAAACTTTTTTTTTAGAAAACTCCCTTCTTTTTCCGATCATCACACACACCAAAGTTGTATGAAGCTTTTGGATATTCATAATTTTCGAGATTTTTTCGGCAAAGTGTTCATCGGGCCATGTCTTTTTTCGCCCTTTCCCCGACGCTTTTTTCCTATTTTAATTAACGTCCCCCGTGCTTCGAGTGTGACCTTATCAAGCTTCTACCTTTCTTCTGCTCGAGTTGGTAGACATCCTCAGGAGAGCTTCTTCTCCCTTATTTTTGAGAATGCACGCTTCTATACACGCCTATTCGCAGGTCCTGAAACTAAAGACTCACTGATTTTGTTTTTTATAAAAATGAGTAAATTATTGTTATCGACTTTTCCGAAAATTTGCTATTTATTGATTTTTTGTGAAGAGATACCGTTCGTTGCGATGATCTTTGCTTCAATTCTTTTTGATTTGAATGCTCAGATCTTGGAATCGACTCATAATGTCCTTTGTGACTAGTAAAAATCAAAAATTCCGCCAGTCTTTTTTAATTAATAATTTTCTCTATTTCTCTATATTGCTCATTTTAAAAATCGCCCGCCTTAACAAAGTTTAAAAAAAGAAGGAAAAAACAACTAAAAGAACGCCAAAAAGTGAAAAAAACACTCGATTTTATACTTATTCCTCCACATTGCTCATATTAGGCACTCTCTAAGGTGTCATTTTCTTGCTCATTCAATTACATTATTATGGTAAACACTATCGTCTTGTTTAGTCTCTCACTGACCAAGAAGCAGTCGGAAAAGTAGTCACTTTACGATTTAATTAAAGGTTTTCCTAGGGTTTGTCAGACTAAAGGTGATTAATCGTTGCGTAGGTAAGGGAGTTCTATTGCCAAAACGCGTTTTCTGGTCTCGAATTGGAGTTGAAAGTCTGCAAAACATTTTCGAAATAAGTTTATTTTTGCAAGATTTTCTTCATTTTTTTCAATGCTATACCTCATTCACTACCGATTGATATAGTCTGACTTGTCTGTCTTCTCTTTTCTCTCACTGAAAGGAGAATGAAAACATGAAAATAGCAGGTAAATTTCGAGAGAGTGCAGAGGAATCAGAATATTTCAAGCTTTTATGAATGGAGTAACTTTTGTTTTAGTGTTATTATAATTAATTAATTCCGCACCTATCACAAAAATTTCCGTTAATCGTGCCAAGACCTTTTTTCAAAAAAATTACCACCTTTTTTCCATAATTTGACATTTTTGAACCTGCTCAGAACCAAAATATCATCATTTTCATTGCCTTAAAAGCTTAGAAGGACAAAAAAAAAATACTAGTCTGTGGGATTTTTTCTATAGTCGAGTTCCGGCTATTCTTGCACCTTTTGTAGCCGATTCCCAGAAGTTCCTCAGGTTATTTCTGCTTTACTTTTTTCCTTTGGTTCTCATCCTGTACTATAAAACACTTTAAATATCGCAGCTAACTCTGAGAAATCTGTAAAACTTTGGAGTGGTCACTGGAGGGTTCTAAGCTTCCCTACTTCGAAAAAATGTCTTTTTTAAAAATTTAGATGACTAAAGAAATGTTTTTATGTACGTTTTGAGCATTTGAGAGCTAATTGAAACTGATCACTAAAGGGATTTTTCACGTTCCCAAGGAGTTTGTTTTTATTTGAAATATTATAATTTTTTTAGAAAAATAGTCTAGAAGACTTTCGAATGAACTAAATAAATATCTTAAAAAGCCTCATCAATAAAAAAATTCCTATTTTTTTGAGAATCGATCGCTCAAAAATTCGATCCCTTCCCCTGAACTAGTATTAAGGCGTCAATTTTTCGGAATAATTAGATTTTTATTAAAATTAAAATAACTTCCACATAGGGATCACTACATATTTCACCAGCTGATCGAAAATTTCTCAATTAAAATGGATCAAAACATGATTATCATCTAACTTTCGAACTTCAGAAGTCAAATTACTCAATTAATGACAGATCGAGAAAACAAAAGTCAGATTCCCTAATTAAGATTGTTTACAGCGGCTAATCAACTTTGATTCTTCAAACTCGTATTCCTGTAATCTCAACTGCCTGAGTCTTCGTATTCAGCTGTCTTTTCAGCGTCGCGTTTTTTTTTTTGGTTTCTGGCGTATGATTGATAGGAAATTGGGTTTGTTTTTTCTGAAAATCGAGTTGAGGTCAACAGCGAAATCGTCTATTTGCTTTTATACTCTAGGGACTAGGTGTCGCACTTTAAAAAGTGTGAAAATAGTCGTTTTAAGGTTTCCAAGAACCAAGGTCGCCGTTGGAATGGCTCAAAAAATCGCGGTCTAAAAATGATTTGAGACTTGAGACTTTTAATGATATTTTACACTGCTCCCCCGCGTAAGTCGTTTCAGGTCGGCTGCACTTGAAAGCAAGCTTATAAAGGTCAAGCCATTCATCTTGCAACTACGTTTTTTAAACGAAAATGAATGCAAGAAGATCTTCAGAAAATTTCGGGCATTTAAAGTTCCAATAATTTTCCTTTTGGTCAAAGCGTTTTCATATCGACTTTTTCTCAAAAAATCGATTTCATTTTTTTTTTAAATATCATAAAAATGAAAAAAATCTTTGAAAACTTCGGAACAGATGAATAAATTTTTAAGCAATAGTAATTATTAAGCAGAACCAGTATATTTTCCCAGAGTAACAATTTATCGCGAACAAAAAAAAAAATTAATTACGTCTACCTGACAATCGTCATTTTTAATTACCAGGTATTCTGTGACTAGATTTAGGTTCTCTGGGAATTTACTGAAATTAAATATTTCAGTTAAGAAAAAATTCTCAGGAAGTATCAAGTTTAGAAGATGATTCAACAATTTATATCCTGGTCTTAAAATCTTCATTCAGCTTGAAATAATCTACAGAAAAAATGCATGTCACACTTGATTAATTTCAAATTCAGCGTTCTATAAATGTTCTTTTTCTTCTTTTTTCCCTTGATTTTTCACGCCCGCGCTAGAAAAATGCAGCTGCGTCGAGTCATTTCCTTCTCAAAGGCTTCTGGGTAAACACCTTTTCAGGTATTTCGGCTCATTTTTCAATTTCCGATGTTATCAAGGACTAGAAAACATTCAAAGAAAATTTTGATTCATTTTTTTTGGCCACTGAGTCACCCACTTTGAAGAATCGTCTGAACTTCAACAACTGAATCAAAAATCTTTCAGACGTCATCAAAATTGAAATTTATCTTCTGATGATTCCCCAAAGGCTTTTGAACCTGAAATTCTGCTAAAACGCAAAGTTCGGGTTCACATTAACATGGGAAACTCAAAAAAACAAAAACTCAAACTTCTTTTCTTTTTTTGAAATACGATGCGCCTTTTTGAGGTTCAAATTAACACAGGAAGTATCTTTTTCAATTTACACTTGACTAATCAACTCTCGTGATTCTTCCTCCTAATTATGTAATTATTTTGCAGCTTCCTCTCTCCTGCAAAATTTCATCCAGTTGAAATAAGTCTAGGTATCACCATTTTTGTCCTTTTTCTTTGTAGTTTCCAGGTCTATAAAAAGTTGTAGCCTTCTTTTTCCTTCTTGATGGTCTGATGCTAGAGTTATTTTAACCTTTTTGGAAGTTCTATTCGAGTTGGAACGTATTTTTGATTCAAAATTTAAATTCAAGAAGCTTTTTCGAAAAAAAAGTTAGGAAACTAGTCAAGATCCTTTTTGAGCCTTCATAGGAATATGGAAAATTATTCAAAAAAATTTTTCAAGCTCCTCCCTGCGCCTTTGAAGATGTATCCAGGATAAACTTTGAGTTATTTTTCGAGCTTTTCCCTATGTTTCTAGAGACCTTCTTGATATTTTAAATTCTAGTAGCTTTTTTTGAAGATGTCTTTGAATCGACTTTAAAATTTCTAAACTCTCATATAAGCTTTAGAACGTTCAGCTGCTTCTTAAAAGAACAAGTGTACTTGAAAAGGGCGTGGATAGGACAGATATAAGTATTCTATTCATGAATAGCCATAATTTACTCGTTTTGTCACATTTTTTTCTCCTTCCGCTTCCTTGTAAAATTTTTTAAATGGTTGTATAGCGTGAGTTCGAGCTTTTCTAAAAAGCTGTCTGCGATATTTTGTTATTTTTGACTATAATGTGTTCATAACATTTTGTCTGTTGTCGTTATAAACGAGCTAAACTTTTCTTGATTTTTCTCTTCTCAGTTCTTTGTTCTAAACCCCGCGATTCGGCGAACCAATTCATGAAATTCGATTCAAAGTAACCAATTTTACAGCACGACCGCTATTATGATTGCGGACCCCGCGCTTTTCTACCTATTAGTCCCATTGGCCGTGATCCCGATCCTTTTTTTCATCTACAGAATGTGGTGAGTTTTTTTTTCATTTTACAAATATTGTTCATCCACCGGTAGCTTGGGCCAAAAAGTACCTTTTATCTTTCATGTAAACTTTAATGAAATGCAATACAAACTCATTTTTTCTAATCGTCTGCGCCCTCTTTCTCTCAAAAGTTTGAGAGGTAAAGAGGGCGCAGGTGTATAGAATTTCTAAGATGGTGGTGAATGATGTATGATCCTAAAATAGAAATAAATTTCAAGTTTGATATTTAGCAAGCGGAAAAAGTCGTTCGTGAACCCCGGCTATCCACATCCACCTGCAGTTCCTGGTGAGTTTTTCGATTTTTTTTTTCCAGCTGTTTTCTGACATTTCGTTCTAAACGATGATATCAAGTGAAAAAGTTATTTTGGTATGAATTTTAATGTCATCATAGCGTTATTCTACACGTCTAGGTAGCAAAAGGAGTTTAGAAAGATCAAAATGACATGATGGTTCATTGTCTAGCAATGTTGACCGCCAAATTCTAGACCAATGTTCGATCCGGCGCACCAATGTCTATGTTTGCAAAAACCAATGTTTCCATTCTGACCATCATGGAGGCTTATTCTAACTATATTTCGTTTTATAGAACAGTGGCTATCAGTCTTGACTCTTAATCTAGGAACCCAATTACAATCTTTCTCAACCCAATTTCTTTTTTTTCAATCTTAATTCAAGCTGCCAATGATTAGAAGCGGAGTTTCTTTTTTCGAAAATGCATATTCTCAACCCAAAACTCAACGGAACCATTTTTTTGTACTGAGAGCTCAGAAAGCCAATTTGTTTCTCCAAATGTCGTAGGGGAAGTTGAGCGCGGCCTCCGATTGCGTAAAAGTTCTAAATAGAGATTGTAACCGACGCTACAAACTACGTAATGACGCCTTCACTTGTACATTTTTTTGAATCCGGGCTTTTTACTCCGGTGTTCTTACATCACGATTTTATTGGAATAGTTAAAAATTACAGAGTCCATGGGAACCTTTTTACTTATACTTCCTCATTGAATTTGCCGTCGTTTGTTTCAGTTCACATGATTACATAATTTCTCCAAAAATTTGAAAAAAAAACGATCTAATTAAAAATTTCCTAGCAGCGATATTCCGATTACTTGAGCAATACTGAGTAATAAAGCTGATATAAATACCTTACAATAGCTACTGGCTGATTTTTTTCTGGTTGCTTGCTCGGAAACCGTTGAACATATGAACCATTCAGAGAATAGAACTAAACAATTTCAAGTTTCACCTGCCATTCCTAACCTTTAGACAAGTCTCGTGACAAGGAAATACGTCTGCATTCAACTGATATAATTTCTTACAACATGACTTTGAAGGGAATTTAAAATTAATTGAAATTTCCCATTTTTCAGGTCCACTACCATTTCAACCAGGGCCGAACGATCAAGCGCCACCATACAATTATGCACTGCAAATGAACACTAGCAGTATATTTGCGATAACAGGTTAGCGCAGTGGATTAGGATTTCGGCTACGAGTAGAAAAGTTGTGAGATCAATTCCCGGTGCGGATTTTGTTGAAACCCGTTTTGCTTAAAACGTCCTCAACTTTAGCAAGCGGTTAAGGACTCCCTGAAAACTGGCCAGAATATTCCTTGATGTACATGGTAAAAATACCAAAAACCTCAACTGAGGGATGAAGGCTCGAAGTCAAAGAAAATCATCAAAAACTGTCCAGATGGACTAATCTCAGACTTTGGGTCCCCTTTTCTCAAAAAATAAGGAGTGTTGCCGGTTGAGACCTTCAGGGCTATTACCTCCTGGTACATCGAAAAGATCTCAGAAAAACGAAGGTTCAATTACCTTCCTTGCCAGATCGCTTCTACATAACTATAGTCAATGTTTCACGACTTGAAAGGCGAGGGAGGCGGGCAAAGGGGCGGGACGCGTAGCGTGTGCGTGCGCGGTTCTTGGCACGAGTTCAATTCACTTTCAATTCAACCGCCAGCGACTCTTTGGAAAGCCCGTTTTTCGCTCTTTTCATTTCTTTTTCAATTATTTATTGATTATGTTCATGTGTGCATCAAAAAAAAATTGAAAACATTGAAAAAGAGCGGTTGCCGTGCTTTTTAAATAGTCCGCGACAATTGAATTGAACTCGTGCCAAGAACCGCGAACGCACACGCTACGCGTCCCGCCCCCTGCCCCGCCTCCTTCGCCAATCAAGTCGGGAAACATTGACTATAAAAGGTCCAACTTTATTCAAAGATCAATGAGGACCCTTAGAATCGAATTGGAAAAAAAGATAGGAAAAGCCGCAACATTTGAAGCCTAAAGTTACAGTAATCTCTCTCAAACCTAATCCATTTCGTTTCAGAACCCAACATGACGCCGTACCTCCAGATGAGGTGCGCCAACGACGACTGTTACCCACCCAATTTCGTCGTCTCACCTTTCGAACCGCCTCCACCATACCCAGGACTCGAAAAAACTCCCAAAGACCCATCTATCGTTTGATTATTGATATTGATATTGAAAAAAACAACTGTCTGTACATTTAATCTCTGTCTTTCTTCAAAAATTTGCCATTTTTACGGGTTATTTTCTTGTCATTATTTTGTTTTCTTTTCACTTTTTTGTTTGTTGTGGGTTCAAATTTTGATGATATGAATTATTTTTTTCTTCTTGTTTTTGCACCTTATTAAAAAGTGGAAAGTTTTGTTCGAAGCTTGAAAAAAATAAATGAAAAAAACATCTTGACCTTAGAGTTTCCATTTAAAAAAATTCGACAGTATTTTACTAATTTTTCAGCTCATTCGTTAAAAAAACCAAAATGAAAATTATTTTTTTGAGTTAAACTTTTTTTCCTTCAAATCCTTTCTCGCTGACTTCTGAGCGCTCTCAGAAATTAGATTACATACAAAAAAGGATGTTCGCAAGTTATAACTTTCAACAAAGTCAAAAAATCTTTTGAGGTTTTGTTTTACTAGTCCACCCACGAAACAGGTGCTTTTCCTAACGTAAATGCTAAGGATCGATTGCCATTCTGACACAAAATAGCGAATTACTATTTCGATATCCATTGAAATTTCTTTCTGTTTACTATGTCAAACTTATGGAGACGGTTGACTAGCGAATTATTATTCGAATTCGATGCTGTTGAAGAAATCCAAAGTTTGTTCAACGCCTTGCAAGGGCAGGAAAGGTAACAGAAATCGTGTTATTTTATAAGATAAAAAAAAGATTTTAAGAACATTTCTGGCTTTTCACATAATTTATTTCATTCTCGACTTTTTCATCGTTATCTGGGCTTTCATAACAGTATACATCATGCACAAGAACCAATACAAGGCTGTCAGAAATAATCGCAGATTATTGATCATTATGATTGTAATAACTTTGCTGATTTCGTTGTTTATTCCCGGGTCGGGGTTATATGCGATTCTACCTTACAAAGTTCTGTTCAACACGAACTACAGCATTTCCAATGGCAGTAGTTCCATGTTATGTGTTTTCATTTCTATATTACTAATGATGTTGGCCGTAGTTTCCTGTTCTAATTCGGTTATCCGCACGGGACTCATGGCCGCACGATTGAAAATCTCTTGGCTGAACTATGAAGATTCTTACAAGTTCTATGACCGACTCGTTCGAACCGTATTTATGCTCGGATTTTTCTCTTATCCGATTCCGATGGTCTACTCTGTGAAGTGGGATCAAGAACAACTTCTGGCCAAAGCCGTAGAAACGGATGAACGTCTTGAAGATTTTATCGAGCAGAGCGCTCCATTCTTTCTGATCTACACGAAGATGATCATTGTCGTTTTTGCAGCCACTTTTTTCTACTTTTTCTTGGGGATGGCGATAACGGGATTTGTGATGAGCAGGTGAGTTGGATGAAATTTTCTTTATGAAAATTTGCATTTTGAAAGAAACTATTGAAAAATATTGAATTATGGTGAGCGGTTGATTTCGATGACTGAAGTACAAAAGCTTCTCTTGAAAAAAGATTCTCATTTTTTTTCAGAGCAAGAAAGTCACATAATGTGAACTCCCGAGCAGTACAAAATCTTCAAAAACGGCTCATGTTTGTGATGCTGGGCTCTCTCACTTTATTCTTTCTATCGATAGTCATCCCAACCGGCGGCTGTTTTTTCACAGTCCTTTACGGATCTCAATCCATAGCCAGGTTTTTTTTCTGTGTTTCAAAATTGAATAAATTAATTCCCATTCAGATATCCCTTCTTGGCGTTTCTACTTCTTATACCAACTGTTCTTCTTTGTCCGTCTTTATGCACATTATTCCTGGTGCTAATAAAACCCTACAGGATAGAACTATTCAAAATGATGAATGTAAAGCGAATACCCCTGTGGGAAATACGTCAAAGGCCCAAAATAACGGGGTCATTTTCTCCTTGAAATCGTGCAAAAAATAAAATTTTCCTTTGAGATAGTCAAAGCGTTTCTTTTTATAGGAGTTGTTGTATTCTTTTTTTGTCACCTTTTCCAAAAAAATATAATTTTGGTAGGTTTCAAAAGATTTTTTTCATACAAAGAAAAAAATCAAAAGTTTACACCAAAAAAATTTCCAGTTGAATTTCCAAATCCACAGAGGAAGCCATTTGAAGTACAACTGTCTAACCCCAATTTGAGCCGCAGCGCATCCGCAACGCAAAAAGTCCTTCTGAATGCGACCAGGAAGCTTCGAGCGTGTAAACTACCAAGTTTGGTTGGACTGCTTCAAAAAAAAACATTTTTCACTCTGCCTGCCAATTGATGGCTTTCCGTTTTTCACTTACTCTAACAAAAGTTGCGGTGCACCCCGCGTCGAACCGGCTATCGGGGTGCACCCCTCGTTGAACTCAGCGCGATTGGGTGCACCCCGCGTTGATGTTTTCGGTGCACCGAAAATTTGAAAACTCGGTGCACCCCTCGGTCATCTGGAACGATGTTCCGAAAAACGTGTTTTTCAAATTTCAAGTTACGAAATTTGAAGTTTTCATTTGTTTTTTTATTTGTTTTAATTTATTATCACTCGCTTTTTCGTGTTTTTTTCTATTATTCGATGTTTTAACATTACTAGTGAGTTTATGGAAGTAGTTTCATATGAGTTTCTTCTTCTTATTATTATTCTTATTGGCAAATGTTTTGAGACATTTTTTGAAATACAAAATTCGTTGTTTAATTATATTTTTCGATCGCAAACTTCTGGAAATGATGGATAAAAAGTAATCTTGCTTCCAAAAGCTCATGTAACTTTTTGAATTGAACATTTCGAATCGGTTTTTATTCCAACCTTTTTGAAGGTTTTTTGTTCAATTTAGTCTAAAAAGCTGTATTGAACATTTCATTTTTAAGTTGTCAGGTAATCAAGGCTTGCGCATTGATTTTGCTAAATAGTTCGCTGGAAAATGCTTTTTTTGAGTCTTTCAAATGTGCAGAAATCTTGCAAAGCCAAAATTATTTTTGCCTCGACATATTTTTCAATTTTTCGAGTCCAGCAAGCAATTTTTGAGAAACTATCAAAATTAAAAACTATTGTAGATTTTAGTTGAAAAAAAACGGTTTGTTCTTAAAAGTAAATATTTTTAAACTTATTTGTTTCGCTAACTTTTTCGCGATTATTTGTGAAATGCGTTTCAGGTTCATTTGAAGAGAATAAATTTATGACCATCGAGGAAGAGAGAAAAACGCATATAATATGAAGGTAATTTTTAAAGCTTTGCATTTTAGTTTTTGTATTAATTTCAGATAGCCGTACGACTTGATCCTGATTCATGACAAACAGAAGGAGTGCAGTCGAATAAAGGGGAGCAGAGTAACTTAGCCGTTACTTTTTTTATTCTTTTGTTTTTGTTCTTTAATAGCTGATGAAAAGTTTGAATAGTTGACATTGGAAGAGTTTGTCCTTTTTTTAGCAGACGAAAAAAATTAAATTTTTTAAGAGCGCGTAGTTTGAAAAAAATAATTGATTCATTTTTGAACTGACTATGCTAGTAATCTTCGCGAATTTCGTCGAAATATACCAGGGAATGGTCTCTAGTCGCAGTGGGGGCATCGGAATGAGACCAAGTTTTTCTAGACATAGTTTTTTCACGCTTATCAAAAATCTGGTTTTCGAAAACGGTCGCGGAAATTTGGGAAATAAGTTATGTACCCTCAAAAAGTCGAAAACTTCATTTTTCCCCGATTGCGCTCATTTTTTGGAGGTTATAGATCTTGTCCCTTTGACAACATAAAACCAATTACTGTTTTTCAAAAAGTTTTTGAAGCCCAGATATGAGAAAAACCGCGCGCGCGCATTCTCTTATCATGTGCGGAGCTTTAGAATACGCCCAAAGTTTTTTTTTCGAAAATAAAAGCTTTTTTGAGACCAGAGGGTCAAGATCTATATGTCCTCCAAGAATAAGCTCAAGCGGAGACAGTGAAATTATCCGCTTTGAGGGTCCGTAACTTTTTCCCAGACATCCGCGATAGTTTTTGAGAACACATTTGGAATCAACATTGACGAACTCGCAAACACTAGGTTCTACTCTCTCGCCGGTTTCGCATTTTTCTGGGCGCGAGCTCGCATTTCTCTCGCAATTTGAAAATGTTCGAAATGCAAGGTCGCGCCGAGAAAAATGCGACATTTTTGCGAGTTTGTCGATAACCGCCAGTGTATCGCGTTTATCTTGGCAGTTATTCTTAGTGAATATGTTTAGAGAAGGCTTAACGTGAAGTTGGCACAAGTCAAAAGATCAAATTGGACAACTTATCCTTTTTCAGCTTTTCCGACGTTTTTTATTCACATCTAGCTCGCTATGAAAATAATTTCCATCTTTAAGTATCGTTCGAAAAAAAGAGAAAACATACTGACAATGTTTTAAAAATTTGAACACACGTTCTCCGAAATTTTCGAATATACGTTGGTGATAATTTTGATGAATAATTTTAAAGATTTTTTTAGCTGAAGTTCATATCAAAGATACTATGCAAATTTTTAAACTCATGTAAACAAGTACCGAAAAGCTCCGTATAAAAATTTAGTGTATAAAAATCAAGGCCATCTGAGGTCCCGGTTTTTATAGAGCTATAACAACTGCGGAAGTCGTCATTTTGCCAACACAATTGATGTTTCCAAAGGACATTTTAGAAGCGAAACGCTTTACGAGGAAAAAAGTTAGCTTCTTACAGTAATTTTGTCTTAGTAGCTCTAAAAGTGTGCGGAGCGTTTCGGTGCCTGAAATAAAAAGGTTTAATAGTATGTGATATGAATTTATGCTCAAAAATCATAATTTTTCAAAATTATTGTACCAATTAATTTCCCAGTTCATAAAATTTCTCGGAAATCATGTGTTAAATATTACCAGTCAACTTTGTAAGTGTTATGAAGCCTGTTCTGTTTTTGCCTAATTTTTCTTCAGTACTATCCACTCTTTCTGTTGTATTCTCTTATTATTCAATTTCTTTCTCCTGATTTAATTTTTCAGTTTCTATCAATTTTTCGATTTATGTCTACTTTTTAACATGCTCTCACGATTTTGGTCTAAAGTTGGCTAGATGCTTAGAAAAAAGGGGAGAAGGCGCAGAAAACAGCTCTAGAGACCTTTTTCTTTCTCAAATTTTTGTAAACGTTGTTATTTTTTCTTTATAAATCTTGTAAATGAAATTGTCTATCCTCGAATATTGTTCAAATTCCCTATTTATTCGCTGTAATGTTTTTATTTTTGTTTCATTGTCTTATTATGTGATTTATCATTTAATAAAAACATATAAATTGAAAAGTGGTCTCAATTGATGATATATATGGGATATGAAGTATAAAGGTATTTTAAAAAGTGCAAGAAGCAAAAAAATTGAAAAATGAGATTCAGTGCACCCCGCGTTGGACTTTTCTGGTGCACCCTGGTTACACTGCGGGGTGTACAGGAGAGTTCAACGC